CGATCTGCCTGAGAGCCCCCGTCGTATGTACATTTACCCTCTGATGGATTTAGTAGTGGTTGTCATACCACAGTATTTCGAGAACCTTACAGATCCCCAAAGACAAGACGTTGGAGATATTAGTATCCAATGGATTGAGAAGATGTTTGCCGAAATACGGCTTGTCCGTTTGAAGCGATCGGAGTGGCAGAGGCGCCCCGGTCTTCGATACAGGGGATATGCCGGGAAGTTTTCCGAATTGATTTATATTTCAGCTTGTCAAGCCCGGTCTAAGAAAACAACAATGATTTGAATGATATCACCCGTGATCAGAACATTTCTGAGCCTCAGCTTGTTGCTACAAAGCTATCCACTGCCGATTGCAGGTCGGCAAACTTATATACATTTGATCCCATGCTTATTAGCATATCTAATTGCCGCCTTTGCATCAAGTGGGCCCCCAGTGAGCCACCCTTGGAAACTGTGGCCCTTCATGATCAATTTGTCCGTATCGACCTCGACCGTACCAACAGGTGCCAGACACAGCTGCAAGGCCGGCGAGGGGGTTTTTAAATATTTTCGGAGTGGACGCTGACTGAATGATGATGTCTGCTCCGCCCAGTTGAGTGAGTACATGAAATGCCTCGCTTGATCTGATGTTGATGTAATGGTACGTCCCAAGTTCTTTGGCAAATGTAGCTTTTTCGTCACCAGACGATAGTATGGCGACATGGTTGCCCATTTTGCAGGCGTATTGGACAACCAAGTGACCTAGACGCCTAGCTCAATAAAATCGCCGACAAACTCATGGCCAGACACGCGCGGGAAAATGTCACCCATATACCCTGACGCTGCTTGGAGGTCGGTGTAGCAAAGGCCACAGGCGATCACTCTAACGAGGACCTTACCTGCGGAAGGATGCTTGAGTTCAGATTCATGCACTGTTGCATGATCGTTCGCGTTGCGAAGCAACGGCCTCGTACGTTTTGGGGAGATTTGACATAATGAGATGTTTAGGATAGATAGCAGATGGGACGATAATTTGTGACCAGGTAGTTTTACTTGAATAAGATGGAGCATCGATAACGTTTGAATTCAAAGGCCATTGACCTTCCCGAACGAAATTATACATGCTATTAAATAGAACCGGTCTAGCAGCTGCACATCTGCTGAGCTGGAGGAGGAAAGTGGAGTCCACGTATCAGATCGGTTGTTTACCTTGACTCTGCTTCACTTGCTTATCCAGCTTAGTTCACGTATATGTGCGACAGCGCCTATCAACGCCATCTTCCTCAAGATAGATCCTCTGAAGCATCGCATATCTCCCTTAAGAATCCTGAATCTTTGTTCTTTGGAAGAGGCCAGGGTTAAAAAGCTCGTACTACGAAATACCTGAAAATCCACTTTGCTGCATGATCGGTTCCAATGTGGAGAATGTCTCATACATGTGATATCAGATCTCTTGATTTGATTTTCCAAGCGCCGGATGAAGTTTACTTAGCCTCCCTGGCTAGAGTTTTACAAAGTAATCAACCTGGCAATGACAAAAGTGGCGCTTTCGTGTTACCCAGTGAAATATGTTTAGTGTCAAAATATACCAATTCTGAAGCTTTCTCTTTTGAATTACGAAAATATCGTGATGAACTTATGTCACGAATGGTTCATCCAGATACGCCACCACCCTGATGATCTTTTCTGGTACCGAGCAGTTATTATGAGCAGACTTGTTTGTTCATAATATGGCGTTGGATTATTACTGGTGATATATATCTTTGCAGTAGTTAAGTGGACGATCTTTTACAATAAATCGTTTCTATTAGCTAAAAAAACATCATAAACAGATCACTCAGTTCATCATGCGCATAATTCCGGGCCTTTAATGTAGAATATCGATCAGACAAGTGCACTTGGTTTTATCAAGTCAGGCACGAAGGGAATCCGGATAGTTTTCTCTTCAATGAAGGATATGCGCTCTTTTGCACACTATATTTATACCTTGCATGGGTTTTAGTGTTATTACCATGACACAGGCCGTCGGCAAATAGACAAAAGCTCCGTATTTGCAATCGGCCAAGACCATCGCAATAGGTAAATATGAATTTAGCAGTACCGAAATTCAACTCAAAATTAGTTGCGTCATCCGAAGCATTGGACTATGCCATTTCGTGTACAATTATTGAGAAGTGTTATGAGCCGTGAGTGCCGTTGCGCGTTGCTAAGCAAAGCGCGCGTGGCGAGAAGAATACGTATTCTGTTTGAGAAATGTAAAAGTTCATCTTTTCGACGATCGTATTTACTAGATAAGCCTGATTGAACAAATAGGTATCTCAGGATGTTCAAGCCAAATTCAAAGAAAGAAACGTCGAGCTCCCCCTCCCGAACTAGTGAGAATTGATGCGACATATGTCCAAGTCGATTTGCAAGCCGATGTTGTTGTATGCAACCAAAACTCGGTCCCACTGGCTTTTTCGAAGAATACGGGGACAGGTTCATATCCGCCTGTGACATATTTGCGTTCGTCGTCTAAAAGGGGATTTTTAGTAGGTGTGGTCTCTAGGGCGGACTTTGACATGGCTTTACACTTGTAGAGTTGATGTGTTAGGCTGTCTGCCGAACTGTGAGCCTGCATTTATGTCATGAGCAACCGTTCGACCAGACGAACTTATATATATCCTCTGACAGGCCACGACGAGAGTATATAGATGTGACGTTCACATGCGCGAGGATCGAATCAAGATCGCAACGTTGGAAAACCTAAACTAATCCACGAATAATTTGTATCTTGGATCATAAGTCCTAAAGGTGGTGAACAGCCCATGGGTCCTGACGCCTGCATCTACAAGGGGATCTACGGAGGTAACCGACGCCGTCACTTGCCTTGGCCTCAGTAGTTTGTTTCCGTTAGGCATACAAGGCTAACTAGTGAACTCCTTCCTTCAATATTCTCACCGTTACTTATACGAATGCATCATGTAAGTGCCCCAGGATAGCTTCGAGATAGCTCGAATGTTATTTGCGATAGTCCCAAACGGCCAGCCATTTTAGGTTCAATGGGGTGTCAGCACGCTAGACTCTCGCATATGACGTGAGTCTCGGGAGAAACTCGGCTGTCTTCACCTCTTTTCATGCCCCTATTGGGTGACTATGATTTAGTTGAACTGCTTTTTGCGGCTTTCAGCTGGGGATGAATGGTCGGCGAACTAAGGAGGAGGGGGAGGGGGCGGTTTGAAAGAGCGATGTTGTCAGTGTAACACAGATCGGTCACAGATCGCTTGACCGGGTGAGTTACAAACATCGTGCTCTCGGACAGTCGGGGCTTGGTTCCAGCCACGGAACGTTGAATGCTTCGACCCCTCCCCCTCCCCCTGAGGAGTCGGGCCCAAGACTTGCTTTCGGAGCTGAATATTTTGAATCCCCAGACAGAGAGCGACTGTAAGGAGATCTAAGCCTCGGGATGACCACAAGTTCTCGAACCCCCCGGACTCGGGCACAGAGTGAGCCACGAAAGGTAACCGAAAGAGACGATCGCGGTGGATCGGCGGTTCCATGGATGTCGCCAGGCACAGGCTTCTGAGTCGCTCCCCAAGCCCCAGTCGTTAATTTCCCTCCATTTCTTCCTTGGGTCTTATTTCCCCAGTGGATCATGCCAAGCCCACCGTCACAACAATGGTCTCCTCGTGTGTGTGGACTCTTTTCGGCCAGCAGCCCGAACGAGGCAAAAGGAGACAACTTTTGGCCAATCTCGGCTAAACCCATGGTCTAGCCAATCCGATCGACAACACAAGGTCTTCCGAGTGATGAGCGAAAATTCGCACACTTGCACCGGAGCGAATGAAAATCCGCCCAGCCCTGTGCGATCCGCGCGATCCGTTCCTGCATCCATAACGCCAGGGGTTACACCTACATCGTTCATCTGCCCCTAGACAGAGGCCCCGGAACTTTGAGGATGCAGAACAAAGCACCAGAGATGCATGCGCAGATCATGCGCAGAGAGAATCCTCATTAAAAAGGCTGCAGCGCCTACGGAAACACATCCCGAACCCAGAGGGTTTCAGATGGGGCCGGGTGGGTTTTGCCTCAACCGTTAGCAACTATTAGTCGCCTCCATTCACGCCCTATCTAGGTCTAGGACTGGAGAACACTTCGGAATCCTCCAGGGGCAAAGAATCCCATACACCGGTGAAAAGAGTTGAGACGTGTCGCGTCCCAAAGGATCCCATGGATCCCATAGATCCCATAGATGCCATGGGACGTCTGCCGATTCCGATCCAAGGAAACGGTGATTACGGAGTAGCTGGAATCGTCCTCGTTAGCACATGAACGCATGACATCAATAACCAGACCCAATGCTGTACAGCAAATTGGGTTGACCATCCCCTCGCATACGGACTTCCGGGATGCGTCTGTGCGGAACGAGACCCTGTGTTCTTTGAAGCCTTGGCGCCGGGCTTAGGGCTCTGATTGCCCGGGGTCCATAGTTCGATCATGAACTGGCCCTAGTTCGGATAGTCCCAGGAACCGCGTGTCCACTCCCCCAATGGGAGCCCCGTTGCGCCAGGGGGAAAAGAAAAGCTAATTAAAAAAAAAAATCTGATCTCCACAGGCTCTAGAGTGAGCGAATGACCCTTTCCCCAGGTTCGGTCACTCGTGCCTGGGATTATTTAGACTGGGCGCATGCCACACCCTGTCATACTTCCTTTCCCTTCCCCCTTAGGCGCCTTGAAGCTCACCCCAGTCATTCGTTCACTCGTCACTCGTTTATACACCAATCCTCCTCACGAGCCGTGCTCCGTCTACGCTCGTTACCTATCTACTTTTTGAGTCCCATTCTTTGCACTCAGAAACCTATCATTCTCGCCGTACATTCGTGATCGCATCGCGTCTTCTACTCATCTATACGCCATATACGCATTGACTTAAGTCATTGTTGGACTTCAGTGAACTGTCCACATCTCAATCTATCCTGTATCATCTCTTGCGCACCATCTCATCGCGTCTTTCGACCATTATATCAGCGAAAAATGCAGTTCAGCGCTCTCATCACCTCCGTTCTCTGCCTGGTCGCAGCCCAGTTCGCTGCCGCAGAGGACCTTACCTCCATGTCAACAACGACCATCACAAAGACCTTGCTCCGAGTGAACTCGGTCACTCCCACTCCCACTCCCAGCTCGAGCATGATGAGTGTCACCGCGACTTCCACCCCGCTGGTTGTCTCATCCACCCACGCCGCTCCCTCTGCCACCCACACCGGCGGTGCCGTTAGTATGGGCGCCGGCGTGCCGGCTGCCCTCATTGCTGGCTCTTTCGCGCTCATTATGGGCCAGGCCCTGTAATCGCAGCAGCGATTGAAGAGCCATCGGCAGGCGTCGCACTCAATGGGAGGCATCACCACCAATAATTGGACGTGACTGCCTGATGTCTCTTCCTGCCGTTCATCTCCAGACGAGCCGGAGTACACCTTTTATTTTGGTTTCATAATTTCTCTTCTTCACCTTTATTATTTATCCTCTTGGTTAGCTGGAGAACCCTTCATGAGAGGAAACGGCCTTTACGCATTCACTCTTCAAATACCCCCTTTTTAACGACTTTGTGGACACGAGTTGATGTCGGATTTACACTTCTATTCTATATTTCTATCTACTTCTTCTGTTCATATCTGTTCGATGGATGTTTTCTATGGATCCTTCGGCCATGGCTAGTTCCGCCTTGCGGTGGACACGATTTGGATTCGAATGGACAAATCCAAGGTTGACAGGAGTACATTCTAGGAAACATCATCAAACAATCAAATATTATTTTTTTACAATCTTTCTTCCAATTTCTTCACGTCAATAGAGAGTAGCGAAGATCACGTCGATCGAATGTTCGGGTGGAGTACATTCTTTGCCGTGGACTCCGCGCTCGACTGACCGTGCGCCCACGCGTCTGCTTCAGCTAACCAGTCGTTTGATCGTATCTTATCTCTCGGCATTCTTGATCTCAACTCGGACTTCTTTCTTATTCCACACTATATCATTTGATCTTCCTCCATTCATTCTGTAGCGTCGAAATAACGCGTTTGTTGACATCCGAGTAGTCGCGCTCTTGTCTCCACCACGCGTCGCCCCTCAAAATCCCCCGGCGCATCGTCCACCAGCTCTTCGAATGAGCTTGGACCTGGACCTAGACGGCAAGAGAGACTGGTCTGTCCTACACTGTTAATCCCAATGGACAACGAGATTCCCCTCCCGCCGCCGCGGCGTCTGCGCCATCGGTCTTCATCGCGTGCCGGCCCCTCACCTGCACCGTCGGTCGCGCCGTCCTTTCACAAATCGCGCCGGTTGTCGCGGTTCGACGATCGCTCGAGCCAGCCTTCTAGTGACCCGGCGCTTTTCTCGAGCGACGATATTCCCGCGTCGGGGCTTGAAAACTACAATGCGCCTGTCGCTGGTGGTCCGGGGCGGAAGCGACGGTATCGTGGGACTTGGTGGGGAGAACAGGCCGTGGATCCCAAGAGGAAGAGGGCTGATTTCAAAGAGAAGCGCCATGTGGACAGTGGTGTCTGGATGGGCAGTGACGAGTCACTTGCGGAGTCCTCATTGCCTTCGGAGGATGGACCGGCTTGGGGAGAGGATCTCTTGAAATCTGTTCTGGATCCGCAAGGTCAGGGGAGATTTCCTCTTGAGTCGTCTACGTTAAGAGCTCCTACCCCAGTGCAGGCGCAGTCTCGTCCGATACCTGTCTTTATCAAGGATGGCGAGTCAGAGGAGCATCGCATTGCGAAGGCAATTGTCAATAATTGTCTTGAGAAGGGCGAGGACAGCATTGATCTTGGGTCAGTTGATGCGCTGTCATGTAGTTGACATCAATATTAACTGTTTACTTATAGAAACTTGAATCTCAAGAGCATTGGGCCCGGTCTTCTGGCACCTTTGCAGCATTTGACGAAGCTTCCGTCAGTTACTGAGCCTCCAACATCTGAGAACGCCTATACTTCTCTTCAGCCGTTCCTCCGCATCTTTCTCCCGAACAATAACCTTACCAACTTGGGTAGCGAGCTATTCGAGCTAAAAGACCTCAAAGTCCTCAGCGTGCGAAGCAACAAGCTAACCATGCTTCCTGCTAACATCCGCAACCTGACATCCTTGCAAGTCCTCAACATCGCAGTCAACGAACTTACTTCTCTCCCATGGGAGCTTCTGGGCCTCTTACAGGGAGAGCTGAAGCATTTTTCTATATACCCAAATCCATTCCCATCAATTGAAGAAACCATAGTTGCCGTCTGGCGTCATGGATCAAGCCAAGAAGGTGAACCATCCATTGATGAAGTTCTCAAATTCAACGAATACGAAGGCGAGCCTCCCTCGGACGCATGGACTGCTATCCGCGTCGCAACAGGCCCAGTAAATCGCCTAGACATGGACGGCCGGCCAGTTCAACCATCATCATCACACTCAGCAAATCACGCCCCATCACTTCGAGAACTCTCCCTCCGCACACTGGTCAAAATGCCAGGCCTCGACCAAATTACCGAAGAAGAACTTCTCGATTTTCCTCCACTCGCAGTCCCCCTGATCGCCATGGCTCAGAAATGGCATGCAGATGGCGGCTGGCACTGCTCGGTCTGTCATAAGGAGTATGTGAACCCGCGCTCTCAGTGGACGGAGTGGTGGGATTGCACCCCTCATGAGAACGGGATGAAGAGGCCGCGGACTTCAGGCGAGAAGCTTCGTCCTTTGCCGTTCAGCCGCTTTGGATGCAGTTGGGCTTGTGTTCCGGACTCATAGCCTGTATATTAGTCTGTTTTCCTGTACATTGTTACGCTTTGTGTATCTTGTTTGTACATGATATAGTGTTTATAGATCTTATCTGTCGTGACGATGGAAGTATATTCATTTACTCAAGCACTGTTTCTGGTTTGGCGCTGTAGATAAAATAATCCGGCAAGATATTACTGGTGTGGTATTGGATGGGTTTAAGAGACAATGGTATCCATTTCATGTCGTTGGATTTGCTAGTCTGTCCATGCGAGGACGATCGTTGTCGGTCCAGTCTTGCTCGGGTATCAATGATAATTTCCATCAAACGGGCTGAGCAGGCCAAGTGACTAGGATCAACTCGGTTTGGTATCATCCAGGAAACTCCGAGAGGAAAAGTGCCCCAATAAGGGGTCTTCTGCGGCGTGCGTAGACGGAGATTTTGTTGCCACGATGCCCTTTCTGATAGAAACGGAGTATCTTTGTTAAAAGACAGGGTGCCTTGGGACAAGGCACAATGGTCTCTTGCTGTCTGATCTTCGTTGCCTTGAAAGTTCTTCGTGTCTCTCTTTGGTGTATTCGACGGCATGTCCAGCACACTAGATACGTGCACTTGACGTGGCCCACTCGTGTACACTTCACTTGAAGCTGATAGCCACCTCAACCTTTTTGATCCATCTAGTCCGAGTCTCAGGCAACTCCTCATCTTCAGATACCTTCGCGACCTCGCGCTTCCTCTTGTTCGCGAAATCTTTCTTCCCAGCATCATCAGCCTTTTCTTGTCGCTGCTGTTTGCGCATCTCTCCGTCCTTCTTCTCTTCATCTTCGACCACATCATCAACAACAAGGACGCTTCCAGTAGTCACGCGGACCTTGTATTCGGCTTCCTTCTCTTCAAACCATTTGCCCACATTGAGGGCTTTCTCAATCGCTTTGCCGGTAGCTTTCACAAAGATCTCCTCTCGCGTCTCGGCAGCCTGAGCAAGCTCTGCAAGCTTCTGCTTTTCTGTTTTCTGCGTATCCTCGAGACTGATACCAGCGGTCGCGCGCTTCTCAGCCTGGCGGAGTAGTTTCTGGACGCGCTTGACCGCACTCATGAAAGGTGTCTTGCTCGAGACGTAGACAATCTTGGGTACAGACGCGCCCGCATAGGGTGAGGCGACTGGTGCATGAGGGATAGGCCGTTTTTCGACTTTGGCATCTGCAAGGTCGGGTGTTAGTCTTCTGTCTGGGCTTTTTGTGATATGGAGGTGTGGAAGACATGATACGTACATCTGGGGAGTTTGACGAGGTCTTGATTTTTCATCTCGAAGTGGAGATTCCTCTCCAGAGGCCCGTTGCCCATTTTGAGACTTGTAGGACCTGCGGTAGATTTAGTTGGGGAGCTGTCGCATCGATGTTGCGAATGCAGTCTTATCTTCGCCCTTTTCTGCCGGGCGGTGTGGACTGATAAAAGCGCTTTCTGCCTGAGGTTGTACATCATCCCTGCGGGGTTGAACTAGTCAAATAGAGTGAAGAAATATTACTTTTGGTTTTGACTAAATCTCCGCTCATTTTCAGCAGATGTCAGGTCCTTTGAACTACTGATATTATAATGATCCCCCCATTCACTGTGCAGTTGTACCCTAGTGAACCACTTAGGATTTGCTCATGTGTATTCGACTTCTGAGACCATAAATCATTGATTTCTTCCTGGGCTTACTCTGCTATGGGGGCTTATTCATCTACCTCAACCTCACACAGCGGTCTTGGATGGAGAGTATTAGTAATTGGTGAATTGTCACGTCAACTTATGTTATCAACATCCTCAAGCTTTGAGGTACACGCACAACTTTATTTAACCCAACTTACAGCTTGATTAGAGGGCACAAAACAACATCAACAAATGTTGTTATTTTTTATGAAAATCTTCAGGTACCCACTTAACTAAAGCCTTCAAGTCTGACACCAACTACGAAAGCAAAGTGATGGTTTACGGCACCACGTGATTATGGCGAACAGGGATTGAGCGGGCAGGAACCGCGTGTCCGTCTAACGTCCGGTGACCATTTGCCCAGGTGCCCGCGATACAAAGAGTTTTCTCAAGTCCGACCCAACGTCAAAGGTCATCATGAAGGTCGCAAAGTCATGCGTCCAATGCAGGACTGCCAAGCGCAAGTGTATGGTGGAGCGAGGGATATCTTGCCAACAATGCGTGAAACAAGGGAAACATTGTTCGCTATCAGACACACCTCCAGGGCCACGAAGAGTGTTCTGTCAAATTTCCTCAACCTTGGGAACCGATTGGCTTTTTGCTGATGTGAAAATGGAGAACATCACAGAAGGGACTCGTGACCATTTAGTGGATCTCTACTTTCGCTTCATCCATGACAAACCCCATACATTGTTTCACCCGAATCTTCTAAGGAAGCGAATAAGTGAAGGCAGCATTGGAATAGCAGTTCTCTACGGCATCATGGCCTTAGCAGCCCGGTATATTTTGTAATAGACAACCTTCCCAGAACTGACCCTGACCATAAATAGCTTCTCTGACCAAGATGAGATTCGCCAAATGACCAAGTCACTATTCTTGACGGCCAAGCATCTCACTAAATTACAAATTGAAAAGGTATGCCTCGATCAGATTCATGCATGCATCCTTGTCGGCAATCTTTGCGGTGCAGAAGGGGAAATAGAAGCAGAAGCTTTATTCTTCGGTGAGAAACACTTTATCGATGAGATTAGCAATCTCTAATAGATCATCAGGAATTGCGTTCCGCATGGCAAACATCTACGGGTTCCCAGATGCGCACGACTTGGACGATAGCATTACCAAAGAAGTGATTATACGCACATGGTGTTCGTTGTACATGATTGATCAGTGGTCCTCTGCTGGCCTCAATCTACCTAGGCAGATCGAGGACGATCAGAAGCGACCTGTGCATGAAATAGAATTCTGGCGCCTGAAGCCTGAAGTGTTTTTCACACCCTCTTTCCGAGCAAAGGCCCTGCCAAGTCTCTGGGGCCACATGGTTGACCTCGCTCAGATGTTCGGTCGCGTTAAAGATTTCCATGAAGAGCTAGCAGAAGGGTCTATGAACGAGCATGATACCGAGCTCACTACTTACAAACTGAAAGAGAGATTCGATGAATTTACTCGTCTCAAACTGCCACTTGAACACCACTACACCCCAAGAACCTTCAAAACCCATGCCGCTGCCGGCCTTGGGGGGACCTTTGTGGCTCTTCATCTCGGCTACCACCACTATGCCACATTGCTTTACTTCCCCTATCTCGACCCACAGCTAACCCAAATACCAGGCCGGTCTAGCTATGTTGATCTCTGCAAGAGTCATGCTGCATCCTTTAGCGACTTGCTCAGGACCTCACACGAAACCCCCAATTGCGAAGCTGTGTACCTCATTGTGGCTCATATGACGGTCGTTTCATCATCCGTATTACTTCATACGCTTCTGTTTGGCGAGGAAGACGAACTATCCGAAGCGAGAAGACGACTCTACTCGAACTTTGAGATACTTTTGAAGTTGAAACAATACTGGCCAGGAGCTGATTTCATGGTAAAGCCAAGAATGGTTCGTTTTGGACAAGAGCTAACTAAATAAATAGGTGGAACGTCTGTTCATCTTTCAAAAGGTGTGCATGCGGTCCATGGACAGAACTTATGCCGTGGATAGATGGATCGTCAAGTTTCTTCTTCAACACGCATTGCCCATTGGTGATGAGGTGGCTACACCCGCTCCCTCGAACCTCGAAGAGCGGGGGAAGGTCGCCAAGGATGCACTGTCGATGCTTCGTCCTGTGCTTTCTCAAGAGCAATCCACAAACACTAGCAGCGCTAGTGATTCATAGAATTGGCCTCATTTCCATGAGTCGCCCGCGCGTTCCCAGCGACATTAGCATCGTCACCATCAAACAGTGCCGCAATCTCCTCCAGGGTCGGGCCCTTGGTTTCCACAAAGAACAACCAGATGCAAGCGGACTCCACGACGAGAATGGCTATATACACAAAATAAAAACGCCATTGCAAAGCCTCCAGGCCAATTGGATTCACATACTGATTGAAAACGGATGATAAAGCGGTCACTGCCATCGTGACCGCGAGACCTTTGGCACGGATGCTGAAAGGAAGAATCTCAGCAGGATAAGCGACGGTTAGGCCCGGCCATGCGAAGCCGGCCGCACCATAAAAGAGGAAGATCATGGCAATCACCGCACTACCAGCACTGGAGTTTCCAGACGTAGCATAGACGGCAGAACATCTGCAAGTCGATTAACGCTGGTTCTTCTTGGGACCCTATTGGAGACTTACCCAGTCCATATGCTGAAACTGATCAACATGCCAACCGCTGCAATCATGAACAGCAATCGTCGACCAAGAACATCTACAAGGAATGAGGAACAGCAGATAGCAACCAAGAAGCACCAGATGGTCAAGGCACCATTGATCATAGACTGGTCATAAGAAGACTGGATCCCGACCGAGTTCAGAATGTCATGGAGATAATACGATACCAGTCAATTGCCCGAACACTGTGAGAAAAACGAGACAAGAACAATGAGCAATAGTCGTTTGCGATTACCTGGACTCCTGACAAGAACTGACTACCCATTCTGGGAGTTCTCCTTTTCCATGCGGATTGTCTCTTGGATTTCGTGGAATTCAAATGCACAGAAAGGGTCATTTCTTTCACCACTTGCGTGATACTGCGATGCTGTCAGACGTTTTCTGACTTGGCAAATGCTACTACTCACTTTGATCAATACCTCGAAGGCCTCCTCTGGGCGATTCTGTGCACAGAGCCAGCGTGGACTCTCCGGGAGAAACCATATTCCCATGAACTGAACGAGAGGCATTACGGCTTGCATACCGACTGGAATTCTCCACGATGCCTCTGATGTGTACTTGATTGTCCCAAACACAGTCCAGGCTGCGACGATAGCACCGACATACCAAAGTGTGTTATACATTGTTGTCAGTTTTCCGCGGTGCTGGGGGTGAGCAAGCTCAGTGATGAGCAACGGCGCAGATCCTTGGCTCACGTTTGACCTGGCCAGGTCAGCTTGACCCAACAAAATAAATTGCAAAGAGAGGGGCTCACCCTAGGCCTACCAGGAATCTTCCTGCAAGAAACATGCCCGAATTAACGGATGGGACGACCTGAATGATGGTTCCCACAAAAAGAACTACTAGGCCAATGGCCACGCCTCGTTTTCGTCCACATAGATCGGCGACGTAAGATGCTATCTCATCATAACTGTCAGCTCAAGCTATCAAGGAACCGGGAAACAGGTGTGACTTTACAGAAGAACAGGGCGCAAACACCGCCAATGTTCTGTATAGCTGTGAAGAGACCCAATGTAGAGCCGCTGGGGTTTCCAAAATCTCGTCGAATGTCAGTACCGCTCCGTATCATTAGTTGGAGCTGAACTCACACTCTTGCCACGGGGTCATTGTCTGCAACCCGTTCAAGAGAGACCCATCATAGCCATTTGTGGAAGACCCTAGTATGTTCAATCATCGCAACCACCCAAAAAAGTCCACGAGAGTCATACCCAGAAAGAGAATTGGCATCATGATATACAACTTCCGCAAGCCAGGGTGTCTCCACCAAGTAACCCGAGGAATCTGCGCAGATACATGGTTTCCAACCAACGAGAACTCAGCGTGCACCGCCTCACTCTTATCAGTCCCAAAGTCGCTCTTTTCCTCCATCTCGAGGTAGAAAGTAGAATGGACGCTCTTTTTGTTTTTTGTTCAAAGACATGGACACACATTCCAGAAACCCCAACCACCAGCCTCTATTTATACGCAAAAGAAAGGAACCACCTTGCCATCCGGCATTGAACATTCCATAGCTAGTTCCCCCGGGTTTCTGCCCATTCAGGCTAGATCTTTATGGAGAAGCGTTGTGGCTGGAGATGCGGGATATCAGCCAATAACGAGCATTTAATCCCGCATGTCCCGATTCCAGTTCTCCGCGCGGGGGCCACGAGTTAGCCTTTGGTGCGGGTTATGGGCCAATCGATCATTGTCAACCCCGTACACTGACCTTTGGATCTGGGACCATGTCGAGTTACTCGCATGATACAACTACATGTATTCCGGAAGCGGGGCTTGATGAGGGGGTGAGACTGGAATTGAGGGTATAAGAGGTGCTATATCGACCGTGTTCTGGGGTTTATCCATTCTTATTCTTTATCCTTTTTGAAGCAGCGAGATTGTAGCTATGGCATTCTCTACGGAGATTCCTCATCTCCGCAAGGTGGCGGATACTCAGCAGCTTGTTGTGAATGGGAGGCCGTTTCTGTCACTGGCTGCGGAGTTGCAGAACTCGTCTATGACCTCCGCTGAGTTTATGGAGCCTATTTGGCAGAAGCTAGTCGATACGAATATCAATACTGTACTTGGATGTGTTACTTGGGAGAATATTGAGCCAGTGGAAGACCAGTTCGATTTTACGGAATTGGAGAAAGTTATTCTGGGTGCAAGGAAGCATGAATTGCATCTTGTGCTGTTGTGGTTTGGCTCGTTCAAGAATGGTATGTTGCCTCTATCATGTCCACTCCGTCGGACAAATGTGGAGATCAGAGCACAGGAACTAAACAGACGCAGGTATCTCTACCTACGTTCCACCTTGGGTCAAGACAAACACTCGCCGATTTCCTCGTGCCAAACTACGCAAAGCTGGCGGTGTCTTGAAAACAGGCGACGTGCTGTCAATCTTCCACGAAGAAGCATGCAAGGCCGATGCAAAGGCATTCTCGCGCCTGCTGCAGCATGTCAAGAACATTGACAGCGAGTACTCGACAGTGATCATGGTCCAAGTCGAGAATGAAACAGGTCTACTAGGCGACTCTCGCGATGGCTCCGCAGCAGCTGAACAGCGATTTAACGAGCCGGTCCCGTCCGACCTGCTGTGCTTCCTTGCACAGGACTGGATTAACCTCCACACCGACCTTCAAGCAAATCTGAAACATTTCAAAGCCCAATCTAGCCCCAGAGGCACATGGACACAAGTCTTTGGCGAAAGCCCGCATACAGACGAGCTGTTCATGGCGTACCATTATGCACAGTACCTCAACAAGGTTGCCGCAGCTGGCAAAAATGAGTACCCGATTCCACTGTACACGAATGTTTGGCAGGACTATGTGGGCCAAGACGGCGACAATGAGTTCCCTGTCGTTGTTGGTGGCGGCGGTCATCCAGGTGACTACCCGTCGGGAGGCGGCACTAGCACCGTCCTCGATGTTTGGCTGAGATTTGCGCCGTCGTTGGATTTCATTGCACCCGATATTTACCTGAATGAGTACGCCAGCTCGTGCCGCAAATACCGCCACCGCAATCAGCCGCTGTTCATCCCGGAGCAACGCCGGGATGAGTACGGTGCGAGGCGGATCTGGGTTGCATATGGTTCCTTCCAGGCTATTGGGGTGTCGCCCTTTGGGATTGATACTCTAGACCCGGCTACCAACCCGTTCACTAAGCACTATGGGCTGCTCAAGTCCGTCTCGCAGCTTGTCCTCGAAGCACAGACGCAGCCTGGCTCCTCGGTCGGGTTCTGCTTTGACGAGCTAGCGGCTGATGGGACCGATCCCTCTAAGCCGATCATCCAACACTGGGGTGGGTATGAGATCACTATCGAGCGCTGCTTTGTCTTCGGAAAGCCTGAGCCGGGCGCAGGAATGGTTATCCACCTTGGCGGACCCAAGTTCCTCCTGATCGGCTGGGGCTTCCAGGTACGGGCATGCTCCCTGTCACGGACCAGCCGCTTCACGGGATTCTTACGCTTCGAGGAGAAAAAGGTTGCGGATCGGGCGACGGGCGAGCTGCGCAAACTGCGGACTTTGAACGGAGATGAGAGCAGGAGCGGGATCTTCGCGATGATGCCAAACGAAGATCCGGACTACGGTGGTTTCCCGATCTGTGTGACCATTCCGGCTCATACGATGATTGCAGAACTGGAGGTGTACTCGATTGAGGAGTCCGACGACGTGTAAGGGACCGATAACCCTAGATTGTATTTTTGTGTTTTTGATACTCTTCCAACTAGTGTGGGTGCGGAGGCGTCATCCTCTTCCCCCAGTCCAATAGAACCGCGCAGATTTGCATTTGGAGTGTACGGAAAACGGCACATAAGCTGAGGCGAAGATCATGAAAGGGCCGGACATTCACCGTAATCCCCTTAGATTATCCACTCGTGCCCGACTGGAAAATGGGACTACGGAGTAGACGGGCACATGCCAAAGGGTAGACAAAGGGTAGAGCTAACACGGCCACTGAATTTGGGAGCAAATCGAACACGTCTCAGGAGCTCATTGTTTGCCCCGGTTTACACATGATCTCACCGGCGCCGAGACAGGGGAACACAGGTACGCGGGCCGCGATCTGCCCTGGTCGTGTCCCGACGCACTTCACCCGAGATTTTGGTATCCCAAAGAAAGGAGGCGCGATGCCATGATGCCATGATGCCATGATGCCATGATCGCCGTTGGAATTATCACCCTCGTGATCGCTAACAGGGTCTGACGTATCCACCCAGGCTCTGAAAGAATTGAAGATCTCAGTGTCCAGACTCGAGATGGGCCTGGAGAGCCCCCACTCCCGATCTAAGCAGTTTTGGGAAGGTCATGTTTTCCGTGTGGCAGCCTGATTCTGGGGCTGTGTGAGGAAAACTCTTCCCTGCAGGCCGGGTGTAAGGTAGACGGAATATGCACAACAGATTCCGAATAGAAGGTTTGAATGCCAGTCATGAAACTCGGCTAGAGTGAAGGGGGTGGAAAAGCAGAAGCAGAGGCAGAGGCAGAGACAGAAGCAACAGCAAAGCCGGGCGGGGATGACGGGACGGGAACCATGGATGCCTCGTCCAGTTTCGGTTGTTTGTTGATGAACTCCCCGAGATTCAGATATTAAATGTGCTCTGTCAGTTAATCTATCTGATCTCTTTCATCATAGATGACATAGATCAGATGTATACCGGAATGTCTGTTCCCGAGCAAAAGTACACGAGGGATAGAGTAGCGGTACTTGTGTGCTCTTGACAGCTCGCGTTATAGGGCTCGCTACTGATTGCGTGGTCCCACCCCACACACCGTGAGGCATCGGGTTGCCCCTCTATACATAGCACATTGCCATCTTGGGTAGGTCGTAATGTGTTTGACAGTACGTATGTGCTTAGCCTCGAGCTGAACCCGACGATCCTCCTGCTCATCGGGGTTAGTCTGCACATGAGGAAACGCTTTTCGTCAGCGTGGTCTTGTCGGCGGGTCCCTGAGAGATGCATTAGCCCCTGCCGGGCACGAAGGAACCCCCCTCCCTCCCAAAAAAAAAAAAAAAAAAAAGAAAGAAAAGAAGAAAGACGTGAAAAAGTAAAAAAGTAAAAGGCGTGGATTCACAAATGGGGGGACGGCGTTGCACCCCCCAAAGATCCCCAGTTCCCGGTCTGGGACGCGCTAAACCGCGCTACGGCGGCGACATCCAGACAGCCGGGGTCCGATGGGACCCAAGCGAAGTGATGCGGTTAGCGTAGTTTGGATTACACGGAGACCAAGTGGGCCACCCGGAAGGACGGAAAGCCAACGGTTGTCAAGGACGTTGCTGTTCTGCGAAGACGTGCGGATGAGTGCAGTGGAGTCGTCCAAAAACGGGCGAAACCCATGGATCAAATCGGAGCGACAGGTCCAGGTCCAGGTCCAGACTCCAGACTCTGTACTCTCCAGCTTGGCCGGTTCCTACATATGACTGCCCCCCTCTTCCCCGTCCCATCCCTTCTGTTTTCCCTTCCAACTGTCTTTCCATCAATCTTATCCCTCGTTCAACCTCGCCCGTGAGACTTGTCTCAATCCAATTCATTTCTATCGAGAGCAAGCCTCTCTGTTTTCTAAACTCTCCCTTCGATTGCCTCGTTTTCTGCCTTCACTCATAAGCTTCGGATCGTGCATCTGATTTGCGATTGACCAACCACATCCAAAAGCGTCCATCCCCCTCGCATCAACCTAGGGACGACTCAGAACTATCACGAACCATCTATCAAAAGTCTCAAACATTGACGTCCGAGCCAGTCTGATCTCCGTCTTTGGGAACAACACACACCCCTTTGGCGTGCTTTGAATCTCACCAGCCTTCAGAAGTTTGATCTCATATTTATGCTATCTGCTTCCTTCCGATCTTTCACTCTCTAATCTCTTCCCCTGTACTTCATTTCCTTCCACCATGTCTTCATCTGATGCCCCCGACGGCTCGAGTCTCGTCTGGATCCTTGACCATGTCAATCGTTATCAAGGTTCCTACGAGATTCCGCTGCGCACCATGTACCAACTGAACCTCAACCCCACCAAGGCCTCGGGCAATCGCTCGCCCGAGACCGCCTTCTCCCCGCGCAGCTCCCCACGCAACTCCACCTCTACCACCAAGTCCTCGCGTTCCTCGCAGGATGCGTCGGTGGATGCGGCTGCCGACTTCCGCTCCGCTCTGGAGAACCAATTGTCTCGCTTGCCTTCGCAGCCCACCTCTCTGCCTCCTAGCTTCTCGACCAACTTCATTCGCAAGGTCTTCCCGGGCGAGTTGGACAAGGTCGACTTCCCGCAGGCGCTCACCGCACTGGACTACCTCCGATCTCTCGAAGATCGCTGGAAGAAGGAGGTCCACGATGCCCTGAAGCGACTGAAGGTCAGTGAGGAGGACGCCGCCCACCCGAGCCGTTCCGAGCTCGTCTCGAAGTATCCCGGCGTCTCTGCTTGGCTGCAGTCACTTCTTGGCAAGACACGCCAGATTCAGGCTCTGTACACCCAGGTCTACGTTGGTCTGCGCCGCTGGGTGAGTAACTTGCACCGCAACAATTTTCCCATTTACTTTACTGACTCGTGACCTAGACCATGATCAACGAAATGCTGCTTGAGCCCACCCGGAAGGCCAACCACATGGCACTGCTGAACGTGCTTTTTCCACCTCCCAAGGAGTCGGATCCTTCCCCGACCCCTCAGTTGACTGTCCGCATTCTGCAAAGCCACCGCGATGGATACTTCCGAATTCTCAATTCCGTTCACACCAAGGGCACTTCGGTTTTGGACCCCGTCATCCAGCAGGGAGCGGCCAACGGCCATGCCACCAACTGGCCCCTGATCTGCGACACCTTGCACAAGTACCTGAACCTAGTCAACAACGTCATTGACGAATGTATGTTGGTCAATGAGCCCGCCTCATTGGAAGAAGACAAGAGCCTCGGCCGCAGCAGAGGTCGCAAGTTCGACTCGGGCGTGAGCTTTGGCTCATCCAGAACCACTAGCATTGGCGAAGGCACCATGTCAGAGAAGGAACTGCCTCAGTTCCCTATCCCCCAGAACATCAACGCCAAAAACGGCGGCTCCATCCTCGAGCGTCTCGCTCGCGAGGTTCGCGCCCTGGGCGACAAATCCAAGTCACGCAACCTGCGCAAGATGAAGTCGACCACCACCCTTAACGCTCGGCCCAGCAGCCAGCAGAGTCACGAGAGCTCATTCTTCGAAATCGACGATGACAAGCGCAAGCGTTTGATCTTTGAAGCCAACTACCGCAAGAACTCCCAGTCTCAGGTGTTCACCCAGTAAGGGTCCTTGTTTTGTCCCGTGGGTTATCTTTCTTATCTCGCCAGCACGGTCTCGGCGCATTTACTTTCATTGTTCATCATCACTCGGCGTCTTATGAGACTGGAAAAAAAAGGAGGCCAGTCGGGTTTGCATATATGGTTGATTATCAGGATTTGTTTTCATCTTTTTTTTTTTTTTTTCCTTCATCTTTTTCACGGAGCATTGGCGCACGGACATCTGCATTGTATGGGAGGCAACATGTCTGGCGCCCGGGACTATCAAGTCATTTACGAATCATGTGTTATGATCATCAAAAACAGTCGATACTTTCATTTCAATTGAACAGGATTCATATGAACGAACTTTCCAGTAGTGCATTTCATGTAGTTCCAATACTTTGTATACTGCGTATTCTGCCGCATCGGCCACCGTAGAAGCTGCGATAAGATAAGCAGACAAGTGTCCAGATCCACCTCCGCGTTTGTTTGGCGACCCTCTCTGCAAACTGACTAACTACCCCCCGTCGCTAAGGTTGATTAATCGTGGCAGCACCGCCTCTCGCGGGCTGTCCCCTGTACCTGTATCCATTTTACACCCCCATTGTGCCAGGATGAGGGCCTCAACATCCCGCACCTTCTGGTGCTGGTACACTGCTCTCGGAGCTCTGCTACCAAGCGTGCTGGCAAACCCCAGCCCAGCGGTCAATGTAGCTCTCCGGGCTTCATTCGACTCATCCCCGTACCTTGTCGAACTCCTGTAAGTTGGACCTAGACTTCCGAAGCCGAGCACGGTGCTGACCACTTTCCAGAGAGTCGGCCGCTGAAGAGAACTCGACTGCCTACTTCCCACTACTCGACCGGATCGCCGATGGTGCCTTTGAGGATGCGATCACTGAAGAAGACCTATACAAACGCTTCCTCCGGGTGATCCATGAAGATGGGCACCTGCGTACTGCGGAAAGTCTTTCGTCTTTTAAGCTTTCGCTCGCTGTCCGATCGTCTGCCCCGCGGATCCAGGCTCACTACCAGTTTTACAATACTTCTGTTCAGCAGTCAATGATGGCTGCTCAGGATGCGGCTTGTCCTGTTTGGGTTCACTCTGAGGGGAAACAGTATTGCTCTTCGGCTATGGAGAGAGCGCAGCAGGATATCGAGGGAGAATCGTAAGTGGGAGCTATTGCGAGAACCATAAATTGATGCTGACTGGAATTCTGTCACAGGCACTCTAGGGAACTACCATTCGATCGAGTCCTGGGCGATTTGTCCCTTCCTCCGGCAATTCTCTACGCTGACGTTTCCGCGCCCATGTTCAAAGATTTCCATGAGACGTTGAGTGAAATGGCGAACCAGGGGCAGATTTCCTACCGTTTGCGCTACCGACCGCCTCAGCACTGGACATCCCGCCCTCTGTTTGTGTCTGGATACGGTGTTGAGCTGGCTTTGAAGCGAACGGATTACATTGTCATTGATGACCGTGATGCAGAGCAGCGAGAGGAGACCTCAAAGGATGGCAAGACATCTGGATTGGAAGAGCTGAAGGAGGATGCGCTTGATGACCTGAGACCTCTTTCTTCTTCCGAGGTGTCCAGGCTGGGCATGAATTCTGCGGCCTATGTTATGGACAGCGAGGATCCACTGGGTGCTCTGCTAAAACTGTCTCAGAACTTCCCCAAATATTCCTCCACTGTGGCAGCCCACAACGCTTCCAATGAACTGCGTAATGAAATGCGCATTAACCGGGCGAGAATGATCCCGCCTGGATACAACATCTTGTGGATTAATGGTATGCAGATTGATGCTCGACAGGTTGACGCCTTCTCTCTTCTGGATATTCTGCGTCGAGAGAGATGCCTTATTCAGAAGTTCCGGGACCTAGGAATCTCTGGACAAGAGGCCGTGAAGCTGCTGTCGCACCCGCTTCTCGCAGAAGCTCACTCGGATGAAGATGTGCAACGATATGATTTCCGCGATACTTTGGAGGGCGGCGACGTTATTATCTGGCTGAACAACTTAGAGAAAGATTCCAGATATGTGGACTGGCCTAGTGACCTCGAAGCAGTAAGGATACTACACACGGACTAATCAGAAACATACTAACAGCTCTCAGTTCGTTGCCAATGCATACCCAGGACAATTGCCGCCGGTTAGCCGCGACTTGCACAATGTCATCGTGCCTGTAGATTTGTCTGAACCCGAAGATATGCTTTTGGTGGTCAAGCAGGTCCAGACTTTCATCAAGCGAGGTATTCCCGTCAGATTTGGCTTGGTGCCTATTGCTACGTCTGCCGAGTCGATTGCCCAGTTGAAGGTGGCACACTATCTTCAAGAAACCTATGGGCTCTCAGGTCTCATGCACTACCTAGAGGAGGTGAGTAAATTTCTCGACCGACTTGCATTTTCCGATAGCTGACTCTGGATATTTATAGTCTGCCTCAAAAGTCAAGAAGGGTGGCCCCGAAAAGTCTGTGTTCAACTCTGTAGTAAAAGAGCGACAACCCCGCGACGAAAAGGAGGTTCTCCCTCTCGACGGCTTGTTGAAGAACGAGCACTACAGCACTGTGGCAGCCCACACAGTCGATTACCAGCGCCGTTTGAGTCTGACCGGTGTGACTCCTCATTTCTTGGTCAATGGTATCCCGATCTCCCGTGAGGGTAACTGGATGCAGGAGTTGAGTATGACAATTGGTAGAGATCTGAAGTTGATTCAGCAGGGTATTGTTGAGGGAGTCTTTGAGGAAGATGCTTGGTTGCCGGAATTCTTCTTGGGGCCCGCCTTTGAAAGACGCAACACGTTCCTCATGCCGGAGGACCCGAAGAGCGTGCAGATTGTCGACCTTGCCAGTATCTTTGGACTCGATGTAAACATGGATATGATTCCCCGAGTTGAACCCAAGGAGGGTATTCTGGGTGGTATTCATGTTGTCGTCGTTGGCGATTTCGAATCTTTGGAGGGCTTGAAGCTCCTAACTGACGCCCTCAACTTCCGGAAGGAGAATGGCGAGGTGGAACTTCTTCTGGTGCACAATGGTGCTTTAGACGCCGAGGGAGATACTCCAAACCTGAACAATATTCAAAAGTTGATCACCAAGGGCGATGATGTTGACAGCATTCTGGCAAGTATTGCTCAGGACTTCGAGACAGACGCAGAGCCGCAAAGCTCAGAATCACTTGCTACCCATCGACGACTTGCTGTCAAGCTCGGATTTGAGCCCGGAACAGAGGGCCTTGTTGTCAACGGAAGGGCAGTTGGTCCTATTGCGAAGGAGTTTGGCCTCAGCGTCAACGAAATTTCCCAGCTCGTGGCCTACGAGCGTTCCAAGCGCATTGACCCCGTTGCCAGGGCTTCCCTGAGTCTCGGATTGAACACGAAGCTTTCCAAGCCGCTCGACCTGGCCAAGCTTATCTCACTCGTATCGCTTTCCTCGATCCCAGATGTCCCCGAGGGCATATTTGAATCCACGCCCGACTTCCGATTGGATGTTTCTGATAAATGGAAGACTGAGCACTCAGTCATTACTGTGTCCAACTCTGATGATCCTGCCATCAATGTTGCGGTTGTACTGGATCCTGCGTCTGAGGTGGCTCAGACATGGCTGCCCATTCTCAAGGTCATTTCTGAATTGGCTGGTGTTCAGCTTACGATCTTCTTGAACCCCAAGGAGGAACTTTCAGAGCTTCCTGTCAAGCGGTTCTACCGTTATGTGCTGGAGTCGGAGCCATCCTTTGCCTCGGATGGATCTTTATCTCGTCCTGGAGCGTCATTCACTGGCGTGCCTGTCGAGGCATTGCTCACACTGGGCATGGATGTACCTTCTTCGTGGCTTGTGGCACCAGAGGAATCGGCGTATGACCCGGACAACATCAAGCTGAGCTCGCTCAAGCCGGGAACCAACGTTGATGCTATTTACGCCTTGGAGCATATCTTGATCGAGGGTCACTCTCGGGATGTCACCACCAAGGCTCCCCCACGAGGCGTCCAGCTCATCTTGGGAACAGAAGACAACCCGTACTTTGACGGCACTATCATCATGGCCAACCTGGGCTACTTCCAGTTCAAGGCCCAGCCTGGCCTGTGGCAGATCAACCTGGAGCCCGGCCGTAGTGAGAAACTCTTCAAAATTGACAGCGTCGGTGGCTCAGGATATCGCCCTCAGCCCGGTGACGAAAACAATGAAGTCACACTCATGTCCTTCCAAGGCCGAACGCTCTTCCCACGCCTCTCCCGCAAGCCCGGCTACGAAGACGAAGACGTCCTAGAAACCGGACACAAGTCCGGCTCGACAATGGACTACGTATCAAAGGGCCTCAACTTCGCATCCGGCATCCTCTCCAGCGTCGGAGTAGGCCCCAAGACCGTCAACGATGAACAAGCAGACATCAACATCTTCTCCGTCGCCAGCGGCCACCTCTACGAACGCATGCTCAACATCATGATGGTCTCCGTAATGCGCCACACAAAGCACACCGTCAAATTCTGGTTCATTGAACAGTTCCTCTCCCCCTCCTTCCGCGCCTTCCTCCCCCATCTCGCCGAAGAATACGGATTCTCCTTTGAAATGGTCACCTACAAATGGCCGCACTGGCTCCGCCACCAACGGGAGAAACAGCGCGAGATCTGGGGCTACAAGATTCTCTTCCTGGACGTCCTGTTCCCTCTCTCCCTGGACAAGGTTATCTTCGTCGACGCAGACCAGATCGTCCGCACAGATATGTACGACCTCGTCACACACGACCTTCAAGATGCACCATACGGCTTCACGCCCATGGGCGACTCGCGAACTGAAATGGAAGGCTTCCGTTTCTGGAAACAGGGCTACTGGTCCACCTTCCTCCGCGGCAAACCATATCACATCTCCGCTCTGTACGTCGTTGACCTCAACCGGTTCCGTGCCCTTGCCGCCGGTGACAGACTTCGTGGTCAATACCAAATGCTCTCGGCGGATCCCAATAGTCTTAGCAATTTGGACCAGGACCTGCCAAATCATATGCAGCATCATATCCCTATCCACAGTCTACCGCAGGAGTGGTTGTGGTGCGAGACGTGGTGTTCGGACGAAGATCTCGCGACTGCAAAGACCATTGATCTGTGCAATAATCCGCAGACCAAGGAGCCTAAATTGGCTAGAGCTAGACGACAGGTTCCCGAATGGACAGTATACGATGATGAGATTGCAGCGCTGGCGAAGCGTGTTTCGAGGGAGCAGGTTGAATTCGTGCAGACTGGAGAGGAGGAACGGAAGGTTGAGGTTGATGAGAAGGATGTGGACGAAGATCAAGACCGCAAGGATGAGTTATAGATTATATCTTGTTTGTTATTACTGTTTACGTGTATAAGAAGCGGCCATAGATTGAATCTTGGTATTTGCATTGCATCGTTGTCTATAATCATTGTACAGAAGTCACGTAGGTATTCGCTTGGTTAAAATTTCAAATAGAGTGCTCCTGCTTAATAGTCACTCCGTCGACATGAGTTGCCTTCTTCTTTTTTTTCTTGTCCTTGTGTTTCTTCAAGGTCTCGGGAGATTCAGCAATGGCAATCGCGCCAGCATCTGACTTGCGGTGCTTCTTCTGTTTCTTGTCGGACGTTGGAGCTGCAATGGCAGCCACGAGAGCGTTTGCATCGTGGTGTTTGCGGTGCTTCTTGTGCTTCTTTGTCTTTTTACCGAAACTAGATTCTTTGGCAGCGGTCACGGCGGCTTCAACTTCATTGCGTGCCTGCTCAGCCTCTTGCTTTTCAAGAGCACGCTGACGCTTCTTCTCTTTCCTCTCCTTCTTTCTTTGCTTCCTTTCTCTCCTCTCCTCGTCCTCGGCCTGCTCTTTTGATGGCGATGAAACTTCGGGGAAGACCAGCTCAGGCTCAGGCTGGGGTTCAGCCTCGACTTCGGAATGTCGGCGTTTCTTGGAGGATTTAAGCTTGTTGGCAGCCTTGATCTTTTCCTCCTCATCTTCCATATCGACATCAGGTAGAGGCGAAGAGGTGGTCTTGATCGGGGTGTCGTTTTCTGCCTTGGGCATCATTCCCGTCATGATTTGGTGGTCCACGAATCCGTACTTGAGTTTTGATGCCGGGGTGCTGGTTGCGACTGGGCTTTCGTCGTTGTCGTCCTCCTCGTCCTCGATCACGCGCTCCTTACTGTTGGCACCGCACGATCGTTCCTTCCATCGAGATGTCTTCTCCACGGTTGCTTGAGGATCGAAAACATAGTCTTTGTTGCCTTTGGCACGCTCAGCCTTTACCTTTGAGCAGACCTTGCGCCACTTGTCGGCACATTGTTGACGCGAACGACTGTTGCTGATGGAATCACTGACTGAGCCCCATGGAATTACTTTCTGGTCCATTTCATATATGTCATTACCAGCAGTCGCGGGGCTGATTTCCTTGTGAGCTTCAAAGAAATCTTGCAAAGATTTCATGAAGCCAAGTGTTTCATCGAGATTCCAATTGCCACGGTTCATCTTTTCACGGTGTTGAAGACGATTTTTCCAACGCTGCGTAACATCATCGTCGCTGCGGCCAAGCATTTTGCCAATGAGGGCATACTTCGCGGGATGTTGTTTCATCAATTCAACAAGCTCCTCATCCTGCTCCTTTGTCCACTCGTGCGCTTTCTGGCCGGGAATCTGAAAATGCCTCCGCGCGAAACGATACAGGGATCGGCGGTCACGGTCAGGAAGGACTGCATAGATGTCGGTCCATAACTCATGCTTTGAGGGGGCGTCCGGTGGACCCGGCCATTCAGCACCTTCTCGCTCAGAGTGCTGAATCATTTCATTGAAAGTTGTATGGCCAATGCCATGCATGTTACTCCAAGAGATTTTGAAATGTTCTACTTTCTCAACTTCGTCAGGTGTGAAGAATCCAACTTTCAAATTGTCTTTTCCGCCGGGACGCGACCCTCTGAGTTTCTTCGGCTTTTCCCTATTGTTGAGCTCGACTGTCGAAAGGTTATCGACGTCACTGACAGAGTTGGGCACGGGGGATTTGGTAGCTTCGGCAGATTTGGCGGGTGTCGCTTTCTCAACTCCATTCTGGACAGTGCGGGACGCCTCCGGCGAGGTTTCAGGTTGCGGGCTGGTTATCTGTTCTGGCTCGACCTTCGCGACATTCATTGATACATCGTTGGTTTCACGTTTGGCTTCATGATGCTTCTTCTTCTTTTTCTTCTTGTGCTCGGGATCGGACTCGTGCTTTCGCTTCGAGGGCCGTGACTGATCTTCGTCTCGAGACTGTGCGAGTTCAACATGATTTGAAGGTGCTGGCGGGGACGAACGGTCCTTGTTCTTGGACTTGCGCGACTTTTTCTTCTTCTTTGCGCCGTCCACAAGTTTTGTATTTGGAGACTCCGGCACTGCAAGAGGTCAGTATTGGGATCCAAAGGCATATAATGGTAGATTAAAATGAAAACTTACCAGGCAATTCAGGCCCATCAGGCCCATGAGCCTCGGGGGACACTTGATTTCCCATTGTGTGAGGAACTTGTCGAAACTGAGGAAGAGCGCGCATCCAGAATTTAAGATTGACAGTGAGTATACCCGGCATAATCCCACCGCCCAACTCACCGCCATAACAATATGCGTGGACATAGATCAGTACGAAAAACTAGACTTTGAAAGGAAGTTTTGCAAAGTTTCAGCAGTCTTTATATGCCGCGATATAAGATTAATGTACAAAATGCTCATGGTATACATAAAAAGCAAAGACCCCCAAGACCCATACTCCTTTGACCAGAGCACTGCATAAAGTGTAAAATCATGCCAATTTCATACCACGCAAGATCTTCGTCACTAACTTCTTCTGATCAGCTGCGTCAAGGTTCCTCTCATCTGTACTTTGTAGACATTGGCCAATGGCGACCGTTACTTTGACTGCACTCTCTCCTGCATTGGAGCAATCCACCCAGATCTTTCCATTGCGTCCAACGGCGATCTCAAACCCTCCCAAGCTCTCAAGCTTCTTTCCGAGCTCGGCGAGGACCACAAGACCGTCGACAGTATCAGACTTTTCGGCTGAAGGGGAGCTGGCCCGAAGCAAGCGGGCTGCCATGCCAGTGGAAACATCAAACACCATTCCACCGACAAGGGGCCCTAGACCTCCAGGTTCGGCCTTTCCAGTGGCCGGGTTGACACAGGTTAATTCGACCTCGGCACCGGCGCCAACACCCACAGATAATACTCGCGCGTAGACTAGATCGCCTTGTTTCAACATTGGTCTTGTCTTCTTTGTGGCACCCTCGAAAGACAGTTGACCCAACATCGCGTGCGCAGTGTGCGGGGTCACCATGCAGTGGAAATAGTCGACGCTGGAATGGTGGATCTGTGCAATGACCAGGTCGTTGGTAGTGGGGATGTAGCGGCGGTTGGAGAAAGATTGTAGTGAGACGGTGTTGCGCTTTGCGTCGGTCGCAAGCAAACCGGCTTGTGTAGCTGTCAAAACATGGTTGGAGGATTTAGACGAAGCTGTAGGCTGTGACAAGAGGCGGAGGCCAGGGCCTAGTTTAAGAGGATTGGACTTGGTGGGCGGCAAGTAGTCGCTGGGTACCTCATCGCCCGGGAGCAAAATGAGGGGAGTCGACATGGTGATAGCTGTAGCTCTGATATTGGCTCAAAGCGATACTAATTCAAACCAATTGAGATATGGATCGAGGTGAAGAGAAAAAATGGCGGAGTAAAGAGTTGAGTAGCAAAGCAAAGTGGTTGGCGCAGAAAACGTCCGGTCTATCAGCTTATCGGCACGTGATGCTGCTGCTGACCAGGAATATCTGATCAGATAGGGCCTGCAGGATTGATAGATCAGTCAGTTAGATGAATAGAGAATACCAGAAGTCACCGAATACTATATATGACAAGAACATATCTGTACAGTTTTATTGAAAGAGTGTACGGGGCATTGAAGAAAGAACTTGATACACCGCCACATGCTATCGATAAGCACCAGCCACTTTCCGCCGAAAATCTTCAAATTTTTCGATTGGCTTCCCCCTCCATCGAGACATTCCCCCTTCATCGGTCACCCTCTTAACTTTCCATTCACTACAAGTGACGTGGAATCCTTCTGTCTTTCTTGTGACTTATAATTTCTTCATACACATTCAAAATGGGTGAACCCAACGGTGTTTCCACTGAGGTGGAGCGCTTTGCTATCGGTATCTCCTTTGGCAACTCGTGCAGCTCAATTGCTCGCATTTCCCCTGTACGTGCCACCTTTACATCTTGGACGCGACGCGGGCGCTAATACACCACTATAGGAGGGCAAGGCTGAGGTTATTGCCAACGAGGAGGGAGGTACGTTTTTTGCCGCTCCACACTGAATGAACTCGAATTGACTCTTCTAGACCGTCAAATCCCTTCCGTTCTGTCTTATATCGATGGCGAGGAGTATCACGGTACCCAGGCCAAGGCCCAGCTTGTCCGCAACTCCAAGAACACTGTCGCCTACTTCCGCGACTACCTGGGCAAGGAATTCAAGGACATCGACCCTACTCCTTCCCACCAGTCCGCCCACCCCCAGCAGAACGGCTCGACCGTTGCTTTCACCATCCGCGACACTGCCAGCGAGACCCCTAACACTGTCACCGTCTCTGAGATCACTACCCGTCACCTGCGCCGTCTGAAGCAGTCCGCTACCGACTTCCTGGGTAAGGATGTCAACTCCGCTGTCATCACGGTCCCCACCGACTTCACTGATGCCCAGCGCACCGCTCTCGTTGCTGCCGCTAAGGAGGCCGGCATTGAGGTCCTCCAGCTCATCGCTGAGCCCGTCGCCGCCGTTATGGCTTACGATGGCCGCCCCGAGGCCACCGTCTCCGATAAGCTGGTTGTTGTCGCCGACCTTGGTGGCACCCGTTCCGACGTTGCCGTCGTTGCCTCCCACGGTGGTATGTACACCATCCTCGCCACTGCTCACGACTACGAGCTGGGCGGTGCCTCCCTGGACCAGATCATCATCGACCACTTCGCCAAGGAGTTCATGAAGAAGCACAAGACCGACCCTCGTGAGGACGCCCGCGGCCTCGCCAAGCTCAAGCTCGAGGGCGAGGGTACTCGCAAGGCTCTTTCCCTGAGCCCTAACGCCCAGCTCAGTGTCGAGTCTCTCGCTGACGGTATCGACTACGGTTCCACCATCAACCGCACTCGCTTCGAGATGCTTTCCGGCAAGGTTTTCGCTCAGTTCACTGGTCTGATCGAGCAGGTCGTCAAGAAGGCTGGCCTCGACGTCCTCGATATCGACGAGGTCATCTTCTCTGGCGGTGCCTCCCACACCTCTAAGATCGCCCAGCTTGCTCAGAACATCTTCTCCGAGAAGACCACCATCCTGGCTCCCTCCACCTCCGTCTCGGCCCTCAACCCCTCCGAGCTGTCTGCGCGTGGTGCCGCTTTCCAGGCCTCCCTCGTCCAGGAGTTCGACCACGAGGACATTGAGCAGTCCATCCACCCCATGGTCACTGCCACTCCCCACCTGAGCAAGGCCATCGGTGTTGAGTTCCAGTCCGCCACCGAGACCACCTTCCAGCCCCTGCTCACTGCCGAGACTGCTCTGCCTGCTCGCCGCATCGCGCAGTACACTGCCCCCAAGGACGGCGGTGACATTCTCGTCCGCGTCTGCGAGGGTGCCCGCGAGATCAAGGTCACCAAGCCCGAGGCCAAGGCCAAGCAGGAGAAGCCCGCTGATGACTCCGACTCCGACTTCGATTCCGACGACGAGGAGGATGAGGATATCCGCGAGATCGTCTGGAAGACCGAGAAGCCCGTTGCCGAGCTCGCCGTCAAGGGCGTTAAGGCCGGCGGCAAGGTCGAGGTCATGGTGCACGTCAACCCCGATTTGGGTCTTCAGATCGCCGTCCGCGAAGTCGGTGGCAGCACCGCTGTCCGTGGCGCCATCAACGGCTCTGCTTAAATTCCCTCACCCCCCCCCCCCCCAAAATTGATCTCCCTTATGGTGTGATGATGCATGCATGATTGATAGAGGCTGTTCACTTTTCCCCCGTTCTCATTTTGTCACGTTGGAGTCACACTTTTCTTTATTTGTTCGATTTACATAGACTCCCAATTGGAGGTGGCCAATGAAGAATTATTTTCCAACGATCTCGGTGACCCGTGGTAGAAGTAGCCGTTCAGCCTATTTCATTCCAGGGATTTTGTTTGCGAACTCCCAGGGTTTCTAGATCGCTCCCGAGGTTCGGATTCGAGGGGAATCTACAATCTATCGGTTCATGCCGATTAAAGTGAACTAGGCGTACATTTCATCCTCTAGAACCAGTAAAGATTATATTACAACTATTAAATAAAAGCAGCAGAAAGCACATACAACACCATATTTAAAAACATTGCAGCCATGAAATCGTGAATGATTCATGGATTCAGAGTCGGTAGATGTCGGTCACGACGAGGCGAGCGGTAACAGAGACCGCATGATGCAGCGCCGCTAGCGTCATGGTGGTACAATTAATGATCGTCAGGTAGTTCGTAGCAGCATGGAACGAGCGTGAGAGGTGTAACGAGTAACGTAGAACGAGTGCGCAAGGCTAAAAAGCAGAGCGAGAGAAGACCCCTTAGATGTGAGGAATCTCTCAGGGATATCAGCGCAGCAGAGGGTAATCGTGTACGTGATGACGCGTGACGTTGAAAAGACGAATTGGTTATCAACGTTTGCGGGCGAATTCGGTCCGATAAAACGCTCCAAAGGGAGAGTATTCCTTGCTTTGAGAGCTCAAATGGCTATTTTAAGCGTACTGCTGGGTGCTGGACTCCTGCTGCTCCTTCTTCTGGCTTTTCACGCTGTTCGAGCGAGCAGAGTTGAAGAAGCCACGGCGGCGCTGCTTACGTCCAGTGTACCCGGGGTCTTTGCGGCCGACGGCACCACCAAGGCAGTAGAGCAAGCAGGACAAGAATAGACATGCGCTGGCGGTCCACATGAAAGCGAACGCTTTGACACCGAGCTTAGAAACCTGGCCGTTACTGCTAAAGGCGTGGCGGCCTTGAACGAAGGCAGCGCTATTTTATAGTTAGCTTGTGAAGTTCAAGAGCAACATTTGCGATAAGTACGTACGTCATAAGGCAGGTGGTGATGACCTGGAAGGTCAATGCGAGCCAAGCGAGGAAGCCTGAGATGTAGCTACCAATGCGGGTGCACAGGGCCAGAAGTCCGCTGAAGAGAGAGCACACGGCGAAGAACAGCCCGATGATGATGAATGGGAACATGAACCGGGTCATCAAGTAGTAGTGCTTGGTACTGTGTCATAGATTAGCGCGGGCCCTAGGATTGTGCGAGTCAATTTCCACTTACCCGATGAACTGATGAGGCACATTGACTGTAGTGTTGAAGTTGTTGGCGCGAGGGGGATCGAGCGGGAAGTCGGGGTGCGAGGAACCGCAGTCACTCTTGCCATTCGCTGTGACACTGCACACGTTCCAGAATGTCCATCGCGAGAGAGCTGGAGCTCCGGGGATATTGCTCGTATCGGCCTGCAGGAAGTAGATCTCATTGAGAGGAGTGGAATTGCGAGCGCCACCCAGCAATGTGAGGAAGATCAGTAGGATGGCGCCGGCCATGAAGAACAGGCCGAGGAAGCCCAGCGACACTCCTAAAGAGAGGCCATGTTAGAAGCGGGTCCGATTTCGAGCTTCGAGCTTGGATAGGCATGGACTTACTGCTGAGAGGCATTGTGGTGTGTCTCTTTGTCGGTGAAGGAAAAAAAAGAAAACCCTTTCTGCGGAGCTTTGGAGCTATAAGGTAGCGGTCTGATCGAAGCCCAATAGATCGAGGGTAGAATGGAGATAGAGTGGGAGGTCAAGGTTGATTTAGGGCTGCAGAAAAAGCAGGAGTTAGAAGTACCGCAGTGACCTCAACAGCCGGGGGTATCCGGACTTATGCTTCTCTCACGACGCCTATAACGGTGTGAGCATCATCGGCATGTTCATAGTTCGTGAGGATCACGACGTCACTACACACCTGATTTGCTGTCCCGTGCAGCGTAGTCTAACCAGATCGGGTTAGCGTTGGTGGTCCATGACGAAGTCGAGCTGCAGCGAACAACGTTACTTTCACTCTCTTTAGCTTTTACACTACTTTCTTCTTTTTTGCGCTGCGGGGCCTGTGACGTGGATCAATATATTGCTGCCTGAGTCCTAGCCGGGTCCTGACCGAGTCCTCGAGTCCCTTCAGCCCTGATCGACCCATGGCGACGTGGGCATACCCCCCACTGCCTGTTGAGCAGTTGACCCGCGAGGCCGACTCCGCACTGGTACGTAAAAAAGGCAAGCCCTTACCGATCTTCCCTGGTGCCCTGGTTCCAGAATGGATTATCTGAGGGATCGGTGTGGAGCCTGTCGTCTTATACCAACACCCAATTTTTAGGCCCGTGAATTGGCGTGGCTTCTCCAGTCACTACAGGAGTCACTAGCCTCGCTCAAAGAAGGTCTCCTAGAATGCGCTGCCCTGCTGGCGCCACAGGAACCCGGTTCGACCCTAGTCCTGTCGTCATTACGGTCCGAACATGTCAAAGGGTTTGTGACTCGTGTCGGCACTCAGGTGGTCAAAGGGGTATGTGCCCAAGATCTTATCTCGCGCGAATCGGGGCTAATCTAGGCCTGCCGCTAGGATATCCAACTCCGTCTGAGCTCGTTACCGCCTCCACGGGGTGCGCCCAGCACCCGCCTCACCTTGTCCCAGTCTCCCGATGCTCCGGGCATGGTTTTGCCGCAGCTCGTGTCCGTACGAAACTTGGTCAATCAGAGCTTGGACATCGTGGATGTCAGCACGTACACGGGAGACCCCTTGAATGCAAGCTTCATCTTCAGCCAGCTGCATCTCCTGCATGAGACGATCAGCGAGGCACGTCAAATGTTGAAGGGGGATGGGGACGTGCGTGGAAATTGGTGGGACAGCAGTGCCGCCGACAACGTAAGTTCAACTTCATTTGTTTCACATGAGCCGCAGCTAACGATGATCCAGACCTTCGATCCTCCACCCCCTCCTTACCTTTCCTTTCACCTTTCCATTGCAGATTCTGCGTTGGTTCTTCTTGTCCGTACCCTCGAAAGCACAACTATGGCGCAGGCTCCCTCCGCCTTCGCCTCGGATATCTCCTTGACAGGGTTCTCCCTGCGAGACCGCATCTTCGGAGCCCGTAATCGAGCGCATGATGAGGCAGGCGACGTATTCACATGGAAAGGCGAGGAAGTACACGTTCGTGAGAAAGTGCGGGTAGAAAGCCAAGACCCCAGCTTGATGGCGGTTATGGCCAAGTTGACAGCCTTAGAGCATGAAGTGATGCGCTGGGTGGCAGCCCTGCGGATATTGATGGGTAACGAGGAGACCGAGAGCGAGACATAGACGTTCGCATTTTTTATATACCCTCTCTAGCTCGATAGCATTAAATTGCCGGATCGAATCTAGAACTTGAGTTTTACCTGATCAATATCCTTCAGTAGAGTAGAGAACAGAATGTGTCTTGTCTCTTCCGAACCGGGTAGCAGTGTAGGTGATCCCTGTTGGCATCGCAAACTCAACGGGGTGAAGGGGTTCTCGCATACGTTTCTAGTGCGTCACCGAAGCCCATCAAGATCTGTAGACAAATGAATCTCATCCAAATCCGGATCCATTCACTTCATAGTCCCAAGTGGATTCAATCGTGAGCTGGACCGACGGGCCAGCCAATGAGCGGCCCGCTGTTTGTGATAGCGCGCGGGTCTTGGCTTTAATTTTCTGGAGCTTCTTCGTCTTTTCTGTTCTCCTTGAAACCCAGCGCCCGAGTTCGAATGATGCTGTCCAGACCTTCAGCATCGAGCGCCAGCTGTCCTCATGCTCGGCAGCTGCTGCGACCCCGGGTTTCTCGCCCTGTGAGTTCGCGACAGGCTCACCGAGTTACGGGCTGCACCGCGACACAGCAGAAACGAAGCATAACCCAACAACGCCCCTATTCGGTCGTTTCTCAACCCCCTCCATACAAAGGGTGTTCCCTGAAGCCCACAGTGCCGCAATGGGCTCCCGGACAGAGAGCCATGTCCACCGCAGCGACCTCCGCCGAAGCGCCGCAGCCCAGCGAAGCGGAACGCATCAACGCCCTGATCGAGCGCATCAATGCGAATGACGACGATATGGCCCAGTTGATGCATGAGCTAGATATGATGGGGGACCCGGAAGATATGGAGGGCCTGCGGGAGCTGGTTGAGTTCATCAGCCAGCGAGACCAACACACCCCAGAATCCTGGGTGCACCTAGTCCGACAGTCATTCGGGGAGACGATTCCGGAGGGAGTTCTGGGAGAATCTGAAATGAAACTTTATACAACTCTCTATGGTGAACCGATCATCCAGGAGATCTTCGAAGAGTCCTTAGCGGAGGAAGAGGAGCAGGAATCTGACCAATTATTGCGCGAGAACGAAGGAGGGAACTGGGAAGAAATCAAATACGAGGAAGAAGCGGAGGTTGAAGATGATGTTCCAGTTGTGTACGATATGGAGGCTACCCCCGAGGAAGAGGAAACAATCGCCATGCGCCGGACTCGTGAAGTGGCTGAGCAGCTCGGTGGAGAGATCATGCTGGAGCAGTTTGAGAACGAGGCCGTTCCGGATTCTGCTCCACGAGCTCACGCATTGACGACAGATGGCAAGTTCCAGACAGATCCTAGCACGATCAATCTGCCAAAAAACACTGTCACCGGTCCTATTTCGATCATTCTGTCCGAGTTCTCCAACAAGCATATCGCTGATACCGCTCGTCGCCTGTTCGGTGGACCGGGCTTGCCTCATTCCACTACAACTGCTCCTCCGCGTGCTCAGCTCCCACAGCTTGCGATTCCGATCAACGCATCCCAAAACTTTATGGGGGAAATGGAGGCCAATGCTTTCCTGGCAGCCTTGTACCCCGGGATCTACGCCTCAACACTCAGCGTGCTGGTCGAACTTCGCAAACGATTGGGATCTGAGTGGATTCGTGGACTCATTTCTCAAGAAGGCGGTCCTAATGTCCTTGATGCTAGTGGCGGTGGTGCTGGAATCCTGGCCTGGAGAGATACTGTTCGTGCTGAGTGGGAGAGTATGGTGCCCGATCACCCCGATGGAGATCCTATCCCGTATGGTCGATCGACTGTTCTGGCAGCCGCGGATACGCTGCGCTTGCGTGCGAGCGCAATTCTAGACAACACAACATTCCTCCCTCGCTTACCGGACTACCTCCATGTTCGCGATGCACCAACCGTGCATGATAAGCGGGAGGCTCCTAAGCGGAAGCAGTTTGACGTGATTATTGCGCCACACTCTCTTCTCAACTTTGACGAAGAATACGAGCGCAAGCTCTACGTCCAGAACCTTTGGGCAATGCTCAACCCCAACGGTGGGATTTTAATTTTGCTCGAGAAGGGTCGCCAAAAGGGCTTTGAGGCAATTGCCAGCGCCCGTGAGATGCTGCTCAAGCGCCATATCGCGAGTCCCGGTTCTACGGAATATGATACCGCCCTGGAATCCCCCGAAGACAACGTGACCACGACCAAAGAGCCTGGTATGATCATTGCGCCCTGTACCAATCACTCGACGTGTCCCATGCACAATACTGCCGGGCCGACGAAGGGCCGCAGGGACTACTGCCATTTCGAACAGCGGTACATCCGTCCGGATTTCCTGCAGCGCATCATGGGCGCTAAGGATCGCAACCACGAAGACCTCAAGTTCAGTTATCTCGCCGTGCAACGAGGCAGGGATTTGCGACAAGAGCGCGGTATTCGCCAGGATTCCGAGGCAACAGACGCTGCATTCGAAGGATTTGAGCACCGAAGCGAATCGTTGCCGGCAATCCAGCCTCTTGCTCTTCCTCGCGCAGTCTACCCGCCCATGAAACGCCGCGGTCACGTCATTTTCGACCTCTGCACGCCGGCCGGCAAGATCGAGCGCTGGACAGTCCCGCGCTCTTACAGTCGCCAGGCCTACCGCGACGCCCGCAAATCCCACTGGGGAGACCTATGGGCCCTCGGAGCGAAGACCCGCGTTCCGCGCAATCTGAACCTCGGCGACAAGCACGGCGAGGGCAAGAAAGAGCGTCTTGCTCGCCGGGCCGCAGACAAGGCTGCGTCGCGTGAGGCTGACGAAGAGGGCGACATGGATGAACATGCCCGCGACGAGGAAGAAGAGGAAGGCGAGGAGTCGGCAAATGGCAGACGGGATCGATCTGCACTCCCTGAGGTCCCCATGCGGAAGAAGGGCCAGAATATCCCGAGCTGGAAGAAACATGCGGATAAGAAGAGGATTCGACTAGCCGTGAGGAAGCAATCTGCGGCAGATCTTTAAGCATTCGTTGGGTCTGGTCTCTCAGGGATCTGGACTAGCATTGGGTTGATTGGCGTTCGTATTGAAATTGAAAACAATGTAATTGTACTACTAACCACGGCATTCTGGCATGAGGAATGGGAATTGGGGACTTTGTACTATAGAATTCATCTTCACACCAGATTCAGCTGTGAATACAGTTTCTTCACTCTGGAAATTCGTTTGACTTAATTGCTTTGTAAATCTTTCTTTGCTTAGTTTTTTAAGAGACTTTACCTCCCATTTGAGCTTCAATATTGGTGGGTATCTTTGTGTGTTCGTACATTTCGAAACTTCATGATCGTAAAGTTGACCTCGATGGTCTCAACCTGGCTAGGGTTGATAGGGCCCTCGAAGAGTTGAGCCTCGACTGGATTTCCGTTTCTTCTCAAAGGCTATTGGGCTGGGGAAGTCCATCGCAAATGCAGCTGGAACAAGCTCCCGGAGAGAAGAACGCCCGAAAAGCAGAGACGACGGGTTCAATCCACCGATAAATTGTCTTCCAAGCATGTCAGCCGATTGCTCGTTGTGACTGGATGAGAACTGGGATGTAATGATAGCATTAAACATGCCACACCAGGTCGAGGCAGTTTGATGCAATTTAGAACTGTTCCAAATGGGCCAGCTCACTGCGCAGCCATACTCTTTCTCAACTGTCTCTGCCGCTGAGTACTCTGCAACTCCAAGCGATCAACCGCATACTTGAGACGCTCCTTCTTCTGTACCAATCTGCGTAGCTCAGCGGCCTTCGAGGCAGCGCTGGTACTCGACCCCGCCGGACGACCCCGCAGCGCGCTGCTCTTTGCTGAAGCTTTGTTTTCCGACTTGGAAGAGAGGCGGCCTTCTTGCAAGTCACATTTAGCCTTTAGGCTTTCCTCGCGTCGTGAGAGCTTGTCAACGTAGTTTGAGGCGAGGGAGAGTAGGTGCGCGATACTCGGTGTGATTTCGTCTAGGAGGGATTGTTGGGCTTCGCGCAGGGTTGGTTCTGGTAAGAGTTCAAAGTGCTGTTTAAGTCGTAATTAGCCCACAGTTCTTGTTATTGGCGAGTATTCTGACGTTTGGGACTGCGTACTCGTGTTGTTTGGAGGACTTTGCAAAGGCGGGGGAAGTCATTGACGCCGGAATCAAGGGTAGTGATGGAGTTGTCGAGAAGCTGCAGGGACGACTGCAGCGACGAAACCGACGATGCTAGCGAAGATGCCATTTCGAATAAGTGGGACTGTTGATGTTGTTCGAGTCATTAAGTGTTGCGCTCTTGTTTACATGGTCGCACATCGGAACGGAACGGTAAAACGGCCACCGCCCCCAAAAGCGGCAAGGCGTCTCGGACCGGGCAAACTCCAACCTCACTTCTCCTCTCTCTCCTGCATCACCATCCCCGCGAACACCGAATTAACCTATTCGCACCATCTGCCACTATGTCTCTTCTCGGAAAGAAGTTCCCCGGTCTCTTGGGTATGTTTTGCCGATTCCGCGATGCGGTCTTGTGCGCCACGGCCTGATGATCCCGAAACTAACCCGCTCGTGAATAGCCTCGCCCATGACTCCCTTCTTCGCTGCCGGTACGAATACCTGATTCCCGTTCTATATCCACAATAATACGGAGCTGAATCGATGCTCCATTCGCTTCCTTTTCCGAATGAGACGCTATCTATAAATCATTGTTCTAACGAATCCCCTTTTCAGGTGCCATCGTTCTGTACGGCGTCAACTCCCTCCAGAACGCTCTGTCCCAGAGTGAGTGCACCCAGCACCTTCCAATCCTTATCTCGACCAATATCGGAGCTCCTATGCGACGGATGATATGAAGCGCCAAACTCCGATAACGGTCGGCCTATATACACCTTTGAACGTTAGACTGACACTATTCCTATAGCCGCCGAGTACAAGAACGACCCCCGCAACCCCAACGCCAAGGCCGGTAACGGTCACTAAATTGGACCTACGATGAGGCACTGAGATACCACCTTGTGTGGCGTGAGCAGGAACGGATCGAGCCGTTGTGCATGGGGTGTATGTGAATCGAAGGCCCCTGCTCGGCTATGATCCGCAAAGTGTTTGACGTGTGCGGGCGGTTTGCCCTCTGTCCAGGCATATAGAAGATTCCCTACATGGTGACTTGGATCAATTCACAAGCTGTACCACTACTATCTTTGGCGCGTGGCCGAGTTGTGTCGTAGGTTGTAGTACGATCGCCGTTTGCCCTGGCTATTCTATCAGCTCGGCAGCTGAGAAGGTATAGTCCGGGCCATCCGAGCTATTGCCGTGCATTGGCATGTCATTGGCATGTCTATTAGGCTTGTAGACGGCCGGCTGAGGTCGGGCTGTAATATGTGCGCTATATTCTAATGAGTAGTGCTTGTTTCGCGATTCACCCATGGTGGCAGCACTACTAGCTATCCTTCAATGAGAACAAATACTATGGAAATTAAACCATGGCAAATTTAAGCTAGTGTTGTAGTACCTGTTAGTCCCGTTGAAGTGTCGAAATCTTGAGGGTCACGCTAAACCCGATCGGGACCCGCATCTTTTTGCCAACTCCGCCGCGACTCCAGGACATCACGATTCTCCCCAGCTCTTACCACAACACCCTCGGGAACCCGCCAAAATGTCGAAAGCAGCAGCGTCAATGTTCCGGCCCAAGAAGCTGGACCTCTCTGGCTTCGTCAATACCCGCCTGATCCGTGATCACAACAAGCGCAATGCCTTCGAACAGATGGAGCCCGAACGGTAAGAACCTCTCGCCTTGGCCGGCGAAGTGCGCCTTCGGACATGCCCTCACTGCTTTCAATGATGGCCTGTTGTCTCTGACTCTTTCGCAATAGGCAAGCGCTCCGCTACCTGATCCGCAACACTACCCTCCCCCAGCGTGTCCGCGCCCAGGCCCAGCTCCAGCTGTCGCAGATGCACGTCTACACTCGCCCGACACAGATCAAGAACCGTTGTGTGGCTTCAGGAACTGCTCGCAGTGTTTTCCGCGATTTCAGACTCAACCGAGTGCGTACAGAGCCTTTGATGGTGCCATCGGACTGAATAATGGGTTACTGACTGGGGTTTCTTAGTTCCAATTCCGTATGCAGGCACTCGCTGGCGAGCTTCCCGGTGTCAAGAAGGCCAGTTGGTAAGCGTGAGGTGTTTGAATAACAGGGTTGATGTGTATGAGAAATTTGGACGGCGTTCGCTTCGCTTCTTTTGCATTGAAGCATGTACAGTATAGAATATCAGACAACTTTTCATGATGTTGTTTTCTTCAGAATTGCGGTATCTTTACGGTCTCATCGTTGATGGTCTTGATGGGGTAGATCCATTCGGGAAAAGTCCATTTCTTTTCTGGTGAAAGTGAGACTGTGGACGTTTGTATAGTCCAGTTTGATGCTCTCCCCGATACCAGTCTTGTTTTCCTACATATATGACCCCATCCTTTATAAAGTCTCTTCCTTGCCCTTTTCACTGTCACATCACTCTGTTTCTCTTTCCCAGCTGTACTCGACATAGTTGCAACACAACCTCTAGCCAAGATGTTCGTCTACAGCAACACGAACTTGCCTCCCGACCCTGAGTATCCACCGGAACTCGAGAGGCTAGGGTGAGTGCCCCAAGTTACAGTGGAAAGGAAACCATATATCTTACTTCACCCGCAGATTCTTCATCACCGAGAAAGATATGATCCGCCGTATTAACGATCCAGACTTGGAATATAAGTACAAGATCAACCGCAATGATCGGTTCAACATCAGGAACCGCGCGGCCATGAACGGTTGGTACAAATATTACACTGCAGTAACGGCATTTACTAACATATGTGATTGAATCCAGAGGCAATTCGCAACATTGTCCTCCCACGTCTCGCGGATGCCGGCCTGGAGACTCTGCGCCTTCCTTTCCGCGACGGCCACCCCCCACGAGACAGTTTCCCCTCTGAAACCCATGTGCCAGTCCTGGTATCTCCCAATCTTTTGAATGCACCTCGCATCATCCTGGTGTTCGGCGAGCCCATCCAGGACATAGGCATCTGGTCATATCGAGCCATCCTCCAGGATGGTATCAACATTGGATCGGCCGTGAGTTTCACCAAGGCCGTCCTCGGAGAAAGCAAAGGCGAAGAGTGCTCCGGGGAAAGAACAGACACCGCGCTCATCCTGGCCAACACGGGCCAGCTGCTTTGGCATTGCGGTACTACTCGTGCCATCACAACCCAGACATGGCTCGCGAACTCTCGTCCTTCTGGCGCCTCCGATCAAGCTGGCATGTCTCACCGCAACGTGATCCCCTGGAACAGGGACTGGCAGGAGCATATTAACTATGTCTTTCAGGCTTTATGGAGGTACCTCGGACCCTCGAGCCGTGTCGATGTGATTGGCATGTCTGAGGGTGGTCTGGGTGCCATCAATTATCTGATGGATCACTGTAAGTGGCCACTTACCAAGATAACTCTACCCAAAAAGGAACCATTCAAATCTAACCATGATTGAACAGGGGAGAGATGGCGCCCTTATATCTCAGCCATGTGTCTCGCCGACCCGCTTCAGAGTACCAACGTTGAAATCGACGTGGGCACACTAGTCGACCCGACTTCATTCACTGCATTCATGTCCTCGCGCTGTCGCGCTTATATTGTCTCTCAAGATGAAGCAGACACGCCCCAGATGGGCTACCGCCACCATGGCTGTAATTGCTACTCATCTGGTGAGACTGAAAATAGCGAGGGCATCATGCTCAGTGCCTGGCCACACATGCTCGCCTGGCTCGACATTCTCTACAATGACCGCACTTATGCAGAGGAAGTCGTTGTCATGGGCGCTGATATGGACGACAACATGCAGCAGGCCATGGAAAGGCTGGCATACAAAACTGGGAATGGGTTTGAGATGGACTCTATCGCGGAGCCAGAAACAGTGAACCAGGGTACCCAAGATGATGATCTGAAGGACGGGGGCGTGAAATTGCAGGCCAAAATTACGGACATGAAGCAGAAGACCATCACCGAGGACGTCAAGCAGGAGACCATGGAATGGGTAGATGCGATGGGAAATCACACTCAGGACAGGGTTGTCAAGGCAGAGGAGCCCAGTATAAAGACAGCCACCTCACCTGCTCCGGAGAAGACGATCATGCAGGCCATCAAAGCTGCGATTTACGAGAGCGATGACGGCTATTTTGGGGATGTTGAGGAAATGGCAAGATCTTACATGCAGCGCTCGGCCTCGGTATCGGAGACGGAGACGGATTCTTTTTGATTTGTCTTTGATGCATGGAGCTTGAGGCATCCTAGGCAGATCTCTGATCCAAAGGTGCTTATTCTACTCGATCAAGAAGCGAAATGCTATGAGTTTCCAAGCCATAGTCATAGGCAATAGATTGGGAGTTATTCCATCTTCTGCTCTTGCATTTCTGCAAACTGTCTATCTATAACCCGGGGCACAGCAAGGTAGAAAGCGGAGGATAAAGTTAGTAGAGCGCACATCTGCTGTGTAACGTAAGTCATCGAGAGTCAAGGTAGGTCAGATTTCGAAAGATCACTCAAAATTCCAGCACCATCATTCAAGTGGTCACAACAAGCATTCTGAGCGTTTCGCTGCAGTGCTGATCGGTGCGACCATCAGTCGGTGCGGGATGGCGCAATCAAGGCACCCCTGGAATGTCGCCTCTGGAGTTGAGCCAGTTGAGCTTAAGCTTGACCTTGAACTTGAGCGTGACCCCGCAACTTTCCACTCTCAACTCTCCCCTGTCAACTCGCCGACTATCGCATCTTCATCTCTGCATCATTGTCGCCATCGACATCATCGACATCATCCTTGAACAATCCCACAAGAATCCGTGGATTGGTTTACTCGATGAGAATCAAATTGTCGAGTCAAGGGCCCCTCTTCGGAGCCGGCCGCAGAGAGGGGAAGCCGAGGGGTGCACGATTCACAGTCACAGGGGAAAGCGAAGGTTCCAGCCAGAGCACACATTCGGAGTTTTGATCGAGTAAGAGAATGCAATCGGCACCAGACGGGCAGTTTTGATCGAGTAACGGGCACTGATAATGGCTCTCGGAACGAACGGCCCCGGTTCTGCAGAGCCACAACCGAGACCAGTGCAGCGTCGGAGGTGCCCGATGCCACTGTCTGTCCCTCGATAACCGCTGCCGCTTCGCCCAACCACCGTGCGCTCTGCGTACCACAATTTGTGTCTTCGCCGCCTCAGCACAGATTTTGTGGCTCCAACCACGGTTCATACCCGCAATTCTTACCATTCTCACCATATACCCCTAGGTATACACCAAGAAGATCCTCCCTGCGCTCAGGCATCCCCCGATAGGGCAAAGGTGAAGGCATTCGTGATCATGCACGGTGCAGGGTGCACGCTGACTGGCTCTGGGCCGGCCGATTAACCACCCGATGTCAATTATCGAGTAATCGCTTCACCCTCCGGCACCGCACCGGGTGGGACTCCCCACGGCATTGAGGTCGAAGACAGACCGGTGGGTCGCCGCAATCCCCCGCCCAAAGGTCCAAATTTTCAGGGCGAGGACTGTTATTTATACAGCTTTCCCCCAGACGTGGGCTCTTATCTACTCCCCTTGTCCCTCGTTCCGATAAGCACCTTTGGTCTTTATCTCGTCCATACGATTGGTCGTCTTATCTTTTACGCCGCTGCTTTCTTATACTCTTTCTAACTCTTTTCAACTCTACTTTCTGCTCCCCACACTTTCTTTCCCCGCTTGTGAAATATACTATACTCGGGCAAGAGTTCTGGAGCTATGGCGACTAACATGCCCTCCATCGCCGTCGTGGCGTCGTCTCGTGCCGTTATCTCTGGCCGTCTGACTTCCGCTACTATTGTTATCTCTAACACTACTGGCAAGATCAACGCCGTCTTCGATTCCGTGATCCCCGCCTCGGAATTCCCTGCCGGCACACCGTATACCGACTACTCGCCCTATGTGTTGCTGCCCGGTCTGGTCGATGCTCACGTTCACCTGAACGAGCCTGGCCGTACCGAGTGGGAGGGCTTCTACACCGGCACCCAGGCTGCTGCCTTTGGTGGTGTCACCACCGTGATTGACATGCCTCTGAACGCCATCCCGCCCACCACCACCGTGGCTAACCTGAACGAGAAGATCAAGGCTGCCACGGGCAAGTGCTGGGTGGATGTTGGCTTCTACGGCGGTATTATTCCCGGAAATGATGCCGATCTCAAGGGTCTTGTCGACGCCGGTGTTCGTGGCTTCAAGGGCTTCTTGATTGATAGTGGTGTAAGTGATCACCTCAAGTATGTTTCTTCTTCCGCCATACTAACCGATCTCTCAGGTTGATGAGTTCCCTGCTGTGGCTCAGGACGATATTCACAAGGCCATGGCTGCGTTGGCAGATGAGGCCACCACGCTCATGTTCCACGCTGAAATGGTGCCTCCCATCACTAAGTCGGTTGGTGACGAGACCCAGACATCGGCTCCCCCGGCTGCCCCGGCTGGTCCTCTGGAAGCCTACTCGACTTTCTTGGCCTCTAGGCCCTCGGACTTCGAGACTTGCGCCGTGGAGCGTATCATATCCATGGCCCACCTTGCCCCCAACCTCCAACTGCACATCGTTCACTTGTCTGCCATGGAGGCCATTCCCCTCCTCCGGGAGGCCCGCGCTAACGGTGTCAAGATTACCGCTGAGACCTGCTTCCACTACTTGTCTTTGGCTGCCGAGCAAGTGCGTGATGGCGACACTCGCCACAAGTGCTGCCCTCCCATTCGCTCTCAGCTCAACCAGGATGGCCTGTGGGAGGAGCTGGAGAAGCACAGCAGTGACGGCGTCATCAAGACCGTCGTTTCCGACCACTCTCCCTGCACACCCAACCTGAAGCAACTTCCTTCTCACATTCCTGGCAACTGCCACGCCGAGTCAGGCAAGGAGGAGACAGGCGACTTCTTCTCCGCCTGGGGCGGTATCTCCTCCGTTGGCCTGGGTCTTCCCATCCTCTGGACGGAACTCAGCCGCCGCAAGGGCTTGACCCCCTCTCCCAACGACGAGAACACCCGAAACTCCCTGCAAGACGTTGTTCGTCTGTGCTGCACCAACACCGCCGCCCAGGTCGGTCTGGAGAGCCACAAGGGAGACCTGCGCGTGGGCTTCGACGCCGACATCTGTGTCTTCGACGACTCCGCCGAGTGGGTCGTCGAGCCCAGTACCATGCTCTTCCGCAACAAGTGCTCGCCCTATCAGGGCAAGACACTGCGCGGCATGGTCCGCGAGACCTGGCTCCGTGGCGAGCGCATCTTCGGCCGTGACGTGGGCTTCGACTCCAAGACTCCGGCTGGCAAGCTGCTTCTCGAGAAGCGGGCCTAAGCACCTCATCTCATTTCTTTCGCATTCATGTGTCTCCATGAAAGTTGACCTTTCTCGGCAGCGCAACATCATTTTCCTTTCTTATTCCTGCATCTCGTTCCTCGGTCGAGTCGGTGACGAGCACTAATGACTGAACAGCATTCATACCCGTGTTAGAGTAATGGCCACGCATATAGCTTTAGGCATAGAATACGAACAAAAGCATTCTTCGTCTTATAATGGGGTATCTAGTAGCCGAAATTGTACATAGTATTACACGAGCATGTCATGACTGCTCTTTTTCCTTCTCGTACTTCTCCCTGACCCTTCGTCTTACACCTCCATTCACGCCTTTACCCCAAATCTCAACTTCCTCGTACTCTTCGGTATTCTCAACCTGTCCACCATCCTGTACCTCCCCAACAACAGTCTTGCGCTCCTTAAACTTTCTCTCCTCTACTCGAGCCCTCTCAATCTTCCCCACATACGCCACATACAAGAACGACTCAGCAACAGCGACCGTCAACGCCGCGAACAGCGACAATAGAACCTTGACAGCCGCCGACGCGCCGCCAGTCGCCTGCTCTTCAGACAATATATCAAGTCGCGGCCCCGTCGCTGAAGAGAATATCCTCGCTAGGATATTCGGCATTGTAAACTTCGTCAAGGCCCAATACGTGCTGAATCCGGTCACCAGCACCGAGATAAAGATGTTGAACACCAATGACGGCGTGAGCGTGTCTTCAGTGATGCTCTCATTGCTGGTCGCAGTGTGTCTGTCCGCGTCGTTCGGATTGGGGATAAAGCTTGGGTTTAGGAGGCGCTGGTAGGCGGCTTTTTCTTCGGCGGCGAGGAGACGGGCTTTAGATGCAAGATATTCAGGGCTCTAGGGAAGTCCTGGTTAGTGTGTTATTTCAGTGGGGATGTCAACCGTGACACGTACAGGCTCGGGTTTCTTCGGCGGAGGCGGGACGTAGACTTTCGTGCCACAAAGAAGACCACTTAGGATCGTAGGGCTGCGACTTGTGTCCTGTGTTGCGGTGTATTCGGCATCGACCTGGAGGTACTTTGACAAGCGGAGGATCTGGTCGTGCGCGATCGGCCCATTGAGTTCCAGCGTCGCAGGAAGCTCCAGTTCCTGACGCCGCGAAGCAGGCACTACCTCGAAGGCAGCGAGGATTCGTTCCGTCGTGACGAGAGGGACCATTCTGTGGTGATTACAGTGACGTGGAGCGGAGAGGACAGCTGCGGCGGAGCGGGAACAAGAAATGTAAATCTCCGGACTCAAGCTCCCCACTTTGCACCTTCACCACAGCGTCGCAGCCATGGCAGACTCTAAGAGCAAGGCGTGAGTCTCCAATGCTCCTTGAATCCCACCTTTGAGCCCTTTTGCCCATTTTCAATCCCACCCCCCACCACGGGCCTCCCTAATCGCTGTTGGCCGTGTGCCCTCACTAACCCCTCCATCTCGCAGCCCGGTCACAACACAAACCAACTCGCGGGGAATCCCCGTCGCACCCTTCATCGACAATGTCAGCGACTACGTCTCATCTCGCGCAGAGGTCGAGCCGACCCTTCGCTCCTTCCAGGAGATGATTTCCAAGTACCAGTTCATGGAGGTGAACACGCAGCGTCGCGGCCAGGGCCTGCGCGAGAAGATCCCGGATATCAAGAAAACGTTGGAGATGGTGCGGTTCTTGAAGCTGCGCAAGGAGGTATGCTCTCCCCCCGATAGATATGGGTGTGGGATGTGGGCTAATTTTTGATATAGTCGAACCCGGACTCTGATCTCGAGACGAACTTTGAACTCAATGATACCCTCTACGCTCGTGCTTCTATCTCCCCCGCTGATGCCGAGGAGGTCTATCTCTGGCTCGGTGCTAATGTCATGCTGGCGTATCCGCTGGCTGAGGCTGAGAGTATGCTGGCGGAAAAGTTGTCGGCGGCGGAGATCAGTCTGGGTCATTGTGAGGAGGATCTGGAATTTTTGCGTGAACAGATTACGGTATGTGCATTTGGAAGTCCTTAATTGTTTGTCTTGCGGTTTACTAATTTTCATTAGACACTCGAGGTTGCCACGGCACGCGTTTATAACTGGGACGTTGTGCAACGGCGCAAAGATAAGGCCGAGGGCAAGGACGAGAAGAAATAATCGAGTGAAAATATATCCAGATGACTTATTGAAATTCTTGAATGAAAATGATTTCTACAACACTCAGACACAGGTAAACGATGAAGCCTTGTTCGGATCTCCGCTGGTATACGTGAAGACCTTTGGGTACGGGCAGAGATGACCCGTGCGAGTAGTCGAGCTGGTTGAATGGCCTATGGCTGTGGCGATGCCTTTCAGCGTGTCTGGCACGGTCCCGTTCTCAACCCAGGCTCGCAAGGTATCAAAGACCGTGTCACTGGGATCGAAGCCAGTACCACCACCGCAGTGGCCTACGCCTGGGGCTAGGAAGAAACGGTAGTATTCCGCGACATCTGGGTCGAACTTCATTGCCCGCGTGTAGTAATCCACCGTGCCGTTGGCCGGGATGAGGGGATCCGATATGCCGTGCCAGGCAATCATTTTCGTCCCGGCCAGTTTCATTTCCGTAAGATCGGGGCTCTCCGTTCCAATGACCGAGGCGTATTGGTTCACCGATTGCCGGAACAGACGGTCATAGTCCAGGCGAGTCAGGCTGTCCGTATTGAGCGAGGAATTCCTAGCCAGGAACACCTTCATCCAGTCATCGCTGATGCTGAAGGGAATCACCGTGCAGTTGTGAAGGGAAGTACAGTTCGTCGTGAGCATGCCTGACATATCAGAGTCATAGTGAAAGCCGTGCCATTCGAACCGGCCCTCGGCTGATCGAGGTCCTTCCCAATAGGCATCTGCCAGCTTGGTCATTGCCTTCGTGATCGTAATTGTTCCACTCGGGTCGCTGCAGTTGACTGTGCGGCCGATCATGGAAGATGCCTTGAAGTGGCACTGGCCTGGATACGAGATGATCTTGTCTTTAACACCATCGAGCATATCGCATGCCTCGATGGCTGCGTCTGTGAAGGCATCGAGGACGCATAGAGGGGGTTGTGTATCTGTAGAAGTGTGAGGAAGATAGTTCATGATGGTAGTGCCGGCAACCTACCAAGCAGTTGCGCCATGAACGGAGACCAGAACTCAGACGGGATGAACTTGTCCCAATTGATAGCCGGCGCACCACCAACAATGCCATCAAAGAGATCTGGGTGTTGCTGCGCCATCACATGGCCCTGGCGACCTCCTGTCGAGCACCCATTCCAGTAGGAATACTTGGGTGCCGAACCGTAGTATGTCTCTGTTGCCTTCTTGCCCAGAACTGCCGCTTCTACCAAAGCAACACTAGCAAAGTCCCAAAGGGCAGGCCAATTTGTATTGCCTTCACTCGTCAACCCCCAATCAGCCGTAGAGGCCGTGGTGTTATGTCCCCCATCTGTAGAGGAGGACGAGTAACCAGACATCAGGGGCTCGAGAATCACATCCTCGCCGCCAGCCACCCAGCCACCACCACCATCCATCAAGAAGCGGGAATTCCAATCGCTGGCTTCCAAGGGCAGTCCAATCCATGTGTTGACAACATCGTTCTGTCCAGGGTGGGTATATGTCATATAAACCAAACAAATATTTACAGTAGGCGCTGTCGAGCCGGTTGATGCAGAAATCATCCCGACACCTCCCGTGCCACCGGTACTTGACGAGTTGGCACCATTGTAGTCGTAGACAGCCGTAACATTGAGATTTGTAATATTAATGTTACTGAGAGTGAGAGACGAAAACGTACTCACCGTACAAGACGAAGCGCCAGCCCCCAAAACCCCCTGAGCGAGCCCTGAAAGCGCCATAATAGTCGATATCGATGTCGATATCCAAGAAACCATTTCGCTCAAGCAGTATGTTTGGGTCAAAACTGGGGATCTGGCCCTGACTCGAGCATTGTTGTGATACCTCCCTGGCGGTTCTAAGCTCTCGGAGATATAACAAAGGGATTCTCCCCACAAGTGCGGAAGACAGGTGAGATTGACGATCGGGAGTTGGAGACGGTAGTTTGCAGATTGATGACGTTAGCCTTGATTGGGGATATCTCCACGGAGATGATCGTATTAGGAACATCCGAAGATTAGCCAGTACTCAATGTTGTGGGCCACAGACTTGAAGTGCGGGGAGCTCTGCACGCGCCCCGGATCTGGGGAATCGGCTAGTACTTTCGGCAACACTTGTGCTTATGAATTGTTATAAATCGGGAATTGGGTTTCAATTGGTGAGACTGATTGTTGTTGAGGTGGTTGCCCTCCCCTAAGAGGTTGATCTGAGATCTGGATTCTTGTATCGCGGGGAAGGTAACGTCACTTCTTCATTTCACATTTACCAACACCGCAACAATTCTATACACATATAACCTTCTACTTTGGGAGAATCTAAATAGCTCTTGCCAGGCATTGGAAATTCAAAGACAGTACTTGTAGCAGTTGCTCCTAAGAAGGAACGCTTTCGTTCAAATATTGAGACATTGTTTCCTCCACCTAGGGGCCACTAGGTATTCTAACTGACTAGATCTACCTATTTAAAGTCGTACCTCGCCCTATCATGATACAAATTGGCCAAGTCCATTGTGTCAAAGGTGTCCAGTGGTTTAGCCTCTTCTAAAGATGGTTCTTCTGGCATCGAATCAATAATGGTCAGCCAATCGACCGGTGCCGGAAAGATCCCTTCCAGAATCGGAGAATTAGAAGACGGTAAGGTGTCAAAGAGCTCCCAGAAACTACCGCTCTGGTCATTAGTGAGCATTGGCAGGACGTCGAGGTCGGGATCATCTGCTGCCGCTGACACGTTGCTAGGTGGGGACAAGGCCCCAAGATGTTCAGAAAAAGACTCGTTTGCGGCGTAGTCATTCTCAATGGCTTTGTGCAAGTTTTCTAGAGTATCCCTGACTTTTTCTCTGAGAGAGCTGGCTTGCTTAGTTCCAGCTAGTTCCTCTGCCCCATTTTTATCACTGCTGTTGTTGAAACTGTCGGACTCCTCTTTCTCCAAGTCTGAAAGGGCTTTCAGAGCCGCAATGCATCGATACGTCGAAGTCCTCACTCGTTGTAGCTGAGAGTCTAGGGCTGACATCCAACGAAACGGATATTTCTGTGGGTAAATGGTAGCATCCTTTCTATCTTGGAATAGCTCCAAAGCCTTCGCAATAGTGGATCTTGCTATCAGTTGATTCGTTCGAGCATTACTGTCTTTTGCAGTATCGACCCTTGACAAATGAAGCAAATCAATGACAAAGATACTAGCTGCATTAAACAGCTGAGCATCGCCAATCGAGAGGGAGCCGCATACAGTGCAACGTGTTCGAATCTGCCCACCACAATCAATGAAGCTTTTAGCCAAGAGTCGACAAGTTGTACGGCCTTCAGGCGATGAGAGATTATCGCGGTGAAGTCGCAGGAACATGCCCCATAGCTGTTGGTGTAGCATCCATCGGTGCACGGGTATAGCGGCCATGGAACCGCATGCGTCGATTCCCTCTGAACTCCCCATTTGGAAGTGAGATGGTAACCCCGTAAGGAACTTCTCATACTTCTTATTGAGATAGTCTCGCGCTTTGGCCTTTTCACCCGGCGATTTTTGGGAGGACTTATGGAAAACGTCTCGAACGTCCAGTAGTTCTCGTATAAGGGGCACCATCTCGAGAGAATAGATCGTGTAGGAGAGCATCGTGAAATCTGAACGGGGACTTTCATTAATTTCAACCTGTGTCCCTGTATCAGTTGGACAGAGGTCATCATCATTAATGTGCAACGGTATCCGAGTGTTGAATGATGACGGGGGGATATTATAGTAGCCCAATGCTTGCCCACGAGACCAGTCCCTCGCAACAAGAGCCCACCTTAATTGACCTTTGTTAGACAAAATCCAAATCAAGGACAATGTTTGAGCGCTTACCATATCCTAACACCAATCTCTGTTCGTATGACGGGAGACAAGGCGAAAGACGATCCATTTCCAGGCAGGGTATCTCGCATAGAATTCGCCAAATTCAATTTCACATCTCCTAGTCGATGTAGATTTAACTTCCGCGCACCAGAAATGGCAGTTACAAGAAGCGCATCGAGCTCCACGGAGTCTTCATAGCCGTCTAGAAGAAACATAATAGCAGCTTGCAAACTTGCAATCGAGCCACAAAACATGGAAACCCGTCCCTGCAGACAGCGGGAAGCCAATTCTCTCCACACACGTGGGGAGTCAGATGCTCGGATTGCCGCTACAGAAGTATTCATCCTTTCAGTAGCCTCATCAGTGAGGCCCGTGGAGAAATAGAAGGCGAGACCGAGTACAAGCTGTTTAGAGTATGTGAGCAGATGCAGGAAGATATTGAACAGGAAGATGTACCGCCATAAGTAAACAAGCAATCTCATCTGTTGTGAACCTGGTCGCCAGGCCTATATAGCGCGCTTCTGGAGTGGCCAGGATAAGACAATTACGCAGCATTTGAGCCTGATGCTTAAATGCCAGCGTATGAGTTATATTTCCCAGGGGTGCTTGACAACGCGTGAGAAAAGTTTCATGGAGAATGCGAATGACATTCTCTGTAGGCATCATATCAACGACATCTCGCATCAACTCTACTTTCTGGGGATAACTGGCGGGAGTCCACTTGGGATTGGGATAATCCGGGGCGACCCTCGACTGAGATACACCCCTGGTAGAAGATGAAGGGGCTTGGGGGTAAGTTTGAAACGCCCCTTCAATGAAACTTTCAAGCAGTTCTGCAGTACTTTCTGCTTCTGTAACTTCTGTTTCTTGTGTATTGTTGGCGTGAGTCGTCTTCGCCCTTTTGGCTCTTGGCTGGCGCTCATCTTTGGTACACAGATGCCCAACGTCCCGCTTCGTGCATTCGTTCTTGATATAGATTAGTGAAAGCAGATCTTTGCCGATATTCAAGACCATAGCATACACAAGGTTCATTTCGGTCACATTTGAGCTTTGACGCTCTACACCTTGAGCAAGAGAGCGTCAACTTGCGGAGCCTAGGCGTCGATTCTCCATGCCGGCGATTATCCGGGATATCATGATGTACAGCCCTACGAACCATCTTCGGAAAGTTGCGTATGTTACGCCATTCAGAAGAGTCTAGCAGGAAAGTCATAATCATCGATGAGTCAGCCGCTATGTTAGGAACCCATCCAATTAGAAATGAGTATTGGGCATCGTCAATGTACAGGTCTGCATGTGCAAATACATACCAAGCTTGAAGTCATTCTAAGAGCTAATCAAACATAGATAGGATTTGTAAACTATCTAATCAAAATGGGAATCATAGTAGCATCCAACGTGACGAAAGTCTAAAGGACTATAGGAGCTGAAAGCGCGGTGTATTCCATCAAATGAGCCCAAGGAGCCAAGGCGAAGCGTTTTATGAGTTCCACAAACGCCTCAATCGAAAGCAAAAAACATGAAGGGTCGTAATTCATGGTGGCTCCATCAATCAATCATCAAGCATGGGCATGGGAATCAAAAGGCAAAACGTAGGAAATATGCCGGGATAATTAGATGTTCTAGATCAGGGGGTCACTCTCGGAGGCGGCTCGGTCACGCATGCGTCTTGTGATGTCGATGTCAGTGTCATCGCCCACAAAGGTCCATTCTTCGATATCGTCAACGTCGTCGTCAGCGTGGTCTGGAGATGCTTGAGCGGTTGGTGTTGGTGAAAATGGGGTAGATGAGGCGATCGAGCGTTGTCGGGCAAGGGTCTTGGCATATTCAAGGTCACGGTACAGGGATTGAATTGCGGTAGCCACACCGTCCTCCTATGAGGCAAAGGGTTAGCGCGTGTTTCTCTAGTGTGATATCGCTCAGGGACTTACATTGCGAATCTGGATGCCCAAGTTACGGGCCTTCACAATCATGCGTTCGCTGTGCGTGGCCTCCCAGAGGGCCCGCGAGAAGAGGCTGACATTCAATCTCTTCATACAAATGCCGACGCCCAAGTCTTCAACTCGACCGCCAAAGAAGAACTGGTCACCAAAGAACGGCTTCACGACGGTGGGCACACCGGCTCGGAGACTTGCGCCGGTAGTCCCTGCTCCACCATGATGAGCTGCAGCGTCAATCTGCGAAAAGAGCCAGTCATGGGGAGCAGATTGGATCTGGTGGATCTCCGGAGGCAATGGGATTTCGGCCTTCACACTAGAAGGATCACCCAGCCTGTCTGACCACCCCTTTGAGAGAATGCAGCGGACATCGGCTTTCTGGACAGATTCAACGACGGTCTTCGTAAGAGCTGCTGGATCCGATACAACAATCGATCCAAAGCCAATATAGACAATCTTCTTGCCGTCGGAACGCGCAAGGGCGATGAAATCCAAGAGTTCTTGCGGAGGTGTCCAATCTGAACCTTCACTCAAGAACCAATAGCCCGTGATGCGAATCCAATCTGGATAGTCGATGGGTGGAGGGACAACCAAAGGTGAATAGTTGTACAAGAATGGAACCTTGTTTTGCTGCATCTTTTCCAGGTTGGTGGCCTTGAGTCCGAGTTCGCTATTCCTCCAGCGATTCACCTGACCAGCAATAGCCTTCCAAAAGACGGTGTCGAACATGACATAGGTGATCTTATTGTATCCACCGCCCATCCGATTCTCTGGAACAGCAAAGGCGTGTGGATAGGCACGAGTCCTTGACCATGGCATGGTAAAACCGCGGAAGTAAGGAATACGGAGAGCCTCCGCGATATGAATCCCAGCCATTGCACTCGGAGACTCGATGAGAAGATCGCAATCTTGGCAACTTTTCCAAGCAGACGACAAAAGATCATCAATCCATCCTCTGAACTTCAGTGACGCTTCCCGGAGGAAAGAGTATGTGAACATTCCATTTTCCACGCAAATTCGCATCAACTCGGCTGGGTCTCCATCAACAGGAGCAAAGTCAATGCCATGCTTCCTGATCCACGGCTCGAATTCGGCGTGAGTGGCGATCTTTGGCTTATGGCCCTCGGCAATAAGGCCCTTGCAAAGAGCAATATAGGGCTGTACGTCGCCACGAGAGCCTATCGTCAGACAAGTAATGCGCAAAGGGTGGGGAGGTTTGAAATTGATGATGGATGCACGAGGGTCGTCAAAGAAGGGATGTATCTCCGATGAATCCTCGTTGAGGGTGGATTGCGTGTGATGTTCCTCTGGGTCGTCAAGCCTGGCCTCCTCTAACAAACGATGCTCTGCTTTGGCTGCTTCAACTTCCTCGCGTTCTTCTTCAGCAAGCACGCCTGATTCCACCAAGTATTTGACGGATTCAAGACCCTGGTGCAATGTGACTGCACAGTCATCACGGGATTCAGATGCATTGAACTCGAAGAAAAGCTCTTCATGGCCACGGATGATCACAACCAAGCCATGATAGCCAAATCGGAATCCCTTCTCTTTCTCGACGTTCTCGATGTCCTTGAGTGGAAGGATCATCTTGGTGCGAGTGCCAGGTATGAGACTACGGAAACAGAATTTCCTCTCGCTGATGTATATCTTGCCATAAAGAGGAAGAACTCGGTGCAAGTAAGCATAGTAAGTCGCCTGGAGCCTCTCTGTGGAAGGAAGCGCAAAATGTGCTCGGAAACGATCACCATGGTTGAGACCGCCCTCCTTATCCTCAGGATCAATATTTTGATCCCCGGACAAGACCCCTTCGGCCTCGCCATAATGTTTTTGACCTCCAATCCACATGCCGGAGACTTTCTCAAGATAGCTCATTGACTCGGTGGTCAGCAAAGAAGTTATCTGCTGAGATTTATTCTTCAGGTAGTTTGTGGTACGCTGAAGGGGGAATGCTCCAGTTTTCATGAAGTCGTTCAAGGGAACAACTGGCTGGTCATGAAGTCCCTGGCCGGCAGGCGTAGGTGCATATCGGATGTTCTCAGCATTTTTGCTCGAATTGGCTGCTTCAGCTTCTCGACGTGCAGTCGCGCCCATTTGCGCAGATGTTGATCGAGTGGTGTCACCAGATCGTCTGCGAACTATTGGTTCAGCGTCTGAGGAGCGTCTCGCCAAAGATGGTGACTGGAATACATCGCTACGGTTGAGGATCTGGCTTGCAGATTCTGTTGTCTCTGTTGCTGATTGCACGACGGCAGAAGACTCGGTCTCCAGTCCCATAGACTGCGCAAACGAGTCACCCTCCCCTTGTTGCTCATTCCCGGGGCTTGCACTCCGCCTTTGCGGGGAATCGTCTTGCTTCATACCTGTGACTCGGGCTTCGGTTTGATATTTCAAGTTGTCTTTCACCGGGGATCCTTCGGACAAATTCTTTGTGGGCGAAGAGTTAACCAAGGTTTTCAAGTACTCGAAGGCATCTTGTCCCGAGTTGAAAAAACAAAAGAAGTACTGTAAGCCACATTAGTAAAAGGATTTACTTCCTGGGAGAGAACATTACTTCATCAATAGCATAGGTCTCGCTGCTGTCAATGACCCGGATCTTGAACGTCTCGGCGAACTCGGTCATCGGGCTCTCCTCCAAGTCAATGATATTTCGAATAGGGAAAGAGACCTTGACGCTATCCCCCTCGTTGTGTGTCCGAAAGATAACTTTCTGTAGACCCTTCACCCATTCTTTCGCGCTGGTGGCACTATCGGCTCTGAAATAGTACGTTCGCTGGTCGGTTGTGACCTGGAAGTCTCTCACCTCAGCGCCCTTGGTCTTGGGCTCCGCGAGGGATGCTGAAATTCCATATCGAAGGTCGACATGACCGCTGGGGAAGTAAAGGTTTGAAGAATCGGCATAGTAAGAAAAGACGTCGCCCTTCAATACAAACCAGTAGCGATTGTACTTTGGATTGTTCCGGCCACGTTTTGACAAGTAGCCGGACTTTATGGCAAGGCTTGACTTTTTCGGGAGGTAAGCGTAAAAGCAGATGTGTCCCTCTGTGACATACATGTAGCCCTGAAGAAGCATGCTCTGTACTAAGCTGCAAGCATACTCTGCCAAAACCTTTTCAGGTTTGTCAAACTCAAACATTTCCATAAGTCTGGTAGAGAGAGCAGATGCAGAAGGCTTCTGTTGTTCCTCGCTCGGGGTCTCAGGTCGGAGGGGCGTGTTTTCCGTCGTGGTTGCTGTATCAAAGCGACTTTGTGCTTGTACCATGCGAGTGAGAACGGGAGCTGCTCGGGGCGTGGCACTACGTGCTCGCCTCGGCGGTATCAGTATGGTCGACCCGCTCATAGCTGATAGATCGGTATCCTTCTCGCCGGACCCTATGACGGGAAACTTGCGGAGGGGTTTGTCTTCTGATATTGTCTTCCGGTGCCGACGCCCTCGCCCTTCCGGCTCGGTCTGCTGAATCGAGTCGGATCGTCCGCTGGTCGGAGGTAGGCCGGGGCATTCTTGTCGGCTTGGCGAGCCTGGGAGAGGTCCCAACTTTGTACGAACCTCTGTCTCTCCATCGCTATCGCTGGAGTCGTCGAAGCGGGTTCGAAAATCGGACCGAGAGCCGACCGCGGCAATCATGCCAAACAAGGACTGTTGCATATAGTGCATATTTCCATCTCGGGGGCCCAGAGCTCGTGGGGGAGCAGAATAGTCGATTTGAGAATCGTCCCCGTCTTTGAAGCGTTCCGGCAACCGATCCGCAAAGGACCTGGGGGTCCTCATGCTCGCACTCATCCCCTGATTCACTCGTTTCTTGTCATCTATTAAAGGCTTCATTTTGAGAAGTGCTGTAGGAATATAATCGAACGATGCTCGAGGGTAGGAGAGTATGGTGGTATCTGCTGAGGTGTGGAGAAACCACAGCAATGATGGGACGAGTCAGGCTCGCAGGTGACCAGGAGTGGGCTCGGGTAGGACGATCAGGAGTGTCCACGTCAGGCGGCTTTTATCAGATGCCAGCAGACGGACCGGACAAAGTCATCCCAACGTGGTCCGGCGGTTTGACAAATATCAAAGGCGTTGGACAGCTCCACGATAAGGAGCTCTGCGGGTATTACGGGTTGGCGGGATCGATAAGCTAATCAGAAACCCCGCTCCCCGACCATCTTCACTTCAGGCCAAAGATTAAGCAAAGGTGGGTTGGGAACAGTGCTAGAAATGGGAGAACACGAGAGACCATGAGATCCAGTGAAGATAGTGAGACGGATCAGCTGTGCCGTTGATGCATGTGATGGATGCTCTTCAAGTGGCTGTCAGGTGACTGCTCTGCTTAGGTAAGCCTCTAGTCCGATTTTACAATATCCCTAAGATGCAAAGCTCCCTGCTTTCTTTCCTCTTTCCTCTTTCCTTTTTCATCTGTGCCTGTTTAAGTTTTCGATCTTACTTATTGTGTACGTTTGTTTTTATCTTCAGTTCGGACATGAAGGTGGTCTGGTTATATATAAGTGGCTGATGGTAGAGTCGATCGACGGGGAATGCCAATGCCAAGCATTGGGCTCCGCCCTATTGATCTAGATGGTTTCCACCTCATCTTCAATTCTACTGTCAAAATATCACAATCATCTGTTTACATTCGCAATGTAGGGGTATCTCTGATGGACAGAGCTTTAACTTTCAAGCCAGGAACAATATCAGGTGACAAATGCACAGTCCCCCCTGCATCACCGGACCAAAAAAGGACATCAAAGACCTGGGGAGCTGGACAAGCCTAGAGCCACGGACGCGTGTGCTCGATCCTGTCGCCCAAACACCAACTTAGCGTGCACGGTTTTCATGGGGGTAAAGTGGACAAAGTATAACCCATGTCACCCATGTATAACGCCATCCTATGGGATGTTACCATCGCATGGCGCGAAGGCGTGCTCCCCGCACGAACGAGCCCTCTGAACGGCGACGGTTGGCGTGAAGTTTCAAAGCACGCAAAGTAACCCCTGTCCCAGCTCACTATGGCGTCCACCCTTCCACCCCCGCGTCAAGCTTCTATAAGTTTCTTGGGTGTCTTCTTGGCTGCTGATCCCAACTCTGTGCATCCATCTTGAGGCATCGATACGAACCTCGTTCCGCTCGCCATGGCACTCTTTAATATCCCCGAGTTGAATACTCGTACTGGAACTCTGCGCGCCTATCACTTGGCTGCCATCGTCTTGTGAGTCTTCTGGCCTTGTTAGAGCGATAGGATCTAACCCTTGCCCCAGCATCTCGTCCTTCCTCTCAGCCTATGACTCCGGAATCGCAGGTGGTATCCTCACTTACAAGTCCTTCGAAACTGATTTTCGATACTCGGCGGCTCAAAAGTCGAGAGTCTCGTCTCTGACTGTTGGTCTGGAACAACTGGGCTCGTTCATCGCGGCTGGTTGCGTCTACCCTCTCACCAATAAATATGGCCGGAAGATCTGCATTATTGGCTCCACTGCTCTGTTCGTGGTCGGTGTAATCATTCAAGTCATCAATACTCGCTCGCTTGCGGCTTGGTATGTCGGTCGTATTGTCGCAGGCTTAGGAATGGGCGGCCAAAGTGTGGTGATCCCCATGTACTCGGCCGAGATGACCCCCAAGGAGATCCGAGGTCGATGCGGTTCTTTCTACCAGTGGCTCTATGCTTGGGGTGTCTTCGTCGCGTACTGGGTCAACTATGTGAGTGTCCATCATTCTTCTAAACGGACTGCCACTGACATTGAAGTAGGGCGTGTCCGAAAGCACTTCCCTTGCAGGCACCTCACGCGAGTGGCAGATCCCTGTGGGCCTGCAATTGATTTCCGGAGGTATCCTGTTCATCGGCACATTCACCCTCCCCGAGTCCATTCGCTGGCTGCTGACCCAGAATCGCACTGACGATGCCTGGAAATCTATTGTTTGGATCCGAGGTGGTGATGGCGACAAGACCCGCGCTGAGTTTACCGAGACACAGCTAGGGCTGCAAGCCGAGCGCGCAGAACGTGAGGGCTTCTCCATCAGCGAGCTCTGGGAGCCCGCGAATCGTCTGCGCTTCTTTGTTGGACCTCTCATGTTTATCTTCCAGAATGCGACAGGAAGTAGCGCGCTGGCTGTATTTGCTCCGCAGTATTTCAAGCTCATCGCTGGTAGCGGTACAAACCGCAATATGCTGCTGACCGGTCTCTTCGGTGCCGTCAAAGTCATTGCCTGTACTTTTTTCATCTGGGTCCTCGCAGAAAGAATTAGTCGTCGCATGACGTTGGTCGGTGGCGCGTTTCTGATGGCCATATGCATGTTGATTACCGCACTCATTGTCGACTACATCCCAACGCAGTCGTCCACCAACGTTACAGCTGCTGGACGTGCAACAGTTGCGATGATATATCTGGATATCATGGTCAGTTTGATTCAACCATCAGTTCCGACATAGTCACTTATTAACTCACTTCTAGATCTACAACTGCTCTTGGGGCCCCATGCCTTGGGCCTATGTGCCAGAGATCTTCCCAACACGGATCCGTGCTCTCGGGTTGGCAGTCAGCATGTTGGCTCACTGGGCATCGTCCTTCTGCTTCTCCTTCGCAAGTCCCTATATGATCACCAACGTAGGTGCCAACACGTTCCTCATCTTCATGGGCTTTGATTTCGTGGCCGCTGTTTTCTGCTGGTTCTTCGTCAAAGAGACCCGTGGCAAGAACCTGGAGGTCGCTGCTGGTACCGAGTGGGAAGCTGCTGAGCGCAGCTCTCTTGAGGATGGTGAAAAGGGCGGTATTGTGGGTGTGGACGGCAAGAAGGTGCAGCTCGTCAGCGTGCACGAGAACTTCCACGCTAACATCCACCACCGCTCTTCGTGATGTGGGGGGCGCTGAGGTATGATGGATGAATGGAAGTGTCGTGCCACATGATTGTTGCTTTTCGGAGATGATTGATACCCACCTAGTTTACTCGGTCCTGGGTAGTTGCTAAATAAATGCTAATGACCGCTGGTTACAACGGTTCAATGCCTCGTAGTTTCATTTTCAAGTATGACCGGGGCTGATTGGAAGTGGTAAAATTGTACAATTGAAGTTCTCCTGCATGTCGTAATAACAAAGATATCTTTTCGCGAAACAAACCCAAACACCCATTTATGCCCTTTCGGACTTTTTCCGCTTGTGGTCCTTGTGGGACTTCTTCGACTTCTTATGGCTAGACTCGTCGGCGTCGTTTTCTTGTGAGTGCTTCTTCGATTTCTTTTGAGGAATAGCCGCCGCTTGCGCAGCGTCATCGGTGTGGTGGTGCTTCCTCTTGCGCTCTTTGCGCTCTCCAGCAGAGGCCTTAGAGGGCCTGGCATCTGACTCGGAGTCAGAGCCAAGAATCTCCGGGGGAGCGGGCAGACTTCCGACGGGGCGGAAACGCATCTTCAAGCCCTTAGGTTGGGGCCTTGCGGGTTTGACAGTGTCGCGCAGTGCCTCCACGGCGGCTTTGTCGGCTTCTGGTACGTGAACCATCTCCTGGACATGATAGCTGGGGATGCGGTCGGCCTTGTTGGTATATGTCTGGGTATTCTGGTCGAAAACGAGCAGGGTTTTGCCCTCAGACTGGTCGTCATTGAAAGATTCTGCCGGGATGCCATAGCTCTTGCCCTCGTAACCGAGAATGGGCTCGCCCTTCATGATCTTGGACATGGAGATCTCCTTGACCTTCGACAATGGGAGGTATGAGGGAGCGGTGATGTGAATGACTTGCTTGCCGCGCAAGTCGGAGAGGAGAGAGGAGGCGTTCGAAGAGGGCGGGGACTGCTTCTTCGCGGACTGGAAGCCCTTCGGGGGCTTGTAGGGTTGCGGACCGGATACATTGATCCTACAGAAATCATTAGCTTCCTTCGTATTTCTACAAAATATCCGTAATATAAAGAAAGTCTCACTTCTTGGAAGGAGCTTGTTCCTTCGGCGCATCCTCAGTGGTATCCATTTCGTTGTCGGAATCACTTTCCGACTCTGAGCCTGAAGAGCTGTCCGATCCGGAGGAAGTGTCGTCGCTGGAGCTGTCGTCCTTGGCGGCCTTGGAAACCGACTTTACACTCTCCTTCTGGTGGTTGCCAGGCTCGGGCGAGGTCGACGACCGGCTCGAGCTGCTGTCGCTTTCTGACGAGGATGAGGCTGCCATGGCGGCTTGTGCATATAGTTTTGAAGCAGAAAAACGATAATCTTCGCTGCAATACAGACGCACCACAGAATTGGACGGATTCGCAAATCGCAAAGCGCCGAGAATCAATTGAAGGGAATGTTCAAGACCGGCCGATCTTTTTTCTGCTCCGCGGGAGCACGGACCATCCGCCAACTTTTTTTGCTTATCGGCTTCACCAGCCCATTATCAACCTCCGATTCTAAGATCTCTTCAATGGTTATGACACAATGAAACGAAAGGCCGAGAAACAACAGACTGCTGGTACGACGCCAATTCTTCAACCTACGAACTTTGGATGTCTTGCTAATGCTCCTTAACAGCTCCCGTCAGCGCCTTTGCTGCGCGCAAAGCTCGGCAGCAACAAGCTCAAATTGTGACGGCACCGAAGGCTGAGCCAGAGGTTCAACCAGCTGCTGAGCCCCCTTCCAAGCGACCGCGACGATCGCTCGAGGTTGATCAGCCCGTCGAGACAATTTCACCGGAACCTCGAGGCCCGCGAACACGTTCGTCTAAGAAGCAAGATGCACCACCGCCTGCAGGAAATGTGAAGGAACGCCAAGTGAAAGCCGTAAAAAAGCAACAGGAAGAATCTCAGACTGCCGAACTTGAGGAGGAATCCGAGGAGGAAGAATCCAAGGGCAACGCGACAGAGGATGTGCATGAGATGTCCGAGAATGAAGTCGCGTCCGTCGCTGGCGACGCAGATGGATTTGAGTCCCCTGCGGAGACACCTGCGGAACTTCAAAATTTCCCATTGTCGAAATCCCGGATCAACAAGAAAGACATTGTTTATGCAGACGACAGTACTCTCTGTGTCCGCATCAAGGAAAAGATGGTATGGATGAACATGCTTTAATTGTGCTGAATTATGCTGACTCTTGACAGAACTTAGTTTTGGTGGGCCAATACGATCTTTGGGTGAAACGGGGAATTGTCAGTGTCATGGGAGCCAAACTGCACCCTTCTTCGCAAGTGTATAGAGTGTACGCTCCCTCGACCCACTCTTTGCCCGTCATCAAGTGTGTTGCTGGTGTTGATGGGGAGGCTGAGGTGGAAATCAAGTCCTGCAGCAGCGGTCTCTCTTGCCTCCGGGACCTCTCCCCCCTATACCAAAGAATCTGGAACGGACAGAATACCGCTGCAGACAAGCTCACATTGAAAGGCGCTTCTCAAGATTCCCGGCGCACTTTCTCGGTGGTAAGTGCCTCAGTGCCTCATACTCGAGTCACAGACATTTGTGCTGATTTTATTGCAGCTTTATACATCAGCAGATGATACATTGAAAAGACACTTGCGCCCTCTTCATCTCGACAGGAAATGGAGCGCCTCGATGAAAGCACTTTCTATGCGTCAAGGGAAGCTCCGAGTCTTGGTATGCGGCCCCAAGGCATCTGGAAAGTCCACCTTCAGTCGCTACTTGTTGAACCATGTGCTCAGCCCGGCGCCTGACACCGAGAATGGATTTGTCAACACCGATGGTGTTGCCTTCCTGGACCTCGACCCAGGGCAGCCTGAATTTGCTCCCATGGGCCAGGTCTATCTCGCTCATCTGCGGACCCCCTTCTTCGGACCTCCATTTGCTCATCCATCCCTCGACAACCCACGCGATGGCCAAATAGTACGAGCCCACCATATTGGATCAACTTCGCCTAAGGAAGATCCCGACCACTACGCACTAGCTGTGATGGATTTATTGAGCCAGTACCGCTCGCTTTTGTCACAATACCCTCAGTGCCCGCTGATCGTCAATTATCCCGGATGGATCTTTGGACAGGGTCTGGAGGTGGCTACCTGGTTGATCCAGTGCTTAGGCTTGTCAGATGTTGTTTACATGAGTGAAAAGGGTCCTACAGAGGTCGTGGACCCCTTGAGCTTTGCTGCCAACAAAGCTCAGGTTCCCTTAACGATTCTGCCCTCTCAGCCTACAGATTTTGTGAGCCGTTCCAGCGCTCAATTGCGCTCCATGCAAATACAGTCATACTTCCACAACTCTCAACCCACCGACCTCAGCAACCCTCTCTGGCAAGAGGAACCACTCTCCCGCACGAGGCCACTTGCTGTGGACTACGCTGGCTCGAAGCAAGGCATTCTGGGTATCATGGTCCTGGGATCCCAAATCAGCCCTGATATGCTGCGGGAAGTACTTGAGGGAGCTATTGTCGGTGTGACAGCTGTGGAATCCCCCAGCGCAATTATTGGAGAAGTTTCTGCTCAAGATTCCTTGGAAGAAGAAGAAGAAGAAGAAGAAGAAGATGATGATGATGAAAATGATTCTGACCCGGAGCATGTTAATATGAATGCCAATGAGCAAATTGGAAGCGGTACTACCACTTCTTTCGAGACCAACGGTGTCATCAGGACAAAAGAGGGTCTTCCTTACCTCTTTGTTGGTTCTGGAAGCTGCACTCCCTTGGATCCGAAGGCATCTAATTGCCTTGGTCTGGCTTTGGTTCGCTCGGTCAACGTTACTTCGCAGAAGATCGAGCTCTCTACTCCTATTCCCTCTACGCGTCTACGGGATGCTATCGAGCGAGGACACCAGCTCGTGCTTGTTCGTGGCCAATTAGACAACCCCAACTGGTCTATCAGCGAAGAGTACCACGCTGCAAGGGCCGCTGAACGGCGCTATCAGGAGTCAATTGCCGAGGCAAAGCAGGGTGGTGACTTGCAGAAGATCGATAAGGCCAATCCCAACCAAACGCTTTCTATGCTTCGTGAGAGGATTCGTCGTGCTAGCAATGTCCCTTGGATGACAGTTGTGGAGGATAATAGCCGGCGACAGCGTGAGGCTGCCGCTCGACGTGAAAAGTCGCTGTGGAAGCTGAGGAAGAAGGCCTACCCAGGCAGTGAGAGCGAGACTGACTGGTAGTGCCATCCCATACTTTCATAATTCACTTGCAGTATATACAAAATTTTGAAGAATTATGAATATGGATTTTCTATATCTGAACCTTTTGAATCTGTCGCAACTGACGTAGCCCAAAGCGCCAAATGACCGCCGTACCAACCAAACATAGCGAAGTCAGAATGCCAAATGCCCAAGCACTCTCCTCGAAGTAGTTGATCACATTCATGCCATAAAACCCAGCCACGAGTGTCGCCGATGAAATCCCAAGCATGGCAATCTCAATCTTCGTTTCCAGCACCATAATTTGGTTGCGCCGTACATTCAAAATCGACTGTACGTTCTCCTCTTTTCGCTGGATTTTGCCCAACAGACTTTCTGCTTTCTGAACCACGGCATCACTTGTCTTATAGTACGCTTCCAGAAGATATTCAACATCTTGATGATCCTCTGGCGCGTGTGGCTTGCCAGCCCGTTTATCAGTGAGGTGCATTGCTGCCATATCCTCGTCATCATTCAGAACCTCTTGGATGGCATTGCGAACATGCCGAGCGCGCTGTTCAATCCCCGACAGAACCTGGACAAGATCGAGGAGAATCTGAAGCTGGGAATGTATGAAGCTTTGCTCATCGCTCGCCATTTGCAGTTCCAACTGGCGCAGAGCTTCTGATATCTGTTCTTTGGCCAACAAATATTCTGCTTCAATTGTCGAGGTCGTTGATGCCAGCGCGGCTTCTAACACACGCAGCTCGAAGGGCAAGCTCACTGATACACCTGCTCCATGATTTCCGCGTAATTTCCCTTCAATGTCATGGTTGAATACACGCCATTGATTGGCCCGTTCAGAATCCACTGATCCTTCGACATGGAACATCAGCACCTGATCTGTTTGCACTAGTAGACGCAAACTGAGCATGTAAATTAGAATAGTTTGTTCTCGGACGAGGATATGCGGGAATCCAATGGATTGTAAGTCAATGGAACGCAGATCTCGCGCACTTAGGCAATATTGGTTTGCAATTGCAAGTTTGGTCAACGTCTTGGTTGAGACACTGGCACTTCTGGCATCGTACAGCGTATGCTGTATTTCTGCGTTGCCATTCATTGGAATTCGGGAGAGACCAAGAGACAATTCGTAAAGCTGCTGTGATTGACCAGCATCTTTGCTTTCTGGTGTACGGAATGTTCGAATGGGCTGTCTGGTTATATTTTGCATGGATAGCGACGGCGCGACCGAATTCAGAGGGAGATGGGCTAGAGCTATAGCGTTCCTTGGCATAAATTTTTGTGCCCCAAATGCCATCTTTACCAAGGGTCTGACCTGGCATGGGCCGAATTGAGAGAAAACCATCGTGATGTTGCGCCGATTTTGTCTCTTTCTGGTACCCGCGTTTGTGTTTCTGGGGAGGCGCCACGTTCCTGCGTTTTTATGCAGTTTGCAGCACGTGACATTCATATACACAAAAATATCAAGTTTTTTGACAACTTTTTCTCTCAAAAGGGTAAGGTAATCCCTAATTATTGTCCGCTCGGTAGATTGGAATAGACTAAAAAGCAAAAATGCATCTCTCCCTCGGGGAATCGAACCCCGGTCTCCCGCGCTTATCGGTGTTAATGACAAGCGGAAATCATGACCACTAGACCAAGGAAGATGTGATAGCCGAGTTACTGCTCGACCACTTGGGTGGTTGATGGAGGAGCGGCGTCGGAAAATGAATTTCAATGGACAAACTTTCCAAGAGCAAACCTTCATTCAGTGGGTCACCTGATCCTCCACCATGACGAAGCATAACCTTGAAACCAATAATTTGCGAAAAATCGTCCTGAGTAGGTACGTGTAATATATCTTATGGGCGCAAACAGGGACAATGTCCTTTCTCTCATTTATTTTAGGAATAGATGGTGAAGTATTAGTTCCACGGTTCCACATTGATGGCTCTTAGAAGTTCGCCAGGAATATATATCTAGAACATTGGCTTGCGGAGAGTCTTGGGTCAATCAGATATAAACATATAAGCTGAAAAGATATCGCCCCTATTGCAGTTATTCGCACAACAAATTCAATCTTCGTTTTTTATTTTTCCTGTCTGGGATTTAATACAGCTAGCCTATCGCTCAGCTATTGTACGATCATGTTTGGCGGGGGTGAACAGGTTCGTCGCCAATCTCTTCCATCTTATTCTCGAGCACTTGCGTCATGTGCTTGACGACCTCACTGTACTTAGGCTCATGGTAGCAGTTGAAGAGCTCCAATGGATCCTCATCGAGATCGAACAGCTCCCACTCCTTCTCCTCACCACCAGGGCGAGTGCCTTCGATTCCAAAGTCTTCATTGTACCAGTAAATCAACTTATATCGCTTGTCTCGCACAGCGTAGTGCGCGTAAGCATCATGGATAACATCTCGGTGCATCCAATATCGGTGGTATGCTACCTGCTGCCAGTCTGCCGGGGTATTTTGCTTCAATAGTTCACGGAAGCTCACGCCCTGCATGTATGTTGGTTTGCGCACCTTGGCAAAGTCTAGCCATGTTGGAGCAAAGTCCACATTGCAAATGATATCGTCGCAGACACTTCCGGCTGCGATCTCACGGGGATAACGGATCAGAAATGGCATGTTGAAGCTGTTCTCGTAAACAAGGCGCTTGTCAAACCAGCCGTGTTCGCCGAGAAAGAAGCCCTGATCAGAGGTGTATATAACAATCGTGTTCTCGGTCAACCCCTCCGCATCCAAGTAATCCAGCATGCGGCCGACGTTATCGTCGACGCTCTGGATTGTGCGAAGGTATCGCTGCATGTATCGTTGGAACTTGAACTGGGCCAGCTCTTGACGAGTCTTGAATTTAAAGATCGTTCCATCTTCTTTATCCATCAATTTTACCTTGGTGACATCCTCCGGGTCGGGGATCTTCCGATCAAACCACCACCAAGTATCCAGCATTTTGTTGCCGACGATATGAGCGGGGCCCTCGGGTTGAACCAGTCCCAGATCCATATAGGTGAGATCCTCTGCCACACGCATTTTAGCAATGCCGGCGGCCTTTGCACGATTCTTGTAGTCATCGTTGAAAGTATCTGGTACTTTAATAGGATTCTTGTAAAGATCCTTGTGCTTAGGGTCGTATTCCCAGCTTCGGTGCGGGGCTTTGTGGTGGCACATCATGAAGAAGGGCTTTTTCGGATCGCGTCCTTTGATCCAATCGAGACTCTTGTCCGTAATGATATCGGTTGCGTATCCGGTCTCTCGTTTTAAGCCGTTGGGTGTGATGAATTGAGGATCGTGATATTCGCCTTGACCTGGAACGACTTCCCAGTGGTCGAATCCGGTAGGTTCGTGATCTTTGCCTTCGCCCAGATGCCATTTCCCAATCATTGCGGTCTGATAGCCACCAACTCGCAGTTGCTTGGCCACATTAGGGATGTGCTTGTTGATTTTCGAATCGAGTGTCATCACACCATTGACATGGTTATGGGTTCCAGTCAGAATCGCGGCGCGGGAAGGAGTGCAGATGCTGTTGGTCACATAGCAGTGATTGAACTTCATTCCCTCGGTGGCAATGCGATCTAGGTTCGGCGTATTGTTGATACCCGCCCCATAACATGAAATTGATTTAGAGGCATGGTCATCAGCCATGATGAAGAGGATATTGGGGCGGGAATCAGCCATGGTCATTGCGTAGCAGCTAGCTATCCCGAAATTTTCAAAAAGAATCTTGAGGGAAGGGCAAAAGCGAGAAAGAGATACATCCAACGGTGGGGTGTACAGCTTATAAGCTGAACCGTAACTGCTCTGCCGTGCCGTGGCTTCGACTGTAATGGCGACATCGAGCTCAGAGCTCTTGGAACGCCCCAAAAAGGTTTTTTGTGGGGACCCTTAGTCCATAAATGCCCATTCACATTGCTTTGAAGTGGTTTCGTGCTAAATCACATGAGCAAGTATAGCACTTGCGAGCCCCGTGGACCCACTTGGATAGTACAGTCTACGGCAGTCGGCGGCAGTCGGCATAGATCATTGCTGGTTGGCCGATTGTACGTGAATTGTGACCCCGCATCAATTGACTGTCTTTATATTTTGTTTTATCTTTTGTTACTTCTCCTTGGAGGTGATCTTGCAGAACGTGAATTTTGTTTCATTATAAGATTGCACGCTATTTCGAATCATGTTCAATCCTAGAGCTCCGAAGTGAAAAATGACAAGCGAACTAGACCCTCTCCTTTCTTCACTGAACCGGTAAATGCCAGGAGCACATTGCTACCTTGCGAATTGATACTTTTTCAAATGACTAGGAAAGATAGGGCCAGAATGTAGGAGGGCCATTACTTATGCGGAGGGTTTCCCCACTGTTGGATGATGCTTAAGCGCCGTGAAGGCTAAGAAGCACGAATCACTTTCGAAAAGAAAGTGATTGAAATGGTCTAACCTTTTTGTGGGATACGTCTGTTTCTGTACTTCAAAGCATGACTTGAGATTATTGTAATGTTCATTACTTCATAGTACTCCATATGGTATGCAGTCTGGCGCTTAGTGTATGACGCAAGTAGACGTCCGTGAAATGTCTCCGCCAGTAGAAACAGGGGGCCTTTAGAATAGTTCAGAACAGTTTGAACTTCACGTAGTGACGATGCATGATTCATCTGCAACCTCGGGCTTCACCCCGCATTTCCACATATCGGCATCGCTGTACTGGGCGAACTGTATTCCGCTCCCCACAAGGAGGAGCAAGCGCTTGTTAAATGACGAAACCTGACGATGATACGGCTCGGAATCAATTCCTGGCCAGTCATTGTCAACAAACAATGTTCATTACCTGTGTTGAGGTGGAGATGGATCTGCCGATGTTCCGACTCCGCGGCTGGTCGGCACATCCACGTAATCTGACAGGTGTGATTTGGGGCCGCTATTTCGTGATCGACATCCACTTCCGGTAAAAAGCTTGCAATTCCGTGTCATATCAACGAAACCAGATGGGCTTACGTAGGACCAAATGGCCTAGTGTGCACCGTTGTCCCACATCCTCATACGCACCGGCAAATCAAATGGAGCTCCAAGATCCAATCAATGAGGGTCTAATGATCTTCAACTAATCAAAAGCTCATCTGCGAGCTTGCCCGCACGAATGCCCCGCATTTTGTCCAGATAAGATGGTTCGAGTCGCAATGGTCTGTGGTACTTGCGTGATCCAGGAGTGCTGGGAGTGATAGACGGTAGATTTGTACATAAGCGAGGCACCGGGTCCGGATCACGGACCCTATCTTGATTCTGTGCATCACCAGTTCTAAATTACTTACTATGGCCCCTGGAATTTCAGATACCTCGCTTCCCGTGCGCTCTACGCCCAGGCAGTATCCTGTACCGTTGAAAAAGAGTGGTGCTCTGGATAAGTTCTCGTTTGAAGAGACAACGCCTGCTATTGGCCGTGAATATCCTACTGCCAACATTGTCGATGACCTGCTGAATGCTGAGAATGCTGAGGAGCTGGTGCGAGATCTTGCTATTACAAGTAGGAATGGCTCAACTTTCACTCACTGGCTCTGACTCTAACCATGTACTATCAAGTCTCCGAGCGGGGTGTTGTCATTTTCCGTGCCCAAGATAACCTCACCGACGAGCTGCAGAAGAAGTTGGTACAGCGCCTAGGAGAGTTGGCTGGCAAGCCGGCAGATTCAACTCTACACATCCACCCGGTACTTAACAACACAAGTGAATTCGGCGTGAGCGACCCACAGGTCAGCACCATCAGCTCACTTGCCCGCAAGAAGATGTTCCGCCACGAGAACCAGCCCAATAAGCGTCGCTATGACTCAGCCCAGTGGCACTCTGATATTCAATTTGAACCCGCCCCGGCCGACTACACCTCACTGCGATTGACCCAGCTGCCCAAGACTGGAGGGGACACTCTCTGGGCGTCAGGATATGAGCTTTATGACCGGTTCTCTCCGGCGTATCAGAAGTTCTTCGAGGGTCTGACGGCAACTTATACTGGCACGGGCTTCCTCAAGGCGGCTGAGATGGATCCTGTTAATGTCAAGGTCTACACTGAGCCCAGAGGAAGCCCGTTGAATATCGGCGGGGAGCTGTCTACGGTTCACCCCATCGTACGAACGAACCCCGTTACTGGCTGGAAGAGCATTTATGCGGTTGGACCATTCCCTCAACATATCAATGAGCTCAGCAAAGGTGAGTCGGATGAGTTGCTGAAGAAGTTTTACAACACTATTCTTGAGAACCATGACCTCCAGGTGAGGCTGAAGTGGAGAAACCCTCATGACATCGGTAAGTTTTACAGTTTTGGTTCTTTTCATATCATTTCTAATAATTTATGCAGCGATCTGGGATAACCGCAGTGCGTTCCACACTGCTACGTTTGATTATGAAGGCCTTGGGGACCGATTCGGCCACCGCGCGGTCGGTATCGGCGAGGCACCGTATTTGGACCCAAACAGCGTATCCAAGGCCGAGGCATTGGCTGCTGAGGGTCTCTAATGGGGATTTGTACAGAGACTTCCGGTGTGTTCCAGTTGAGTGTAATTGAGTTCTTATCTCGAGGTCAGGGTGCGAAATTGTCAACTGGAAGGGACTAACAGCATGAACAACCTGCTATTGCCCGGTGTATACTCATGAACAAGCAAGTCTGCGTAAGACCAACATCAATAGGTGTTACAATTATACTACCTAAGCCACACTTGCATCTTTAGGGAGTTCCTAGGTTGATAGTGGTTTCCAATTCAAGTGCTAACTGGTTATATCTTTGCGTTGATCTACTTGCCATTTTGTAGACTCATACGTTCAACTAATGTATGAATTAAGAAGTGGGCCGAAGTTTGATAGTCATAGCCTAAAGACTAGATAAGACACGTTCATGGCGATCTCCGCCTTACGGTAGCCGGCAGACGCCGTCGGACTCCACTCGACATGCGCGTTTACTGCGAATGCTCGGCTCAAGAACATCCGAATAGAAGTGGAAAAAAAATGCAGACCAGTTTTTTAGGCGAGGCAACGGACAATGCCCGACAAAAATTTAGAAAGAATGTAGAGCTGCATGGCCACGTGCTCCATGTACTTGGTTCAGACGTACCGTTGCCTCACGGCCCAAGAAGAGCCGACAGTCACAGGGCAGACACAACCGACCACGGGCTCCATATACTTGGTTCGGAAGCCCCATCTCCCCAGCATTGGATGACCAGAATGGGCTGATATCAACAAGGGCCTGGAGCTATGATCGACCAGTCGGGACAACCACCCGGGAGCACGTTGCCACCTGATCTATTGAAAATTTACGGCCCCTACTGCAGGAGACTGCAGTTGGTTCGCGATCTCGGGAGCAATAGCAGCCTCCACCTTCTCTTAGCGTTCACCGTTGGCTCTAGTGTCCCTGCATCTGGTGGATCGCCTGTATGTCAGAGTGGGTAGGTGGCACCCCAACCCGAACCGGTCGCCGCTTGATGCCGGGCCTATGCCTATCCTAGGTATCAATGCGCGTGAACTAAACCACCTGTAATTCATGCGGCCAACTCACAATCAGCCAATCGGACTCCACTTGAATGTCATGTTCGATCATCTATCAACGTGCCATAGCGGGAAGGTGCTGTCCCAGACAATGAAGATCTCACGCATTAACGGAGATTGGGATAGTCAAAGCTGAAGGAGACACAGGAGTAATCTACTGACCCGTGTGACAGAAGATATATTGCATACATAACCCTGGAACACAACAACGAAGCCAAGGAAATTGAAATTGAAATTGAAATTGAATCGCGCGTGGATCTACGTGTCTCGGAGCCATGGGTAGTTTCTAGTCTCTTAGTTCATGAAAAAAAAAAACAAATCAGATGTTGCATTTGTAAGATCGGGCATCGCCTAGCGACAAGTTACGGGATCGCAGGCAAATGGAAAGAGGAAGGGAGGGCGTGGGTCAATTGAGGATTCCCATTGGCGGCTTCAATAAAGTTGGCCCCACTGGGACGTTGACCACGGGGTGGATATGGGCCCTGTGATTGGTTGTTCCGGGACTACATCGCATGGCCCCCGCGTGGTTTCCCTTGAGTCTCACATCCCATGTGCGGTCCCGAGTGCCCAGAATGTGGCTGCCGGCTGAGACGGTGTCAAGACTTGTGGCGAGGTGATTTCGACGGGATGTCGTGACAAGCAATCGCCAAGTTGTCAAGCAATCGCCAAGGCGGTCTTGGTATTCTTGGTCTTATAAAGATGGCGTTTAAGGGTCTTGGTATTCGGAGCTGGAGCTGGAGATCCAGATCAAGACCACCACTGCCCGTAGAAAGTCCGTAGAAACAGGGGGGGCACCACCAATAGAGCATGCTGAGTATCGAGGTCAATTCTCAAACAAAGCTACTGTCGGGCAACAAACCCAGTCCGCACAAGGTCATTCGAGCGGCGACCCAATCGCATGGTCGAGCGAGGGCGTCGCACACTCCATTGCGTTGTTCTAGAAAGTCCATTGCATGCGCAGGAGCCACTGAGCCCAGACTAGATCCAGGCACAATTCATCTAGTGCGGTCTAATTGCTCGGCTCGTGGCTCCATGCGGACCCATTCGCGCACTCCGATGTCCTTTGCCCGGTCAGTGCGCCCGAGATGGCCCCCCGGCTAGCGCTGCGAACGAGCAATGCCCGTATCCACCCCCGTGTCAAACCGTGCTCGCATGCATGGCTGCGATAGGGCCACTGCGGCTTGACTGGCTTTCGATATGTGGTTCGCGGTGGGTTTAGTGCTGATTAGGTCCGTCGCATGGCTGGCGCGCGTGCTTCGCTTGCCCATGCCGCCCTGTTCAGAGCCGGGGAATAAATATGCATGGCTCGTCCGCGTCTGGATGATTTTCGTTCTGTCCTGCAACTCCCTTCCCAAATCAGTCATCAGATCTCCTGCTGACTCTAGGGTCCTGTGGTTGAAGCTTTTATTAATTCTTCTACCCTTGAACCGTCGCTATGGAGGTTCCCAAGCAGGCTCTCAACTCCATCGATGAGATGGAGATCCACGAGAAGATGGCCTTCGACGAGGTCATCCGTCCCACCGACTCCTACACCGAGAACGGTACCTACTGGGCTGATCTGCCCGTCGGTCAGCGTATCAGCTTCGTCACCGCCCAGGATGCCATTGAGGCTCGCAAGGAGTTCACCTGGCTGTGGGAAATGTTCAAGGCTGATCCCTTGGCCCCTATCGGTCACTACTTCCGCAACGCCGTCTTGCCCGGTGCCGGTCTTGGTCTCGAGGGGTAAGTCGCTTTCTGGCAGCGATGCTTAAATCCGGAAATAGCATCGAGCTAACCCCTTGCCTGTCTAGTTACGTCCTGTTCTCCATCTCCAACGTTAGCTCCCTGTTCAAGGAATCTTTCCCTGAGTGCTGGAGCAAGAAGGAAATCTGTTCTGCCAACTGGATTGCTGCCGTCAACTATATGGAGGTTGCCGGTATCATCGTCGGTCAACTTCTCGTCGGTGTTCTTGGTGACTGGTAAGCCTGACCTGTAAAGGACGCCCCACTGTCAAATACTAATCAGGAAATTCTAGGATCGGTCGTCGCTGGGGTCTGATTCAGGATGCCACTATCATGTTCATTGGTCTTATTATGCTTACTGCCTCCTGGGGTGTTACCCAGAACGGCTGGGTCATCTGTTACGCTTGGTCTCTCTTCTTCTACTCCATTGGTGTCGGTGGTGAATACCCCATGACTGCCACCATTGGTATGGAGAAGGGCTACACCTCCGGCAAGATCAGCACTGCCAACGACCGTCTGCACCGTGGCCGTACCGTCGTCGGTGCTTTCCTGATGCAGGGTTGGGGTCAGTTCTTCAACCAGGTCATCCTTATCCTCCTGCTTCTGATCTTCCACCACGGCTCTGGCAATCCTCCCTATTCTGCTCTTGCCACCCAGTGGACTTATCGTGTCTCTTTCGCCATCCCTGCCGTCGGTACCCTTTGGCTCGTCTACTACCGTGCTTACCACATGAAGGCGGCCTCCAAGCAGCTCGAGGCCCAGAAGAAGAAGGCTTCCATCACTGGATACGACAAGGAGTCTCTCTCCCTGGTTTTCAAGCACTTCACTCCTCGTCTTCTCGCCACTGCCGGTGGTTGGTTCGCTAACGATGTCTTCTTCTACGGCAACAAGCTCTTCCAGAGCAAGTTCATTGATGTTATCAGCCCTCACTCGAAAGGTGTCACCACTAATTGGCTCTGGAACCTGGCCAACATCGGCTGTGAGCTTGCCGGCTACTACTGTGCCTGCTGGTTTGTCGACAACAAGCTGTACGGCCGTAAGTGGATGCAGATCGTCGGCTTCCTTATGTGTTTCATCCTCTTCGCCATCCCCGCTTTCAAGCTCAAGTACTATGAGGAGCCCGCCCACATCCACTCCTTCCAGGCCATGTACTTCTTGTCCTCCTTCTTCAACCAGTTCGGTCCCAACTGTATTACCTTCCTTGTCGCCGCCGAGTGTTTCCCCACCCCCATCCGTGGTACCGCTCACGGTATTGCTGCCGCCGCTGGTAAGGTCGGTGCTCTCATCATCGCCATCATCGGCTCCTACACCTCCCTCCAGCAGCAGTTCTACATCGTGCCCTGGTTCGGTCTTGCCGGTGCCGCACTTACCTGGCTCTGCCTTCCTGACACCACCGGTCTTGACCTCCGCGAGCAGGAGCGCCGCTGGAAGTTCATCCGCGAGGGCCGCGAGTCCGAGTACCACGGCCCCGCTGTCCACCGAAAGCACTTGTCTGTCTGGGAGCGCTTTATGGGCAAGGGCAAGTACTACGATGCTGCCCTTGACTACCAAGACAAGGTCCGCGAGTACCGTGCCGAGTGGGAGGCTGCCATGGCTGCCCGCACTGACGAGAAGGCTATCTACGATGCCGATGATCTTGATGAGCATATTCTCTCTGGCTCCATGCACACCTACTTCGAGCGTACCACCCCTGACTTCCGTGGTATCGAGAAGGAGACTCACACTGAGGAGCCCATGGCTCTCCCCGCTTCCGCTGCGGATCAGGAGAAGCCCCTGAACCACTAAGTGGATCTTGGTGAATGTGCTTGATGTTGGATGACGCACATGCCTCCAAGTGATTTTGGAGAAGTCGCTATAGAATGTTGTATAATTTAATACCCCCGCTGATGCGTCAGGACGAGACTGTCATCATGTCATACGCTGTGAAAAAAAAGTCCTGTTGATACGCTCGGTTTTCCTCTTCATCTCTTTTGTTTTTAACATCTTTGAGTCATTTTGATCATCAATCTGGCATTACACTTAGGATAGCTTATCCTATCAAATATATACCCATATACCAATAATGGCGTCAACTTCCTTCTTCAAAACTCTAAGGTTTCAATTCGGTAATGTTCTTTTCCAGAACCAGAGTTTCAATTCTTCAAACCAAGCATACAGTACTATTCGAAGTCAGTCAGAGGCCCCATGATATTACGGAACAGCAATAGGTTGGAGCGGATGTTTATGAATTCCTCCATTTTGTCGTTCAACAGCCAAGGTTTAGGGGGTTCGAAACTTCAGCTTGTAAGGTGACAGTTCGTCTGGAAATCGGGACAATTCATCAGCCAGCCTCAATGAACCACAAGCTTTCCATTTATTTTTTCTTATGTTCAATGATCTGCATCTGCTTTTCTGCATCCTGTCATATCCATAATCTGTTCAACATTTTCTCAACCTTTGGGCGGTCTCCTGCTTCTTATTGATATCATGACTTTTGACGAACAAACTCAGCAAAAGTGCAACCGCGGCTATTGCGCAGCAAACAATCCATACATCGCGTAGGCTATCGGTGTAAGCGTGTCGCACAAATTCCCTCGTCTTTGGATTGGTGATCATTCTTATCGCCTGGACCGCGCTGATAGCACTTTTGCTATACAGTTCTATCGAGTGCTGAGGAATTAAGTACTTGTTAAGATTGACTTTCATGCGATTTTGAAAGACGGCTTCCCCAATTGCAATCCCAAGAGTCTGACCTATGCCCCTGAAGAAACTGAACATCGCCACGGCCATTGGAAGATCCTCTGCTGATGTGGAGGCTTGAATGGCGTAGGCCATAGATGTCACCAGAAGACCAAGGCCCAAGCCAGGGACAATGTTCAAGAAGATCCACTGGGGGATAGTACTGTCTACTTGAAGCAGACAAAGCAACCCTAGGCCTAGGACAGTAATTATCCAGCCTGACCAGATCGCCCACCTATACCGGCCGGTCTTGGTGACAATCAGGGCGGTCATTGTAGTTATAGGGCCAATCGTGAATGTCTCTGGAAACAGCGCAACACTCGAGAGGATCGGGTTATAGCCTTGTACTGCCTCATAGTAAAGAGGAAGATAGTACAATAGACACCAGAGGAGAAGTCCTAGAATGGTAGTGCAGATGTACATGACTGAATTAGTTCTGTCCCGGAAAACGGACTTTGGGATCATTGGGTCCTTGGCGACGTAATATTCGTACCATCCAAATGTAGCCAACCCAGCCAGTCCGATAGTCAGTGGTGCAGATGTTTTCCATGAACTCCAGGGATGCTCAATCCCACCCCATGTAAGCGGGATTAGGGTTGACGTCAGGGCACTGACAAGGAGTATTGTACCGCAGTAATCTATGCGTCGAAGCTTTTGCATGAAACCTTCCCTCGGAAGGACTAATTTCAGAAAAAGGAAGATTAAACCTGCTGCGATGCCGATAAGAGGCAAATTGATGTAGAATATCCATCTCTGCTCGGTTGGTTCGGATTATTGGATGCACTTCACTTCTGTTTGCAGCATTCCGTATCTCGAGGTCCCACTTACCCAGCTGACATTTTGAGCAAATCCCCCTCCAAGAAGTGGGCCTGTAACAGACCCAATACTCCAAGCCGCTCCAAGGTATCCGAAATACAGTCCACGAAGTCGGAGTGGCGCAAGGTCAGTCATAATGATCTCTGATAGTGCAATGAGACCACCGCCACCGACTCCTTGAATAGAGCGTCCGATGAGCAACTCTGTAACATTGTGACATACTGCAGCAACGACCGTGCCAGTCAGAAAAAATGCCAGGGCTACGGAGGTCAAAGCCTTCCGGCCAAAAATGTTGGACAGAGATGCAAATGTTGGCTGAAACACTATTTCGAACATTATTAGGAAAGAAACAATCAGGGTTCTGTTCTGTTCCACATACCTGTCGAAGATAGCAAGAAAGAGGTTCCGCTCCAGTAGCCTTCCACTGTTGTGCCACCCAGATCACTGGAAATAATCTATGAATATGAGCATATATGCCGAGTGCGTTTGTTCTAGTGATCTCCTTACAGGCAATGCAACAGAAATAGACGTACTGTCAAGAGCAACCATAAGTGTCAGAATAGCAAGAGCTATGAAAATGAGGGTGCCCTGTCTTCCAAGCGAGAATTTCTCTTCAGGCCGCGATGCTTCATCTGTAATGTCGTCATTTGGGGGATGACAAGCTTGATGAGCGCCCTCTAACTGATCTGATGACTGTTCCATAGTGTGATTTGATGAAATATTGTGCCGAATGCGATCGCATTCAATTCTGGCCTAATGGAGGATGTGGACTGAAGCCTTTTTGTTATCATGTTAAAGGAGGATGAAATAAGCAGTATTTACATCCCATCAACATTCATCCACCAAGGTCAATCAAACTTTTTAATGGAATGGCCTAGTACAACCTATCTACAAGACTTGCAAACCCCCTTAGGAAGTGGGGCCTCTCCTGACATGATCTCTCTGTAAGGTAAGTTGTATCTATAAGACTTGCAAAGCCCCTTAGGGAGTGGGGCCTCTCCTGACATGATCTCTGTAAGGTAAGATGTATACAGGGAATGCCAATCTAATCTACCTTCCAAGTTTTCATGGATAAATCCTGTTGCACAATACCTAATACCGCAAGAATGTAGGATTTCTTGCAGTATCCACTACCTCAATTATGTTACCTAGGTATTGGGTTCGGACTGGAATTTCAGGTATGATGTCAGGTGCCACAGCTCCACCGTGCTAATTACATGTTAGAGCTCACGCATAACATGAAATAGTATGTAGCTAAAGTTGATTTTTGCAGTGTGCACACCCGCATAGGCAGCAAAAGTCACTCCACTATGGCGACTTTAATGCGAACACTTCGAATTTTGTTTCAGCCTAAGAAATCTCTACGCTGGTATCAAGCTAGCCCTACAATTTTTCGACGGAACATCGACGCCGTCGAAGGATTCCATGTTACCTCCGGATCAGAGAACGTGCCTCAAGGGCGCAGGAGACTGGACCTCACAGCTACCGTGAATTTACAAGTGGGGAATGGGAATAAACCAACTCGGCATCAAGCCCGCAAAGCCTGGATTGCACTCAGGCGAAAACATCCCGCCATGGCATCAGTCATCCAGGGGTCCAAACGGGTCTACTACAGGATGGACCACCAGGAACGACAGGCATGGCTGGATGAAACATTCGTCAATGTCCCTGGAGAGCATGCTCTGACACCGGAAGTGCTCAATCGGTACAAGGCGACATCAAGGCCGACAATGTATTTTTTGGAAGATGCACACATGTTCGCCTTGCGCACACCGCACTATACAATGGATGGACTGGGTGTATTTTCGCTTCTGGGCGAATATCTGGCCGAGCTTGGGCGAATAGCCAATAAAGAACAAAATGCCTGCTTTGATGAGCAGCCATCGGACCTGGCATCCTGCCTCGAAGAAGCCGTTCAACCCACCTTTCCGTCACCAAGACAACTTTTACGACTTTGGAGAATCCGACGAAACTGGCTTCAAAGCTACCCATCCATTGCAATTAAGCCGGATAAGATTGATTATTCCTCCATATCGTCCTGGAAAGATCTCCAATTCTCCAACTCAGAGACAAAATGTCTCCTCACACGGGCAAAGCAAAATGGTCTGTCGTTAACCCATGTAGCTCATGCTGCTCTGATTATTGGCGCAATGAAACACGGAGTCTATCCAGAGGGATCTAATTACACACAAATGATCGTTTTAAACATGCGGGGTCGCGCGGCTGATATGTCCTCACACGTGAAAAACATCGCATCGACTCAGCATGCGATATGGCCATTCACTCTCCCAGTCAGCACTTGCCTTTTAGATGTCGCAGAACAAATGAAGCAAATATATATGAATGCTGTAGGTGACCCCGACTTATTGTCACTTGCGGGGCCTATTTTCATCGAAGGAATGCGTACAATTCCAGCCTCTTCCCACCTTTTCCACAGTTCACCCTTTGTCAGTAGCTGTGGAAAACTGGACAACGTGATTGCACCATCATACGGCACCTTGTATGTTGAAAATGTTTCTATCATGGCAGAAATCTCTCAGGAAGACATTGTTGCAATCGTATGGTCTTATAAAGGCCAATTGACGATACGGGTGTTTTATAATGAAGGAAAACACAGTGCCAGCAATATACAGCGTTATATTCAGCTAACGGGCGAAGTGCTCAAGAAAGGGTTTGACATGACACAATAGACCTTTTTGGATATTTGATTCGATAGTCGTTGACAGATTACCGCTTCCTTTTTTATTAGATTTGTTTGTATTTGGAACAAATGATCCAACAAGCTCACTTCTCTAATTCAATTTTCACATTCCGTCTTAAAAACACTGTTTAGCTGGTTCAGGATTCTTATCTACGGACCTAATTCAGTTGATAGTGTTTTGTCCCAGACGGCGAACGAAAACCAAGTTTCTTGTCTTCATGTTTCTGTATTGCCAATGTTCACTCACCATCACCCAGACACCATTTAGGTTCTGCATAACCCTGCCCATAGGGTTACACATGACGCGCGTGTTTTTTTCTTTCAATTAAAAGTAACAAGGCATTCAATGTGGCAGTGAATGCATGCATAAATAGATCTACTTCCTGGAACTGTATTTAGTTTTATGAGGTACTTTGGCATGACGCCCAATGTTGAGCACTCCTATCCCAGCTAGCGTCTCTCACTTGGAGACATTATTATGTAATCTGACTTACCTGGGCCACGTGGAACATTGTAATGCTGTCATATGTAAGGTATGTAGGCACTTCATTGTGCAGGTGTAGTATTCAGTAAGGTACGAATACGATCAATGGAATGTGGAGGCATTTGCGGAAACTATTTCCATCACGTTAGCAAGGCTAGAATTTACGATATTTCTATTTCTACGGACTTCCGAAATAGTGTTTCAACCGAGAATTGGATCTGTGACTTGTCAATTATTCCTGAATATTTTCCACAAATATTGCGCCTCCTAGATAGTTTACTAATTATTCAAGAAAAATCATCATCATAGATTTCTTGAAGTGGACGGTACATAGAGTTTCTATTGTCTGCCTCCTAGTTGCGATACACGCATTGCAGAATCTCCTGGTTCTGTTGCTGGAAAAACTTGCTGAAGAAAAACTTGCTGATTTTGGAATGCGCCTCTCCATACCGAGTTATTAGAGTTTTATATAGCATAACCCCTTGATTTTTGGACGTATGGCCTGTCCTAGTGAGTAATTACACGTAGGAATAGGGTAACAGTGGGGAGTATCATATGTAGATAAACCAAGGACCTGCAATGACGTGTGATTTCTGAGTCCCAATGTAGATCGGAATGAACGACTCTGTTCTGGCCTTTTATATACCCCAACTTACTACTTTATTCATTATTAGTATACGATCTTTTCTAACCCAAATTCTGTCACCAATACCAAGGATGTGGGAATTCTACGACGACAAGACGATTCTAATCACTGGCGGATCTGGATTCGTGGGCACGGCCATTGTTCATCGTCTGCTCTCACAAACATCCGCGAAACATGTCTACGTGCTCTGTAGAGGTGGTTCCGGGTAGGTCTATGCTTATCAAAAAGAAAATTGGAGCCAAAATTGAGTTGTTGCGGCAGAAAACTTCGACAAAAATGGGACAAATGGTTACCCCTGTCGACAGTCGAGAATCTTTGGGACCCATGTCGTCTCACAGTTCTTGATGGAGACATACTTACCCCCAATATGGGGCTTGACGAACGAGACTCAAACATCCTGCGAGGAGAAGCCAACGTCATTATTCATGCAGCATCTTCCATCAACTTAGCGAAATCTCTCAACGACTTAAAAAATGTTATAGTTGGAGCTAGCGAGATGGTAGCCGGGTTCGCGTTAGGCTGCAAGTCACTTGACTGTTTTGTCTATGTCTCAACGGCGTACGCCAATTCACACCTTCACGCACAGAGTCCCATGTTCGAAACCGACGTCAACGAAGAAGTTTACGAACTAGATGTTTACAAAGATGTCTATGAAGAATGGGTCGATGTGCAGAAACTCGGGACGAGTCGGACGTTTGAAATATATGATTTCCCATTCCCATATGCCTACGCAAAGCACCTGACAGAGCGTCTTCTTTTGTCCATGTTCAATGTTTCTGGTGCCAAGGACAAACTCTTGATTGCACGACCCTCCATCGTGGGACCGGCCCAGCTTCTTCCATATCCAGGGTACAGCGTCCCTACCTCAACACCCTCGACTATGCTGGCAGCAAGTCTGGCCCTTCTGCCACAATGGAACTTTTGCGTTGCGACAAGTTCGCGGGACCCAGATTCAGAAATCCATACCGATGAAGTCCCTGTAGATGTCGTTGTTGACCGCCTACTCAGCCATCTCGCAATGGGGACACGGGGCTGCTTCCACGCAGTCAGTGGGAAGCGGGCTCGACTACGCTTGAAAGAATGGTGGCAGCCAGCAGCACAGCTACGACGAATCCCGTGGGGATTGAACTTACAATGGGTGTCAGCACATTGGAGATCTCCAATTCAAAATCCTATTGCTCGGATATACGTTATCCTCGGCACTTCCTTTGTATTCCACGAGGATAGAACAGTGTCATTGAGTCAAGGAATGTCAAAGGAAGACCAAGCAGGGCTGCAGCTTTTCACTGACATCAACCTGGGTGACCACCTCCTTTCCCGACAGGAGGATATTCGCTACGTAATGGACCAGATTGCATCCAAAAATACTTGGGCATGGCTAATGTACAAGCTCTTTTATTGAATTGAATTTATCCTACTTTTCAATACATATCTTGATCATGAAATATGGTAGAGAGCGTACCAATGAAAATACTTCGTCTACAACTAATAACGCTATATGTTTGTCAGCCTCAGCTCCAATCGCGAACTTCCCAACGGCAGACGCAACCCTACTACAACAAACTATACATTCCAATCCCAACTAAGTAGGCATCTGTATACTTTGGCTCCTTCTGGCAGTCGATCCAGCAGTCCGATAGGGGTTATGAGGGAATTGCTAAAAATTAGGCTAGCTTACTTCGAGTTGGGGTTCGGGATTTAATGTCTAATAGTGTACGGGTAGGTCTGATTTCGAATATTACTGTAGCTCGTCTTTTTCATGCACACTAAGCTGGCTCCATGTGATGCAATCCCAGCATATGTGCTCAAGTGCTGTCTGATTGGAGATCTCCCCACTTAATCGTATGCATCATCCCTAAAATTGGCCTGACGCACTAAACTATGCACAGCAAGATGACTATGCCGATGGCGCCCATGGTCAAGTGGGGGTGAGGGGCAACTTAGCTCCCTGAAAATTGAACCTGGGTCACCACGCGACAGCGACACCAAATACTGCATGTCCAGAATAATCTTCTCCGTCGCCACCGAGCCTGAGAACCACCGATGCAATATATGCAAGGCCACGTTAGCACTCTCAATTGCACTCTCCATATTCATCTGCATGCCTAGTACGGGTGATGATGGGAGAAATAGCGTCAGCCTCGTTGCATGGTAGGCGCATACAGCAATGTAAGATGGCAGGACTGGGTGACCGGTGAGATCCAGAAGCCCCTTCAAGATCTCATTAATGTTCTTGACATGATCCTGGCACGCCTTAACAGCATGAGCCTTGAGACTGGGCTCAACGGTTTCCATGATGACCTTCGGTGCAGCCTGGGGATATCTAGGAAGAAACATTCGGTACAAGTCGCAGTGCACTTGATGCCAGGTCATTGAGACTTGGAGGTACCGTGCAAACCACCTGGAGTCTTTCTTCTCAGCTACACTAGCTGTAGCTGCGACGTTGTATTGGAAAGAATATTCAACTTCCGCCTGTACTCGCCGTAAATCGTTCTGGATGTCCTGGACCAGACCGCTTAGTTGAGCCAGTGGCTGTTCTGATAGCGCCAGCTGTCGTGTCAGCCGCATTACATCTTTGGCGATTTTTGAGAGTTGAATGCATGCAGCTAATAAGCTGCATACTTCCGTTGAATTGCTTTCCATCAAATGCTGCCGGCCTGCTATTTGGACGTTGGGATTTCCATCCCGGTATGCATCTTCTGAGCTCGGGAGACGCTGGTAAATAATTGAGTGAGATATTGTCTCGTATTCGGGTAACCCGACAGAAAATACCCCGTCCATTAAGCTAAGAGTCCAAAGGACACGCCTGCGTGTTTCTTGGGCAACGAAGCTGAGCTCCGGTCGCTCGTAATTCAGTCTTAATGCGGTAGCTCCTCGAGCAGCGATTCCAGCGAGCATATATGCACGAGCGAATCGGCCGGTTTGGATGTGATAGTGGATCACTAGAAGGAGACATTGAATCTGGATGATCGATGGCTTTTCCAAGTGTTTCCAGATTTCTGTTTCTACCTTAGAAACCCATAGATTACTTGGATCAGATGATAAATGATTCGATGAAAGGCTCACTCTTGATATGGCTGAAATTGAAAGGACCAGATTTTGATCAATTGTGCCATTGAGGCATTGTTGCCGGATTGACGGTTCATGAAGGAAGGCGAAAGAGGCAATTGGATAGAGATAATTGAAGAAGTCATCAATCCTTCGTAGAAGCTCCTCGCGATGGATAAACGATCCGACTAGTTCCTCCTGCCGCTCATCCTGGGTTGGTTTTTGTGGTTCATCGGTCTGTTTCGTCGTCGGGTACCGACATGGACGACCCCGACGGTGACAACTCTCACATTCAGGGAGCTCACCCGAGCATCGCGCCTTCTGGTGATGGCATTCTATGCATGCCTGCGCCCCTCGACGCCGTTCGGGGCGTCTAACAGTCTCCTCGTGGCGTGTCCGACGGGTCGTAGAGCTGGCTGCGGCCTTCTGGAACGAGCATTTGAAGTCCAAACGCTCACAATTCCCACATGTGTCGGACCGGCGATCACAGCGCACCTAGACAGCAACTTAGCACAAGTCAAGGCAGGCTTCCGGCAAAGATTGTACCTTTCGACAGCGGCATTGGAAACATGGGGAGCGCTGGACACGGCCCATGTATATCAGGTCCTCCCCAGAGAGAGGTCAGTGCCAATCTACAAGAGTTAGTTTTCCATGTAGACCGGGTATTGGTCCGTTAGAGGGACGTGGTTGGGCTCAGGTGGATGTTGAAATTAGAGGGCTCATAGTCCGGCAAAACTGCGGCAAGTTTGATTTTGCGGGGTCTGGATCTGTGATGCCATTCTTAGTCGAATCACACCATATTTAGCCAGCAAGACCACTAGTTCGAATTGGGACAATAAGTCATGTACTGTATGCTCATGGATCCCCGCAATGGTTACATCAAACTGTATGTAATCTTCGAAGTTATGATCATCTTGCAAGCACTGAGACTAAATGGCTATTTCCATTTCCCCGATAACCCCACAACGGATATACAAGTGTCGACTAAGGTGGCATGACAAAGTCGGGGTGAAGATCACTCGCCACTCGGAGAAACAAGCCTGCATACTGTTCAGTACAGTACAGTAGGTTTGATCATTCGATAATCATATGATAGTACATCACCTCGCATAGGAGTGAATTGGCTGTACGAGGGTACATCGGAAGTGGCAGATTTATGATGTGTCGAGCCAACTGACCTTGCAATGTTGAGTCTAGAACCTTAATAGGATCGCCACATAAGGGATAACCGATGCAAATAACAATCAAAACAAGAATCAAGAACATCTCCGCACGAACCTCAAATCTTAAGGACAACATACATCACCATTACTCACCAAGTGATAATTGAGCGCCGTTGATAGGCGCTCGGCCATGTGACTTCCCGGACCAATAGTTGATCCGGGACCCCACCCCGGCCCGGAGCTTCGGCGGTCTTCTAACGCAAAAAGTCCCCCAGATCGCACGACTCTCTCAATCCATCCCCCCTGATGCCTTCACGATCCATCCACCATGAAGTTCTTCGAGAATAGATTCACCTACGACTACTCCTTCCCTGCTGTTTCTCTCGCCTACTTCCTCCGCTATCCAAACCCCTACTCCCGCCATGTCCTTACTACCGACGTGATCGAGCGCCATGTTGATCCAAACACCCAGCGCCTTCACACCACGCGGCTGCACCTGAAGAAATCAAAGGTTCCTTCGGGTATACTTAAACTGCTACCCAAAGGAATGGGTGGCTCCGACAACTCTGGCCAGAGCTATATCCTGGAGACCACTGTGGTCGACCCCAATGAGGGTTGGATGACGACTGAGTCTCGCAACATGGAATGGACTGGTATCCTGAGCGTCGTTGAGAAGCAGCATTATCAGCGGCATTTTGCTGAAGAGGATACGCGCGCTCTGGATGGGTTGTCAATCGATAAGAACAACGAACACACCACTGTTCGGACTACCGTGACATTCAAGTCTCGACTTGGCAACGGAAAGTTGCTCGGGCGGAAGAAGACAGAATCTTCCCCAGGCCAGGTCGATGCGGAAGAAGATGCCCCTAAGAAGGGCTTTTTCTCATCGCTGTCCACTGCCGGCATTCAACGAACCATCGAGCTGATTGGAGTCAGTCGGACACGTGACGCGGTGCTGAAGAGCAAAGAAGGCATGAATATTGTTCTGGAGCGCCTGCGTAAGGGCGGCATCGTCGGCGTTTTGGAAGGTATGCGCAAAGACCGCGAGGCGGCATTCGGACCTGATGGGCCTTGGAAGCGCGTGTGGTTGAATGGAAGTGGCCCCAAGGGTCGGGGTATCGAGGATGACGACTAAGTCCCAGTCACGACATTCGCTCATTTGTGTCGTTTCCTGGGTATTGACGCATTTCCCCTGCATATTTGATTTCAAGCGTGGAGTTCTGGAGTTATACGGGCATGTTTTGAAGGAAACTCTCCCATAACGTCTTTTTTTTTGTGTTGATGTTTGATTTGACTGTATATTGGCCTGAGGGGTCTTGCATCGAGCCATCTGCTTACAAACTTGTATATTATGGATTTAGGGTCAAAGACGTGGTTGGAAGGCCGAACGTGGACCACAAGTGACGCTCATTCAAGAGCAACTGTATCTTTAACAAATTTTATTATCCTACTTGATCAATTTTTGCCCAACCATCAACGTGGCTGCTCATTGCTCACTCACATGAACACCTTCCCAATTAGATATTTGCTACTACCGTTCCTTCAATCTCCCTGATCACCTGATTGTGGTCGCGTGCACATGTTCTATATAGAGAAACCCATCCTCATCTAGAAGGTGTCAACAAGAAGCTTTGGAAGTGAGGCAACCACTCTTCAAATACGTCTCAGTCTACTGTGGCTGCGTGTCAAGTATGGCGTCTCTCATTGCCGATGTCAACACATGGCTTTCACTTGTCAAGCAAACCGCTGACACTGCCGACACACTCTCTCTGATCCATCCTTATCCGCTACATTCACAAATCAGCCAAGCTACATCATCTCCACAAATTTCCAGCCATTACAGCATGGAGTTTGCGGTAGACACTCTGCAACAAGCAGAAGTTCCGAAGAAACAGGACACAGGAAGCCGCTCCAATAGCCTCGTCCCACTTACCGGCAGCGAGTTTCCATTCTTTTTGTCCATGCCCACAAAGGACGACGACCTTCAGACAACCGCTCGAAAGATGCAAAGCATAGCCAGCGTCATCTCCGGTGGCCGCACCCTGTCCATGACCCCGGGCCATGTATCTACCCGAAATGGCTCGAAGCCAAAGCAGAAGCACAATGCAGAAGACTTTGCTAGACAAGGTATGACGGGCCCGGAGATAGCTCAGTATGACGCATGGAAAATGGGTCTCATTCAGCTTCCCACATTTGACTGGTACCTGAACCGACTCCCAGTAGGCCCTACAGGTATGCGAACTTTCTCACGACGTGCAATCGCCATGGACATTATCTGGAAGCGGCCGGGCTTCGCCCCAGAGCATGCCGCCTGGCTCGCCGTCCACATGAACTTCATGCTACCAGTCGTCAAAGCAGTCACAAAAGTCCTCATGGCTGCAGAAGAACTTCAACGGAACGAACACTTACAGATGTCCTATTGCGATATTGCTGAGATGGAAATGCTGCAGCTTATCAACAGTACCGCCGAAGAAACCGTGACACGTGAGAGAGAGCGAATGAGAATGCTGAGGGACTCCATCCACAGGTCGCAGGCAGTGCTGACGAACCGGATAAACACCCTTGAGAAGTAAAAGGGTGGTTGCTTGTTATGACCGGTTGAGAATGTGATTGATACGAGACGTACTTGCACCAGCGGCTCTGGGAATCAGTCTCCGGACCAAAGACTTCGCTTCGTACGCTTGGCCCACTCATGCAACAGGTTGAACTATGACCCGATACAGTCGCCAAGAGGCCAAGAAGTTTGAGACTGCGGGCGGGTGTCCATTGGTCTCGGCGAAGTGCCTAAAGGATCCATCTCACACCCTACCGAGCATCCATTCAAGACCCATCTCGTGTTGCTGAATCTCGCGATAATTCCTTGTCGGAATAATCCGATTCGACCTCAAGGGCTCAGGCCTGGACCTGACGTCAGGATTTGCAGGTCCGTCGGATCCCCAGATGACAGGGCCGATCAGCGTCTCAGATCTGATACCTTGGTGGTATGGGCCAGAGTGTTATTTTCATTATTATTATCACATATTATCATTATTTCATCTCGGGCTCTTGCAGGGTGCAGATACACCTACTGTACGCAAAGCCGGTGCTCCGGGTAACCCGGGCATTTTCATATTACCGTGCTCGAACAGGCAACAGTAATGGCTTTCGCCGTCCCAATATTGCGCTAGTCAAGAGGCAACAAGGATCCCCACTAGTATGGTACTCTTTTCGGGGCTCCGAAAGATGGTAAGATGGTAACTGCCCATCGGCCTGATAATTATTTTTTTTTTCTTCCACACCCAACCCCGAGCCGATTATGCTGGTTTATCTGCAATCAGCACAGAGCCCTGACCGTATCGGGAGATCCGAGAGAGAGTGAGAGAGAGAGAGAGAGAGAGAGAGGGAGAGAGACAGATAACGTACAGGGTTCCAACGCCACACCGGAAGGGGGATCCAACAAGGGTCCTTTAGATGACCGAATGGGCGCCCTAGCGAGGTCGGACCCACGCCAGGACCCCCAAAGACCCCAAGACCCTCATTGACCGAAGAATGTGGACAATCTCGGCCGCTGAGTGGCTAGACCCTGGCCAGGTCTGCAACCCTGATGGTGATTCGCGCCTCGATTTTCCTGTTTTGGTGCTCGTTATGCGGGGACTCGAGTTTTAGTGCGTTCGCAGCCAAGACCAAGACTGGGAGAAAGATTCCAGTGCTCGACAATGCTGAGAACCTGCGGGTGACTTCCGTGAATGCTAGATTGCTGCAGGGACGACACCTTCCTCCGTGAAGTATCCCCGAAGTAGCCGTGCTCTGTTTCACACACTGGAACGCATGGGAATGCTCTGATCTATTTTCATCTGGCTGCTCCCCCCGGTCTTCCTCTTTGGGTGATTCTCCTTCCCTGGTTTCGCTCCCCCGGCCCCGTTAGACCTGCTGGAACTGGTCCTCTTTCCACTCGGACCGCCTTGTTTCCAAGACCCTTTTTCTTCTACCCGAGCACTGACTGAGCTGGGCGGTGGATTCGTAGGGTCTGACTCGCTGGCGCTTTTGCTGCGGGGACTGTTTCCTTTCCGTCACCTGTGGTTGAGTTAACGGACCCTTAGCATCGGGTTCCGCCGTGAGAAGATATCATTATCTTCTCCTAGCTACCGATCCTGCCTTTCTCCCCAACTATCGGACGATGCGCATGAAAATCGCGACCTTGGCCCGCCCGCTTCTATCTTCTACACGCGTTTGAGGACCCTCCGCGGTCGCTCTGGTGGACATAACAGCTCACACTCTCCCCATCCGACCATGGCTTTCAATTCAGGGCTGAGCCCGATTGTCAAGCCTTGGGTATTGCTCCTGCTATTGGCCCTGCTGCAGTGCAGCTCGGCTCAATTTTGCTCCTTCTTGAACAATGGCTGCATCGACCCTCTCGCCCAGACTGCCGTAAGCTTCGACTTCCAGCCTCTTTTCACCGACCCCATCTATTTCTATTACGGCTTCGACGCTAGTTCTTCGGGCAAGGGCGAGGGTCCCATGACAAAGACTGGGTTCTGGCTTCGGTATCAGGATCGTCATGTCAACAAGGACGCCATCAATCAAAACATGACTTCAGAGGTTGCGCTCCGTGTCGGGAATATGACTGCCACGCCATCGGGAACCAACAATGGATGTGACGGTGTCTGGGGTACCCGATGCTCCAACGATATCAAGTTTGCCATTCAACAGACTATATTTCTCCTCTCTTCTTCAGGCCGATACTACGACCGACCTCTTCAAAAGGCTTTGGAGCATATGATGCTGGTTCCGCCGCATCTTCCCAATTGCGTTTCGTTCGTGTTTGACGTTGCCGCAATCCCGGTTCAAGGTTCGTTTTTTTACCCACTCGAGTATCATTGTTGCTTTCACAGTATGCTAACCACCTCGCATAGAATTTGCGAGAGAAGGAGACGACCAGAATGTCATCGTGATGCCCTCGGGATCTGGCGAACGCCCTTGGCAGGTGTTTTACCTTGATGACATGACTGATCACCAACAAGCTTCCCAAGTCGCCGTTGGAATCATCACTCGTGGTCCATCTCATAACAGCCCACCGCCAATGAGCCCTAATGAGATCCAAGTCGAGCTTGTGTGTCTTCAAGCTCCCCAGAGTCCGCCGAGCGGATCATCTTCAAAGGACCACGATTGAAACCTACTCTAGGGATGGTCATTGAACCATCCATGAATTTCTTACCTTTCTACCTAATACCGCGCCGCCGGATACCCTCGTTCACAACAGAACGCGACCAAGTTCATGAACGGCAGTCCAGTACTAATTAGTCGCTCGAGCAACTTCCATCCGGCATTGATCGTCTACCATACGTGATGACACCTTGCATCTCATAACACAAGTCGTTGATACATTCATTGTTGCCTACTCTATCACGGCCTACATGCTTACACAAAGGGATCAAGAAGCTGTCACACTCATCAATTCGTCACGAGTGGAACATCCCATAAAGAACGAAGCCTGCCCTGGCTTTGGCATTCCTGTGGTATTGCCAATTCACAGAGTCGGCCATTTATTATCAGCAGGCTTCAAATTGCCCGGTCCACGGAAATCCTCCAGAATATCCGCTTGCTCACTCAACATGACTCGATCCGTCTGAATACCAATCTTCGCAAGTCCACGCCACCGCTCCAAATCTTCCGGGTTCCGCTTATCGCCGTGCGCCTCCTTGGCCTTCTCCCAATGTCCCTTGGAGAATCCAAGCATGGTGGTGATCCGTCGTCGCGGGATGTCGTACACGAGAGAACACATTGTGCCCGTCTCTTCGAGCCAGTTACACTGCCATAACTCCCCGGGGCGGATGCACTGGTACTCTGCCGCCTGGAAGTTGATTCGCCCGGCCATCGGTCCGCCATGGATAGCATAGTTGATGCGGTCCTCGTTCTGGAACCACATCTCATAACGCCATTTTTCTGGCTTGCCCTGTTCATCTTGCGCGGCATAATCATAGATCAGATGGCGATCTCGCAGGTCTGCGTCGAAGGTTGATCCTTCCAGGGATGGACGGACAGGCATTTTACGGAACGGAATGGACGGGCCTGAGGGTGGATAAGAGGGTTTGGACGGGATAGAATGGTCGTTCGATATAGACTCAACAAAGTCCTTTGTGATATTCTCAAATGATCTCTCGATTTCGTAGCGTAGCGTTGTAGAGTAATGTTTTTCTCTCGATGCCTTCTACATTTCACTTATATAACCACGGACGTCCCGAGGTCGTTTTCAAGGCCGTGGACCCATCAGAGACGCCACCCAAGCTAAGTGCCGCGACACCGAACCGGATTTCCCGACACATCATCACTCGTGCCGGCGTCCCGAAAAGTAACTTCACTCAAGTTGCTTGCACTTCCTGCTTTGGGGGTTTGCGATGGAACAAGGCTTGAGGAAGGTCATGACATCACCACTTTGAAGCCCTCGGAGCCGGTGAGCACATGCCCCAAAGTAGCATTGTAGATGTATTCTATTGATAGATATACGATGCTTTTTAGCTCCGGCATGGATGCCAGGTGATACGAACCTATATTCCCGATGACTATATCGCCTTGAAAGGGTGTACTTGCGGGGAATGGTTCCACACAAACCATGTGATCCGGGAAGCTCGGGGTATATTTTGTATAGCTCTGTGTCTGGATGGAGACCGGGATGTGCCTGACACAGCACTTGAGTGATTGGCGTGGACGATCAAAGCTTATTGTGTAGTTCTTCGGTGGTTCTGGGGCGTGGTTCGTGGGTACAGCCCTCCCGAGAAGACCATCTCAAGGGGCCTCTACACTTGGGTTTCAGCTCTTTTTCGACATTCTTGCGGGCGACTCTTGAGCGCTCGTTGTATCCCCTTTTCTTTGTTTCTTTCCCAGAATACCCCTCTACATGGCTTGGAACACCTATGGCAGGGTGTAGGAGAGTTTAGGCAATCCCGGCAAGATCCATCAACTTGGAGCTTAACTGAATCTATGTTGAAGTAGACCGATCCGTCCTCAACAACAGCCTCTTTTTAGTTAGAGGCGTCTTATACTTGTGGTCGTTGATTGAAAAAGGGGTTTGTGAGGTTCACAACAAGATGAAGCGAGACGTTCGAACTGTGGACAATCCAAGCGCCCTGTGAGGAATTCGAGGTGAGATGCTTAGTTTGACATCCCTGGGCAATGTCGCGCCGAGTCTTTATTTTGAACCTGCCATTTTTTCCTTTGACTTTCATTCCCTGGATGATTATTTTCCTCCGCAGAAGTGCTTTCCTGTCCCTTTCGGAGTAGATGATCACGTTGCACACCGCTAGCCTCTGATTCGTCACGCTTATCAGGAACGAATCGCGCAATGGCTTCACGATATGATTGTTATGCCCTCGAGCATTTCATGAGGCTGTTACTCATGTTTCAGGCTATTCTGGGGTGGTTCCCGCTCGTCAATGCTTCGGCAGGTCTTCCTGGAGCTTCAGCCTATGTCGCTGCCGCCGGGTTTCCCACTTCGGCGTTCTCGTACGGATTCTCAAGTTCAATTGAAGTCTATCGCTGACAAAAGCTACAGTTCCTACTATGAATCCCCGGCTCTGCCGACCAGACAGCCTCAACCTATCATTTATGATCCAGTGCTCGATATCACCTTCCCTTATGAGCTGACAACCCCCGATATCATCCCTGAAAGCTCAGACGAGGTTTATTTCCCGGTTCCAAAGAAAAGGTTGACTTGGGAGGAGAAAGATGAGTTGATCGATGCCGTTGTCACTAACGTGACTGCGATCATCAAATCAACTGAAAAGAGCAGCACTTGCTCTAAATGCAAGGAGGCACTGGGCTCCGCCAAGCTTGCGGCATCGTATGCTCCTCTCCTGGTACCAGATGCCATGACCAGTTTGTGCAAAACCTTCGAGTTTTACACGAATGAGACTTGTGATGAGAACTTCCTGGATCAAGCTTTCGGTGCAATTTGGACCCAGGTACTCGCTCTTGCCGATGTGTCAGGCCAGGATGGTGACTACATCTGCCATACGCTCAAGAGCGACTTTTGTCCTGAGCCCCCACCTCGTCCATTGGATACATCCGAGCTGTTCCCTAAGCCCAGGCCCGATCATGTTCAAGTTCCCGAGGCAAGTGGCACGCGTTTGAAAGTGCTTCACATGTCCGACTTCCATCTGGATCCTCGATATGCAGTCAGCGCGGAAGCAAACTGCACTTCTGGGTTGTGCTGTCGTTCGGACAACTTCAATACTCAGTCAAATCAGAGCGATGCTCTTCTTCCTGCTTCGCCTTATGGGTACTTCCTATGCGATACCCCGTACGATCTGGCCTTGGCAGCTTTGCAGGCTGTTGGTCCCCTGACCGGTACTAGCAAGGGTGCTTGTGGTGGATCACTGGCATGGACTATTTACACTGGCGATCTTGCCTCGCACGACCCCGAGCTTCAGATGTCCCGAGACTACATTGAATACGCAGAGACCAGTGTTTTTGACCTGCTCAAGCAATATCTCTCGGGGCCCGTTTTCTGTGCGTTGGGGAATCATGACTCTAGTCCTGCAAGTATTGATGCCCCACACAGATTTCCTGGGCGATTGGGTGAACAGATGAGTTGGAATTTCAACCACTTGTCTGCCTTGTGGCAACATGAGGGTTGGATCAGTCGCGAGACTGCAGAGGAAGCACGAACGCACTATGGAGGTTACTCAGTCAAGACCCACCATGGACTCCGCATCATTGCCTTCAACACCGGTGAAGACTTCTACCATTGAACTTGAGGCCTGGCGATCTAATTTAATGCAGACTTCTGGTACAAGAAAAACTTTCTGAACCTGGTCAACACTACCGAGCCCGACAACTCAGGCGTCTTCTCATGGATGATCGAAGAGCTCCAGAAGGCCGAGGACCGTAGTGAGCGAGTCTGGCTCGTCGGTCATGTCCCTAGTGGCTGGGACGGTTACAACCCGCTGCCCGATCCTACTAACCTCTTCTATCAGATCGTGGGCCGGTACTCGCCGCATGTGATTGCCGAAATCTTCTTCGGTCACAATCACGAGGACCAATTTATGATCTATTATGCAAACAACGGCACAGTCCAGAATGCAGAGACTGCTCTCGTGACCGGATGGGTCGGTCCCAGTATAACACCTCTCACGAATGTGAACAGCGCATTCCGGATGTATGAGGTTGACTCGGGCAACTTCAACGTCTACGAAGCATATACGTTCTTCAGCAACGTGTCTGAGTATTCCGGTCTCCGCGACAATGGGCCCACTTTCCAGCTTGAGTACTCTACTCGTGAGACTTATGGGCCGGCTGCTGGATGGGACAAGGATGATCCTTTGAACGCGACTTTCTGGCACCGTGTGACCGAGGCAATGGAGAAAGATCGAGAGCTCGTCACTTTGCAGAATCATCTGCAGGGTAGGAAAAGTGTGAAGTCTCCCATCTGCGATACGGCCGAATGTCAGAAGGCCAAGATCTGCTACATGCGCAGTGGCAGTACTGCATTGGGCTATCAGTGTCCTCAAGGGTAAGTTTTGCTGTATTGTTTATATAGACTCTCGGGTGTTTTTGACACTATTTAGGTATGGTTCTGTCCAGAGCCCTTTCAAGAAGCACTGAGCGGTGGCCCAGCTTAGGTGTTCGCATTTGATCTGAGAGGACGGGTCTCCTGCGATCTTAACATAGCTCCTCATGTTGTGAACGAGCATTTAATTCTAATAAAGTAACTCGTTTATCCCATTTTGCTTTCACGTATTGTCGGAGCTCCAGGGCTATCCAAATGCCTAATAATCGCCGGTTTGGCGCCCTTCCAAACCGCCGTGAAACCTTGAAAGTTGATACATATCCGATAATCTGCCTGATTGATTATGTTCAAAATATTGGAGCACCTTGTCAGGAGCACCTTGTCAGGAGCGATTGATCTTCTCACCGTTCCAAGGCTCATACCCACATATATCTTCCGTGTTTACTTGGACATGCTATTGTGGGGGTGCTTCTTTGTGCCCAAGAGAGACTAAGCTTCTTGTTGGCCTCATATGATGGCCTGTTTAAAATTATTTGTGACATAGAGCATAAATAAGATCCTCCATCATAACAAACGGGTTCCATAACTCAGTTGGTTAGAGTGTGGTGCTAATAACGCCAAAGTCGAGGGTTCGACCCCCTCTGGAACCATTTCTTTTTTGCATTTAATTTTATTCCTCCTTCGCATCACGTTCCAAGGTTCCGTCTAGCCTTATTACGTTGTTTCTTTTTGCTATTGGCTCAAGCTCCAGGTTCGTCCCAATTTTAGGTGGCGTAAAGTTTCACTATTGACCAGTCTATACCTAATGCACCGAAGTGCGTGTGCATATGATAGTTATCCCTAGCAAACCATTTCCCAATTCAAGTTTCGAAAAATGCAGGGATGAAAAGAAAAAACAGGCAGCAGGTTCAGCAAAAAGAAAAAGAGCGATCCTGGCACAAGAAACTGGTCGAGGAAAGGGTATGACCCGCAAATCGCAAATCATCGGTGGGGTAGGAGTGTCACCTCGGGGTGGTCGTAGAGTCGCAGGAAAAAAGTTAGCTGACACCGAGACTCATTTTGTCATTGACCGAGCTCCGCAGCTACCTCGAATCTTGATCAAACCCTTCACATCGATTAGCTCTGGGTGCCGAGGGCTCCCGGGCGCGTCGATGCATGACGTAGGGACTTCTTCCCCGTAACTTTTCTATATCGTCATCATGTCCCTCCGAGCCTTCCGTGATTTAATGCCCACGCTGCCCTAAAGATCAGCAGTAACGCTGTCCGACCGACCTATCTACTTTCTCCTTGTCATATCCTAATCACCAAGGCCTTTTTTCTTTCTTTCGCATACCCTACCTTAACTTACCTTACCAGCCAAAATGAGTTTGCGGGTTGTTCAGTTGGGTCTCCGTGTGTGGGAGGTATGTTGTGATCGAGGCGTTTACTGCTCTATAGCTAATCCTCGTGATTTGCAGTTTTTGTGGACTGTCCTCATCATGTCCCTTGTTGGTAATATGATCGCCGAGGCATTCGCCGGCAACCCGAGCTCGATCAACTATGTCATGTTCGTGTCGGCGTTCTCGATGTTCACGCTCTTCTACCTGTTCCCTGCTTCTTGGAACTCGGACTGGGCCATTCACCCCATTATCATGATCATTGTGGACGGACTCAACGCTGTGTTCTTCTTCTGCGCTGCTATTGCGCTGGCTGCGAAGCTGGAAGCCCACTCATGCACGAACAAGGTATGCAAAGTACATCTTCACAGTCAGTTCATGGCTAATAACTTCTCCCAGCAATACCTCATTAACAACGAAATTACCAACGGCGCCCACAACATGACCAAGCGCTGCCGTGAGGCCCAGGCATCGACTGCCTTCCTGTGGTTCGGCTGGGCTGGTTATATGGCCTCCGTCGTTATTTCAGTCTTCATGTCCCGCACCTCTACCTCGACCATGCGCGGCCGCTCGGGCAGCCGTCGCCGCCCCAACATGGCCCAGGTCTAAACTTGGAAACAAGTAGGTAGACCTTCAGACGTGGTCGTGGAAGCTCCTAGGGTGACCTTGACCTTGAGGCTTTCTGCGGAGAAGGTCTCTCTATCCTAAGGGACGCGAGAGCTAGTCTTCAAGACCACGAAATACATCACGACTTACGTTTGGGATGGCGTTAACGGGCCAGGGTTGGAAGGACGAGTGTACGATTGACGGCTCTGCTTGGGAATTGACTGCATTGGTCTTCCTGCTCGTAGGAGGAAAACGATCTTGGAAATTTACTTTATAATCTGCGAGGGACTTGGGGATAATTGTTTGAGCTATTGTGTTATTAATAATCGTTGATCTGGATTTTGATACCGAATGTACGAGCAATCTTGATGCGACTGTTAGAGATCGCTGTCGACACCTTTGTCTTTGTAGCTGTATAGGTGTACATGAGATTGGCACCCAAGGGACGTCGAATGTATTGACAGCTTGGCGAATCATCTAGACTCGTGTAGTTCTCTGATTCTACTCTGGTCTGGATTCAAATCGGTTCTAGTTCACTTGACCGAAGAAGTAGACGGGGGGTATGTTGTGAAGTGACCTTGGGAGGCTGCGGCTGCGTACCTAAGCATAGCGTTGAGTCACCCTGAACGTCGAACCGTGCGTAAAACACACATTGTCTGTTCACAGCTCAATTATTCGGAAATTTACAGAAGGTCTGAATACCTTCACTGACAGGTTTCAAGCTAGGGCACCTGCAGCGGGGCACCTTCCCTCCGCTCCACCCAAAGAATTTCTCCAGAGCTCGGATCCGCCACGGCTTCATCAACTCCCCGGTTTCTCCATCCCTTTCCCCTTCCACCATCAAAATGCCCGTCAGGTGAGAATGCCAATGTGAATCCCGAGTGATTGCGTCCAACTGACTGGTGACCAGCTACTTGATTCTGCTCTCCCGACAGGGCAAAGTGGTGCGTCCCCGTCCTCGTGGCCCACCCCGATTTCGGTCCACCTGGCTTGAAGCCGACTAACAAATCTCTGCGCAGCGCCTTGCTAAGTGGTTCACCACTCTCTCTCCCAAGGAGAAGGCCAAGATCATCAAAGATGTGACCCAGCTGGTTCTGTCGCGCCGGACGCGAATGTGCAATTTCCTCGAATACAAAGGTGGCTGCCCCCCATACTACCTACCGCAAACACCTGCACTTCCTTACTGACCACTCGGCCCTGCAGACTCGAAAGTCGTCTACCGTCGCTATGCCTCTCTCTTCTTCATCGCCGGCTGCTCATCCACCGACAACGAGCTGATCAACCTCGAGATCGTCCACCGTTACGTCGAACAGATGGACAAATACTACGGAAACGTGTGCGAGCTGGATATCATCTTCAATTTCCAGAAGGCATACTTCATCCTGGATGAGCTGTTATTGGCGGGAGAAATGCAGGAAAGTAGCAAGAAGAATGTACTACGGTGCATCAGCCAGCAGGACAGCCTGGAAGATATGGAGGTAAGTCTGATACAATTCCCCCGCCTCCCCCAACTCCCATGGGATGCGATACTTGGAGTGTCTTCCATCGTGGATGTACATTCTTGGAGATCCTTGGCCCTTCCTCCTTATCCCATATTACACTTCTCCCCCCTTCCAGGTGCGGGGCTAATGCTCTCCCCAGGTTGAGGAAGACGTGGTCACCAAGATCATGTAACGACGGAGCGACTCGTGTTTTTTTTATTTTTTATAATTGGCGTAGCGACTTTTGTTTTATATACTGATAATACCAACCTGCCAATTCAGGACGCAGAAGATATCTCTCGCAACCTGGCCGCAGTCGGGCTCTGAACTGAACTCTGAAGAACTCTGAACTCAGAACGAGTGATCCATGGATTGGGCCACTCGTGAGGTCAGTGCGCCTTTTCACTGGTGAGCTGGATCGACCACGTGATTGCAACCTGCAACCCCCCTCCTTATCGTTGGCCTCGAGTTGCGCTGCCCTTTATCATCTGCCCTGATTCCTTTGATTCCTCTCTCTTCGAATTTCCCTCATCCCCAGCTGGTTGCCTTCACTTCTGCTTGCGGCTATCTGGCTCTCTTGCTCTGTTATCGCCGATCGGGCCCCCCATCTCCGCCTCCGCTCCCGGCTCCGGCTCCGGCGCGACCACCCGCGTCATCTCATCACCGCTCAACTCCAGCGCTTCAGCCACGTCTTCTCTCACCATCGCAGAATCGACCCAATATCTTCCACAATCGACCAATTTGATTGCTAGCGTCTACATCGCTCCCTGCTAGGATGAAGGTAGGTTGAAGTCTCCTTGGTCATCATGGTGACACATCACCTATCTCTCTCTCCGGTCGGCTTTACTCACCGTTGGTTCCCTTTAGTTTCTTCCTCTCCCAGAGTTTGAGGATGTCACAAGTTCTCTGAACTTCGATACCACCGACTGTCATATCGTGGGTGGGTGTGATTTGTACACGACCAAGGCTGCGCGATCCGACCGGAAGCTTTACAACCACATCGAACAATCGCTCGAAGCCCAGTATGAATCAATCCTTCGCCTCTCTGCCTCTTTGTCTCCACCAAATGCCCACGAGGCCGCCGAAACCCTGAATCTGTCACGCTCAAGTCCATTCGGGCCCCTGAGTGAGCACTCGAGCCGTCGCACGTTCGCCTATCTCATTGCCACGCTCAATGCAAGCCATTCAGACTACGATTTCTCACATGTGCTGCGACCCACCGATTTCCGCCGCGAGCGCCACCCCAAGCGTGTCATGAATACGATAAATTCAACGCTATACAATTTGCGGCCTCGCGAGTCCATTGATTTCTCTCCTTCATCCCCAGCGACCCTTTCGGGGTCATACAACAGCAGCACTCCTGCCTGGGGCCCGCGGATGTGGAGGATCATGGACGACCACATGTCACTCAAGGAGTGCTCAGTTTACTCGTACTCACCGGAGGAGGATCCAGCCGACGCTGACGACGGAGCGATCTGGAGTCTGCATTACTTCTGGTTCAACCCCTTGCGGAAACGCGTTTGCTATCTCTACTTGCGAGCAATCCCCATTCTCAGCCATAGTCCTCCCGAGGATAGTGAGATGGCCGTGACGCCCACAGGCAAGCGAAACTTCGACGATGGATACTTGACTCCAGACCTCAGCTCCAGTAAGCGAGCGCGCTACTGGCTTGGAAGCCGAGTGGAGTCTTCGCTACGTCATCAACAAAGCGACGATGATGACCTGGATCATCAACCTCCGCGTCCTGTGATAGAGGACGAGGACCAATTCATGCTCAGTGATGAAGAGATTCGCTCGCGCTCACATAGTAAGGGTATGGTGAGAGCGATGAGTGAAGAGATTGCGGATGCGATGGAAGTTTAGTGGTTTTCTGCTTCAGCTGCTCTCTCGATTTGTTCTTTTTTTTCTTCTTTCCCGTTGATCGGTGATTCTTTCATAATAGCCGGAGGAGTTCGGTCTGATATTGAGGTTCTTCGGGCTTGTGGCGCAATTCAACCTGCATATCTCTTTTGCCACGGGCGTTGGGGGACGAGACTAACACTGAGGACGCTTTTTTTTCCTCTTCGGTTCTGCTGTTTATACCTCTTAATGATACCTATACCTATCTGCCAGTCTTCTGTCAACCAAATGCCCGTTGTACGCTGCATCTAGGCGTAGAGCTTCTTCCCGAGAATTGGCCATTGATCTTCAATATTGAGCCTGCGAGAGTAAGCAAGCACCAAGGCTGACGATGCATCTAACACCAAGTATTGCACCCGACCGGTAGGGTGCCTCAGTAAACACACGCCACTTACGTCCGTACTCTAGATTCTCAAGGCACGATTTAGGTACATGCTATGCACTAGTAACTAGGTATATTTTGAGCTACTTGAAATGTCTTCCGGTAGACATAATCCTGCCGATGTACCTAGGTGCATATGTACAGAGAGTGCATTACATGCCCGTATAGATCGATGGTGGCCCGTGCGCAGATGGGGCAAGCTGTCCATTCTCCGACTCCTTCCACTTCCTCCACTTCCACCAGTCTATTGACTCCACGTTAACCAACTAATCATGGCCGACGAGGAGGAGCGCATTAAAGCTGAGAAGCTGGCTGCTGCCAAGAAGAGGGTATTTTCTGCTTCGTTCTGACGACGTGGCGATCTTCTATGGCTAACAGGTACCGTGTTTTGCAGGTGGCTCAGCTCCAGAAACAGAAGAAGAAGGCCAACAAGAAGGCCTCAACCGCGACAGATACATCCAAAGATGCTGAGTCTGCTAAAGAGACTGATCCCACCGAAGAACCTTTGACGGAACCTGCGGCTGAACCTGTCCCCGAGACAACATCGTCAGAGAACCCCGAGGAGAAGCCGCAGGAAGAGACCGCGGTAGAGACCGAAACCTCCGAGCAACCAGAAGAAAAAGAACAGACCGAGAGACCCGATGCGCCTGTCGAGTCCCCCGTTGAACCCATGCCCCCCGCCCCCACCTCTCCTGGTTCAGAGACGGACGCTCAACTAGCCCGACTAGATACCCCCCGAGCCGGCCACACCCGCCAGCCGTCGCTGTCGATCCAATCTAAGATGCGCTCGTCCTCATTTCGCAAGACTTCCGTGTCTCACGGCAGCCCTTCCCCATCTCCGGCCTCCACTCTCAAGTCTCCTCCGCAGTCACTACCGCCCCTGACCGGGGATGGAGATTCAGTCCATGAGGTGTTCCAGAAGCAGTCTACGCGGATCAGTGAGCTTGAGAAGGACAATAAGCGCATGGAGAAGGAGCTAGCGGATGCGACGAGCCGCTGGCGCAAGACGGAGGATCAATTGGAGGATCTGCGCGAGAGTAGTGTGGATGTGCCAGAGCTGAAAGAGCAGTTGAAGAAAGCCGAGGAGAAGGCGGCGAGCATTGAGACATTGGTAAGAATTCCATATCTTTGGACAAGTGACACAGGCTGACCCCGTTGGAACAGAATGAGGAAATCGCTTCGCTACAACGGCAAAACTCACAACTCCAGTCTCGGTCAAACAGAAATAATGCCAACTCTACACCAGGTTCATCAGATTCACCACCGGCGGATCTCATGCGTCAGCTAGAGTCCAAGTCGGCCACTATCGAGGCTATGGAATTGGAAATTTCCAATCTACGAGCACAGGTCACCTCACAATCATCCTCTAATGAGGCCCATGAGAGCCAGCTCGCGGCATTGGAGGAGAAAATTACAAACAACCAGATGGCGCTTGAGCGTTCTCAGCGTGAACTGGCAGATACGAAGCAAGCTCTTACGCGCGCTTCCGAGAAGGCCGTCAAGGAAGGCGTGGACAAGACATCAACCGAGACTCTGATCAAGACGCTGCAACGTGAAATCGAAGAACTCAAGAATGAGAAGAGTGAGGCTGAGAAGAAGATCGAAACTTTCGATAAGAAGCTCCAGGCCATGGGCAACCTGCACAAGGAATCCGAGAGCCGGCACCAAGCCCGCCTCCGCGAGAGTGAAAAGATCGAGAAAGAAATTGCCGTTATGCGGAAGAAGCTAGCTAGTATCGAAAACGAGAACCTTCGCCTCCGTGAAGAGCGTGACCGTATTCGCAAACGCGAGGCCGGTGGCGGCGCAGACGACGAAGCCCTCGACGAGCTCGAAGACGAAGAACGTCAGCGCCTTGAGCGCCGCATTCGTGAGTTAGAAAGCGAGAACTTTGATCTACGCCGCGGCGTCTGGCAAGAGAGGCGCCAGGAATTGGCCGGTCATCAGTATCCCGAGGAGGGCGCTGAGTCTGCCGGTGACGCCGGTGCTAATGCGTTCGATGATGTTGACCTTGTTGGTGGACGGCCTGACCATGCCCGTCGCCGTAGCATGGCCGCGCAACAGCACTCGTCCTTCTCGACTGTTCTGTCTAGTGGCTTTGCTGCCTTTACAGGATCTGGTAACCGCTCTCGGGCTGGATCGTCCAACCCGCCCCATCCCCATGCCCCTGCTACGCGTGGCAGCCTCGAGTTGCTCTCCGAAGAGAATCTCGACGATGAATTCGACGAAGCTGAGTTCGCGCGCGCCCAGGCGGAGGAAGAAGCGCGCAAGCGTGTCGAGTGGATGCGCAATATTAAGAGTAAACTGCGCGATTGGGAGAAGTGGCGGCTGGACCTGGTTGATAGCCGGGCTGGTGCCGAGGGCGCAGGAGTTGGCATGGGCGAGATCTTTGAGGTTTGAGATTTGGTCTGCACAAATCCTCGTCCTCGGGCGAATTGGGCATTTGGGGTGGCGCTTGATATTATATACCATGATATACCATGATCTTGTCTTCAATACAACTTCTGTCTGCTTGTAATTATCCTGCCATAGTCCAGACATTTGAGCATTCTATCGACCAGGATAGAGGAATAAAGGATGTTTTGAACCTGGTCTTGCTATTCAATCCATTTGGGGACTACTTGTGTACACAACTATACAAAAACAACTATAAAAAAACACACCAAAGAAATGCATTCAAAAACAAATGGTAACTCCTCAATCCGAATAATGCTTCCCCGTCAAAACACCCTCTGTCTGCCTCCGTCTCTTAATCAAGAAGTCGCCAACCCACCCCGAAATCTGATAAATCCAGCCACCCGTGACAAGCACGCCGGAAAGAGTGTTAATGACACGAATGACGAGAGCCAAGAATCCACTCCGCTCTTCACTGATCAGCAACATAATAGGCTCAATGTTGTACTTGAAGAATATGCCCGGAACGAGCGTCGGCGTCTCGGGGATCGGACCACTCTGGCTAGTCGCTGCATACTGGTTTGTGAAGATGGTGTTCCGTCCAGACCGGGTGTTCGAAGTGTATGCGTCGAGCGCGTTTCTGCCCTTAGAATACAATGTTGGAACCACAGAAAGGAAGTACTGGAACTTGTGGTAGTGGCTTTCACTTTCAGCAATGGTCTTGTCCAAAGGGTTAAGCAGACTCGGGTAGTGAGGACCGAAGGAGAGCTCGGTAATCATATGCGAGAAATTGAACGCTATACTCCACATTAGTAAATCCAATCCTACCCAGAACCCCCCAATTCAGGAACCAAAACATAAACAGAAACATACCCGAATGATCCAGATGCGGCGCCATCTCTCTATACCCATGACCCCTCGCCGTAATGTGGAAATCACCCTGCACCTTGTTTCCCTCGAGACTCCCATAAATGCGACAAGAATCCGCAGTTTCACCCCAGCGCATACGCGGCCCCTTGGCAAACTTGCGCCTTGAGTTACGGCGCACCTCCCCAATAACATGGTGCACGTGAGCATCCGCCTCCTGCGCGCTGATCCTCTCGTCATCCTCATGGCTAAGAGTTTGGTACTCGTGTGTGCCGCCGTAGGTCTCGTAGTTGCGCTTCTGCATCCATAGCAGCCAGCTTGTTTCCTCGCGCTTGAGGAGGTCGCCTGCGAGGATGCGGTCGCCGGCGGCATCTTGGATGTTGACGCGGAGGGTGTCGCAGGGCATATTGACCACTATGTCGAGGTTGAGTTGGAGGTCGTGCGAGACGCCTTTTTCAACGCTGAAGTGGTGGTGTTCTGAGCCGCGCCACCATGTTTTGAACTCGGAGAAGCTGAAGAGGGTGCAGACGAGGAGGATTAGGACGGTCCATTGGCCTCCACGGGCGGAGGGGGTTGTGTACGAGGCTTTCGTCTTGGCTGGAGAGGGAATTGTTAGGTAGGGTGATCTTTCACTTGCAATTGTGTTCAATTGAAGAGAGAGAGCTGATGAGCTCGAGGGAATTGGCATGAACTTACGGAAAGCGTCAAAGGCCTTTACCCCTGAGAGGCTGGACTTTTCTCCGAAGGAATCCTCGTCGAGGCCCTTAGAGTCGAAGCCATTCATTGCGAGAGGGTGGACATGAAGAAGTTGGAGTCGGAGAGTCGGAAAGTTGGAGTGGAGTAAACACGATAAGGCGATGAGGCCAACTAAGCCGATACGCGGACCCACATGTCTATACTTGAACTGCACTATAGATACATTAACCACGAAAATAGAAAGAATAGCCAATTCATTGCTAGTTCGAGCTCTATAGAGCACTCATGAAGCTCTCACATGAGAGATGCAAGCGATAAAAATGTACAACAGGAGCAAAAGCCCCCGGGGAAGTCGTGAGATAACGAGGGACATCAACGAAAGACATGGAACATGGAACATGGTCTCAGTAAACCCCTTCACAAAAATCATATCAGGGCCCAGATGCAAATGCTGTCAACAAACATAACGGGTATAGGATGGATGTCGTCCTGTTTTGAACTCCCGGTTTCGCACCGGACCAACAAATGCCGACATGACAAACCACCTGATGCATGGGAAAAAAAAGAAAAGAAAAGAGAAGAAAAAGAAGAAGAAGAATAAACAATTATGATTACAGGGCTTGAGAAGAACAAGATGAAGTAGACGTTACTTGGTCCTCTGTAGTTGGTCAGCGGTTTGAGGTCTTCAGAGGTCGTGTCGACTGGCGCCGGCTTAACTCACTAAGCTAGTCGCAGCCGCCGCCGTCGCGAGATCGGTTTTCCCACTGATGCTTCGTGCTGAAGCACGGGGCAATGCAGTTCCAGACGTGCCAGTAGGATTGTTGGGTGCTCGCTTGGCGGGGCTGGACGGCGGAAGGCCGCTGACGGTTGAATGGCGTTTCCCGGAGCCCTTGACGGGAGAGTTTCCGGAGGCATCACGGAGACGACCAGACGAGCCAGTCTTCAAGCTGTTGCCCGGAGGCTCGGGAAGCGGACGTGAGCTAGAGGTGTTGGTGCCTCGCTTGGAGGGTGAATTCATCGCGGCGTACATCCGAGGCCGAGAGTGCGCCTTGACGCCGGTGATAAACTCGTGCTTCAGGGCGTCGTGAGGGGTCAAACGGCGAGCGGGATCCCAGCGGAGACAACGGGCAAGGAAGTCAAGGAAAGCTTCATCATCGCATCTCAGGGCTTGCCTGAGTTCCTTAGAGCTCGGACGGCGGCGACGCCCCTTGGACGAGACGGTCAGGCGAGGTTTGCCCAGAGAATCAAAGAATAGCTTCTTGCGAGTGCTCTTCTCGATCAAATGCTTCTCCGGGGGTCCAAACACTTCCATGATGCAGGCCAATTGTTCCTGCTCATTCTCACCAGGAAAGATGGGATAGCCGGTGAAAAGCTCAGCCAGGATACAGCCAAGACTCCACATGTCAATGGGCATGCCGTAAGACATTCCAAGAATGACTTCTGGGGATCGATAGAAACGACTCTGGATATAGGTGTAAACTTTTTCGTTCTCGAAGCAGCTCGAACCGAAGTCAATGACGCGGATCTCCGAGTTCAACGGATGCACGAGAAGAATGTTCTCCGGCTTCAGATCACAGTGAATGACCTTCTTGGCATGCAATAAAACCAAGCTGGTAAGCATCTGCTTGGTAAACCGGCGAATGAGCTTGAGCGAGAAGCCCTTGAAGTCATGTGCCTTGATGAACTCGTACAAGTTCATGCCAAGGAGCTCGGTCGAAATGCAGAGATGGCCACGGAAGTAGAAGCTCTGTGTGAAGTTGACCACGCTGTGACGGCGATCGGGATCCCACTCCTTGAGCTTTGTTAGGAGGTTGACCTCAATCAACGCCTGCTGGTGGAAACGCTTCTTGTTGCGAATAATCTTGATTGCAACCAAAGCGCCAGTCTTGTGGTCAACACAACGCACGACCTGACCGAAACTTCCCTTGCCGAGAACACTAACAACCTCGTAGCGGTAGGCCAAATGGTCACCCATCACAATGTTGTAATCACCCCGATCATCATCGTAGCCAAAGTTCGCAGCGCCTGAATGGAGATCACCAATGTGCTTCTTGGCATTCTGGGTGCCGCAGAAGAAGATATCCCGATAGTCAATGATCTCGCCGCGCTCGAAGATGTTCAAGTTTGCCATCTTCAGAGCCTGAGCGGGACTGACACGATCCTTCGGCCCTGCCTTGCGACGCAGATCATCCAATTCTTTCGCTGCAGTCTCAAAGTCCTTGCGCTTAGACCCCAGTCTCCTCATCTCCTCATCGGCAATAACGACATCTGCATCGACATTGGTATCAACCGACCGAGAAGAGGCAGCAACGCTTGATCGGGCAGAGTTGATGATCTTGTGAACTGGGGAGACATAGGAACTGGAAGCACGGTTTTGAGAATGCTCACTGGCACCGGACTCATTGGAATGAGTAGGTTCCAGACGCAAGCTCCGATCACTGCTGACACTGGGCTTCCGGTTAGCAGCTTGCTTCGAAATGCTCGACACAGATGACTGTCGCCGGGGTTTGAGGAATGACGACTTGACAGTGGGACTGGTTGATGGAATGGAGGACAAATTATTCCACGTCGCAGATGCAGGAAGCTTTGGCGGCGGCATGTGATTGTACTTGGTTGAGTCGGAATCCGTTTCAGAAGACTTGTTAGCCTTGGAGTTGCTACGAATCCGGGTCACAGTCAATCGCTCCTTGGGGTTAGAGACCGGCGCAGGAGCACTTTCTGGCTCCGATGGCGTCGAAATCTGGCTCAATCTCTCCGCAGCTGGTGTGAAAACCGCACTTTGCGTTTGAGGTCGCGGTCCCGTCAATTTGTATGACTGCGAGGCTCGGTTGGAATAATCACCACTGGCCTGATAGCGAAGTGCATTGAACTCAGAGCCACTCTTTGGTAAAGTGTATGATGCGTAGGGTGAGATGTTGCGTGTGCCATTGGGCGTTTCAAAGGCACTGGTACTGCTGGCAGTCCGCAGCGCTGCTGAAGAGGTAGAGCTCAATGCAAAATGCGATGTGCTACTCCGAGCTATCGTGGCAGGCCCTGTATCTTCGTCATCACCATAGCCCCAGAAATTGACCTTTGAAGCAGTCATCGGGGTACTAGGAGTCTTGGAGGTGATTTGATTGGATGGGGTATATGATTTCCGTTCCTCAGCCTCCCTGTCCTTCAAGGCTTCGATTTTGGTTGTCATGGGTGTACCCAAAGGAAGCAGGTTCAACGGGGGAAGCTTCAGTGGCTGCAGACCCTTGCGACCCACCACAGTAGAATTTCTTGTGCGCGATTCGGGTGTCTTTGTAGCGTGCCCACGAGTGTAGTCAACATTCTCGGTGGTAGGGACCCGAGCCTCCGAGTCTGAATCCCGTGAAGAAATGTTAAGAAGACCGATATCGACCGGCAGACTGGACTTCCTTGGCGCCGGGAAAACAGGCGCATCAAGCTCACCCTTAGGCGATTCGTAAGCCTTGGGAATGGCGGGCACTGGCGGAACCTCTTCCCCGGTGGAAGAAGAGGAGTTTTGCTCTGTGCGTGGTTTCGGCGTGGGTAATCGAGAAGAGGAGAAGTTCTGAGACAGACGCGGTTGGAGCGAGCTTCCAGAATTGCGAATCGAGTTGTAACTTGTGTTTGATGACAATGATAATCCAGAGCTGTATGATTTGCGGTTCGGGTCTGGAGTCGTTCGGTTGGAAGAAGGAGTGATGCTTTTCCTAGGGAGAAGAGAAGGGGATTGGGTTGATGACACAGGACGGATGGGAAGCGGCTCTGTTGGCGTAGGAGGGGTGTGAGGCATGGGAGGGATAGTTGGCATCATTGACATTCGCTTAGCTCGACGTGCATCAGTTGGACTGACAGTGCGTGCACCCAAGCCGGAAGCATGGGGCATAGTAGACATGCGCTTGGAGGAAGAAGAGGGAGTTGTCACTGTTGACCCGGACGTGTTTGACGTGTTCCTGACTGGCGTTCGGACCGCATTGGTTGAAGAAGACCGTGAGTGGTCGATCGTACCGGTCGCAGTTAAGAAGGTGCTACGCGGCTCGCGAGGAGAGGGTTGCATAGACTTGGCTTTGAGGCTGCGTACAGACAACGGCACTCTGGTATCGTCCCGAGGTGGTTCGATGGGTTGACCACGAGGCCGAAGGACATTGTTCGGGTCGGTCCGAGTCGTATCCATACTGATCTTACGAGCGCTCAGACTCGCACGCCTCGCCGAAGCATTTGTGGGACCAAAAGCCCCGGAGCTGATAGACTTTCGTGATGCTCGAGAATGGGCAGGACCAGCATCGTTGGGCTGTGCGATACTTGAGCGACGGCCCCGAGCATTGCCGGATGTCGTTGATAGTCTCGAGGACGTTGGATTCATGCCATTCAATCGTGACACCTCGCTCTTGCGGCGAGCCGAAGCACCTCGTGTCCGATCCGAGATATTGCTCTCGTAGCTATTGGTTGTCCAGTTACTGTTTGTTGACAAGGCCGAATCGCGGTTCTCAGACGCCGGCCCACCAATTCCGGGCATGGGAAAGTGGTTTAAGGTGGGCTCGGTCATGATGCTGTTGTGGAAGTCGTCAAAATTGATCGGCGCCAGAAAATCCATGCTTTCTGGCGGGGTTTGACTAGTATCCATTTTCGACAGGTTTCCCACACTTGTGGATCGCAAATTGTAACCTTTCGTGGAATCGTTCGTAGCGTCAGTCGGTGAAATTTCGGGGTGAAAGTAATTGTTCGTTGGTTTGCTATAATCGAGATATCAGAATTTTGAGCATTGCTTCCCCACTGCGGGCAGGGAACAGGGGGCTTGCAAGTGAAGCCTACCTCCAGCGCGAGTTATCTTGCGGCCGGGGCCCCTGAGGGGCCTGTTGGCCTCGAATGGACAACCTTCTTCGACTCATATCCCCTGAACGTGGTCCTGCTACACCTCTCGAGGACTGCGAATCAACAGTGGTCTGGGCGTTCATGTGAAAACTGGTTGAGGCGGATTTCTGGAGGCGTCTGCGAGCGGGAGTCTCCGCTGAGTTCCGAGTGTTGGTTAGCAATTGTCGTATCCTGATGAGGCTTTGTGCCCTACCTCCTGAACCCGAATCATCGTTTCTGGAGGGATTGGATGACCGTGATTGGGCTGTTCCGGACTGGCCCCTCCCTGAAGCCTGCGACGAACTGGCCTGCATTATTCCAGATGCCACGCGGCTTCTAGTAGAGAGCAATCCTCAAATCGACAATCCGCGCCGGATCTGAGGGCGAGATACAACTGACAGGAATGATCACAAAGAAGAGCAGCACAGTCGCGCGACCCGGTCGAAGCGGTTACCGGTCCATGTCGGGGAGAATCGAGTAAAGCCTTCTGCGGTGCCCGGGCGAGGGGTCTGGCGTTGAGAAATAAATTTGGTGTAGCTCAGGTTTAGGTTGCTGGGGCAAGCAGGCGGTCGCAGTGAGGTAGGATCCACCACAACCAAACAATCTAACAACAGAAAGGGGGAGGGGTAGGGGGGAAGGAGTAAGGAGTAGTCCGGATCAAAGAGAATTCTTTTGTTCAGAGAAGAGTTGAAGATAAAAAGAAAGTGTAAACAAGCTGCAGCTAACTAGTTACTCTCAATATTCAGAACCCTGGGTTTCCCCTGATTGCGGACTGGCTGTACCGTACCGAACCAATCTTACCCACCTCGAACGGCTGCTCTGACAGTACACGATACACAATGCCCCAGAATGGGCAAATCTTTGCCCGATTCAGCAGGCATCGACGCTGCTCGCATGTGCATGTTGCGCCTGCCGATTGTTCGGTTCCCCTCGACTATCCTCCTCCTTCCCCGTCTCTCTATTCCAGTGAGTACTTCCGTGACTACTTGCTGCCTAGTCATGCCCATATCCTCTCAATATGGATGAATACACCCCGGAAGCCCTGGTGAACCGTGATGAGCCGGTCCCGGTACTGAATATCTCTTCTAAACCGAGGCGCACGAGTAAAAGCTCCGCGGACAGTACCCACTCGCGCTCATCTTCGCAAACAAAGAATTCTATCCAAGACCGACTGTGGACCAAGTATGGCTGGCGTGAAACTCTTCGTTGTGGCTCCTTTGCTGACAGTGACACAGGCTTCTACAACAAGTCATCCCCTCAGAAGATGACGAGGATGATGCCAACCCTGGAGACAAGGTCTTTACGGCCTCTCCGAAACGCCCGGGTTTCAGTCTTCCAACAATGTCCAACAACTTTCGCCGCTTTAATGCAAGGTATGCATTATTATTCTTGTAGCTGAGCCACAAGACTGACTCCGCTATAGAATTGGAGTGGTCTTTCTATTCCAGAATCGGGTAGAGCGCTTGTTGGCCTGGCGGAACCCAACTCATACCCTGTCTTTCCTTTTTGTATACTCCTTCATCTGCTTGGACCCGCACCTGCTACTGGTCATACCTCTGGTGATCCTCTTGCTCTTCATCATGGTGCCGGCATTCATCACTCGCCACCCCCCACCACCATCGACCTCTACCTCCAGCATTGTTCCTTATTACTCCTATGAAGGACCAGCATTAGCGCCGGCAAGAACTATCAAGCCAGCATCTGAAACCTCCAAGGATTTCTTCCGAAACATGCGAGACCTGCAGAATGTCATGGCAGATTTCTCGGATGTCCACGACGCAACCATATCCGTGTTTGCACCGTTAACTAATTTCTCCAATGAGAAACTGTCTTCGACCCTCTTTCTTGGTGGCACTGTTGCTGCTGTGGCCCTCTTCCTAACGGCACACCTCTTACCGCTCAGGCTGATTATGCTCGCGAGTGGAAATGCGGCCATCTTATTCAACAACCCGACATTCCGCATCTTCTTCCAAAGCCTGATCCAAGACGTTGGGGGTGGGGATTTGGATTCTGCACTTCCTCAGGACCAAGATCACGATATATTCAGTGCCGCTCTGCCAAAAGATCCAACAGCAGCGATGTCTGCATTGGAAAAGTTGACAGATATCTCGCTGGACACCGATCCCGAAGAGCGCGAGGTCGAGATTTTTGAGGTCCAGCACCGCGCGCCAGGAATATCAGAGTCCGGATGGGAAAATTTTCTTTTCAGTCCCCAACCATACGATCCGTTATCCCCATCTCGAATTGCTGGGGACCGACCCCGCGGCTGCCGCTTCTTCGATGACGTTCAGGCTCCATCTGGCTGGAAATGGAAAGGCAAGAAATGGGAACTCGATCTTGACTGCCGCGAATGGGTAGTAGAGCGCATGATCACTGGCGTTGGCTTTGAAGTTCCAGGGGCTTCATCGGAAGGCAATACTATTGTCGATGAAGTTGGCGGTTGGGTGTGGGATCTCCCATCAGAATCTACCTCAGTACAAGAGGAAGATAAGGAGATGACCGCCATGGGCTACGGCGACTTGGAGCCGGAGCCAAATACATCGTTAAAGGGCAAGGGCAGATCATTGTCGAAAGACAAACATCGGGCCAAGTCTTCACAGGATTGGGAGGAAGCAGGAAGTGCTTCTTACGGAGTTGGAGAATGGCGACGTCGTCGGTGGGTGCGAATTGTGCAACGCATGAATCTCCCACCAGCTGAGAATGTCACCTATTCGACCCTCGGCACCAATTGACGTATGTTTACGGTAATTCTTTCTATAGCGCATGATAGCCCACAATCTGTTTAATTTCGAGCCCATTATATACTGCTCAATCATTTCATCCATGAACATGCATAGATACACATCTATGTAGAGACAACTTTTTGAAGTAAAAGACCAGAAAACGCCCGAATCGCCTAACCAAATGCACAAGAGAACCTTATCCCATCTCTACTCCTGGGACTGCTTCCACTGGTCAATCCTCCTCCGCAGGTCACCCTCAGTCTGTTGCATGGGGTTGAGCTTGCGGTCCCGAACCATCGCGGCTAGGTTATCTCCGTGCTTCTCAACTAGTCTCGTAATCCACTCGACTTCCCGCTCGCTCAGATAGCGGGGCTTCTTGCTCTTAGCAACCTGGCCCTCACGATCGGCCTGGCGCTCCAGCTGCTGGACAATAACAGACGCTTGAGCGGCGTCGAGGTCAACCTCGTTGTCGGCTATGTCGTTCAGAGGGTCGTTGAGCGGGTTCGCGGCATTGCGCTTGCGTCCCGCAACTTCGATCTGCTCCTCGTCACGAATCACGCGAAGGATGTTGCCGGTCTCGGGGTCGCGCTCAACTCGGGTCACACCCAGCTCGAGTTGCTGCGCGGTGTTGCCACTGCCGGTGATCTGAAGAGAGTTTTCGGCGAGTTCTCCTTGAATGGGGAGGCGCTCTTTACCACCAGTCGGGGCGTTGAGCTTGTGCAGCAGGCCAAGGCGCTGGTAGTTCTGGGTCAGAGTTTGATTTCTGTCCCTGTAGAGAGATTGTTGTTAGCGCGATTCAACTTTTTTTTTTTTTTTCGAAGCGTCCCGCGTACCAGTTATCCGCGATGATCTGGTTGCCCAGAACATTGATCTTCTTGTTACCGCTTTTGAGGCGGTTGTTCTTGGCCCGGGCCTTGGAAAGGCCGGACCGGTTCTTCTTTTTCTGCAAGAGTTTGCCCATTGTTGCGTTTGTTGACTTGGGGTTGCGGAGGAATCAAGCAATTATCGGCGTTATCGAAACTTTTCTTAGTGTTTGCACCGTCTCTTGGCAAGTTTGTACAGGGTCCACGATAAAGTGGTCCGAGCCCGGCGATAAGATGCCCACGCGGGTTGTTTGTCCCTTTCTCTACTCCTCCGCCATCATTTGTTCTTTTTTTGGTTTCAATGGCTTCGAGACTGCTTCCTTCGCGCCGCACGGGCTTTGCGCTCATTGCGGGATGTCTGATGTTCTCTGCTCTGGCGGCTGCTAGTGCCCGCCCCGGAGATCTATCTGTTGCTGAGATCGAGGAGCAATTGCAGGTATGGACTCGAAGCACTGTCGGGGAAGCTTGACATCCTCTACAGACAGCAGCTGATATATATAGAATTGCCCTCTTGTTGAGTCGCTTAATGAGCATAAACGAGCTACTACCCCTCAGACTGCGAGTCTTCTTTCTCAGATCTTCGCCGTCCTTTTCCCAGGCAGCCCCGCTGTGAACTCCCTCCTTGCGACGCTGTATATCTCTGGCCCTCCCAGTACGTGGCACAACTGAATTTACAACGGGACCTTTTCTGACGTAACTTCAGACTTCCTCTTGGCACTTTGCCCTCCAAACATCGACCCCTCCTCCCTGTCGATCATGGTTGCTTTCGCTGTGGGTGGTCTTCTGGGTGACACGCTGTTCCACCTGCTCCCTGAGATCTTCCTTGGCGAGGCCTCGCCAGACCACGTTAGTTTCGTTATGGTCGAGCCGAACAAGAACCTTCTGCTCGGTCTCGGTATCATGGTTGGCTTCTTCACATTCGTGGCTATGGACAAGGCTCTGCGCATTGCAACTGGTGGCGATGGCGGCCACGACCACTCCCATGGCCACTCCCATGGGGATACTAGTGCATCTACCTCGAGCTCTGATGCCACCAAAACATCAGGCGAGTTGAAGCAGCGCAAGTCGAACAAGTCGGAGAAGGCCTCGGAGGTGTCAACTCCCGAGAAGGAAATCAACCCCAGTGTCAAGCTGGGCGGATACCTGAATCTCATTGCGGACTTCACTCACAACATCACCGATGGCCTCGCGCTCTCCTCGTCTTTCTACGCATCACCGACTATCGGCGCAACCACTACCGTCGCGGTTTTCTTCCACGAGATCCCTCACGAAGTCGGCGACTTTGCTCTTCTCATCCAGTCTGGCTTCTCCAAGCGCAAGGCCATGGGTGCTCAGTTCGTTACAGCAGTGGGCGCTTTCCTGGGCACGTTTATTGGTATTGCTGTCCAGGAATTTGGTGGCCACGGCGCTGAGCTGGAGAACTCTGCTACCTCTGGCCTAATGGGCACCAGCCTCCAATGGGGCGATATGCTTCTGCCATTCACCGCGGGTACTTTCTTGTACGTTGGTACTGTGGCGGTGATTCCTGAGCTGTTGGAGACTGGCAAGGACAAGCGCGCTGAGGTGGGAAAGACCATCTCCCAGTTCATGGCTGTTGCCGTTGGAGCCGGTATCATGCTTGCGTAAGTCTACCTTTGCTCTTCATATTGGACGAAAACTGACTTTGAATTCAGGATCTCTTGGGACTAAAATACTTTAAATGCAAGACGTGCTCATTCGGGTGTCGTTGCTATCACAAGATGTTATTGTGTGGAGAAAAGAAACAAGCCCAAGCATCCCGCTTGGTCCAACCTGAGGAATTGGGGTATAACGTTTCAATTCATAGAACCTAAAAGCCTCCTGGCAATTTTACATCAAATCCAGATCCTCTACGATTTCAACATAAACAAAACAATCGACAAGAACAAAAGATGCCCTTCGTATATCTCCAATCTCAACCGCGGACATCCACTTATCACAAAGCACTTGAATCCTCGCCAAAGAGACCTCTAAACGCCCCAAACCGACTCCTGCCCAGAGATTCAAGTACCATGTTCTGCCGTATGCGAAAATAGGAATCAAAAAACTTGATTGTCCCAAACATCCCCAGAATGACGCAAAATAGAATGAAGCCTACAAAAGATGAACGCCGAGGATATAATCATGGGGTTGCAGACTGGCGCGCAGCGCTCGATGCATGAGTGACTCGGCCAAGAAAAACACGGGCGATACCCGTTACTCGTTATAATGGTAGATCTGTATCTCGTTAGTGAAAGGCCTGGCGCACAAGATGAAGGGAGAAAACATACGAAATAATCTGGCAGTCCAAAAACGGCATATCCAAGCCTCTTCGCCATCTTGGCGAAGCCTTCCGTCTCGACAAGATGGAAGAATGGGAAAGCGGGGAACATAGCACCATCACGGTGGACATCGGCCTTAACCATGAGAGCAGTACCACCTACGCCATCCAGGGCGACCATACGATGGGGATCCAGGGCCTTGTGATCAGGCAAATAGGCCATGAGAGTACGATACGTAGGTAATTCCTCGTATCCCTCCAGTAGGATGTCATCAGGACCCATATCCGCAGCCAAATTCTGGGCCTGCTCGCTATCGATCCACGAGTTGTAATCGTATGGCCGGATGTCCCACTTCTTGGAACTCGTGTCGTAGAAGCGCTGGAAGCAGTTCGGGACGATAACGGGCTGGTCGTGTCGTGTTAGATCTTGGATCAAAGTGGCTGGTGTTTCCACAATGTCACCGTCTAGCCAGAGGACCCAGGACGTGCTGGGCCCGAGGGTTGTGAAGAGGAGGCTATTACGGGCACGACTCATGGACTCGCGGCGCTCTTTTTGGGCCTCAAGTTTGTGACGGACTTTCTCATCTTGAGATGTAAGTGGAGGTGGGAAGTCTTGTCTAAGAATCGAGATGCTGGCGAAGCGGTCGTCGATCGGCCCGGACTGGGTTTTGGAGATGGCTTTCTCCAGCGCGGAGACGGCGGCGTTTCCGTCCTTGGTCTTCGGGGCGATGAAGCCCAGAGAGATCAATTCGTGGGGATAGCTCAGTTTCTCCAAATTGCCCCAGTATTCTTTGTAGAAGCGCGCCAGCGGGGTGAGGATGAGAATCCGCTCGCCGTTGGCGGCGGCGGTGCTTGTGCTGGTGAGGTTGTTGAGGTTGTAGTGGACCACGGGCGGGGCTGCCATATAGCCATCACTGCGAACAGGTTGTGACTTCAGGAAGGGCTTTGTTGGCGGCGAAAGAGGGTGTTCGGCGGCATTCTGTTGACGCTGATGTGAAGACGCGGCGGATGCGGATGCGGATGCGGAGGGCGTGGAGGGAGAGAGCATGAAACAGATGAAGCCGAAAGCCAGCAGTGCAGCCAGCATGAGGCTGATAGGGCTCGTGCGGCGCATCGAGCGTGCGACGGCCATGGCCGTTCCTCACCTTCAATTGCTGAAAGGCGAAGTAGTTGTATAGGTGTAGGTTCACGAAGGGCCCAGATCTGAAACGGCGATCAGCAGCAGTTTGTTGGCCTCAGGCCGCAAGCGTCCAGCGTCGGCCTCCGATTTCTTCTTTTCTTCCTTTCTTCCACAACCTCCGATGTTGATCTTCTGGAGCAGATGGAGAAGAGAAATTGAGATTGAAAATTGTAGAGGGATACAGAAAACAGCTCTAAGTGTCCGGAAAGAGAAGCCCAGGATCTCTCCACTATGCGACTCTGCTATCGTTCCCACGAGCTCGAGGCCAATGCCTCGGGCCCAATCGCAGATCGCACGCTCTAACAGGGAATAATTCGTACCATTTCTCCTGAAGGGGTATCGCGGGATCCCCGAAACAGCTGGCCGAGTATCTTCGCTGACCGAATGCGGAATGTCAACATTCCTAAGCTTGGGCTTGTTCGCCGCAGCCACCTATGCAGTTTTCAATGCTGTTCCAAGATCAACGTTAATATGTTAATATGTTGATGTTTCGAAGATGTTCATTTATATGCTTCAGTTCAAGGCTATTTGAGCCTCTCTATATACATGTGTTGAAGTAAATGTTCAAGGCAAATTGCGCATCACGCCTTCAAATGCTACCAGGGCCATCGCGTTCGCCGGGAACGCCCGAAGGAAGCATGGCACGAAGCCCCGCCAGTAGCCTTTCCAGCCACGTTCGCGCCAGACGGCTTTGCAGGCATCCTTCCAGCCGCGAAACTGCCGTTGTCCGTCGTTGAGGGCGCCGCCCATTGGGTCGGTCATGAGGCGTTGCTTCACCACGTCGGATGGGTACGAGGTGAGCCAGAAGAGTTGGGCAGAGATGCCTCCTGCCCAGAAGTTGATTGCGGGCGCTGACATCTTGGTGTTGTCCTTCATGTAGCGGGTGAGAACGTCGTAAGAGCCCCACCAGAAGAAAAAGAAGGATCGGAAGAAGACAGTGGCCCAAAGACCGCGATAGACACCGCTGATGCCATGTGTTTTGAGCTAAACGAGATTAGTCGATTGGGTCTGCAGTCTATCGTCTCTTGAGGACTTACCATCCTGCGAGTACAGTCAATTGGCCCACTGTACAAGCGCTTGCTCTTGTCGGCAGCATACTGAATCTGCAGTCGAGCCTTGATATGTTCAACCGGCGCGGCGAAAAAGCTGACCGTTGTGCCAGCCATCATACCTGCAAGTCCATGGCCGAAACTAGGCAATGTTGCTAGGTCCTGATGGCTGGAGAAAGGCATCCATTGACGGAGATGAGGTTTGGAGAAGACGTTTTCGAGGAGCAATCGTCGGTATAGTGTTAAAGATCCCAACATACTTATCGCAGCATATAGTCAGTGTCTGATCTTTGATCGGCGATTTCAAGCCACTTACACAGAGTCCATAACCATCCATCCGACCAGCGGTGGTGAAGCCCCCCTTGTATAATCCTCGCACTCCTTCCTTGCGCACTGTCTGCAGTGTACAATCTAATGGGCCACGGAACCGTCCATCTGTATTCGTTTGAAGGCGGACCTTTATTGTGTCGAATCTGCCCAAATATGACGGTTAATCTCAAGTCGACGACGGAGGTATTCAAGGGACGTACGGATGACCAACTACAAAGGAACAGAACTATTAGCCTGGGACATATAAAAGTCGGCCAATGAGACCTTTCGAAATTCAGATCAAACTCACCACTAAGCTTTGCTATCCCCGAAAATACACCAGCCACAAACCCCTTGTAGTTCTGCTTCGCGACAGGCGCCGAGACAGGGGCGCGCTCCCCACTTCCCACTTCTTTCACGACAGTTCGCTCTGCCATAACCAAGCTACTTGGTACGGGTATAGATAGTAACGCCGATGATGTCGTCCGCTGCAGAACCACAGACGGATGCGTCAGCGGCGCGTAGATCAGGGAAGTATAATCGCGCAAGGGAGCGGCAACGGAAGATCGTGAGAGTCCGATCGAGGGTCTGGCGGTGTCCTGACTTGGTTGAGGTAAACCACAAGACGTTTGGAATCGATAATATGGGGTATAAGGACAATTGAGGAGAATGAGGAGGGAAATTCAGAACTCTTCAATGATCCGCCTTGAAGGCCCCGCACCGGCAGGTTCCTTCGCGGAGCAAGGAACCAACTCCGGATCCACGGGTGGTCGTTGACACCTCAGATTTCAGGGCACAACATAATTCGGTGTCGAGTGTGGCGGTCAATTTTTATCTACTTGAATTGAAATTTTGTGTGATGGATTGTGAGAAACTAGCTTAGATTTCCAGAATGAAATATGAAATGGGAATAAGAGTATTGTAAGAACCGGAGGGTACAAAAGCCCTAGTTGAAATGATGGATTGAAGTCTGATTCTGGGGAATGAAAATGCTCGGACCAGCGGGGTATAGTTAGATACATGAAGTCATAATGCAAAGTGACAGGCACAAATTGTAGTCTGTAATGATGCGCGACGCCCGTAAGATGAATAAACAAATGAAACCGAGTCCTCGACCTTGCGCGCAGGGTCTCTTTTAATGCGCGAAACACTGGTAAAGGAGTGGAGAAGATGGAACTGGAAGAAAAGGGGATACTGTGCTCTCCCAAACAGATGAAAGTACGCCAAAATTTGAACACCTGTTCTGATGCAGTAGTAGTACTAGCTGCAGCGTGTGCTGGTACGTGTGCCAATTGGAAGGCGGTTATCACCGGCCTTTGGCGGATTTGCGGGCCTTTTCCTTCTCGCGTGCGATGACTTTGTCCACCAAGTCTGCTGGTGGGCCCGCGTGCTGGCCTGCCGTGTCCCGCGAAGAGCGGTCAGCCGTGCTAAAAGACCCAGCAGCAAAGTAGTCACCGGTTTCCAGTGCCAATGGGGTCACCGGGCCGGGACTGCGAAGAGGATCCAGGCGTGGAGCTGACGGGCTATCGTGGCTGGCTTCAAGGAACTCGCGGTACTGATATTTGAAGTCACGCGAGCTTGACGAAGTGCGATAGTTGGGCTGGCGGGATTGCCGCGGAGAAGAAGGTTGAGCGGTGACAACGTGAGATGTGGGGCTGGACTGATAGACAGCCGGGTGAAAGCGAGGCAGAGAGCCGAGAGTGAAGCCCGGCACGGACTTGGTCGAGTTCTGTGTCCGCGAACGCGACGGCTGCGGAGAACTCGGGCGATGTGGAGACATGATCGGTGAGGAAACCGGAGAGTAGAAGGGAGAGTTATCGGAACGCATGCTTGAATACCGCGTGGAGCGATCAGTTCGGGATGATGCAAGATGCCTTGATTTCGCGGATAGCGAGGCTCGTTCCCAGTCGTCAAAATAGGAAGCTTTGTCGAAACGCCCGGTGAGTGGAGTCACCGGGAGATCCTCGTCGTAGATTGAACCGGACCGTTTAGGAATTGGAATAGGCCGGGTAGAAGAGAGGGAAAGAGAGTCGAAAGCGTCGGGAGAGCGATCCGAGGGACGAGATCGACGAGGCGGAGACGGGGGATTATAAGAGGAAGAGGTGGCCGTCAAATCGCGCAGGGATGAAAGGGAGACAGGAGTGGGGTAGCCGTGCTTGAGAATCAGGCTTTCCAAGTGGTCCTGGTGTCGGTATGGAGGGCAATCGGAGACACCTGGCGGACGATCAGTGGAATGCAACGAGAATGTCACACGTGTCGAGCGGAGAATGCGTGGGCTATGACTGGATGTGGAATGTTTGAAGGTTAGACTTACTGTCGTAGGAACTCAGGGATGAGGGGTAAAACGAGGAGGAGGACGAGTAGGAAAAAGGGGGCGACGATGATTTTATCTTGGACTATAATCTTGGTCAGTGTGCACCTTGCGGGGATTCCGGGCTCCAAGCCTCTCTGCTCCACGGCGGCCGCGAATGGCGTCATTTCCCAGTGTGAAATCAACTAATGCGTGTCTATCCGAGGCCCACTTCTGCCCGTTCCGTGGCTCTCGTCCACGGAACGCGTCGGTTCCTGGAATTATGGAGACGAAAAAAAATCATGAAAAGAAAAGTCTAGAACTCACCCGTGGTGACGAAGGCATTGAGCCGGACCGCCTGGAGTGCCCACTCCCTGGCACCCGAACCCTGGTTGATGGGTTCTATACAGCATGCAGCCACAGGGCGTACGTGAGTCCCGACTCAAGGCTCGGTTTCAACGGCGGGATCTAGACAAGGTCCTCAAACGAGTGACAAGAGAAGGAGGGGAAACAAAAGGGAAAAAGAAGGATTCTAGATCCAAAGCGAACGGCAACCAGCATCGGAGACCTGGGAATGTGCAGAGAGAGGTGTCTTTTAAAAGCTTGGGGACAGGCACCGGGGAAATGATGACTCTAGGTACTTTCTCCCACGAGGCACCGACGGATGACCGATATGTTCGCATTTCCAAGGCACAGCAAGCCTCCAAAACGCCGTGATATTCTCATTCTCACACCCACGATCATGCCCCATCCCGATCGGGCTCGTTAGTGGCTGAGCTCGAGAGGGAAATGGAGGGTGAAGATCGCAGACCAGACGCGGTTGATCGCCCGGGGTCATGCGTGATTGAGTCCAGGTCATCGTCTGATTCGCACGCGTCCTGACTCAGGATGGTGACGTCCGGGCACTAGCGATGCCGCCAGTCAGGGATATCCATCGTTCGTTTCCTGTAGCCCCTCCGGCATACTTCATCCGGCCCCTCTGAGTCCGACGAGATGGATCACCAGACACCTATCACCACGCGAGGAGGGCTACTCCCGTCCCGCTGGTTGGCCAGGATCTACCTCTCCTTCTTGCCTCTTTCCTCACAGATCTCTCAGCTGTTTGTCTGCGGGTGTCTCGGGAAGACCGTCATTTATTGAACCGAACCACTGCCACACTCCCCCCCCACCTTGTTTGGTCAGGAGATGATCCAGCTTGAGGCTGCTGCATTGATTTCCCTTGACGAAAGTTTCCTGCCCCATATAGATCTTGCGTCGACCCCTGTCTCCTGCAGCGGATGCACGTCGGTTGAACAGGATGTGAAAGTGTAACCCAACGGGATATAGTATCCCTACCCCGGGAGCCTTACCTGGAAATGCTCCTGTTTCTCTATTCCAGATTCGGAAGCTATACATAGTAGACGGGAAAACCCCTCTCAACGTTCAACGCATCTGGGTATTTGGCATAGCCACAAACCATAAATGCAACACACCACCGAGACAGGAATGTTGCCTATCAGCTTTCTAGACCTAAAAATGAAGACACCCTGTCCATATCGAGCATAGTACGTGGCTCGACATAGACAAGATCGGTGCAGCCTTGCCGATGATTCCCCTGCATATGGTAAACCCGGGTCTAATGCACGTCAGCCAACCCCTCCTTCTTCGTCGCCTGTTCCCCATCTGTCCATCGCCTCTCTGAACTCGCCCTCCGAACGGCAACAGCCTGGCTCAATGACGACCACCTTTTGTTTTGTCCGACGAGGACGGTCCGATGATACAGTCAAGCTAACTTCTTCTGATCTGAAATTACCATATCCGGTGCTTTTATAGATAGGCCCGACCGTGGACATTTCAACTACAGCCTGGTGAGCATGCCGCTCCCTACTTTCGAGAGCAATAAATCACCTCGACCTCTACAGGCCTTGTCAAACGGGTCATTTGTAGCAGAGAACGATTTCGTGACTCATTTTATTGAGGGATTTGTAGACACTCTCCTCAGTTCCCTGTTTCCCGCAAGTGACCGCGAAAGTATATCGACGGATCCTCTCTACGTAGGGCCTAGGTCCATGTCTGGGTATGAGTAAGTCATCACCCCTTTACAGAGGAAGACTGGTACAGCTCCGAGGCATGTAGATCACCGTGTTAAATGCGTTCTCGCAAACGGCGGATCTGACGTCCTAGGACGGAGTTCCAAGAACCGGCTTGCACTGGAATTCCTGTCATTTGGATCATGATAGGAATGGCGTGTGAGAGACCAGCGCGATTGGGAAGAAATGGGAGTTTGATATTGCTCAATCGCATTTTGTGCGCTTTTATTGTGAATACATGGCCGTCGATGGCTTGCGTTTCATTGAAGTTAGGATCTTTCATTTCGTATTTTGGTACTATTACTTCACGTACTGCTGCAAGCAGAGCATTCCGGTATATCTTTCGTGCATTCAAGTCTGCGCCTGTGACTTTGAAACTTGGCAAGCGTGGCGGACAATTTGTGAATATTCAAATGTTCAAACTGATAATCATTTTAAAAAGTAACTAACCCAGTGACGTAAATCAAGTATGAGGGAGAATCCAATGTCAATCTAACCACGACACGCTCTGACAATTTTCTGCACAATTTCATCATTTTTGCGGAACGTAGCACTGAAAAACTTCAACGTCTCAGCTGATATTGCTTTACGAGCAGCAGCCTCGGAGAAAGCCTTTTTAGTTCCCTTGCTGACGACACCAGCCGAGCCTCCAAGAAGTAGAGCAAGAATCGCGAAGGGAGCCGAGCTTGGATCATTCACAATGTCACCAATTGTTATTGCCGCGTTTCCAGCCTCGTCAATGATTGTAGCCGCACGTGCAATCCTGGTCACTCCACCAATTGCCTCAGCTGCTCCACCAGTAACTGGAATAATCATTCGAACGAAGCTGGCGACGTCCAAAGTGAAGCTGACCTTCGCTTTCGCGTCTGCATCTTTTTTTTTGTTCCTCATCAATTTTCTTCATTTGCTTGATCTGTGTTGTTGCTTCCCCAAGCATGAAGACAGGCATGCGGAATGCATAATCAGGCGCATCTGCGTGTATGTGCCAAGCATAGTAGTTGAAAGCTCTATGATGTTTGGAATAGCGGCATCAATGACTGATTTCGGGGATCGTGTTCGTGATCTTGATCTTGCTGTTGTCATCGATCTTCTTTGATAGTTTTTGTAAACATTCGTGTCAGGCTCGTGACTGCAGGTAGGACAGTGGTACTATCGAGTTTCCGATCCAATATCAACCCAGTGGGTCCCTACCAAATTTGATGCCCCTGAGAACAGGGACCCTCATTTCGCCCTAAGTGTCCATACAACCGTTTCTCATGGATCTTCCGGCTGCTTGTGTTCAAGACAACCGAAAGTGATCGGGTTTCGTATAGATGGTATACAGCACTATATAACTCTCTATTGATTACATTGTGTGTTTCGTTTGGAAGCCATGAATGAATGCACGTGGTATTTGATACAGTATCCTTTGATAATATTAAGAAACAGGAAAATTGCTCCAGATCAATAGGCGTATTGATAATTTTATCATGTCTAACGCAAGGGAATATTCCAAAAGGTCAAGAGAATAGAGTACTTAGACCCATTAGCCATACATTCATCCTCGGTCTCCCCGTAGCAAAATTAAGCGGCTACAGCCGCCGCTCTAGCGCTGCCCCTCATTTCCCCGACCGATTGTAGCCACAATCGCGTGCATCATTTGGCACCGGTAGACTCACCCAAAAAAAAACCAAAAATAACCTAACTTCAAGATTGTCAGTCACAAGTCACAGTGGCCAAAAAGCTATCGCCGATCATTGTGCAAATAGTGGCTGTAGTCCCGCATCTTTTGAAGCGCCGACCTGATGACTATCCCAACCAAGAGCGAGAGGGCCGTGGATGTCCTCACCATTGATGCTCAAGGTTTGCAAAAGCTGTTGGAAAATGGCGAGGTGACAAGCTTTGGCCTCATCGACCAATATCTGGCTCAAATCGAGAAACACGATGGCAGGCTTCATGCCATGATCCAGATAACCCCGAAAGACCTGCTCAAGGCAGCAGCCAGATCGCTTGACCAGGAGAGAGCAGCTGGAAAAGTCCGCGGGCCATTGCACGGAATTCCGATCATCATCAAGGTCGGTTCAGTACTTTTGGCCTTTGGGTAGATTCTGACAGTTCCTAGGACAACATTGCTACTCACCCGGCCCTAGGTCTCCCAACCAGTGTCGGTAGCCTTGCTTTGCTGAGCTCAAAGCCGCGAAGAAGTGCTAAAATTATCGATCAAGTATGACAGCCTATTGTTTGGCATCCCCATTTCCACCAAGCTAATACCAGTCCAGATCCTCGCTGCGGGTCTCATCATCTTGGGAAAGGCTAACTTAGCTGTAAGTGTTCATATCACCCCAATAAAAAGATATACACTGACGGGTATAGGAATTTGCAAATGCGCGGTATTACTGACTCTTATTACTACTGTTCTTCATCGCTGACAAGATGGCAGAGGCTCTGATATGCCAAATGGCTGGTCTGCAGTAGGCGGCCAAACACAATCCGCGTATGTTCGCGGCGGAATCGACCCTGAGGACTCGCATGATGGTCACTCTGTGAGTTCTAACTCGTACTAGAAATAAGGGAACTGCACCGCTGACCACATCTCAAGAATCCCTCGGGTTCGTCTACTGGTTCTGCTGTTGGCGTCTCTGCTGGATACGCGCCCTTCTCAATTGGCACCGAGACAGATGGATCCCTTACAATTCCTTCTGGTCGTGCGGCACTTTACACGATCAAGCCAACGATCGGTCTTGTTTCTTCAAGTGGGATCGTGCCTATCTCCTCCAAATTTGACTCGGCTGGGCCCATGACCAAGTCATCCTACGATCTGGCGGCTCTCTTGGATGTTATTACTGGAAGAGATCCTTCGATATCATATACGAAGGATCTAACCGGATCATGGTCCGACATCTCACTCGCAGTTCTTAATCCTGAGATATGGAAGTTCCCCGAGACTTATGTCAAGCCTGCCGATGAAGCCGAAGCTCAGATGGTGCGTTCGTTCCTTGTCTGTTATGGTAAATTGTGGTAGAGCGGTAGCTCATAAGTGAACAGGCTCGCGAGATCCGTCAAGCATACGAGACCATCAAGTCCCTAGCAAAGAAGTTTGTCAATGATGTTGACTTGGTCACGGACGACAAGTTAAATCTTGATGGCGAGAACAGCGAATGGAAGATTATATGTACGTTTTGGTCAGGATGATGCAGCCAATTTCTTCAGGCTAACATTTTTTACTAGTGGCTGACGAGAGGCGAGAAATCAATGCTTACCTTCAAGACCTCGAAGAGAGCGAGGTGCGATCGCTCGCAGAAGTCATTGATTACAATATCAAACATGCTGATAAAGAGCTACCTCCACGTATGTTACTCTCCAGCTCTCGGAATCTTGCTTGAATCTGTTTGTAGTTGACTCACAATTCCATTAGATCACTCGCGACAAGATACCCTCGTCAGCTCACAAGAATTGGACTTGTCTTCAGAAGACTACGACCGACACCTAGCACACCTGAGAAAGGTAGCGCGTGATGAGGGTATTGAAAAGGTACTCGGTACTTATGATGTAGACGTAATTCTTGGCCCTACGGATTGCAGTCTCACATCTATGGCAACTGCTGGAGGTAGGTTCTCATCAGAACGAGGTCCATGGAATTCGATGCTAATATACTACCCAGGATTCCCGCTCTGTTCAATGCCTCTGGGATATCTGGACTACAATGGCCGACCATTTGGGGTTTCCGCCATCGCTGGAAGAAACCAAGAGGCCCTCTTGGTGAAAGTCATGAGTGCCTGGGAGGCTACTTTTCCTTCAAGACGCCCACCCCCAGAGCTAATTGAGTCATCCTGATGTTTGGACCGGAATACAAGTTGGCTGGCCTTCTAGAAGAATACTAGTAACTAGTTCACTGTGGTTTTCAATTTAGAATGCAAACCCTCCGATCGCTGATATATTCATCACTTTGAGATTGAGGGTAGAGTAGGCTTTGAGTTCCCGGTGGGAACGACTAGGAAAATGGCCCTACATTTAAGCCGCCACGTTAGAAATCTTTTTCACGTTTCTCCCTCCTGAATGCAGAAAACTTTGTGACGTTGTGAAACCTCGTATTCAGCTTGTCGTGTGCCCCTCACTGTCGTCTCCACCCCTCCAGCAACAACTACAACTACAACTACCATCACGTACAACTGAAACGATGGGCATGCAAGGACGTTGCCAGTGTGGCAAAATCACATTCACCACACCCACAGAGAAACCCCCTCAAGCTCTACGCCTGCCACTGCACCGAATGCCAGCACCAAAGCTCATCTGCCCATGGCATCACAGCCATATTTCCCTACTTCGAGCTCCCTGAGTCCAGCTCTGGCTTCGTAGGAATATACACCCGTCTCACTCTCAAAGGACGACACATGGAGTGTCTCTTCTGTACGAGCTGCGGTTCTAGAATCTTGCATCGGTTCCGTGATGTTATGCCCGCACCAGGGGAAAAGCCGGGCCCTACAGCTACTGCCAATGTGAAAGGTGGCTGTCTTGAAAATCTGAATAAGGGGATTATGCGGGAAGCGGTTCATATTTGGACTCAGCATGCGATTATGGATATTCCCGAGGGCGCAGAGCAGTGGGAGCGGGAACCGCCTAATCTGAAGCCGCTCGTGTCATGATCTGGAGATGTCGTTAGTACAGGAAACGACGGGGCGTCGTGGGCAATTTAAGAACGTTAACGTGAAAGAAAGAACCAATCAAATGTGCATATTTTATTTGCAATATTTCCTCGAAAAAACTCCAAGTTTCATATACAAGCCTCGCTAATAAGACAGTCGCTCATTTTCTGAAGACGACAGAGCTCTTAGCCGACAGTAGCAGTCCAGCCCTGATCCATAGCAATGCAAGCACCGTTAATGATGCTAGCTCCCTTGCCATAAGTCATTGAGGTACAGAAACCGGCAACCTCCTCCAAATCACAGTAAGGAGCCTTGATCGACTCGAAGATAGTGTTCATCTTCTGGTATCCTTCCATGTTGATACCGGTCTTGAATGCATCGGCAACGTTGGTTTGCATAGCGCCCATCATAAGAGCGTTGCACTTAATTCCCTTGGTGCCGTAGAAAGCGGCAGTGTTCTTGGTCAAGCCTACAAGACCGTGCTTGCTGGCGGTATAGGCAGCGCCTGAGAGGAAAATCATTAGACAATACGAAACAGAAAGAACGCAGAACAGTTGACATACCACTAGCCCAGCCAGCACGACCGGCCACTGAAACAATGTTGATAATGCGGCCGTCAGGCTTCTCCTGCTCCAGCATGTTTTTCACAGCCAGCTTGCTTAGAAGGAAAGGCGCAGTGAGGTTGATGGCCATCACTCGCTCCCAGAGCTCGATGTCCAAGTCTCCAACAGGGTCAAATTGATCCATAATTCCGGCGTTGTTAACCAGGACATCGATCTTGCCGAATTCGCGGATAACTTCATCGAAAAGGCTTTGCACCGCTTCCTTGTTGGTGATATCGGTCTTGATGGCCTTGAAAGGCCCCTTCGATGACAACTCAGCCGAGGTCTCCTGCAGTCGCTCCTCGTTTACGTCGCAAATCACGACGCTACCACCGGCCTCAAGGAACTTGGTCGCAATGACTTTTCCCAGGCCACCGCCACCACCAGTGACGAGACATGTCTTGCCGGCGAGGATTTGCTCTGACATTGCGAGAGATCAGTACGTGGTGATGTACAAATGCAAGGAGATGGAAAGTGATGTTCAGTTTGAGCAGAGACGTGAGCTACGCAAATTTAAGTATGATTGTACGCGTGGATACGGAAAGCATCACATCCGTCCTCGGTTAGAAAACGCTAAGATGCGATTCTTTTCTGTCCACTTTGGCCACGGCTCGGTCTTGATTTTCCTGGGGAGCAGCCAGGGCGCCCGCATCGAACCACCTAAGGGGTTTGTACGTGCCGAGCTGTAATTCTGATACGCAGTGTGTCAAGAAGTCGTTTTCTGGACTTTTAGTGAGATTGAAAGAAAGAGACAGAGATTTAATTGAAGAAATGAGTTGGTAGATTGGAAGAATATCAGTTTGATGCCAAGAAGTTTCATACAGTTTGTTCTGGCAACTGTGTTGCCTGTCATTGCATTAGACGTTTGATGATTTGCCTGTAGATCCGCTGGTTGCAATACGACTCTGCGTATCGCCCAATTTTACAAGGGGTTCGTGGCCGGAATCATTTGTTCCGGAAGCCCTAAGCCCTATTGCCTTATTTGGAGTATTCGCATTGGCCTCCGGCGAGGCTCATCTCCCTATCCGATTGGGGAGCCCTACAAAAACGCCATCTCCAAATTGGCAGCCCGTAGCAAGCTTCACTCCCTCTGTGATATATAAACCTCGTCTGTGATAGGGTCGGAAGCCTTCCGCAGACAGCAACCCCTGAATGGGCGGAAAGCTAATTCAACAAAGGCAACAGCAGGAGACGACCAAGCCTCCGGGCTTTTTCATTACACAATTCGGACGACATAAATTCGCAGATTGATATGAGTATTCGGGTCTTAAGCCTCCCCCGACAAATGATAATTGCAACTTGGCCTTCTTATCAGGCGGAATGGGCCGATATCGAGGTATAGCCTGGCCTCCCCGCAAATAACGCCTCGAGGTTTTGTTGCCGGGCCGGGACTGGTAGACTGGACCCACAATCATCGCGGAGACCTTCTTGATCAGGTAAGTATAGATGACTATCTATCTTATCGTCTATCACAAGAAGGTTCCCATGGGGGCGTCTAGGAAAGCATGGGGAATGAGGAGAAGCGCTCCGATCCTGCCGATGGGGTTATATGTTCCTCCCCCGCTTGCCATTGCATCTCACCAACTTCCATCTCGGATATAGAGAGGTTCGCAATCATGTCTAAAGAAAAGGACAATGAGGTATTTCAGGATGCTACCAACGAAGACGTTCGTCTAGAGAACTTGGGGTATGAACAAGGTGAGCATAATTGAACAAAAGAGGGTACGAGGTCAAGACTGACATTGATTCAAGAACTCAAACGGTCTTTTGGCCTACTTAGTATGATCGGCTTCAGTTTTAGTGTCGTAACATCGTGAGCATCACCATCTCCAGGCCACTGAACATGGCAGAACTGACAGCCTTGACAGATGGACGGCTCTGAGTGGTGTCTTCATCGTTGGTGTAACTTCTGGTGGTCCGCCAGTGATGGTTTTTAGTTTCATCGGTGTTAGCATTTTGACTCTTGCGGTTGCCATGCCCATGGCCGAAATGTGCTCCATGTACCCCGTGGCAGGAGGCCAATACTCCTGGGTGGCTGCTCTGGCTCCTCCAAAAATCGCTCGTGGTCTTTCCTATATCACTGGCTGGTTTCTCATAATCGGTATGTCTATACTTCAGGTGTCGACTAGTCACTGAGATATACTGACATCTCATTATAGGTATCTTGGCAATGGGCGCCACAAACAACTCTATCGCGTCAAACTTCGTGCTGGGAATGGCAAATCTCGTGTATCCAGAATATGAAATCCAGAGATGGCAAACGGTTTTGGTCGCCTATCTCGTCGCTTTTCTGTCTACTGCTGTCAACCTCTGGGGCTCCCATCTGCTACACAAGATCGCCAAGTTTATTCTGATTTGGAATGTCGGTTCTTTCATCATTGTCACCATTACACTTCTCGCCACCAACGATCACCTGCAGCCCGCTTCATTCGTATTCCAGGAATTTGAGAACACAACAGGATGGGGTACAGGGATGGCTGCAGTTATTGGTATCTTACAGTCATGTTTCGGAATGTGCTGCTACGATGCTCCTTCACACATGACCGAGGAAATGAAGTCAGCTTCCAAGGAGGCGCCAAAGGCCATCGTGATGGCGGTGATTCTGGGTGCCGTGACCGGGTTTGCTTTTCTTCTTACACTGTGCTTCTGCATCGGCGACATCACGAAGACTGCCGAAAGTAGCACCGGTGTCCCGGTCATCCAAATTATTTACGACTCTACCGGCAACAAGGCTGCCACATGTATCTTGTCCAGTATGATCGCAGTTATTGTCATCGTCGCTGGTAACAACATCCTGGCTGAAAGCTCCCGTTCCATCTACGCCTTTGCGCGTGATAATGGGCTTCCTTTTTCTAAGGTTTTCAGCAAGGTTAACAGCAAGACCCAAGTGCCGGTGAATGCCGTTCTCCTTACACTCGCCGTGCAGTTGGCGCTGGACGCCATTGAGTTTGGTACAACAACTGGATTCGAGACCGTCATTTCCATTTCTACCGAAGGCTTCTGTAAGTACTTGAGTCCTCGGCCAACAAATTCAAGACTAATATAACTATACTAGATCTCTCTTACGCTATGGCTCTTGCGGCTCGCCTCATTGGCTACTACACGGGCCACGTCACCAAGCTCACTGGTCCTTATGCCTTCTCTACCCCGGTGTCAATCGGGCTTAATATCGTGGGGCTGACTTTCCTTCTCTTTGCTTCTATCACATTCAACTTCCCGAGTACGGCCCCCGTGAATCATGAGTCGATGAATTATACCAGTGCTGCTATTGGTGTGATTGCGCTGATCAGCCTAATCACATGGGTCACTACTGGCCGTAAGAGATTTACCGGTCCTGGCGCAATGGGCTTTTCTAGTGAAAATAACAATGCCCAAACTGCTTCTCAGCCGGCCGAAGCCAAGATGGACGGGGAAGAAACCTGATTTAGTGATCTCTTGGCATTCGGGAAGTCTGTATCAAGATAAAAAAATGTACGTCTAAGGAATATACACGCATAAATAGCAAATGTTGCTTAATCCCTGAATGCAAGATTTTTTAAATCTGCCTTTCAAGTGAACACTGGTCTTAAATGATATCTATAGATGATACATTAAGTGCTCCTCCGGATGAGAGGAATAGAAAATTTCCGTGGCTTTGAACATAGCTAGAGAAGAGACAAATAAATGCTAAGGCTAATTAGCTTCCTTTCCTCCATATTTGAACTAGTTTTGAAGCCGATCGGCTGTTTTAGCATTATGGTGATGGCCCTCGCTTTATAGTCAACAACCATCGACGTATCAATGCCTATAACCGGCCACATATCTACCTCTGGGCTAGTAACCGCTAGCTCACTCTGTGTGCTAACTGACCGGTGCTCTAGTCTCGTTCTTCTCAATTACCTTTATATTATTGAACATTAGAAGAGTTAATATAGGTGCAGCAGGTCTTTCACTAACCTAGGCCGTCACATTTACTGTGCCGACCGCTATCGCCTTCCATGTCGATAACACGTAGAAGCTCTTTCAAACCCTAATCACAATGGCGCACTAATCCATATATGGTTAGTCTTTATGTTCAGGATCTGTTCGAAGGGTGAATTGTATGACTAGGAACAAGTAAAATACTTACAATGGTATCTGTACATGTACTTCTACAGATCTAAACATACCAGGCCCACCATCAAACACGTCCAATCTACCGCACGATATCCCCACTATACACACCTGGCGTTGGTTCCTTCTTCATACTTTGCCATGTGACTTTATGATGGGATCTAGTGGAAGTGACGTGATTGAGAGGACGTTTGAAGATTGCATAGTTAATTTACAATCATATTCCCTAGATTAAATAATATAAGTTTCTGAATATAACATATGAATCTTAAAATGAAAATTAATGTAGATATGTTTCCTTTATATTTTTTTGTTAAATTATTCAAGCTTGAGTTGTATCAACCATTGTGCCGCGGCCTGCTCTACGGCGATGGCGTGCGATTATGATTACTATAGTAAACTCATATAGAGGATATTTCATAGTGACATGGCTATTCTTTCCAAACGTATTGTGGGTATGCAGTTGTTTCCCTCTTATTATTTAAGCCATCTTTTGATTTTCTCTATAGCCCGCCGTCCCTTGTTAGCATTGGATTTTTCGACCTCCTGGCTGTCTGGCAATTCTCCCTCGTATATCTCGTCGGCCTCTTTGAGTTTGCCTTGATCAGAGTAGAGAAGACCAGGGCTGTTTACCGTATCAAGAGTAGACGTATGATCTGGACCGAGGGCCTTCTCCTTGCCTGCCAGTGCTCGCTGGTACATCTCTTCGGCCTCCTTGAGCCGAGTCCGATTTTTGTAAAAACTCCCTAACCCATCAAATGCTCTCCATACTGAAATGCTTCTACCACATAATTCCCTATGGCGTACAAAATTCGCGTGTGGAACAAGCCATCGTTGGAGCTTTGAATAACTCCTATCACTTGCACTAGGGACAGTGCATCCAATAGAAATTAGTGCCAGTTCATAAAGCTGGGTGAAATTTACTTTTTTGTCCGTGCGTGCAATATGGAGGCACCAGTCTTGCACCACTGGGTGCATCGCATAGCTTCCTTCTTGTGGCTTAGTTTCAAGAAGAGAGAATCCGATAAGGGACTTTACTCCAATTCTGAACGTGAGTCCGCTTGATATAGCGTTTTTAAGCCAGGTAGGGGCATTTGAGCTATTGTCACCACCTTTCACTGAATCATACTAGATATCTCGATTATCAAAGCATACAAGTAGTAGTAATAGCTCTGCTGTATTCGGATATCGCTTCTGAATCTTATGATATGAGATTATCCAAGTTTGTAGTATATTACCCTGCTAGTATTGATGTCTAGGACTTGATTGCGATTGTAAATCAGCCCAGGAATGTTGATAATAATGTAAGTACTCGGTGATGCTGATTCCGGTTTGACGTATGAATGCTGCCGCGATAACAATTGCTAACGGCAGACCATCAAGGCGACTAGTAAGGGCAGAGATATCTAGGCAAATCAGTATTGTTGAAAAAGCATATATATTGAATCTTCTCATATCTGGACTGTCTTTGAGGTCTTCAGTGGTGATTTCTGATAGACCGCTATTCTGCAAGAGTAGTTGAATTGCATCCGTTAAGTTAAGCTTAAGGATTGGAAAAGACTTCCCCAGTTCGGTTAGGCCCGGGAGGCGAGAAGTAATGATAATGGAGCCATGATCGGCCGGGGAAAAAACTGTCCAATATCATATATATCACTAATAGTGCCGCTGATTGGAAGGTATTGATACGTTGTCAAAAATAATAAACCAGCTTGAGTTGCTATCTAACGCTAGCCATTGAATCACGTGTCTCGCTCGTTGCTCCACTTCTTTGTCATCGATAGCTATATTATTCTGAGACTGTCCTGGTAGTCGAGAGAAGATAGAGCTCAAAGATTGTAGGAGTGCGCCTCGATCCTTGCCACTAATCTAAAATATAGCAGTGAAATCACGCTTGTGGCCTCGTGCGAAGTGACTCGCTAGCTGTGTCTTTCCTATCCCACCAAGCCTATGGAGAATCGCAACCTTTCGATATGGGAAGTCTGTTGGTTTCAAGTACTGCCATAGTCGATCTAGCTCGTCTTGCCACCCTAGGAAGTTATTAATAACTGGTACGACACTAGGGTCTACTGGAACAATAAAGCGATCAACTAAACACCAAATGCTTTATTTAGCAACGGACTCAAACTAGACTAGAGGGCCTAAAGCTAAAATATAGAGCTTCTTACCAGAGTCTGCCAGAGTATCTCGTGCTGAGGGGGTACTATTAAGCTGATTGGTTGGAACTACCAAAAGCAGCTCTTTAGCATATGCCCCTGCTATCACTACTATATATCCCTGCCATTCCTTATTCTTATGTGAATTAGCATAGTCGCATATGCCTCGAATGGCTAGACATGGGAAGCTATCCATGAGGCCTGCTGCTTCTATCTCTATATAGTATACTCCAAGGTCTTTAGCTAGTTGATCTCGCCGCCTGGCATCCTTCACTACCTGATTCGCAGATGTAACTAGTCTATAGTGAATTATTGGCTCTTCATAGTCCCGTGATATTCGTGGAACGAGTTTTGATCGATCACAGTTGGCGTATGTATAGGATGTAACGTGCTCATATTCCGTTTGGTATAGACAGTCCTCTTCGGCTGGACGAGTAAAGCTTTTGGTTTTGTTGGGTTTCATTTTAGTCAGAGCATCGAAAGCGAACTCTAAGACTCGGCTGTCTTCTGTGAGATGGTGGGCTTGCAATGTAGCAAGAGTGGTCAACAGAATCTCTGGTGGCCTATTCAACATTCCTGTCCGCTGGAATTGACCCCTGGTTAAGGCTTTACCTAAGTCGTACTGGATCACACCCCCAGAAGTTTCCGTCAGCTGCCTTACCACAATATCGCCTAGTCGAACGTCTGCCTTGTTGCTTGGTACCCCTCCACCAATACCGACCATCAGACCAAACCGGATAGAGTGGAAAGTCGAAAGCAACTGCGTCGCCACCGTTGCCGCTAATACATTGCCATATGCTCCACCTGGTAAACAGGCAATGGCAAAATTATGGCCTCCAATGTCCCCGAGAATGTATGTATTTTTATCAGTCGAAGGTTGAGAGAGACTAGGGTGTGTTGTGTCCAGCATCAGCTTCGCAGCCGCATTTCCAGTGGCAAGGCGCATATGCATCCGACCGTGTAATTCTTATGAGAAAGGGGAGATCTGGTAGCCATAATTTTTTTATAGTTGGATAGGGAGTTAAGAAGAATTCAGATATAGTGAAGGTATAATCAGACATGGGTTGGTCTTGAGGAGCAGCGGGGTCGAAAAGTGAGGCTGGGGCATGTCAGCCCCACATCCAATCATTTCAATTTGACGGAAACGACAGCATTCTGGAAGCGAGTTCAAACACCAGCATCAACCACATAATTTGCTCCGAGTATGTATCCCGGGCGGAATTTGACAAGTGCCGTTTTGCGGCAGTAACACTTCCTTCGACTAAGATAGAATGAATCGTTATAGTTCAGAGGTATGAATTGTCTTATTATTTCAGAGGGAAGTTTGAGAATAAGCCAAGTTGATTTCCACTCAACTTGGTCGTCCGTATAGACACCTCGGACTTAATTCCGATGGTGCGGCTTGGTTCCTGATCTGCACCAGCCTCATATCACAATGTGAATATCTTTTCATGAGCTAGGGTAATTTTCCCTAAGTTGGTGTAGCCGGAATTCCAGCTACGAGCTTCATATATCATAGAGAGAGAAAAAATATCGCTAGACTAAGTCGACCCTTCCGCAAGGGCCTGATGACGCGTCTTGCTGTTCGGGTCAAAATATGGCTTCTCGCCGATTCCAACCGCACGATGACCCGTGCGAGCGCCTAACCCAGCAAAATCGAAGATGGAAGTATGGTGAACCGTGCGGTTATCCCAAATCGTTGTATGCTAATTAGTCCACAGCCATCAACATTGTGCCAAGTGAAACTTTTACCAATATCGTAAGGGATCTCCCACCGATGTCTCAATTGCGTATCATACTCTTCCACAATCATCTGTAGCAGAGTTCTGCAGGAATATTGTCGGCCACCTCCCTGTAAAGGGACGCAAAGCCTTTGAGTAAATGCAGATGTTCTTGCGAGGCCCACCGAGGAGTCAGGAGCGGTGTGACTGGCAACGACGCATGCATATACCCGTGGACGCTATATTAGGACTTGACGTATATCACTGCATGGCCTGTGCTCTTTCAAGATTACAAAGGAATATTCCCCATCGTGGGTCCTTTGCTTCTTCTCGCGGAAGTCCAGTATTGCCAGGTGGCGAAGGATCTCATGCTACCTAGGCATTGTTTCGATTGATTAAGTGGGAAGCTCAGATCTCACGTCTGGCTTCTGTAAATCTCTACCTATGAATTTCTGGTTATCAAAATACACTCCAAAGCAGTTATTCCGTTGTCACGTTATATATACATAAAAAACAGACATGTATGATTTTGCAGTTAGGCGCCAATAACGATTGAACTAATTTTTCATAAATGATACCACCTGATCCAACGTTTGTGTCAATGCCCTTATATCCTCCACAGTACCGTAATGTACCAAGATCCAGATGATGCCGTGATCTGGAAGTCCAATGACGTCGTGAACGGTCCGAGGAGACCAGCAATCACCTATGATGAGCCGAAAGTTCGAGATCTCATAAATGATCTTCGCGACCTCGTTAGATGCCAGTCCATTAACAGTGAAGCTAATCAGGGAAACCCGAGCCTTTGGATCTGCCGTTGGATATCTAGATACAGTGTATACATCAGGATTGGCTGTGAGGTAGTCCAAGACGTATACTGTCATTTCCTCGTGGGCAATAGCAGAGTCCCAACCCATATTGTCAACGAGATAGGTGATAATCGGAGTTACAGTATGCTTGAGCTTCATACAGCTGTTGCCAAGGCCTAGCCTAACGTGTAGGGCAGATGGGTCAAAGAAGAAGTGGTTGAGGCTAGTCAAGTAGCGCTTTTGAACCCTGCGCCGAGTACATATTTGCGTAATGTAAGGCCCGAACAATTTATACCAGCTAAATACGTAGAAGTACACGTCCAAGTGTATCACTTCAATCGCGCGATGGGGAGCCCAGGCCACCTCGTCCACGTACATCAACGCCTCAGGTATTGTGTGAATAAGCTTCGAAATCTCCTTGAAGGGTTCGATCGTTTCAATAATGTTTGACACATGCCTGCAGTATACTAGTCTCGTCTCAGATGATAAGAGAGGTTGGAGGGTGTCTTCACTGAGCTTAGGATTTTTGTTCTTTCCCATTCCTCCGTCTAATACCCACCGTTTGATTGAGATGCCACGCCGGCCTCATGACAGAGGACCGACACTATGATTTCCGAGTCAGCGTTTATATTTGGTTGAAGGAACTTAGTAAGTGTTCGGAGCATTTCTGTTGTCTAAGGGCCAAAAGCTTCATTTACATCCGCGATTAGCAACAAAGTGAAAGCTACATGTGTGCCGGGAAGCTCATCAATCTCGTCGGGATCCGCATTCATGAATGAAAGAAGCTTCACATATAGGGCAGTCCGTTCCTTTACATCAACCAAGCTTTTTGAGTGAGACCAAGCAGGTTCATGTGCGGATGGGACATAGTTCGAGCAATACTGTGTATTGGTAATTGGAGACATGTGATTGCAACGATAAATCACACCCCTCTTTGAGATACCCAGCCATCCATGGATGCTCACCTCTCGATCGCTCGTTGTTAAACCAGGGCACCAGATTCATTGTTCAGACAAACAGCCCCTTTGTCAATTACTGGGAACTGGTTTCGAACAGCCTCCACGGTATAAAACCAGGAAGAGACAGCAACAAAGGGTCAGCTGAGAAAGTGGGTGTTTTGAAGGAGGTTGTTCTATCGCATGGGTGCGAGCTTGGGATCAGCGAGTTCCGAACAAGCCGTTCCCAACTGCCGCATAGCCCCATGAGCCTCCAGCTCGGGGGCGAGAAGCTACACAATGAGAGATGATCCTCAAGACCAATCAGTAGTATTCTGAAAGTCTGAGGTCATATTTTATTTTATCTCTCACCTTACGCTAACCCATCCCCAGCTTCGGGTTTCCAGACAATCTCATGTTTGCTCTGTTAACAATCTGCTGCAGCTAGCAGCTCTATATCTTGTCCTTGAGTACTTCAGTTGGCATCATTTCCCGAATCTTGTAACTGTGATCTTGGATCCGCGTTCGAACATTCTTAATGAGGATTGCACAACATGGGTGCAGATGATGAATTGATTGGAGGCCCCGGCCATGTTCATAACTCTACAAAAGAGGGCTGGTTGAGCTCTCAACAGTTTGACCGCGGTCCGAAGAGCTGTGGCGTTGCTTTGCGGGGTGCTTTAAGAGCCATCGATTCTCCTCACGAGAAGACCCCACATAACCCTGAATTCTTCAAAAGATCATACATAAGTGGGTGTGACAAGCACCTGCATACAATAACAACGATGGCTGGACGAGCAAGCTCACAATGCAGGAGGGATTTGTGGCTGGCTGCACTGCATTGCTGTCACGACATGTTATTGAGGGGCGATTCTTCACCTAGATCGATCTCGGCGATCACCTCGCTCCGAGCGATTGTGTAGCTTTATAAGCCCACAAATGCCAATTACACCCCGTGCGTTGCAGATTCCCAATCCCTTGTCTTGCTGGAATGAGTTCGAAGCATGTTTCAAAATCAGAGCTACAAGAATTGCTGGCCCAGCTAGCTCGCTTTTTCAGGGCAAATGAGGCCACGATCGCGGCGGATAAAGTATCCAAATGCCTTGATCGTATTTCACCAGGGGAGGTTTCAGCGCTGCACTGCCTATTTTCGTTATTATTTGCCAAGAAGGTAGGTGATACTGGAATGTTCCTCTATGTCTTATTGGCGAGCTAACTCTGTCAATGCATAGACGCGGGGATTAGGGCCCGTCAGCAAGGGTGTTCCTACCTTAAATCGTTCTGATACTGCCATCCCTAATCACAGCAAGGGAGATGGTGATACGGTATCAGTGTTTGAAACGGTTTCTTGTCAACATGGGCTTTCTCCATGGCCGTGCGGTGATGCCCTCTACCAAACAGACCACAATCATGAATACGAGGCATCTCCAACCCCACTCTTTGTCTGCCAGCGCCCGCAGATTTCACCGCGGCACAACAACCGGGGAAGCTTGAGTCAGTCGTATACTCAACAACACAGCCCTATCTATTCTTCTATATCTGGTGGGAGCGATCACCGCTCCGGATTGCAAAGAGGCAACGAGCCGGTCCACATGGTCCACCCAGCGGCCCAGCCCGACCTACTCCACATAAGTGCGACCACACCGGAGCAGTTCAATGACCAGCCTACCTCTTTCCCGGCTTTTCGAGGAGATACGCCCTTGCTCCAACAAACAGGAACAGATTCCATTGCCATATTGGCCACGGCCGAGCGAGCTGTCACGTGCCATATTGAAACAACACCCGCCCCCTCTATGGCCGATGGCGACGCCTTTGACAAAACAAGCCTGGCCGCATGTACCGAGATAGCCTTTGCAGCAAGTACCAGAGACCTTTTCGAGCAATGTAAAACAGACCGCGACAGATTCTTACATACTATCAAAGAAGCCAAAGCGACGTTCCCAACCGGCCAGGGATGGGAAGCCGCGATCGCCACGAAGAAAGATAATGCTGACATTCGCGATCTCATGAGGATATTTCATAGATTCGAATGCCACAACATTTACAAACATGTCATGGAAGCTGGCTTTCATACAGGAACACACTGGATCCGGGATATGCGTGCTCAGCTTGCGAATAAACTTTGTCACGACTTTCCAGGTCGTTTTCAAGATCAAAAGACTGCTAATAGAACGTTGAATTGGGTAGACCACGGTTGCAAATATGAACAGTGGGCTGGGATGTTTAGCGAAACAATGGACCTTGGGTATCTTATTGCGCTGCCTTCAGATATACCACATTCAGCGTATGGCCCTCTCCTGTTGATCCTCATCAACGGTCTTCAACTCACAGGTGTCCTGCAGATATACGTCAAGATGCACTAAAGACCAGATGCACGCAGCTGCTCAGATGTTGAAAGGTATGGGGATCGAGGGGCTTGTCGAACAGTTCGAACTTTCGGAATTGGCTGCCCACATTTCTGCGGCATTAAGAACAATGACAGGCGGAAAGACGAAAGAGGGCAATGGTGAGTTTTTATCTCTGAAATAGTCCGCTGTTAGTCGAGGATGCTTAGATACTCAGCAGATGCAACTAGTCAGACCCCTTGGAAGTCATCTCGATTGACCTCTGCGACGGTAACACCATGCCTTTCATCGCAGGCTGGTCAAAATTTAACGCCACCCGCTTCACTAACAGCTGGTACAGTGGACTACCCGATGTCTTGAATATGCCTTTTTTTCTAATGCGAACGCAGTAGATTTCAGCACTTTTTGCCACCCCGGCATGTCTTCGGCACCAGCTTCCTCGCAAGAAGATTCACCAAGCCGTGGACCTCAACATGAAAGTACAAGCAGCCCTTCAGGCAACGGCTGGCCGTTTTCGTACAACTCTTTCAATGGTGGTACGGCCTTCTAGTCTCCCTAAGTACATCAAGGAAATCGTCCAACTTGGACTGACGCGCCTCCAGAGACTTTTCCGAGTCCATCAACTGCTTCTTTTACTGGATTCGATGATTGGTGCGAGAGCACAGCTTTTGCCGATAGCAGGTTATAGATACAAATGAGCACTCAAGAAAATCAATACACAAGCTCGCTTCTATAGGCCTCGATGATGTGATTCACAAAACTTCAAATACACATTTGCAGGTGGATGGTTGACCTTCCACTCCTATTTCGGTATTGAATTAATTGAAACCATCACGGGTGCCTCATCCATGAGATCGATGAATATTAGTTTAATATTCAAATAATATTAATGATATTTAGTGGTCCATGTAAAAGCCCTGCCCCAATCGCATGACCTCTGACGTATAGAATGGCTCTGCAGTCTTATTCTACCAAGTTGCATGTCAGTTTCGGCGACAATTGCTTTACCCAAAATCTGCCGTAATGAATTGGAATAACCTCAACCGTACAGGAATTACTTAATTATGCACGTAAACCATTCTGAGCATACCAGACACCAAAAGTGATCGACTTCTACCCGCAGCTTCTTGCCCGAGCTGGTTTTCAGCCATCAGCTGATGTGCCCACATGTCAATGAATTTCCACCAGATTCATGCATAAGTGGGGAGACCTCGCCACAACCGGTGCATGGGTAGGCAAAGCCCAACCGCAACCCCCCAACCGTGCTAAATATGGTTAGGCAGAATGCCAACCGCACCGCACCGCCAAATCGCATGGTTAGACCGGAATCAACCGCAGAGAAACCACAAATGGATAACCAACCTAATTAGCCTATGCCAAGACGCATAAAAGTGATGACTGATATGGATTCAAAGACTTGTTTACAACTGTTTTGGTCTGCATAAAATATGAACATCATGGACTCAAGTTATTTGGCCTGTTTGCCAAACCGCGGTCTACCCACAGTTAACTAAGTGCGGTTTCTGGAAGCGGCTTAAGCAACCGCAGTTAGGGGAATCCCAAACATCAACCGTGTTTTCGTGGTTACATAACCGCACCGCAGTGGTCAGACCGCGGTTGGTGCCGAGCTCTATAAGTGGGTCTATAAAGTGATGAGAAACGACCGCCTGCAGACATGAACGAAGGTGATAAAATCGATGCTTTTGTGGGCTATTTTCTTTCCTGTATCACTTATATGGCGATAGCGACCATGGAGCCAGGGTTTCTCAGGCTGCCAGGATGAGTTCGAAACCAGGGCTATAAGACCTACTTGCCCAACTCGCCTGATTTTAAAGGACAAATGGAACCAGTATCTCTGCTGACCAAGTGTTCAAATGCCTGGAGCTTCTTCAAGCGACCGAGATCTCAGCTTTAGACCGCCTGTTCAGCTTATTCTTATACCACGAAAAGGTCAGTGTTCTTTGGCTACCGTGGATCGGTTCCCCTATGTTGGGGGGTAAGTCATTCTCGGCGAAATAAACCAAGAAAAATAAAGAACTTATATTTGGGTCACTCCCTGCACTGAGCCCTTGCCCTGTGTATATACATTTCCACAGAGTACCTGTACGTAGTGTGGATCTTGAGATCAGATGTATGAAGTGCTCCTTATCAGTCGCTAGCTAACGGTATCATGTTTTATAACGAAACCTGGTTACAGAAATCCACTGCATGGCCCAGACATACAGTTGTGTCGGAACGAAAACATTTGTTTTCGACCGCTCAGCCAAAAAGGTGCACACCTACTTAGCTAAGCTAAGTACGGTGTGTTCGTGCGTATTCTTGACTTGACAATTTGCTTGTACTACGCCAGCCGCTGGACCGGTATTCTCGGCACAATGCGCATCATATGCATGACCGCGAGGCTTTGATGAAACAGCAGAGATGAAAATATTGGTAGCATATCTCTGGTTAGACTGCCAAATCAACTGGATCCTGACACCGCACTGTGCATTAGTGCGTGTCTGATTTGTTTCGTGACACCTGGCTCCATAAGCCGTAAAGCGTTTAAAGCTGCTACTCCCCCAAAGTCCAATCAATTCCATAATCAAAAGAGAGAAATATCCAAATATCAGATACTAAATTTAAATGTATGATGTTTCCCGAAATTGAGCGGGACATTGAAACCCCGCTAATTTCACCGAAATCCGAAGAGCGAAAGGCTGCACAACAATGTCGCTTGCAAATACTTCTGCCGGTGTATACTGTGTCCTTCTTGCTCTTGCTCGCTATGTCCGTGATCGCGGCCGCCCAAGCAGACGTCGTCGAGAACATTATCTGCAGACGCTACCATGACCCAGAACTGGACCTCACCAACCAGCCCCTTGACTGTAAGAGTGAGGCAGTTCAAAGTGAAGTGGCGTTGGTGCAAGGGTGGGGAGACTCCCTCGCACAGATTCCAGGTAGGATGCCACAGAGGTCGCAGTATATCGATGTTTTCGAACTCAACTCACAGATATGGTTTGTAGGAATATTCTTTGTGCTTCCGTATGGACTACTGGCTGATAAATGCGGTCGCAAGCCTGTGTTTATCCTATCCTTTGTTGGTATAGTCCTCAGTGATACCTGGATTAAAATCGTGTGTGAGTCCACTTCCCCCAAGACAGGCAATAGACGCTGGAAACCCAAAATCTTATACTGACCTATCAAATCTCTAAAAGACTTTTTTCCCGATACTTTTTCTATTCGTATGGTCTGGGCGGCGCCTATCTTGCAAGTCATCGGCGGTGGTCGCTCTGTTGGCGCCCTTCTCACATATACTATCATCGCGGACGTGGTCCCTCGTGCGGAACGGTAATCACCATTTCAACACGAAGCTCACTTACTCTATCTGTGCTCATGTGTTTCAAAGAACCCGAGGTTTTATGTGGCTCGCAGCCACCGATTTGATAGCTTTTATCTTGGGCGGCGCCGGGGGTGCCGTGTTGATGAGACGGAGCTCATGGGACCCGCTAATACTGTCATCTTTGCTTTTTATACTCGCCATGTTGGCCATGATGACGATACCAGAAACACTTTCGATGGGTGACAAGTCTTCTAGCGAGGACAGGGATATGGGATCACTGTCTGGTCAGCTTGGAATAGGGGCACCATGCGGACCTTTTGAAAAACTCTCAGCCTCTATTCGAGTTATCTGGACAAATCCAGTGATCGTACTCCTACTCTGTGTGTTCCTTATCGTGCGTTTAAGCAGCGATTCTAAGTCAGTGCTTCTACAGTACACATCAAAAAGATTCGGATGGGATTACAGTACAGTAAGTGCAATTGGTGATTTGAATATACATCAGGTGTCTGGAAATTGATGGATCTTCTAAATTTGTTTCAGGCAAGTCTTGTGTTTACCTTGGGTGATGTTTGCCAGTTGCTTCTTGCGACTGTGTTGCTGCCGTTTTTGGATACATACCTCGAACACCGGACCAATCTCAGCACAAGTGAGAAAGACTCATTGTTATCACAGATCGGCTGCTGGATTCTGGTCGTGGGGTGCCTTGTCCTGGGAACATCCAGCCATCCCATCGGCGTAATCTTTGGCCTCATAATCAATGCGCTAGGTTCAGCATTACCTGTGAGTTTGCGCAGCATGGCCACATCCCTGGTACCCCCTTATTCTGTTGGAAGCTTATACACAGCAATTGCTATGATGCATGGAATTGGGGGCTTGTTATCCGGTCCTTTCTTTGCGGTTTCCTTCCACTGGGGAATGGTTCTGGGAGGTTATTGGCTTGGCCTGCCATTTCTTTTGACGAGTGGTTTCTGTCTCATTGCTTCCGTTGTAACGTCGTGTATATCAGAGTCTAGCAGGTATGAAGATAATGGTCAAGCTTAGGCATAAGATGTGGCATAGACGGGTGTTTGTCCATTCCAAGGGCGAGATGATAACCCCTTAGATGTTGGCCTTTTTGCACCTTGGCATGGCGACTGTTGATTTTGACAATATTAGGACGAACCTATCCATCTTTCTTCCTTTACTCACTGTACATATACATATCTTGGCTTGTTTAGAGTGTATGTGACTGGGAGGTGGAGAATATGATTTTCAGCTTGTCCGTCGCGCCACTCAGCTCACTGTGGGTGCCTACAGGGTTTTTTGAGGAGCGACTCTGCCTTTCAGCGCTCCATAGGAATGTAATGACCAATCTCCCTTTCTTCCTTGAAAAATATTTGTGGCTTTTTTCGATTGATTAGCGGCTTTCCTCTCACAGCCTGCGGGACCAGGATGTGATTAGCTACCGTGACCCATATTTCCCTAGAGCTGAGCCATCTTTCTTTTGACAAATTAAATTTTCCTAGGGAACTCACTAGTTACACCGCAACATATTTACTCCCTAAATCTGCAGTATCCCCCAGCTCAAGAAAATCAGAGTCATATCACAACCTAAGTTGATCTACCTTGCAACATGGCCTCAGCTATTGTTCTTCCCCCCGGCTCTCATGATTATCTGCTAGCAGAAAAGCCAAAAGTCCCTGAGAAGCCTCACCATGTTCAGACTACACTCACTTTTAACAAAGAGATGGAAGATGGTTCTCCCCACCCCCCAATATGGATCGGCAAGCCAGAAACAAACGAGAGACCTATGATCACTATTCCCGCCATTATCCACGACGTTAGTGGCCATGAGCTTGACTACACCCTTGACAGCCATGGATTCCAATTCCACTACCACGAGAGTAAACTAAAGGACTTCCTCGACGACGAGGAGATCCGAGCAGAATACTACCCAGAGATGGAGCAACTTCTCAAAGACATGTAAGTAGAACAAAAATGCGGACCTGAAGTGAATAGAACGAGCAGACTAACAAAGACAGTACGGGTGCTTCTCGGTTCTTCATTTTCGACCACACTATCCGCCGAGCCCCAAAGGACTGGATCAGCGGGGACCAGCCCCGTGGCCCTGTCCATACTGTGCACATCGATACTAGCTATGCTGGAGCTGAGGCCAGAGTCGTCCACCAATTTCGCGACGAGGCGCCGGAGCTCCTCAAGGCCCGCTACCAGATTATCAGCGTCTGGCGTCCGATCCGCACTATCCTGAAGCACCCCCTGGCGGTAGCAGATGCAAAATCTTCCCCCGACAATGACCTTTCCCCTATCAAATTTATTTACCCCGAGCGAGAAGGCGGCTGGGAGGGTGGAGCATGGTCCGTTAAAGCGAATCCGAATATCAAATGGTACTATCGCTACAAGCAGACTCCAAATATGGTCACTTTTATCAAGTTTTTTGATTCTAAAGTTGATGGGAGGGCGAGGCGGGTGCCACATGGTTCTTTTGTTGACCCAGAGACGGAACATGAAGCCGCGAGAGAGAGTATTGAGGTGAGAGCTTTGTGTTTCCATCCCGAGGATCGTGATTAGGTTGCATTCCGAGGTCGATCGGTTTTTTTCATCGTGCGAATGTGATTTTCGGGGAGCCAAAATGTATGTATCAAGTCGTCTTTTGAGTGACTATCCGTGACTTGCTGGGACACTAGTCCTTAGATTGTAGTCACTGCTCTCATGGACGTAGCCTTTAGTCCCGTTCGGCCCACGATCCTAGGGCCATTGGTTATCTCGGCTCGACGTGAATCAACAGGGGACCTGGTCGGGACGATGAAAGAAGGGTTCTGTATCGCCTCGAAAAGAAGAATCATTTTTCCGCTTTACATTGAAACTTTTTCGGACCACACATAGGCGAAACCCCAGCAGCTTTTAGGGCGTTCCCCGACAACACAGAACTGGCAATCATGTTAAGACTCACCCTGTCTTCGGTTTCCACCGCTGGGTGACCACAGCTTCCCCCTGCAGCTCTTATCGGCGAACAGCAGAACCGAAAGCTAGAGGGCAAGACAGCGTATGACGTGTGGGCTGAACCTACCGCTATAGTTTGCCAGATTGAGGATTTAGAGGGGCTGGAGAATGTTGAGGAAGTTTGCCGAGTCACAGATGGTGCGTACTTCCTTCAGACCGTCCAACGATCTGTAAGGTGAGTCTCCGGTCCATGTGCTAACACCCCACCTAGCCCACTACAGTGGACGGTCTGTTCTGTTCATCGATACAGGTGATTTGCGCATGTTTCTGAAATTTAGCTCGGGCAATGAAGCCGTGTTTCTCTCTGCACTTCGCAAGATCCGACATGCGATAAAGGCCAATAAACTTCCCATCATGGGATTCGGCATCTAAGCAGATAGGTTGACTAGAATGAATAACGGGATGATGAGTATTTCATGAAGAGACCTGGAACCAAGATAGTGAATTGCCGCATTGATAGTTGTTCAAGCATGCCTACATTCATGTTCTAATTTCTTCCAATGGTGTATTCAATATCCAGATTGGCCGTACACCTGCTCCACGTCCAACTGAGTATTCATCAGTAATCAGTCCCGTTTTAATGATCCTGCCGTCTAGAAAAGTCAAATTTGGGTGAATTCAATGACTATTAAACCAGAAACAAGTGAAATCCCACTGAACTCTCAGCTGCTACCGCTTGACCTGCGACCTCGCCGCCATAGCCTGCCGTACCCTAAGCGCTAACGATAGACTAATAATAGTAAGCGCCCGCTATTGGCCCCCAGCAAGTGGACAGCCTCCATATTATGTGCACCATCGGAGGGAAAGCACGGTCGACGGGGCGAACTACATGTCTACCTTACCTGAGGATTTAAGGCAGTACTTTTGGCCACTCAACCAGTAAAGAGAGTCAAATCAGACATCTTAGGAAGAAGTAATCTTCACCGCCTCACAGGTAATCAATAAGTTCGCACTCATCGCCTGTAGCAAGAGTGCTCCCGGTCATTTTGTCTCTTGTCTATAGTAACTCCAAAGGAAAGAACAAGATGAATTACCAACGAATGGCCATTGAGAAGGAGGCGCCTGAGGAGGTCGGTGTCGTGATCAAGTACAACCTCTCGGAGAGCGCCATATCAGATCAGACACTTAAGTCGTTGAACATCACCTTTCCCCCAGATACTGCTCTGACCTACGCAGAACATAAGGGAAGTCACGCGATCCGCTGTCTCGTTGCCAAAGCTTCGGGTAAGTTGATTGACCCAGACGATGTTCTCATCACAGCAGGTGCTTCAATGTCGCTGTTCATCATCAAAACTGCTCTTCTTGGTCCCAAAGATCACGTGGTCGTCACTCGTCCCAACTATGCCACCAACCTGGAGATTCCACGCTCCGTCAAATGCGACATCACTTTCATAGACCTCGAGTTCGAATCAGAGTACCGCTTGGACATCGATTGCGTCGCGGCCGCCATTCGGCCCGGCGTCACCAAACTCATCAGCATCTGCTCCCCTAATAACCCTACTGGAACAATGTGTACTACCTCCGAGCTTCAGTCCCTTGCGAGGCTCGCCAAAGAAAGGGGATGCTATCTCCTCGTCGACGAAACGTACTCGGAGCTCAAGTACCCATCCGAGTCCGCTGATGGAATAAATTCGATTCCATCGGCGGCTTCGTTGGGTGACCATGTCATCAGCGTTTCTTCTGTGTCTAAGGCCTACGGGGTCCCTGGCATTCGCATCGGCTGGCTCACTACTACCAATGTTTGCCTCCAGGAGACATTCCTTGCCGCTAAGGAACAGATCGCTATTAGCGGAAGTGTCCTCGACGAGCTCGTTGCCGAGCAGATCCTTTCCCGCCAGGCCGAGCTACTCTCTGTGACTATTGCCGATATGCGGAAGCGGAGAGACCACGTTGCGAGTTGGGTTGCTGAGGAGAGCGAGTGGCTCGATTGGGTGAGACCAGAGGCAGGAGTGATGTGCTTTATCAAAATCAAGAAAGAGCCGGTTGGAGGAATCGAGACGTTCTACACAAGATTGTTGGAGAAGTACGGAGTGTATATCGGACGAGGAGGCTGGTTTGAGAGAGATGATAGTTTCTTCAGACTGGGGTATGGTTGGCCGACGTGGCAGGAGTTGGAACAGGGGCTTTGTGGGATTTCGAAGGCTCTCCGGGAATGATGTTCGTTTCGATGGGAGAGCGATATATTTAAAAAGGAAATGCTGTGGAACCTAAGGAAGTCTTAATTGATTGGTTGAGGCTGTATTTCCCGTACAGTATGGTATGGTATAGCGTAGCTACTACTGGACAAAGATGCTAATCCAAAGGTCAACGATGAGAACGGTTCTACAGGATTATAGTACGTAGTTAAGTGCACATACCGCAACATAGTGCAGCACTTACTAGACAAGAGTACCAATATTGATACTCGCAAAGAAAGCAGTCGAACCCTCGACTATGTACAGTTACGCTGTCTGATTATCCCAATGATCGACCCCATCAATGAGCTAGCATAATAAAACGTACCACCAGCCCAGATAGCTGCCGCAGCTCTAGGCCACCAACCCTAGCATTCGAGCTAGCCAGGAGAGATTGCCCAATAATACCATCCGAGCACGCGGACATATCGGGTGAACAGCCTGGCCAGCGCCTTTTGCCTTTCAGTCTTCAGAACTGTACCGAGAATCAGCGGGTCGATATGGCTCTCGATAAAGGGTATGACGGTGTAACATGAGGTCAACAAAAGAAGAAACAAAGTCGTAGTCATGTAAATATACCAACTATGCATCTGACCTTGTACAATTGGCTGATTATTCTGAAAAATGCAGTACACCCAAGTCCGTTTTCTCAAATAACCTTTTATCTAAGTTTTTAAACGCCTATACTACTGGAATAAAGCAATTTCTCATAGATATCACCTTCAAATTAGCCCCCTTCGTTAATGAAACTCATGCTGGAAGTTGGATGTGCCGGAAGCCGGGTTGCCCAACTCGAGGGACACTATCAAATCTAGCTAAATCTCCTCAACAACTTCTTGAAATCGGACCACACATTTCAGGGCCTTTGGCACCGCGTCATGGGTGCTACACTGCTTCATCGACTCCGGAGTCGTAGAACTTTCCATGACGGTCTCGTACCTTAGATACAACTTTGCAATGAGCATTTTGATCTCCATTGTTGCCAGAGCCTTGCCTAAACAAATCCTAGCACCATACCCAAACGGAATGAGGTGAGCCTCACGAGTCTTCAGTGTCAATGGGTCCGCGTCGAGCCATCTTCCCGGAATAAATTGATCAGGATCAGAGAAGACACTCTCGTCCCGGTGAAGAGCCACGGTAGATGTTGAAACTATGGTGCCTTGTGGAAGATAGACTCCGCACAAGACATGTCCGCCTTGAGGAACGATGCGCTCGGCTCGTCCACTGGACGCCGGATGAAGACGGTAGACCTCGCGTAGACAAGCTTCAAGCGACGGAACTCGGCTATCGAGGTCGGCAAAGGACAATGAGCCGTCGGGTTGCACGGGCAAGGCAGTCAATTCCTTGCGTATATTCCGCTGCCACTCTGGGGCCTCTGTTAATCTCCATATGAGATAAGTTGCCGTCACAGAAACCGTGGCTTCAGCAGCATTGATGTTATCGAGGATTTCAGCTGCGATGTATTGCCGATCGAGCGGCAGCTTTTTCCCGTCATTCCCGCGTATCTCCAGGAGGTGTCGGAGAAGAGATTGAGACTCAAATATGCAGGGCCCCTCTATTGCCGCCGAAGTACGTTGCTTGCACCAGGATTCAAACTCCTTGTCTGCCCATAGATAACTTAGGCGTGGACTCAGCCTTCCTAGAATGCAAGAGAGATAGTGATAGGCGTACGGATACAGGGTGCGGAACGGACCGACAAACTGTTGGTGCTTCAGACCGGCGAGAATGTCGCGCTCCGGGCAAGCAGATTCGATGGAACGAGAACCGAAGGCAGGTCCGAGGACTAGGTGAGTAATGATATCAAGCGCGTACCAGTCTGTCAGGCTGTAGACGTCAACCTCCTGGCCATGTTGGATTTGTCGCAGGACTGCCTGGGAACGCTCTTGCACATGCTCTTCGATCTGTGGTAACTTGTATATAGTCGAAGGTTGATAAAAGGCTGATATTAGCCTACGTTTTGCCCGGTGCTCTTCGTAAGGCTTGGTCGCAAAGACGGACCGCATGCCGTATCCCGTAAAGTGGTCAAAGTAGTTGCTCTTGGGCCATCGAAGGGTTGTGCCGTAGGCGTCTTTTGTGCTCTCCAGTGTAGCCACCGAAACCTCGTTTGGGGCGATGCAGGCAATAGGGCCATACTGCCGGTGCCATTGAAGAATCTGGTCGTTTCGGCGATACCAGAGGTCGTACCAACCTAGATGAAGACCCGAAACCTTGGATATCCAGGGACCAGGAACATGACGAAGGAAGCCATAACGGAGATAAAGTAAACATCCAGACGCAAGCAGGAATATAATTGCAAACTCCACAAAGAGCCAACTTTTGAGAAAGGGCAGCCATTCCTGTACAGATGTCAGTGCTGCGGCGAGCATTGTTGACTAGCGACGATACAGCACGTAGTCGCGTCAGTCTAGTATCTCGTTATAATAGAGGTGATAGACGGATAATCAAGATACGTCTGACCCCCTTCGCTTGGCACGGTCGTAGTTAGGCCATCTCCATGACAATTTCATAGTACGTAAAACTGATCCAATTACGTGCCTTGGACCCAGGTGGGTGAAGTCAAACAATTGACTGCAACCCACACATCCATTCTGCCGCAGGAGACACTAAAAGCCCAGAATTTACAGGATGTGACCTCACTGTGCTTGTATCTCTTTTGTGACTTTCCTGTGCCTTAGGGTCCTCGAGGAAATGTTTATTTACTAAGTGACGCAGCATGTCTTGGTGCAAAGCAGCCCGTACGCCGTAGTAGATACAGAAAAAAGAACTCTAGATAATTCTGAAGCTCAGCACAGGAGGTCGAGTCGCCATATCATTTCTAGGTGGCATTTGGTCTTCCGCTGATGCATACCTTGTAGGTGCGTTGATGCCGCTTGTCCGGACGGGATCGCCTGTCCTCCCGTGTGAGTTGCATTGAGCTCTGACTAAATGTGGCTAATATTAATACGAAAGACCAGCTGAAAAGCTGATAAAAGTCTCCAGATCAAATCAACATGAACAAGTATAAGGGCGATCATGTCTCCAGGGCCAGTGCTTATATTGGCTTACAATTGCCACAGATGAATAGCTGAAAGACGAGGTTCTCTATACCGGTAATAGTATACAGAGTAGAGATCTACCATGCAGTGTTTTGCCAGTAAATGAATACGGATGAATAGCTGAAAGCTGGTAGTCTGCTAGACTACACGTGACATGCCAAGCCAGGCGGGATCGGATGGGTTGGAATGTGACTGTAATACATTCACTGCATAGTGACGGCTCACATGACAGCTCACATATGGTACTAGATAATACACCACAAACACCACCTAGTCGTACCGTCAACAACTGGTTGCTAATAGGTGGAAACCGCCCATTTGCTACATCTACCCTCCCCAGTAAGAATTCTATCAATACAGCTCCCCTGAGGATAGACGAATACATATCTGCGTAGTGTACTGCATATAATCTACAAGGGCCTACAATGGATAATTAGTAAAAGATATAATACTAGTTTATTATAAACAAGGATAATACTAGTACAAAGAATTCAGCGAGATCCACATTAATATAAATTTTACTCGGGAGGTATGCTAGACCGCTGCTAGTAATACTAAATAGAGTAGAGATCTACCATGCAGTGTCTGGCCAACAAATGCTGTGTATAAATAGCTGGAAGCTGAGTTTCTGCTACACCACTCCCAGTAATACTACAGTGACGTAAAAAATTGTCCTTCAGCCTTCTGTGTATCCCGTCCTGAATTTGGTTAATTTCGAAGGCTTCGTGCAATCGAGAAAAGAGTAAAAAGAAACAAACAAATTTGAGGCCGATTGATTGTCAGCATCGCTCTGAGGTACGCCGAGGAAGAAGCAACTTAAAGCAAAAAAAGCAAAGCGACAGGGGCTGATGTGGGAGATATAGTTGCCATCCAAGATCATTCCGACTTGATACTGTCGAAGATGACCACCAATGACTTTGATCAAGTTGGCGATCGAGGGTATCTTGACGAAGCTCAAAAGCCTTCTTCCAATACGAATTCGCCAATCGCGATGCATTTTAAAAACGGCACGGAAAGAAAAGATGCCATTATCTCAGAAAACGAAGTCAATGGTTCCAGAACGCCTGGTGCCATTCCGTCCGTCATTGCGTCCGATGATAGTCCGACTCCTCTATCTCGGCAGAGCAAAGTTGACCACTGGTTGGAGCGCCATTTTTATGGCGAGTTTGAACCACCTCAGAATCCTGTGACATCTGAAAAGCAATCGTCGGCGTCTGATCTGGTAGAGAATCAGCTCCCCGTCCTCTCGAAGCCAACCACAGACATCGACGCGACGCCCGAGGACCTAGAACAAATCTGGGAGTGGAATAGCACAGTCCCAGTATCAGTGGAGCAATGCGTTCTTGACTTGATCAACAAAAGAGCTCAAGCTCAGCCCAGCGCTCCTGCTATTTGCGCCTGGGATGGGAAGTTGACCCATGGTGAACTTAACCAGCTTGCCACCAAGTTAGCGTCCAGGCTCGTTCGCCTTGGGGTTAGACCAAATACCTTCGTACCCCTATGCTTTGAGAAGTCTATGTGGACTACAGTTGCTTTAATTGGGGTCATCAAAGCCGGTGGTGCCTTTGTTCTACTTGACCCATCCCTTCCAGAGCAACGCCTGCAGAGCATTATTACCCAACTCAACGCCAGCGTGATTCTATCCTCAACCTCTAATAGTGAGATGAGTTCGCGGCTGGCACAACAAACAGTTATCCTTGACTGGAGCTTCTTCACTGCTACCAACTTCGACAGCATCGATGAGACTACCCAGCAAGCTCATCCAGCCAATCCAGAATCGCTCCTCTACGCAGTTTTTACATCAGGTAGCACCGGTGTGCCAAAGGGCGTCCTCATAACGAACACGAATGCTGCTTCGGCTCTCCACCATCAGTTAAAGAATATGGGGATAAACAAAGATTCGCGAATATTCGATTTTGCGTCATACAGTTTTGATGTTTCCATTAGCAATGTGCTCACAGCTCTAACGGCTGGTGGCTGCCTATGCGTCCCCAGTAACGAAGACCGCGTCGATAATTTGGAGCAGAGCATAGCATCATTGAAAGCTAACGTGCTTGATATTACGCCATCTATTGCACACGTATTATCCCCAGATAAGGTACCTGCAGTCAAGACACTTATTTTTGGAGGAGAGGCCTTGCATCTTCGGGATATCGAACGCTGGTGGGGCAAGGTTCAGATCATTCACATTTACGGGCCTTGCGAATGCACACCAACCAGCACGATCAACTATGATAGTGCCGCTAGCCCAGAAGAAGCCGTACATATCGGAAAAGGCGTGGGGCTAGTAACTTGGATAGTTGATCCAGAAGACCACAACATACTACTGCCACTAGGATGTGCCGGCGAGTTATTGCTTGAAGGCGCTCTTGTTGGTCGAGGTTATCTGAATGACCCGTCAAAAACTGCGGATGCTTTCATAGAGGACCCGTTGTGGCTACTTCGCGGCTCATCAAGCCGTCCTGGGCGGCGTGGACGGCTCTACAAGACGGGTGACTTGGTCCGATACACTGAAGACGGGCACCTGAAATATGTTGGCCGGAAGCAGGCCACTCAAGTTAAGATCCGAGGTCAGCGGATGGAACTCGGAGAGATCGAACACGCACTTCGTAATCATGCCCATGTGGATGAGGCTGTTGCCGTATTACAACGCGAAGACGGACAGGAGCCCCGCATTGTCAGCTTTGTGACCATCCATGACGGAGACGCTGCACCCGAGGTGCGGCCGGAAGAAGGTGAAGAAGTGCAGCAGTCATTGCGGCAACAGAGGAGGCGAAAGGCTCAAGACGAGCTCCATGCTATGCTGAAGTCTCAGCTCCCGGCTTACATGTTACCCCAAGCGATCGAAGTTCTGGATAGTATACCTCTCAACAGGAGCGGCAAGATTGACCGTCAGATGCTCGTCAAGTGCCTCAAAAGCCGCCGAACCACAGTACGAGATGATGTGCGGCAGCCGACGTCGGAAGCACAGCGGCAGATGGTGGAAATTTGGGGGCGAGTCCTGAGCATTGAAGCTTCGACAATCGGACTGGATGACAGTTTCCTTCATCTCGGAGGCAGCTCGATCACATCTATGAAATTAGTGACCGAGGCTCGAAAGATCGGCATGAAACTGACCGTAGCCAACATATTTCGCTATCCGGTGCTGCATGAGCTGGTCAATCAGATCCGTCATGAACCCGTGGCTGACAACTCTCAGCATCTAATTGCACCATTCGCCCTCATAGATGCTGATTGTGCTTTAAGTGCTGTCCTTCAGGAGATCAGCAGGCAGTACCACCTGGACCAGATGGATAACCGCACTATTATACTCGATGCCTACCCATGCACGCCCCTGCAAGAAGGCCTAATGTCCTTGACGTCAATGAGTCCAGGGTCTTATATCGGTCAAAACGTACTTGAATTGTCTCCTGATATTTCAGTCGAGAATCTACGTGCAGCATGGGAGCAAGTCGTCCGCGACTTGCCGATTCTTCGCACCAGGATAGTCCAGAATGACCGCCTTGGCCTTGTTCAGATCGTGACCGATACGCTTATACACTGGATTGAAGCAGATTGCTTGGACGAGTATCTCGAATTTGATATAAAACAGCCCATGGACTTGGGTCAGCCGCTTGTACGCTACGCTTTGGTCAAAGATGGCACAGGAACCCCCAAGTGGTTTGTGTGGACCACACATCACGCGCTCTATGACGGGTGGTCTATGTCTCTCGTCTTGGACGCTGTGAAAAGTATCGCCCGCGGCGAGCCAGTCGAACAGGGGCCGCAATTCCAAGCTTTCATCAAATATGTCAAGGAGCAGGATGATGAGATGATGAACAATTACTGGCTCCAAGCTTACGATGACTGCCACTGTGCGCCTTTCCCCAGCGTCCCCCCGCACATCGACCAGCCCACGGCAGATGGATCCATTGAACATTGCTTCCGACTGTTTCAAAGTAATCACCTGGGCATCACGCGGCCGATCATTATACGCGCTGCATGGGCCTTGCTTGTTGGTCGGATGATCAATGCGGATGACGTTGTCTTTGGCGTGACGCTATTTGGAAGAAACGCACCGCTTGTAGGCATCGAGATGATGGCAGGCCCGACCTTTGCAACGGTCCCGGTACGCGTTAAGTGGGAGAGCAGTGACAGGGCTGCGCATTACCTGAATGCGGTGCAACAACAGGCAACAGGCATGATTGCCTATGAGCAGATAGGCTTGCACAAACTTGCCCAAGTCAGTCCTGCAGCTCGACAAGCATGCATGTTCCAGACCCTACTCGTGGTGCAGCCGCCGGGTGCTAGTGAAGCCTCGGACGTGTTCGGTAGGTGGAGGAGCGAGCTTGATCGAGGAAGCCGGTTTGATTCATACGGTCTGATGCTTGTGGTGCAGCTCAGTGAGGACGAGGCGAGAATCTCAGCTTCGTTCGACTCGAGGATGATAGATCCATGGCTGGTAGGTAAGCTACTGAAACGATTGGGGTATGTAGTCTCCCAGCTAGACCGGGCCAGTCCAGAGCTGCTCCTTTCAGAGGTCGAAACAACAACGCCTGAGGACCTGGAGCAAATCTGGAAATGGAACCATGCAGTTCCAGTAGCGGCAGAGCAGTGTGTTCATCATATTTTTGAGCAGAGAGCTCAATCCCAGCCCACTGCTTCTGCCGTGTGCGCGTGGGACGGCGAGTGGGCGTATGGTGAGCTTGATGAAGTGTCGACACGGCTAGCACATTATCTCGCTAGCCTTGGTGTCAGAGCAGGGGGGCTTGTGCCTCTCTGCTTTGAGAAGTCACGCTGGACACCAGTGGCGATGCTGGCGGTGATGAAGGCTGGAGGAGCGTCGGTGGCCATGGACTCGACCCAACCAGAGGAGCGCCTTCGTACAATCGTGCAACAGACCGAGCCCAAATTGGTGCTAGTGCTGTCGTCGTCAGCCAACCGAGAGTTGGCCAGTCGTTTGAGCGGCCAGCTGGTTGTCGTAATCGATGAGAGCCTACTAGACAAACTGAGCTCGATAGATGCAGCCAGGGAACTTCCGACGGTGACTCCCTCGGACACGCTCTACGTCGCCTTCACGTCCGGTAGCACTGGGAGGCCCAAGGGGGCCGTCATTACGCATTCAAATTTCAGCTCCGCCATCCAGCATGTACGTAACTCGAGTGCCAGCAGGCTCGAGCCCACGGAAAGGGTATACGACTTCGCCTCGTACGCGTTTGACATTTGTTGGTTCAATGCCCTGCAGTCCCTGACAAATGGCGCGTGTCTGTGTATCCCCTCCGAGGCTGATCGAAGCGACGACCTTGCGGGATCCATCTATCGACTGCGGGCCACATTTGCTATATTGACTCCGTCAACCGCGGCCCTCCTCCCGTCCGAGACGGTTCGGCATCTGCAGACGCTGATGCTGGCTGGTGAGGCGCTGCCATCCCAGTACGCAAAACGGTGGGTAGGGTTGACCCAGGTGAGGAACGGATACGGTCCGTGTGAATGTACTCCCATCACCACCGCCGCAGTGATCGGCCAACACAGTATAGTCGCATCCAGCATAGGCACGGGTCTCGGCGTCAACACATGGGTAGTACAGGCGTCCAATCACAATAACCTGGCCCCCATCGGAGATGTTGGCGAGTTATTGCTCGAGGGTCCCCTTGTCGGCTTTGGTTATTTTGGCGATGCCGAGAAGACAGCGGCGGCCTTCGTCCGGGATCCACCATGGCTTCAACGCGGCGCATTGGGCCAGGCCGGCCGTCGAGGGCGCCTGTACAAGACGGGTGATCTGGTGCGGTACAACCCAGACGGCAGCCTGGTCTTTTACGGACGCCAAGATGCCACACAAGTCAAAATCCGCGGGCAAAGAGTCGAGCTAGGAGAGGTGGAGCACTATGTCTATGCCAGCATCCCATCGGCTAGACAGGTGACTGCCGAGGTGATTATGCCTGCGGATGGCGATGGCCAGAAAAGACCAACACTAGCGGCGTTCTTGGTGGTTGATGATGAAGGAGCCTCATCCTCAGGGGCCCAAGTCATGAGCATTCCAGCCGACGTGGACCATGAAATATCCAAGCGTCTGCCGGGCTACATGGTTCCCACCGCCTACTTCTCGCTCGGCAAACTTCCCATCAATAGCTCTGGCAAGGTAGATCGGGGTCGTCTGCGTGAGATTGGCGCCGGTTTCACCGTCCAGCAGCTTGTCGACCTGCGAAACGCGTCTCCCAGCGACAAGCGTGCCCTTGCTACCGAGATGGAACGTGTGCTTCAGCAGATATGGGCTCGCGTGCTCAGCGTCGATGCCGCCAGCATTGGCGCCGACGATAGCTTCTTTAGCCTGGGTGGCGACTCCATCACTGCCATGCAGGCATCAGCGGCTGCGCGAGCACTCAATATTGCCATCTCAACAGCAGACATCCTGCGCAACAGGACCATCTCCATACTGGCGGCAGTTGCCTCTGCCTCAAAGCACCAGTTACTCGACTTCGACAATGCTAGTGCCGAGGAAGACGGCCAGCCCTTTGAACTAAGCCCCATCCAGCGTCTTTATGTAGCGACACAGCCGGATCCAAATTGGTGTTTCGACCAGAGCTTTTTCCTCAAACCGCACGAACCCATATGCTTGAGCAATTTGGCAAAGGCTTTTGCGACTATTGTCGCGAGGCATCCCATGCTCCGGGCTCGCTTCGCCCAGACAAGTGAAGGCCGGTGGAAGCAGCGCGTTGTTGACGATGTACCTAACTCGTTCCATCTTTGTCAGGTGCTTGGAAACGCGTTTACCAGGTCGACAAAGGCTGGCGATATGCGTCGGTGTCGCGAGAGGCTCAACATTGAGACTGGCCCTCTTCTCGCGGCCGTGCTGTTCGATGACGCTGAAGGTCAAAGCCTGTTCATTGCAGCACATCACCTGATCATCGACCTCGTCTCATGGCGCATCCTACTCGAAGAATTCGAGGTGCTTCTGACTGGATACCAACTACCCACAGCTCCCACGACAAGCTTCCGGACGTGGTGCTATCTCCAAGCACAATATGCAGCCGAGTACCTCGATCCCCAGGAAGCGCCATCAAGTCAAATCCAGCCGCCGTACTCATCGTACTGGGGCTTGGATATTGGAGAAAATGTCCAAGGAGCGACTACATCAAGGGAGTTTGTGCTCGATGAGGCGTCCAGCACCGCGATTATGGGCGCCTGCAACGAGGCATTCGGTACGCGACCAGTCGAGCTCATGATCGCAGCACTCGTTCATTCTTTCTCCGTCGTCTTCGTCGACCGGCCTCCGCCCACGGTATTCAACGAGGGCCATGGCCGTGAGCCCTGGGATGACCGCATTGACCTCTCTCGCACAGTCGGCTGGTTCACCACCATTTTCCCTGCCTGCGCCCCACGTGGAATGGCTGTGGACTTGCTGGACGCTGTACGTCATGCTAAGGATTCTGTCAGGAGACTGCCGAAGAACGGATGGTCCTACTTCACGTCCAAATTTGCAGACGAGACCCACGCTGCCACTAGTGCTGCCGACTTCCCCGTCGAGGCCTTGTTCAACTACTCTGGCTCTTACCAGCAGCTAGAACGGGGTGGCTCCTTCTTCGAGAATATTTCGACATCGGAATGCTCCTCTCCTGAGTCCTGGTCGAAGCTGCGCCGTCTTGCACTATTCGAATTCAATGGCCACATGGACAAGGGTCGACTCGCCATGTCTCTCGAATATCCCAAGAGCCTACACCACAGCGATATGATCGAGGCTTGGATAGACACTTATGAGGTTACGTTGATGCATTTGAGTACGCTACTGAAGGGCAGGCCGTCGGAATGGACCCTATCCGACTTTCCCATGGCTTTCACGTCGTATGCGGACATGCACGAGTTCCAGTCTGTCGTGCTGCCCCGACTAGGCATCACGAGTGCGCAAGAGCTTGAGGACATTTACCCATGTAGCGGCTTACAAGAGGGTCTGCTCCTGGCCCAAGGCAAGTCCTCAAGCGACTATCGAGTTATTCTCAACTTCGAAATCGCAGCCACTCAGGCCTCTGGCGACTGTGTTGACCTGTCGAGAATCGAGTGGGCTTGGGGGGCCGTCGTGCGGCGACACGCGCTCCTGCGTGCTGTTCTGGTGGACATAATGCCAGGAAGCAGCAGGACGATGCACATTGTCCTGAAAGATTCTATACCCAATATTTCCTATAACCAATGGGCGGGCGAGTTAGGGGCTGACCGTGGGCTCAACGGGGACAAAGTGCGCTTGAAGTATGGAAAGTATGACCCCCAGCACCACTTGTCACTCTCGAGGATCGATGAGAAGCACGTCAACCTCTGCTTCGAGCTGAGCCATGCGATTCTGGATGGTCACTCCACGGGTGTGTTGCTTCGCGATTTTTGGCAAGCATACACTGGCACACTCTCCCCGGATGGTCCGTCGTATGGCGACTTTATCAGATACGTTGAGGCACGGCCACGGGGTGCTGATAGGGAATTCTGGGTTAAGTACCTGGACGGGGTGCAGCCATGCCTCTTTCCGCCCTCAAAGGCGGCAAGAGAGCAGACGCGGGATTTATTAGTCGCGGTACCGGGGCTTGGCGCATCTGGGATACACAACTTCTGTGCTAAATGGGAAGTCACGGCAGCTTCTGTCATCCAGACCGCATGGGCACTGGTGCTGCATCACTACACGGGCAGCGCAACCCCCTGCTTTGGCAATCTGATATCCGGCCGTCACGTGCCTGTTGACAGAGTTGAAGATATGTTCGGGCCTGTTATTGGCATGATACCCTATCGTGTACAACTTCGCGGAGATCATTCGGTCATTGCGACCCTGCGGGAAGCGCAAACAGGTTTTGTCAACAGCCTGTCACATCAGACCCCACTGATGGAAATCCACGAAGCCCTTCACGTAGGCTCATCTGGGCTGTTTAACAGCATACTGAGCTTTCAACGAGATATTAAGCAACCCAGTCAATCCACAGACGGACATACCATACAGGAGCGGGGCGGATATGATCCAGTAGAGGTAAATATATCCAGTGCCATTACGCCACCAAAATAAAAACATGATCAATACTGACAGTCACCACTTTTAGTACCCTATCGCCCTTAGCGTTAATGATAACGGTACGGATGTGTCGATTGAACTGAGTTTCAAAGCTGGTTTCATAGCAAACGATGAAGCGGAACGGGTGGCGAGGGTCCTGGGAGCCACTGTGTTTTCGCTCATAAAGGATCCTGAGGAGAAAGTCAGCAGTGTGAGCCTTTTACCTGGGGCCGACTTGGAGCGAGTGTGGGCTTGGAACTCAGATGTGCCGAGGGCGGAGGAGAGGTTTGCCCACAATCTTGTCGAAGAACAAGCCAGACGGCGACCCGATGCAGCAGCAGTCTGTGCATGGGATGGCGAACTGACGTATAAGGAGCTTGATACGCTTGCGGATCACCTGGCGCGACACCTCGCCTCCATGAATGTTGGACCCGGCGTCATGGTTCCATTATGCTTTGAAAAGTCCGTGTGGACGCCCGTCGCAGCTCTCAGTGTGCTAAAGGCTGGCGCCGGTTTTGCACTGCTCAGTCCCTCCCTTCCGGAGCAGCGTCTTCTGTCTATTGTCCAGCAGCTAGAAGCAACTGTCATCTTGTCTTCATCCTCCAACTTGGATCTGAGCTCAAGGCTGTCCAAGATTGTTGTCCAGGTTGGACCGGAGTCGGCTAATGTTATCGAGGGCACCACCATGGCGGAGCAGACTTTGCTGACTGAGACCCCGTCGGCGCGAATGTATGCTGTCTTCACATCAGGAAGCACAGGCACGCCAAAGGGCGTAGTACTATCACATAGCAATTTCTGTTCTGGTTTGGCGCATCAGTCGCACCTCCTTGGCTTCAATGAAAGTTCCAGGGTATTCGACTTTGCATCGTACGCCTTCGATATCTCGGTTCATAACATCTTCGCCACACTCGCTACAGGGGGATGCTTGTGTATCCCAGCAGAGAAGGATCTACGGGATAACATCAGCGGGTCCATGGCGGATTTCAAAGCTACGCTCGTTGATCTGACACCATCTGTGGCGCGTCTCATAGATCCAGCTACAGTACCTGAAATTGAGACCATTATTATGGCAGGAGAGGCAGTCTCTATTGATGACGCGAAACGATGGTGGAACAAGGCACGTATTGTGAATGCCTACGGGCCTGCTGAATGCAGCATCATCAGCACTGTCAACTGGAGACAATCTTGCGCCAAGGAGGTCACTTTTATAGGCAAAGGAGCCGGGCTAGTGACTTGGGTTGTTGACCCAGAAAACCATGACCTGCTGCTGCCGCCCGGATGCATTGGCGAGCTCCTTCTTGAGGGACCACTCGTTGGTCGCGGCTACCTCGGCGACAAAATCAAGACTGATGTAGTGTTCATCGATAATCCGGTATGGCTGCTCACGGGTTCTCCAGGCAAGCAATCCGGCCGACACGGCAGACTCTACAAGACAGGCGACTTAGTACGGTATAATGAAGATGGAAACCTGGTGTTTTGTGGCCGCAAGCAGGATACTCAAGTCAAAATTCGCGGGCAGAGGGTTGAATTAGGGGAGATCCAACACTGGGTCCACAACTACATGCCAGGGGCAACCCACGTCGTGGCCGAGGTCATTAAGCTGCAAGGGGATAGTTCGAGCTCAAACTCGCTGCTTGTTATATTCCTCCAACTAGAGGACAAGACAATAGAGCGAGATGTGCCCGATGCTACCGTAAAGATGCTTCCTGTCCCATCGGATGTGGAGGGTAAGCTGGCCGAACATCTACCAGCTTACATGATGCCATCGATTCTCTTCTTCATGTCAAGCCTACCGATGACTGTGACAGGAAAAATTGACCGGAAACGACTCCGGGACATAGGAGCCCAGTTTAGCATCGAGCAGCTCGCGGAAGTTCGAACAGCTGGACGCGGGCCGAAGCGGCAACCTACATGCGATGCAGAGCGGATTATGCAAAATATCTGGGCCAAGGTTCTCAATATTGATGCAAGTACGATTGGCTTGAACGATAGCTTCTTCCGACTGGGTGGCGACTCTATTTCGTCCATGAGGCTAGTAGGCGAGGCTCGGAAATTTCGCATGAATGTGACTGTGGCGGACGTTTTCCGCCGCGAAACCCTGGCACAGTTGGTCCGTGGACAGAATCAGAACGGGACAGAGACCGTTCGGCAACCTGACGAGACTGTGCTCGTTGATTTTTGTACCAAGAAAGCTCTCCTAGAGGAGCTCGACTCCACTGACCTAAGCTTCCGCTCCGAGGACGTTGCAGACATTCTGCCTGTAACCAGCGTCCAAGAAAGGAGCTTTATTGAGGGCATTTATCCCGTAGCCTGCGGCAAAGAACATAACGCCGTTGGTACCACGACATGTGGACGCTTTGCGAACTACATGTACCTGGATTTAGGCGCCGATACCGACGTCTCTCGTTTGGAGAAGGCTTGCACTCAAACCCTGGACAGGTTTTCCATCCTCCGTGCTTGCTTCTTACCGCTTCAAGGAAAGCTCTGGCAGGTCGTGCTCCATAAAATCCAGCATCCTTTCCGCGTGCAGGATGTCAGCGAGGATCTTGATATAGCCCTCCGTGACTTCTGTCTCGGTGATGCTCACACGGTCTCCCCGACTCAGCCTCCCCTCGCTCTAGTGCTCCTTAGACGCAAGGTGCACGGCATGCGCCTAGTTATTCGCATCTCCCATGCCCAGTACGACGGCATTTGCCTCCCTACGATTATTCAGTCGTTCATGAACGGCAATGTGGCAGATCCTGCTCCCCCGACCTTCTCCAAGTTCCTGTCGTATTCCTCCCATCGACACTCTGAATCTATCTCTTACTGGACAGAAGTGCTACGAGGGTCATGCCCGACTGGTCTACGCAAACAGCTTCTTGCGCAGGGAGCTATCGAGAAGCGACAGCTGAAGGATATTCATCTTCGCGTAGAGACAAATCTTCCTCGCCTTCCGGACAAGATTACTCCAGCAACTCTAGCGAGCACTGCATGGGCGCTGCTTCTATCACGCTTGACTGGCCAAGATGATGTTGTCTACGGACACCTGGTGGCAGGTCGCAACTCGGCAATTTCAGGCATGGAGGAGATTGTGGGGTGCTGTCTTGATTTTATTCCTGTACGAGTTAAGCTCACGTCTTCTCAGACGCCAGCTGACCTGATGCTGTCCGTTCAGGAGCAGTTCCTGGCCGTCGGGGAAGCGGACTCCCTTGGGTACAAGGAGATCGCGAAGAACTGCACCGACTGGCCCGCTGGGTCATCTTTTGAGTCGACGATCCAGCACCAAAACATTGACGAGAACCCGAATATTCGATTTTCGGGTGGCACATCGCGGGTGCAGTTTTTCCAAAACCCACATCTCATACCCATGTCCGTACACATGGTCTCCTACACCCAAGGCGATACGCTCTGCTTCGAACTCGCGAGCAATACTCACATCATGGCCATGGAGACGGCTAATGCCATGGTCGAAGGACTTGTTCGAATTATTGGGAGACTGGACACTGACATGAACACATCACTGTCCTCGTGGACGAAAGACACATTTTTAGTTGGCTGAGCTGGCGTAGTTATCATAGCGGTGGCTCACACAAGAGGATAGAATTGAAACAAAACAGCATGAGTTACAATCCCAACGTTACAAAGCGCTGAATGGGCTCCGTGTTCGTCATCAAGACCAAACTCTATCCTTTGATTTTCTTCCGCGAGTCATCTTCAACCCGTATTTTCTTAACAACAACAAATGGAATTTGTTTCCAAAGAAAGTAGATGGTGTCTTGGGATGCATCACTCGCTTACCGACCACGTTACTCCGTGAGCGAGTTTGATGAATATATAATACTTGGGGGCGCACTCAGTTTTGTTCAGTGAACAAAACCCGGCAGGGGTTAAGCAGTAAAAAGGAAAGGGAAAGGCATGTCGCGAGGCCTAAAATCTGATATATATGCTCAGACTCAAGGCCCACCGACGCTTAATAACAGTCTTATCAACGGAACAAACGTGTACAACTCAACAGGATCTCGTGTTTTCCTGAATGTAAATAATAGAGAGTTATATCGACTCAGGGTTGACTTAGACGAATGGCTCATTCGACAACATCTTCATTACATTAGAATCAGCTCCTTGAATTGCTTGTTATGTATTTTCGTTTCCGTGATTACACCAGGTTTCAAGCTATTTCATAATTTGTGACACTGATTTGTTCAATAAAATGACTATGGGATTGGTAAAGTATTAGACTCAAAAGATCACAAGTGGGAGCCAAGTGGTTAGTTTGAGGCCCGTTGTCCCCACAAAGCAACCTCGTCAATCTCGACGTCCTCCTCTACCGAATATCGCCGACTCTGGTAGCGACTGCGCACATAGCACTCTTCAGCAGACCCCTTTTGCGAGACCAACCTTTTGACGAGCGCGTTTGCTTCATAAAGGCTGACCAAGATTCTTTTCCCCGGGTAGTTCTGGGCATACTCCTGACAGATTTGGTACATCTTCGCCTCTCTTTTCTTAGATTTCTTACCCTGAATGAAGAGTTTGGGGTCGCGATGCACTAGAGCTATGGTTGCGGGGTCCCAATTTGTGCTCCAGGTGTTGCTGTTGCTGTTGTTGTTGTTGTTGTTGTTGTTGTCCTGAGAGGCTCTTTGGGAGGATTGCGAGTCGTGTTATTGATCCATGCATCTATGGCCATCTCAAGTGGGGTGCTGCCTGTAGCATTCTCATGGTAGAGAAGATCTGGCCGACGATCAATCATGAGCTTGAGAATATGCGTGAAGCCCTTTTTGACTGCTACATGCACCGGTGTGTTTCCAGATCCGTCCAGAAGCTCGAGATGCTTTTGGTCGGTAGACTTGGCCAGGTCCAGCAGAAGAGTGACAGTGGAAGCCATCACAGTTTTTGTCGATTTTGACTCATTGTAGTGTTCATTGAATGGTTGACATGACTCAAGCTGGCGGGCGAGAGGTGTCCATGATCCATTGCCAGCACGTTGAGTCAACATTGAGGAGACAAGCTCTTGATCTAGAAGGTTGATCCGAGGAGAAAGGTCATTTATATTGTCTAAAAGCTGATTCTCAGGAGAATCCTGTGGAGAAGATTGTTTCCCTCGGGATCCCGAGCTGCCTGGTTGGCTCCGGCAGCAATCAAGATCCGAGCAAAGCTTGTTCGACGAAGGGAGAAAGCAATAGCGAGAGGCGTGTGCCCACCCTCGGAGCAGGCTTCTAAACATTTGGGATGGTGATCAACCAAATGCTGGACCAATTGTTCAGATCTCGCACATGGATTAGACATCACTGCACAATTGAAGAACGAGGTTGTCTATACACAGGGTAAGTAAGGATAAAACCAGGAGAGAGATAAATGGTGAAAGTGCGACTCACTTCTTTTTCGTAGCCAGTTCAAAAGAGATCCTTCAAGTCCAAGCTTGGATTGTTGCGAGTATTTTGACGTTCTCATCCTCTGAATGGGACTTAAAATACTCCAAGTAGTGACGACCCGGTGCTGTGCCAAGGAACCACTCAGTGGTGGTCAGGTTCCCATGCATAGCAGAGATCAAAAGGGGCGGTCGTCCTTCAGGAGATCCTTTCCGCTCAGGACGTCCAGCACTAGCCCAGTCAGTGCGCTTTTTCCCCGGATGGATAGGCCTTGGTAGTATCCAGGCTCCTTATGTACCCGAACGCCCGAGTTTTCGCTCAGCTTCGCAAGGGGGAGACCAACAGCTTTAAATCGAATGAGTTTGGCAAGACAATCATTGTGGCCTAAGACCATTGCCAACTGGAACTCTTGGCATGATGTCTCCCGGGAATATTCAGATTCATCTTCGTCTGGGCACATATTGCTACATTCCCGAGAAGCAACGAGAAGGAAGTCCAACAAAGCCAGATCGTTTTTGATAATCGCGTATTTCATAAGAGTATTGACCTTCATCGAGGCAGAGTTATACTTTTGTGACGGATAAGATGAGAAGAACTTCCATTCGTGAACAGTCGAGCTGTGATTGTCCAAGAAGAGGAAGGCATCGCAAGACCTCTGTAATGCTCCGATTGGCAACACGTTACTTTTTACTTGAGTAGTCACTTCTCCGATGTTTTCGAAGGTGAACTGATCGTCCACCTCATGGCTCACGAGATTCAGGTTTTCATCGTCCGAAGAATCTGCATCGCTGTCGATCTCAAGGCGTACTGGTGCCTCGGGCTTTTTCCCCTCGTATTGAACTCGGAGGATGTGTATGACCACCTTCGCGACAGTGAGATGGCTACGCAAGATCAGAAGTGATAGGCATGAAGACCCTAGCTCATCGCATATTGCGATCTCCAGTGGTGGCTGGTCTTGAGTATGACCCCACAGGCCGAGAGTCAAAGCTTTGATTGATGTGATGTCGCCATTCCATGCCGCCTCGAATCTGCATTGATAGGGTCAGTATTTGAAACTTATTATGTTGGGGCAAAATGAAAACATACAATTGCAAATAGCCATCGTGAGTGACATCAGTGATATCTTTCCTGCTGAAATTGAAATTGAACATAAAAGGCTTCTTGGTCCCCGACTTTTCGTTAATCTGGTTTCTTGGGTTCGGCTTAGTTTGAGATGGCTTAGATGTATCGGCATTGTCGGTACCGAGTTCTTCGATAGTTTTCGCTTCCTTCACCAGTAATCTTTTCTCCAGTATCTCATAGTTATGAATCAGGGCGGAAATAGCATCGTTCTTCTCGCTCATTCCAGCAGGCTTCTCTGGGTTCTTCTCAGACTTGTCTTGCTCCGTTGAATTCCTGTGGGACTCCCGGGCAATCTTCAGCTGGTTTTCAGCAAAGAACATCTTGTAAGTACCCTCTTGAAACACCTTAAGATATAATTTATCGTCAAGTTCAAAATTAATAGGTGTAGGCCTACGATTTCCCCATCCGAATGGCTTGATGGAAGGCTCCTGGCTCAAGGGGTTTCGCAGCTTTGTGAGCTGAGTTCGCACGCCATCCAAGGCTGTCCATCCAGATTCATAATGGTCCAAAGTCAGGATCTTTGCATTCGGGTCAACCCCATGATTGAGCAAATCGAGTGCGATTAAGGGCATGTCACATTCTATGGCACAGAGGATTGGTTGCTTTGCTCTCGAGTATGAAGTCTCACAGTCATCGCCATAGAAGGAATAGTTAGGCAATTGATCTTTAGTGACTTTCATAATGTCTTCACACGAGAAATTGGGCTTTGTGCCCATCTCTAGAAGCTTCTTTGCCGATGCATGCTTCCTGGCTTGTATGGAGCTAACCAAGGCGGAACAAAATGTGGGGCTCGACCTATACCAACCCCTATCGACAGCTGCTAGGTTGTTGATTGCTCGTTGTACAGCCGGTCCATCGTGCTCCATATAAAGGTCCAGGAGCTCACTGTAGTCAGACTGGGCGATGTAATGGAGTGACGTCCACTGAGCCAGATCAGCCTGAGCAGGAGAACCGCCAAGTTCCAGAAGCGTCTGTGACATCTCTCTGGCCTTATCAAAGGGCAGTGCAGGCACGAGGACTAAAGTGAGAATGGCTGCATGAGGTTTTTTGATCTGCTCATTCACGATCTTGACTGGCATCAAAACGTCAGCTCCGAATGACGAAACAAGTTCTTTGACAACCTCGACATGGCCGTGAAGAATCGCGAGATGCAAAGGTGTAGTGAGACTGTCCCATGCGACTACATTGATGTCGTAAACGTCCGGCGTATCATCGTTGTCCTCGATGCTGCCGTTGGCTTCGACACTTTCATTATTGTCATTATCGTTGACTTCAACTTTGACGCAAGAGGCGGATGTGCGAGTGACACTTTCGACTTCATTGCTGCCTTCGGGGTCGTCTTCGGAGATTTTGTCAGAATCAGGTTCTAACTTGCTGTCTGGAACTTCGGCTTCTTCATTCTTGTCACTCTTAATAAGCAGGCAAGGTAAAAGTCATTGTCTGATAGGTTCGGGAAGATTTGAAAAACACTTGCTGAATCTGCCGAGGAATACTGTAGAATCATGGCAAGGTGAAGTTCAAATAGACCGAAGTCAGATGGATGTGATGAACATTTTGACTTTCTTTGGGTTTAGATCGCACCGGGTTTCAGGCAGACCTAGGCAGCAGATCCACTTTATCACCGTCAACCAATTAAAATTGATTCCCCAAGTCTGCCAAGCTCAAGTGAATCTTCTGTGAGTCCGCCTAAATGAATCTATAAAGAGGCCCTAGGCAGGAATTTCATTTCTGGAAATATGATTCAATTCACTCGCGTTTGGAAATGTCAATTGAGATTGCAGTATGAGATCTTCGGGGAGGCAGCCGATAACATAACCCTGTAGCATAACCCTGGACAGTAGTGAATTGATATACATACTTACATTCTAGTGAATCGTTTAGCATCGACTCCCTTCACCATCTGAACTCATGATTCTCTCTAATATTCGAGTATATAGAATAGATTGGCCGCTAGAGGCTCAATTCAACACAGGGCCAACTATCAATCACTTTCTCTCCGTGTCTCCGAGAGATACGCCTATGAATCCAAGGCGGGTTAGAGGAAGCTGTTCTCCAATTTTGCTTCTGCAAGAAACCGAAACTCCCAAATGTAGCGCCTGGCTCACAAACTAAAAAATAAAAACATCCTAGCCTAATTAAGTTGCAAGGCAAGGGCAGAGAAAGCAACAAACAACATGACAATAGGAATTGCGGTGAGCCCGGAGCTAGCAGCATTCCCTGTCTGTTGGGCAGAAGATGACTCGGTAGCAGTCGAAGTGGCAATTGAATTCAAGGATGCAGTGACTGTTGAGTTGGTGCTGGAGCTGGAGCTGGAGCTGGAAGTTGCAGTCGTTGTCGTTGCGGACGAGGACGAGGACGAGTCGGTGTAGTTAGGATTCTTGAGAGTCGGCGCTTCGGTACCGACAAGCTTGGCGAGACTGTTTGTCTTGTCTGGGCTAGCGACACAGTAACTCCATCCCTCAATGGGATTACAAGGGTCCACAACCAAGGAAGGGTTCTATAGATGAGTCCGGTTAGCAACTTTTCAAGAAAGCCAACGTGGATTGGTAACTTGCCCATTCATGCAGTTGCAGGTAATCAATATTGAAATCTGCTTCGAGCTTCTTGCAAGTATCACCAGAAGCAATACTGTTCGCCCATTGACTGCAGTTCTCAGTCACATCGGGATCGGTCGTTCCGGTGGCTTTATCGCCGAGATTGTAGGCACGGGCTGTCTCCCCGAGGAGAGCAGCAAAGAAAAGGGTGGAAAGCTTCATATTGCTACCAAGGTTTCGACTATGAATTCTCAGGGAAATAGGCAAAAGAAAAACCCCCTTAGGAAGTGGAGCCAGTAGTAAGGGTCTAATGCTTAGCTTTTCGAGGAAAATAAGACTAATCCCAAAAAAGGCCACCAAGCAGCTCGGTTGGAATTACCCGGATCTATCCACCTCAAAGTGGGCACGAATCCGATATTAGCCAGTGAGGTCTCGGAGAGTGGGTTGGGGTCTCAGCTTTTTGTGCACGGGGCATGAAATAGGGGCTTGGAATAGGGAAAATCATTGGGTCATGACCAACTAAATATCTACAGTAGTTATCTATCTGTCGAACTGAAAATGCAATTTGGGCACGTTGTAACTACTGTGTTCTAGTCGATCTAACCATGCGAATTCAAGTTACAACAACGTTGATTGCAATGACATTATGAAATGGAAAAAGCCATAGGATCTCTTGGCGCGAGCCGCGCATAATAGCGTCTTCGTCCCGGGGCCGATTCCCGGTTTAGCACCGAGGTTCGTAAGGACCGTTTTGTATCCAGAACCCCTAGTACTATTGAAGCCTCTACAAAAGAAAAGGGGTTTTATTACATGCGGGGTGCATCATCTCGACAAAAGATCGGGAGCAACAGACAATGTCAAACATTCGGCCACTGCCAAATTAACTTCTTTGCATGGTAGTCGGGGGCTTTGACTGCGACTAAGATTTCAACAACCTCACGCACACATAATGGCGATTCAACACTGCCGCCAATCCACACCTCTACACTGTTATGCCAGCAACCCTTCTACGGCTGGAGTCGATCATGTTAGCGAAAGCAATAACCTAGGCGCTTTCCGGGAGCTTCCCCAACATGGCACGAACGAATATCCTGGAACTCACAACGGTTACTCTTTGGAGTGTGTCTTAGCACATCAGGTGAAGCGGTAACAGGCAAATGATACAGGCTTATTGGGACAGATTCAGCCCTCTCGTTTAAAACTGATCGTGCATATTGCAAGAGAACAGTCCTACTGAGTACACATTTGATCAGTTGCGCGGAACAGCTCATCGCACCACGAAGTTGGCCTTGGCTGCTATCAAAAACCGAGGAAGGGGGGTGGATGTCAATGCGCGAACCATACAGGGTGAAAGAGTACATGCTGGAAGCGTCGCCCTTTTTTTGACCGCCAGTGGTAGCCCCTTGGATATGGTCAACTGGCCAACGTCTCCTCGCCTAAGGTAGCTAGCTGACCTTGGTGCCAATCCCGTGCATGGTGAAACTGAGGCTTGTCCTCTTGACATTACCCTCGAACAGAGCCAGATCAAGATAGTCAAGCGCTACCTGGGAAGACATGTCGGCCCGTGGATGTCTGCGCGACAACCTCTTGGATATGATTTGTCGCGAGATTAACGTAGTAATAGTCAATGTAAAAGTACCCAGTAGTAACGCAATGTGCATTGATCGGCCCTAGATAGAAAGAAAAACGACAAGAAAAGGCTTGCTGCAACGGCCGACGAGGAAGTACTACTGACAGTTGCAGTATCACGTTCTTGGTGTATGGTTGAACTGTTCTACGAATGAGAGATCTTGCGCAATCACGCAGCTTTCCGTCTCTCCATGGGTTAGAACCAAGCGGGGTCCGATGACATTGCGTTTCAACAAGAAGAGACTAATGGAGTGGAATTGGTGATTGGTGATTGGTGATTGGTGATTTTCTGACTGTACTGTATGTAGGAACCTCCCGAGCGGAGCAAATCCTAGAGAATCTCTCCATTCTCGACGTCACAGATTGTGTAAGCTCGATGCGCTAATCCTGCAGGCGTGGGGCGTGCCCATCTGCATGAGGGTCCGATTGCGAACACCCCCACATGGCTTTTCGCCTCTTCTCTCGATGTCCTGTCAGATTTCATTGCGTGGTACAGTAGACATCCATTGCCACAGATCGTTACCCCCCACGATCCATTTAAGAGTCGCTGTTGCTTCTCGAAGATCCACCCCACGATAATCCCTTCCCTAGGCAGGATGACGTCTGATAGCCTTAAGGGACCGCATACGTGTCCAACGAGAATCGATAGGTCATAAAATGGGCAGGAAGAGCGAACCAAAATAGCGGTCTACGACAGCAGTCTCGGGTCAGTTTTTTGCCCCTTGACATGTTGTCGATCGCAAAATTGGAGTCCCAACCCCTTCGTGTCGTTCATTTCACACTAAAGATAGCCCAATGGGCACTTGCGTGGAGTCAAATCTCGCAATCGATGCAGCAGGGTTCCCGAAGAGGCGATATGTTGAGTAGACTAGCTAAATATCATTACCGATCGCGCTGATCACTGACGATGTTTGCGATATCCTGCAGGACTCGGTGAGACGTAAGAGTAGCCGGTCTGTGTGTTAGATGGGGAAGAAAAGTCATAGTCATTCTAGTGAATGTACTGTACTGCCCCGGATTGCTTAACTTCTGCGGCATAGTCATCACTGTTACCCGTGCAATCTGGTTCCTTGGTGCTGGAAATACATTAATGCAGCATCACACACTTCAGGGTGTAAATCCATACGAGGGAATAGCGAGATTGCGCATGACACTGACATGGAAGTGAATGGTGCTGAATGGAAGCCTACTTATTTGCTTCTCATCCATCGATTCGTTCTGACAGTTTGGCCTGGCCTAACTGCGCTGAGCATATCCCACCCTAGCGGCTGAATAGCCTTGGATCTTACCCTTCTCTCCGCATTCACATTACATTCGCATTCGCATTCACATTCACATTCAAATTCAAATTCAAATTCACAATGACACTGGTCGCTTATTTCCTACTTGGTAGCATATTGGCCTACTGCCTGGTTACCCTCATCTATCGCCTCCGTATCCATCCACTCAGCAGATTCCCAGGGCCCCGCCTGGCTGCTGTGACAGGCCTCTATGAAATATACTTTTCAGCCTGGGGTACCAGTTCTTTCGATGACGAGATTGCGAAAATGCACCAGAACTACGGTAGCTTTCCACATACTCCCCCGCATCGGAAAGACTCGTTACTGACAGTGGCAGGTCCCGTCGTGCGCATTACCCCGGACGAGGTCCACGTCCAGGAGCAGCTGTACAACACCAACTACGCTGATTGCTGGATCAAAGGTATCAAAGTCTTGGACTCCGGATCTCGCAAATTGGGTGGAGGCTCTGGGCCCTTCCAGTTTCGGAAGCGATCGATTTCTAGAGTTCGATCAATCCTCCAGGTGTTTAGCTCAAGGATGCGACCCTTCTTCCCTGCTTCAAGCCTACCTGTGATCCGTGTTGATCCCTCGGAAGAGAGCGCCCTGGAAGACGGACACCAGAGTGCCTTCTCCTCCCCCAACCCTCGGTCCAAGGAAATCTCCGGTGGGGGAGAGGCGGGGTATCCAGACCAGCGGAAGCCGAAAGTCAATGGAACAGGTATATAGACGAAGGAACGTGCGAGATTGCCGGTTTGAGAAAACAACCGACATCACAGAGTTTGGGGGCGAGAAAGAGTCGGAACGAAACCGAATGTTTTGATGGTCATGGTTGGTTCACTCCACGCGGGAGCCGCCAACTCTGGTAATAAAAACGCAAATGCCGACGTTAGAGTTACCGAGTGGGGTTTCGAAGTGATCGAGATGACATCTCAACCTCCAGTTTCTTGAATGGAAGCCCGCGATACCCGATAGAATCAAGATCCGCGGAATCGGTATCTGCGGCCGATCAACCGATCAAAGAAGCGCGAACAAAGCAGAAAAGAGGGCACTGAGTGGACACGGAAGGGCTTCTTTGTTGCGGAGATCTCCACCCAACTCCGAATTCTGCACCCGCCCTCATGCCTTCCTAGCGACTCGAGCCTCACCGTTCCATCTTTCCCTTTCTTCCTTTCGTCTCCTGAATACCCTCTCAACATGGTATGTATGCCCCCTGTTCTCAGCCCTGGCCACCTTGAACACCTTGCGGCCCCGGTGGCCCCTGCTCGCCCGATTCAGGGCACGAATCATCGCAGATCCTTGATCTGAACAAAACTGATGCGATTGTCTCTTTCAGCCTCACGCCGACTCCTCATACTTCTTTGGCTCGACGAAGGCCGAGGTCTACCCCCAACTCTTGGATCAAACGAGGGGCCTCGTCTCCGGACAGCGCAATTGGGTAAGTCCCGTCCCCAGTGGTCGCATGCAGGCGACGAACTGTGATTGCGTGTCCAAGTTTATAGGCCATTTAGCTGACTGAAATCGCAACAATAGGTTAGGTGAGACGCTACTCCCATGCAATTACGGTGTGACACTGGTCACAGCGCAATCCACTCTACTTGAGCCTCGCGAAATTAACACCCTCTTAGCAATCTCTCCAATGTGTCCTCCCTCCTCTGGCACGCTTTCGCTACCCTCCCCTCGCCATCCTCCTCTGTGAACTGGGCCGGCTTCTATATCCGCGATGACAAATTTCCCACCCTCGCCTCTCCCGTACAATCACCCCCTCTCCTCGGAGGTCAAGTGATCATCTCCACGACGTATGCGTCTATGGACGAGGAGCAGACCTTGCTGTTGGGTCCGTTCCACGGCAAGCCCGCTTGCCAGATGATCAAGTTCGGAAAGGGTGTGTGCGGCACAGCAGCTGCGAAGCAGGAGACCCTTGTTGTCGCCGACGTGCAGAAGTTTCCGGGACACATTGCCTGCGACGCGGAAAGCAGGAGCGAGATTGTGGTTCCGATCATCATGAATGGACAGGTATGTGCTTATGCGAAATGCCGGATGCCAAGAAACCTGCTGACGCCATTGCCTATAGACCGTCGCCATTATCGACATCGACTGCACCGAGCCCTCCGGCTTCGACGATGAAGATAAGAAGTACCTCGAGGAATTGGCCGAGATCTTGGCCGAAAGCTGCGACTGGTAAAAAGCTAGACGATACAAGATACGAAGCACTGTGTTATGTGATACGATTGAGATTTATAATGGGGGCTTCTTGGATCTTGGACCGGCTGTCCAGCCTTAAAAGTTCGAAGATTTCGCATTCTGCTTCATGCATTTTTGAGCAATTCGCTGGTTGAAGTGCTTGCCATGTAAATCTTTTCTTCCATTTAATTCTCCGGCCTTTTGGTTTCCGCCATTTTGAATATTTTATGTGAATATCTTTACCCCCCGGGTTCAATTAGCAGTTCATGCATGCCAAGAGTCAAAACGCCGCGATAACCCCTGGCCAAGATGGAGCTTTAATCTAGATGCTACCTGGGTCGGCTACAGCTCCCATTAAACGCAAGATCGACAGGGCGGGGTTCACGCTTGGATCGCTTGTCCCTGGCAAATGGCACCCATAGATTGCGCCTGTGCGTCAAAGAGTTCGCAGTGTCAGTCTGCACTGAGACACGAGGCTGTCACCGTCCATGTGGGGTGTCATTGTGGATGCAACTAGCTGATGACAAGGCCGTCGTGTTGCAAGCTCTGACAGCCATTGGCCCACACGGCAGCCGCTAGACGAGATTCACAGTGGAGAAGGCGTATACTGTATAGTTCAGTGCAGATACTGGACAATGCAATTTCATTTGAAACGATGAATATGATTCAATAAACGATATCACCTCTGGGGCAGTGACCGAGGTCAATCTAAAGAAAGAGAGCCTACTCCGATTCTCAGAATCCAACGGTGACATCAACACCACTGCTGCTCTGCACGCTCTTGAAACCAGCCTTTCCAATACAATCACCATACTCGTAAGCATTCTCCAGACTGCCAGTGTTGCCACTAGAAGTAGTCGGAACACCAAACTCGACCTCCGTCTTCGGGAGCGAGTCACAAGTATGCGAAGCCGCCGAGTTCCAAGGATAGTACTCAACAAAGCCTACCTGGGACCCCTCGATACCCTGTGATCCCGACGGCAGGGTATAGGAGCCAATGTGAGTCTGCTTCCCAGTAACAGAATCAACCAGAGTTCCAGTCCAGGAGGTCCCTCCGGTATTCTTGATTTGCAGCAGGTATCCGTCGGCGTAGGTGCTATCGACGTCCACGGCGCAGCTCACACCCGCGCCGCCGTCGGCACCATCACTGCAGTTGCTATCGCTGGAGGTAGTTCCGTTGATGAAGCTAGAGAAAACGGCGTGGACCACGGACGAAGAGCCCGAGTCTTCGCGGGGCTGGAGACCGGTGTATCCCACGTCGTCTTGGCCAACGAAGTTGAATTGTTGGGCGAAGTAGTACCCGGAGACATGGGGTGCGTTGGGCATGGAAATGGGGAAGGTAATATCTTCTAGACCGGCTGAAGGCACGTTGGAGACGCTCCAGGAAATGCCGACCAGAGCCTCGGTGGCTTGGAAGATGGAGGAGAGGAGGGCGGCGCGAAGAACGGACGTTGTGGACTTCATTGTGGTAGCTTGAACTTGGAGCTTGAGAACAAATAGATATGGTTGATCCGTTTCCTTCAGGAAACCCTTGTCATTTATAGTTCTTCGGGGCGTTGGTCGCTCAATCAAGCCAAAACGCCGCGGCGTTTCAGTGCATATAGAGATCTGCAAATCTGATCGAGCTTTTCCAGGGTTACATTGTGAACCACTACATGTTAGAACGAGGGTTGTAATTCCTGAAAGTTCCAGACTTTGATTGGACCCCGACGACTATTGTCTTGCTGAAATACTAGCTATCAAGTCTTTATCAAGTTTTTCCCACCAACAGACAACAGATCTTATCCCGTCAAGTTAAGATGCCAACGCTCTACCAACTTTATGGTTTCAAAATGGACCCACACAATTGGAGCCCAAAGCCCCATGACCTTAATTCGAAATTCTAGCAAAAAAAAATTAATATGCAGAGGACGTGCGGGTAGTGAGTCAAAGCCCAAGCTCACGCATCGAAGGGGCAATCCGAGAACGGGGCATGAAGATAGCCTGTGGTAGATGCTTCATGAATAGCTTCTTGGTGCCACGGCTTCCAGAAACTTCTGCCTCGACACGAGCTGTCGAGCTAGGATGGGTTGCAAGACACAGCAGGTAGGCTTTGACCCAGCTCTGCCATCAAGGGACACAGCATTGGTAGATCTGCCGGCGAAGACATGGGCCGAGATAGTCCAGTATACCAAGATTAGACTGTCCAGCCATACTTTTTCTGCTCTGTCGGGTTGACTGGGATGTTATTGGTTACTTTAAATCCCATGCACTTTCTGATTGAAATTTCACTTCCAGGGATTCAACGTAGTCGTCGGTGATTAAGTGATCAATCCGCAGAGTAGATCAGGATGCAGTGGTTATGTGATGTGTAGGTTCCCGCGGTTCTAGACTGCTTGGCAAAAAGAGAACGGGTTGCAAATTGAATGAAGCGCGAAGATGAAGGCAATTTAGGACTAAAAGGAAAGAGATCTAACAGACCAATAGACAAGTGAGAGTTTCTTCGAATACTGGCGGCATCACGTGCAGGATATTCGAGGCTATTTACATCCCCTCTCGATACAAGTCTTTTTTAACCTCTATTTATTCTTTTTCCGGGGTATTGTTTGGATGATTTTAGATATGTGTAGGAACATAAGTCAAGGCGGTCCGAAGTTGTTGTATTATCTTCCTGGTCCGGCTGCACTGCATTGCTCTTGAGCGCCACCATTTGATCCAGAAGTTGATACCAATAAACATTCAGAGCGGCTCGTCACCAGCAAAAAATCATTTCACCTTGGCAAGTAAGTGCTAAACAAAGACAAGTGCTATCAATGAATATGAACGCACCCATATTTGAACTTATTTAGACAGCCTGCTTCCTGTGGCCTTGAAAGTCTTAAAAAGGCCGGTTTCCCAATAAGGTAACAAGGTTCGCGTATTAATGCTTACTATTGCACTCCAATCCACTAACCATGTCCGCCAAAGGATGAGTCCCGAGCACTCGCAGCTTACGTATTTTCGTGAAGTACATTGCTTCAACGCCTGAGTTCCATCTCATCCATATCTAGGGCGCCAGAGGAAAGATAAGGATAGATACAGGCTGTAACATCAAATGTACAATATGAACTTTGGAAGCACTAGAAACCAAGATCGCCGAGAAAAAGTCAGCCCACTCTTAAGTTGGGCAGTATGTATAATGTAGTGACCGCTAAACTGTCTCTAAACACGCCGGACCCAAAGAAAACAACATTCCGAAAAGCCGTGAATCTATGCATGAAATGACAGTGCCCAAATGCATCTCCGGGGTCAAGATATCCATGAATGATACAAAACGCCGAAAGCTCCAACCGAGAGACTTGATAAAGGAAAGTAGATAACAAAAGCACGCGCCGTAGATGGTGGATCACATTTTGAGCAGACTCATTTGACGCCGCATTGGGTTGGGCGATAGCGAGTCACCATCCTCACTGGGACCAAGGCCACTGTCTGTGCCGTTCACTCCTGTATCGGTGTCGATATCCCACTGCTCGTCTTCGAGCTCGGGATCACCGTCCGCACCGGCATCCCAGCTTTTCTGAACTGCGCCGCGGGTATTCCAGCGCAGAGCACGTTGAACACTGGTAAACCATTCGCCGCTATCAGCGACTACAGTTGGGAATGGGTATTGGCTGGCTTCGACGGTGACGTAGTCGCCTTGGCGGAGTTCGACACGCCCCTTGCCGTCAAATGAGCAATAGGCAGTTGACCGTGAGGCATTAGGCACGGCAATTCGGAGAAGGTGAGAGTCTGAGAGGACCATTGGGCGGAAGGATAGGGTATGAGGACAGATCGGAGTCAGGAGAATGCCTGGAATTGAAGGGTGCATAAGAGAGCCGCCAGCGGACAAGGAGTAGGCAGTGGAGCCGGTAGGGGTCGAGAAGATGCATCCGTCGGCTTGAACGACGGTCAGTAACTCGTCATCTGCATACAGTTCCAAGTTGGACACGTAGGGAGAAGGGCCTCGGTCGATGACGACTTCGTTCAAGACCTCGAACTGCTCTCCTTCTTCAACTGCACCGGCCTCCGCGCCCTTGCTTCGATCTTTTCGGAAGACTGTGCAGGTGAAACGCATCCGCAAGTTGACTCGCATTCCAACCTCTCCCATGACGGCATTGAGATGTGATTTGTGTTTTGAGAAATCAAAATTCGTTAAAAAGCCAAGGCTTCCCAGCGAGAAACAGAGTACTGGCGGAACTACCCGCTGGAAAAGCCATGATGTGAAAAGAACAGTTCCATCGCCGCCAAGTGTGAGAACCAGATCGAACTTGTCCGGAGATGTCCAGCAGAGATCAGGTGTCCAGAAGTGGAGCATCTGCGAGAATTTAGGGTCCTTTTGCAAGAGACCTTCCGTGTCGAATCGTTTAGAATTCTTCAGTTTTGCGTCAACGTAGACATTGACACCCAAGTCGCTTCCGTACCGCGGTGTCGATAGCAACCACTCGGCCACTTCGCGGGTCAAATGTACCAGACTGTTGTCGCGTGCCTTTGTGACTATCATGACGTTGCGCACTGCGCGTTTGATCGGTCGTCGTTGCAGCTGCTTTGATACTTCCCTGACCCCTGTTGCGGTCTGGACCAGCCGGGAATGTGATAACCACTCATCGTCTGCAATTTCCTCCAAGACTTTGGTTATATTGACTGCGTCATCGAATCGCTGATGGAAGTAGCATGGCGACTGTAACATCAGTCGCGCGGTTGCCGGGGATCGTTCGAGATATGAGCCGAGTTGTAGATTTGAAAGTGCCGCGGACAACTTTTGAGAGGAAGTAGTGCTAGCGCGGCGTTCCTTATCCTTTTCCTTATCCTTCTCCTCTGGCGGCACCGTGTTATCGTTGTTATTGGCCATCAAGCCGGACCAGGGGTTCCCAAACGTGGTATTGCTGTTTTGAGGGGGAAAGCTTGGTCGCGACGCCAGCGCTTTCAGAATAGTCTGGCGCGGAATGCAGTCGGTCGACAGGGCTTTCTGGGGACGTCCGGAAATCGACTTTTGGCGGAACCGGCGCAAGGCCGAGGAGTGCAGTGACCGGCCGCCAGTCTGCTCTTGGGTCGGCTCGTTGTTTTGTGGAAGTACGGCGCTGCTGGTGGCTCGCGGGGCTGGCTCTAAGTGAGTCTCCGAGTGTGTCTGCGAGGGCTCTATATGAGAAGCATAGTCACGGAGCAGTGCTGCGCCGACAGATGGGGGAGGTGGGGCAGTGGCAGTGGCAGTGGTTGCCGAAGGGTGAGACGAGCGCACCGACGCGGCAGGCAGCGTCGAGGGTATGTCAGATCGGAGAGAATCTCTGCCGGACGACGCCATAGGACCTGTAGATTGGCGGGATTTGAGGACAGGAGTCTGAAAGATACGCGAAATTCGGATGTAACGGGGATTACGGTCCAGCAGTCAAGCCTAATTGGGACACCCACTGCCCGTGGGTCGCACCCCTTGGGCGCTTTTTGCTTAGACGGTGGTTTCCACGCTCTTCCACCGTGGCTCTTAGTCCCGGATAAAACTGGGAAACTGGGGATGCCCCCAACACCAAGTGGGGGGCACCACCGCAACGGGGCTGCAAATCTCGAAAGAGATTTGAAGCAGCAGGAAGAACCATATCAGGGTCCGACAACGGAAGCGAAACCGCAAGACGGTGACTCCACCAAAGCTTAGACAATATTGCGAGCTTTGGGGTTCGCCGAGTCGTTCTAACGTAGTCACCGTCAAATCTAGGCTTGCCTTTGTGGAGATGACGTTTACACCGACATTGCCGAACAGTTGCTACAGTCCTATTGGGTACCATTTGAAAGGGTCTTGGTAATCTTAGTTCTAGATTGGATTTCTTTTTCTTTTTCTATCGATATTCTGTGTTCCACTCTCGCGCCACATAGCCGGGACTTGAGTGGCTCTTATTCGGATTGATCGGCCTGCTCGGCTCGATCGGCCTGATCCTTGTTGCCTGCAGAACGGTGCAATAAAGCTGATCTGTGGGCAGTGCTGTCCAAGTCGATCCATCAACTTTTCAATAGACGCAAGGCTGTGCAACCACACCATCGACCCAGAGATGTCTGGGTTTCGGATTAGGTTCAAAAGCGAGAGTAGTCAGGCACGGTAGACTTCTGCGCGGCGCTTTGTGCTCCCTGAATCCAATAATGTACCTGAGCTCACACATGTGGTGATGATTAGGTGATAGGGCCTCGACCAGAGGTGCAACGCAGCCTCTGTGGCTGTCACACTCTCAAATCCCCCGTATTCCGAGAGGGTGAAAAGGCCGTTGCGGACATAAGGTTATGGGCAGGAGATCACAAAGATGGCTGACCGTCGTTGGCCCCGGACTTATCTTCGTATCTCCAGTCATCAAACCCGTGCCCTTCGTACAGTGTCAGAATTTCCGGCTCAGTTGGACTCGATTTTCCAGGCGTAGTCAACGTGGAGGCGGTCTTCCACAGTTTCACGAACGAATCCATCCAGGCGGGCATCGTTTGAGCGCTCACCCATTGCAACATCCTCGCCGGTCCCAGAGACTGCTGCTCCGCGGCAAATGGAGACTGCACGCTCTCGAATCAATTCCCAGGTATCAAAGTCGAAGCATCCTTCGCTTTCATTTAGCAAAAGGTGGCCCTTGGAGGAGAAGGCCAAAACGTGGAGAGAGGAGGCGGCCTTTGCGTCGGCTGCCGAGGGGTCGCGAACGATGTCACCAGACTTGGTCACCCCCAGCAGAGCCGAGGAGAATGTCATGGCGAGGGGCACAGAGGCGGAAAGAAGGGCGAGCAGAGAGGTGTGCAAGAGAGCGGGGAGGACCGTGAGATACTGTTTCTGTTAGTTGAAACTGCTTATTGGGGTAAGATAAAACCATTGGAAACTTACAGAGTCACCTCGCTCCACACTGCCACCTCCAACGATAGCGAGCGTGATGACCACGCCTCGACGAGGATATCCTCTTTCGCGGCCCAGGACAACCTCCGTCAACACACTGCGCAAAATTCCCTCCACATATCGCTCGCCGACACCGGCGGTGGTATTTCCAGGCTTGACGAAAACTTCGATGGTCGCATCCTCGGGCTTGAGGGCGTCGCGGCGGGCTGGGAGCTCAATGGGCGCATTGACGGAGCCCAGAACATCGTAGCCGGTAGCTGGGCATTTGTAAGATGCCGAGCCATCGGCGCGGTTCAAAGTAGAGAGAGAAGCTGTGGGTTCAACCATTTTGCGAAGAGAGTAGGAAGAAAGAAGGTGATCGGGAGGGTAATGGGCGTGTGGTTGAGCTTTGACTGTTGAACGTGGACAACATCGAAGTCGCGATTTTTTATGCGGCATGCGGGCCGCCCCCTGATTGGTTGCTACCCATGCCCATATTTAGTGAACTAATCGAGCCTGCAAAACCATCCATTTGCCTTCGATTACTCGTGACTATACTGCCGAGAAACTATAACGCAGCTACATGTGTCAGACTGAGTAATCAAGTAGATAAATCATTCCAGTTCTGGTGGGCCTCTTCCAATCCGGCCATGGCATCCCCCATGGATTATCATCCAGACTTGACAGAAAAGTTATTAGTGTAAACTGGCTCTGAAGTGATCGCAAATGTATTGGTATGGCTGGCTTGGATATTCAAAAATAAGTTTTGTTTAGTATGCCTATACGTCGGCGTTTCACTCACGACCTCTGGAGGGTTTGAGCTTCTATTTTCAGAACTACCCAGTTCTACACCAGCGCGAAGTCCGTAAACAACATCCCCTTTGTCGGAGCTATGCCCAGAGGCTAAAAGTCCTGGCATCGGACCTAGAGCCATTTCCGACGCGCCGAGATCTTGGAATGTGGCACTGCAAGTGGTTGGCAAATGATAGACGCGATGCAGTCATGGACTTAGCGGAACCCATGGTTCCCCGCAGGGAAATGAACAACTAATCGCGTAAACTTGATTCATTGCTACTGTATACTTTAGATGCTGCATCATGATCAGGGATTACATCCATAGTGATTGATTAGTGATTAGCACTGCGAACCTCTGTTGATAAGCCCATTAGATCGAGCAGGCCACGGATGAGCGCCGCTTGGTGGCTTGCTTCCGAATGAGGGCGCCCAATCAGACCCTGGCGAGAGTCGCTCCCAAGACACTTAGCGGCACTGCCAACTAACATCGTCGCAAGCTATCTACCGGATTAGACCAGCCAAGTATCTGTTCTCTGGGAATGCTCCAATGAGAGTGTGGTGTCAAAGTGGTGACAACAATCCCCCGCTCTGTGCCTGGTGGCCCGTCAAGAGGAAGGCTACTTCCTGGATCCCCTACAAATACAAAGTATCCCCCGGTTCTATCTCAGGTCTATCTCAAAACTTCGACTTTGCGCTCTAGAGACGATCATTTCATTGCGATAAAAGAGATTTGGCTGTTTAGGCTGTTTATTGCGCAGAATCTACTTCACTCTCCTTTCCCCACATTCACTCCACCTACTTGAATGGGCATAGAGACGCTTCCCGATGTCGAGGAATCGACGGAGCCTCCTATATGTGGCTTTACAAAGTCCATTTCCAATCCACATGCAGCTACAACTGCAACTGCCAGCTTAAACTCTCAGCCGTGCGCCCCCATCGAGAAGTCCACACCTGCACCTGACCATAGTCTGCCTCCCACAAATGCCCAGGGTACCTGGCCCGATCCTCTCGAAACACCTAGTGACCAAGCCAAAAATGCCCATCTCGTGGAGCCTCCCGACTTTGCCGCTCTTCTCCAGACGGACTTACAGTACGCAGAGATCTAATACCCTCGGATAGAATATATACAAGAATCTCCCTCTCACCAAGCCTCCCCTCTAGCAATGGAATTTCCGATAGCCAAGCGGGACTTCGTCTCAAGAGGGATGGACCAAACGCGGTTCGCGAAATCAAGGGCGTCTCCGTCTGGGGGATACTGCTAAGACAGGTTTCGAACAGCCTGACCATAGTGAGTAGTCTCTCCGTTACACTCTGAGAGGTGTGGTGCGAAAATGTACTCATGATGCTCAAAGGTTCTACTTATCACCATGGCTCTGTCCTTTGGAATCAATGATTACATTGAAGGAGGTGTCATCACAGCTGTCATTCTCTTGAACATAATCGTCGGGTAGGCCATTTGATATAGCCTGCGTGGGGGGGGGGGGGGGGGCGAACTTGACTGACAATATCCTAGGTTTTTCCAAGATTACCGCGCCGAGATGACCATTCTATCCCTGAACCGCCTCTCTGCCCCTATATGCAAAGTGATCCGCGATGGCCGAGTGACTTCTGTCAAGGCTGAATCGTTGGTGGTCGGAGATATAGTTCGATTGGCAGTAGGTGATATCGTGCCTGCAGATCTCCGGTTGTTCGACGGCATGAATGCATCCATGGACGAAGCCCTTTTGACGGGCGAGTCTCTCCCAGTTCTCAAAACGCCGCATACGACGTTCACATCCCCAGACATTCCTATCGGCGACCGTACCAATATGGCATATTCAGGCTGTAGTACGACGCAAGGCCGAGCCACTGGAATTGTCGTTGCAATAGGCATGGGAACGGAGGTGGGCAAAATTGCAGAACTGCTCCGAGACCAAGACACAAGTGTCAATCGGAGTTCTCTTGCACGTTTTATTCAGCGCTTCAAGTCATCAATGGCGAACATCTTGGGCTTGGTTGGCACTCCGCTGCAAATCAAGCTGAGCAAGTTTGCACTTCTCCTTTTTGCTCTAGCCATTCTGTTAGCCATCATCGTATTTTCGGTTAATCTTTGGGATGTTCAGGGCGAAGTTCTCATTTACGGAATTTGTGTCGCAGTTGCTGTCATTCCCGAGTCTTTGATCGCAGTACTCACCATTACCATTGCGGTCGGTACCAAGGCGATGGCTAGTGGCAATGTCATTGTCCGGAAACTCCAATGCCTCGAGGCTGTGGGTGGTGTCACAAATATTTGCTCTGACAAAACCGGTACCTTGACACAAGGGAAAATGATCGCTCGTTCAGCATGGATCCCAGGCGCCGGGACTTTGGCCGTTCACCAGACAACTGACCCATATGACCCTACCAGCGGTCTTACTCAAATGGATGAGATCGACTGGGATTCAAATAACCCGATCGAACAAAACCCCGCATTGCACATCTTTCTTTCCGCCCTGGCCCTTTGTAATCTCTCAGTTGTGCACCATGAGAACGATATCTGGACTGCAATTGGCGAGCCAACTGAAATTGCCCTTCACGTCTTAGCTATGCGATTTGAATTTGGCAGAAAGCAAGTGACTGAAAGACAAAAGATCGAATTATACACAGAATATCCCTTTGATTCAACTATCAAGAAGATGTCTGTCGTTTACCGAAATCCTGCCGAGGGAGTGTATGAGATATACACCAAAGGAGCACCCGAGACTATCATACCAGCACTTTCAATAAGTGCAGGGGAAGCACAGACCATACAAGAAGCAGCAGATAGAATGGCCGGGGAAGGTCTCCGTGTCCTGTGCATTGCCTACAAAAAGACCTCGATTGAACGGGAGGACCAAGTGTCCACACGCAGCACTGCTGAATCAAACCTTCAATTCGGAGGTCTCGTAGGGCTCTATGATCCCCCGCGCGTCGAAACAGCAGGTGCTGTGCGCAAGTGCCAGATGGCAGGGATCACAGTACACATGCTCACTGGTGATCACATCAAGACAGCCACGGCTATTGCATCCGAGGTCGGCATTCTCGATCGTGTCACCGCGATGGTGAAACCAGGAAACTTGGTCATGGCTGCAGATGAATTCGACAAATTGTCTGATAGTGAAATTGATGAAATTGAGGAACTACCTCTTGTTATCGCTCGCTGTAGCCCTGCAACCAAGGTTCGCATGGTGGAGGCAATGCATCGTCGTCAAGCCTTTTGTGTCATGACTGGCGATGGTGTCAATGACTCCCCGGCTCTCAAAAGAGCCGATGTCGGTATAGCAATGGGGAAAAATGGGAGCGATGTTGCCAAAGAAGCCGCCGATATGGTTCTTACAGATGATAATTTCTCATCCATTGTCAAGGCCGTTGAGGAGGGTAGAAGGCTTTTCGATAATATCCAAAAGGTATATTCACCCATGCCAGTCAACTATGGCGAGGTTGTTTCTAACATTGAAAAGTTTCTCATGCATCTTCTCGTCTCCAACATCGCCCAAGTAATTCTTCTTCTGGTTGCCCTTGCCTTCAAAGACGCTGGAGGAGACTCCGTCTTTCCACTGTCTCCACTCGAAATTCTCTGGGCCAACCTAGTCACATCTTCATTCCTAGCCGTTGGTCTTGGTCTCGAAGAGGCCCAGCCTGATATCATGTATCGCCCGCCTCACGATTTACGCGTCGGAGTCTTCACGCGCGAGTTAATCGTGGACAAAATGATTTACGGCACATTCATGGGCTCGCTCTGCCTAGTAGCATTCGTATGTGTCATATATGCTGCCGGCACCGGGACATCAGATCTAGGCGATGGGTGCAATCAGGGATACAACTCATCTTGCGACGCCGTTTTCCGAGCGCGCGCTACGACATACGCGACATTGACCTTCTTGCTGCTTGTGACAGCTTGGGAGGTCAAGCATTTCTCACGCTCTTTATTCAACATGGACCCTATTCGATTTCCGCAGAAGTTTTCCATTATCCCTACGGTCTGGCAGAACCGGTTCCTTTTCTGGGCGGTTATGGCTGGGTTCATCATTGCCTTTCCCGTTATCTATCTTCCAGTGATAAACCAACTTGTGTTCAAGCATCATGCCATTACCTGGGAATGGGGTGTTGTGATTGGTTGCACGGTTGTGTATCTTGGCTGCGTAGAGAGTTGGAAGGCGGTTAAACGAGCTTTTGGCATTGGGAGTGGGAAGAATAACATCCTCACTTTAGATAATGCGGAGATGGGGGCGGGCTTGGGTTCCACGCCAATGTCAATGAGTGCCAATGCGAGCATTGAAATGAAGTGACCTAGACAGATGGGTTCACTTAAATGATTCAACATCGATCAGATCATTGGTTTTCATCATAGCTCATGTCCAACACAGAGCTTGAGGAAGTCGTCATTTCTTTTTTTGATTGCCCACAGATTGAAAATAGTTACAGGGGCTGAATGAATAATTTATTGAGAACTATTATGCATTTCATAGGTCTAGGAGCAAGTCCTGTAATCGATGATTATGAGGCCTCGTAGTAATAGGCGATACCAGTGTTGTCACACTACGACATACTACGCGTCTAAGTGCTATTCGCCGCGACCATTAAATGTGTGCCAACGCATACATACTACCGTCGCGTGCAATGTACGCCCAAACCGTATCCGGTAATGTCTGCCCAAGTCTCAGCAGAATCTGTGAGACCGAAATGTATGCCAATAATCACCTTTCTTGGAAGGCGCTGGAAATATCACCTCGCCTTACCAGCTCTGGCTAGCGCATTACCATCTCGTTACAAATAGAAGACCTTACGGGGGCACCAACGGGAGCTTGCTGGCCTATAGCCAGGGGCTCCCCCCCCGACTGGTGGCCATCTTGTAGCCAAAAACGCCCGTGATGGTCGTGTACTTGAATCTCAAGTCTAAAGAAGTTGCGGCAATAGGAAGCATGAACGGCCCGCGACCGATTGCAAGGGCTGCGAGGCGGATATAAAATGGCTCCCAGCCCTCAATGATCTGTTGCGTTCCTCATTATTCCCTACTTCTCAAACAAATCACCGAGGCCGCACAGGGTACTTTCCCGCATCTAAATAGGGCTTTTGTTCGGATACCTCAAGGGGTATCAAAGACCGCTTACTAGACTGGTAGGTATATCTTACATTACAGTAGCAAGACACCAGGAGATGTATTTTACACGTAAGTGCTAAACACATGCTACCTGGTGTGTCACTGGCCGTAGCCAAAAGCCTTCCTTGGCTAGTATTTCATCGCCTCAGCGCAGCTCTCACTTGGCTGTATAGTGAGGCCTATTGCAAGGTTTTAGTTAGCGTGCAGTCCAAGGGTTCTATTTTAGTCGGAATGAGTCACAAATACGAAAATCTAGCCCACGAGTAGCATGGTCTGCTCTCGGGTGTGGCCCTGGGGGCCAAAACTAATACCACTTAAATGCACCCCATTAGGACCCTTTCTTTGCAAGAATGAAACGGACAAAGTATTGATCGTCCCCAGAATCTCGATGCCTCGCAAGGAGCCCACGAGCATCTATCTTCCGCCGGAAGTTGTACATATAATCACAGCTTATCTTGCGGCTGAAGACCCTGCAGCGGTGTTCAGTCTCGCAAAGACCAGCAAAACCTACTACGCCTACTGTCAGCCAGTTATCCAGCCAGCTGTCAAGTCCATAAAATTCCACGACATCAAAATAGCGGTTCCTAGGCCCAGGCGAGAGGCAGAGCTCAAAGGAATTGTGAATCGCCTTGTTAAACGACTCAAAACTGCTGACGGTTTTCTCTGTGTCCGTCGGGTTTTCGTCGCACACCCCAAGCTCCTTAAGTCGCAATTTAGAACCTATGACGAAGAAGATGAATGGAGACCGCCCTGCCTGTCCACCCTGTTATCTTCTAGTCAGGCAGCCAGCCATACAACACAATATGGACAATGGCAGGAAACCCATTTAAGTCGGCATCCACGCCGCTATAGGGAACCTGACCGGGATTTCTCGGACGATCTTTACAAACCCGTTGTGAGGTTAATCAAAATCCTTCCCAACTTAACAGATCTCATTTGGACCTGGTCTAATGACATACCATCATGCATCCTTAAAACTTTACGCCGAGATCAACCGGAATGCCGTCTCCATTTGGATTCCTTTTTCAACAGCCCTGTTATACGTAGAGAATATCACAGAGTCCCATGGTATAGCAGAGTCTGGAGAGAAAATTTGGATGCCATGTGGCATGGGGCGCCTTCGCTTCACTCAATCAGCATTGGTATTGACTGCGAACCTCTCTGCCAAGGTCTTCGGCGACGAGAGTCTTTATTTCGAGCTGTAACTAGCGCACCGAATCTCAAAGAGCTTCGCTTCGGGAGCAATGAAAGGATCCCTCACATACCATTAGAAAGTGAACGTCCGTCTGAAAAGCTTTCATTGGAAGCCCTCCATTTCGAGAGCAGATTGGGCTTTGATGGGGATACGCTGTATTGGTGGAGTCACTATACAGACTTTTCAACCTTGCAGACTCTGAAAATTCATGGTCGATTGGATAACGACGTGTTCAGTATATGGGGCCGGACGAAACTCTCATTTCCATCTTTGAGAGCTCTGAGCCTGAACATTGGTTCCGATTCTTTGCGATCAGCGGAGTTCTACAACTCTGCGAACAGCTTTCTCCACTCTATGCCTCTTTTGACTGAGTTTGAATTGGAAGGATGGCACTCCCTTATTAGTATAGAGTCCCTCGTCGCCTATCATGGGTCCCACTTGCGCAAGCTCAAGCTCTTGAATCCGGCAGCATGGCAGTTCGTGAATGAAGAGGAGATCCGGCTAATCGATGGAGCGTGTCCGTCGTTAGCAGAATTGGGAGTTCCTCTCAACCGCAGTCAAGATGAATTTGAGCAGCTTTTCTTATACATGGCCTTGGGGTCATTGAAAAATCTCAGCACCCTGCATATTCACTACGAAATCCTACCTCCTCGAATGCATGAGATCTTGCGGGAGGCAATGGTTTTATCAAGCGAGAACATGATGTCTCGTACGAACATGCCGCTCAACGATCCATCTTTTGACGAATTTCAGAGTCAGTCTTGCGGAACAGCCCGTTACAAAGGGCGTCACCTTCGAAATGGTCATGTGGAAAGAATTATTGTTGGCTCTATCATGGACAAAAAGCTTGCGTGCGAAATCTTTCAAGTCATTTCTGATGCTAAGCCCCTTGAATCGGTTAAGTTGAAAGATGTCACAATAACAATGAGTGGTTCAAATTACGACCATGACATAGCCTGGATAGTGGACACATTTACCACAGCATGGCACGTAAGGCAAGTGAGTGCCAATTCGTGTGGCCGGGAGATTTTGATAGTAGCCGAGGAGCTTCAGCCGACCGAGAAGAATTCAGGAGGAAGACATCACTTTCTTCCAGGATGGATAGAGCCCATATTCAGGCGACTCTTTCCAGAACAACAATCTAAAGGACCACCACGGAAAACATCAAAGAAATTGGCGTACAAGAGACAGCAGGATGATGACCCTATCCCGACATGGAGGCGTCAATGTGCCGTTGTTCCTGCTTGGAGTCTTAGGTCGTCATCACCGTCTCAAGGAACAGGGCGCGGAGAAAAGCTATCATTGCGCAGCGGGAAGGCCTCTTGGGGGATGCTAGTATGACGGTGGTCACATCATGGAAGGCTTTATTCTTAATTATTATTAAGAATTTGATTAATTGATGAAATCTACGGTCTTTTTCCTCTTGTCAGATAAGTCTGCGTCGGTGGCGCCCAGGGCGCTGAGCCATAAATGAATGACACGTAAAGGACTTCCTTCGCGAGAATAAATGTGAAGCTAGAGAAAGGTCATATATATCGACTGAGTAAGTGATTGATCCACAATTCAATTATTTAGACGCGGGCTGTGGACTTTGTGGATTTTGGAACATATCATTCACTGGTAACGAATGAGACGCGCTGCAAGTGGTAAAAAAATCCATAGAGAACTAGTAAACATCCTTCCCTACCAGTATTAGCTCTATAAGGCGTACGCACAGCCTTCTGGGTGATGACTGGCGGGCGTACCAGAGGGCTGCGCACTCGGTGGAAAACGAGAGGAAGTGGCAGCGTGGGATTAGTGGGAAGGTGGAATGCAGGCAGACGATCTTGCCAGATCGCCAGATCGACCAAGCGATTTTAGATTTCGATGTACATAATCATTACGGAAAAATCACCTTCAGTAGGACCGACATCAAGCCGTCACTTATCATTCGATGTGCGCACCGATCTATGGGATGATGAATCCGACCACACCTGGGCCGACTATGATGCTGATTCGTCTGATTCGATGATCTCTCTACATAAATATTCCGACGCGATGGCAAATGGACAATTCCATGATGTTCCTCTGTTCGGCGCTTTGATCCTTGCTGCCTGCAAAGGCATGGAAGTTCTCCGCGATACCATTCCCTCGTCAGAAAACTACATTATGACCCGGAATACTCAATATGGAAGCTAAGTACATCAAACGGTGATCAAAAACAGATCTTGAAATTTCTATGGAGACCTCTCAACCGGCCATAAGTCTGCTACCGCAAGAATTGCTTCAGCAGTCCAGAGAGCATTTCTGTCATGGACTGGTAAAGCTCCTGTCTCTTGGTCTCAAACCCGCCAAAGACTTCTTTGGCCGAGCCAACTGGGATTTGATCCTCGCCACTCGACAGCTTGATCCACGTTTCATCAACGAATTGTTGCAAAGGCATGCCAATCATGTGGCCGTCCTTCAGGTCAGGCTGGTGCTTGGCGTCGTGGAGTTCCGTCTGCACGGCAGGTGGGTATATCTCAATGACCTTAACATTTCCGGGGCCATCTTTCAACTGTGTGCGCAGAGCCAGAATGAAGTGGTGCAGGGCAGCCTTTGAGGCACCATAGTTCGGGCAGCGCATCATCGGAACCAGGGCCATCTGAGAGGTAGTGAATGCAATGGCAGCCTCAGACTGTCGCTTCTGGAGATGAGGGATGAAAGCTTTTGCGATCCGGACAGCGGAAGTGTAGTTGGTGATCAACTCCTGGTCGAAGACGTCCAGATCGATGGTCTCGGGCTGGGAGAAGTCGAAAGGCCGCTGGATGCCGGAGTTGACGAAAACACAGTCCAAGTTAGGAGTTTCAGACATGACCTCAGAAGCAAACTGGGGAATCTAAGCGGTGCATTTCGGATTAGCACTTGTATTGTTTGCTTTGCCATTGTAAACACACCTTATCGAGTTGCATGACATCAAAGACCTTTGCGTTGACTCTCTCGCTTCCATATTTTTTGACAAATGCATCGAGCTTGTCCTGTCTGCGCCCGGCGACAATGACATGGACGCCATTCTGCACAAGCTTCGCAGCCAGCGCCTCTCCAATGCCGGAGGTGGCGCCGATAACGAGAACGTGTTTGTATTCGAAGGGCATTTTCAAGAATGAAGAAGACGGAATGAGTTTAGGGGCTTTACAATGAATAATTGAATGTCCGACGCTTTAGCCTTTTATCAATACAATTAGCCAGCGTGCAGTCTGCGTCATTTAAAGATTTGTCATCAGCACATCAGTACAATATCTTGCTTGCGGAGACTAAGCCAATAATGGGAACATAGGAACTACTATAAGGCCTGTGAGTGGCTGGCACTGCGCGAAGTGTAAAATATGCCATATTTTCCGCCATTACCATCTTGGGAATTATGGATGGGTACAGCTTTGACAAGGTAAGAAGAGACATGATTCACATTGATGGATGTTTTTGCGCATTGCATTTCATTTTGCACGTAATATTGGAGGATATAATAACACAGCTATTCAAGGGGTTTCCTCCACGTTGAAGACGAGCTTCTCACCGCTGACCTTATCGGCCTTCAGCAGTTCCAGGCCTTCCGGAACACCCTGCAGACCGTTCTTGCCAACCTTAGGAGGGTGGACCTTGACCTTACCGGAGGCCAGCAGCGACTGGGCAATAGGGTTGAACTTCTGGGCATGGGCGAAGTCTTCAGGCTTAGCGGGCATGGAAGTTTGACCAAACTGGAAGGCCTCGCCAACGACAGTGTAAGCCAGGGTAGAACGATCATTGACGTTGGCACGCTCAATGTTAATTGGCAAAAGAGCACTGTAATCGCCGCCCTCGGTGGAGATTGCTTTGTCACAGAACTCGGCGCTAGGCCCGAGTGAAATACAGTCGAACACAAGCTTCAGGTTGTTGTTGGTTTGCTTGCGGATCTCAGCGGGGGACTGAGGATCCTTGTAGTTGAACACGACATCCGCACCCAGGCTGCGGACGAAATCGAAGTTATGCGGGGAACAAGTGGTCAGGACCTTGTAGCCGGACAGCTTGGCAAACTGGATCGCCAGAGAACCGGTGGCAGTGGAACCGCCGTAGATGAGAATCGGAGTAGCATCCTTGATGGGCTCAGTGGGAAGGGCGAGCTTCAAGCTCTGGTAGAGACCCTGTCCGACAGTGTTGATACCGACTCCGAGGGTGGCAGCTTCCTGGAAGCTCATATTGTCGGGGATCTTCATCTGAACGTCACCCTTCACGACGATGTACTCGGCGAAGGAGCCATCCTCGGGCTGGACGGCGTTTCCGCCGTGAGTGAAACCACAGATGCGGTCGCCCTTCTTCCATGGCTTCTTGACATTCTTGCCAACGGCCTCGACGGTGCCGGCAAAGTCACATCCAAGGAGCACACCAGGTGGGGACAGGTACTCAACATGCTTCCAGTCGGTGGGATTCAACCCAACGCTGACAGTCTTGACAAGAACGTAGTCATCCCGCAGAGTGGGAATGGCCCGGTCCGTGACAAGACCTGCGGTTTTGGGCTGGGTGACGATAACGGCTTTTTGGGTAGACATGATGTTGGGATGCTTTGAGAGAGTGGTTCGGAGACATCGGATCGAGAGGTGACGAAGCTTCTATATACTCGCACGATTAACGATTACAAATCCTTGAGCTGCCTATATGGAATGACGAAGTTTCTGGTCAATCGAAGTGGATCCTCTTCTCAGTCCCACACAACCAAGCGTTGGCGTAGATCTACCGAGGCCGAGAATACGGCATTTCTCACCAGCCTCGTAGCAGGCGTCTGTTTCATAGGCCTCCTAGCTGATTCGAGTCATCTGAGTCAATCGGTGTCTCCAAATATGATCCCATGCAGGCGAAATAATGACATCATCCTGAAGTCTTTGTGGGGGTGCAAGACGTGCGCCGCGAGAGTTTCATAGAACATGCGCTATTTCTCATTACTGTCACGCCTAACCCAATTAGTCTCTCGGCAATTCCTTTCCTATCTGGGTTACCCTTGAATAGTCTCCGAGTTGTTTCATTTTGAGCCGATCCAGTGCCTCTCAAGGTCCCACGATGGCTTCCCGCGGATGTCTGATTTGTCAGGATTAATAATCTTCAGTGGGATCCATTGGGCATGCCAATCATTCCTGGGTTTCTATATTGAAGCTGAGGTCGAACATTAGTTTGTGTGGCATATCCTGTGCGTAAATAACCCAGACATCCCGATGATCCCAAAATACTTTGAGGTGGTACGCAAAAGCAACAATGCTGGAGGCAAGGGCTGTGCCTCGGACTCGGTAAAGAAGACTGGGAGATAATCACCGGAGGTCCCCACTAAACTTGAGCGTCACAACGTAGAAATCCATGCTGGGAAGTGATTGAAATGTTCTGAATATTGCGAATCCAGTCCAGGGCGGATGAAGTTGGAGTTGAGCAAAGAAAGAGTCAAAGCCCCGCGCCGATCAACCCCACCTTCACTTGTCGGTCAGAACAATGGATTACCCCGGTAGATCAGATAGTCAAATATACTTCAGACCTTCCAAAATGTTCAATATGGGACATATTTGAACTAAGGTACTAGATACTCGCCTCTATCCATATAGGTCAACCGCTGTTCCATCCCTGTCAGCCCAGCGGGGCCCGCTCGTAGCGCTTATCCCTGTCAACAAACCCCCCCCCCCCCCCCATCCACACATCTTCCTTCACCGACTCTCATCCTCCCCTCCCAATTCCAATAATGCGGATTCTCTGTCTTCACGGGAAGGGCACCAGTGCCGCCATTTTCCGATCGCAGACTTGTGAGCCGCTCTTGCACCTTGACAGCGGCACTGTGCTGATCTTATCCCAACAGCCTCATTCCGGGCGCAGCTCGCCGACAAGAACATTGAATTTGATTTTGTAGATGGCCCACACCTGACTACTGCTGCTGCAGGCGTGGACCTGTTTTATGATCCCCCTTACTACGCCTGGTATGATGGCGATGGCCTCGAGACCGTCCGCGAGGCACACAACTGGTTGAATGAGTACATCGCCGCGAATGGCCCCTACGATGCTGCCATGATGTTTTCACAAGGATGTGTTCTAGGATCTAGCGCATTGATACTCCACCAAGAAGAAACCCCTGACATGCCACCGCCGTTCAAAGCCGCCATCTTTATCTGTGGTGGTGCCTCGCTAAGTGTCCTCGAGGAGATGGGCTTCCATGTTTCCGCTGAAGCGCGCGAACGTGATGCTGCTTCTAGATCTGCTTTGGTATTGCAAGCGGGCTCTATGTCCCTTATGACAAAGGGAGCGAACCGTTGGACTGGCCTCGGCTCTTTGAGCGATGGGCTCTCGGAGGAGGAATTGCGAAACGAGATTAAGAGTCCCTATCGCATTGCTATCCCTACTGTGCATATATACGGTTCCAAGGATCCGCGTTATGCCGCAGGTGTACACTTGTCCGGGGTCTGCGAGCCAGAGAAACGGCGTACTTACGACCACGGTGGTGGGCATGAGATTCCTCGGACAGCAGCTGTGAGCAATTCAATTGCTAAATTGGTGCAATGGGCTCTGGAACAGGCCGAGACCTCGTGACGGTATTACTGATGGCATACTTCATATGGCTTTCTGGTTCGACATTCAACATATAGATGAGCAAGCACGAGCTACTGGGAGACGGATTTATAGATACAATGACTCGGAGACGGCATCTTTCGAGGATTTTGGGACCCTACTTCGTTTTACTTCCTAACAGCTCTTTATAAACAGTAATGAGACAATCAGAAAGTCACACATGATGCAAATCACATCTCAAATCCACACCAGATTATCTCCACCGCACAAACAGGGAACATGATGTCGCTTAGGGTACACGCATGGGCATTTATCGAAAACTTCAAGAACATGGCGCAAAGGATCTTGTCGCAAGGTGGTCTTGAGGTCGCATGGGTCCAGCGGTATTGGTATTCATCTGTCGCAATGGGCCCTCGGTGTCGCTTGGGGTCAAATTTTCTGCGTCTGTAAGCTGAAATGAGAGCTCAACCCAAACGAGACCCAACTGCTTAGTTTTCGTCGTCCTGGAACTCAACCCAGGTCTTCATCTTCGCACGCACGTGCTCACCATAAAGCACGAATCCTTCATCTTCATCAACGGACCGCACCAAGCAATTCTCGCCAGGTTCGAAAAAGAAGGGAACACTAATACGACCAATAGCTTGGCTGCCATTCTGCTGTCCACCAGTACCAGCTGCCGAGGCACTCAGGCCAGGGGCCCGGACACGGTGCATAGTGGCCACGAATCGTCCGCCAGACACCTTGGCCATCAGGTCGCCGATGTTCACTACAAGCGATTCCGGGACGTACGGCGCCGGAACCCACTCGCCGGAGGAATTGCGCACCTCCAGTCCACCCGTGGAATCCTGGTGCAGCAGGGTCAAGATACCACTGTCGGTATGCGGGGTGCAACTCAACTTGACCTCTGATGTAGCCGAGTCGGATCCTGACGCCGCTGATGCGACAGGCGGATAGTGAAGGAGACGCAAGGTACTAAGTGAGTCCTCCATGTACGACGCGAAGTAATCTGCGGGCTTGTCCAGTGAAACGGCCAACAGAGATAACAACTTCGAAGCCAGCGACTGGAGCTCGATATACAGCCTCTCCAACTTCGGACGCGCAGGTAACTTGTCCACTTCAGGCCAGACATTCGGCTCAGCAAGATCGAACTTTGAAGATGAGGAAACGGTAGATTTCGTGCGAATCGGCTCGGCGGGTCCCATCTCGAAACCCTCTTTCAAGTTATCGGATGCCAACTCCGGCTGTGTGGGAAAGTATCTTCCATTAAATTCTCGTCAGTTATGAGTGACCAGAAGAAGAGACCCTAGGATATTAACCCCCGGTATGTGTTGGCGTGATCCCGTCGGAATGATCGTTTCGCCAGTCTCATTTTTTCCTCCTGTGGAAGCGAGAAGAACTCTTTCGACATTGCAAAGACCTCTTCATGATTGCAACTCAAGGGCACATTGACTAGATATGCGAAACCCGTCGTGGCGAAGACGCTGTATAGACGCTGGCTCAATGCCGTCAACTCTGCCTCGGATGCTCCAGCAGGAGACCCGAGAGGGCCGACGTCGACAACAGGCAAAGAAGAGAAGGTGGTAGTCATTGTCACACAGACTGGAGTAGTTTTTCTCGGCCCACACAGCGTCTCTCCGAGCCTTTTATATTCTTCCATGTCTACAGAGATCCACAAAGATCCACCCCACAATCCGCCCACTTGGGGTAGGTGGTCGTGTGCGCCGGACCCATCAACGACGTAATGGCTATGTGTTGAATCGAAAAATCTCTGTTAGAATGTACGATACCTTGAATCAAGCGCAGTGTGAGAATTCATTCTTATACAACGGAATCCTCAGGTGGCTCATGCAAGATCCCCCCAAACCGGGACAAAACTCAATTGCAAAAATGGGCAGGCCCTCTGAACGCCTCGGCGGCGGGTACCGCTGCTCGATCCACCGCCAGCCGTGTGGCTGGCGCCCCCAGACCGATCGTTCATTCAGTGGAGCCTCTATGATGGACGAAACGCGACTTTTGCAAATGATGGCGGGGTGCCGCGGGGTTGGTTCTCAGGGTCTGTGCGAGGCTCTAGTGCAGTCCAACCGGCAAAGTACGCAATCAAATGCACGGGTGGGATTAATAGGAGCCGAATATCGCCCTATGTAAACTTTTCGAACGAATAATAGGTATTCAAAGTGTTGTTCTGAGATGGGTATGTTGGCGGTTCTGATCATTGCCGCTCAGTCTCGGCCGGTTAGTTCGGCGACCCATTCTTCTCGCGAAAATATGCCATGCAAAGGAATACCAAGCCACTTGCCAATCCCAATCCCGATCCCAATTTCAGCCGCGGTACTGACTTCTGAACTGGAGGTTTTATTATTTGAGGTTGCGGCATCAATAGCTGTCTTGCGCCGCTGTGAATAGAACATGGGACAATGTGACTATTTGGTCTGCAGATGCATTGGGTAGTCATATTGTCCGGCCAAATGTCCGTTATCTCCAAACCAAATGTCCGTTATCTCCAAACCAAAGTGAATCGAGTATATGTTCCAGCGGATTGCAGTTACTATTTCAAGTCGAGAGGGCGGAGAGGGAGGTAGAGGGAGTTTGGATGTGTACAGATGCATGTTTGTAGAGAGTACTTTATGTCTGAACGGTCGGTATCGGCCATTCTCATAATTCTGCTTCATTATGTACACAAGAATCAATGTACATCTTGCTTGTCGGGTTTGTGTATGTCGTGCTATTCTGTAGGCATGTCACATACCCTCCTATCTTCCCGCGTTCAAACGTGTCGTCGTAGTTAGTTTTGCTGTAGATGACGTCTGTTGTAAATGTTCCCTGGCTGCCGTCGCAACCGCTGTTACAAGGTCAGGCCGCTGTAGACTCAAGTATGTGTATACAGAGTGGATGATATTGTGCCCCATACCTGCCAAGAGGAAATCTGAGAGGAGCATCCTCAAGACAAAGCGCACTTGACTAGTCTCGATCGAGACCTCGACTCCCAGATCTAAGAGAATATAAACGTGATGTAAGATGAGATTAAATGGGCAATTAGGAAGGGAGATGTGTTGTGACAAACCAAACGGCTTATTGAGTCCCCAAAATGCAAAGACCCTCAACCTGGCTATCCAAGATTGTAACAGTAGGCTGACCTAACTGACTCGATCCATGATGATTATTGTACACTAGTACATTTGCGGCGAAGACATGACTAGCGGCACATGCCATCGACAAGTTCTACTGGCACCTAACGCGGAATTGATTCTGGTGTCCCGAGTCAACCTCGCCTCAGCTCCGAATATCGCTCCTGTCGATCCTGTCGACCTGAAGAAATTAAAAAATTTAAGATTAGTATAGCCTCACGGAAGCCATTGATTGAGATATACAGTCCTATACTAGTGTAGCAACCACAAAACACCAGAGTACCACAGCCACTTCTCAAGTGTTATAGAAAATCACCACGAGAACGCCTCTTCGAACAAATCAACCGTCTTGTCTCCTTGCACATCTCGCACGGCTTCACGGACACTATCTCCCAGACCACCAGGGCCGCAGACACTGACTGCCAGTGCACCAACTTGCTCAGCCTTCTCATTCTCCAGTAATGACTTGAAGCATGGCTTGCCGTGGAAGACGTTCACGGAGACATTGGCCGGGGCGCATTCCGTCCATGGGGTGTCAGGCTGGGGGATGTGCTCTTCAGTGTCATCTTTGTGGCCTGTTACGTGAATGCGGATGGACAGCATCAGACCCGGGAATTGGAAATAATTGTTTCCGTTGGGGTTGATGTTGCTGTTCAGGGCGTCGTGGCTCAAGACATCCAGCATCCATGTGTGGATCCACGCTAGATGATCTGTAATCGAAATTAGTATTCTATGGGTGCATTGACGGAGACATTGCATACCTAAGTTTCGAATCATCCAAACAAGATGGACCTTGCGAGTTGCCGTCTTCTTGGAAGCGAAATTGGAGACAACATCATGTAAATATGACATCGGGTGGGTGATTCCGATTCCCCCAGCGACCAGGAGCAATGTTCCATACGAAGCGAGACAATGAATACCGCCAAATGGACCCTCAGCCAGTGCCATAGCCTTAATTCGACCTTCGGGCGAGTCCTCGGCCTTTTGGAGAAGCTTCTTAGTAAATCCATCCTGACCCTTGATCAGAATCGACATGGTAGTCGTCTGCGAGCCCTCGAGAAGAGCGGCGAATGAATCACTTGAGCTATTTTTCTCGCTCATATTCATATAGTCATCATTCATTGACTTCCAAGCGACCGTGAAAGGATGTGATGTCCATAATCCTAGACATGGCATGTACAGATACATGTATTGACCAGGGCGGAAGTTCCAAGCTCGGGAGACATCCACATCCACGCGAGCCACGGAGCCCGGCAGAACTTCGACAGTCGCCGTTGTGCGTCGCTTGCCGCAGTTTCTCCAGATGAGAATCCCAAGACGGCCAGCTCGATCAAGACCCCACAGAATCAAAGTACCGAGAAGTACTCGTTGCTGCAACAAATTCTTAAGGTGGTACCACAGAGCAACGAATGACATGATAGCCAAGGCAATGTGCAAGTGAAGGAAAAGTTCGTAAAAGGAGTGTCGAACCGGCGACAAGGATTGAAAAAAGATGAAAACGAATCCGAGAAGTGACTGTAGAGAAGCTTGTTAGAATATTTCAAGGAATGATGGGCTAGGTACAGGTGGGATCAACATACAACAAGTCCGTAAACATAAAAGGGCATCTGCCAGATAGAGTAAAGAATATAATCTGTGCCTTCTGCAATCCAGTCAGCAATTGGTACCTCGAACACTCAGCGCCGAACATACTCTCATAGGCTTGATTTGCGAGAACGGCGCTCATGTGTATGACAGCATTGACTGCAATGACACGACCAACCCATCGGTGCATGAAATTGAAGGTGTCAAAAGACAGGCCAAGCAGAGCCACCAAGGGATTATTCCGCCCAGCACTCAGTACCAACCCAGGAGTATTCATGACAGCCAAATGGCCGGCGGCGTACTTGAGCTGGAACATCTTCTTGGAGAAGCCCTCCCACCAGTCTACTGTCACAATGACGAAGACGACATTCAAAGCAAGGTAGATCAGCAAGAGGATCATCTCCAACCGCAAGGGGGCCGATCCCATGTGGAGTCTCATGAATCGGAACTCGCGGCTGTGTCGATTTCCGAAAAGTGGTGCATAGAGCAGATGCTTCTTAAGGCTCGAAATGACAGTATTTGTCCGCGATAGTCCCCTTTGGTCGTCATTCATCAAGGCCATTTTTGACCGACGACGGTGTCTAACTCGGATGACGGTTCTCCAGGCGAACAAGATAGCGACGAGTCCCCCAACGACAAACAGAGGAACCGCTACCTCTGGATTCATGGGCGCCTCCCCAGGGCCGTTTTCTTGAAGTTGAACGCCCATTATCCATGCGCAGGGACGATGACCGGAGACCGAATATGGCTGAAGGGAAGAGGGAAGAAATATGGTTCGTCGTCCGCCGCCCAATACTGGGTGTCCAAACACTCCTCGAAAGCTCGGACTGGAGGAGAAAAGCGCAAGTCTAAGGTAAAAGCAAACGAAAAGGAAAGATCAATAGAAAAGGCAAGAGCACAATGTTGTATTTGATTTTAGAAGACTTCCGACTATGGATGCCCGTCATCGACCCCTGGGGCCTGAGGAACGTCTTCCTTGCCCAATGCAAAGCCATCGTCATGTTCCGGCGGGAGTACCTCCCACGAAAACGTGAGTGTAACGAGCTCCGAATCGAGAGTAGGTCGGGGGCTCTACTAGACATGGTTAAGCTTATCCGCATGCGAGCGGCAGGGAGCGGCGCGGCGGGCTAGAACTCTAAATTCTAGATCTTTTTGTTGCGGCTGCCGGGGCTAGAGCTGCGTTGCGTAATCCCAGTCTTCATTGTGACCTTTGCGGAGTCAAGAGATGGAAAAAGCGGGGGGGTCTAGGCGCCGATCACTTAATGGCCCTTGTTGTCCGAGAACGGAATGTTTGTTGGCTTTTGCGGCCTCTGACATTCCACACCATTGCTTGGCCGCCCGATGCGGCGTGGTCCCCAACATGCACATGTATATTGTTCTACGAACTTACTTAAATTGGTGGCCATGTAGGTATAGAAATCATTGATGAGACTAGCGTATTCATGAGCTGAGTACTTTCCATGTAGTTATCTCCTTTCCGGACTTCATACCCTACGTAATATCTATCCAGACGTCATAATAGCACCTAATGTGGACTGAGAGGGGAGATCGTGGCGGCTCCGATCGGCTGGGACGCAACTGCAACGTTATAGACAATGGTTAAGTTCCGGTGGAGCCAGCGTCGCAGATGACGCTCGAGTTCTTTTATGGCCGTCAAGCTTTCAGGTTCTCGTAATTTTGCCATCTCTGCGACGTCGGGATCTGCTTCTAAGCAAATGTGCCAGGCCAAGAAAGAAGCGCCGAGGCCATTGACGACGTAATACACCCTGGCAATGGTTGTCTGCTTGAATCAGACATCGCAGGCCTCATCGACCGTTTCTCGCCGACGCGCCTCCTCCCATAGCTCCTCTCGCTGACCCCACAGCTCACCGAGTGCGGTCGCCGGGCCTAGCCCCAGGGCAAGAACTACCCATGTACAGGAGCTGAGAGATCGCACACCCACTCGGTGGAGGTCCCAGAACACGAAGAAGATGAAAACCACGATTGCGACGTCCAGAAGCATCTTCTTGGCAACTTCACCTCTCACAGCTTCGGAGTACCCAAGGTGGTATATGTTATGAAGAACATTGTCAGGGCGGTACCCGTATGATGCCAGCTTGATGAAAGGAATCCACGCGGCCATTCGGATGAAATTACGTAGATGTTTAGCGTCTTGCTCGCCATATGCCCTTGCGGGGCTATTGCGAGTTGCGTTCAGCCATCTTATAAGCAGCTTCCTCGATAATCTAACCACGAAAGGCAATACTGCATGAGAAAACATCCACAATCTGTCAGAAACCGTGGAGGTCCAGAGGGAATAACCCAGGACGGGACCGTATGTGAGGAGGGTTCCCGCCCACAATGCGAGGCCGACATCCGGGCCAATAGACCTGACAGCTGGAAAGTAGAAGGGCTGTAGGGCAGTGGCGAGTATGAAAAGAGCAAACCAGACCGGGGTGATGTATTCCCAGCCCACGATCAAGGCACAAATGGCGAACGGAAGCGCACTATTTCTTGTTAGCATAACCAAGCAGGGAGCATTGCATGACGTACCTGCCAACCGGCTTCATGAAGAAGAATTTCCGATATGATTCAATGCATATGATAGTGTTCACTACAGACACGCTCGCGTGGAAATGTAACAGAGCCAGCGGTGGTCCTGCCAAGGATCCAAGGGAACTCTGAGAAACCGGTTTATTTGGGCTACTCTGCTTTTGGAGAGGATAATGGACAAGCATCACAAGGGTAAGCATGAGAATCCAGATCACATTAGCCAGAGTCGACCGTTTCCTGGCCTTGATCTTGACTTCGTGTTCGTATGCTAGGATACCCTGCCGAGACGCAAGAGGCAGATGCTTAAGCCGAATGGACGATGTGAGCAACGGAGACATCGAGTTGACAATTTCGGCGGAGTCCAGCTTAGGAATCCGACGTAGCTGGAGGTAACTGAGAATGGGGTTGTCCAGGACTTCCATGCGCTGCTTAAAGTTCGCCATCGCAACGTTGTCTCTAGTTGGGTTTTCGCGGGACTCTTGATAGTTTCGGAATGCGTTCTGGAGGCTTTCTTCATCTGGAGTTTCATCGGACCGGTCGAGTAGCTCTTTGAGTTCGTCTGCAAGAGAGGCAGCAGACACGAATGCGTTGTTTCCTCCCAGGCCAGACAAGGGATTCACCTTGTGCCATGAATCACCTAAAAGCACCATTCGCTTGTAATAGCAGGTTTTTAATACACCTTCTTCCAAAGGCACAAGGGCGGAATTGATCGTCCTTTCGTAGATATCGCCAAATGTCATGCCCTGTCTAATAATGTCATCCTGGCACATTTCAACAAGCTTTTGGCGATCTTCTTCGGTGTAGCGAGGCACGGATTTGCCCTGGGTCTCTTTCTCATTTTTGAACGTGAGAAGCCAGTACAAAGTATCGCTGGGACCACCGGCACAAAGGTAGCTGCGGCCCTTTCTGAATGCTTTGACTACTTGATCTTGTCTAACACCCTCCGGTGCTTTGGAAATACCGAAAAGACCACCAAAGCTGCATTTAAAGGCTACGGATTCAAATGTCAGCATCCATTGATAGCGGGGACGTACGATAGCAATGGATCACTTGCCGTCTTTCTCGGGGAATAAATCTCTCCCAGGAGTCTCATCTGCCGCAATGCGCTGCATTTCTTGCTTGACTTTGCTATGAATGCCATCGGCACCAACAACGACGTCACCGTGGAACACAGAGCCGTCAGCTGTTTCAACTGCAACCCCATTGACATCGCAGACAACTTTCACAGCATCAGACAAGACGCGGATCTTAGAATTGTCGTGAAGATTATCCCAAAGACCCTGAATAATCTGCTGGCGGTCCATAAAGCGCATCTTGTAGCCAAATCTGTAAGGAGTCAACGCCACACACAACGCACAACCAGGACATCAATAACCTACGTCTTCTCCATCCAGGTCCCCAAATCCGGCAGACTCCCCAATTTTATCCCATGCTCATCAAAAGAATCTATTGAATTGACAGGTTCATTCTTTTTTGCCAGGGCCTCATAGCACCCAAGTTGATCGAGCAAGCGGCCACCATTCGGCATGATTGCAAACCCAGCACCTAATTGCGGAGCAATGCCTTCGTACTTCTCAAGCACGATATAGTCGATTCCATAGCGTTCGAACATGTTGGCTAATGCCAAGCCGGCGACACTACCACCAACAATGATCACCTTGAACGGAGCCATGGTGGGTGAAGGGGATTCCCAGTACCCGCACCTCTTAAGACCTAGGAGATAAGCGACTGGGGAAATGCTGACAGCGAAAGAGCAGATCCCGGACTCGGCGATTACTTCGTTTACATGCCTGATGACAGCTAGGAGGATTGTTTTTCCATGTGTAGGTTCACCAGTGGGGGGCCTCGCCGCTTAGCGTCAGTCTGTGCCCCCTTTTGGGCCTCATTGGCAGGGTCCGAGCTTGGGTTGTGAGCAGACGTGTTTTAGGCTGATGTGGTCTCCTTAAGAGTCCATTTTTGGACGTCTAGTGGGGCTGTCTTACGATATACGGGTGGTTCAAGGTGATGACGGTCGTTCATTGACTGCGCCGTATCTGATACTCTTGCAAAAAGAAGACTAGGCAGTCACATGTACTTCTGGCCAATATTTACGGTGAATTTGGCTGGGGAGGTATCGTTAATGTAACACTTGGCATTCTCGACTCTATCTTTGAAAATGTTTGTGTCAAAACATGAGAGGATTGGACGCGATAATAAATATTTCTACACGAGGAAACACCGTGCGCCGTGTCCGTATTCCTTGTCTTTTGATCCTCCAATATCAATGACCAGACCGTAGCCCCATAAAAAAACCGATAACGCCGTCATCATAGGTACCTAACACAAAATCAGGGTTGACTCTAAGCCGACATTTCCTGCACCTTCTCAGGGATCTTAGGAGCGGACTGAATGTCTTCCTCGAGGCTGAGACTGCCGTAACCAGTGTCATTACTAGCCGATCGCTCTCGGCGAAGAGGCTTTGGAATCTGCGAGTCAATTAGATCTTGATCGGCATCGCTCTGGAGAAATTGGTCTGATGCGCCCCGGCGACGTCGAGTTCGTCGCTTCCTTGATGGCATGGGCTCGGGAGTCTTTTGAAGATATTCATCCACGTTGAGGCCGGAATTCTCACAGACTGTGGTGCAAGCCTTGACGATGACTTCGACCAGTGTGGAAGAGAACCCATAGAATGCCGGGTTATAGGCATTGCGGGCCCAGTAGATGAGCTCGGCAGCCACGCGACCAATGTTTGGGATGTCGCGGGGGCAGACCGCCAACTTACGGCCCGCCCGGGGCTTATCTTCAGCCTCGTCGTCAGCAGAAAACGCGGCCTCGGAGACCGGGGTTGAGGGAGCAGAGGAGTCGGATGAGACAATATAATCAACATCCGAAGCGAGAATGTGTAGCAGATGGTAGACCGCGGAAAAACCAACAAGACTGAGCTCGACCGGGTCGATCGGAAGCTGGTTGAACCAATTGATGGCCTTGTGAATTGTGAAAGACGCGGGTAGAGAGGTCTCGCCCGCAGAGCTCGAGGTGACAACAGCAGCGATCATAGCACAGCGCACCGCGATAGATATCTCTTCACGGACTGACACGGGAAGTGAAGAATCCAGGAAGTTGGCAGCCTGGCTTCGCTCGCCCTTTCTCTTGTCCTTTGGCAGAGCAGCAAGAACAGCACCCACGTTCTGGATGCGTCCGTGCTCGAAGAAGACAGCCTTCATCACCAGGGCACGGGTGTAGGCAGCCGAAAGACGTGGAGCGGCATCAAGGGCCATGCGAATCTTCTCCTTAAAACAGTCGCGACTGGCCTTGGACATGGGACCGCCTTCGCTAGCCTCGAGGTACTTCAGAAGCGCGCTCTGGAGAAGGTGACTGGACCACCAGGCGGCCAGAGCATCGACTGAGCACTGAATAGCAGGGTCTTCTTCGACAACATCGAGAAGAACTTCGTCATCACCAGTACCTTCCTGGGTGGGTCTATTCCAAGTTAGATTCACGGCACGCTGGATGATAGAATCATCCATGACCTCCTCGCAGTCGAGGTTGACGAGGGCCGCGAGGTGACTTGGAAGCTGATCGGGATGTCCATCGGGAATGGAATTATTTATCTCTCGTGCAACAGCCCACTGGTAGTTGGCCAGAGCGCGAGCAATATCGTTGGAGGCGTGGAAAGTCCAGGAGCCAGGCTCGCCAACTCGCCACATGAGGATGCGAACGTGCAAAGCCTTGAGCATCATTCTCATGGGGCTTGCCGGGAGGGTGCCGGCGGCGAAAATGGTGAGCACAAGACGGCTTTTACTGATCTCAGCATCACCTCCAGTGAGTTGCGCATCAATGGCGATATCCCACGTCTTCACACGGCCTCGCTCATCTTCTTCGGTGATACCAGTGGCCCAGGAATAGAGCTTCCATCCCATGAAGCACCGGAGGACATACTCGAAGCATCGCGAAGTCACAACATACCACTCCCGAAAGAACCTGTGGCGCGGGACACCAGCCCGTTGCATGCTGGTGAGCCATGCCTGTCGACGAAAGTCACTAGAAGTTGGAGCCATGGTCTGGCTCTCGGACACAACCTTCGCGGGTGCGTGCTGAGTCACAGGCTGGGCGTTGAACAGGTAGACAAAAACAATGAACGCGCTGCCAACCACCAGAGTGGCGAGCAGGAGGAAGTGTGAGATCGCTCGCGCGTGCCACGAGAACCAAAAATCCTTCAGGTAGTAATCAGCGTGGGTGAGAGTAGGCGACTGGAGTCGGCCGAGAAGGTTCAGAGGAATAGCCATGAGGCCCTTCTCCTCGGTCTCAGACTTGTCAGAACCCATGCCCTCCAATACCATGAGTCCGGCGAGAGCACCCAACATGTACTTGTTAGGCAGCTTAGAACGTTTGCGAGAGCCACCTTCTTGTCCATAATGACCAGGACGGGAATTGGGCTTGATATATGACTCGGCAAAGACTCCCGCTTGTGCAGTCTCTGCACGCATGCGCTTCCATGCATCAGGGACCTTGATGAGGCCCTCCGGGGGACTTGAAGAGGTGGGCGAATTTTCACTAATCTCCTCGGGGTTTGAGAACACACTTGGAGATGTTGGATCCGAGGTACTGGAAGCAGTGTAGTTGCTCGGCGATGAAATGGAGGCGGTGGATGTGACAGCCTGGTCTGCCGCCTTGTCAACTTGGCGAAGACGGTTCTTCAGACCGGTGTTTTCATCTTCCAGGCGCTTGTTGCGAATCTCCAGGTGCTTGATATACTCGGTGGCCTTGGACAGAATAGATGCCTTGTTAAGCTTGCTGGCAGGGGTAGCGTCATCGTCTTCGTCTTCATTCGAGTCACCATTGGCGTTCTTAGTGGTTCGTAGGCTTGGTATACTGTCGCGTAGCTCAGCAATTTTCTCGTTTAAATTGGCCCTGTATCGCTTTTCAATGACGTTGTGAGCCCGCTTTTTGGCGGGCATTTTCTTGCCCGGCTGGACAGGGCCAGTGACGGTGGTGGCATCATCGTCGCTACCCGTCTTCCGCTTACGAGACGTTCCAACGCTGGAGATAGGAGAGACAAGACCCTGGAACTGTGAGTCTTGGGATCCCCTCAGATTGGGATTGTGACCTATTCTTCCGGCATGATTGAATGGAATCTCCATCAGCCCGAGTGGAAGCTGCGGCGAGAAATCCTGGGGAATGTGGCTGGGCGAGCTCAGGGTTGTATTCGGGGAGATAAAGGGAAGGGACTGGTCCATTTGCTGCGTCTGGTCATTCTCGGTGAACATAGGTTCATCCCATCTCATCCACTGTGTCCAATCTTGATTGGCATTATCCGTGGTTGGTTGGGAATACATCCCTCGCGAGTCGTCCCCACCAGATTGGCGGCGGGGAGAGAATAGCTGGAAATCACTATCCATGCAGGTGGAGGTCATAGTGACTGAGAATTCTTGAACTTGAATCCGAAGCCGGTGATAGCGTTCAATATGGACAGGACTATTCACCAGCCAGTGTAGTTAAACACTATGTCGTGTGTTAGCTTTGCACATGAACATGAAGAGTCACCAAGTAGCTAAGCTGTCAGGAACCCATTATGGTGCACGCGAAAGCTATGCCAGTATCGGCTAGTGGCGGCAATATTAAGTGATCAGGAGAAATATGGTACTCACTGGGTCCTGATGCTATTAAACGTCAATGCGGCTGGGAGTAATCAAGGGTGTTGGCCCGGGGGGGTTGCAGGGAAAGATACAAAGACTGAAGAGGGGGAAGATGTCAAAAGTTCCAGTCGTAGGCGGTGCCATGTAGGGAAAGCCGCGCAGTCTAAAGATACCCACCCAATCGGTCGTAGCGTGGGCCCTTGGAGACGGGGTGATGGGTGGATTCTCAAATTGATTGGTCTTCTTCTGCAAAGGCGATCATCTCCAGTTGGAAAGAGCTTGGTGGACCAGCAGTCGCGCCACGCGAAATCGGAACACGACTTGTTAAGTTGGGTACCTCGCAGGTCAGAGGTGGTGACTGGAATCATGCTGATGCGCGCCGGTGGACTGGGGGGCATTTTGAGTCGTCGTATGATCGCGGCTCGCCGCACTTCCGGCTAGGCTTCCGTGGTACTGTACCAGTCATTAATTCTTCCTGAACGCCCCGAAGGTGGAGAGCTTGTGTTTTGGCTGTTATATTACGGTAATCTAAATACATTATAATTGGTTCCCATCATTCAATTCCCCTGAATGACTCAGCACGCATGTGATCCAGCGTTTCGCACTCCAAAAGCACTTTTTTTATCTCGAAACAAGCCCTATTTAACCAAAATATAGCATCAATCGAGCATGATCGGGTCCAGAAAGGCAGCGTTCTCTTCCTACCGACTCCAACAATCATCCTGGGCGGGTCCTTGGCATCTCCACCCGTGACACGGCAAAAATCAACCGGGAGCCTGAAATGATCTTATCTGATCGTGTAGCGTCCCCACCATGCAACTGGTAGGTCCTGAACTCCAACTCCGGCGACAGTAACAAATGAGAATGAACCAACGTACCCGGTGGATCTCTCACCTAGAGTTGGCGGGGGCTAAATCAGTCCGTAAAACCCCCTCACTCGCAGTAGGCTACTTTTAAGGTGGCTCCAGGGCGGCCTACAAACTCCTGCGGCCTGAAATGTGCGTCATCGGACTCCAATCGGTTTACTTTCGGAGTCAGAAATCAGAAACTCTCGTTCGAGGTGGAAAAAAGAATCTATAATGAACCATGGCTCCTATGTTTCTAGTTTCATCTAGATCGTTGCCTCAACACCCGCTATCGCTTCCATCAGTTCCTTGATCGTGTTCTTGACCCCTTCACCGGCTTCCTCGTACGGTGTGCGTGGTTTGAGTTTCTCCAGGGCATTCTCAATCCCCGCCGCGGCGGCCGAGTACAGCGCCACCGCATATTTAGTCGAGGCAATTCCACCCTTGCAAGGTGTCTCAGCCAGCGCCGAAGACCGCTGCAGTTCCATCGCCTCGGCCATCTTACCGTCGGTGAAGAGTTGGTAAACTTTAGAAGCCGTCTTAGGGAACACGTTCGCAAATGCCGAGATACATCCCGCCGACCCGACTGTCAGTCCCGCAACCAGGAAATCAGACTGTCCACCGAAGATGGCAAACTCGGTTGGACCAAAAGTGGCAGCCAAGCGCGTAATCTTACCCACAGAGCCGCATGTCAATTTGACTCCGACAATGTTGGAAGTTCCGTCGGGGCTTGCCGCCGCAGACTCGCGCACGATTTCCGTGATGGTTTCAGAGTCGATGTCAACCCCATTGCAGACACCGGGGAAGTTATAGATGAGCACTGGAAGGGGGCTCTTGCGCGCCACATCGGCGAAGAATCGTTTGACAACATTTGTATTGGTTGCCTTGCCGAAATAGGCCGGCGGAAGGACTAATAAATAGTTTGCGCCCGCAGCAGCAGCGTCGTGGGCTAATTCGAGCGTCTGCTTCGTCGAGTGCGTGCCTACGCCGGCCATCAGAGGGTAGTCAGGGCCAACAGCCTCACGCGCAGTTGCGATCAGTTGAGCTCGCTCTTCCCGCGTCAACAGAAATGCCTCGGAGTTCGTGCCCATGATCACCAGCCCAGCTAAACCCGTCCGTGACAGATACGCATAGTATTTCTTCTGCGACTCGAGATCGAGTGTGTCGGTGGCTTGATCGAAGATAGTCACTGCTGGGACCCAAACACCTGCCTTGGGGATATGTGGTTGCGGGGAAATCTGAACTCCTTGCGAACCCATCTTGAGAAAGTCGATGATACTTGTAGCGGTTGATGCGATTGTGAATTATCCTTGGAAATAACCACGTTAATAATTCAAGTTATGAAATAGACAGGAATACAATCACTTTGAATTCCAAAACAGCAAGTGCATTTGCTTTTGACTTCTTTGACATATTGGGGGTTATGCGGGGAAAGGTGGAAAAGAATCCGTATCGGACAGACGCCGACAAGCCGCTGTTCGGTTAGCCGGCCGAGCTGGACTTCGGAAAAAAGCCGAATGTCCACAAGCAACGGACCCTGAAGCTGAAATGCCCTTGACGATTCTGTTGAGTGTCTCTACATGCAATAGATGATTGAAGCATTTGATTGAACTGTCTTGATATGATAAGATCGATGTAGTAATCACTAAACCATCAGAACCCGAATGTCCACGGCCATATGCCCGAAATCAGCGAGATTCATTACAACGCCCTGTGCAAAGGAGGTTCAATGCTACATGGGGGGCGTTAGTATCACAGGTATCGCAGCATCGCTAGCAATTGAGGTGCACCTACCGTGACGTCTTCCCATTTCTCCCAGCCACGCCCACGGACCTGAGTAAGTTCTTCCATTGTGTACTGTTTCCCAGTTGTGAAGTACCCCGCATTAATTTTAGCGTCGATCTCGACCCGCGAGTCGCTGGGGATCATCTCTTCGGGAATGGGGATACGCTCGAGAATCTTAATGCCTGATTCCACGATGGCGTCATGCTTCATATTCGACATGGATAGCATACGGTCAATCTTCTTTATGCCGAGCCAGTGAAGGATGTCTGGCATCAGGGCTTGGAATCGCATCTGCGAAATTTATGTGTTAGAATACTGCAGGCAACATTGAATAGGGGAAGCTTGAGGAAGTTCGTACATCTCGCACACCTGCGATATTCTCCGTCCGCGTGAAGTACTTGTCGGCGGTATCTCCTCCACGCTTGCGGGCATTGTATACCAGGTATTTGATCACCTCACCTAGAGCGCGGCCCTCCTTGCGGAAATAGATGACCACCCCGCTTCCTCCATTCTGTGCCTCGCGGATCGCTTCCTGGACACCGAAAGCCAAATACGGGCGACATGTGCAGATGTCTGATTGGAAAACATCACTGCCATTGCACTCATCGTGAATGCGCAATGCCAGCTTGACGTTCTCATCAGATACCCGCTCAGGCGGACCGAAGATGTACACGGTGAGTCCTCCGATTGGAGGAAGGAAGACTTTCAGGTCTGGTCGGGTTATCAGCTCTGGATAGCTGCCGCCGGTGTGTTCGAATAGAGTACGACGCAATGTGCCTTCATCCACACCAAATCGCTCGGCGACACCGGGTAAATACCACACAGGTTCCACGGCGACCTTTGTAACGCGCACCTCGCCGGAAGAGTCAACAACAATAGAGCCATCTACCTCAAGCTTTCCTTCCCTGACAACCTCTCCAATCTCTGCCAGCTTCATGTTGGCTCTAGTGATGGCCATAGTGGGCCGAATATCCCAGCCAGCTGTCAGTTCTTCCTTATACTGATTGACGATATCATGCCCATACGGATCCATCGACACGATTTTTGTCTTATCGCCCCAGGCCGACTGCTGCGCAAAATTGAATGTCGGTTGGCTATTGCGCAAATCTGGTCGAAAGTCTGCATCAAGTTCACCCGCCGCAATAGCAAGCGCGTTATAGACGCTATAGGAACCGCCGTGGGCACCGATCGCATTGCGGCGCTTCAAAAGGTTCCCACTCCGCGATACCACGATCGGGCCGCGCGATTTAGCGTCTGGCGCGCCCCATTCGAGAGGCACAGGCTCGATACCGCTTTGGCCGGGATACGTTGTCAACTACTGGCGGTCAGCGTGGTCTATCTTCTAGAGAGATATTACCAGCGTACGATGATGTGCCTATAAGCCTTGGGCAAGGTGGGCGACGTCGCCGACGTCGGCACTGGCATATTGGAGTCCTTCTCTGAATCTAACATTTCTGAGAGTTGAAGAACAGAAAGCAGATTTGAAAGGGTGGTTAAAGCAGACCCATGTGACCTTCCCCGCACGTTATCGCTTATCTGCGCTCTTTGTCGCCCAAAGTCTACGTAGTTATGTCTTATAGTCGAGAGTTGATGTAATATTTGGTTTCTGTGCTATCAAGAGTGTGCTTATAGTGTACTGAATAGGTCTAGATGATCTACTTTACTACTTTGTGCCGTGTATACTCACCTGCCCGATGCGCCCCCACTTCGCCCCGGAGTTCTCGGCATTAACCCTAAGGGCCGGAATTGCGAACACCGAAGATAACATCGGCATACCACCATGCTATTGCGATCAATGTGACTTATTTGAATAAGAGACAGATAGAACAAGTGTACTGCTGTATGGCTTATAATTCTTGTTTCTTACATTGCAAATTTCTATAATAATCTCCTTATCAGCGGCATTAGCCACGCCTACGCGCGTAACTGAACCTTAGCGAGAAAAGGATTTCTGCCGATGCAAATACCCCAAAGTACGTTTTGGCTTTGTCAGGGACATTTAATAGATCAAGAGTATATCTTTATGATGCTCTACCAAGGCCCGGGAATATTATGGTTGCTTAGAATTCTAAGGATACCATTCTACAGATGCTAGGGTCGTCAGGCATCAGCTACAAAAGAGGAAAAGAGTGAACCAAGAGAAAATAGTAGACGTAGAGGACGGATCCATAAATGGAACCCGAGAGCGAAAAATGATCTTCCACAGGAGGTCCTAGACTTGGCTCTGTATATTTCCCACTATAATCTTCTATAGGACGACGTTGAGGCGCAGCTACCTGTTTCAAAACAAGGAAGCCGAAAAGTGACTTAAATGTAGAAGCAAGGCAACGCATTGGCAAAGAAACTCAATGAATGTTCTGAAGACATAGTTGGAGAGGTGCTAAGTTCGTAAATTGGTATCTATTATTTCTGAAGTCATCCTCCCAAATCGTGAAACTCATGATGAGGTTTCATAACTCATCACGCATGAACGAGACGAGCCTTCCATGAACGGGTATTATGCAAGTCCTAAGTCGCAACGAAGTTGGCCTGCGCACGCGAATTCTTTAGTGTGCGCTTGATGAGGTCTTCAACCTCGTCCCAGTCGTTGGTCTCGACGCGCTCAATGTTGCATTCAAAGTGCTCTTGGATCTTGCGCAGCATATCCCACTCCTCGCGGTTTGAGACGAAAGAGATAGCCACGCCGATACGACCGAAACGACCGGTACGACCAATACGGTGAAGGTAGGTCTGGTAATCGGGCTCACGGGAGCGCGAGCCGCCTACATATGCCTCTGGGATATCCTGAACGAAGTGTTAGTTTAGATCTTTGATAGCTTCGAGGCAAACTTACGTAGTTGACGACAAGGGAGACGGTAGACACGTCGATTCCACGGGCCAAAACGTTGGTAGTGATGAGAACCTTGGCGGCGCCGGTGCGGAATGCATCAATGATGGCATCACGCTGAGAACCTTCAATTCCACCAGTCAAAGAGGCGACAGTGTGGCCCTCGGCGACCATGCGTTTCTCGATTTCAACGGCCGAGTTACGGGTCTAGAAAAATTGTCAATAGCGGGTAGACAAGGCGTGAGCGGGAGTAATTTACCTTGACGAAGATGATAGAGGAACCAACGGTGAGCAGACCGTAGAGCTGCACGAGATTGCTGTACTTCTCCTCGTCATTGGCGCAGTCCATGTACAGTTGCTTGATGCCGTCAACGGTCAACTCCTCATGTTGGAGGGTGATCTCGTTCGCATCGGGGGCAAACTTGGTCGCATAGCGGTGAACATGGGCAGGGAAAGTAGCAGAGAAAAGAACGACTTGGATGGTGCGGGGGAGCATTCTAAAAAAAACGATATGTAAGTTGAAAGGTCGAACGGAATCATAGGCTAGGCGGTGGGCTCACCCTTTGACACGGATACACTGGTCACCGAGACCCTGCTGGTCGAGCATGTTGTCGGCCTCATCAAGCACCAGGACCTTGAGCTGGGAAGGATTCATAATCCGCTTCTTCACCAGATCCTGTACTGTGCCGGGAGTGCCCACGACAACCGAGCAAGTCAAGCGGGAGGGGCGACTGGATGCATCCGCAGGAACTGCAGTGCCAATGACCAAGCCTTCCAGGAACTGTCCCATCACCTGAACAACACCGACGATCTGACGAGCCAGCTCACGAGTTGGAGCAAGAATCAGGGCCTGGGGGGTCTGTTGAAGCTCCTCGGTGCTAAGGTCGAGACGGCTCAGAACGTTGAGGACGAAGGCGGCGGTCTTGCCAGTACCGGACTGCGACTGGCCAACGAGGTTCTTCGGGGGATTGCTCATTAGCAGAGGCAGGGCACGTTCCTGGACCTTGGACGGCTTGCGGAAGCCCATATCCGAGAGACCCTTAAGGATGCGTTCATCGCTGTATTGCAAAAACTATTAGCGGAGTGGCATGGCATGGCATGTAATTTCATAACACTCACAGGCCCAAGTCTTCGAAGGACTTGATTGAGTAAAGCGGGTTGTTCGGATCAGCTTGCAGGTCACTAAGCTTGACCTCGACACTGTAGTCCGGCTCGTGAAGATCGGAGTCTCCTGTAGCATTTTGAGGGGCATCTGCTGAGCCAGAATCCATCGCGTATTAGCCTTGGATCAATAAACAGAAAATTGAACTGCGCGCTCGCAGAGAGTCCGGGGGGTTGGCGGGGTACGAAGGGTGACGAGGATATGATTATGTACCGGAAGGAGGGGCATCAGCCGGGGCAGCAGGGTTCGAGACACGGTCGGCCAAAGAACCACCATTCGACGGAGTTTCGACGGATTCGGACGCCATTTCGGGATGCGAATTCGCAGGAAAGGGCGGGTTTGGGAGGAGCAAAGAAGGTGTGTGGGGGAGTTGATTGGGGTAGGAAAATGTGAGGAGATGAATCGTGAGATGAAAGGCAGGCCCGAATTCTTCCCGATGTGCACGCGGGTGCCGGAAGGATGGAAGGACCCTGAAGATGAGCTTGACTTCGTGAATTGGTGATCGGAAGAGCTATCTGAACAATTGCGAACTGCAAAAACAAGTGACGCCGCTCCGGGCTTTAAGTGGCGCTAGTCCAAGATAGGTAGTACTGTAATACAATTGTCACAATACATATTTAACGTAGCATTATACGCGAAACTATGGAAAGTGAAGGTTATGTACGGTTACAGGCACCGGACTCTCCCCGCCTTCGTTGCGATCATCGCCCTTCTGTCCCATTTGGCACTTCTCGGTCGAGCCTCAAACTACTCGTTATTTCTCCGACGTCAGTGTCCCATTCAAAGACGACACTACCTAGCTTCAATTCCTCCAGCTCGGTTCCTCCGCTCATGCGCAACCTGACATCGACCGCAACACGGCCATGGCGGCAGCAGACGCGGCTCCCCAGTTTGGAGCGGAGCTAAAGGTATGACCATAAACCAGGAGCTTTTGTGATCCGTGTGTCTGACTGGCTTCGTCGAATAGGATAACTTTAAACCCGCCAATACTTGGGTACGTCGCCGGCCTCGGTTCCCCGCAAAGGGAGCGTCATATCATCTCCAACTGGGGCGGAGCTAATGCAACCACGTTGCACAGGTATCGAACGGCATATCGTGGCTCGACGAGATCCAACAATTCTACCGCGAGCGCAGCGTTATCGAAAAAGAATACGCATCCAAATTGACGGCCCTCTGCAAGAAATACTACGACCGCAAATCGAAGAAGATTAGCCCGCTGAGTGTCGGCGACACCCCCACCCTGACCCCGGGTTCCCTTGAAAGCGCTTCCCTGACAACCTGGACCACCCAATTGAGCACCGTTGAAGCTCATGCCGCTGAAAGAGACAAATACGCGACGGATCTGGTTGCCCAGGTGGCAGAACCGCTGAAGCATGCCGCTACTCAATATGAGGAAATCCGCAAGTGCCACGTCGACTACCATACCAAGCTAGAAAAGGAGCGTGATGCAGCATACGGTGATCTCAAGAAAGCAAAGGGTAAATATGATGGAGCTTGCCAGGAGGTTGAGTCACGACGAAAGAAGATGGAGTCGTCATTTGACCACGGCAAAGCGAAGGCCCAGTCAGCATATCAACAACAGATTTTGGAGATGAACAACTACAAGGTATGTCAAACAATATATGATGGGCTGACCCTTGGTGCTCACGTCTCTCACAGAACCTATACCTCATCAGCATCAATGTCACCAATAGACTGAAGGAGAAGTTCTTTCATGAATATGTGCCCGAGGTTCTGAATGTAAGTTATCCACAATGCCTTTCTTTCCTGATTCCCAAATGATGCTAAAATTATATGTACAAGGGCTTGCAAGATCTCAATGAAACTCGCGTGACCAGACTGAACGCATTATGGACTTTGGCTGGACAATTGGAGAAGGCCTCTCTCACCAACAGCGTGAACCACGCAACCAACCTTCTGAATGAAATCCCCCGCAACGACCCTCGATTGGATTCAATGATGTTCCTCCAACATAATGTCACGCAATCACAAGAGCCCGCAAACATGGGCTTCGAGCCCAGTCCTGTATGGCACGACGATGCGACGATCATCACCGACGAGGCTGCCAAGGTCTTCCTACGCAATTTGCTCGGCAAAAGCAAATCTCAAGTCCGCGAATTACGGGTAGAGGCTGATAAGAAGCGACGTGAGGTCGAGAGCGGCAAGAAGGTACGAGAGGGAATTCGGCAGGGCAAGGATAACCGTAGTGAGCTCGATATCGTGCGATCTATCTTCTATATTCAGGAGGGATTACATGAAACTGAGCGCAAATGGTTGACAGCCGAGGTTGAAACATCCACCATTATAGCCGTGGCAGGAGACCTGTCTATGGGAGCCCAGAACCATAACTTCCGATCTCAAACCTTCAAGATTCCGACCAATTGTGATCTTTGTCGTGAGCGCATATGGGGCTTATCGGCCAAGGGCTTTGACTGTCGCGATTGTGGGTACACTTGTCACAGCAAGTGTCAAATGAAGGTGCCCGCTGAATGTCCAGGAGAGCAATCGAAGGAGGACAAAAAGAAACTCAAGGTGGAACGCCAGGAACAGGCGGGTGTCATACCTGCAGTTGATCCTGAGTCCTCCGTGGCTTCAACGCATGCTCCGTCGCTCACGCGGCAAAACACCATGACATCCCTCAGTTCAGGGTATGCTGCCAGTGGTGCCCGGTCGGTCTCCAATGTTGCTACACAACCTACCCCGGAGAGTCCAGCAGAAGGAGCACCAGCACCTCTCGCGGAGACCAAGCCAGCGGCAGCGAAGAATCGCAGGGTCCTGGCCCCGCCGCCAACTGCTTATATCAGTGCGCCGGCTGTCACGGAATCTAATTCGAAGGAACCAAGGGGCAAAATGCTCTATGGCTACCAGGCTACCGGATCCGATGAGGTAACCGTGCAAGATGGCGAAGATGTCGCTATCCTTGAACCCGATGGTAAGTTGTTGGCCGACTGAAGGTATCACTCTATCTAACTGTAATCACAGATGGATCTGGATGGTTACGGATCCGCGCCGGCTCTAGCGAGGGTCTTGTCCCAGCAGCCTATGTTGAGGCCACAACCACCCCATCGCCTGCCCCCTCTGCTAGTCCTGGCCTGACTGATCGACCGGGATCTGTCTATTCCAACTCTTCGGCCTCGCTGGCGGGTAGTGCCGCGCCGAAACGCGTCGGACCGGCCGTGGCCCCACGCCGAGGAGCAAAGAAGCTACAGTACGTCGAAGCCTTGTATGAATACGAGGCTCGCAGCGATGTGGAATGGTCGATGGCGGAGGGCGATCGATTCGTCGTAATTAATCGCGACAGCGGTGACGGTTGGGCTGATGTGGAGCGGGGTGGAGTTACTAAGAGTGTTCCGGCGAACTACATCCAGGATGTTTAGATCCGAGACACGGAGATGGAGTGTATATAGCTAGGTCGCGGTACAGTTGTAGCTTTGGGGAGGATTATTCTATTTGAGCTGGTCTTTGTGCCTTTTTTTTTTTTTTTTTTACGGCGTTTTTGTGGCCCTCCTCGCATGATTTGCATCAGCAAGGAGCGTTTGGGGGCTGTCCGTTTGGCATGTGGATCTTGATGTAGCGAGGCGATTCAAATCATACAAAATCTGAACAAGATGTTTCCTGGCATTTAATGATCATAGATGGGAATTGACTCTTGTTGGACATATAGACTCGGTGGACATATAGACTCGGAGCCCGTTTGAATAAGCGAGGGTGACATGGTCGCGTTGAGTTCACTAACTCCGTGTCGTTATCCGGCTTACTCCGATTTCCACGCCCATTGCTTTCCACAACTTACTACCTCTTCTCCAGCTTCGGCTTCGATAGAGTATGCTACTTGTTCAGCTAAGTTGCCATAGATTGATCAAGTCGGATGCCAAGAGACAGCAGATAGCGCACTGCTAATGCGCTAAGCAGTTCAAGCGGACATCGGCAGTCATCAACTACACACCAACAATGTATCACATTTGGCTCATTCTGAACTCTATCGCCTCCTTTGCCTCTGCAACATTCGCGATCACCTCGGCCGTACATCCAGCGTCTCTTTCTGGCTCACCTCATGTGACAGGTGGTGAGCGCTTCTATCAGCGTATGTATGCGGTGCGCGCTGTACCGTTAGAACTTCTCACTGGGGTTCTGCCTTTTTATCTTAGCGGACCGGCAGTTTCTTCTGTCATTGCTGCCGCTTCATTTGTGCAAGCAGCGGATGTGGTGATTGGTATTAGCAAAAAGGATGCAGGGATGATTTTTGGTGCTTCATTTGCTACAGCGGTCCATGTTCTATGCTTGTTTTCTATTTCATAAGCCAAAGCTTCGGGGTCATCTAAAAATAGGCCTTTGGAAGTATCGGACAGTGAAGACAACATGTGCTATTAGAATGTCATAGGAAGGTACCCTAGCCAACTCCTATCACATCGGAAGATGCCAAACTGCCCCTCCCAATTCACGAACGCCCAATTTGGCAACAACGGTTTGGGCCTATTAGCCTGGATTTAACTTGAAAATTGTCCAAATTGGAACAAAGATCAATTCTGCGCTGATTACATGCTAATTATGGGACAATTTTTAGCCTGAGAAACAGGGGGCATGCGTGACGCCGATCGCCCGGCGCGTAACTTGAGACTCAACAGACATCTCTAGCCGCCGAGCTATAGCCATCACATCTCACATTCCTCAAAGCTTTGTCGATTCAACTTTCCCCTGCTTTTGCTGGCCTCATGCACTGTCTCAGCACACGCCGAGCTATTTATATCTATTATTGTCCTTTTTGGTTTAGCCGCCTATCGCGGGCGATTACTGAGGCATGGCGCTCCCCTTAGAAGCATGATGAGGCCGCTAATTACCCATATAATGCGACCTAATTGTTGCTGAATTTAGAAGTTTTCGATCCCTGTGCATGACGTTAAGCCTAATGAGACTACCGAAGCTGATGCAAAATATAGCAACACCTTGACGCGCGACAGTCCGCTGAAACTGCACTATACCCATCCAGACCCAGGAACGGAGTTTCAAAAGGCCCCTGTCGCGCAACCCTCAGGCACAATGGTCGGCAGTTTCGTGTTTCATCGCGTGGCAGGCGTTCCTTTGGATCGGAGACAGGGAAGCCAAAAAAAGAATTGGAGCCTCCGGCGTCACGATGGACTGCTTCTCCATGTTTCAAGTTATCCAGATCCACTCTGCGTTCGTCAGGTCTTTTTATATGTATTGCTTGACCAGTTTGAGCCTTTCCAAGTTCATTTAATATCCAAACAACTTCCTTTCGGATCATGTCTATGTTTCTTCGGACAGTGATTTGATCTGATCTGATCTTGCCTTGCCTATCGTTGGTTCTTAATCATAGCCTACGTTCGTTTCCTTTGTGTTTGGGTCGACCATCTATCAGCTTCTTGTCGTCTCATCATGGCTTTGGATTACTCTCGTTACCAGCCATCTACTCCACCTGGCATACCTCTTGAAGAGTACATCGGATCAGCCTACACTCTCAACACATCCAATTCGTCCATCTATTCTGGCGAGTCTTCACCTTGGTCAACAATGACTGGGAACACAAGCCCAACTTCGTCACCAACTCGGCACCACCATGGTCCTGCTCTTCTACCTAAAATCCGTCCTCAGGATGTCATTATTGAGCCTATATCTGCTGGTGGGCCATTGCGCCATCGCCGAGTCTTGTCCAGCACTCGAAACCCACCCGGCTTTGCTCCCTATCCAAGCCGGCCACCTGTCCATCGAAATGCCATTGAAGCTTCAGAACGCCTGGCCCCAGCTTCTCCTATCTCACCAATCGTCACTACCGGGCATGGTAGCTCGTCCGCCCTGTCGTCTCCGGTGACTGTCATCCCAAAGAACAAGCGTAAGGCTTCTAGGGGGCACTCACGCTCAGTTTCAACTTCTTGCATTGATGAGGCTACTCTAAATCGTTATGGATATCCTACGTATCGACAACTTCCCAAGTATGTTGCGGCACAGACACAGCCCAACACGCCAGCGACACCAGTGACGCCAGTAACACCAAACATCGTGGTTTATCCATCGTATCCCCAAGGATCGATAGTCGAAGTGCCCCGTATTGGTCCTGTTCGCCCTCAACATCCATTGACAGTTCCCACACCGCAGTTCAACTATTCTCAAGTACACAGAGCCCAGCCATCACCTGCACCTCTACTCAGCCCTAAGGAAGATATGACCTCATCATCCACAAATCTCATGTCGTATCTGAGCTCGCCCACTCAAGCTATCAATCTCGTCCGCAACGTTAGTGTTGTTCCCACTCGCGGCATGCACGACTATTTCTGGTGGGATATTCGCAACCTTCGCAGTTGGAACTCTTTCTCACTGGGTACCTTCGATTCAATCCACGGTCTCACTAAGCTTCTTAAGACCGAGATCCTCGGAGCCCTTGCTCCTCCAGTGGTAGTGAGTCCTCAGCGCTTAAGCCCAGAGTCAGAGCCCGCGCTGGTTGGTCTTATTCGCGACCTTTATGCGCCCCGGATCAATGCTGCGCTAGCTGTTTCCCAGGGTGCAGAGCACCTTCAGCTCTACACAGCACCGGATATGCGTTATACTGGCCACAAAAACCACGGCCATCCACACTTCCTAGCCAACTATGCCACAGACTCAGAGCACACTGCCTCTGGTCAGCCACGCGGTCGTCTAGTTGGAATCGTCAAGAGCTTCGACAGGTGGAACTCTGGCATGCGCAATGAAGCGCCACACCGACGCGTCGAGTACTTGAACGGCCTGGCACATCTACAACGCTGTATGCGCGAACACTCTTGCCGATACGGCTTCATCATCACCGAAATCGAGCTCGTTTGCGTCCGCGCCGGCTGTGACGAGGGTGACGATGTCCCCTACTTTGGTTATCTCGAAGTCGCAGCCCCAACACCCCTCAAAACCGCCTTTACCCACCCAAGTGCGCGCGATGCACCACCCTTATCAACCCCCATCAGCGCACGATCCTTCTCCTCGTCATCACACGGATCATCCTTCTACTCCAGCCAGGACTCCCCGATTCCCGAGCCAGAGGCATCAGAAGAGGGTCTTTCTGTGCCAATGACAGCTAGTCTAGCATTGTATTTCCTCCTGATGCTCTCAAAATCTGTCCCACTCCCTTTCCAGCCATCCGCCCACCTCAATGTCGGCGGACCCGGGGCTCTCACAAGGCAGCGTATCCTGCCCGAGGCGAAAGACAAATGGATCCCAGAACCGCAGATCGGCGAGCGACGCGATGCTAAGCGCGTTCGCGGGTGGGTCTGGCCTCAGGATGCTTGGCATCGCCGCGAAGGTGGTGGTGTTCCTCGTTCGAGAAATTCGGATGGGAAGAAAGGGTAAATGAATACTACGTTGGAGTCGGCGCAGGGAAAGGTGATTCTTGTGTTCCTTTCTTGGAGTTATCGAGTGGTCTTGTCTTTTTGTCGGCGGATTGCGGCTTTCTGTTTTGCCCAGGTGCTCAGGTGGTTATATATTGGCTTGGGGAGTTTATGTTTTGCTATTCCCCTGTGTGTTTTTGATATTAATTTTAATTTTATTTGAATTGATCTCTCTTTCTTATTATTCCTTTTGGTCTATATTTGATTTCATGTACTACTACTAAGTCCCTGTATTGAGATCGTGGCACTAAATATGGATCTGCAGGCCGTTATCATGACTGCTTAAATAATATATGCAACTTTCTACGCACTTCAGTCCAGAAAATCTAGGCTTCTTTTCTTGACAACCTAATCATCAGTATGGATCATTTTCTGTTGATGGCACTGCCCTCCCAATATCCAGGGCTTTCTGAAGCTCAATCTCCTGTTATTTCGCCCCTGTCGAAATCAATATTCCCCAAGGTCCTCACACCAGTTGACCTTCCTGACAGCTTCCAATGGATCATCCGATCAGCACTTCCCGCTGTGGAGTACCCCCCATCTTACCTTGGCGTAAGTACTACCAGAAACCATAGGGACCTTGGGGAAGAGTACCTCGATGGCCGCGCCTGAGGACATTGTAGCAAACGGTCCCCGGCGAACTGTGCTACATATAAATGAGACATCCTCTAATCTTCCAGAACAAATTTAGCACTCAAGTACATCATTCAAGCGAAACCTCTTCTTTCGTTTGTTTTTCCTCCCCTGTCAACATGAAACCCGATAATGGTATTCACGATGTCATCATTATAGGCGCTGGACCATGCGGCCTTGGAGTTGCCGCCCGTCTCCACGAGGAAACGCCTTCGGCTTTGTTCACCGACGAAGAACATCAAAGATACCATTGGATCAAAAAGCACACGGGTCGAATGAAGCTTGTTCAAGCAGGCCACGCCAAGATTAATGGTTCTCGAGCTGAGAAGTGGAATCGGGGTCAGAAATGTGCGTGCGACAATGAACAGGACAAGGAGCGGCGAGGATCTACGGATTCGGCATCTTCGGTGCCTTCACTCTCGTCTGTCTCTTCGGTCTCCTCGGATGATTCTATTTCAACGCTTGTGCTGGACGGCTCGGGGGATCAGTGGATGCAAAGATGGAACAATGCATTCAAGACCCTAGAGATCAAGCAGTTGAGAAGCCCGATGTTCTTCCATCCCGACCCTGGCGATAGAGATGGAATGTTGGCATATACACAGGAAGTGGGCCGAGAAGATGACCTGTGGGAGATTTCTGGTTGCGTCGGGAAAGAAATGAGCAAGCATAAGAAGAAGAAGAGACGGCAAGGCGGAAAGTCACAGTAAGCGGTTGTTGATTGCTATCAGTCCGAACTACAAAAGCTGATAATTGATCACCCTGAAGGACTATTGGCGGTGTCGAGATCGATGAACGTGACCGCAAAGACTACTATTCTCCGTCAACAGACCTTTTCGCCGATTACTGCGCATCTATTATCAATCGATATGGTCTGAACGAACCGAACCTCATCCAGAAACAAGAAGTTGCCGACATCACGTACGGTTATCTCCCCGAGGATAAAGACACGCCGATATCCAACTCGAAGACCTTCACAATTACTACTACAACGGGCCAAAAGTTCTATAGCCGATCGACTGTGCTTGCTATTGGAGCCGGCGGAGCCGGCGTATCTAAGATCTTCCCTTGGAGCCCCAGAAGCGAGGAAGAAGGTGCTTCGGCATGCTGTCATAGTATGGAGATCAGGTCGTTTCCGAGCCCCAATGTCCGTCGCAAGATTCTACACCATCAGGAAACCAATGTGGTGGTTGTAGGAGGTGGTCTTTCATCAGCACAGATTCTGGATATGGCTGTACGCAAGGGTGTCACCAAAGTATGGTTCCTGATGCGCTCTGGAATGAAAGGTATGTATTTTAAGAAAGAAACACAAGCCGCAGCAGAGTATTAAACATTTCTCACAGTCAAGCACTTTGACATCAGTCTGCCGTGGATGGGCAAATACAAGAACTGGGAGAAAGCAGCATTCTGGTCAGCGGATACCGACGAAGGTAGGTAACCTAATTCAATCACGGGAGAGAAAGAGAGAGAGAGACGAAATACTGATACATCTATATAGAACGTCTGGAAATGATAAAAGTCGCCCGCAACGGAGGCAGCATCACGCCTCGCTACGTGAAAATAGTCAAAGACCACGCAGCACACGACCGCGCATCTATCCACACGCATACCACCATCACGAGCCATAAATACAACGCCGAAACTCAAACGTGGGCACTGACCACCGATCCGCCGATCCCTAACCTGCCTGCAATCGACTTTATCTACTTCGCAACCGGAGCGCGTGCCGACGTGACTGAGATGCCACTTCTAAGCAACATCAACAAGGAGTATCCTATTGAAGTAAAAGAAGGGCTGCCATGCCTAACTGATGACCTCATGTGGCGGGAAGATGTCCCCTTATTCATGACGGGAAGGATGGCAGGATTGCGCTTGGGACCTGGTGCCCCGAACCTCGAAGGGGCCAGGCTAGGAGCAGAACGAATCGCTTGGAGCCTGGAAGATATTCTGGAAAAGAAAAGGGAGGTTGGGAATCAGTGTGCCGTCGAAGGGTTTTGCGGGCTGGGTAACCGGTATGCTTCGTTGGTTGGTGATGCCACCGAGTAGATAAGGCTGTGGATTGACTTCGGTATCTAAGCCATGGTCTCATAACCATGGGTGGTTGTGTTCCTTGAGACACCCTTGATCATAGACGCGCCTTGACTTACCATATTGAGATAAAACCTCAGCATGATGGAGCAACGTCACTGCAAACCCACCGGTAATCCATTCCTCCCTTCATTCCGGACTCTCAGATCCCCTATTGACCACGCCGATGGGGTACATCACTGGCAAGATGCCGTCGGAATGTGGATATCCCTTGTTCTGCGGGAGATTTTAGGAGCTTTAAAAAGTATAAAATCTTATTGAGGCCTTGGACCGGAGAAATTACTCCCTTGTATCTTATTTCCGATAGTGTGCTGTGCTCGTGGCAGCCACTTAGTACATCATGGATCCAGCAACGGAGCCCGATACACCAGTGGAAGCATGGAAGGTACTTCCGAACAATACACATGAGAGCTGGGTGAAAGATCGTGGGTTACGGCGGCTGAATCTGGGGATCGCGCTTATGTTCGCTTCGTCCGCTGGAACTGGGTATAACGGAAGTCTCATTAATGGTTTGCTTGTCTTACCTCAATGTAAGGCATATATAAAAAGAGAATCTCACCCAGAATAAATGCTAAGAAGTTTCTCTTGATTCAGTCTCAAACATTATAGGAGGTCTCAATCCGAACATCGTCGGGCTCATCATCGGAGCCACTTCTCTCGGAGCTTTCATATCGTTCACACCGGCATCATATGTGGCGGATAAGTTTGGAAGAAAGTGGTGTGTCGTCATTGGATCCTCGATTGTGATTATCGCATCTATTCTCCAAGTCGCAACTTCAAGCCACTGGGCCTTCTTTGCTCTTCGAGTCCTGGCTGGTGCGGGAGTGGGTACATCTCAGACAGCTGCGCCGCTGTTGGCAACCGAGATCGCGCATCCTCGCCATAGACAAGTGGCCACAGCATTATACAATGCCTTTTGGTGTGTGGGTTCGATCACTTCGGCCGCTTTCACATTTGCTACACTGTCTATGGGTAATAGCTGGTCTTGGAAGATCCCATGTGTGCTGCAGGCATTCTTTCCCGTGGCTCAGCTGGTAGGTCTTCTCATTGTGCCTGAGAGCCCCCGATGGCTGGTGTCGAAGAATCGGAAGAATGAGGCACTGAAGATACTGGCGCGTTATCATGCAAATGGCAATGAAGACGACATATTAGTGCAGAGTGAATTTGAAAAGATCTGCACCAGCATCAATGCCGAGACAAGTGAGCCTCGGAAATGGAGCTCGTTCTTCTCATCCAAGGGAGACCGACATCGCCTGGCGATCTGCGTTATTGTTGGACTTATGCAAGAGTGGGCTGGAAACGGTACGAAATTCCTAAGTCGCGCCACAAGGCTTCTACTAACAGGTTGCAGGCATTGTTTCCTTTTATCTCTCCCCGATTCTGAAGTCGGTCGGGATCGAAAAAGCGTCAGATCAAGCATCTATCAATATTAGTATGCAAGTGTGGAACTTGATCCTCTCTTCAGTCGGAGCAATGGCATCCGAACGATATGGCCGGCGCATTCTGTGGTTGATGGCGACGGCGGGAATGCTTATGTTCTTATCGATCACAACCCTTGTCGCCGGTCTGTTCGCAGAACTATACATCAAAGCTGCCGGGCTGGCCGTGGTGCCGATGCTTTTCCTCTTCTTTGCCTGTTTTGATCTCGCCTATTCGCCCTTGTTCCTTTCATACCCGGCAGAGATTCTGCCTTTCCAGCTTCGGGCAAAGGGTATTGCAGTCACGCTCTCTGTTGATGCCATTGCATGCTTCTTCAACCAATACGTTAACCCGGTCGCCTTCTCGGCTATCCATTGGAAGTATTACATCGTGTATATCGGTTGTCTGAGTTTCTTCCTGGTATCCGTTTATTTCCTTTTCCCGGAGACCAAGGGTCGGTCCCTCGAAGAGGTTTCACGAATCTTCGACAGCAGTGACATCCAGGGCGTGGAATTCAGGGACTCCAGCACGAGCACAGATGAGAAGGAAGAAGGCGCAAAGGATAGGAAAGTATAGAGGTAGTATTATACCATTGTAGTATTTTGAGTCCGGCAGCTGTGGTGGCCTGAGGACTCCATGTCATTATGCCTGCTTGCTGTGTATAGAAGGGCTCTTGTTGAGTAAATTCGGAATCAAACTCTCCTCCTTCGTATACCAGTTGACCCGTCTCCTTATGCCTGGTGCTTCATATAGAGTCATTATATGGGCCATTTCAGGGTAAGCAGCTCAACATCCACTCTGTTTGTACGTCGATGAGTACAGTGGAGGGGCCAATCACGTCGGAGATGAAGGTGCTGATGCCCCCGCAATCCGTTGTAACCTTTTGGCTCCCCGCGCTGCAACATCGTCTTCTCCTCTCCTGAATAGATGATCTGGCGCTTTCTGGGATATGTCGATTCTCCGTGAGCATAAACCCACATTATTCTGAGCTTGAATCCAACTCTAGACCAGCATGAAAGAACCACAGCTCCCCCCCAGCAGACATCCCCGTCAACTCCATCCGCCCTTCGGCTTCTACCACCCCCAAGCAACTGCGCTTCCTCGTCATCGGTGCGGGTTCTCGCGGTAATGCCTACGCTCGTGCCGTGACGACAGCTACACAGGGCACAATCCACGCCGTCGCCGAGCCACACCCCTTCAAACGACGGGAGTTCGGCCGGAACTACATCTGGGGACAGGGATCGGCGAAGGAAGGCCAGGCATTTGCCGACTGGCGCGAGTGGATCCAATGGGAAACCGAACGACGACGCACAGATGAAGGCCCAAACAACAGCACGGGGATACCAGCCTCAGGGGCCGTCGGAGTCGACGGTGTATTCATCTGCACACTAGACGAGACACACATCGAGGTCATCAAGGCCATCGCACCGCTAAATCTCCACATCCTATGCGAGAAGCCACTCGCTCTGTCACTGAACGACTGTCTGACCGTCTACCGCACCCTCCAACCACCCCAAGGCACTGACCAACGGCCACAAGCCCAGTCGAAGATCTTCTCCATCGGCCATGTCCTCCGCTACAGCCCCCACAACATCCTCCTTCGCAAACTCCTCCTCTCAGACCAAGTCATCGGGGACATAGTTTCATTGGAGCACACCGAGCCCGTCGGCTGGTGGCACTTCTCCCATAGCTACGTGCGCGGGAACTGGCGCCGCACAACACTCGCAGGCGACGGCTCCCTGTTGACAAAATCATGCCACGACATCGATTTCATCCTGTGGCTCCTCTGCTCGCCGCCTTCGCTTGAGACTGCCGTGGAAGAGGGCCATGAACCGCATTTTCCGCGCAGTATCTCGTCGGCGGGATATATGACGCAGTTTAGACGATCGAGGAAACCGGCCACGGCGGGGGATGCTACAAATTGTCTGTCTTGTCCTGCCGAGCGGGAGTGTAATTATAGTGCCCTGCGCATCTATAATGAACGACATCTGGCGAAGGGGATTGCGGGTTGGCCGGTTGATATTGTTTGTCCTGATATCGAGGACGTAGTTCAGACGCAGGGTACTGCGGCGGCGGAGGAACATTTGCTTGAGAAGCTGCGCGAGGATTATGAGGTCGGGAAGGATTCGGATTCGGATATTGCTTCGCGGCCTTGGTATGGCCGGTGTGTTTACGAAGCGGATAATAATGTCTGCGATGATCAGGTCGTTACTTTTGCTTGGGATGATGAGGAGAGTGAGCCGCGTCGGTTGGCGAAGACGGCTACGTTCCATATGATAGCGCCAACGGAGAAGCAATGTGAACGCCGTGGTCGTGTGTATGGGACAAAGGGAGAGATTGAATACGATAGTCGGACGATCTCGATCTATGATTTCGCTACGGCGAAGACGCAGGTGATCGATGTGCCGCCTCCGCCGCCAGATCGGAAGGAGTCTCATGGTGGTGGTGACTATGGCTTGGCAAGACAGTATGTCAGTGCTGTTGATGCAGTGGTGAATGGGGGGTTGGATGTTGAGAGGGCGCAGGCGCGATTTGTTGGATGCACTTTGGAGGAAGCAGTTCGCAGCCATGCGGTTGTCTTTGCCGCCGAAGAGGCGAGGCGCGATGAGAGGGTTATTAAGTGGAAAGAGTGGTGGGATGAGAAGCTTAAGACTTCGGCTGCTGCTTGGGCTACGTGATTATTTTGCATGATTTATGACTTGATGAGATTGATGGAATTGGGTAATTCGAGGGCTGGTTTCCTCTGAAATTTGATGCCAATAGGAACCTTGGAAGGAACATTGATTACTAGAATAAGATCTTCCACGTTCTATCCAATAAGTTGTTTTCTGCATTCATCCATCATATCATGACTTCTTCACGCGAAAGTAAACAATAGCCGTGATCCCCATCCAGCGGGTCACACAATAACACTACTTATAGACTGTTTAGGTCTTGACATCGGGCTCCTCACGGCCGACGAACTCCTTGAACTTGAGGAGCTCCAGGGCGAGGGAAACGTTGTCGGCAAGGTATTCCTGGGCACTGAGGCCAAACTTGGAGCTGTCGCTCTCATAGCGCTCAATGTACAGACGGATGGTGGCGCCGCTGCTGCCAGTGCCGGACAGACGGACGACGATACGGGAGCCGTCATCGAACTTGGCGTACAGACCCTGGTTCTTGGAGACACTGCCGTCGAGGTCAGTGTAGGAGAAGTTACCGGCATCAACGACCTTGCGGCCAGAGATGGTAGAGCCGATAAAGGTGTCGCGGTTGGCGACGAGATCGGACAAGACGCCAACGACCTTGTTGGCACCTTCGCTGTCGACGTTCTCGTAGTCGTAGCGAGTGAAGAAGGTACGACCATAGGTCTTCCAGAAGTCGTTCTGGATGGAGGCAATGCTGGGGGTCTCGTTGGGGGTCTGCTTGGCCACGCCAGCAATGATATTCAGCCAGGCGACAACAGCCCAGACACCGTCCTTCTCACGGATATGGTTGCTACCAGTGCCGAAGGACTCCTCGCCACAGATGGAGATCTTCTTGTTGTCAAACAGGTTGCAGAAGAACTTCCAGCCGGTGGGCACCTCGTAGCTCTCAAGGCCCTGAGCCTTGGCGACACGGTCAACGGCACCGGAAGTGGGCATGGAGCGGGCAAGGCCGTACACACCCTGCTTCTGGAACCAAGGGATGAGCTTGGCGTGGTGGGCAATGATGGCCAAGCTGTCACCGGGGGAGACGAAACTGTTGGCGCCGTAAATCATGTTGCGGTCACCATCGCCGTCACTGGCGGCACCGAAGTGCACACCGTTCTTGTCAACGGCCTCAACGAGCTCGTGAGCATAGACAAGGTTGGGGTCGGGGTGGCCGCCGCCGAAGTCCGGCAAGGGTTTGCAGTTCATGGTGCTGCTGGCGGGCAAGCCGAGCTCCTTCTGGAAGATGTCCACGCCGTAGGGGCCGGTGACACCGTGCATACCGTCGAAGAGCACCTTGAAATCCTTGTGGGAGCTAAGGAAGTCCTTGATCAGGTCGAAATCGAAAATCTCCCTCATCATGGTCACGTAGTCGGCGGTGGAGTGGACAATCTCGACCTCAATGGGGCCGTAGGTCTTGGTGCCAACGACAGAGGTGTCGACATCGGGCATGTCAACGTAGCTGTAGGAGGTAAGGGACTTGGAAGCCTCGTAGATCTTGTTGGTCACCGTCTCGGGGGCGGGAGCACCGTTGGCCAAGTTGTACTTGATGCCGAAGTCGTTATCGGGACCTAGAGGTAGCTTGTGAGCGGCCAGCGACAGCGAATAAAGCTTTATTTCAACATACCACCAGGGTTGTGACTGGCAGTCAGCAAGATACCACCAGTGGCCTTGCGAACACGGATCAGGTTGCTGGCAGCCGGGGTGCTGAGAATGCCATTCTGGCCGACCAGCAGCTTCTTGACACCGTAGGCGGCACTGATCTTAGCGATCTTAGAGATCACCTCGGGATTGTAGTAGCGACCGTCACCGCCAATGACGAGGAAGGCATCCTGGGCACCTTCAGGGATGGAGAGGAGGATGCTGGTAATGAAAGACTCGGAGTAGTGAGGCTGCTCGAACACCTTGACCTTCTTGCGAAGACCAGAACTGAGACAATGTTAGGAGATGAATTGGAATGACAGGTCAGGATAACATACGTGCCGGGCTTCTGGTCCGTAAAGGGCTTAATGGAGACAGTCTGAACTGACATGATGAATGAGGTGGATGGATGGAAAGGGAGAAGGGGGAGGGGGGAGCTTGACCGACTGATGAGGGGCTGCCGTCATGTGTTGATCATCCCGCTTGGCCACTTTTGACAGCGTTGACTTAATCTCTAGCTACAATTCCAATTGGTTGGGCCCACTAGTTCCTACTTCGATTTGTTTTTCGATTACGAACCTGTGTTGATTTCAAGCTAGAAGCTTCAAGACTAGAGACCTTCTTAGAGTGGTGTTCCTGAGCTCTTCCTGGGAGCTGTTTTGCCATTTCCAGGGAAATCCAAATACGCGCGGGGCAGCTCCGAGTTTTTAATCGAGTGAGACAGACCCTGCAATTGCCTTGGAATCCGGTTAAAAATAGAGTTGTCTAGCATATTTTCCAGTTCCAGGTCCAGGTCCAATTCCAATTTTCAAGCTTAGACATTAATTAAAATTTAGAGAGAAAAAAAAGAAAGAAAAAAAGTCTTCGCATTGCATGCCATACAAATAGGATATTATTGCATAAACCTCACCCAAACAGCTTCTCCTTATAGTATCGCATCTCAGCAATACTCTCCAAGATATCATCTCTAGCCAAATGCACCTCCTTCTTCGGCGGAACATCCCTCAACAATTCCTCACTTCCCCACCTCCGAGCCGCCTCTTTAATAGTACTCACGTCCAGAATCCGATAATGCAAATGTTCCATAACCTTTGCATAAGGCCCCTTCACCAGGAAAGCCTTGTCGGCATGGACACTATTCCCTGCCAGCAGCCCCGTGCGCGCAGGTACATAACGCTGGACGTAGGCAAGGAGCTGGTCGGCGGCAGCAGCGGGCGTCGTGGTCGAGGCGCGCACGGCGGCGGTGAGGCCCGTGCGGCCGTGGGTGTCGATGCACCAGGCCGACATTGCGTCTAGTGTGGCATCGGCCACGTTGATGATTGTTTCGAAGCCCTTGGGTTCGAGGAGGTTGAGTTGTGCGTCGGTGATGAAGCAGCAGATTTGAATGATCTCTTCGTTTTCAGGGTCTAGGCCCGTCATCTGGGCTTTGTAAGTAGGGGTTTTGGGGGAGGTTGCGAAGGACTCTTACTTCGCAGTCGATCCAGACGAGGGGATCGGTGGAGCGTGTGAGTGGCATTGTGGTCTTGTAACGTAGAGCGAGTAGGGGCTTGGGGTTGTCAGTTGTGGTGAATGGTACAGGGTGGTGCAGGTGGGCGGCAGAATCTCTGACCTGGTGGAGAAAGCAGCCGCGCAGGCCCCGAATGCTCTTGGAGGAGAGGAACAGCGGCCGGAGCGGGCGAATGTGCCATGGCATATCCAAGCGTGTGATTTTCGAGTGTTTGTTGAAGGTAAGTGATCAATGCGTTGCTGGGCACTATTTGTTCTGCGATCTAAGGCCCTTGGCCAGGTTGGAACAATGGCAATATCACAGCTTTGATGACGACTTCACTACTTCTGAAGACAACTAAGGCAGAGCTAGAAACAGAATATCTAGGTATAGGCCAGCTTAAGTGTATGTACTTGACCTAGGTATACGTCTCTACAGAGCCTACAATGGAGGCAAAGTATGAACAAGTCGCTTATCTGGCGACACAGCTAATGTATTTTCCCTTTCGAATGCTTCCTGTAATGTAGAAATTGTGGACATAACGGCGTCAAAGAGGCAAGGTAGTCAAGGTAGAGAAGAAAAATGTGAACGAGGTAGCCGCCTATTGACGAAGACAATTCGACATGAAACAAACAAGCCATTGACTCCTCAAAGAGAGTTTCTAAGTAATCAACCCCCCTATCAGAGGTCTGGTATCGGAGCTATTATCAATTCAGAGCTCTTCGTCAACGTTTTCCGACTTGGCCGGCGCGTCGTCCAGCTTGTCGCCAAAAGATCCAGTGGCTGCTTTGTTCTCGTTTGAGCCTGATCCCAGCACTTCGTTAATTCGGCCGGAGGACTCTGCGATGCGACGACGGAGGGCATTTTCGTCTGCTGTTGAGACGCTTGCGCGCTGCTTCTTCAGCGGGCTACCCAGGAAACCATCCACTGCGTCGGCGCTGGCCTGAGGCTTTTCGGGTGTTTCTGTCTCCGCTTTCATCTTCGGGGGTGTAATGGAGCGCTCCATCGCAGGGGGTGTGGTTCCAGAGCCCAAGGTGTCGGCAGCTTTCTCGGCATTACTTGAACCCGGCTCCGCAGAGCGTTCGCGCTTGAGCTGTAAAGATTTTAGCACTGTTGTGATGAATACTGTGGAATTGCACCTACGCGAATCTTGCGGACACCCTCTTCCAGCTCTCCTTGGCGCTTAATATCGTCAGAAGACAGGAGCTTGTTGTCCTCTTTGTCTTCCTCATCATCAGCTTTGCCCAAGATGGGGTTGTCGGTGTCGTCATCATCACTGTCCATTTCGTCGTCACCCTTTTTGCCTTTGCGACCAGCTTCTTGTTCTCGGAAATTCAAGAATCCCACTGTACCCCCGGGCTTGAGGGGCCCAAGATTGGAAAAATCGGCCTGTAGAGATTTCCGCTTCGTGGCGGGTGTTTCCGGTGCCTTGGGGTCCTTCTTGATGCCCATCTTCTGCAGTTGCCCTATAGGCTATGTAAGCAGATGTCCAAATTTTATAAGACGTAAAGTTACTCACGTTCACCGCGATACATAAACGTAAACGTCGCGTAAGGCTTATCAGTCGGGTCAATGCCTGTGACCGTCTGCGTGCTGATAGATTTGGGATCTAGTGTCTTGGGCTTCGCGAAACTCGTCGTATGATCGACGTCAGCATCCCCTCCACCATTATCCCCTCCACCTTCATCGTCGTCATGTGCGTCGAACTGCGGCGAGTATTCACCACGCTTGATCTCTCCGGATGCCAAAACACGGAACAAGGCGACCTTAATCTGACCAGCGGTCTCGGGGATCGGGTCGTCATCGTCGGAATCCGAAGAGAGATCATCGTCGGAGACATTCTCCAGGGGGATCCTTCTCATCATTTCCATAGCGCATGATGGTCTTGGGTTTTGAGGCTGCGTTTGTTTCCATCTCCATTCCTTGGCTCTCCTCGTGGCGTTTTGCGCGACGCCTCTCCATCTTCTGTCGTCGCCGCTCGATCTTGGCGGCTGCGTCTTTGCCCTCCAGATCCAAACCGTTCAGCCAGCGCTCCAACCCGACTTCGCGGAATAGAAACTCGCGCTCAGCAATCCCGCCGCCCTCGGAGTCGGGCACGCTGACCCACCGCGAGTTCACCCAGGTCTCCTCTCCTCTCCGCAGCAATGTAGCTACCTCTTCCTTCTGTCTGCCATCGAAGTAGATGTAGGCTGCCACCGTTTCGTTGGGGGAGTTGGTTAACGCCTGGTATGGCGCGACGGCCCCGGAATACTGGCCGCGCTCACCGGTCTGGCTGGGCAAGCCTCCGACGACCTTCGGCTTAGGAGAGGGACTATCCGGTGTGGGTTTGGGAGTGGAATAAGGGACATCCTGGCCGGGATTGAGGAGGGTAATCGAAATGGCAAAGGTAGACTGTTCGGCCTTGCCCTTGGCGGAGTCGGGGACTTTGGGCGGGGGCACCGGGATGAAGCAACCTATCCGCGACGCTCTCGAATGACGCTGGATGGAGTATTCGGAGATGGGGCCATCCGGGGTATGAATGCTCACGGCGAGCCCTTTGAAGCAGGGCATGGCGGTGCCTCAAGGGAAGGACGAGGGGTGTGTTCTGTGTTGGCGGAGGTGAAGGTATGAGAGGGGCGAGGGACAGCCCCACGCGCTCGAAAAGGAGAGTGCACCCCCGAGCAGAGATAGAAAGAGGAAAGAGGTAAGTCGCAGCAAGTGACGGTCTAGATTTTTTTTTTTCTGCGTCCCACGAGAAGTGTGAGCTAGCTGTAAGGTGAGAGGCGGTCAAGGTAGTGTGTTTTGAACTGGTGCACCCTAGCAACTGGGTCGACCCCACTGTTCGCGGGCTGGTATATAGAGGGGGCTGGTTGAGCTGTGCACTCCCCTGGGACCTAGGAAGAAGAGAACCGGATCAACAAAGTCTGACGAGGGCGCTTCACTAATAACAGCGACAGTCTTCAGAAAGCGAAGTGTTATCACAACAGATCTGTCTCGACTCAAGATCTGCCCAACCCCACGTGATATGAGCCTCTTGAGGAAAAGATAACCCTAAAGTCACTTGTCACTTGTCACTTGCATGGGACTGCATCATTTTTTTCGACTCCTTCTAAGCCCCTTGAGTCTCAGGTCCCGCTTTCCTTATCGTACGGAGTTAGGTATTGACCTCGTCATCTCCATCAGCTGATGCTCACAACCATGGATCCGCGAGATCCCCAGGACCCGCTGTGCCAAGTCTACGTTTACGGAACAAAACAATGGATCTCATGAGCTGTCATTTTTCATCAAGCATAAAAATTTCTGACACTTAGAAAGTGTCTAAGCACGTGGTACCGAACTCGAATGATCAGCGTCCTGTCTTACCAGAAATCAACGATAATTGATAGTAAGCGCCAAACCACGGAAACCGAGTTACGACTTGACAGTCTCAGATACAATACTCTGGCTTCGTGCAGTTTGGTCAAACTTGTAAAGAGGCTCAAGCTCGACGTTCTTGCGGAGGATGTACTTGTTTATCCACCAAGGAAGTGCCTTGAAGACCTGGTAGTGCATGTGAACCCGGGTGGGGACCGCAAAAATGTAGTCGAGCTCTTCAAGAGTTCGCTGCTTAGTTTCGGGAACAAACAAAAAGATCATGACCAACGCAGTTACGTTCAGGCCCGCGTAAAAGCCAAAGGCTCCGGTAGGAGTCATGGCATAGAGCATGCGCGGGAAAGTGATGGAGAGCACTGCGGCCCATCCTAGGCAGGTTGCCACAGCCCACGACATGCCAACTTCACGATGAGACAGTGGGAAGACTTCAGCAGAGTATGTGAAGGGGACAGGGCCTTCTCCTGGAGAATAGAATGCGGCGAACAAAAAGATAAAGAGAGCAACGGTTGCCAAATGAGCACCTCCGTCTCCCGGGACCCAGAAGCAGAACCCAGCTGCGAGAAGGGTCCAAGCCATCTGGGGGAAGGTAAACAGAAGCAGAGCTCGGCGGCCATATGTGTCAATGGTCCAAATTGCCGGGAAAGCGAACAGGAAGTTCACCAGACCGAATCCCCACGATGCGAACAAAGCTCCAGTGGTACTGGCGCCGGCTTGCTGAAAGATGGTACTGGAATAGAAAGCGATGATGTTGACTGTCAACAGTTAGAGACCAATTTCACAAAGAGATAGTATGATAAACTTACTTCCACACATCTGCTGAGCAATCATCACCGTGAACGAGGCAAGCGTAGCGCGACGGACCCGAGGAATAGTAAACAGCTCGACGAATCGAGTAACGTAGTTGCTCTCTCCAATAATGCCCTGCTCAATCTGGATTTGAGCATGAATGTAGTAAAGATCCCGAGCAGCCTGGAGCGGTGTATTGCGCAGGCGGCAAAGAGACTTGAAAGCCTTGCCCATCTCGCCCCGTCGGATGTACCAACGAGGAGACTCGGGGCAAAAGAAGACACCGCACAGAAGAGGCACGGCTGGGATAAAGGCAGACCCCAGCTGCAGACGCCAAGACAAGGAACCCGTGTTCTTGACTGCCAGGTTAGCGCTGAAGCCAAGGAATATGCCAAAGGCCGTCCAAAGCTGCCAACACATGACCAGACCGCCACGAATAGGGGCAGGTGTATTCTCGGCACAAAAGACGGGGATAGTAGAAGCCTTCAGACCCATGCCAATTCCGAGCAGCAGACGAGTGATGAACAGCTGGGGCCAGTTCTGGGTGAAAGCGGAGCCGATAGGAGACAGTACACAGAAGATGGCAGCGATGAAGATTGTACCACGACGGCCCAGGATTCGGTTCATGGGATCGGAGAGCCAGCATCCAAGCACAGCACTTGCAATGTAGGGGGCAGCGTTCACAATACCAACGAGCCACTGATTCTTCACGCTCGCGTCTTCGGGAATACCGAAAGCATCGGGAAAGGACAAGTTAGCACCGTTGGAACCGGTCTGGTCCCATCCCCTATTGAAAGTCAGCACTGCAGCATTTAAAAAAATTGTCATAAACTTACTGGACGGCAGCACCAATCGAACAAAGAATAATCGTAAAGTAGAGGGCCTTGGGTTGACGCCATTTGTGAAGGACTTCATCCCGTAGAGCACTAATCTCATGGTCTGTGAGGTCAGGAACAGCTTCGAATTCGGCAGGATCGCGAGCAACAAGTGCTCCCTTCTTCAGCTCCGGTAAGATATCGGTGACGTTGTACTCCTGGGCGAAGTCTTCCACATCGCAAAGCACTTGAGACTGGCTCAGATCGGCAAGTGGATTCTTGATTCTGGGGCTATTGTTAGATCTTTTCCACCACGAAGACAATTTTCTGCTATGTAGCTCAAGACCAACACATACTTGGCAGACACATTGTTGTGCAAGTTGACTTGCTCGAGGTGGCCCTTCTCGGCACCATTGTGGTCATCGCTGGCCCTGTTCTGAATCAGCATGGTGGGCTGTGCAGGTTATGAACGAACTAACCTAGTAGAGGATTCCAAGTGGGTGATTGTTTCTTTCACCATGGTGATGGGTGAAGCTTCAAGCGTTGGTTTAGATAGAAGATTAACCAAGTGCGGTGTTGGGTAGAAAGTGTGGGGGTAGAAGAAAGTAAGAAGGAAATGAGAAAGGGAGAAGACTGGAAGAAGCTGCCTGGGGTCAACACAATGCCTTGACGGAAAGCAAGACTTGTGAATGAAAGAGATCGTCAAATGGGAGAAACCACCACCTTTTATGCTTCAGGGAAACCCCCTCAGGTCAGCCCGGTTGGCAAGAATGGCTCATGGAAACCAAGTCAACCTTCAAAGCTAAGCCACGAGGAGAGCTAGATCTACTTCCAGAAGCGGGGGGTTGAGTCTGGGGTCTCAACCGCGGGGAGACTTCCTCAGCTTGTCACCTGCCCATGGGGGACCCAGACATTCAACTTCGACGGAAACACTGACAGCATCCGGCATCTCTAGCGTGTTCTCATCATCGTCCCCTCACCCTGCATCAATTCTTGACAGGCACAATCCCCGGGTATCGGTCATGTCCGATCAATTGAAGAGCCTTACACGATCCTGGCGGTCTTAATTGATGTGAATCCCCTACTGGCCAAAACAGAACCTCATCCTGCGCATGTCGTGTCTCCGGAAGTGAAAAGACAAGATCGCCGCACTCGGGATAGCGCCATGGTGAGCCTCTAAGCCCGATGCGAAAGGAGATTGGGCGGAACCGGAGGCTAAAACGCCACCATTGTTATCCTCGGTGTGCCGTGTGTAGGGACTTGCCCTGGATGGGATGTGCCTTGCGATTTCCGTGGTCGAGATTTCGGCTGGCCGTGCCACTGAGAGGTGTGATTGGGTGGCGAGCGCCCTGTGCACACGTCAATTCGGGTCTACGAAGCTTCATCATTGACTCTTAGTCACGGAAATATCTCGATGTTCCATGTGGGCCGAGATCCCAAGTCAAGATCGCATCCGGCGATCTCAGCGATCTCCATGTGCTATGCAACGAAAGGCCATGAGGCCATGAGGTCAACAGTCAGCATGGGGAGAATCTGGGGATTCTCCACATCCAAGCCTGGAGAAGACTTTTGATTCTGGGGGGGTTCCGACTAGGTTCTAGAGGCCGAGTCGGCCCCAGCTGCCCACGATTAAGCTTGCGCCCCGACATTAGCCCGCCCGCGTTCCACCTGCCCACCCGGTCTTCCTCGTTCTACTTCGTCTAGAGACTTACTTCGGGCCAGCTTTCCTTCCCGAAAATTCAGAAATCGAGCCCGCAGATTGTGGAGTGGCGGGGAAATCAAGAGCGACGGCCCCCCCCTTGGAATCTCACCGAGATCATGTTGGTTCGGGGCCCTCGGAATGTGTCGTAGACTGTGCTCCGTTCATCCTAGCTTACTGGCCAGCATTCTTGCTTTCCGTCCCACACTTTCTGTATCCCACTCTACAGTCACCGAATGAGGTGTCACCGGCTCCTATCAATCGAGCGTAGGGATGCGTAGAATGATCGCATCATCATCGCCGCAACTAACCATCTTCGGCAAAGTACAATCATCCGGCGAGGCTCGAGACTCGGGGTCTCGCTCAACGGAATGTAACGCTAGGAACTCGTGGCGGCGGCCATGTGTGCGTTGCCCGATGCGGCGATCCCTCTGGTATGTGGGTTATATTGTAGGATCCGTGTGTTCCCGGCTGCTTGATACGAATCAAGATGCCTACTACAACAGATATCGCCGATTGCTCAGATCAGAATCGAGCCGGAATAAGACGTATAATGAGACACAATTCTTGAACCGGATGGACTGATGACCTTGTCAAGGTGCATGTCATAAACGGTGCTAACCATTGATACACATGCATCATGATTATCGAGAAAAGTAAAGTCTACTATGCGTATGTGGGCTTAATTAGCGGGCACAATGGGCAAGTGTACCGCAAAAACTATATCAAAAACCACTTGGGCTTGAAGCTCTCCCAGGTCATAGTCCTGCAGCGTCATGCGGAGATCAACGATATGTTTAGAACAAAAACCACCACAAAAATGGGATAGAAACAGGTCTGTCACAGCCACAGAACCACAATTGCTATGGGTCTTGGATAGGCTGGAGCTTTCAACTTAGTCTTAGCAGAGCCCTCCATTTAAACGAAATCTGCTCCACTGATCCACCTGGTCATTATGTCCAAAGCAATGTCGGGACGATCTTGTGGCAGCTACCGAAATTGGAGTTAGAATCAGTTTTTTTTTCTTTCGTCTTTCCTATTACGGGGCACTCACAAAATGACCGGCATCGTTCACAGTCACGATAGCAAACCGCGATGTGATTTCTGTGGTATCACTCGTTCGAACTCGCACTTCTTTCATCGTCCCGACGGTTTCATTCTTGCCGGTGGAAGCTACCACTGATTCCCAAGGCTGCAACGACTTGGAAGCAAATTCAGGCTGTCCATTCCAAACAAGGGAGTTCGCCCAACGATGATTTCCCGCTGTGTTACAGGCAAGATCGAGATTGCCTTGATAAGCGAGATAGTGCACTTGGTTCTGAAGTAGATAAGCAACTTGGTCAGACGTGGAGGTTTCCAAATCCGAGGTTTTTTCGAATGATCGAGAAATCTCCTCAGAGTAAAGATTGAAGTGCTCAATTTGTTTCGGGGGCGAGAGTGCATCCCAGACACCTCGGGTGTTAAGGTATTCCCCAACATGGGCCGCTTCGATGTAGCAAAAGTTATCAATTTCGCAAGGAGCCGTAACTATTGTACCAGGTCAGATATTCGAGGACTTCATGCAGAGTTTACCTTTTACTTACTGTCAAACCTGTTACGACCACCGGCATGAGACTCGTCATCGTACCATCCGATGATGCCCTTGTAGCAGACAGACATTGCGGCATTGCAAATGGCTGGGTCTGGGTTGTTGATGCAAGTATCCATAACTTGCATGCAACGAGGCATGTTAGCAGCCATGATATCGCATCTGGTCTTGTTGAACACTGGCTCTGCAACGCCCGGGTTGGTGGTACACAAGGTTTCCCAGTATCCAAAGGCCGCATCCTTTGGGGACATGTATCCGTCTCCCACCAGGCATGATCGAAGCTGGATCTGCGTCTCATGGGGATATAGCTTGTTTTGCTTCACGATTTGGGAACCAAGGGCCGGGATATATTTGCCCTGCCAGAGTTAGTCTCTCACCCGGTGTGAGCAAGGAAGTAATTCTTACAGCATAGGATTCTCCAGATAGATGGAACGGACTGTTCAGGTGATGGGGGAACACCTCTGAAACGAAAACCTGCAAGAATCTATGCATATCCACAGCAGCCTTTGCCGAGTCGCCGGGTAGATCATAGCCTTCGTCGAGATATGAGAAACCAACACCGACAGGTTGATCAACAAACAACAAGGATGATTCCTTGGACCAGCCCCATGGGTTATAGTAGGTGCCATTGCCGTGCTCATTGACGAGACAAGGACCGACCTCTTCGAAGAGACCGACCATACTAGACCCGCCGGGCCCACCCGTCATCCACAGGGTTAGTGGGTCGTGTTTGGGGTCATTCTGGCTTTCAAAATACCAAAAGAATAGATGAACCGGGCCAACATCAAGCCATCCGGTGTACTGTGCTGAGCCGGCTGCGCAGATTGATTCGTCTTGCTTTCGAATACGAATTGAGTGTTCTGGCGAAGATTGACTTTGGAATACTTGGAAGCCGTCAGAATGTTTAGGCTGTAAGATCTGCTGAGCTGCTGCGTAACTAAGGCCTATAAGGCTAGCGATAGACAAAAGTAACATTGGGTGCACAAATCCCGTAAAAGATTGACGTATACCGGTAAGAAAGCGAAGAGCTGTGGATAAGTAGTAATTGCAGCCTAATTCCCCTGTCTTCCCCTCATTTGGCTTATTAAAGTCCGTCCGGGCTTCCGCCGGGGTATTGGGAGACTAGAGAACTACCGGTGATAAGCGTCCGTTTGTATCTCTCGAAGATAATGCCGCTAATCCAAAATGTGCAGAGCGATTTTGGTACGGTACTATGAGATATTTGAATATCGTTCTCAGTTCCCCGGAACTACTAGCAATCCTCATAATACCTGCAGCATGCTAGCCGCGACTTTCAGTTGCTAAATCTGAAGGAGGACTCTAAGAGGAGCTTTAAATAGGGTGCTCAGAGGGATAGCGAGAAAGAGTTGAAGAATCAAGTGTAAAGACCCCTTTGGATTATCTTTCTGGGAGAGCTGTAGACTTTCGTGGCATATGAACGGTCATCCTGGGGTAAAGATAGCCCTGGAGAGCACGGGTCTTGTTCTAGTAGCCAATCTTACAATGATCTATGAGTCTACTCGACCACAAGTGAAAGAGCATTTGCACGATTCCATTTTCATTGGGAATACAGATAGGTAGTTATATACTCAGAGCTAGCCCCATGCACTCTCATCTAGCACTCGAAAAACCGATGACAAAGGGTATCGCTCCGCCTCGCCTTTATTTCTATCCCAATCCCAATCTCGAGCTCGTGACACAAACAGCACCTCCTCGGGCCAGCGCGGGAAACTACTATAAAATGCATCTCAGGAGGCTTTCTATGCATCGTCGGGGTTGAATCGACTAAGCACTTCGGGAGGAACGGTTGGAATGTATTTGCGCGCTCGCTCGCGGTTGGTGCCGCCCAGTCCGGCACCGTAGCTGATGAGCATGTCTGTGCTTGTGGGCAGGGAGAAGGGGAGGAAGAGGGTTGGATCGAGGAAGATGCTTTCTTTGCCGGGGCGGTCTTCTCTTGGGGCCATCATGCTTGGCGGGCGTGATGAAGTTGCTATTGATCCTGGGGATGTGGCTTGGTCGGGACTTGCGGGTGTCAGGGTAGGTTGGTCTTTGGTCGGGGTCTTAGGGCGGTCTCCTATTGCTTCTGGTGCGGGTCCAACGGCTGCTTTCGCTTTGTCGTCTTGGATTTTCTGATGCTCTCGGAATAATGTTTCAGGGTCCCGTTGTAGATCGAGGAGGAACTTCATTGCTTGCTTGGTCAGGCCCTTTTCACCTACTTCGGGTCGGTAGGTCTTGACAGCGTGCAGAAGTTGGAGAGGGGTAAGCTGCTGCAGCTGAAGCAGGGTTGTCACAAGAGACTCATGATCGTCTCCAAGCGAGGAGAAGCACTGCAGCCATTGCAGTAGTTGGATAACGGGAGCTAGATGCCGACGAGCAGAATCGACTGTGCTCTCCCCCGTACTGTTCATGGAGCCGTTCTCATAATGCTCAGGTTGCCGATTGTTGGTACGTGCCCAATCTTCCAAAGTAGAAACATTCATGCGGATTTGCATGGCTTTTGTCCGCGCCAAGTAGCGTCTTGTGCTCATGATGCGGTTGAAGATCTCGGCACTGAGCCAGTAGAGAAGCTGGGAAAGAATCTGGGTGATTATCACAGAGTGAACGTCATATAGGTCAAGTACAAAGAGAGTAGACGATAGTAGGGAGGTGATGTTGCGCGGGGAGATCTGGGCTCGTCGGCGCGGTGAAGGCGGCCGAAATCGCTTATCCGCAGGCTCTGGTGCCTCGGTCTTCTTCTTTTTGAAGAGCTTCCATTCGTTCTGGAATGCAATGTCCTCGAGTCCAGGGATGGTTTCATGGTCCAGCATCGCCGCATCCAGGACTTTGTTCATGCGCCGCTCGGCGTCGCGAATAATGAGGACGAAGATCTCATTGATCAGCTCAGCCAAATGGAGCTGGAATGGCACAGTTGCCTCTACCAACCCGCCATCTTTCTTCAAATAATGGAGCAGTAGAGTGGCATTGGACAACCAGAATGCCTGCATGGTCATGTCCCATTGGTAACGTTCAACAACGTCGTTGATCTTTTCCATTGCTGAGTTCAAAAGAGTAGCAAGAAGCTCGGGACTGGCATGATAGTGTGCATAGCGCGCGCTGAGGAAAAGGAGATTCGCGGGGACAGGCTTTTGAGACGGAGACCGTTGCGGCGTCATGTTGGTGATGATTATATCCAAAATGCGCTCCAGATCAGAATCCTGGAACACGAACATTTGATCATTGAGACATCGGTCCCATACGAACTCCTGCTGCTCCTGTTCGAGATCCTCGTCGTCCGAAGGCTTTCCATTCCGTCAGTGTCATTCTCTGCTTAATTCCAGCTTGCAAGACTAACCTCGAATTTCTCATCCAACCCGAGACTAGACAGATCGACCTCCAGATTGAGAGCACTCTCTTCCATCATCATTCGGCGTTTCATCTCGTTCTCGGCAAGCTCTTCCTCAAATCGGCCATGTGCAAGCCCAGCATCATAGAAATCGTCCTCAATTGCGCTCGGTCCAAAGTTATACCCGTTCTCATGCAAATATTCCGAAATCTCACTACCAGGCTGAGCAAAGTCAAAAGCTGTTCCACCGGATGAAGACTTGATATCCGGCGACGCGCCGTGGTCGAGGAGTGTTTTCGCAATAGTCTTGTGTCGGTTCGTCATAGCCCACATCAACGCGCTCCACTGGTTGCGATCCTGCTGGTCGACAAAAGCGCCCGCTAGGAGAAGTGCTGCGACCACGTCTTGATGACCCTGTACACCTGTCAGCTTGGTTCTTTACTCCTTGCGCCCGGGACCGTATTCCAATCCCTATCCCAGGGCGCAGATTGAGGGCTACCCACGAAACAACTAGCGTAGATCAAGGGCACAGTTCCTTCCTCATCTTTCATATTCACATCTACGAAGTTCCTGGCTGGCCCCTGGACTAATTTCCGAACGCGATCCACGTCGCCGTTGCTCGCGGCCATATTGAGGCTCTTTTGTAGGATGTCGCGTTTCTCCGCCACGGTCAGGTTTTCGTCAGCGGCGATGGTTTCTTCGTCGGCGCCTAGAGAGTCCACCTCCCGATGGGCAGCCTGTGCTGCCAGCATCTCCATCAGTCGAGCATCGCTGTCTTCAAGGTCGCGTCCGTACTGAGCCCGCAACTCGTGCTCGGAGTCGTGTGAGTGATCATCGAGGGCGAGACTGAAGGCCAAGGGTTTCGCAGCGACGGGGGTAGTAAGGTATTGAGACTGTCCTATTCCATAAGTGTCAGTTACGGAGTCAAAAGGTGGGCTGGTATGCAATGCCCAATATGCTGATCCGTGGGACGCCGGGGAAGAAACCACTCACCCTGCCAAGCGTCGTACATCTCGGTCTCCTGCTGAAAGACCGGCACCGAGCGGCGATCGTCCAGCGACTTGGGCAAGTCATCGGGGAGTTCCTGTTTGGGTTCTGAGGACGCGGGGCTGTGGGACTCAGGGTCAACGTCCTCTGAAGCCCCGCGCCGTGGCTCGGTCGTGTCCATCGTGGGCCTGTCGAGGGCACCGGGAGCGGGACATCAAAGGGTGAGGTGTAGAAAGTCCCGGAGGAGAGCAAGAGAAAACGTTAGGTGGATGGTAGTCGGGCGGGAATTGGGTCGGCGCTGAAAATGGAGGTCCGCTACGTAGATCAAACTCCCGTGATGCAGCTTTATGACGCACTTTTGGAACCCACTTTAGATGAAACTTTTGTTTACTTCATACTACACATTGAAGTAATTAATAACGATTGATTGATTGATTTCCCTTGGGTTTGGACATTCTCTTTCCATCTTATCTTACCGTGGGTTATCTACCAAGCTTGTATCACGTGCATAGAAGATAGTCGGAGAATGTCAAGTATGGACTAGGTTGCCAGTGTATTTCCAATCCTAACTCATGCAAATGCTCGCTTCAAACGCATATAAAAAATACAAACGAACGCAAATATATAGATACAGGATATATAGCAGAGTACACTGCCGCAAAAGGGGGTATGTAAATGTCCAATCATCAAAGGGGAAAAAAGAAAAGACGTAGCTCCGTAAGAGCGGGAAATCATTCAAGCCGCTTGCTTCGAGCTTGAATTTCATCCTCAGAAAGGGATGCAATCCACAGGCAGCGTTCGATAATACCTTGTACAGGCTCGAATCGATACTTCGTGCTGGCATCAATCAAACGGAGCAGGCTCTTGACAATGCGCGCAGCAGTGCGGTAACGTTCAAAGTTGACGAGCATTCCTCCTTCGCTGCTCTTGATTTGCGCTGGTTTCTGAGCGTTGTAGGTGAGGTCATGCACATATAGGCCAATGAAGGGAATGCAGCCTTCTTGCAGGTTGGCTGTCTCCATCTCAACCCGAAGGTCATTGAAGTTGCGCACCGGCTGGATCAAGGACTCCATGTCCTTGAACAGACGTCTGTCTTCCAAAGGGACTAGTTCCCATGTTCTTTGCAGCCGAGTGCAATCGGAGGAAGACAAGGCAATCGCGATTTGCAGCATCGTGGCGTAGTTGCACATACGACGGGCATGCACTGCTGTGTGGATGAATTTGACGAGAGTGCGCGCCCGCTCGTGAATGTCTTGAGTCAAAACAATCTCAGACACAACCCATTTCACCATAATGTTGAAGCGGCCAACGACAAGATCGATGCCTTTGCGTTCGTCTGAAGTGAGGAACTGGGCCCAGCTGACAACACACTGTGCACTACTGTTCCACTTCATCTCGACTAGGTCGCGCCAATCAACCTCACTCAGAGCAGCCACCTCAACCAATGTCAGTTGCTGAGCAAGAACTTGAGATTCACACGCAAGAACGAATGGAACATGGTCAGGACCACTCGTGTTGATTGGATTCGGGATTTGCCGCTGATTCTCGGAATTGGCAAGTACATTGCTCGAGAAGTTTGGCATATTTCTTGGCTGTATGCCGGCAGTCTCCACATCACGGCGTCTTGGAGAGGTATCGGGTGTAAGGGGTTTGTCCTGGAACAGCACCTTGTCCATTGGAGAGGCACAAGAACCAAAAGATCCAGTGTGCTGGATGGTCATGGGAGGAGACGGAGGATGCGCCAGAGGATGAGGCGGGATCTCGACAGTCGACGCGATCAGACTGCCAGTATCAGCAGATAGGTGGCCACCCATAGCCTCGCGTGAATCTATCATATCAACAGAAATAGCAGACAAGCGCTTGGGTGTATCTGGGCAGTCGTCCTGCGGCGAGGACTCCGGGACCGTTGCACCTCGAGGAATGCGCCGAATGCTGTCGGTCTCCCGCACAATTTGAATTGAAGGGTGTGAGGATGCCAGCTCGGACGTGTCTCGACTCGAGATGAGACTGAGAGGCGTGCCATAGCTATCAGCATTTGGTGCCCAGTTGATTGGCGGCCCTTTCATAGATTCATCCGTCAATCCACGCTCCAACAGAGGCGTGGAGTTGTAAGACTCTTCAGATTCCCCCACGGAGTCTGAATAGGGCCTGGGAGGTGCAAGACGGCCTCCCACGATGGAGTAAGCTGATTTGTCCGTCTGACGTCTCCGAGCAAGTGAATCCGGGGTCATATACTCTTTAGCCTTTTCGTATCCAACTCCAGCCACAGGAGTTTCACGGTTCGCAGCATATTGTCCACGAGAAGTAGCAGCCTGATCGTTTCCGGTCCCGCAACTCCTATCAACTGGCCACTTACCCTCAAGCTTCAACAAGGTGGATTCAATGCCTCCATCATCGTCGTCGGGAATCTGCGCGAAGCGAGCAAGAGCAGATTCAAAGGAGCGCCTGACTCGGTTCTGGTTCGGTTGAACAAGAGAATAGCGAGGGTTCGGAGGGATCAAGGTTGTCTGAGGTCTCGATGCCGCTTCCTCGGTCGTAGTCACAGTCTCCGCGAGAGATTCATTATATGAAGTAAATGAACGACGATCAGAGCCCGGTTCGAGCTCATCTGCATATTGAATCTGCCGCAGGTTCCCACCAGGGCGTCTGCGAAGTGCGGGGCCGGATGAGTGGGCCGGGGATTCTTGCATGATGCTTGATCCAACGGATTTCCCGCCCGAGCTTCCCATCGAAAGGCGGTGTCTTGACATTCCACTCTGGAAAGAGGCATACTTTCGGAGGCGGAGGGAAAGTGAGATTCTGTTTTGAGGAGTTGACTGGCCCTCGTTGGAGTATGATCTTCTTGGTGAAGCAGGATGAGGAGTGTGCAATGTAAGTGGTTGCTGGACGGCTGGTTCCGATCGTTGCTCATTGTAATAGATCGGAAGCAAATATCCATCTTTTCCTTGTGTTGAAGCATGGGAGAGAGGGCCTGAGAGAACATTTGTGTTAAAACTAGACTCAATTTGTTGATCCATGATCTTTGTCGTGGGTTCTGGCAATCCACCAGACATGGTAGGGTTATTAAAGTCAAACCCGGTATCATCGACGATCACGATAGAACCGCTGCCAGTGGTCAAGCCACTCTTGATCTTTGACTCGATGGTCCTGGATGGTTTGGGAGAAGAAGCATCTGCCACATTGAGAGGAGACTCGTCCAAATCTGCTTGGGGCCCGGAAGTCTCGACAGGCGGTTGAGTGTCTTGCCCCGTCTCGTTGGTCATAGCCTGGCGATAATGCTTCAAAGCCTCCTCGCAGAGGACGTCAATTCGTGCAGGCCGCTTAGGCACAGCAGCTAATTTCCTCTCGCGGTAATACTCAGATCCCAGGGCAACATTATTGGGCATGGCCGAAGTCTTGCCGCGGGAAGGTAACGTGATAGCATCCGAGGCATTGGCAATCCGAGCAGAAACACTATGACCACCATTCCTGGTGTGGAGAGCACGTTTTATCGACCCAATGATCGTCCTCACGCCCGAGTTGGATGTGGCTGGTTTAGGTCCTCCCTCCGGTGTACTTCGACGATCTGGATTCGAAGAGTTTGAGGGCGGTGCCAACGGAGGCGACTCGGGTGCCATCATCGTCATATAAGTCTCCGCGGGAGGGTAAAGCGCACCGCGAATAAAGCTGACAGGATCCAATATTTCCGGCATTCTAGCGCCTCCAGAACCAACTTCCATGCCAAACATGGGGACTCGGTCATCCCGCACTGAATCGGAGAAACTGCCGCTTCTTTTATGTCCGTGGCCGTGGTATGGGTGGCGCGAATGCATCGGCGACGTGGGGGGAGGTTCATGTGAAGAACTGGTTTTGGTGAGTCCCAGTTGAACTGGTCGCGGTCCCTTGCTCTTGAAATAAGGATTGGAATAACGTCTCGGGGATTTGGGAGGTAGAGAACAAGACAAGGCTAGCATGCTTTGATCGCTTTTAGTGGAGAAGGGTATACTCTGTACAGTCGTAGCCGAGTCGTTCCGGTCATGTTGCACGGCGTTGGGTAGACTGTCATGAAGATTCGCGTCTGCATCAGGAACCGTGCCAGCTAAGCTTTGCTGGTTGGTATCCTCTTTGGGAAGCTCGATTTGGGCGCTTCCAGGCTCAATGGGACGGTCCGGGTCGTTGCATGCGCGACACAGCTCAGGTGAGGTCCAGTAGACCGAACACTTGCCGTTCCAGCACCGCTTCAAATCTAGAAGAATTTTCAGATCGCTCATGCCACCGTTCTTCCGGGATTTCACATTCTGATATAAAACGTTGATCGTTTCACAAAAGTGGGTCCGGAGATCATAGTTCGTGATAAAGTCATCAACAAAGTAGTTCAAAATCCAGTGACGAAGAGCTGCAAAGGTTCTAATGCGAATGACACGACCATCATCCTGCAGTCTATTAATCGCCCATTGAAGCCGTGCAAGAAGCAGAGCAAGTAGATGGCTCGGTGAAAGATATGATCGAAAGGTGAGGAAGAAGTCCGACACCAGCTCGTAGTCCATGAAAGACTCGGAAGATATCTGCGCAACGATACGCGCGGGTGTAGCAGCACTGATATCTTTAGTGCTAGGAATATACCGCACAACAGCCTCACGATCCATATCTGATACCAAGTTTTCGTAAATAGACGGTTCCACCGGTCCTTTCAGCTCATATACCACAGAGTTCCTGGGGATTAGCGAAGCTCGACTAAGATCAATGGCCGCAGTCCCCGAAAACATGGACACCGCAAAAGATGGCCGGTGACGAGAGAAAGAGTCTCTGCAGTATGGGCTTGCAAGATGCGTCGGAAAAGGGTCCGCCATACTACCCAAGAAGCTCGAATTCCGAAAATTATCAGACATTGAATTTCGCGTGTAGACGGAACTGCGCAGGACTGCGCTACCCTCGGTGTTGAATCGTGGTGAGCCGAGCCGGTAATGGGGTATAGGGACCTCAAGAGCCGTGTTACCCGATTTCCCATCTGCAGATTTGGGTCGGTCCTCAGATCTATCAATCACAATGCGCAGCTCGCCACGTTTCCCCACCCCGGACACCGATTGTTGCTCAGATATTGTCGAGAATGAGTTAGCTCTATGATGGACATTGTGGGGAGATTCGGACTGTCTCGATTCGGAAACAACGGATTCGTAGACTTCGGGAGTATCGCGAGGGCGCAATTCTGAGAGCTGGGAGCTTGACCAGCGCGAAGGATCATCTCGGAGATGGGTTTGTTTTTGCGGCTGAGGACGGTCACTCATCACTTGATCAACGGAGGAGAAGGGGACTACTGGAGAGGCTTTCTGCGGCGGATTTGCAATCGGCCTGGCCGTGCGAGTGGTATGTCAGCTAGCTGCAGAGGGTGTACGACACAGAGTCACGTCGCAGAGAAAATATCTCGATCGTACCTGAGAAAGATCTTTCCATTCTGGCCGACACTTCCAACCGTAAAATGACCTGCTTTGCGCGGGGCCGGACGCGCCTCGAGTGGGCCGCGATGCGTCTGAGATCGTTGCAGTGGTGTTTTCCGTAACAATTCATGGCTGTCCTTGGCACGCACCCCCGTAGTTGCCGTTGCCGTCCTGTCTCGAGTTGCCTTCAATTCCAAATTGCGCTTGATTATATTGCCTCCTTGTGCTACCGTATTGGCGCGTCGCAGATTGGATGACGCATACCCTCCGCGAGTTCTATCCAAGGGCAGTTCACTGATGTGAACTTGAGGTTCAGAGCCATCTTTAGACTTGACAGAGGGTTCGACAGTCGCAGGAACGGGATCCATCGCGGGCGATCGCGAGAGCTACCGGGGGTAGCTCAGCGCGACGCAAAAGGCGATCAGCTCAAATCTGTTTCGATAGCTAGAAGATGATATGCAGCCCAAGATGGGATCGGAGATGACGATGGCACGACATGACCGCCTAGGGGGTAGAAGATAGAAAGAAGTTTGGGACTGTTGACTGTTTTTTGCCCAAGTGGAGTTGGGGAAGTACCGGCGCAGCGGAACCAAACCAAGCCAAACCACGATCGGCTCTTCCCCGTTTTCACCCCTTTATTTACTCATTACGTAGGGCCTTGCCTTTTCTCAACCCACCATCTCACCTCCCACAGCTGGGAACGAATCTGAACCTGCCCACTTTTCATGGAAATCCTGATTCCGAAGTGATAGGTCACTGTTCTGTCCCGCAGGACCCTATTAGCCCATTCGTCTCGGTGAAGCGAGAACTGGGGCGACGCTAACTCCCATTCTGGTTGGCTGATGCTACTGCCGTTATGCTAACTCCACTTAGTCCTCGGTACAGAGTGACGCGACGCTGGGAATGAGAGCTGATAGATGGAGCTCAGCTCTTGACATGTCCGGCGAGGGTCCATCAGGCCAACCCTCACTGGCCCTGGTGTCTTATGCATCAAAGTCCGAAACTCTACTATAGCATGTGTGTGTGTGACTCTTTTGTTCTTCTGGCTCAGCCCACTGTTCTCCTGCCAAGGCGTGTGTTTCCATTAATTACCTAGGTATTATTTAAAGGCTGGCAGCGCAACCCGCAATTTTGGCCTTTTCTTTCACATGACCCTCTCTCCACAGTAAATCTCGTCAGGATCTGCCCTTTTCTCCAGGTCTGGACCTGGTCTACGTTAAGAGACTGATCCAATCTCACTTTGAGGATCTGGTGTCCCGGCTCTCAGACCGCTTGTTCATGATCTGCGGAGGGGTTTTGCTTGCGACGGATCTCTTGTGCTTGCTTCGACTAACCTAACTTTAACAGGGATCGACGTGGGAGGGAGGTGCATCTAGCTCAGAAGAGGGGCCTTCCCCGGTCGTATCTGCAGATGATGCTTCGGATGGCAATGCTTGCAGATTGATAATTGAGGCTGTTCTATTGAATAGTCTACAGTTCCGGACACCGGACAATCCCGAGGTAAAGGGGGCGAAATTGATACATGCGCAAAGACTAAATAGTATGAAACATGGAGCCCTGAAAGCTACTACTATGATGAATGTGTGCAAATTACGACCTGCCATGGGCTACCAAAGCTCGCAAACTGGCTTCTTATCCGGGCACTGGAATGCTTCTTTGAACTCTCGAGAATTGGCCATGGTTTCCTGCACGCGACATTAGCGGGGCACTTGAAGAATTAAATTAGCACACGGCTGAACTCACAATGATCCGCGCCGATTTGGGCGCATGTGGGTCGGTGTAGATGGCCCTCTCAGCTGCCTCCTTGGTGGTCTTCCCACACCACCAGTTTCCGTATGAAATAAAGAATAGCTGCTCTTTGGTGAAGGCGTCTAGACCCGGGAGGTGAAGATCAGACTTGACATCGTCGTGCTTCTTCCATGCATGGAATGCAGCGGTCAGGCCACCAGCATCGGCAATGTTCTCACCGAGAGTCAGGCGTCCATTGACGTGGAGGACCTTATTTCCAGGACCCTCCACAGTGAAATCGGAGTACTGATCAATAAAGCACTGAGCGCGCTCCTCAAAGGCCTCAATAGTCTTGTCGTCCCACCAGTTTGTGTAGTTTCCGGTTTCGTCATAATGGCGGCCCGTGGAATCGAAAGCTGCTAGTTGTCAGTCTATCAGATTGGTTGCTGTGGGGAATGATCATACCGTGCGACAGCTCATGGCCACTGACTGCACCGAATGCACCATATGCTAGATATAGTGGTGCCGATGGTCCGTAGAATGTCGGTGGCTGCATAATGCCTGCAGGAAATACGATCTCATTTCCTGGGGGGTTGTAATAGGCATTGACTGTAGGCGCCGACATGTCCCATTCATCACGGTCCGTCGGCTTGCCCAGCTTGGACCACTCGTTCTCAAGATCAAACTTGTTTACGGCCACTTCGTTCTCGAAATAAGTATCTTCAGACACTGCCAAATCGCGGTAGTACTTCTCAATATCTGCCGGATCCATCAAATTGGGGCTCTTGGTAGGGTATCCAATTTTTTGAATAATGTTCCCCACCTTCTGGATGCCCAGCTTCCGGACATCCGGAGACATCCATTCAGTCTGATCCAGGGTGAATACAAACCGTTCCTTGATGTCTGAAACGATCTGGTCACCAAGTTTTTTGGACGCCTCGGAGAACGAGTCTAGGATGTAGAAACGACTCAAGCTCCAGCCAAGGCCTTCATCGAGAGTTTTGATGCACTTGCGCCAGCGCTCCTGGGTCGCCTGCGGGTCCTTGCCTTCTAGCGTGTTCTTGAATCGTTTCAAGGGAGCCACCTTGTCATCCTCGATCTTGTCGGCATACGCCTGAATGGCTTTCCACTGCAGGAAGAACGATACAGTCTCGCAGGATGTATCGTTCAAGATCTCAGATAGTGCCTTCATATATGAGGGTGAGCCAATAATCAGGCGATCGCCTTGGTAGTCATGGGGTGCCAGCTCAGCAAGAATCTCCGAAAACGAGATCTCGGGGATCATTGAATCGCTTTCCTTGATGCTACGCGGGTTGTAATACTTGGTGACATCTTCCTGAGTGGCCGTATCGGGCGTCACATTCGCGAGCTTCGTTTCAAAAGCCACAATGTTCTCGGCAATCTTGTCGCTTCCCGAGAATCCTTGAAGAACTTCCTTCATGACAGCAGTGTAGTGAGCTACCAGCTCCGTATTGTTGTAATACTCGATCGCTGGGAGACCAATCTCCCGAGGCGGTGTTACCATGATCACCACATTGTCTGGGTCTCGATCATCAGGCTAAAGCTGTCAGTAGAGCCCAATGCCAAGTGCAAGAATGCGGTAGCTTAACTTACAGTAACGCCGGAAGACACCAAGGCTTCAACACCGGACTTCATGAGATATAACAGTGCACTGGTAAGATGGTGCTGCGAGCCCGAAACAAGCCCACCTTTCGTAGGATAGATGCCCTGCAGCTTAGCCAACATCTCATCCAAGGGCTTGCTACCACGGCTTCTGACGGTTGATTCGTCCAAACATGCATCATAAGCCAATTTGAGCTTCTTGAAGTTTTCATCATCTGAAGAATCAGGAGCTTCCGATTGCTCCAGGATATGGCGGAGTTTAGTCTGAGAATTCTCCTCCATGATCGTGCCGGCAAAGATCGAGCCTTGGTCGGAGCGCATGTCATGCAGCTCACGCCACCCACCGCAGACATACTGGTCGAAATTGGTGCAAGGATTAATGTCTTCATAGTTGGGATCAAGGTTGTTAAGAATCTCAGATGCGGCGTGAATACATTGCGGCGAGTCACAGAAGGCAGGCGCTTGCGGGCGTGGAGTGCGTGGCTCGCCGGGCGTGTCTAATGGCAAGGCTCAAAGGTTAAAAGTGAAACTGCCAACAGATACTAATGGGGTGCTCACTATCAGAGTACTTGATCACGCCGTAGCTCAGCATGCCGATCGAGCCAATCGTGGCAGCGACCTTCACAAGGTTCCACAGGGGGTGGGTTCTCCGACACAGACCTCGCCTTCTCAAAGGGACAGATGGACGAGAATTTTCGACAATGAAGCCATTCTCAGTGTCTATGAGAGCTTGCTTCTCGTCGATCTCAGCTGCCCTCATGTAGACTAACTCCGGGTTGTTGTCACTAGAGAGCTTTAGTATGCCATGTTCGGGAGTAGGACTCCGCTGATAAGACGGACCTTGGAAATGAGGGTGCCATATTGCTTCGGGACGTATTGGCGGCCAATTACGATACAATCGTTGTTTAGGCCCCAGGGTGATGTGAGGATGAGGAGGGAGCTTCTCCGCATCCCCTCACGGAGCCTAAGTGGGGGCCATCATCTTGTGTCACACGATCTCGTCATGTGACTGTCTACAACAGCAAACATTATTCTCTTGCTAACATGCGATGTTCAATTATTTGTCAAATTGATCCAAGGAGATTACGGTGAATTTGATCAGGGAGCTGGTCTTTGCGACTTTCTCCTCGCAAAGAAAATGATCGTCGAACAGTAGATGATGCCAAAGACTCCAGCAACCACACTGTACGCAATGACTGCCCCGGTCGGAGCAATTGAGGTACCGATTCCAGTGAGTCGAAAACCAAGGCCACCGTTGATGATGCCGAGGATAATCATACAACGGCCAAACCACTGGTGCAAATGGCCAAACAAGCCCTTCTTGCCTGTTTGGGCAAAGTACCGGTGTTGAATGAAGCCCATAGCAGGCTGGAAAAGGATAAGAGATGGAATAACCACCATGCCAATGATGGGATGATAGCTCGATATCAAACTCAAATCTCTTGCCATTGAAATTCCAAGACCAAGGCCAGCGATTGCTAAAGCAAGAGTAAAGAGTTGTAAGAAAGCATGGATCCACACTGTTGTAGAAGATGGGAAAATGCGAAGTACAAGCGCAAATGAAGGGAAGAGTATAACAAACACAATGATCATGACAGCTGCGTGGGCGATTCGTTTCCTATGCACAGCCGGAGAATTGTCAGATGAGAGAGCTTGGCCTGAACTAGTTGTCGAGACCGATGAGGTCAAGAACGGGTTGTCAGATGTGCCACCGGCTGCTTTCTGGAGATTGAGAGCTGCAATGCCAGAGGCATCATGAATGGTGATTGTCTCTGATAGACTGCTGCTCTTGAGTGGATTTCCATATTTGAAAGCCCAAACCCAAGGACTAGCCGAGCTGGTTGTATCTTCATGGCCCCCAGACCAGGTGATGCAGCTATCGCACCGGACATTTGCAGTAATAGTTCCATTACTGATTCCACTGCCCTCTAATAGCGAGATAGAGGCTTGTGGGTTATGTAGTGGCTCGACATGTTCCACGCCTAGCCGAGGAGAAACGGTAACATTCTTGTTGTCAGCAGATGCATAGACAACAAAGATATTTGCTCCTTGCATCCGGGAGCCTTGACCCCATGCAAACCATTGAAGGCTGCGAGTTGATTTCAATTGGAAGAAAATCGGGCCTTTGCCAGAGGTGGCTGTTTCGTTCGGAATGTTAACGGCGTATGTTATCTCATTTTGACCTGCGGGTGTAAAGGTCTGCAATTGGGCCATTGTAAAGGCTACTAATGAGGGAAACCACCACAAAAAGAAAATATATTGCATCTTGATGGTCTGGTGTTATGGTAGACGGTCAAAAACGAGATAGCAGTGGTAGAAAATACTGTGCGTACTGTGAATTCGAGATGCCAAGCGAGGGAAAGATGATACATATTTCTATATGATGGTTGCTTGGTCACCGGCGACCGTGGCGATATCTCATTATACCGGTCATTTCCACGAGTACAGAGACCATTATCTCTTAATGGATGGAGGGGAAAATGCCCTTTTTGGGTACGTCCCCATAAGTTCCGAGGCTTCCTGAGTTGAAGCCAGTGATGATGCCTGAGCTCAAACCACGTGGCGCAAGCACGTTTTTCTCAGTGGTTCATATAACGCAAAGAAGTCACATTGCCAACAGCAATGCCTCAAAGATGGTCTAGAATTTTTCCCCAAAAATACGTCATGTGACGTGAGGCGGCGGGGGGAATACGAGTAACACGAACCGCATTGCCTATTTATTCCCAGAGGCCATGGAAACTCAAACTACAGCAACTGAATTTGGCATCTGGTGTTCAATGGCAATCCATGGTTATGTCAAACTCTCCCCGGCATTCGCCCCATTCGTTAGCTCCTTAACATAGCAAATGAACTTGGGTGCAGGGCTAGCTAGCCATGTCTGATAAAAGACCTACGATCGTCTAGGAGGTTTTCAGAAATGAAACAAAGACATTTTTCATCCTGTTCATCAGCAGAATGGCAAGAATATTCCAGCTTGTCCTGTCCTTCTTTTGGCTTCAGGTGATTAGTGCGCAGTACGGCGGAGGGCAAAGCACTACCACGACTGCAGAGCCATCCTCGACTTCCGAGTCATCAGCAACATCCTCTCAATCCAGCTCAGGATCAGTCCAGTCTGTTGATGTGGGCGAAGATGGTTTCACTTTTGATCCAGATTCTCTCACAGTTTCCGCAGGCGATAAAGTCGAGTTTCATTTCTACCCGGGAAATCATTCGGTGGCTCAGTCGTCCTTTGCCAAACCTTGTCAACCTTTGAGCGATTCAAGTATATTCAGTGGATTTGTGGCGCCTGCAAGTGGTGAATCGGTAGGACGTGCAAACTTCGATCCAAGTGGAATCGTACTGACTAAGTCCTCAACTTGAATATAGAAAATGGTCTTCACTCTGACGGTCAACAACACGGATCCTATCTGGCTATACTGTGCTCAAATTGGACACTGTCAGGCTGGCATGGTTGCAGTGATAAATCCGCCGTGAGTACACCGATTTCCTGAAATTCACGGATCCATCCACATTGACCACAACCCTCCTTTTCAGTTCCAGCGGTCACGACACTCTCGCTGCATTCAAAGCGGCGGCAGCCGGAGTAAGCGCAAGCTCTGAGCCTGCTAATGCCCAAGGCGGGGTTTTAGGAGCACCAGGTAGTGATTCCGCTTCCACAAGCAGCGGATCTGCTAGCAGCTCTAGCGCAGGGGGGAAGTCTTCGAGCAGTTCAAGCCCAAGCACTTCTAGCTCGGAGACTTCCAGCTCAAGCAGCTCTAGCCCAACTACATCCAGCACTAGCTCTTCCACCCTTGCGACATCCACTTCTAGCTCAACCACTTCCAGCTCAGCCAGCACATCTATGGGAAGTTCTTCTTCAAGTGATGCAAACGCTCTACATGTCAATGACGTGAGTATTATTTTAGTTTTCTCTATTGCAGTAGCTATGTTCATGTATTAGGCCTATATTCAGATTTGTTCATTTCAAGGAGAGTGAAATGGTTGGAGATGGTGGGGACAATGTGCTTTTTAAAAGTGACTTTCAATGAACTGAATGATTTGGATACTATCCGTATTACATTCACCGATGGCCTTCTATCGCATTTAAAAGTCCACGCCTTTTGAAATCCCACGTTTATCAGGGTTTTCAAATCTTCAAATGTGTGTAGGGATAACTATACCCATGGATGTACAATTGGTCCTTGGCTTAATTCTAGAATATATATATATGTTATGTAGGTAAGGTAAAATTTACTGACCCGTACAATAGACATGGATGTTTCACTTTGCTCACAAATTATGAATAAACCTTAGTTGCTAGGCATCTGTCTAGGTAATGCTCACGAAAGTGCATGCAGGCCCCCGCCTCAATGAAGGGATATGTTGAGGGACAGGCATGGATGACTAGGCTTACCACCAACATGTATCTTGCACTAACGTTAGCCCATTTACATATATTCAATGGTCAATAAGCTTGATCTGAGATGATTGAAGCCCAGTCAAAAAGTGAGCATTCCTTTCCCGCTAGTATGGCGCAACGGCTACTAGGCAGAGAGGCGGGAAAACAGCACTAAAACTTACAAAAGGAGCGGGGAAGACGGGGTATGGGACAATTAAGACGGCTTCTCCGCAGCCGCAATCTATATTCGGCGTGGACGAGAAGGAATGGTGCGATAACTAGGTCGGATCCTTCATGGAGGTTGACGCTAGAAAGAAAGGACTGGAGCGAGTGTTTCAATCTATCGCAGAAATCACTCCCGCCAAATCTCGATTCTCACCCGACCTATATTCTATCTGACACACGCCACGCACAGCATATACTGTTCTAAAGATACTAGGTGTAAGATCCATTGGCATAGTAAGCACCCCTACCAGCTAAAACCTACTAAATATATTCGCGTCTACTCAACAGATAGTGCTCCGAGGCGGGTATACCCCTGTCAGACGGATAGAAACGTGCGAATCAGAAGATGTCGTATGAGCGGGGATGGCTTTGAAGCGGTTATAGGATTGTTCGAGGAACAAGTTCGCAGAATCCCTGGCAGAAGCTCGGATAATTCGTAAATACTCCTCTCTCTCGCAGAGAGGCGTAGTATTTCAAAAACTTTGATATGCGAACCTCAGTTACCTGTTCCCAATAATGAATAAAAGTGAGCCTAATTCCTAATAAGAGCATGGCCTCATGCACCAAGCCACATCCAAAGTCAATTATAGTTGATTCGTGACAGTGCAGATGCACCGGTCGCTTAGACAACCTGATGAGCTGAAGATAGAACATTGGGGATCGCATGGCCCGAGATACAGTCTCAACTTTGGAAGAAGTCTGTAAGATTAAATTCTCCGAAATGCTGCAACTAGACCAGGCGGGCCAGGAACCCAAATTGGTATCTCCTCTCCGGAAGCAAATGCCAAACACCCGATGGCCCCTGAAGGTCAGGATCTGCTGTCAAATGTTGATCGACAACGGTTAATTTGCTAGGTTCCACTGGTCGACGTTTCTGGACCGTCTGCCGTGGGGTCTTTCCCTGATCGTCAGCTAGGGCCAAAGCTTTCCGAGGCGAGGTTCAATGTCCTTCTCCTTGTGGAAGGATGCCCATTTAGAAGCTCTGAAGACCGCCAACTCCGCCACCCCTGGCAGCCAGGTGGCGGTAAACTTTAGGTTGCCAAACTCTAAAGGCCCGTTCTGCACATTAATTGACATTGGTAGCTCTGGAAGCCGCAATCAAGGATGATCGCCGCTGACAGAGATTGGGCTGGCCCATGTGGCTCCCCCGATTCCCCAAAAAATCAGTTCGGAGGGCTCGACCGTAGGAGTCGAGTCGAGGCTTGTCCGCGTACCTCTTAACAGCACCGAAACGCTATCGATCGATCAGGCAAGACTCGTCGTCACTTTGGAACAGCAATGGACTAGGCTCGACCGGATATCTGCCAAGCGGGACTCCATCGTCCAGATATGTCTTCATCGCCGAAAGCCTTAATCCACTCCACCCGTTTTTGAGTCCTGAGAACAAGTCCCGCGATCGGACATGTGCTATTTGGGTGGCCTGAACGTAGATCTTGGGAGGTCCGAGGTACCTCCCCATGTCATCCGGGGACGCCGATGGATCCTATGCCAAGGGCGACTACTGGGTACTCCGAACCATGTGGACGCTTAAGCCACGTTCGTGCCCGGAGATAATTCGCTTCTAGATCGGGAGTCTGCAGTCGATCTGAGCCGTGTCTCCTATGATAGGGGAATCGGACTCCACCCCGGCATGCGAAAGGATGACCCCCTGCCTTAGTTCGCACAACGGCGTGAGAAGAGGAGAAATGTGAAACCGGCGAGGGAGAACCGAACGGACCCTCGATAGGTCTGGAGAACGGTAATGCAGGCATTGTGGAGTGCAGATTTATCTAGGTAGCGAACAAAGAGGATATATCCTCGTGTCGTGACCTGGACTATTTCATTTTGAGACTAAGCTCGTGCAGTGTACGAGTCAGAAGTCCCAGGTTGGCGAGCACGGGCTCCATTTTACCGGACACGGGTTGCGGTGGAGTTGCTTTGACAAGCTCCACCGCCGAACTGGTGAGGGTTCTTTCCCTTTTTCCTGGTTCGAAGTTGTCAAATCGGGTCCTAGAGCGACCCCGGCGTCAGTAAGCGAAATGGCGCTACTAGTGAAATCAAAGTTTGTTAATTGGAGCGCATCTTTATGGAGTTGGAGGAATGGGTTGACCTTCTGTGCAGCAGAACCTACAGTAGCTTAGAAGCAAGATCGGTACTTTGGACGAACAAGGGGCAGTATTCGGGCAACGGAATCCAACGTTTCAGAAATTTCTTTGCATTCCATTCAATTCCAGACAAGGCGGTGATCGCCGTCGTGCATAGCGCTTGGCGAAGAACCATCGAAGAGTCCACTCCTCTCCACCTCTCCACCTGTCCACCTGGCCAGCTGTCTATCCTGTCTGGGTACACTGTGCTCCGTACGTCGATTACGGTATACGCAGTACGAAGTACGGAGTGGTAGTATCAGTATCTGCAACATCTTCAAGTACAATCTCAGGGGGTGCCCAAATCATAACTCCTATGCATAATGCTTGTCATTGACCCCTAGCAGGGCAGCCTCGCGAGATCAATAGTGTCCAATAATGAATTGGTAAGGCTCAGGTCCTCAGATTCTCAGCCCCTGCCCGCTATTCAAATAGTCTTTTTGGGGTCATGGTTCTGGAAGCGTGCGGGCATCCATGCCATCCCTTTCTCGCGTGGTTGCAGAAACAAAATCGCATCTGCAGATAGTATGCCTCAAGGCGATAGACACGTAACCGATTACAGCATGAATCCCGGTCAGTGATCATTGTATTATTCGGGCAAATCGGACAGGAGGATTTGGCCCCATCCGGTGGACCCTGCTCTACTGTGAGGAAAGGGGAAAAAAGGAAATAAAATATTGAATAACTAGGGAGATAGGGAAAATAGGAAAGACCAGGAAAAAAATAGAGAATGAGGAAATTACAGAACTAGAAAGTTCAAGAAACGAAATACAGAATCCAGGGAAAACAGAACGAAGGAAAGACGGCAAACAGTCAGAACAAAAGGCCATAGTCACATTCCGTTGTGCTCGGAATTCCTTTCTACCTACTGGTCAACCGTCACTAAGATTAAGTGCCTGCGAACCGCACTTGCTCTCCCCGCTTGTGGGCTTCTTGTGGGACGGCAGAGATATACTGCGCTGACTCTGCTTCCTTTCCTCCCTCCTCCACCTCTCCGCTTTCGCGATTTCTTCTCGCGAGTGGTCTTGACCTGGCGGTCCCTTTCGTTCCTTCTATCCGCCGGTTCTGGAAATTCCGTCTTTACGATTCCTCCACCTCCCAAGCCTTTGCCGCCCGCCCCCCGCGAAAGTCGGTACTTAACTTCACCGCGCGCTACCCGGCTGTCACCGGACTTCCCCCTCGAATCCCTTCGAATCGCCGAGCGACAAACTCGACGTCGCACCCACCACGTTACGGACTCGGCTTTTGTCTCGGAGGATAAATTGGCCCAATTGGAAACCCGGCGGCACCATTCATAACGGAACGTGGCAGTTCCTGGGTGTGGGGAAATAATCATTTCAAACCCCCGACGTGCTTAGAACAAGCGCCGGCAGACGTTCATTCGTTGCGTGGGTCGTTTCAAAGTAGAGAAGAGTCTTTTGTATAGGTAGGTCAACATTCACCACCTTTTGGTTGTCTGGCGGTGCCACAGCCTCAAGTCCAGGCGAATCATTGTCTGTCTCTGATTCTGAATTGGGGGGAACGCGCAAGTGGCGTAGCACCATCGCATCCCTGATTCAGATCGAGTCGGCACTGGCACCGTCATGTCGCGACTGAAATCACAGCGCCGAGATCCGTTCCCATCACTAACGACTCGCGATTGTCTCCAGATATACCGACGTGTTCCTGAATCATGGGTTGCATCGCGTCGAAGCCCGCAGAGGCGGACAAGGACGCTCTCCAGCAAAATGCCCGCATAGACCGAGGGATCAAGAATGACAAGAAGACAATGGATCGGACAATTAAGATCTTGCTATTGGGTACGTGATGCTTCGCGATACCAGTCCCATTTGGCATGGTTCCCGTCATGTATTATATGCTAACATGATACCAGGTGCCGGAGAGTCGGGCAAGTCAACGATCATCAAGCAAATGCGCATTATTCACAGCCGAGGTTTCCCCGAGGAAGAGCGCCATACAACACGGGCCGTCATTTATTCAAACATTGTCATTGCCTTCAAGGTATTGTTGGATATTATGAACGCTGAAAGCATTGATTTTGAGCATGAAGAGACAAGAGTATATTCCCCTTGATATGTTCTAGTTATTCGATCTGCATGCTGACCGTTTATTTCAAGTCGCTTGCGGAATTATTAGACAACACGGACCCGGATGTGGGCTCAGATGAGGCCTTCTCTGACTTGAAGGTTCGGGACGCGATGAGGGATATGTGGCTTGATGCCGGCGTGCAAAAGGCCGTTGCGCGTGGTCACGAATTCGCCCTACATGATAATTTGGTATAGTAAGTTTACCTTGCCAGTCACGCCTATCGAATAAATCCCGTTCTGACAATGCGCTACAGCTTCCACGAGTCTTTGGACCGCATTTTCAAGCCCGGTTGGCTTCCCGATAACCAGGACATGTTGCAAGCACGACTTCGCACTACGGGTATTACTGAAACTTTGTTCGAGCTCGGGCAAATGAACTTCCGTATGATGGATGTTGGTGGACAACGTTCAGAACGGAAGAAGTGGATTCATTGCTTCGAGGGTGTTCAATGTCTGCTATTTATGGTCGCCTTGTCTGGATACGACCAATGTCTGGTTGAAGACCAGAACGCGGTAAGTTCACAATTACAGTCACCATTTGCAGGCCACCGTCGCTCATTCACATCGCAGAACCAAATGCATGAAGCCATGATGTTGTTTGAATCTCTAGTCAACGGCGAATGGTTCAAGCGGAAACCCATCATTCTCTTCCTCAACAAGATCGATCTTTTCAAAGGAAAACTCGCCATTTCCAACATCTCCAAGCATTTCCCCGATTACACAGGCTCCAGCACAGACTTTGATGCTGCCGCACGGTACTTCTCCGATCGTTTCCGCGGTATCAACCGAATCCCAGATCGCGAGATCTACATTCATTACACGAACGCCACAGACACCACATTGCTGCGGGCGACCATGGATTCAGTCCAGGATATGATTATCCAGAAGAATCTCCATACCCTCATACTATAAGGCAGCGGCATTCAGAAATACCGGTGGCCTTTTTGATGAACGTCATTGTTGCCACGAAGTTGATTTTCGTTTCTTGTCGAGCTCTCTAGCCATTTCCTCTGTTGCATTCCTCGGCGGCTCCATTCTCCTTCTGTCTTATACATTACCGCCAGAACTCTTCGCTCTGTTTTGTTTCCAATCTCTCATTTTCCTTTACGAGGCGTCTTGATATAAAGGAGGAGTCGGCTCTCTGGCCCATCCTTGGGTCTGTTACGTTGCATCCAAAAGCCCGTTCGATTTTGCCAACTAATGCCCCGCTTCTGTTTCAGCGAAGTTGTCCTTCTCTCTTTTTTTTTCTTTCTTATTGATTTGCAGGATGATACCACTTGTTTTTGTCGCTGCAGATGTGTGATACCTGAGGACTGTTCCCTGTATTATCACTATTCTTTGTTTTCCTCATAAATGAACTCAATAAGCTCTCTTTAGTACACTACCAAAGCCCATTAGCAGTAAACAGTCATTGTGTCGAGACTCAATGACCTATCTCCAGTTGTTTCACAAGTTGCTGAAAGTGACACCTGAGGCACAAGATTACATAATATTCGCATGATCAGAGGCGCCGAGTTCCGGCCCGACGATTTCGCCTCCGATTCAGACTTATCTCCAACTCTTCCCAGTTGCTGGGTCCTACGTCCACCATGTTGTCAACATCGTTACGCCGGGCCGCATGGGCGCCTCTGTCCGGCATACCTCGTTCCGCCCAGAATGTTTCTTCTACCGGTCTGCTCAGTGCGACCAGCCATGTGCAACAGCGTCGGTACTCCTCATCTTCTTCCAAACCTCCGGTCCCGCCCAGCGATGGCTCTCGTCGCATGGATACCTCGACTCCGGCCAAGGGTGTGAACTCTTCCGGCGAGAAGGGCAAGGCGGCCCGCCGCCGCGGCAAGGATAACAGTGCCCGCAACGGATCCAAGGCTAGCCAACAGCATGCGGCATTTTCGAAGCTTCCCAGTGTCCCCTCGACACAGCACCGACAGCCGCATGGTGAGTGTCTCAGTCCTAGATTTCCTTTACCCTACATTGTATATCCCATTCAAGATTATTTGCTAACATGCTTTGTTATCAAGACGTTCATGTCGCTTCATTCTTCTCCATTCACCGCCCGATCTCCGTGACCACCACGGTTCCCCCGACCTCATCCACCGAAGCCTTCGATGCGATCTTCTCGTCAAAGAAGTTCCTTAAGAACGAGCCCGAAGATGTCATCTTCACCCTGTCCTCCACTGCCCAGAACATGGAGTCTATGGCCAATGGCATGTCGGAGCCCGAGGACCAGTTCGGCCAACTCCAGCGGAGCTTCACGAGCGATCCTAACGGTGAGCTCCAGATGTTCGATGGCACCGAGTCCAACATGTCTGTGGAAGACTATGTCCGTCGCCTGCGTCCCTTCCACCCTCCTCCCCCTCCGATTCCCATGGACATGAACTCCTCCGAAGCCATGGAGTCCGAAGCCCAGAACCAGCACGAGACTTCAACCTACTCCACCGTGCTGACAATTCGGGAAACTTGCAATTCCGATGGTCGCAAGACTTACGAGGCCTCCACTGGTCCCTTTGTCCGTGACCCCGAGCACGGCATTACCATCGACGCACCTGGCTCCACTTCCGGCATGACCTACGTCGAGCGCCGTCGCCACAACCAAACCATCCACGCCATTAGCACCAAGCGCCGCCGCAAGGTCAAGATGAAGAAGCACAAGTTCAAGAAGCTGATGCGGAGAACGCGTACTCTTAGACGAAAACTCGACAAGGCCTAGACTGGTCTTTCATTTTTCATTCTGCTTTTCTCGTTCGGTTCATCGGATGCATCTTTGGCCCACGTCTTTGCATCGTCTTGGGTTGAGGCTTAGTGTTGTCTGGCTTTCAGGGCATATATCCTACTTCTTATCGTACATTGCGAATTTTTTTTCCCTCCCTCCGTCTCCTCTTCCTTTGCTCTCTTACATTACACTAAATATCCAATCGCTGCCATGTCCTTGAGACGCTTCTGTGGTTACTGAGCTGTTTCTAATGTGCGGCTTTCACGGCCCTCATACATTGCGGACTACCCAATAGATTCTGCTCTTTTGATTTTCAGTTCAACTCTGTTATACTGTGCATGGGTAGATCTAAAAAAAAAAAAACTAAAAACTTTGATTCAAAGACATTTCACGTCTTAAGTAGAACTACTGGGAGACTCTAAAATCATGCATATCATACGCATGCATGCATGCACGTGCACCTACACCCAGGTCTTTGCCGGCAGAAATATGAAATGAACATATCGAGATTCTTATATCAGACCGAATACAAAGACCCGGCAAACCAAAAGAAAGGGACAACAAAGAGCCATAACCGAGAAAATAAAAAGGGTGTGTAAAATCCACAGCTTAGCCAGACGGACAAGAACCAAGTTCAGGGCCCGGCTCAGCGAGACCCATATAAAGTACAGTATCCAGCGCGCGTTCATGCAATTGTAAGCCAGTCCAATATCTACCACACCTGACCACCCCTGAGGAAGGGTTTCCTAGTTCTAAATACCACCAAAAAAGAAGTTCTTGTCAAAATGAAATTATCATTGCCAAAATCATTCTTTCCTTGCACCGCTTTCCTCGTTGCCCGACATAATGCGAGGGAATTCGTGAGTTGTTATGACGGGGTCGGAGGGTCGAGAATCACACGTCGGAAACCGGTCTGAGCTAGATACCTTGAAGAGGTAGCTAGGTTCAGAATTCGGATTCCAGGTGAGACGAGAAGATGCTCGTTTAGGTGCAGGAGGCTTTCGAGCGGGAGTTCATGAGAAGAGCGACAATCAACCCGTAAAGACCTGTGAGAGAATGATTCGTTAGAATGGGAGGGGGCTGAATTGGACCAGAAAGCGACAAGACTTACCCAAGACTTCAGCGAAAATAAGAATCAAAATCATTCCGACGTAGAGGCGGGGTTGCTGAGCAGTTCCACGCACACCGGCGTCACCAACGATACCAATAGCAAAACTGTAGAAGATATCAATTAGTCATGAGAAGGCTTGATAGGTTGTTCAGATCAACCGAGTTGGAACTTACCCAGCGGCCAGACCAGCCAGACCGACAGAGAGGCCAGCACCCAGCTGGATGAAACCAGTGTACAGAGGAAGCTGCTGGGTGAGGTCGTTGGCGACCAGGACGGACACGACGAGACCGTAGATACCAATGATACCAGCCATGACAATGGGGACAATGTCTGAAGTTTCAGTCAGCGAAATGACAATGCAGGCGACATGGTCCAAGGGATGTGTCTTGAGAAATTGATATCGAAAAAATGGGGCTCGACGTACTCTTGACGATCAGGTCGGGACGGAGGACAGCCATGCTGCACACTCCAACACCGGCCTTAGCGGTACCATAGGCGGCACCGAAGCAAGTGAAGACGATAGCGGACGTGCAGCCCAGCGCACCGAAGAAGGGCTAGAAGAATGGCATCAGTATTGTTGATAGGCTAGCTTGACGTAGGTGATTGAAGATGTGGAGGGGATGGGGGGAACACGGAGACGTGAACGGGTTGGACTCGGGGAATCTAGGAAGTTGGACTAACCGCATAGACGGGGCTATTGAAGTGTTGAGTTAGCAGTGATTCATCAATGGTTAGAAGCCTTCGGGCAGCGAGCCAGCGGACCGGCGATCCATAGCTGTCAAGCACCCAGGGGGCTGATGGAGGCTGCATGGCGACTTACCAAAGCTCAGTGGCCATTTTGAAGATATGGGAGCTCGGTGAGCTTCTCTAGTAGAGTATTGAGCTTAAAATAGATGGTAGGAGACCCGAGATGTGCAGGCTCAAGCCGTGGATGAGGAGGTTGCGGTAATCGGGAGGATGGAGAGTCCTACGAGGTCAGAGGCCACCACGCTGGTCTCGGGTCACGTGAAATTGTCTTGGCACGGTATATGCTCCACATTGATCTTTGGTTGTATACAATGGAATTTCACCTTCATCGAGGTTTTCTTTTCCCTTCTATCTTACAAAAGTCCAAGGCTCGTTATTGTACAGGGTTCACCGTCACTCGGCATCCCGGTATATCCAGCTTGGTGCAGGATCTAGATGTCTCTGCTCCGTCCACAACTGGCTGGGAGTACGTGATTGCCTTCTCAGACAATGCTCCGAACAAACTTGGCACAACGACAAGGTCTTCTTTGTTCTCGACCAAAGATTCAGTATCCACCTCGTCAGCATTGGCAACAACACCAAAGCGATAGGTGACAGATGCTTGCGCATCAGTGTTGCTCGTAACCTCGTCTTGTGAATGTTTCGGTTCTAACCCGACAAAGAACTCGATAAAATCGCCTTCCGTGGCGACTTGCGACAAAAGAGAGAGATCTTCACCAATCATCCCATTGGCAAGGAATGACGGCATATCCATAGGCGCATCTGCACTGGGATTGAAGATTTGATCCAGTGTAACGAGCCCATTAGGACGAGCCATCCCAGGGAAGCTAAACTCTGGGTCCAGCGAAAGGAGGCCCTGTTTCTTTCCCCATCCGCCTCCACCGCTCATGACACGGTGCAGCTTGCCACCCTTGCGCAAGGACTGAGTGACTCGATCTTGTGTGGAAGTGAACTCCCGATCGGCAATAACCAGGTCGGGCTTCTCAATCAAGGCCCAGACAGAGACTCTTTGATCCAAGATATTATGCTCTTTAATATAGCGGGGAAGCGCCATTTCCAGTTCGGTGGAAGCCGGCATTGGCTCGACCGAGGTTGGGTCTGTCGACTTTGACACTTGGCGCAGGATATTTCCCATGCCGGTAATAACGCGCCTACGCTCACCCACAGGGTCAAGTGGAATAGTCAGGCTGGGGTTCGTAGCAGAAGAGACGGAGGTAAGAGAGCAACTTGTGAGGTTCACCGCTTTGCTCATGATGTATGCGCCGACATCATCATTATAAAACCAGCGCATGCCCATGAGCGTAGATTCTTTCCCATTGATAAAAACCGTGTTTGCAAGGCGTATACCAACTTCATGCGCGGTTCCATTCGAAGTATTGGTGTCCTGGATGGAAATAACAAGGTCGGACTCTTCGCCTGCCGGGCCTCCAATGCGCCGAGCAGCCGCTGCTTTCCCTCGAACATTCTCTCGTTGAACTGTCAAAAGTGACAGACCCTCGGATTGTGACGATTCGAACTCAGAGTCACCACTGTCTCCAGTGATAGATCGTCCAGAATGCGTCGAGTTCGGAAGTTTATCAATGACTGCTGCGATGGCGTAGAGCGGCATGGACTTTGGAAGATCGGGATATAATCGGCCTATCAAGGATCCAAGGAACGGATTGGAAGTGTCGATCCAGTGGGCAAAGCTGGGGGTGACAAGCAGGAGGGGAACGGAATCCGAGGCGACATTGACGGACGATTTGGAGGGAAGACTTGACAAGATATCATCAGCGTTCTTTGGCTGCCGTTAGTATGTGTCTGGTCACAGCGAAGGTATCAAAGGCTCACAATAGCCTGCGGCGTCCTAGTAAGCCATGTGTAGGCAAATGGCGAGAAGTCCTTGCCCGAAGTCTTGCGATTTGTCTCCGTCGCAAACCATTTGTTTGCGCATCTCGAGCTCGGAGCTCGATTTGAGCTGCGCAGTAGGCGGATCGGTGCGGTTTGATGGGAGATCCTCATGGCCATAGAATCGAGGCCGAACCTGGAAATCGTTGACATCAGGACATCGACTCCAGACGCGGAATGTCAAGCAGAACAAAAGTTGGAGCTGTGGGGAGTGACCAGTTAGATGCGCGACATTTAGAGGAATAAGACATGTAATTTAATGTATAGTTTACAATACGTCGCATAAATCTGATGAAATTAATGTTCCAATTACTGGTGAGCTAGCCGTATCTGGTAAGCGCCCCCGCGGACATCCCATAGGATCCGCGGACTTCGTCGCATCTCACCTTGCTGTATTCTGTTAGCCTTTCAGACTAGGACAGCAAATTCCATTTTATTGGTCTTTAGCAGGCTTAAGGTTTCAATAAAAAAGCCAGTCCCTCTGGAATTTAAAAGAAACAATCCCCGCGGAGCTCCGCGGGCTGGGATCTGCATAGCAGCAGTTGGATCGATCCAGCACTACATGCTCGATCATGAAACGTGATAATCAAGGCAACCCGATCCAAGTGACTCACCGATGGAATCGACCACCTCTATCTTGTTTACATTGTCGTGAAAAGAAGCGCCGGTGTGATCGTGCTCAGCCATGCTCGAACTGCGTGCTGCGAGATATTGCATGCAACTACGCAGGGCAGAGCGCAGGGGCTCTAGGGCCACAAGATGTTTCACAAGTCCCAGCTGGAGCGCATCCTGAAAACCCAGCGGAATTTGATAAGCAGTAAGTAATTGATATTCTAATCATGAATTCATGAAGACCCCCTTTCCCCCTTGCTAACAATTCAAAGCAATGTTGAGGAGCTTCTTCAGCGTATTCGCCGGTTGGAAGAAGGAATGACTGAAAAACAAGTCTTGCCTCCAAAGGCCGATGTAGAACGTCAGGGGGTATTTACAAATTCTATACACAGTTCAGAGGTAGTACGCATATCCATTGCAAGACATCTAATAGATCTAATTGTTGATCGTTGCATAGGCTTTTGGCTCTCACTATGTTATGCCATTCAATTCACATCCCCCATCCGACTCAAACCCCTATGAGCACACTCAGTACCCAAGCCTCATCGATATGACTCGCAAGCTTCCTCCACTACGACAAGCAAAACACCTGTTCGATAATTTTGCGAAAGTATTGCAGCCGACTTTTGGCGTTCTTCATATTCCGTCTACTCGTATCCTGATGGATCGCACATATCAGTGCTTTCTCGAGGGTGAAGAGCCACCGGCTGCAGACTTGATGTTGCTTTTCGCCGTATTTGCCGGGGCTGCGCTTGTTTGGACGCCTCAGCTCCTGGAGAAGCTGAACGCAACCCAATGGGAGGCGAAATCGGCTTTCATGGCATACGCTCGTCTTGCACTGGCTATCTTGGATCATCCTCGTCAAATACTAAAGCCGTCGACCACGGCTCTTGTTGCCATTGGCACCATGGCTCATCTGCTCATGAATACTGATGGTTTCCCGCTCAAGGTTCATGTGCTTCGTCACCGGTGTCTTTTGATGTCGAAAGACTTGGGAATCCATCGTTTGGATACGGCGAAGTCTCGGGAAGAGCGCAGGCTTAAGGGCTGTGATATGATTGAAGTCGAGGTTCAAAGACGTCTCTGGTGGTGCATGGTAGCATCTGACTGGTAAGTCGCAGTTTCTCGATTTCCAGAAAAGTATGCTCATAACATGCAGGCTGCTTTCGTTTTCCGGTGGGCCTCAAGAAGGGGCCTACACCTTTCAGCCAAAACACATGAAGGTTGATTTGCCGAGTAACACGGACGATGAATTCATTACAAGTACCGAGGTTAAGCAAAATCTGCCCTTGTCCGTGCCCACCAACATTTCCGCGTTCTTCTTCAGAGTCAAGTCATCAGAACTTTGCCGTGAAGTCATTGATGCATTGCCGTCTATTTTGCTGGATTCACAAGAGCCAAAGTACGACAATATTCTCCAGCTGGACAAACGATTTCATGATCTTGTCGACAGTGTTCCGACATTCTTCAAACTGGACCATGATAGCATCGAACAAAGTCGGGCCATATGCAAAGAGCGACCTCACATTGCCTGGCAGCGGATTGGCTTACATTTCAGTATCCACACCCGTCTCTGTCGACTTCATCGGCCATATCACCTCGAAGGCGTGACGAACCCCAAGTACGCCTATTCGCACTCGGTGTGTATCCGCTCTGCCTATAAAATACTGGAGCTGCGACACGCGATGGACGAGGTGGACTCCGAGGTCGGGCTGAAACCCGCACGATTCTGGACAGTCATGCACCATGTGTTCTTCGCGGCTTTGATTCTAGCGATGGACGTCTCGTTCAACCCCCAAGCACCGGACGCCGATGCTCGGAAAGCAAAGGTGCTTGCTGCCTATGCGACTCTGGAGAAATCCAAGCAAGAGTCAATGAACCTGATGGAAGGAATCCAGAAAAATTTACAGACATTAATGTCTACACTCCATAAGCAGCGGTCGCAGACCGGCTCTGGTCCGGATGTTTCACATGAGGAGTTGCTATCTAGTCATACAGCATCCGGGCTCGGCGTATCACAGATCGTTCATGCAGGCGAAAATTCAGGTTTCGTACAGCCCTCCTCGACCGTGACCGGGGACAGTGCTCTCGGCTTCGCGTTGATCGATGACATTGGCGAAGAAAGCTGGGAGCATCTCTGGTCTGAGTTTGTGGCTGTGGCCCCTGATCTTGAAGCGCCACAGTGGAACGCACTACTCGACGACGTCGATTTTACCTCTCAGCTCGATGTATACTAGGAATACTAAATATAGACTCTCACTCTTTTCAAATATTCTGCCTAGTTACTTACCTTCGAGGCCCAAGATCATTCCGAATCAGGAATAGCGTTCACCGCTAGGACTCCAGACCGTCAGATCGTCAGTACTTCAGGTTGCGTCAGGGGGGAGACGCCACAACCATCACTCGCTCGTGAAACCCCAGCCACTTTGACCCCTGCACGGCACGAATTTGTATTAGACGCACGGCACGAACTTGTATTAGATGCAGTGAGGTCATGCCGAGCCAATTTCAGAACAAGGCATGTAGCGTGGCCTTGGCAGGTGGGAGGCTAGCAGACGTAGGGCTGGACCGTTTGATAAGCGCCACGAAAATAGTGAAGAGAAAGCCAAGGATGGTCCATCATAAGATACATGTTGCCAAGCCCACTTGCCAGGCAGCCAGCAAACGGGGAGTTGGGATAGGTCCGTAGTCCGAGAGAACCCCTAGATAATCCATCGGTAGCCCTGGGCGCGATGAAGGGTAGCTGGGACTTGATCGCATCATGCGAATCTTAGACGGAACCTTGGACAGGCGACTATCGCAATTAGAATTAGAATTATTAGAAACGGAGAAAATCAAGAGAGTGGAAACACTGTTGCTGAGCCACACTTCTCCACCAATGAGATTCCGACTGAGCCACAAGTGGCGGGGGCATGACGCAACCGCTTTTAAAGCTTGCCAGTCTCCCTTTTTCTTTAAAGCAAGCCTCTCTCCGCATTCTTCTCCCAAACTTCTCCCTCCCTGATATCCCTCCCCCAAATTTCAATACCACAGCCATCATGCCTTTCACTGCCTCGTAAGTTGTCTCCCTGGAGCTGCTAAAGTTGGAATGCGACTCAACTTCCCTGCGCACTCCTTTTTCCAGTTCCGGTCGCACTCGAGCGAACATCATGACTAACTCGACCACAGTGACATCTGCAAGATCATCTTCGCCATCATCCTCCCCCCTCTGGGTGTCTTCCTGGAGCGCGGATGTGGTGCTGATCTCCTGATCAACATCTGTTTGACCATCCTTGGTTGGATTCCTGGTGTTATCCACGCCTTGTACGTGATTCTCTACCCCTTGCCAACTCATGAAGGCTTTCAAAACAACCGCTAACGGCCTCTGCAGCTACATCATTTTCAAATACTAGACAAGCGACCGCATAAGCGATGCCGCCGCGTCTGTGAATGTTCTGTCTCTAGGAACATCCCCCGTTGCCAATCTCCCATCGATTCCACTTGAAACCCCAATGTCCTTGCTCCTTTCAAGTGCAGTGATGCATTTGTCCAACGAGCGCCGGCGTCAGTGTGCTTCCGCCGCAGTCCGGTCGAGACTAGCCTTCTGCAGCAAGCCCCTACTTGGCATCAGCCCGATGTCCATAATTGCCTAATTTCGGTGACTGCGCTTGCGTGCACATCGTCTATTTACCCTTTTCTTTTGTTTTTGTTTTTTTTTGTTCCTTTTGTTATGCGATATCATCGGTCTTGTTTTTGCTTTTCAAATGATACCACCTCATATTATACTGACAGTGGGCTCTGCGTCTTGGCCTGTGGTCGGTTAGCTTTTTACCTTGACGGAATGGCAATTATTTGAAAATCTTGAAAATACTGAAATTAGATCATCGTAGATGCGTAGCAGAATCATCCCCAGATCTGCAGGCTGGGGTGGTGTGATGTGCCCATCGGCGGCCCTATCGGATGAGGCGGGAGCGACGACCTTCTATTAAGTTGGTCGATACAGGGCGGCACCAACGCCACCAACGTAGAGACAAACATCGACATGGACGAGCTGGTCACTCCTTGCGTCGATCACGAGGAGCTTTTCTAGAAACCTTGGGGCTGAATCAAGCCTCGGGGCCGAAGAGCCAACCCTACTACCAACTTCATCAACCGTGGGACAAGTGCGCAAACTCCCAGCCCCCATGATTTGAAAACATCAAAGCGATCAGCGAAATCAGAATAGCCTGAAACACCCCCCGGCGCGTTCAGTGATTTACGCTGCACTCTAAGCGCCCACCCTGCAGCCCCGGCGCGTATAGCTGGCGCCTACACCGTAGCCACCCAACCACCGCTGGACCCAGGGCGCTTTACCACCTCAAGTATTCGCTGCTTGGACAAAACCACAGCCTACGATGTCATCTAGTTCCATCATGGCGCCTACATCTGCTCCGCCTCATATACCGGGTTTCAGAATCGCCTCGCGCTCATTATACTTGATTGCGTGGGCAGCTCGGGCGTCATAATCGACGTATTCACTACGCGCCTAATATCGCGATGCGCTCACTTTTCGTGTTTAACTAGTTCAAGGCCCGTGTTGAGGCTGCGTGGCTTTTTCTTCTTTTCTACTTTGCTGCCTTTGCTTCAATTCCCTTGCTATTGCAGCTGTTCTACTGGTTTCGATGATGATAACCTCAAAGAGCTTATGGCTTCGAGGGTAGTCATTCCCATACAGCGTTAAATAGGTTAGCCAAGTATGCCAAGATACGGGGAGAGAATTTGGTTACTGATGTCAGTTACAGAGTCATCACAGTATGCTATTCCATCCTCCGTACAGGATACTAGCTGCGGTCCTTCCGTGGGTTGCCATATGTTCGGCCAGCACCTCAAGCGATTCGAGCTCGTCTCTATGGGACGTCATCCCAGATTGTGCAAAGACATGCGTAGAAAACTTCGCCAACGCTGAGTACACTTCCGCAGAATGCAGCACCATATCGGACATGAAATGCTTGTGCCGGACAGAAACATCCAGCGGTCTTACAATTGGAGAGGCGGCGTTAAGTTGTGTCTATGCTCTGTGTTCGAAGACGATTATCAAAGGTTCTTCCGCCGCAGACGCCTACAGGATCTGCGACTCAGTATCGGATGCTGTGTCGGAGACACATAAGACAATCACAGCAACGACCTTTCCTAGTGTGTTGTCTACCTCCACGACCGAGTCAACGACAGCCGACTCCGCTCCAGCGACCACTACTTCTTTTGATCCCACCCCAGCAACTACTACACAATCGATTACCTCTACAACTTCGGGCGACTCTGCAATCACTGCTTACCATCCAACCTCGACTGGAACTGGAGCAGCGCCCGCTTTCGTCAGCACTGAAACCTCTTCGGAATCAACCAGTTCTTCATCTCCATCAAGCAGTCCGGCTGTCTCCAATGAGAATAAGGATCACCATGTCAACGCTGGTACTGTGATCGGAGTCTCTGTCGTATCGGGTGTGGCAGGTTCCTTCATTATTGGAGTTGCTGTGTTCTTCCTCTGCAAGAGATGGCGACGAAATAACCGGGTTGAAGACCCAGACTCGGACTTTGAGATTGGGGGTGCCATGGCTGAGCCTCCTGGTTTTTCCCGTGATTCATCACCTGAGCCTGGTCCCCGCCTAAGTCCAGGCTCGGGGTCTACTTCATTTGCTGCTTTAGTCAATCGGCCGGAAATGTCTCAGTCATCACGCACCTTGCAACCAGGATCTCAACGCCCTCCAAGATTGGTTACACCTGAGATTGATGAGCCTCTCCAAGAGCTCCGGGGACAAGGACGTATAGGGTTGGCTGCTAGCTCCGATTCAGAATGGGGAGGCTCACCTCGGACATTATCATCACAAGCCACGCTTTCAGAGCCTTTGCAAAACCAGGGAACTGGACTATATCCCAAACCACTCAGATGGACCCATCGTCCTATCAGTGGAGAAACACTATTTGAAGAGGATGAATACCAACAGGGCATCATGGGGAGAACACAAAACGCCGCCTCAAGAACAGGATCTCCAAATGTGAGGACAGGGCTGCCGCTGCCGGCCAATCCTCGTGCTTTTAAGGACGGATTCCCATCACAGCCGTTCCTCCGTGCCCCGGGTCAACAACGACCTGGCCAGAGTCGAACCCTTACGCCTGTTTCTACCACAAGGGGATTGACACCACCATTCACTGGGCCTGCCTTTCGCAGATCTGACGTATCAAACGGTACCAGTACTCAAATGGACAGCTCAGGCGGCTTATCACAAGAAACATCATCCAACGCCTCTTTCACATCACCCTCTACAACCGCCCAAGGCCGCATACTAAGCGATGCTCACAATCAACCCAATACTAAGCATGTTTTTTCGAACACGCTAGGACCACCTGCAGAGATAGTATCCCGACCACGCATCGTCCGCGGCGACGACATCAAACGCGTCCAAATCCGCAGCAGTCCCCGCCCACCCAGCGACGCAGGAGCACCATGGGGCCCCGATGACCTCTGGCTTGAACGAGGCCGTGGACGAGACATGCCCGTCTCACCCTCTGAGGTTCCATATCCCTCAGAAATAAATCCCGGCGCCGTTGGATACCCATCGAGTCCGAAGAAAAGACCCGAGGATATGCCAAAGAGAGGGTCACCGACGAGTCGTAATTTGACGCCTTCGAGGCGGGGGCAGGATCTGATCCTGCGTGTTGACTGATGAGGGTACTTGTTTGTATTTTTTTTTAATAATGTTTCTTGGTTTTTGTTAGCCTGGGCTGGACCTGGATGCTTTGTTTATATATGTATATATCTGTTGCCCTGGTGGTATTATGCACGTTGATGAACACAATTGTATCAATAGAATCATTTGAAGATCAAAACTCTTTCGTGGTGAATAGAAGTGTGTTTCTGTCACTTTGCTCCCATTTGTCTTTTCCCGGGTCTTCCTCTTGAATATTTCCTCTCTAATTCACTTCTTCAGTTTACCTCAATCCCCCTTCTCAATTCCAATGACACCTTGGAGCCGTGAAGAAATGGCGACAACTTCGATCTGCCCAGCCCTCTCCGACGAGCTGTGGGAGATGGTCATGGATGATGATCAGAAGACGAGCAACCTCTTGTTCTCCACAATGTTGTGCAGGTCTGTGGTGACGAACTCCGGCTATAGCGTCAGGAGGAGGTATTCTGGCTCCATATCTCATTAACAAGTTCAGAGATCACGGAGTGGAGGATTCAATAGAATGTGTTGTCTGACCCAAAATTAAGCCCTACTATGATTTCTGCTCCGGTGAGCGAATGGAGTATCATCATCGCATTCCTATATTCACGAGCCCGGCCCCAGTGAACAAGGTTGAACATGATTATGGAGGGTGTATGCAGATCTACCATTGGACCATGTCATTACTGCATGGCAGTGAAGCCCAAATTCAGGGCTTGACATTTTAGTTTGCATCTACGGGTCGAGCCCAATGACAGAATGCCAGACACTTCAAGATTGATAATTAACCCCATTCTCATCCAGATGATTCCAGTTGGCGCCCGCCTTCACATGTTAGTATTATGTTACCGTGCATAGACCGTGCGCAAGTAGTGCTCAGACTAAGAGTACAGATACGAATCGGGCGCCTCCATACAGAGAGGCCGGAATTGCAACTCCCCGCTCCGGTTGGACCAGGATTGGCTGGCAACTGCCTGCAGATGGTCACGAACAGAACCCATAGACATAGTTTTTCTTTTCCCACCCTACCTTGCAGTATCCACCAGAGACATGCCCGTTATGCTCGTGGCCCAATTGAGGAAAAGCGATCGAGGAAGAATGACTGGAGGTCTCGGGTTCTCCAGCAGGGTGGTATTGTGTACTTCAAGCCATTCAAGCACATTCTAGGCAATACATCAGGCTGGCAAGAGGCATAAGCTACACTTGGATAAATTCTACACCATTCATATGTACAGAGGAAGATCGCTGCCGCGGCCAGTTGGGGGATGTAAGTGCTTGTCGTGTGGACCCACTTTTTCTCCATACTGTAGGTACATGCAGTAAACTCCCTGCAGGCGCTTGTCGACGAGATGATGCATGTCTCCCTGGCTTGCCATTTCAAAGGAAATTCGTAGCGGTCTCTTACATTCCTAGACATAATCAGTCCTAGCGACACGCGCATGTTGTATCAGAGGGACAGTTTGGCGACGCCACATACCGCCGATTTCTCTCCGTCGCGATATATAGATTTGGACAAAACCCACCTACTGTAAACAAGGCCATGCGGAAGCGGTGCGGACTCGACATTTCCGGATCGTGAACGTCAGCCTGATCTATGTTATCATAGCCCCAGCAGGACCCATCCAGGCTATCCGGTTCCTGAAACCAGTTGAGTCAGCACTCGGAATTACATGACGTCAGATCCCCAATCTGCCCCGCGGTGAGGCGCCTAGATTCGATCCCGTCCGACGGACAGCGCCACGCCCCGCGAGAACGGGATACTCTGAGTAGCATAGTTCGCACAGAGTCACAGAGTCAGCAAGTTCCGAGGTCAAGTGACTCGTCTAGGGTGGCATGCGAGGGGTGCAATAGAGTTGCTTATGCATGGACGTGCGTCTCTCGGTCCATCGACGCGCCGGACGAAGGCCTAGATACAGAGACCGCGGTCCATAACCGGTTCTGAAAGACGGAAAAATCAGTCGGGACCTTTCATTCGGAACCATAAAATTAAGAATTGGTTACAGAGTGCCGTCATGGTCTGGGAAACCTCAGCAGAACCAAACACTGGAACCCCCCGCGACGTCAACGGCCCACTCAGCCAACGGCAACGCCGCTCAGACTCCGCCTTGGTAAACCGCGGACTCGCCTACGCCATTAACGGGCAGTCTTTCTTCTTGGGGCGAATCAGGGCCTTGGGCGGCGCTCGTGGTTATGGCTCGCGGCGCCAAGGGCAAAGGGAAAGACCGATTTGAATCCGCAGGGGCAGATAACCCTCCCTGTTCGCAAGGGCACTGTCCGCCCAGTAGGGTGCACGCAAATGACGGACGAGAATGACGCTTCTGAGGATGGCAAAGGGTGGGTCCTCGTAACCAGATGTCTTGTCTTGAGATAGGGTACTGTAGTTATGTAGCGCTGGGGGTAAAATGATGCTACATATATTAATGGCTATCCCCCACGCCCCATCGCCCTTGCTTTCACCATCTGCACATCGGCACACCTTCACACCTTCACACCTTCACACCTTTGACAGACTCGGACCCGCATTGTACCTTTCTTCTCACACCCGAGACGTGAACGCAGAAACGAGAAACAGACGTGCCTAGGCGATCACTGCAAGACCCACAGACCCACACACCGTCTTGTCCGTTCACAATTGACGATGGCGACAGCCGAAGGACTCGGGGCTCAGTGGCCCCACCACGACGATCGGGCCGACTTGTACGGTGGACCTAACGTCGTCATACCTCCTAGCCATTTAATGGCACCGCCCCCTCGCAACTTACCTCCTACAACAATGTCAAACCAGCCCGAAGAAGAAGTCGTCTCATCGGGAGAAGAATCTCCCCAGGTCGACACTCCCGCCTCTACACCGCCGATTGTCACTAGCGACGACTTTGCTCTCGCTTTCGATATCGATGGCGTCTTTGTTAAGGGCGGAGAGCCCATCCCAGAAGCCCTGGAGGCTATGAAATATATCAATGGTGAAAACCCATACGGAATCAAAGTGCAAGTCTTAATCCTGGCCCCGGGGGGAGGTGTAAATAGTACCTTTCGCTAACAGCCCCCTCTATAGACCCTACATCTTTCTCACCAACGGCGGCGGCAAGACCGAAGAAGAAAGATGTCGCGATCTCAGTCGCCAACTCGAATATGAGGTGGACCCCGGCCAATTCATCTGCGGACATACCCCCATGCGGGAAATGGCCGAGCAGTACGGCACTGTCCTAGTCGTCGGCGGAGAAGGCGAAAAGTGCCGCATTGTGGCCGAGGGATACGGATTCAAGGACGTCGTTACTCCCGGAGACATAATCAAGACACAGCAAGATGCGACTCCGTTCCGGAAACTAACGGACGAGGAGTACAAGAACTCCCGAACGCTCGATTTGGACAGCACTCGAATCGAAGCGATCTTCGTCTTCGCTGATAGCCGTGACTGGGCAGGCGACCAGCAGATTATTCTGGATGTCCTCATGACGCAAAAGGGACAATTGAATACCCGGTCGGAGACCTTCGACGAGGGCCCGCCCGTTTACTTCTCGCACAATGACGTGTTGTGGTCTACTTCACATGAGCACTCGCGCATTGGCATGGGTGCTCTGCGCGCCTCGCTCGAGGCCCTCTATAAAGCTGTCACTGGCGGCAAGGAACTCAAAACGGTCGCATTTGGCAAACCGCAGATGGGCACGTTCGCATTCGCCACACGACTCCTCCAAGAATGGCGCAGTGAGTCCCATGGCATCGATAAGCCCCCAGCCACCGTTTACTTCTTCGGTGATACTCCCGAGTCCGACATTCGAGGCACGAATGAGTTCAACAAGACCTCGGAGGAAACCGAGTGGTACTCCGTCCTTGTCGCGACTGGTGTCTGGCAGGAAGGCACTATCCCCCGCTTCCCACCCAAGAAGATCTGCAAGAACATCTACGAGGGAGTCAAATTCGCCATCAACCGTGAGGCACAGAAGCTCCGTGGTCGTGGTGGCTCCTTCAGTATGTTCACGGATGAGATCAAGTCGATCCAGTTGAACAAATAATCTGCCACGCTGGACTTGGCACTACCACCTACATTCATATCTTCCGATTCTTTCACCTACTATACCATCCCACGCCCTCAAGAACCATGATTCCGCTTACGATGCTCAACCCCATCTGAGTTTTTCATTTCGTGGCCAGTACCCCTTTTCAACGTATTATGATTCACATAATCCGCGTTGTCGGATCCATTTACACTTCAAATAACATGAACAATGACATGATAGAGCTTAAAAACAATATCTCTTTATCTCTTGCCTTCATCCTACTTAATTATACAACACCCGGTATCGCACAGACACAGAACAAATAAGGTCCTACAGAGGAAAGTTAGCCTCCCGAATGTCTCCAAGGTATGGTATAAAGGCTCCGCGTACAGACAGATCTCCAAGATTGCCAGAGAAATGATGAAACAGATCGAACTTGAACAGGCTCCTGCCACATGCTTCGACCATATCAAGTTTGTTCGATCACTAAACGTCAGAGTAGTCCCAAGATGGGAACCCGGTCATGACAGATTAGGCAGCCCGTAGGCATAGGTTAGCTTGGGTTTGGAATCCGAAAACTAATCTAGTTGGCCACCTGGTTTGCCCCGGATGCAGGGATCTGGATGGTGGGGGCGAATCCGGGGTTGAGGGCGTTGAGTTAAGGTTGGCTCTTGGCATATCCATGGGTGGCATGTATGTTATAATCCGGTTGTGGGATAGAAGCTTGCGGGGAAGAATCCTAGGGTGCCTTCCAAGGTTCACGGTGTAGTTTGCAGATGGCTACCTGGTGGTCGTCTTATGTGGTCGGGAGACCGATGAGGGCCTCAACCCGTGGACTTTGTCATTGGAACCTTCTATTCTCCTCTCAACACATTGTCCAAGATAGAATTATCTATGTGTCTCACATCAAAGCAAGAGTTAGAGCATACAAATTGAGCGCTTCTTCTTTCCTTCCATTATGTAGTAGCCTGAGGGTCCAGGCAGCAATACCCGTCATCAGTTCCCCACTACAATCGGACTTGACTCATCCCTGACTTTTGCTGTAGAATAGGCGAAAGATCTCATAGAAAGAACACTATATTACGCAAAAATGATGAGTGCAACTATCCCACCACACTATGAAAACACGAACTCACCCGGATCAGGTCCAACCCACCGAGGCAGTATACCTCAAGGACGCCTCTCTGAGAACCCTAAAAACAGAGATAATATCTTACCAACCAATCTCATCCCTCTCAGAAGAAGAAAAGTTCCTCGCGAAAAATGTCTCCCCAGAGGACTTAGCTATCACCATGTGCCAAACGATCCTCTACCCACAGGGTGGTGGTCAGCCAAGCGACACAGGCTCAATCGCACCAGCAGATGAGGCACCAACATTCACGGTATCTCTAGTCCGAAAGACCCAAGATGGAAGAATCTATCACTTCGGCAAGCCCAGTACAGGGTCCATATTCACCGCGGGCCAATCTGTCATTCAAAAAGTCGACGATGTCAAGCGGGATTACCACTCGCGACTGCATACGGGTGGTCATATCGTCGGGCTAGCTATGCAGCTTCTCATGCCGGAGATGAAGAAAGTCAAAGCGAATCATTTTCCCGGCGAGGCGTGCATGGAATATGAAGGCTTATTGTACAATGAGCACAAGCCGCAGATCCAGGCGAAGGTGGATGAGCTCGTGGAGCAGGATCTGCCGATTCTGCTTTCGTGGGTTGAGGATGCTTCGGATTTGGAAGATGTCGAGGGTCGAGGCAAAGAGCGGGATGGACCGGTGCGGGTTGCGAGTATCGGGGGACTTGATAAGAATCCTTGTGGTGGTACGCATGTTTCGAGGACGAGTCTGGTTGGGACCATTACGATTCGGAAGATTAGTAGGAATAAGGGGGTAAGCCGGGTATCGTATGAGGTTTCGCCGAAGATTTAGATGGCCTTGTGCGTAGTTATATTATAAATTAGAGAGTAGATGTTGTGAATGGTCTATCGAGCCTCCTCAATGATGTACAGAGCTAAAAAAGAAGTGCAGATATGCAAAGTTCAAATGATGTGCAGAACGCCCCCCAGTTCCTCCTGATTATGCTTGGTAAATATAATGTGCATCAAACCAAAAACTCGTTATCCAGCCAGTGCTTTATGACAGTTTTGCCCTCGGCAAATCCATCCTTGGGCATGCGAACGATGATAGCTGCGTGGCTGTGTCGGTGTTTTTGGATGTGCACAGGGTATTTGTGGAATCCAACGGCATTAAGTGAGTCGATGATGGCAAACTGCTCAGGCGAAAGGGCAAGTGTAGGGAACTTTGAGGAGCCGTCAGGCCCACTCGACTTTGGGTGGCTTGCATGCCCTAATTCAACCTCTTCGGCCTCACTGCCCGAAAGGTAGGCAGGCTCTTGTCTAGCATTGACATTCTCAAACACGTCCTCCATGGCATGCTGGACGTCTTGCACCAATAAAGGCACGCGGTATCTTCCGAAAAGCTTGCCATTTTTTCCTTCGCCGTGCAGACGAATTCTCTTCCGACTGCGAATAGTCTGCACGGCTGAATTCGCGAGGAATATTGTGGACGCCGGGCCGATCAAGATAAGAATGAGCAGATAGTAGGGCAGCCCGAAGGCAAATGCCTTGCATTGCCTCCAAAATCGAGAAGATTCGCTAGATGGATCTTCAGGCGTGAGAGGCAATAGGTAGTTGTCACGGTCGATGATAACATCGTCGTAGCCTTTGACGTAGTTGATATTAATGTTGTCGAGGTCATGAAATGGGTCGACCTTGATAAGAGCCGAGGTGTAGAAAACAACAGAGCGATCGTTGACAATATTGGCGTAAACACTCCGGTGACGGAACTTCTTTAGCCCCTGGACGAAGATGCTTTCTGGGTCCGCTAACACGCTGAGCAGTGGACGCCCGGTTTCACGGAACTCGTCGATCAGGAATAGCTGCTGACCAGACATGGAGATAGTTCTCGCTCCCAGGCCATTAAAGATCTGGCTCCTGAGTCCCTTGAGCGGCGTTCTCACTCCAACATGTGGGGTGGCAAATGTGGTGAAGTTCACGGGCTCCAGCTTGTCGAGCACTCCTTGGCTGTGAAGCAAGCCAATGGCATATCGCGCGATCAAGCCGCCCATTGAGTAGCCAACAATGCTCAGTTTCTGGATCTTTTGACCCTTCTGGTCCAGAGCACCGATGGTCTCTTCGATCTCATGCGCCAATCGCTCTCCACCGAGCTCAATTCCATCATACGTCCAATGGCCACTGTTCTCTTTCGCGGAAAGGATGTGAATATTATCTCCGTGTCGGTCTCTCAGTGCAGAGGCCACGAAGTCCAGGTGAGATGGTTTGCCCCAGAGCCTAACCAAAGGTGTTAGTTTGGCTTTGCTTTGATGTCATCCGCGCGAGGAGAGAACACGTACCCGTGCACCAAAACACAGAGATGGTCGGATTCCGTAGATGACTCAGACATGTCGCGTTGAAAAACGAAGCGCTCTTTATCGATAAAGAAAAACAGGGTGGCAAGGCAGACACTTATAAAGCTTCCTGCCGGAGTTAAGGAACGGACGGCGGCGATTCCGAAGCCCAGTCAGCGATAAGAGTGCCGCCTGAGATCGGGGGCTGCAAGTTTGCACTATTTGCAGGCCAACCTTCTCCTTTGATGAACTGATCTCTTTTCTACTCGCCCTTTGTGCTCACCACAATCAACCATGTTTGGTATTGGATCTTTCGAATAGCGTGCTGCATTTGTCTTTGAAGTGGAAGCGCCTGTGAATTTTAACCAACTACTCAATCCATAAGCGACGGTGCTACCTGGAATTTACAAGACTCATGCTTGAGTAGCTGATCAAATCCGAAAGATCATGTTCCGTTGGTATTCGCTCTCTCTCGGTCTAATCTCAGCCGTCACCTACATACGACTTCATCTTTATATGGATGAGTGAAGCTTACAACAAGTCTCAATCATTCGTTGTGAAATCGATCCTATTCAAGTGTCATCAAGCCAAAATACTATCCCAGGATGTTCAGAACACTTGGTCTGTTCGCAGACGTGCCTTGTCCGCAAGGGCAAACATGTTCTCTCTTAACATGTTTGTTTTCTCATAAGGCTCGCAACTTGCCTACAGCCACATCTCAACCTCATCGCCCCACCTCGATATTGGGAGATGACACTGCTCGTCCCTCCAAGAGACTCAAAGTGGAAGCCGATCCCTCTGCTTTGACCGAGGTATCTGGCGCAAGTCATAAAGCCGAGACAACCACTACTTCCCCGGAATCCATGTTGCCAACGTTTCGCAAAGAAGCTCACATGGACAAAGGGACGCCGAAGCTCACCTCAGCCTTGAGATCAGTCTCTCCCCCACCACCAAAACGCCCGTTATCTAGATCTTCTGGCACGAAAGATACCAATGCCATCACTTCTGCTTCTCAAAAGCCTGCGTCAATGCAGCTTCCTCCGCGAAAAGTGCCAATGGAAACCCTCAACCCCCGCATGCTGCCGAAGGCGCCAGCTTCGCATCCCATCCGAACCGCCATCCTGAAAAAGCTGCACGCTGCCATGGTTGGTCTCAATGAGAGGCTGGTAAAGGAGAAAGATTCCAAGAACGGAGTCTTTATTTTGAATAAAGACGAGCTCATCACGATGGCTTTGGATGAAGAGGAAAGAGTGGCCAAGGAGAACCCTGGTGTTTACAGCAACATTATCAAGAATCGCATCGTCAAATTGCCGAAGAGTTCCACGGAGGAATGGGTCAAGGAAGTCATGGCTCATTTGAACATGCGATACTACCACCTCAATCCTATCCAACTGGTTCAAGCTCGCGCTCAAGAAGCTCCCAAGCTGATTGTTACTGGGCTCACCACCAAGGAAGAGGTTGCTCTGGTACCTGAGTTGCTTACACCGTTGGAAGGCCTCGAGCAGTTCGGCTATGTCACCAAAGCGCCTACAGACGGAGAGATTGAGATCGCCAAGAAAGGTGCAGAGGGGTCCAAAGGCTGGGAAAAGTGTGACCGATGCTCAGGACGATTCCAGGTCTTCCCTGGACGCCGAGAAGATGGAGCTCTGGCGAGCGGTGGTCAGTGTACCTACCATCCCAGTCGACCCATTTTCCCTCCCCGCAAGAGAACCGACAACGTCACAGGTTCATCGGAATCATATTTCCCTTGCTGTGGAGAATCTGTTGGTACTTCGGTCGGCTGTACCAAAGGCAACACGCATGTCTTCAAAGTTTCAGAGACCAAGCGCCTTGCATCAATTCTCCAGTTCCAAGAGACCCCCCGCCAGCCCAACAAAGGGCCTCTCGATCCAGTCTGCTTCGACTGTGAGATGGGCTACACAACCATAGGCATGGAGCTCATCCGTCTCACTGCTGTCAGCTGGCCTGAAGGTCGCGAACTTCTTGATGTCCTTGTAAAGCCCATGGGCGAGGTGTTGGACCTGAACTCGCGATACTCGGGCGTTTTTCAAGAACACTACTCTATCGCTACCCCTTACGGTAAACCTGCTCCTCCGAAGGAAGAGGGGAAACAACAACCTCTACAAATGGTCGAATCACCCACCGCAGCGCGAGATCTGCTATTCAAGCTTCTCCAGCCCGAAACACCACTCATGGGCCATGCAATCGACAACGACCTCAATGTTTGTCGAGTGATTCACCCCACCATCATCGATACAGTCCTTCTGTACCCCGCGCCACGACGTCTTCCGAATCGCCTGAGCCTCAAGTTTCTTGCTCGAAAGTTCCTCGAACGTGAAATTCAAACTGGAGGAGACAAGGGTCACGACTCCAAGGAAGACTCCATTGCCACGGGCGACTTGGTACGAGTCAAAGTGGGTGAACTCTGGAAGCGCTTGAAGGCCAAGGGGTGGAAGTTTGAGGGCGATGCACTTATTGCACCGCCTGGTCAAGCATCCAAGGGTATGCATAAAGTTGTGCTGGACCTTGAGTATGGACTCGGACAAAAGAGGAAGGATCCAAGTGCATGAGAGTCTTGTACAGAATATTTTTCCACTCCAGCATTGGGGTTTTCTTTGTCATTGATACCCAGAGTATGCTGATCTAGCGATGCACTTAATTTCCCCAAAACCAGGAGTTACTCATTGCAATGGTATCTAGCCACAAGGAAATCATTGAAGCGATGGCACCTGGGTCTAAGTCAGGTCGAGTCATACCAAAACTGACCCATTTATATTGGCTTATAGTTGTGCCAAGAAGCAAGCCATTGACCACAAATATAACATCGAACCGCATTATAGTGTGGACATCAATGCCAGAAGAGCATAACAACGAAAAGTCCAAGACTACGGAAATGCAAGTACACAGTAACTCTACGCAGAGCTCATAGACTGAGGGTATAAACTTTTTTTGATTTCATAGCCAGTCAAGGCTAGTCTATCCCCCACATATCACACAATCAAACCCCATGGCTCACTCTCGAGCAGATTTAACTCCATCATAAGGCGATAACCACAGAGCCCGAATTGATGGACAGTTGGGCCCAAGATTGGTCAAAGATCGAGGGAGCGAATTTACTCCTCATCCTCCTCAGCATCGTCGTTGACGACGTTGTAGAAGCGGAGCTCGTAGACACCCTTGGAGGTGGAGACGACGCGGAGCCAGTCACGGAGCTGCTGCTTCTTGAGGTACTTCTTGGTCCTATGGAGCGAATGTGGTCAGCCGGTGCCGCATGCCGGAACTGCGCGGGATATAACTCACAGGTACTTGAGGTAGCGACCGGAGAAGGGGATGTGAGCAACGACCTCGATCTTGCCCTCGCCAGCCTGCGAGATGACGACGTTGTCACCGAGGTTGCCGACACGGCCCTCGACCTTGATGCGGTCGTGGAGGAACTTCTCGAAGGCGGAGACGTCGAAGATCTTGTCGCTCGCGGGCTGCGAAGCGTTGATGATGAACTGCAGAGTTCTGTTAGTTGCCTGTATGCAATTGGTGTCTCGGAGTATGTAAAAAACTTACCTTCTGGGTGACCTTGGGGGCCTTACGACCGGCACGGGCCTATTGGGGTGAAACGATGAATTAGCCTACTGCTCCATGGAGTTGAGAGCCCCGGTGGTAGTCTCGGTGGACGATGCTCTTGCGACGAGGTCACCGGATAGATTTTTCAATATCCGGTGGTCGACAAGATGCATGTCTGCCGAGACTCCGATGGGGGGAACAGCAAAGCGGTTCACGGAGTATTCAACGTACAGCGGGAGCCATTTTGAATGATGGGGGTGGATTGACGTTGGGGGGAAAAGGTCGCAAAGAGGTGAATATCCTGCGCCGGCGAGAGAGATGGTCGAAAGAAGAGCCTCTGTTCCTGGTGGAGCCCGTTTGGGTCGAAAATTCACAGGCGGTGTGTGGGCTAGTCCTATTCAGGGAAGGAAAGGGCAGGGCTGCTGCTGTCACATGACACAGTCACAAAAACTTTGTCACGTGTGTGGTGGCATCAGCTCTATCACATGATCTATACGCTCTGATTGGTCTTCTTAAACGAAGCTAGAGAGTCACATGTGCACGGGCCCCATAGACTCACATAAATACTCAGCTTCCCCAACTTCCTTCCTCTTCTTTTTTTTCTTCTTTAGCTCTCTTTGCCAATTGGCTTAGATCAAGTGTAGTATCTGTTCTTTTCAGTTTAATCTCTGAAAGATGTCTAAGGACATCACATTGATTATTCTCATTTTTGGATCTCGCGACTTGGCCTCTGTGCTTGCGCATGCCTCGTCGCACAGTGTCATCGGGCTTACACTACTCCCGATCGACGCGAACCCCTTTTTCATCACTCGTGTCGGCATGTCCGATCGTTTGGAGAAGAAGTTTGTAGTAGATTTCATAGTGAGGTGCTTTGATTCGTAACGTTGCTTTATCGGTGTCGTGGCTCGATGCTGTGGTCGCTGTTCCAGATACACAGGCCCATCACCGGACCTTGAATACTCACTTTGCTGTCAATAGTGCCTTTGCTCAAGTAGTAGGCCTCGCCTTGAAGTATAGCTCCTTTGAATCCTTGCAGCGGTGCGTGGGACCATTCACAAATTCGACTCCAGCGCGTGGTACTGCTCGTGGAGTCAAGAGCTTTAGTACTTGTAGTTTGCGATACTGTACCTGCTAGCAACCTGAACAATTTCCACCTGTACTGTAATTGATTTCGAAAACTACTATAAGTGTGCGCATCCTTGGAATGTAAATCGTAGTGGCTCGGGCGGTGAGTCAAAATGTAGCAGCGATATATCACTGCAAGCCGTGGCAGCAAAACCGAACTGATCCTCCTGATCCTCATCAATTCTCGTTAGGTCTTCCCAGAGACTTTTGACATTGTAGAATAGACCAGCCCGAACGAGAATTCCGACAAAATTCAACCACACCTCGGCAGCAAGCTGTTTGAAGGTCACGTGCCGTCGCGGGGCCAGCGATAAGCTCGAGCTCTCCAATTTTCTCCATCCTGCGCCTCCCGCATCACTCGATAACGCCGCCATGGGTTCGATCGTCTTGCCTCACTTGCGGACAGCCTGGCACGTCGATCAGGCCATTCTCTCTGAAGAGGAACGCCTCGTGGTGATCCGCTTCGGCCGCGACCACGATCCCGACTGTGAGTTGTCTTCCTCGTCGCGCTGTCGCGCTACACGACTAACCATAATTTTGCAGGTATCCGTCAAGATGAGGTTCTCTACAAGATTGCCGAGCGCGTGAAGAGTGAGTCTCGAGTTTCCGCTCCTACAAGTCTATCCGCTAATGAGTGCATTGCTAGACTTCGCCGTCATCTACCTCTGTGATCTCGACGAAGTGCCCGATTTCAGCGGCATGTACGAGCTCTACGATCCGATGACGATCATGTATTTCTACCGCAATAAACACATGATGTGCGATTTCGGAACGGGAAACAATAACAAGTTAAATTGGGTGCTGGAAGACAAGCAAGAGCTCATTGACATCATCGAGACGATCTACAAGGGTGCGAAGAAGGGCCGCGGTCTGGTCGTCAGTCCAAAGGGTAAGCGCTCGATGCTCTGATGTAGAGGACAAGCACTGACTGGTTTATTTGCAGATTACTCGACGAGATACCGGTACTGAGCAAGGCTTGACCTGCAGAGTGGTGGCACTGGCGGCGTTCGATGGATGTCGCCCACTTTCATGAAGCTTATGATTACGATCACTAGATACGAGGCGAGCAAAAAATCTTTTGGAAATACACGTTTTGGGGTTTCTCGATCATTCTTGAAGGAATTTGATCCGAGGTCGTAGTGTCGGAAGGTTATGCGATACTGAACGGGGCCTGCTCCACAGTAAATTAGAAAAGGCTGGCAGTGTCGCTCGCTCCAGACCCCGAGTACCTTAGAACAGATCACTTGGTCATGTAGATAGCTTCTGCTGCCTGTTTTTAGTTGCCATGTAAACCGAGCAGTAGATAGCGTGGTAACAAGTACAATACGCACGCTCGATCACGAACAATAAACATTGCGAATCATTCCACTACCAGTGAATTCATGCTCAATTCGAACATAGCGTCTTCCAAATTCATAAAGAGTTGTGGTTGTCAACCTTCGATTTTGACGTAACTCACTGAAGCTCCCATCACCGCATCCGCGAACCGCATCACCAAAATCCCTTCACTTAGCACTTACCAGCTAAGACACCTCCCACAACCAACAAAATGATCGACCAACGCATTTTCGAAGATCTTCAGGCCAAGATCGACGAGGAGACTACCGTCCGAGATGTGAGTGCCCCAGCCCCAGCGCCCGGCGAGCTGCTCGTACAGTGAATTCTTCGCGTGCCAAGCCTCGCCCAAGCAGAGCCACCGCGCACACAACTCGGACCAGAAGCTGACTTACTGGGTAAAGGAGCTCCACGAGATTGTTCAGACCCTTGCACGGAAAGGTATGATGCATTTGATGGCGAATGACCAATATAGGCTCTTTGCCTAGCTCGCGGGGTTACCCTGATCCTACCGGAGCCCAATTCCAAGGACATAACTAACGTCATCTCAACAGGTCGGTCTACGACAGCCATTCTTGCACGGGCACACTCGACCCCGTCTGATCAGAGTATGTATCCCTTGTCGATTGCCGTCAGATTGAGCTTCTAAAGGACTCCCTCATTCTTAGCCCTCGGGCAGCGGAACGTCGAAAGAATATCTTGACCACGGCCTGGCTAATCCGGTTAAAACAGTCAAGCCAGTCTTGGATGATGCGGCTGCGGAAATCAATGCCCAAAAGCAGGAGGTCCTCCGCCTGAAGGCTGTTGCTGATCAGCACCCATTCTATAAGTACAATGGTCTGTGGACGCGCGAGCTCCAGAACCTGATCGCCTCCATTGAGCTGTGTGCGTGGCTCGGTGGACTGGAGGAGCACAAGGGATCTAGCTCGGCCTCTTTCATGACTATCGAAGACGTCGGCAAATTCCTGGAAGGTAAGTGGAACCTTGGTGTTAAATTTCACTACCAAAGATTCGAATCTGACTACGTTATTTGAACCAGTTCCTGTCAATCTCAAGGAGCAAGATGCTTTCCACTTGACTATTGAGGAGTATCTTTTGGCTCTTATTGCCATGGTAGAGGAACTGGTATGAGCTAAAAGGCACCCATTCTGGAATTGTCGAGAGCATATTCGCTGACAATTTTATAGTCGCGCCTGGCCGTCAACTCCGTTACCCTTGGTGACTATGAGCGCCCTCTTCAGATCAGCAACTTCATCAAGGATCTCTTCTCTGGATTCCAATTGCTCAACCTGAAGAATGATATCCTGCGGAAGCGCAGTGACGGCGTCAAATACAGTGTAAGTTTGCACTGTGTTCATCGAGATAGGGTTGTAAGGCTGTGACAGACTGACTATTCTTCTACAACAGGTCAAGAAGGTCGAAGACGTGGTTTATGACCTCTCCTTGCGGAACCTGATCCCCAAGGGCGGTGCCTCTGCTTGATTGAAATGATACAGATTGACATGCTTGCTCCTGATATCAAACCCCGAGCAACACAAGAGCGTACAGCATCTACATGATACCAATATGGTGGGAATATTAGGTTGACCTTACGAATACAAAAAGTCCTTCTACACCACACATTCCAAGGGATAAAACAAATGGTATCACTGTAGAGGGTTCTGACCCATTAATTGAACATTAACTGGACCTCAGTAAGATCAGGTGTCGTAAAGCACATAGACGAGCGTATTTCGTACAAGGTAAAGCGCCAGGGTATGAATACATGAAACAAAGGAGGCTGCACAGAAACGAGCTTATCGTGCAGACTTAAGCCTCAGCACCCTTGGCCTTCTTAGCCTTCTCGATCTCCTTGACAATCGAGTCCTCCAGAGACTCGGGCTTGGTGAGAGAAGAGTGGCGGGAGATGACCTTTCCATCGGCGCCAACAATGAACTTCTCGAAGTTCCACTTGACGGACTTGATGCCCATGATACCGGGCATCTGTTCCTTCAGCCAGGTGAAGACGGGGGAGGCCTTGTCGCCGTTCACGTCGAGCTTTCCGAGGACGGGGAAGGTGACACCGTAGTTGAGCTGGCAGAAGGACTGGATGTCATCGTTGGAGCCGGGGTCCTGGCTGTTGAACTGGTTGCAGGGGAAGCCGAGGATGGTGAAATCTTCAGGGTAGCGCTCCGACAGCTTCTTGTAGAGCTTCTCGAGGCCTTCGAACTGGGGTGTGAAACCGCACTTGGAGGCGGTGTTGACGACGAGGACGACCTTGCCCTTCAGAGGGGCCAGGGGGAAGGGCTCGCCCTTCTCTGTGAAGTTTGTTCGCGTTAGTGAATTGTTCGCCGAGGCAAGAGCGGGGTTCTAGGGGGGCGGTCATGGGTGAGTTGGTACTTACTGTCGACGGGCTCGAACTCATAGAAAGAAGTCGCGGAAGACATGGTGCTGAATGGTGCTGGAGATTGAACGAGACGTGGAGAGTAAAGGAGCTTGGAGTGAAGGAGCTTGGAGTGAAGGAGCTTGGCGCTTTGAAGGGATGACGTCGTAGAGTAGCGGGGAGAAAACAGAGTCACAAACCGAGGGAGTTGGCGAAAACGAACAACAGCGCGCATGGTTTGATTTTGTAATATTTCTAGCCGAGGCGAACAAAGATGTCTTACCAATGACCACAGGCCCAGACACGGATTCCTGGACGTCCGACGGTTACCTAACTGCCCCGAGCCGAGCGATCGCAAATGCCAAATTCTATGCCCTGTTATTGGCAGGCCCAATCTTCGTAACGTTTCCTTTGTGCTGCTTCCATGACCTGCATGACAAATCTTATTGGTTCTAGTCTTGCATAACTACGGAGACATGTCTGCTTTGAGTAGAGGCCGGTTAAGCATAACTTTTTTTTTGCTTACAAGATTTTGCGGGTCTGGACTTTTCTTCACTGGCCCCACACCCGTAGTCTCGTCAGCCCAGCATACTGTAGATGTAGCGCTGCCATTGCCGTAGTACACATTGCCATGTAATGCCATAATACCAGGTGAAGATCCCGTAGCATGGTTCTTTGATCACGCCATTCATCATGCAATAGGGCCAGCCGTGGGCTGATGAACTGCGCATATCTAGGATTGTCTCCACAAGCGACACCGGCGGGCAATCAGGGAATTGCTTGACAGACCTGGGAGGAACACTTTGGAGCCGGAATTTCCGGGACGAGAGAGATAGAAAGAATTTTCCACCGTCAGGGCGAGGGCAACAGCCCCAGCGACGGTCACCATGTCGCCCAAGGCGCGAGTACCGCAACTTTGCGCGTAGCCAACATGATCCGTTCCTGAAATAACAGAGCATTATTGCAGATTCAGCCCTCCATCTCTGCCTTGAGCACATCGACATCTAACTCCTTCATCACGCCGAGAACCACTCCCAAGCTCTCCATGAATCCATTGACGGCAACGCGCAGCATGCGATTGGTAGTAGCACGGTAGGTAGTCTGCAGCACACTCTTTGACTCGTCGGGATCCTGCTTTTGCCTTTTTTCCTGTGGTTCGTCGCCGTTCTCGGAAGTCGGGGCTGTGAGAGTCATAGTGCGTCGCACGGACGGGGACAGCTCGGTGTCGACCTCGATGGTCTGCAGGGCGGCGGAGGCAAGGCGTTGTGTTGGGAAGGGGAAGGAGAGGGTTCTAAAGCAGTTGTAAGCACTCTGTTTTAAATGGTTGCATGGAGGTTTCAATATATTTCCATGCAAGTGGGGGAACGCTTCGTACACTGAGACAGGGAACTCGCTGTCAGACGGCTGTACAGCAGCCATGGTGGATGAAATATGATTTTTAGAGATAACGGAGGATATTTAAAAAAGCCAGGATCGTTTTGTGAGGAGGTTGTTCTCGACTGTCGCGTAACTTGCTTTCCGTGTTGAGTTGAACATTTCGCCCGCCAAACGAGGGGCCTCGAGTGGTTATGACTAAGCACGTATGGGCGGGGGAGTAACTTTACAAAATGTTTTACAACAGACATGAAACGTAATGATAATTGCGTGAAAGAAAAAAAAAACATCGTCTACCATTCAGAGAAGTCAGAGAAGCAGTAGAAAGCATAAATAGGCATGGCCTAGGTATAATAGAGAAAATTTGGTCTCTAAGAATTTCGCAAGCATGGGAGTCGACAAGTATAAATAAAGCACACCCATCCACATATTGTACAACAGATTTTGTGAGAAAAAAGCTCCGAGGGCACAAAGTCCTTAGGACATCGAAGAAGTGAAGTTTAAAAAAGAAAAACAAAAATAAGAGCCTCTCCTGGTAAGCTCATGACACCTTCCATGCATGTGAAAATCTCATACCCCTCGCTCGTGAGATATTTAGGCGGTAGCAAGGTGGGCGATGACGTCCTGGACGGCCTGAGGCATGTTGGTGAGGCTCTCATGAGAGATATCGCCGGCGTTAACGATGGTGCGCAGGTTGTTCAGGGCACCATAGAGGCCGGTGGGGTTTCCAGAAAGACCGATCAGAGCGAAAGAGATGGTCTGGTCAAGGGTGGCGGGCATGTTTCCAAGCTGACGAGCTTTGAGGCCTGAAATAGATCAGCATAGAGTCTTTCTACCATGAGCGGCTGAACATACCGCCAGCAGTGTTGGCAACAACGTCCTCGACAGTGCCCGCAACGCCTCCAGCGGTGGATTCACCAGTACCAACGGCGCTGCCAACAAGACCAGTAGCACCGTTCAGGCTGCTGCCAGTGGCTTCGGTGACGGGATAGAGAGCGGCGAGCTGACGAGCCTTCAGATCTGCAGAATAAGTTAGCATGCGCTTTGTTGAAGTAGAAATAGGTGGACGCACCACCGACAGTGTTAGTAACAACGTTCTCAGCGGTGCCAGCAACACCACCAACAGTTGACTCAGCAGTGCCGACGGCGCTACCAGTGAGACCAGTAGCACCGTTCAAGCTGCTACCGGTAGCCTCAGTGACGGGATATAAAGTTTCGAGTTGGCGAGCCTTGACAGCTGAAAAACGGGTTAGTATGAGAGCTATTTAGAAGAAGAAAAGGTGACTCACCACCAAGGGTATTAGCGCCGACATTCTCAACAGTACCAGCAGCACCAGCGACGGTGCGTCCACCGCTTCCGACAGCATTGCCGACGATCCCAGTAGCACCGTTCAGAGTGCTACCGGTGCCTTCAGTAGCGGGATACAGAGCATCCAACTGACGCTTCACGGCTATAGAAGAGTCAGAAAACGAGGTTCACCAGGCTTATGCCGATTTAAATACCTCCAGCGGTGTTGGTTACAGCGTTCTCAGCAGTACCGGCAGCACCACCGACGGTGGACTCAGCAGTACCAACAGCGCTTCCAGTGGTACCAGTAACACCGTCTAGGGAGCTGCCAACAGCCTTAGGAATAGGGTAGAGAGCATCAAGTTGGCGCTTGGCACCGTGGGTAAGGGCCCCAAGAGTTCCCTTAGCTGCCCCCTCCATACCCTCAACGGCGCCATCGAGTCCGGGGACTTTAGGGAGGGCGGCAGCAGAAACAAAGCCGACAAGGGCGAGAGAAGCAGCGAATCCGGTGAACTTCATCGTTGCAATTGTATGTAAAACAAAGAGATCGAAAGAGTGACTGGGTTAAGACAAGGTTTGTATAGACAAAATGAACGGGAAGGTCAAAAGAGTGACAGGAAATAATGAGCTGAGTAGTAAAAAAAAAGAGGCAGCTGCTGAACGAGATGGCTACGACCTTATGTACACCGTGCCAGCAGCTTGTTTGTGAGCTCTAACACACGGTGAACTCCTCGCATGTGCTGCTGTGGGATCACCGGAGACCTATGGTTCATCCGGCCTGGTTTACTGTGTCTGAACGCCGCCATTAATCACGATCGACACTAGTAATCTGCCACCCGGAGCTCCGCGAAGGTAGTTAGTGGATATAGAGTAAGTGAAAGAAGGGAGGCTCCACATGGCCACCAATGAACCCCCCGACGCAGGTGCGTAAAAGCTTCCGCGATGGTTATTTGCAAGGCGCAAACATATTTTGGTTGATATACCTCACGGTCGAGGCTTTGTCCCGTTAGGTGACTCTGCCATGCTGGTTTCCGTCGCCTCTTCACGTTGCCTGCACTCCGAATGTGGCTTTCTGTCTATTTCTTCGGTTCTTTGAATAAGCAATCATGATGCCAGAGCCAACAGAACTTCAGGTTTGGTCCATCTTACATGTGAGGGATAGAGAGCATACGCACCGACCCTCAGTGTGGAGTGGCCAGGCAAGGGCGCATGGATATGGCCGACCAATAGCGTCCAAACGGCCCTGTTAATCACTCATGCGTTTCGAGTGCTGCCAGGGCCCAAGCCCTCTAGTAGATCAACCTTAGGAAATCGGCGACCGTTGAACATCCTTGCATCAATGGTGCGTTGAGCTGAAGCCCGCGATGCTCACTTACCCCTGGCTCTGAAATCTTCAAGTGTGCGAAGGCGAAGACCAAGGGGCGAGTCCTCTTTGGTTCGTTAACTAGTCATGTTCCGTGAAATCGGTCAAGATGGAAATGCTTAAGAGGATTGATGCCCAGACCGAGATCGAGATGACACGGACGGTAGCCAATTAATGTCGAGATGGTGGCGTTGCCGTGGTTCGGGCCGACTGCCGCCTCGAAACATAATATCATAACAACGCGTCTGAGAGTGGCAAATGTCTTGTTGCCCAGTCATTCTTGTGTTTGTGTCGATTGGTCTGTTGCCCCATCGCGGCCAACGAAGACGTTCGCGCTTAGGCCGGGTAGATCTTGCAGTCTGATCTCATAGGGAGAGCATCAAGGGATATAATCGAGATCAATAGTTCGTATTTTTCAGGGTCATTTGGTAACGTGGCCATTGTGTCGAGTCTATATCATTAAAGAACGAGCAAGGCCTCACAGGGCTGGGGAGAGTCGAGCCTTGAATGTGATGGTGTGAATGACGGACACATTTGTGGGGAAAGTCAGCCGCCTTCATAGGCGCGAGGCAGACACTACCATAGCCGGTGTTATGGGGTCAACCATCAAAACATTGAGCTGGTCACACGGAATGTCGACCTGATGGGTTGCCGGATTTAGGCATCTACAATGTGATCAAATGAAGTTCAGGTATACTTGAGAACACTGATGGAATGTTACCAAGGAAACAGAGTACGCAATTCAAGATCTGGAACCCATGGCTGCAGCTGTGGATGGTCGAGCTCACCTCTTACGGCGCCAAAACAATGGAGCTGTCATTTGTTTTGAGCGGAGCCACTGAATTCAGGCAAAAGTTGTCATAGCCTCAGGCATCAATAGACCGTTGTCGCGTCAACGGCCCACACTAGTCCCAACTAGGACCAGCACAACATAACAGCGGCTTAGCGTGGCATGGCAGCTGCCCCATGAGATTTGTTTCCCATAACTCTCCCCTCATCTTTCATCTTAAACACTGCTCTGCACCCCTCGGGACTCTATTGTTATTTCCGTCTTGTTTGACTCAATCAGACTATGAGCAATTGAGACCTCGCCTTCGTCCATTCTTCCTTTCTTCCCTTCTTCCTCAGCGCATCCCGACAATCGGTACGGCTTGCCATAACATTGACGACAGACTGACGACACTGCCTATCTTCTCATTGTTTACCTTCCTTATCTTTTACCCTATCAAGTCGTGTGCTCTATAACAAAGGACACAATGACTACCGATTCTGGCCGAGGGGGCCAGATGATTGAGTACATCCAAGGTAAGCTGGCGCCGCTGCGCATGTCTCATATCTCGCATTCGTCGCATATAGGGATCTAACAACAAAACAAACAACAGATCGTCTATACCTGGCATCTTATGACTCCGCCCCGAGCTCGAGGACTACGTTCCCTTTTCCGCTCGACGCTCCCAAATCTCCCAGCAAGCGGCGGGCACAGCCTACTACACCGACTACCAAGCGCCGATCTCCCGTCTACTTCACCGTTGACGATACCCTTCTCTACAACGCTTTCCACGCCGATTTCGGTCCTCTGCATATCGGTCATCTGTATCGCTTCGCTGTGCTTTTCCACGAGATCCTCGGAGATCCGGCCAACAGCGACCGCCCTGTGGTTTTCTACAGCAAGACGGACCCCCGCAGCCGCGCAAATGCTGCCTGCATTGTGGCTTGCTACATGGTCCTGATTCAGTCCTGGCCACCCCACCTCGCCCTTGCGCCGATTGCGCAGGCCGATCCACCTTACATGCCCTTCCGCGATGCGGGGTACAGTCAGGCGGACTTCATCCTGAATATTCAAGATGTTGTCTACGGTGTGTGGAAAGCCAAGGAGCAGGGCCTGTGTGGCCTTCGTGACTTTAACCTCGAAGAGTATGTTATCGATCTTTGTTGTGATCGAGATGAACCCTCGACGCTAATTCAGGTTCCAGATACGAGAAGTTCGAGAGAGTCGATATGGGTGACTTCAACTGGGTCACACCTAACTTCCTCGCCTTCGCCTCTCCTCAACAGCAGCCCGTTGCGCCCATCCCTATGAATACCCCCGAGTACGATGAGCTCCCATCCTCCATCTCCGAGGTGTGCTCTACCAGGCTTCCTCTTCCTTTCAAGAATGTCCTCGTCCACTTTGCCTCCCGAAATGTCGGTCTCGTCGTAAGATTGAACTCCGAGCTATACTGCCCCTCGTACTTCACTGCCATGGGAATCTCCCACATCGACATGATTTTCGAGGATGGTACCTGCCCGCCTCTGCAATTGGTCCGCAAGTTCATCAAGCTCGCCCACGACATGATCACCGTCAAGAACAAGGGAATTGCTGTTCACTGCAAGGCTGGCCTCGGTCGCACGGGATGCTTGATCGGTGCCTATCTGATCTACCGCTATGGTTTCACCGCGAACGAGGTCATTGCCTTCATGCGATTCATGCGCCCCGGCATGGTTGTCGGCCCTCAACAGCACTGGCTGCATCTGAACCAGGGTGCTTTCCGCGAGTGGTGGTTTGAGGACAGTATGCGCGAGAAACTCGCTCAGTCTGCCCCGGTCACTCCTCGCGTTTCGACTAAGAAGCGCGCCAGCAATGGCACTGTCTCAACACCTCCCAACAACAGCCACTCCAAGCGCGCTGCTCTCGGAGAGATCGATCACAATGAGGGAGCTGGCCAATACGAGGAGAATCTCCCCGCCCCAACTCCTGGCCAGCCTCGGAAGTCCCATCGCAAGGATTCCCGTCACCACCCATATGCCCGGACTACGTCTGGCTCTCTAGCTGTGGACCGTGATGGCAACAAGTGCGAGGAGCAGACAAGCCGCAAGCACCGAGCGAGCAATGAAAGCAGCGAGAGTGAAGAGGAAATTCAATTGCGTATGCTAAAAGCCAAGAAAGCGTCCAAGTCCCCTGTGGCCTCTCCGACCACCCGTTCCATCAGTTACTCTGCAACTGTCACAGCTAGCTACACCTTGACTGATGACATCCACGAGGACCGAGAAAACTGGGTTGAGACTACGACTCCTAAAACTCCCTCAAGCCGCAAGAGCGCCGGCGCTCCCATTTCCGTGAGCAAGGTTCGATCTAGCCCTAGGAGGGCAACAGACAGCAGCAAGAGTGAATCACGAGGAGTGCGCAAGCTCAGCGGCCGAGTCGGTAGCACATCTGCCAGCCCGGCGCGCGTTGCACGTGTCCAATAATGGTCTGAATCTTAGCCCTTCAACTGACGACCCTTTCTATTCTTCCGTCCCACGGGACATCATTTTGCATACCCCCTTTCTGATGCATTTTCATGCTTTTAATGTTCTCCTCTTTCTCTGTCTCATGGTTTCTTCGGGGTCTTTTCTGGCGTGAAGATGGTTTTTGGTCATGTTTGCGCGGCGTTTGGTTTTCTGCTGTTCATAAATGACTGCGTGCATCACTTCGAAGTCGTCATGACTGGGACTTCCGTGGTTGATTCTGATTGAATTGCATTTTTTTCGGTTCTTCTTGCGTCCATGTCATGGTGATTTCTTACGGCGTTGTACCTTTCAATTCCACGGCGACATGACAATTTATTTCATGAAACTCGTCTATAACATTCTATCCTTCTGTTGCCAGCTGTAGCTGTATTGGGTATCTTAAGTGGGCATGTATCTATCATGAAGATTGCGGTATAAATAAGGATGTGCTTCGTTCCTCCGAGTCGCCTTGGGTGTCAGATAAATCGCAGCTCTCAGCAACATAAGTAAGGACGTCAAATGCTTCGAGTCCCATTGATGCAGCCACCATATCACACCATTCACTCGCAGGGAGGATATCATTACCCACGCCAGGTTTTAACTTGGAAACAATTCGAAACGGCAAAGGATTTAAGATGTCCAGACCATCTTGAGAAGATTTGCTGTTTATATGGCCTGTCCCATCTTTCTCAAGATACTGAAGTAACATCCCTAGAATGAACAGACAGATCTCGGAGCCCCTTGGTACACTATTCGCGAATTCTTGTGCAAATGTAGAAGGAACAGGCCCGATGAATGTCCCCCCATCACCATCACCGGCAACATCGGCCCGCAAGTTCTGCGCCGCTGCCACAACCCGCAGCTGTGCGGAGAGCTTATGAAGGACCTGACAACAGTGCAGAGACTGCGAAGCCACAATCTTGGAAGCTTCCTTCTAGTCGGACTCGGGATGGCTCATACAAAGATGTCCTGGGCCGGAAGCCATTGACGTACCTCTCTGCCATGTTACCCAGGCAAACAATATGCAGTCAACTTGGCTAGTCAGGGTGCTTGAATCTCAACCTAGGACGCTTACATAATAGGGCTCGACTGCAATAAGTTATGGACCTTGGAACTAGTGTGAAGGCCTTGATAGCGTTTAGGCCAAAAGAGCCTCTGATCCATTGATTCAAGGCCATTCACACACAACGTACGAAGCTTAGGATCCAAATGGGCCAGTGGTCAAATATCGCAGGCCTGGGAGCCGTAGGCTGAAGCTAAATGGCCACTTTTCTTGAGCTTACGCCAAATAGTCATGGCTGGAAGGAGGTGGCATGAAAGGCAAAGACTGAAGACGAAAAACTTATACTAGTATTTTCGAATGCTATAAACCAGAACAAAGGAAAAATGGGCCGTCAAGGCGTATTTCATCTAAATGTCACAGATTCCATCATCCTCCGGCTGACCACCCCTCAACCCACCACCAAGGAAATTGCCCATACCAGGAGATTTCCTGGACTTTGAGATCTCCTTTTGCCAGGGCCTTGTTTGCACGATCCAGTGAATTTTATATCGATTGGTACTGGTGGATTCGCATTAGTATAGTTAAGTGCCAAGACAAAAAAAAGGGTCCAAGTGAAACTAGGTATATGCGGATCGTAAATGTTCCGTATCGCCGGCGTGAGGGGCCAATTTCCATTGAATTGCATTTGACAGTCCGGAGCCACACTTGTTCTGATAATGAGTAAAGGTGCTCGTCCTAACATCCGGACATCGCCTAAAATTTCCAGAATGGGACAGGTCTTGTTATGAAATTGAACAGGACTTAACTAGTGGACACTAGCTCGCCACTTTTCAAGAATTTTCGGGATTTCTTGGCTATGTTAGATTGGATATCATGGAAACCACTAGCTGGGACTTTGAGACACTCAGATGGAGGGCTCTTTCTCCATAGACGAGCGACAGTTTTGTGGCTTAGCCTTGTGAAAGGGACTTTGAAGCGAGATTTAGATAAAAAGTTGGTTGATCCAATTCGAACTTCTATAAAGCCAATTCATCGGAACAGAAACAGCATGTTGCTGTAGAAGTTAGCACGAAAGAGAAAGTGAGATTTGAAGGTGACTTACTCATGCTTGTTATCAATACATGCAGTTCAAACAATCGCCACTTGGTGCCTTCGCTTGGGACAGTGGTATCGGTATGCAGTATAAGGTATATCCACAAGAACAAGTGGAAGCGCAACTGAGACACCTCCATTCCACATCCCAATCCCCGGTACACCGGCCCCGGTCCCTGCATGCTGGACCGTGCGAGAGCCTGCAGTAGATGGGACCATCTCGGTTATTCTAATGGGTCAACTATAACTAAAAGTTTTACAAACCATCACACCTTGTGTCTGGACGGAATTTTTTTCCCATTCCGGGTTTGATTCAATTCTAGCCTTGTATCTGGTATCTTTGCTATTGCCTAGCGTGGTGCTAAGACACTCCTAAGGCCGCGAGGTGTTTCCGCCAAGAACCACGTAAAATCAGGATTGGAAGCTCTGTTGGCCCTAACGGAACTTATCTTCCTCCACTCTCTTCTATCTTGAAAGGGAGGAGAGTCGACTGCACCGGTCTCTCCACCTGGGTGTTTTCTCTTGTTCCGCTGCGATATCGAAGACTAGGAATTTGATCTTTGAAACCATCTGCGACCATGGCCTTTCCAGACTGGCTGAGCATGTACGCATTCCAGGCATCACTTTGGCCGAATGAGCATCCGTTTCTAACTTGATATCCAGTATTCTTTTATTTCTGACAGCTTTTTCATTTTATCCATGGATTCAATGTCTCTGGATCAGAAAGGATAGCTCAGGAATTTCTGCCTACTATGTGCTTTTCAACCTTATCGCCGCAACGGAACAGTTCACCATCATATTCTTCCTTTTGGTGAACAATAACGTTGGCGGTGATCTCATTGTCCATACACCACCAACCACTGGCGACTGGATCAATCTCATTCAGATGTCATTATTCTGGATCTTATTACTTACTGTGTATGCGCAAGTCCAGCCTCGGCGCTGTCAGTTGCTGTTTCTAATTAACCTTTGCAGTTTTGCTCTTACTCTCCATTATCTTCCAAGGGATGATCTGGTCCACAAACGTACTGCTCTGGTTATTTACATCGCCTTTCTGCTCGTCAGTGTCATACCAGAATTAATTGATGTCATCACCGGGGGTCCCTATGATACAAATCCCGATCGGGAATTCCTATTAGTCTGGTTCTGCATTCCTCACATAACATTCATAAACCCCGTGGTGACATTTTCAATTATTGCATCATTTATCATTCAAATTCGTCGCTATTTACGAGAGGAATCGCCTTGTTTGAGTGTTCGCACACTTGCCACTCAAGCTGCTGTCTTCGCTCTTCTTGGTGCATCATGGTTCTTTCGGGTCCTGTGGCCATCGAGCCGCATCCCCGCATTCTTTGATTCTCCTCTTGTGGAATGGTATCGACAGATCGGATGGCCAGCTGTGGATTATCTCGCATTTTCCATTGGCCAGGCGATTCTTTGCTATTTCATTTGGAGACGTACTAATGGCAGAACTCATTCTCTATCAGGGGAAAGGGAGCCCTTGTTGAATGATCCTTAAGGTTCAATTATACTATTTTACGATCGCTGGATTTTGGCTTTCGTTTCTGGACGGAAAAAGATTCATTGCAATATTTATTCACAGATGTATTTCCAGAGATCTATCATAACAATAATAGCGATTTAGTCTGCGAGAACTAGCTCTATCTCGCTGGAAGAGGGAACAACGATTTGAGGTCTGCCACCATTATCATCATCTGTAAAGTCCGATCTCGTACTTTGACCATATCCCCTGAAAGTCACAACAGTATCAGCATGGGTCCCATCTTTAGTACCCCAATCCCACCACTCAATCGTTCCGAGATGATCTGGGAACTCCCAGAGCTCATCATCTAAGGTGAATGACCCTTCCCAGCTTTCACTCGGATGGAGACATACAAAGTCTTCACTTTGGGCAACGTGAATCTTAGAAGGTTGATCATTAACAAAACCGGGACAATGATCACCTTATCTGCAGGGACTCCACTGTTCGCTGCCACCTTGAACCCATCGATCTAATTGATAATTTAATTCGTCACGGAAGACATTGATGAAGGAAGTAAGAGGACCGGCAGTGGTAGCGTTGGTAGTATCGACACCGTGATATGTCACCTTGTATCGAAATTTCATGCTTAATCGCCGTTTTCTCGCTTCAGTTCTCTGGAGCCATTCTCGGTTTCAAGCGACACGCTAAGTAAAGGCACGTTGTGTCTAATAGATCCCTTGCTTCTGATTGGTGTTAGTATTCCGGAATGAGAAACCAACGTACTCCGAAATTTGGGATTGGGATCGCATAATGATCTGTAGGTCCAGTGTATAGTAGCGTAGTCGGGAAAAAGTAAGTGTTAAGATCGGAGCACGGAAGATATGTCCAGAGTCATGGGGGCTAAGTTACATCTGGGTGGACCTCGAACTCGTAAATGGCGAGACGAATGCCGTGATTTTTCTCTGGCAACTAGTTGATTTCTAGTGTCCAGAGTGGCGCCGAAGAGTCTCCGTGCGTTCTGTATGAGATAGGTTGTTGGAACACGTCCACGGGTGTATTTATGGTATTGTCTTCACCCTGATACCCCCGGGGCCGGCACTACTCATGTATTCGGGCTAGACCTGTATCCAGAACACTGGGTCATGACCCACACTGTATCTACAGAATGTGTACAATGATCTCATAGTAAAAGTCGAAAACAAATTCCCCCTCAGACACAAACGCTTTCTTCCTAGCAACTCACTCTAAATCGGCTAAGATTAATTAGGCAAGAAAAAACCCCTTGTTGGGGCCATCCGGTATCGTGGTTGGCTTCCGAGAACGAACTGAAACCAGGCGATCCGGAGTTGGCTCTCTAGTGAGTCGCCGGGGAAGAGAGCGTATATGTCTTGAGGGGGAGTGGCTGGAGGAAGTATAAGCGAGCTACGGCGTTGAGACATGTCGCCGACCTGTTCGTTCTCCCATTGGAGCGTTTCTCTTCTTTTTCTTCTTGGATAACGACACAATTGGAAAAGAACCAGCTGTGTATTTTAGGATTCCATCGTCCGGTTGCAGATATTTGTTGAGGGACGGCAAGTCACCCGATTAAGCTTGAGACTAAGATGCCCAACAGGTGGCCTCGGCCGTGCCCCAGGCTCGTGCCCGGGTTGGATTTCTGCAGGCAATGGCATTTGCGCTAGCTTGGACTATCTCTTTATAGATTGGAAAACCGATAGTGAAATAGTTCAATTATGAAAACGCCGGCTATTTCTGGTGTAAAAGGGACACCTTACACCTTTGTCAATAGGACAGAAAACTGTAAGCCATAATATGAAATGGAATCGTCCATGTTCGACAAATCATCACTCTACAACTTCGCCGCAGGTCTTTTCGATCCCAGCTTCATTCTCGTCACCTGAATGCCACTCTCCGAAGCTCTTATCATATCCGCATCTGATCTCTTACTCCTATACTCAGCCAAAACCTTCTCACCCGCCAGCCAACTCTGATACCAACGCTGAACCCACTCGGCCCCCACTGCTGCACACTTATCGATCTGCTCAAACACTACCGTGTGTGAGGCATCAAGCACAACCTTCTCCACCATCCCCCGTGCAGCACCGCCACTACCACCAATACCTGTCCCGGTCGTTTGCATCTTGGCATCTTGAGCCTTGGGAAACGAGACATAGCTCTGGCTACCAAATACCCAAAGAACACTAGGACGGACGAAGGGTAGATCCCGCCATGAAGCCCAGCATTCTGGTCGTGCAAAACTAAACGGACGCTCCTTTTCAATATCCCAGTCCGGCAATAAGAGCCAATCTAGGCCGGCCGATTCTGGTTCCAGGTTTGGGATGGTGTAGCTCCATGACTCTTGGTGTCTTGTTGTTGTTAGTGTTACGGCTGACGAAGGTAGCTCGGGATCAGTTTGCCGGTTGTAAAGGCGCGTTGGAACGGGTCGTATGCCGAATTGTAGGAAGCGCTCGGTGACTCGGGGATCCCAGGCGCGTTGGATTTTGCGGAGAGTTGCTTCTGCTTTCTCCCGGGATTCCCAGAGGTCTTGTCTCCTGGCGACGAATTTAGCTGGGTTGAAGTCTCCCCAGCGGGAATCGAAAATGACTGGCTCGTAAAGAACTAGTGTTGAGAAAAGGCGAGGGTGGATAATGGAGAGCCGGACGCTAGGAGATATTAGATGCCGGCTGTTTGTGTGAGGGATATGTACGAACATTTGGGCGCATCCCATACTATGCCCAACTCCAATGATCGGCCGTGGAAATTCATCCCGAAAGTGATTAACCATATGCAGAAGATCACGAGAATGATCGTACCAATGAGCTGGTAGGAGATCAGCAAATAGTCTCAAACGTGAAGAGCAGGACATACCCATGTCGCCCTGGATGTCTTCATTCAAGACACCACTTGCACCTTGATTGGAGACGTCGGCAATCCATATCGCACGCAGTGGAATCGAGTACTTCTTCAGGTACGCGTAGAAATGTTCCCACAGTGGCTCGAATAGTTCCTAGATGGGGATGGGTCAGACCTCTTTGTAATCAGTACTCAGAGATAGAATCGGCACCTTTGGTGCCCCATTTCCATGCACCCCGATGACCGTCACTGCATTGTCTGGAATAGGATCTAATAAATCGAGCGGAATGTACTGCTTGATCGCTAGGTGCAGAGCCGCTTCTTGGCGTCCTTTGATACCGTGGGGGTGCTCACGGATGTGCTGGCCTGGGATGGTATGCTCCACAATTTTGAAGACACCCATCGTGGTCTCGATCGGTAATTTGTGACAGATGCTAGAATGATCGAGGCCAGTTTTTATTGAAAGGTAATGGCCCCCAGCCCCGCTCGGTTCGGTCCAATTCCTGGGGTTGGATGCGGTGCTTACGTCACCTGCGATCCTTTAACTACGAGGCCTCGAAAATCATCCCGATTGTCGAGTACTTCTTTGATACATCTATCAAGAAAGTCTTGGTAATGATCAGGACGTCGTCAAGGTCAAATTCCGCAACGCGGAGGTCCACGAGTTCGACCTCCTGGTCGCGGCTGATGGCCAAGGGTCAAAGGTTCGGCGACAATGTTTTCCGCCAGAGTCTGTTACCGTGGTAGATAAGGGCATGTACGTTGCTTATTGGACCATTCCGCGTATACCGAGCGACAATGAATGGTGTCACATCTACCTGGCTCTTGAGTCAAAGGTTAGGTTATCGTTCTCAGGCCAGATCCCCATGGTACCGTCAGAGCAATGTGCTCTCGTGTACCCCAATCCGACATTGAGAAAGAGGCGTGGATGAAAGCATCTAAGAATGGCAAGGAAGCCCAGGAAATGATCCTTAGAAAGGACATCCAAGATGCAGGATGGCAGGCCCAGAGGTTTTTAGATGGCGTGGATCAATCGCCTGACTTTTATTTCCATGCGATGCAACAGGTCAGAATAGCGAAATGGTACATCAATCGTGTCATCTGTCTTAGAGATGTTGCTTATGCCCCAACGCCGCTCACAGGCGCTGACACTTCGCTGGCAATCATTAGGGCATACGTCCTTGCAGGCGAAATGAGCAAGTCTCCGGAAGCCGAACATCCTTCGAAAGCACATTCCGCCCATATGTTGAACAAGTTCAGGAGATTCCACCTTTTGTTCCGGGCATTGCACATCCCGACGCGGCATGGAAGCGATGGCTGCTGCATACCGCTATATGGGCATTATCAAAAGTCCTTTCGAGGATCTCGAACATCCCACGGTTGGCGAAATATTTCGGCTATGCTAACAAGAAGACTTCCCATTGCCTCAATATCCGAGACTCGATACCGAGGCCGCTCAATCTACAACCTCTTCGCATCAATAGACTAGTTTGCTTCACCGAAGTGGGCGTTATTGGGCCTAGTCCGGTTTGCTTACAGCATGTGAAGCGGATGCTATCAGCTAGTTTGAACATTGGAACGACTTTTATGCGAGGTCCACATTTGCAAAAAGAAATGTGCAGTTTGCTAGGAGTATCCACATATGAGACAAAATGCAATGTAGTTACACAAGGTTAATAGACCAGCAGGATCATGGGACATGGAATAGCATTTCATAGATCTAGGCAAAGACTTGGAAATATTTGGACCCTAATAGCAATAGCAAGACTTTCCAAACGAATGAACAAGATGCAGGAATGCAATTTGAGGATTGAGAATGGGCACGCTAAACCCTTTTGGGCGGAGTCATTTTGCCCCCGGGCCATCTATTTCTAGATATCGCAGATATTTTCCATCGGTCCCTAGTAATTTCTCATGGTTCTCTACAATGAGGAACACCGATGATCGCCGCTCGCAATCCCCGGCTACACGCCGTAATGGCACTCTGCAGTCCTGTGAGCCCTGCCGGCGGTCCAAACAGCGATGCGACCACGAGCGGCCTGTCTGCCGCAGATGCGCTTCAAAGCGAATCAACGACCAATGTTTCTACCACCCGGCTCCGATGACCAGGAGGAGACTCTCGGATCATGTCATTCCATCGCGGGTATCGTCAAGCCGGCTCACCAGCCAGCCAGCCTCCAAGTAAGAATGCGCCCAACCCGGCCGTGGAACCTTGGAAAACTAACAGACAAAAGTGCTTCAAGTCCTGGATCAATAGGTGGTGGGCGTCTGTATACGCCGCTGGAGCCACCTTCTGCTCTACCGGGATATCTGGGCTCGACGAGCTTCACAGCTGTTCTGGCTGAACATCGCAATGAGATCCCCCTGGAGCCGGAAGAAAGCACAGACGCGTATCCCGCCGTCTCGGTGGATCCAGATCGGGTCCAGTCCGGGGCAGAAATCCTGCTACTTCTATACAGTCTCAATGACCGTCGACAGCTGATTGAAAGATACTACCGCAGCAGCTGGGGTGCAGTGGTGCCCAAAATGATAATGGACGCGATCTTGGGATCGATCGCGGAGATTTTCGATGGCATCAACCCGAATGATCCAAAGCCACAGCTGCAAGACTTGTCCACGCGAATCTTTCAGAATTCTTCACGGGCATTAAAGACGCATCAGTCGATGACTGTTCAGGAATACTGCAATTCATTTATTGGCCTTAACTTCCGCTGGGAGGCTTTGGGTAGTATCTTAACTATGTGTGGACAGCAGCTGGTGATCACGCCAGACAACGATCCAGAATTTTCTCATGAAAGCGATGATCCGGGTGCCAAAGACCGGCTTCTTGAGCAAGTGACCGTGGCAAGTAGTGTTTGCCTGAGTTTCTGTGACCAGGCTTCTTCGGCCAATGAATTGTTGGCTTTCTTGCAGTATACCGATGTCATGCTAAGGACGCAGCAATATGGTGACTCTAGTATGTTCTTGTCTTTACAACCTTGTGAGATTGAATATTTCATTAACAATTACTTATAGGCTACCAAGCGTGGCGCCGATTGGGTGACTTGGTTGCCACGGTCTATGCCTCGGGACTGCATCTGGACGGCGAAGGACCTGATAATTGCCCCTTCTTTTTGCGCCAATGGCGAAGAGGCTGCTTTATATCGGCTTTTTATATGGATAAAATGATGGCGACATTCGTCGGTCGACCACCATTAATGAATTATCGATTCTGTACGCTGGCGTCTCCACTAGACCTGAGCGATGCAGTTCTCGTGGAAGGGGGAGAGGCTCTGACCAAGGCCATCTCCGAACTTGATCATGCCGGTTGGAATACCTCTGGCGCTCGTTACAGAATGAGCTCTTTGAGATTACGATTCCAGCTCTCGGTATACAGAGAGCAGACACTGGAGATTGCATTGGGCACTCTTGAGCCGCATGACCTAATTCGGAAATCCAAGTAAGATAATCCCATCTGAACAGTGGTCCGTGTCCAGAACTAATGCAGGCTTCCCGAACAGTGACATCGAGGCAAGAGTGCGAGATGTGTGGAGAGCAGCGCCAGACCATCTCCGATACGATCGTCGAAAGAATGATGATTTCCACGATGGCTGGCTGACGATCGTCTATCTCTATCTCAACTATCTCTACACCTGCTTCCTGCTGCAGCGAGCCTTGATCAAACATGCCGGTGCCAATCAAGATGCGCTCTGCGATGTGTCTCGCAGAATCTTGGCCATTGTGATTAGTATTACCTCTGTGCGAAACCCCATGGTCGACCTTGACAGACACTACTCGTGGATTGTATGTTCCCTTGCCTCGCTCTCGAGCATTTGCCAAGACATACCTTGCTGACAGATATACAGGCCCTCACGTATGGCCTCCCCAGTGCCAGTGTTCTTCTACTTGAGCTTTTGCATCAATCCCACCAACCAGGTCCTCATTCTGTTGTTCTTCCCCGGGCAGAGTTGATCCGCAACCTAAGCGTTTTCATTTCGCTTCTCTCCTGGGTATCACGCCCCGGTCACGGTAACTATCGTACATGCAAAGAAGCCGAGAAAAATCTGTCTCGCATTCTTGATCGCCTACTCGACCCGCAGCCGGTGCTGGCAGACACCGTGAATGATGTGACATCCGACCTGTCCAGTTTCTTGAATTGGTCGAATTACAATTCCTGGGATTTCAACTCGGAATATTTCCCCGCAGAGGGAGGATTTGCACCTTGATGATCTACGCGCTGGGTCATCTTGAGGCATGGTCTCATAATCATTAATAATTAAAGGAAGTAATATCGTGAATTTTTCATCGAATCAGATACTCCGCGATCATACCATCCAGATATGATCGTGTCGTGGCGGGATGTCTGCCTCAAAATAGGCCCTGTGACAAAGCGGGCAGTTGAAATGGTCACCCAGAAACCATTTTTCCAAGCACTCCCGGTGGAACACGTGCAGACACCGCAACTCTCGGATTTCTTCTGTACGGTTGACCTGCTCCAGGCAGACGACACTAGAGTTGTCAGTCTCCGGTCCTGCACGAATCAACAAATCAACCTTACCAGACAAACTGGCTGTCGACGGCATCGGAAAGATTCATTTTGCCTTTCGTACTGGTAAACCAGACTTCCAACGTGCGAGTCGGTGCGACATCATCTAGCTTTCGCAGGCGCTCATCCGGGGTTTTCCGAGATCGCAGAAGAGCCTGGCGATCACGGCGGTTGACAACAATTGTGAGACTGAGGATCCATTTCAGCAAGTGTCGCACAAGTCGGAATACTCGGAGATTTCGTGACAGAGGTTAAGGAAGAGGGACAGAAGTGAAAAAGGTAGATCGCATAGAATGAAACTTGGAATAATCTCCAACACCAAACTCACAGTAGACTTATTACGATCAGCAGCACGACACCCAGGCCAATCCCCAAGACGATAGCCATATGGCTCGCCTTAAGGTTATGCTCAGCCATCGCCCCTTAGTCCTTAGTCAGGTTCCTAGTTGGTCACATTAAAGAGAGAACGCAGAGAAAAGGGAAAGGAGATGAGGTAGATGGTCGGCTAGGGTGGTCATTAAAGTCAACTCCTTGACAGGGGAGCCGTGATCGACCAAAGCGGGGAGACGCACAGCTCACAGCTCGCTCTTCTGCGGGATGGAATCATGGAATCATGTCTCCCCCCCCTCCCTGTTCACCCCCTGTACCAATCGTCGTCCGTGGTGGCGGAAGGGATGCACGGGCCAAATCGCTAGCGGCTGGGAATGCTGATCGGCTGGGCTATCTTTGCCTTGTGGAACAATGCGAGGTCTGATTTGGGTCATCTCTGCCGATGGTTTGATTCTACATCGCATGGCGGGTGAGGCCATCGTCAACTTGGGAACCGCAGTCTCCACTCCACTCCACTCCACTCCACTCCCCACTCTCCACGCTTCATGATCGACTCTGTCCACCTGTCATACTTTATTTCTCGGCACTGGATTCCATTCTAGTGAACTAGTGAACTAGTGAATTGCAGCATTTTCTATCGTGGATGATACCCCCTACATCCTTCTCCATTCGAAGCTCTTCTCTCTCGAATACAAGGTCCGGTGCCTGACCAAACAGCGAATCAATCTCCTCTAGCGTTTTCAGCTTAGTCTCTCGAAAAAAGAAGAAGATCACGGGGAACGACACGCAGAGATCTATACGGGGAAGGAAACATCAGCCCAGCTCGAACCTAAGGGGGAAGAAAAACTCACTCCACGCCACAAAAACAAAATAAAACCTCCACTTTAGCCGATCCAGCGCGATAGGCGACACCTGATTCCACAGGGTACTTACGCCCCAGTTTCCGACTGCGACGGCGAAGGCGTTGCCCTTGCCACGAATTTGCATCGGCATGACCTCCGCCATGTACACCCTACTAGACTTTAGTCTCGTCTTTGCATGGTCCAGGAGGGACTTACCAGCTGCAGGGCCCAAAGGACATTGAAAAGATGATCGAAACGGCAAAAAGGAAAAACACCCCGCCAATGCTGAACCCGATGCGCTCACCGTTCGGATTTTGTGAGTTCAGTGCCGCCTCGCAAATCAGCGCTAAAGAGATACCGATCGTGCCGAAGAGCATGGGTTTGCGGCGTCCGACACGATCGAGCAAATAGACTACAAAGATGAGATTGGCGAGTGGGCCGACGCAGTTATAGAGGCCTGCGACGAGCGTGTTTCGAGAGCCCGTGAAACCGAGAGCTCGGTACATGATGGTCTGGTAGTAGCTGATCACGTTGATTCCGGTCATTTGCGTGAATGCTTGAACGGCGAGACCGTGGCTACTCGAGTTGTCAGAACTGGAAGTGGCAGGATTAGCGATACATACAGCATGCGTGTGCGCCATTGTGGAACCGTGAACATGGGCATCCATCCAGGCATTGCGATGGACTTTTCAGCCGCGATGGTCCTGCAGATTCCGGTGTACTCGGCCTCGATCCAGTCGTCATTTGTTCCATCCGAGTGCATCTTTCGGAGCACTTGCATCGCTTCCGAGAATTTGTCTTTCTCAATGAGGTACCGAGGGGACTCTGGAAGAAATATCATGCCAATGACAAGAGTCAAGGCAGGTACGACTTGAAAAGCTAATGGGAAGCGCCACTGGAACTCGCTCGAATCTGATGCATGAAGAGATCCGTATCCGATCCACCTTGCCTATATGAGCTTCGAACAGAAGTATGGTGGAATAGAGAACGTACGTGCTGACAATGAAACCAATGCCAATCATCTGCTGCGAGAGTCCAACAATCAAGCCTCGGGATCGTGGATGTGCGAATTCGGCTTGGTAGACCGGCACCGACATCGACATCAATCCCACAGCCCAGCCTGCTAGTATACGGCCAACTAGGATCATGGATAAATTCTGTGCAGACGCCTGCAGCGTTGCGCCAATGCAACAGATGAAGGCACCCAGCTGTATAGTGAATTTGCGGCCGAAGCGATCCATTGTCAATCCGCCTTGTAAAGAGCCGATCACCGCTGTTTAGATCAATCAGTTCTATACTTCCATACGATGTCAATCTAATAAGCAAGAAAAACATACCTCCGCCCGAGTACGTGCTATTGATGGCCCCAATAATAGCCGACGTCTGTGAAGTATTGAAATAACGTAAGAAGTTCGGCGAGATAATGACATCTGTCATAACACCACTATCATACCCAAACAGAAACGACCCCGTAGCCGCTAATAAGGCCACAGAGATAGAGTAGAATCGACCCATTGCGAACTTTCGACGTCGATCCGGGGAACACCACAAGCGGGGAGGCCATCCCGACCCTTTAATACGCCATCGAAAAGCGGGGGGATGCGTGGTAATCTGAAGTGCAAACTTCCTCTAACAGGGGGGTGAAGAAATCCGGGGTGACATTTTGCCCGTTCCCCAACCTTAGAGCCCTCGGGTCCATTGATCAAGTTGGTCCGATCCTATCAGAGTGGCCAGCGGGACCGCTGTCGGAGGGCCGATGTGCCCCAATGCGTTCCCGGTGTGCCGATGGGTATCCCCGCACGGCTCGTCATGGCTAGTGGTGAAGGCTAGGTGCTTTGACTGGGCTTTATGAGCATATAAATGTCTTATTAAGGCGTACATTGGCTGAGGCGCTCGGCTGTGGTGACTGCTTGCTTATGGCCCCGTTGTATATTCTGATCTCTGCAGAGTTGAAAATCTCGCTTAGTTCATGCATGTATTGAACTAGAGCAGTCCCACCCATTGAGGCTAACATGTACACACGAGGTGCATGGTATTAATTTATTTAGGTACCTATCTTTGAAACCTTTTCCGCATATGTAACAGTTTCCCATAATACGTAAAAGTAATTTAAGCAACACGTTCGGATGGATCCTTGGCGTCACGTGAACACGCGCATCTCGCGTTTGAGCCTTTGAAGATCCGATCGGAAGCCTTGAAAGTCACGGATTCATAATGGCACGGAAAATGTTGAATACCAAAGAGTAGGCGTCGGAGACTTGGGAATTCCTAGGATCTCGCGCATTCCACCAATGTGACGTGGGACACGCGAGTAGCCCCATCAGCCATACCAGGCCCAGGGCCCAGTGGGGACTCCCGAATCACCTCCGGCCACCGTAACAGCGTGTCTATGGGACGAAGCGAGAGTACAAGGAAGACAATGAGCTTAAACTAAATTGTAGAGTATGGTAACAGGTAGATTACGTATAGGAAATTAGATCGCGTGTACCACGAAAGTAGCAGGGACCTCGGAAGCGCACCATCTTTACTAGCGTGGGCACGTTCTTCTACCTCCGCGTCCACATCGCGACGCGATTTGATACACTGCGGGCTTCTGCATACTCGGCTCGCTTCTTCTCCAGCCCCGACCTTCTTTTTACTCCCCTTCAGCTTGATCTTAATCCTTCTTCTTTCTTAGAGATCCTCCCCATGCTCTTTCGGTTAATCTGATCATGTCCGATCTGGAGCCCTCGGTGGTGACGGCTTCGTCCTCACCGTCTCTCCCGGCCACCGACTCCAATACCCTCCATTACGCCTTCCTCGTTCATTCCCAAAAAACCCTCACTCAAAACCTCCCTCCTCGCGTCGATAATAAGTTATTAGCACGCCAAAAACGACGACGGACCAGGTGAGTTGCAGGTATTGATACCCAGAACGCGTCTTTTTTCTAACAAGAATGACCCGAATAGCCCGGAGGACCACGCAATTCTGGAGTCGGAATACCAAAGGAATCCCAAGCCGGATAAGATCGCGCGTACAAACATCGTGAACCGCGTCTCGCTCGGCGAGAAAGAGGTGCAGGTAGGCGATGCCAAGACTTGACAGTCTAAATCCTCCCGTTGTCCGCAGGGCTAACTTCTCGACAGATTTGGTTCCAAAATCGCCGCCAGAACGACCGCCGGAAATCCAAACCCCTTCAGCCGCACGAGTTGCTCGCGCCGAGATCGAGTATGTCCGACGAGTCGGGTCTCCCGAGTGATGATAACGCGTTCGCCGAGCCCGGGTCTTCGAGTGGGGCGGAGCTGAGTGAGGTCCTGGACCGACCGGAGGATACTAGACCAAAATCTTGGGGTGGGGACCTGTTGCAGTTGTCTGATGAGTTGGATCCGTTGACGGAAGAAAAGGACGAGTTTGAAATGCTGCAGAGCACACAAACAAGTGTGGCGACAGAGGCTGCTGAGGATACCCCGCCAACCACACAAGAGGATTTTCATGGACAAGAGTCGGGACTCACCATGAATGACACGTCGGAGGAGTCATTGCTGCAAGCTCCGAAGAGGAAACGATCGGTACCAGACCTTCCTGCTGAGAGTGTTAGCGAAGAGCAGGTGGCGGCTGTGCAAACAACACCAGTCAAATCTCCTCCATCACTGCGTTTGTCACTTTCATTTGATGGCGAGGCCATGGTGCGAAAGGAAGATGAGATGACACCGTCCCCTCCAAGAAGCCGGAGCGCATTGAGGATTGCCATGTCGTCAGACGGCAAGGCTGTGATCCGTGCAGAGAATGAACCGTCCCCGTCCAAGAACCGCGTGGCGATGTTCTCAGTTCGTCGAACAAAAATGACGGGCCTGCGTCGCAGTAGTAGTGCCATCTTCCCGTCGACACCACGGGTGGGCATGAGCGAAAATGACAGGGCATTTGGTCGCTCTCGCGATCCTCGCAACTGGGAGTCCTTCTTCGACACAGATGCACGAAGCGCCATTTTCACACCAACCAGCTCTCAAACCGCTCCTAATCTGTCACCCGGTCTCTTCCAATCCCGTTCCCAGCGCTCTCTGTCCCGAACCATGTCGGCGCGACAGAGCTACACTTCAATTCACGCCGACTCCGCCCGCACGCCTATCTCCCAGTCCATGGGTGAAAAGAGGAGGAAGCTCTCCCGCACTGTCTCATCTCTGGGTAGATTAGAGACCGAACGTAACAGGGTCTCCCACACACCATCTAAACTGTCAAAGTCAATGACTTCCAAGTCCAACAAGCCAGACCTCGAACTTGATCCTGGTGATTCAGACAAGGAGAATTGGGTCCCTGGTACACGTGCATCACAAGTCCGTCGACGGACGACGTCGCACGCTCCGCGGCCGGTATTGCGGGATGCCAACACCAACCGCCGAATGAGCACCATAGGCAACGGGAAGCGCAACCGGCCATACCCAGCCGGAACACAAGGCAAAGCCCCAGCCGACCTAGATGCAGATGTGTCAGCGTTCATGTCCAGCGGCACGGGCGGAAGCCAAGAAGACGACCTGGACTGTGTCCAGGGACTTCTCTCCCTTAGCCAAGGGGCATGGCGATAAGAACGAGAACGAGACAAAGAGGACCGGTATAGATTCGTCCCTTTGTTGACTTGTCATTTAAACTCCATTTCTTTTGTTTTCATTTGTGCAGCCGTGATGTATCTTCTTTTCTCATGATTCGCGATGTGTGTTTGCAAGCGGTCTTCGCCACATCTGTCACGTGAACTTTTATGATCCCTTGTTCTCAAGGTCTGTTTGCCTCCTCCAGGGGCTTTGATCCTTTGTGTTGCCGTTCTTGTCTGGAATAGGGCGACTTGGTTGGATATGGAGTCAGTCATGTCTGCTTGGGTCGTTATTGGTGGTTGTTGAGATTGGACGGTGGGACTGAGATCCCGGTATAGATCTACTAATCCTGGAATGAACCTCTGTAACGATCATGACCTATTTTCAATTGTAGGGACACAATAATTGTACGACAAGAACTCACTACCTGTGAATGGATTATGTCAAGGCCGTATCCTTGATAGTATGAGCCTTGACAAGTGTTGTGTTTGATTGCCCCTGTGACCCGACCTGCCTTCAGTAAGCCCTAGCAACTAAGAAATCTGTATAGAGTTCAAAATGCTAAAGGAAGTGCAAATTAAAATTTACACCACAAAGATGAAAAGACTCTAGCAGGAGGAAACATGGTATCGAACACCATTGAGGGGTTGAAAGCACAAAGGCACACCTGAAATGAGGCTTGTATTGCATGGGTCCCTCGAGAATCAAGTTGCGTCTAGTGGTTCATATTATAGTGTAAACATTCCTGCAGATTTTCCGAGAAACCTTCGAAAATTGATCTTCAGAAGCCACAAAGGACCAACTTAGTACCCACCGAGAACATTTGAATGTAAAGAGCCGACTATGCCTCCAAACCGAGCTTAAGATAGAGCATCTTTCAATCACAATGTACATCATATAATCAGGAAATTCTCTATGCTGTGTACACAAGGTCTATAAACTCGACTTCCTACCCGAAGGTAAAGAATCACCCTTCAACTCCCCAGTCCCAGCCTTCCCAAGCGCCAACTTCTCACACACCTGCGCCGCAACTCTCTCACCACTCCAGTAAGCCCCAGTAGTCGTACCAAGCGCCACAAACGGCGCCGTATGCTCACCCGCAAACCACAGACCCCGTCTCTCCCCAACGCCCGGACAAGCCCTGAGTGCCTCGATATCCTTATCGGCCTGCGTCAATCCCACTTGGAAATTACAATAGGACCCATTTCCCGCATACGGATCCTTCTGCCAGCATGATCCAAAGACATCCGTAGGAACACAGTCCGGAGAGGAGGGATCATACCCCGGAAGACGGGAGTAGAACGGTTCCGCGAACTCGAGCAGTGTAGTCCTGTACTCTGCCGACGAACGATCCAGGTCCGCAATTTGATTCACGATGTGTGCCCCGGAAGGTCCGTAGGTATAGAAGAGGAGAGTCGGCTGGGCGTGCTGTTCTGGGAAAGAGGCGAGAGAGAGACATTCTTGGTTCCACTCGATTCCTTGAGGCACATCTGTGTAAGATGGTTCGAGGAACTGGGCAAAGACGGGGTGTTTGGGTTTCTCGGATCCGTCGATGGAACATGTTGCGTCGTGCCAGAATGCGCGCGGGAAGCTGACAATTACTTTCTCGAGGCGTCCATAAGAGATGTTATTGATGGCTTGGAGGAGTCGGTCTGGGAGGGATGGAACGAATGCGTTGGTATTCTGCTTGAGCCAGCCAAGGGGGCAGGTCACAACGACTTCGTCGAAGGTATACGACTCTCCCGTAGCAGTAGACACCGTGACTTGCTGGTTCAAGGATTGAGAGTCATCTCTCTGTGGTGCCTCAATGCACACAATGGGCGTGTTGAGTTTGATATCGGCGTGTGAGACAGCCGCTTTGGCAACATGCGCCAGAATATGCTTGTAGGTGCCAGCTACAAAGTAATTTGCTATAGAAGGTGTTAGCACGCCAATGCCGATGACTTCGTAGGAGGCAAGACCCACTCCCATCAATGCATTCCTCCAAAGAGAAGAATTTGAGAGACTGTCGGTCGATTTTATCGCCAACATACGCGCCCCAAAGCTTACAAGCATCCAAGCACATCTTCTTATCCTCTTCCGAGAACCCCGTCTGCTGCACCTTCTCCATAAAAAAGTCGAGCAGACTTTTCTCCGGCGAAATGCTGTCCGCATGGGCATTGCTGTACTCGAACGCCTCTCCGATAGTAGTCCACACAAACTCAGAGACTTTATTCGCAATCTCTTCAGAGAAGAAATGCCCCTCACGCGAAGCGATCATGTTACTGCCCTCCGGCTCATGGAAGATAGTCTTCGTAGCCTCGGCGATATCCATGATCGGGTTCTCGCCCGAGCCATGAATCCAATTCGGACCGCTGTGACCGCAGTCAGCCTTACCGTGACGGGATGCAGATACGAGACAACAGCCAAAGAGGACGAAGGAATGAGAAAGATCATACGTACAGATCAATAGGATAACCTCCTATTTCACCTTGGTGCACCTAGAGAGATAAGCTTTCAGCACCCCTGCACACCCAGTACAACGCATCCAAAAGGGCATCAGCTCATCAAGAACAGTCCAGAGTCACGTACCCTCCCCCCAATACGATCCCTAGCCTCCAAAATAGTCACTCTGACGCCATTTCGAATGAGAAGATCAGCACAGCGCAAACCCGACAGTCCCGCGCCGATAACGCCAACATGGGGTCTTGAAGACATGGTCCTCGCACGACTCGAATAGCGAATCGGAAAGCGACCGAAAGTCTCGTGTGTGCGCCTGAGCACGTTACTGAGCATACGACCCTGGTGAAAAAGGGATGTCCAAGGGCACGAGTCCACGAGCCCACGAGTCCACGGGTCGTAGAAGGCGGGGGCCCAGGTGTACCGGACTACGGCGGATGATTGGTTGTCAATGGATCTATGGGGACGCTTGGCGGTCCGAGTTGGGCCCGACGATAGGGTTTCTGTTTCTAGTTGCGTCTACGCAGGAACGATGCAGGGCGTGCCTGGGGTTTAAGGATCTCATGGAGATTCGAGTCTTCGGAGTCTGAACTCGATGGGACTAGTGCAAGGGTTTGGGTTGGGATACGTAGAATTGATAGTATCGAGAAACAAGAACGAGATGGATCATGCGCTGCATAATCAATGGAAGCCATGCGCCGGGTCTGTCCTCCTGCGCGCCGGAAAACAAAGTGCGCCACCCACAATAAAACTCCTTTTCAATAATGTCGCTTGGCAATGATGGAGGTCGAGGGATATGTACGTATCGGATACAATGTAAAGGAGGGGGGTATCAAGTAGGGCGAGACGCGGAGCAAAATGCGACGTGTGCAAGAGATCGCCCGGCCAGTGGAGATCAACTCCAGCCGGGGAGGCGGATGCTCGTAATGAGGGAACATGATGCGTCGAAGTACAGGAGTGACACTGTACCGGATAGGGGTTCAGATGTCTTCAGTGGATGTGCGAATGGTCGACCCCCTCAATCTTCCCAGATGGTCTCCAAGTCAAGATCCTGGCGTCGCTCGGCGCCGCAGACACTCCATCGCTTGCGCTTATCGCTACGTGTGGTGTAAATGTTGGATCCGCCGCGCATGGGGTTGAAGGCGTTAGACGGCGATGTCTCCGAGGCCCCGCGTCGGCGGTTTCCATTGCCCGCAGCATCGGCGGCATCGGCTGCAGCCTTGAGCTCAGCGATACGTTCGTCTTCTTCGATAGCCTCCTCCTCCTCGTCCGGAATGTCGGGAATAGTCTCCAGCGAGGAAATACTGGGGCTTCGCGATCGAAGACTGGTTGGGGTGGAGGGTATGGAGGACGTGGAAGACGCAGGATAGATTGGGTATGACTCGTTGTACTTGCCGCCTAGCATGGGCGGCAAATTGTAGGCAGGCGGACTGCTGATGGGCTGCTGGAAAGGAAGGGGGGAAATAGAGCGCATGCGAGCGACGCGGGGGAAAGTCTGCGGCATGAGCACCGGCGAGGAACCGGGCTGTGAGGTGGGGGATCGCGGGACTGTCTCGAGCTCTGCGTTCTCAGAGATGGTCTCAGAAATGTTGAGTGACCCCAGACGGGTCTCGATGTGATCGTCGGCGCGCATCTGCAAGGGCATCATGGGCCGCTTCGCGCCATCCATCGAAGGTGCAGGACCCCCGCGGCCGTTGACGAAGATATACCTTCCCCGGGAGTCCAGCCCTGGGGAAGAGTAGGCGCGCGTCATCGATGGCATGCCGGGAATTCCAACTAGGGACCGAGAGCGGAGATGCGATCGGGCCAAAGGGGATCGGGTCCGAGGGGGGCGCGGATGGTTCGGGGGAGAGCGACAAAGTGATCATGACGTCCTCCTTTCCCACTCGATCCGGAGCACTCCCGGAGCTGTACCCCGAGCGATCGCTGGAGTCGGAGTGAGGAGAGCGCATGAGCTCAGGTCGCGGTGACCTGTCCATGGCTGTGATCGAGGCGATCAAACAGGGTGAGAAAAAGGGGGTGGTCGATGGGTGATGAAGGTGAAGTGGTTACAGGCGCATAGTGTCAAGAAGGCAGGGGCGAAGAATCGAAAACCTTGGACCGGCCAAGCTTCGAGAAGCCACGGGTGCTGGTGGTAGAAGAGGTGAACCTGAGAGGGAAGAAGAAAAAAAGGATGAGGCAAATGCGAAACTGCGCGGCAAGGCCCAGACCGTGGACCCTGCGTATACCTGCGTAAGATCGGCTTTCCTGCTCTTTCTGGTATCTACAAAGCAGAGATTTCCCATGTCTAGAGAGTAATAAAGACAGAACGATCTTTTAGCATCGCGGAGCACGGGGTGTTCATCCATGGGTTTGCCACAGAGATAGGAGCCTCTCCACCAATCGTCCAGTCACACCTCGCAGTCTATCTGAACCTCTTGTTCTTCCTGTTCCGAAAAATTCCCGGGCCTGATTCTCCGTGACGAGGGGGATTGAGCCAGACTTGTTAATTGCCCATGAGGCTAGCAACCGCCATGGCTTGCACATGCCATGCCATCAACGACCGGACTTCTTCCCCACATGCGCTCTTCAGGACCCTTGGCGGCCGTCGTAGATCCATGGTCTATAACATGCTGTATACTATATCGTCTGTTCTAGCCAAGTCCCTCGGCCTACTGAGACAACGGGGCTTTATACCCTTGGAACCGAACAGCGCCCAGGAAAGCAAACGATGAAGACCGAAGAACGTCACTTCTATGCTCTATTCAGGGAGAGGGGATTTGCCTAAGCCGCCTTCACATGGAAGAGCCGTGAGTCATCACCGACGAACGTGAAGAAAGAGGTCTAGTCTCTTCCACAGAGAAAGTGGCAAATAGCAAACGTTTGAACAGATCGATGATCCTATCGACACCCAAAAGACCAAATCCCGATAGCTCTCTGCGGGATATGGGATATGTGAGGAGAGCAGCCTCACAAACCACTTTATCCCACCACTGCAACTCTAGCCAAGCTTTTCACGCCAGAACCCTGGATCCCAAAGTGACTGCCCCCGCAACGGCACCGCCGGGCGCCGCTGGGCGGTGGAGCATAACGCCTGTCGGGACCGAGTCATCAATCCATGGCTCCCGAATCGAAAAAAGTGGCCCAATGTCTCGACCACCACAGACCGATGCATCTCACCTTCCTTTCACGGTTGACACGTAAATAACCGAAGAGTGTGATCGCTTTCCTCAAGCCTCGCAACGCAGCCTTGCAGTGGACCCGATGGGCATACGCAACTCCCCATTCGTCCACGCGGCCCTGACATGCAAGCAAGGGCCGCCGCGATTTCGATCTGGGCTACGACGTTCTAGACACATCCAGACTTTCGAGAGCGAAATTTCACATGATACATTCGGATAATCTGATTATAGGACAAACTGATGGTAGTTGACACAAGACAAATAGTAAGGTATAGGTATAGGTATAGGTATAGGTATAGGATCTAGGGATTAGGAGGGGGGGGGAACAACATGGGAATCAGTGTTGGTGGTGCGGATGGTGCGCAAGCTGGTGAACCCACTCCTCCTTACACTTGGCCGCCATTTCTGAGCGCACGTACGTCTCGCGCACTGAATCGCCCTCGTGCTTGAGAACAACCCAGTCACCCATGCCCTTGTCCTCTGGCGCAAACCGCACGCCACGACCTCCGCCTCCGACGATGACATTGCCGGGTCGGTACTTAGGGTCCGCTTGCATGCGTCGGATGGCTGAGACGTGGATTTCTGCCTCGAGTGGGACGTCGCGGACTTCGCCGCGGGGAAGAGGCCAGCGGATGGGTTTCCATTGTCCGTCGGATTGGAGATCCATGCGGCGGAAGGGGAGCCATTCCATGATTTTCCAGGAGATGACTGAAGTCGCGGGGAGGCCTTGGTTGAACTCTAGACAGTCGTGTAGAAGACCCTTGGTGCTGGATGTGTGCAGGGCGTGCCAGAAGTCGCGGCTGGCAGCTGAGCGCTGCTTGTCGTCGGGGCCCTCGCGGTAGGCATTCGGGTCGTCCTTTTCGCTGTGCGCCTCGCGACAGATCTGGCTAGGTCGTCGGGCGGCGATTTCCTCTTGGATCGGGGTATAGTCGCCGCCGTACTCCTCTAGGCACTGGAATTGTTTCATCTTGCGCTCGTCCAGCTCCAGACCGGCTTTTTGGGCTTCCTGGACCATCCATACGAGCGGTGCGTGGCTCAGGGCCCATAGCTCACCGCCATCAAGTTTCCAACCGCCACCGATATCTGCGTGGCAGCCTGGGAACCAGATCTCGTGGATGTCTTGGTCTTCCTCGTCACTGCCGTAGTCATCGCCGGCGTTGCTGGGGGCCAAGAGGGAGAGACCGCCGCCAGACTGGCCGCTGCGTACGGACAGGTTGTCATCTCCTGGGGCAGGGCCGCCGTTGGGAACAGCGAGGCTGATGCTCCGGTTGGAACGGTTGGGAGATGGGGGACGGTATCGTTGCTGCTTCTCAGTTCCGAGGTCGCTTCCCTGGTGAGAGGAACCTTCGCGTGGGTGGTTGCGGTATAATGACTCGCCTGCGGCGGGACCCCAGCTAAATTCTTCGAGTGTCTTTTCTTCCTCGGTCAAACCTCCGACGTCCGCCACACCATTCTGGGCGTTGTCATTCACCTGAATTGAGGGAACAGCCGGGTTCTCGTTAGCCTGAGCAGCCTGGGCAGCCTGGGCAGCTACTTTGTCCTGGTGGCGGAGGTGCAAGTGGTGTTGCGCATCGGTATGGCGCGCCATGTGGTTCTCCAGACGGTGCGGCGTGAAATGAGGGCGATGGCGCTTATGCGTCTTGTCATGAGGACGTTTGCCAGAAATCAAATCCTGACGGAACTTGGCACGACGCTCGTCAATCCCAACCGCATGTCGAATCACATGTGCGGAACTGCGCGCAGTGTAAGGGAACTTGCTGCGCTGCATCCACGCGTTCTCGAACCGGGGAACACTATTGACAGTATCAAAGAGACCCATGAACTGAATGCGCGAAATCGGGCGACTGAAGGTTTCACGGAAGGCCTTCATATATTCGAAAAGCTTCTTCTTCTCTTCCTGGTTGTCTTCCGCTTCGCCTGAGCGCTGCTGCCACTTGGCGAAGGTTTTCCAGGCGAAACGGATCAGCTCCTCATTTCCGGCTTCGAGGAGACCGATATAGTCGAGCATCTCGGCCAGGAAGCGCGCGATATACGCACCGCGACTGAATCCGATGAAGAAGATCTGGTCCCCAGGGGAATAGTATCGCATCAGGAACTTATAGCCGCCCATAACGTGCTCGTCGAAGGACGAGCCGATTGCGGAGTCCTTGGCCTTCTGGTACCAGGACTTGATGCGCTGGATGCGACCATGGCTGGACAGCGATTTGGAAGTCACGTAAGTGCCGATTCCAGGTTGGTAGTAATGGTACTGGTGGCTCTTGCTGCGATCCAGCATCTATATGTCGGTTAGTTTTCGGATTCTCCGCAGGAGGAAGCCAAACATACGCGAAAGATTTTCAAGACATTGCTATCGGACTCGTCACCGGCGAACTTATTACCAGTACCGTCGAAGCAGAGCACGAACTGCTTCGGATTGGAATTCGGTGGTACGTGGTGGAGCAGGGGATTCGCCATCTTTGCGCGAATGCCTTGGTCCAGGTCGCGACCAAGGGGGACACGGGCTTATACGAAAAAACTCGGACCCAAAGCAGCGGTTGATGCATCTCAGAGGAGCCAATGACGAAGACTCTGTGGAGGGGTTGGATCAGAATTCCAAACATGTCATTAATCGGGACGATCAAAATACGTCAGACACTAGTGGATCTTGCTCGGCATCACTCTCTTGCAGCATTGGTGTTTTTCTTCTTGCTCCCTCCAAGATGTGAAGCTTGCCCCCCCAAAGACTACTCTTTTTGCACATAACGGGGATGCATCCCATCCAATGATAATGGCTCGGTCCTCCTTGCTCTGGTTACGATCTGGGCTGATCCTGGCATGGATTTTCACGGGGCTGGCGTGGTGGGGGGGGATCTATTACCTGAATAGGTCTGAAGTACAACCCCCTAGGGTACATCTTACAAGAATCTCAGCTGCAGGTCTTTTCTTTTTTTTTCTTTTCTTCTTTTTTTTGTCCCTATCTCGTTGCTACGCGACATTTCCACCACACTTGTTTAGTGGCATTTAGCCTCGGCTGGCGCAAAGGCCAGGCCTATAAGATCACAATAGGAGTGGTAGGTTCGGAAGAATTACGGATGATCGAACCCCACGCCGAGAACTGAGAAGATCGCACTACCAATGAACTGGACCCAGGGGGTTCGTCTTTTCAGACTTCGATCGAGGCTAACCGGGGTTGGGGAAGGCGAATTCACGTCGCCCGAGCTCCACCTGTCTGCCGTCATCTGAAGACTTTGGTCAATTTCGGGATGCTTGAGCAGTGACGCGGACCGAAACTTACGCTGGAATTGAGTGTGGGACGTTAGCTACATTGTCGAGGACCCCTTTCCGGAGAACGGAGCGGGGCTGAGGCCACTTGGAGGAAGGAGGAGCTGAACAATCACATGGAGTATCCCCCTAGCGTGGATGCTATACAGTACAGCATGATTTGTGTTTTCCCTAGTTGTTTTGTTTGTCATTGTTGCAGCCACGAGACGGGAGTGGCCGGCCCAGCCTGGCCGAGCCGTGGTTCTGCACGAGACTAAAAACCTGGGGAGCTCCAATCCTGCTATGTATGTCTTCCCCTCGTGCACTTCAAACTGGACAAGAAAGGGTCATACGAGGACCCTGACGTGAGGAGACTGGATGCGATAGATCATATTCTGAGTAATTCCTGGCGATGACTGGCAGTGCTGGGATCCAATAAGGGCTGGTATAATGTGGTTCATGCTGTTTCGCGGGCCGTGAGCAGCTTGGCGCTACGCTAAAGGTCATAGCGTGTGGGCGAACGGGTGGGCCATCGCCGATCGAAAAATGTAATGCATCAGATGTAGCTGACCGGAAAGGGTAGTGCCTAAGCTACTGCTGATCTCGATGCTCGGGTGGTACATCCTGCCTTCTACGGATATCACCCTCAGCCAAGGATGACAACCATAATGAACTTGCAATTGCAAAGAAACCGGTCACTCCGTGATCGACTTCCAGCCAGCCACCTGGATCTCCCTGAGTTTTGCCAAATGAAAACCGACCCCCACTTCGCGGCTGCCACGGCCCATCGGACCCATCTAGCTGGATCTCGCGATCCTAGTGTGGGCCGCTATGACCGAGATTTAGTACACCGCTCTTGACACCCATCACATCGGTAAACACCTGCCCCTTGGGAAAGCTTCGATGTCTATCACGGGCTTGACGTCAATATTGGTGCGATGGTACCTGATCCCTGTCTATCCCTGTCTCCTGTTGCCCAGGTGCATGGGACGTGCACATGCACAAATACACACACACACAGGGCAGTCATTGTATACTGTACATCCAGGAGAAGGGACGTGTCGTGTCCAATTACCTGGGTCCCCCCCCTTTCCTAGACCTCAAGCTCCCCACTATTCTGCGGATGGGTGATCTTTTACTCGGTTCAGCTGTACATGACGAAACAGGTGGGAGCCATTGGCTTGGTCTCCACCACCGAATCATCGCAAGCTCGTCCCATGCGGGGCGTCCGTCATGATAGGTCACTGCGTTGACTATGAGCCACAAGTTCCGGGCAGATCGAGGCTAGTACTCGCATTCGAACCATTTCCCAATTAGATCTGGACCACCGTCAATCAGCTATTGGCGATAACAAATCCGCCACGGACGCTCCACAGTCCTGCAGCTGACTCGGGTCGCCCGCACAGCTCGTTTTTAAATCCGGGTGTCGCGCGCGTAGGTCTCCCGCTTTCTTTTCCTCTCCTGATTTGGCCCATGGTAGCCAATTGTCTTTGTATTTCTTGATATACCCCTACAAGTCAATTTTTTGGAGCGGCTTCGCTCTACAGTCACAGTCACGATGTTGAAGAGATTATCTACCCAGCTCAAGCGCAATAAGGACACCAATGGCGACGCCGAGCCCAAGGCCACAAAGGCCTCCAAGGCCCCCAAGGAGAACGGCAGCAAGCGCTTCTCCAAGGCCTCACCCGTCAGGAGGTCCTCCGTCGCCCAAGAGGAAAACCACCAGGTGAACCGCGCCGAGGTTGTCGCTGTCTTTGAGAAGTATGCGCAGGCTATTCACGCTTCGCGCGAACCTCTGCCCAATCAGACCGGCGATGGCACCTACCTCAAGCACGATGAGTCTTCTGGTCTGATCAATGACATCAAGTCGCTCGGTTTCCGCGACATCAACACTGTCAAGGACCTGATCAAGAGCAAGGCCTCAGGCGAGCTTGTCGACGACAAGACCTACCTCATGGAGCGCATTATCCAGGTACGGACTGATATTCAATGGTCAATCGCAATTGCAACAGGCTAATGCAGATTTGAATTGCAGATGGTGGCCGATCTCCCCGGTCATTCGAAAAACCGTACCGAGCTCACCAATCAGTTCCTGGATGAGCTATGGAACACCCTGCCTCACCCCCCTCTCTCGTAAGATCTCCACAATTGCATTTGCCACGGATTATTCTCTGACGCTATGCACAGCTTCATGGGAGATGAGTATAAGTACCGCTCTGCCGATGGCTCCAACAACAACCCTACTCTTCCCTGGCTCGGTGCGGCCAACACCGCCTACTGCCGCACTATTCCTCCTATGACCATTCAGCCCAGTGGTCTGCCCGATGCCGGTCTGATCTTCGACAGCTTGTATGCCCGTCAAGAATTCACCCCCCACCCCAACGGTGTATCGAGTGTGTTCTTCGATTGGGCCTCCCTCGTTATTCACGGTAAGCTTCGCCATAACGCCCAAGTGGCTACAGGTTCTCATCATTTCAATAGATATTTTCCAGACCGATTACCGTCAGCAGCACCTTAACAAGACCTCTGCTTACCTGGATCTCTCCATTCTGTATGGTGACGTCCAGGAGCAGCAGGATATGATCCGTTCCCATGAGAGCGGTAAACTGAAGCCCGATACCTTCTCCGAGGGTCGCCTGCAGGCTCTTCCTGCTGCTTGTGGTGTCTTGCTGGTTATGCTTAACCGTTTCCATAATAACGTGGTCGAGCAGCTGGCCGAGATCAACGAGAACGGCCGCTTCACGAAGCCCCGCGATGGTCTGCCTGCCGAGGAGGCCGCAAAGGCCTGGAAGAAGTATGATGAGGACCTGTTCCAGACTGGTCGCCTCATTACTTGCGGTCTCTATATCAACATCACCCTGTACGACTACCTACGTACTATTGTCAACCTGAACCGCACCAACTCCACCTGGTGTCTGGATCCCCGTGCGCAGATGGAGAAGGCTGGTTCCACTCCTTCAGGCCTGGGTAACCAATGCTCTGTCGAGTTCAACCTGGCCTACCGTTGGCACTCGGCCATCTCTCAAGGTGATGAGAAGTGGATCGAGCAGGTCTACTATGACCTGATGGGCAAGCCCGCCGAGCAAGTGACCATGCCCGAGCTGCTGATGGGCATGAAGAAGGTCGAGGGTATGCTCGATGCCGACCCCTCCAAGCGTACCTTTGCCCACCTGAAGCGCCAGGAGGACGGTACCTTCAAGGATGAGGAGCTCGTCCAGATTCTCACCCACGCCACTGAGGATGTTGCCAGCTCTTTCGGTCCTCGCAACGTCCCCAAGGCTCTCCGCTCCATTGAGATCCTGGGTATCGAGGCTGCCCGCCGCTGGCATGTCGGTTCCCTCAACGAGTTCCGCAAGCACTTTGGTCTGAAGGCTTACGACACTTTTGAGGAGATCAACTCCGACCCGGAGATTGCCAACACCCTGCGTCATCTGTATGAGCACCCCGACTACGTCGAGCTGTACCCCGGTATTGTTTCCGAGGAGGCTAAGGAGCCCATGATTCCCGGTGTCGGTATTGCGCCTACCTACACCATCTCCCGCGCTGTCCTTTCCGATGCCGTGGCCCTGGTCCGTGGTGATCGTCACTACACCATTGACTATAACCCTCGCAACCTGACCAACTGGGGTTACAACGAGTGCCGCTACGACCTCAACATCAACCAAGGCTGTGTCTTCTACAAGCTGGCTACCCGCGCTTTCCCCAACTTCTACAAGCCTGACTCCATCTACGCTCACTACCCCATGACCATCCCCAGTGAGAACACGAACATCATGAAGACGCTCGGCCGTGAGCAGGACTACTCATGGGACCGTCCCGCTTATACTCCTCCCCGCGTGAACCTTCTCGCGCACGAGAACGCCAAGCTGGTCCTGGAGAACCAGGCCTTCAAGGCCTCCTGGAGCCGTTCCATGGATGACCTCTTCGGCAAGGGCGAGTGGGACTCCAAGCAGCGTGCCGCTATGGGCCAGGCCTTCAACACCGAGGACTTCCCCAAACTGGTCAAGAAGTTCTACGAGGACATCACCATCCGCCTCATCTCCGAGAAGGGCGCCAAGCTGGCTGGTATCAACCAGATCGACATCACCCGCGACGTCGGCAACGTGGCTCACATTCACTTCGCATCTGCTGTCTTCGGTCTGCCACTAAAGACTGAGGAGAATCCTGCTGGTCTGTTCACCGAGCACGAGCTGTACATGATCCTGACCACTATCTTCTCTGCCCTGTTCTTCGACGTTGATGCCACGAAGTCGTATTCCTTGAACCGTGCCTCCTCTGCCGTCGCAACTCAGCTCGGCCAAGTCGTCGAGGCCACCGTCAAGGCCGACACCAACAACGGTTTTGTCAGCAGCCTGATGAGTAACTTCCGTGACCACGACAATGCCCTCCGCGAGTACGGCACTGGTGCCCTCCGCCGCCTCCAGGAGGCCGGTCTCAGCTCCTCCGAGATCACCTGGTCCCAGATCATCCCTCTGGTCGTTGGCATGGTTCCCAACCAGGGCCAGGTCTTCACCCAGATCATTGAGTACTACACCTCGCCCCAGGGTAAGCCCCACCTCTCCGAGATCAATCGTCTCGCCAAGCAGGACACCGCCGAGAACGACGAGAAGCTGTACCGCTACTGCCTTGAGGCCATCCGTATCAACGGAACCTTTGGCGCCTACCGCGAGGCCTCAAGCCCCATCACCGTCCAAGACGGCGGCAAGACCATCGAGATCAAGCCTGGCGAAAAGGTTTTCGCCTCTTTCGTGCAGGCCAACCACGACCCTACTATCTTCCCCGAGCCCAACGAGATCAAGCTTGACCGTCCCATCAACTCCTACATCAACCACGGCCAGGGCCCTAACACCGGCTTTGGTCAACAGATCACTAAAATTGCCCTTGTCGCCATGCTGCGCGTTGTTGGTCGTCTCGAGAACCTCCGCCGTGCCCCTGGTGCTCAGGGTCAGCTCAAAAAGATCCTTCAGGAGGGCGGCTACTACGTTTACCTCCGCCAGGACGGCACTTCTTACTTCCCCTTCCCGATGTGTAAGTTCTGATTCCAGCTTCCACTCTCTTACATTATTTCTAACGAACCTCTTCATACAGCGCTCAAGCTCCACTGGGATGGCGACTTCCCTCCCAAGTTCTAAATGGTCTATTGTACCAGATGAAAATTATATTAGCCTGGGACTATGGTCCGGGATGTGGAATAATGTGCGGCTCTTTTGGTTAGCCATGGTTTACGGGTTGATTTTGATTTTTCGGAGACTTTGTACTCCAGGATATCCAGAGATTGTGTTTTAGTTATGATTTGGCAAATGTAGTGTATAGGGTTTCATGAGATTCAATGGTGCTCTTGATATATAACTTTCCCTTGCGTGTTCGGTGGAGGTATAGGCTGAGATCAACTTTAGTGCCAGGTAGGTTAAACTGTGGGTAAAAGGCTTTCGCATCTGAGACTGCGAATATTTTGACTAGCAATTGAAATGTGAATACTACCCCTTGAATAACATTCATTCAATCATTCTCGTCAGAATCATCCGCGTCATTAATCTGATTTTCGAGGGCAATTCAGGTGTCTTGGATAGTTGTGCCCTCATTTAATCATTCAATGCCCTCTCAGCGGGGGCTTTTTCTTAAATGGAATCGTAATGTTGTATTCACCAGAGATCACGAACTTGACACCAATCCGAAGGTCGATATTTCTAGCCTTACCAGGAGATAGATTCCAAGAGGCATCAAATAGTCATCATCAAAGCTCTGCGACATCTCGATTTTCGAGCCAAATCCAAAAACAGTAAAGAGAATATTGAATGGGGCGATGATAGAACCGAGGTAGAGTTAAAGATGGCTCCCGGCCTGGATAAGTTCCTTAGCCTTGGCGAGGCGCAGTTTGCGCAGTTAGCGACGCCTATGTAGGTTAGGCTTTGTGATTTGTTCGCTAAAGTAGAATTAAGCTCGAGAATATTCCACGGAGAAAAGAGATGATGAATGGTATTATCTAGGGGATTAAGCTCACGATCCTTGATGATGGATGGGAAGCCCAAGATACCCTAGGGCATGAGGCGCCATTGTCTTTTAAAGTACTGCATATGGAATTCAACAAGCACCACGGTGGTACCTTAGACTAGTTGCCAAACGCAACAATTAATTAGGTTCTACTCGCTTTACAAAATCACGTTTGGGCGAAGATTTTGCGCGAAGATGGTGTATACTTCACCTCCACACCGCCTTCGGTGCCCGCGTCTATCAACATTGGGGAAGAGCGACAACAACCTCCAGGACAAACCACCAACATGCCTCCTAAAGCCGCCAAGGGCGAATACATCGAGACCGTACGTCTTTTCCCCCAAATCTCACCTCATCCCACCATCAACCCCTTCCACGGCCACACAATGCCTTCCAAACGTCAACTTACACGAAGCAGGACACTGGAAATAAGATCTCGCGCCGGTCCCAAATCCATGGCACACAGCACATCATCCTAGGCGGAAAGACTGTCATCCAAGCCGAAGCCGTGATTCGCGGCGACCTCTACCGACTCCCCTCCACCGCCGCCTCAACAGACCCCAACAACCCCCCACCACCATCGAACACGCCTAGCGTCGCAATTACCGTTGGCCGATACACCTACATCTCCAAGAGCGCGATCTTGCGCCCGCCTAGCAGGCTACACCGCGGTGTGCACTCTTACTACCCGCTCAAGATTGGCGACCACGTCTTTGTCGGAGAGTCTGCTGTTATTGAGGCTGCTTCGCTTGGCAACCACGTCCATGTTGGCGCGGGGGCTACGGTGGGCAGTATGGCTATCATAAAGGATTTTGCGGTCGTGCTTGATGGTGCAGCCGTCCCACCTGGAATGGTTGTGCCTAGTTGGTGTATTGTTGGTGGGCGACCTGCTAGGATTGTTGGCGAGGTTGGCGAGGGATATGGTGTTGAGGGGGCTGATGGTGGTATGGCAAGAGAAAGATACCGAGTTGTTGGGAAGCCAGCGGGCTTTTGATGGTGCCTTTTTGTGTATTTTTGCAATGATACCCCCCCTTTTTTTTGGACCTTTGATTATATGAGCTTAAACTACGGCTTGCAGTATTTCGATTATGCCATTCAAGTATATCAAATACAACTGGTGATTAATTAAGACCCGCGAGACTGAAAACAAACGAATCATATGACATCGAATGGAAAAGTGAATACGACCATTTTCTTGTCATCCCATTTTGGCGACCTCTACAGCCCGCTTCATTCGAGGCATATCATCCGGGCGAATACCACTTGCTTCAAAGGCCATATCGTTGATCCACCGACCGTGCGGCTGCACAGACTCACCTTTCGAGAACGTCGAGCAAAGGTATAGCCAGGACAGCGCGTTACCCACCGTACTAACCTCATCGCAAACGTGACTGATCGCATACGCCGCCATGCGGTCATAGAGTGCCTCGTCGGTCCATAGATCGTACAAATGCCCCGCCACAGCATCGGTGTCACCGATATCCACCAAGAAGCCGTTCTTATTATTCTCCACTTGAAGTGGGATGCCACCAGCCCGCGTGGCTATAACCGGTTTGCCCTTGTGAATCGCCTCGGATACTTTCACCTCGAATCCTTCTCTGGTGGAAAGCTGCAGGGCAATTTTGGCTTTGGATAGGACGGTGTTCAAAATTTGATCTGAGTTCCTCAATCGCATCACGCAGATGAAGTCACGGATGTCTGTTAAATTGTGCTCAATGTGATCTATCACTTGGTCGTATATTACTGCTCCGTCTGGGTCATCTACGGAGCCATGTCCGCAGATCAAGAGCTTTGGCGGTCTGACATCTGGCCGGTTCTGGGCAAGTCGATTGAAAAATTTCTCGTACGAGTCTAGCACATCGAAGATACCTTTAGCTGGGTCGAACCGTGCGATCTGCACGATGTACTGATCTGAATGGCGAATATTAGTGAGGTCTCTCATGCAAGTTACGCGAGAGTGTACCGTCTGGATACTGGATAATCGGCATGCCTGCATTTCTGCATGCCGCGTTGAATATGCGGCCGTAGTGTGCCACATCCCACTCGCGCATGTTCTTATTCAAGCCATCCAGCCTACGCCACGTTAGTAAGAATATGCACGATAATCGGGGCAGTTACCAATCGGTCGTGGCCGGCATGTAGCCGAGCATTTTAGTGGGCACATCTTGAGGCACAAAGGTTTTCACGGGGTGACTGATAAAGCAGTCGGCAAGTTGAATCTGCTTCCAAAGAAAGGCCCATGCTTCTGCTTGTGGGGTGCCCGGCGTATCAACAAGGTCGCTTCGAATCTGAATGTGACTCCGGAAGATAACTGGCCGGTTTGGAGCTTTTTGCTTGGCAATAGGAATCAATCCTGGCATCTGGGGATCATCTACAATGATCACATCTGCTCCGCCATCTGATGGTGAGCACAGAGGGCCGCCTGGGTAGGACCAGTAGCGCCTCGCATTATCTTCGATCCATTCCGTCAATGCCTTTTGATTTTCCGAGCTTAAGCGTTCATCGGGGCTTGCAACGCCTTGAAGGATGTTGTGGTTGTTCTTGGTGATTCGAAACACGCCTGGTCGGGGCTTCGGGACGTACCTAGACTAAATCAGTACTTTCGGCATCACCGTATGTTCGTATAGACCCACCATTTAATATCTGTGTCCAATGAATGTGACAGTCGCACCAGAGCATGTCGCATCAATGCCACACCACCACCTTGCGGCGTCGCACTAAAGAATGCAATTCTGACTTTCCGCTTCTTGAGATCCGAAGCATAATGCTGTACCGCTGCCCAGGTATGGGGAGACACAGTTGCCTGGAAATCTTCAAGATTCGCTAGTCGCACGTGGAAGTCGGTGTCCACCTCCACGAGGCCCATATAACCCACTTGCAGCAAGGGAACGTTTTCCGGTCCAAACAATCTGGGCACGCGATCAGCAATTTTGGGTCCACTGTTCGCTGATCGTCACTTACCGGACACATTTCCGTGACATCGCTTCGGCCTGTTCATCGATCGCTCTGGCATCCCACGCACATTCATCAGTCTGTGCTTGCGAGGTATACCGTCCCATCAAGCTGGACTCGGGCAACACTAGTGGGATGATATCGAGCTCGGTCCAGAGGCGCGAACAAAGTTGAGAGCAACGGTCCGCAAGGTGCATGGGCATTGCCGCTCCGATGATCTTCTCCATGTGTTTCTCTCCATATGCTCTGAGCCGAGAGATGATAAACTCGGTTGCCTCTTCGGCAGATGGACGTTTTCCATGATCGAGCACTTTTTCGATGGAGTCGAGCAGGTATGTAGTGTCTCGGACGGAGATTGCGAGAACGGAGACATGATCGTCAGAATGATAGGTCGAAATTCCTGCGTAGATGTTCTTTGCTTTGATTAGTCTACGCTAGCTTATACTGTCCCCGAATGGAGCTCCACATACATCCGACGGAGGGGCCGACCAGGCATTTCTTTTGAACAGCTGTGATAGCCGGCGCTCTGTAGCCACGGACCCGCGGCGCTGGAATTCAAGTCCTTCACCAGTCATGATGCCACTGAATAGCAGAGAGAGGAGATAGACGTGAGAATTCAAATGAAGTACGATCTGGGAAACGATATAGTACCGTAACTTCCGCGATCATGACGTCGAGAGTGTTTTGCAACCACGGTTCCTTAGTTTCCTAACAAACCAGGGTCTCAGTCGGTTGAACGTTGACTATACCCCTATTCGGACTATAACTATGTTGGAACTATACGTTAACTATACATTATACTCATATTTCAAAAGATAACAGCCAAAGTGGATCCGCTGGAACACGGCTTCTGGGGGCTGAGTCATCAAGCGTGCCCCTTTTCCCCCGCCTCAAATTGGAATCGTGTTTTCTCTAGTTTCCCACCTACACCTCGATTCGACCCGATCCCTCCTCTCTTCACGTCCTTGAGTCTGCGCGGCAGCTCCTACTGCCTTTCCCCCGCCAATTCCCACCGCGTCGCAACAATGGGTGGCCAAGTATCCAAGATGATGGGGAAGATCTTTGGCACGAAGGAAATGCGTATCCTCATGCTGGGTTTGGATGCTGCTGGAAAGACCAGTAAGGCCCTCCCTTGCCCGATGAGACGAGCATGGCTAATTCTCCCTAGCTATTCTTTATAAATTGAAACTCAGCAACCAAGACGTGACCACCATTCCCACTGTTGGCTTCAACGTCGAGAGTGTCACCTATAAGAACGTCAAGTTCAATGTCTGGGACGTCGGTGGCCAGGACAAGATCCGGCCTCTCTGGAGACACTATTACTCTGGCACACAAGGTTTGATCTTCGTGGTTGACTCCAGCGATACCGCCCGCCTGGAGGAGGCTCGCTCGGAGCTGCACAAGATCATCAATGATCGTGAAATGAAGGATGCTCTTCTGCTTGTCTTTGCCAACAAGCAGGATGTTACCGGCCGTACGCACCCCCTATCTCCTTTTTGTTTTAATTCTCGCAAGTCCCACGCTAACCGATTACGCAGACTTGAGCCCGGAAGAAATTACTCAGCAACTCCAGTTGACCAAGCTCAAGGACAAGCTGTGGTATGTTGCGCCCAGTGTCGCGACAGACGGTACTGGTATTTTCGAGGGACTGGTAGGTGTTTCTTCCTTGACTGAATCCAAACAAGCACTGACCCGCACTGCTCCACTTTCCAGGCCTGGCTCTCCAACAACGTCAAAACTCAGCCGCAGAAATAAACCCGCCCGTGATCTCGAGAGGCGCCCCAACAAGCCTCGTGTACAACACTTTGAACCTTCGACAAGTACTTGCTTTCGATTATCCGTGTTTGATGACAAGACGACGCAGCATTCGGGCTTTTTTCCCTCTTCTCTTTTCTCCTTGGGTCTTTGCCTTTGTACGCGGCTTTTCACTTGTCTCACTTGGTTCCATTTTCCTTCTATGATATCCCCTCTGTTCTTACCCGGACTCGTCAAGAGCTCCGCCTTAATTATTTAATTATCTATAATGGTTCTTATCGTCAGCGTTGCCATTGTTCGATTCCCCTGTCGTTTTACTGTGGATTCCCGATGTGTATAGAGTTGACTGATTGCATAGAAAGACGAAGGGATGACCGGATGCAGAGCTAGGATAGAGAATCAACTTGAACTCAAATGACATATAATCGATCGAACGCCTCGTACGTAATGTAGACTTGGCGATACAAGTCAGGCATGTTAATTAGGTACTAACTGTCGCTGGGTGGGCCCGGATGGAGACAGTCCTGACTAACCAACGCGAACAGGAGATCCAAGATTGAGTACCCTGCGTGGTGTATGCTCAAAGGGTTAAGAAGCAAGGATGTCGATTCCCAAGGTTCTCAGTCCGTTAATCCACCCTCCAATTTTAGCTTCTACACTTCGTTCCGCTAACCTTGAAACCAAATTATCATGACACTGTCCTTTTCTTCATTGACTGTATCCAAGAAACAATACGTTAAGTTAACATTCCAAAAGATTCATGACGTTCATCGCACAATCGCGCTGCACAAAAGAAAAAAAAATCCCAGGGCCCCCGCCATTGTTGAATAGGCAACAGGGACCCGGCGCCTCACGGCGAGTGACAATATACAGATGGGTATTCGTTGGAATCCAATTTTAAAGCTGGCCGGGCCAGACGTCGTTGGCAATCTCACGAACCAACTTGAGCTTGTTGATCATGCCATCCCAATCAATAGCGTTACCCTCACGGTGGGAAGCGAATCCACACTGAGGGCTGACACCAACCTGGTTAAGCGCAGCCTCGAGAGTGATGTTGTTACCGTCAGCAATGATCTTGGCAGCGTTGATAACGCGCTTCTTCATTTCCTCCTTGTCCTCCATGGTGGCGAACTTAGAGGTGACAACACCCAGGATGACGTTCTTGTGAGTGGGGAGGTGCTTGAGGGGCTCGAAGCCACCGGCACGCTCGGTGTCGTATTCGAGGTAGTAGGTGTGCACGTTCAGCTCCTGGAAGAGCTTGATGGCGATGCGGTCGTATCCGCCCTCGGAGAAGTGGCGACTACCGACAAAGTTTCCACGGCACAGGTGGACTCCGATGTGCATATCCTCGGGAAGGCCGATGAAGCTGTCGTTGTACAGCTTGATGTACTTCTGGAACATGTCATCTGCGCTGTACACGTTGGCAGAGTCCTCCTTGAATCCGTTCAGGAACTTCTCGGAGCAGAAGTCTATTGAGATAAGTATGGGTCCTTGTTCATCGATGGTTGAGAGAGTAACTTACAGGCCAGGTTGGGGTCGTCGTACTGCACGTTGCGGCAGCCAGCGTCGTACAGGATCTTCAGCTCAGCCTGGTAGGCCTTGGCGATGTCGCCGAAGTACTCCTCATCGGAGCTGTACACATCCTTGGGGTAGGCCTTGCCCTCACGGTAACGCAGGTGGTACCAGTTGGGTGCGGCAAGAGTAATCTTCAAGTTCTTGACCTCCTCGGCGGGCACCAGGCTGGCGAGGTACTTGAATTGGTCGACATAGGTACTACCGACGTGCTTGATCTTGCCAGTGCAAAGAACAGTCTCACCGGGCTTGTGACCAGCCTCGAGGAAAGCAGCAATATCGGGGGCGTAGGGGCGGAAGATGTCCTGTTCGAATTCGGTGACCTCCTCGAAGCCATCCAGACCGGGGAAGAAGGTACCCCAGAACACTAATATGGTCAATCATGTCCAATCGAGTTTCACTTGTCTTGGATGTGCTTACTGTGGCGGCAGTACTCGCCATCGGACGCGGCAGGGTAGCCGAGCTCCTTCTGGACGCTGACAATGTTCTTGATTTCCTGGGCCTCGACCTCGGCGAGCTTAGCATCGGAAACCTCGCCCTTCTCCTGGGCAGACTTGCAGTCCAGAAGCTGCTGGGGACGAAGCAGCGAGCCCAAGTGCTCGGCGCGGAAAGGAGGTCTTTGATGAAGTTGGGGGGCCATTATGAAGATGCTATGTGATCTGAGGGTCAGTTTGAGCAACGCGATGACAACGAGACAGCACTTACAAATTGACTGTGAACACTCAAAAGGATGAGAAGAAGACAGGTCTGGCAGATTAATGAGGGGAAAATCCGCCATGGCACCTGCCGAGCTCGCAGACCTTCGATCCACGCCCCACTGCCAAAAAGATGAGCATCCCCACACTCTACGCTCGCCTATCGGAGGCCAGATATTGATCACTCCCTTCCATCCGTCCATTGCTGTGCTGTGCTTATAATCCTTATACGTCTTGTGGCCGACGACTGTTGGTAATGCGTTGGAAACATATTCAACTTGACGTCAAGATACATCCGCGTCCATATACAATTAACCCGAGTTTATGCGGGGGGGTCGCCGCTTGGCATCTCCAAAACAGAGGCCGGATTATTCGGATTTACCTAGACAGGTAGTAGAACTTATGCTAGGTGGGCTCCGGCATCGCACCCCACGTAATCTCCCATTGAGTAATTTGTTAGAAAGAGCGCGTTATGGTTGCCAATTTTGCGGTTCAAAGGGACGAGATCCACATGCCGGAAAAACCCCCCGGCCTCTTCCCCATCTTGTCCGACTGTCACGCTTCGCATTCTTTAACTAGACCACATTGTTATATCTTTGGCAGGACCATGAACAATGGGTGTATTGCAGCACAAACTTCTCTTTCTCGAAAGATGAAATATTCGCCACCTGTAGAACCAAGCTGAGTAAAGGCTGACAAAGACCCAAGTAGAGGATGTGTGGTTGAAGTGGGGTACTCCGGCACTTCATCATCACTGTTCTTCCCGAACCACTTCACTGAACTGAACGCGTTCTCTATCGTTCCTTATCGAGTCACTAGCCCAAGGCCGTCATGTAAGCTTGGTGATGTCGTCTGCCCTGGAACGACTCCCCAACGAGCTGCTGGATCACATCATCTCGTACCTGGCGACTGAGCCACCCTCCCTAACTCAATTTCATCGGCCTCCAACCCGATATGGCATTCGGTCTCAGACCAGGAGTCTCAAGCACCTGGCACAGGTCTCGTCACAGTTTCTGAATCTCGTCCGACCTCGGCTGTTTACCTATGCATGTCTGGAGCTAGAAGATGAGCTCGATTTCATCTCTTTCATCATAAGATCCGGTCTCGGTCGCTATGTTACCTCTCTCGTGGCCATTACTGTAAATGCTTCGGCCGACCCAGCCGACCAAGGCTGGTGGCGCAGGGTTCTCCGTTATTTGGATCCAGCTTGTGTGACGGTCCTAGCCCCGCCGACCTTCATCGGCAATATGCTGAACACTCCGATCATGGATGGCCATAGCTGGGCATTTGATATCAAATTGCAGATGCTGCAACTGGAGAGACACAATCCACTTCCCGACTTGTCTCAGTCGCCAGACTTGGAGAATTGTAATAATTTGCTTGACACACACCCATGGACATCCTTGTCCTTTAACGAATCCTCCTCCCTCAGAGCCTACAATCACTATGAGTACTTCCTTTCCCGGGTTCCATCTGTAATCGGGCAGTGGGGGGTACAATTTACGCCTCAGGCGTCTCCGTCCTCTGAGCTATCTACAACCCTTCACGGATTAACACATTTTTCCTATACGGCTGTGTTCCCATTTTACAACCACGTCAAGCTTGTACTCGATGCCCTTGCAAATATGCCCGAACTACGCGTTCTGAAAATGCAATTAGCTCCTGATGCCAACAACCATATCACCGAGGTCGAGCAGCGAGGATCCATGGACCCCAACGACCCATGGATGGAGCTTGCGACCTCTTATTCTTTAATAGGGTTTGAAGTAAATGCCAAGCCCTCACTGGTAGAGTTTAGGAGCGGTGACTTTCATCTCGAGGCTATACGCTCCGAGTTATCTCAGATCCTGGAGGATTCTCTGGGCGAAACGGGCTGGACCCACGATGGCCCAAGTGTTTGGAAACGAATAGCATCACAGAATTAATCATTCATGCAACAAAGTCCATAACATTATCATTATCATGGCGTAGTTGTAGCATTCGCCGTGGGTCTCGGGAAGTCGGGGCACACAAAGCGGTCGATCGCGTCCCTGACTTCACCCGGCCCCACCACTCTTTGGCGTCGCGTTAACAAGCCCGATATGCGCTATGGGTCAGATCTAGCAACTTGCGCATAATGACAACCGCTCGCAATGTCTATTCCACGGAGCCTGCGTATCCGGTTCTCGCAAGCTCCCTCCTCGCTCAGTCAGAGTTGGGGACGGCTCATACAACGCACTCTGTCCATGAAACAGAGACAACTGACTGGAACCTCAAAGAAGACTGGGACATCGGGATCCAGAATTCGCCAAGCATATTCCGGTGTGGCGCTGTCATCGGCTTCTCGAGACTGCGGACCCGAAGCAAAGACAATGATGAATACATTGCCCAGGTATGCACGAGATTCTCAGGACATGACGAATGCATTTACTAAGACATCTCAGATGCCACGGCACCTTCTAACAACACATTTACTGAGGCCGCTCTCATCAGAAATGAGGGCAGAAACGAGGGCATTCATCATATACCCAAGCAACTTCGATGCCTTTGCGCCTAGGATTTTACTCAACTCTCTACAGTCTACTGCTGGCCAGTCTCTCTCAAGAGAAGATGCAATCAAGCGACTTGATTTAGTGCAGCTACTCCCAATCCACAGTTTCCCAAATGCCGCCCAGGCGATAGGGTGTGTCTCCACATCGTTACAGGAAATTCAATCAAAGCATGCAGACAACGATTCTATCGTTCTGATCGTTGTCGGCCTCGACACTTTAGCGGAGGGCATCATCCGAGCTTCGAATCCAGTCAAAGGAACCGCCTTGTTAGCAGCCACGTTGCGGAACCTGACTCGTCTGTCTCGCACTTATAACTCCTTCCTGTCAGTCATGCTAGTCAACACCAACGGACTTGGCGCACCACACTTCGAATCGGACAAGCATCCAGAGAAACAAAAAGCCCCGCCTGAAGAAGATACACGATTCTCTCGTGACGACGGCATCCACTCGATCTTTCAAAGCCCTGGACCTCCACTTCTATCTACCCTCCTAATGAGAACCCTAGACCAAGGTATCGACACACACCTCCTCCTCTCAGACATCAAATCAGCCAAGGTAGCTGAGGTAATCAAAGACCGTGTCGGAACCGGCCTAGGCAAATGGGGGATATGGACCTCGAAATAAGCCTACGCAGGAAATTCAACCCAAAATTCGAGAGATGGATAATATTCATCTTGATACAACTCACTACTCATACACACCAAATCGACTGATCAAATGCGCGACCAGATCCGCCTCACGCGCCATTTACCGAATGCAATAAGGCCCTTTTAAATCCCAACTCCGATACATGAGCCTCTGTGAAAGGCTATCAAGCTTTTGTGTCCAGTTTAGACCGATCACTACGGCTCAGAAGGCATATTCTCCTTCTCGGCCCATTTCCTCAACACGGCTTTCTCAGCCACGGACCGAACTTCGGACTCGTATTTGCTGAGATCTTGGTCTGCCGTGTTCTCTTCGAACATGATGTCTTGCTGCTGCACTTTGATCCACTGCTTGTGCCGTTCGCATCGCTTCTTCGTGCAGATGCCGCGGGTCCAGAATGCCACTTCGTCTTCGTCGTTGTCCATGGCTGTGTCACCGTCGCCGTCGGTGTTTGTAGGGTAGCTCGCTGCGAGTGCCTCGACTGTACCCTCGACGAGGGCTTTCTTGCCGGCTTCCGATAATCGCCACTCATCGAATTCCTCGTCGGACCAGGCAAGGCGAGAATCGAAGCCGCAGATATCTTTCCATCCGCCTTTCGGTTCATTCGCCTTCAGCTTCTCGACTACGCCCTTTGCTCGCTGGCGCAAAAGACCCACGAATGTCGAGCGGGCTGCGAGCATCTCTTTGCGATGTAGGAGTTCCTCACTGAGTTTGCGGAGCTTCTCAAGCCTTGCTTTTTCGTCCGGTGAATAGTCGATGTCGTTGGCTTCGATGTCGCCGAGCTTGTCACCGGCCTGCGGTGTCTCGCACTTGACCTCTGTATTGGGACTTTCCTCCTTAGTCGATTCTGGTAGCGGAGAAATGATTCTATCACCAAGTCTGCGGAATTCTTGAACTGATGTGGCGCCCATGATTGCGGCCTTGAGATCGCCAGCTGTGAGGTTCCCACCCATGCTACCCAAGTCTTCCAGACCTTTTCGGGTTGATCCCAGCTTGAGATGGCGGGTCTGTTGCCGCATGAACTCGCGGCCGTGGTCATCGCAGCAGTATTTGCTAGGATTTTGGCGGGTGACGCGCGCCGGTTTGCGGCATTCGAAGAGACGGCACATCGGTTTCCATGTTGTGACACCTTTACCGCGCTTGTTGCAGTTCGGGCCTGAGGAGGCGGGTTAGTTAGAGAGGGTGTGACAGGGGGGGGGGGGGGGGGGTTAGATAGAAACTTACATATATACCTATCGATCAAATCGGCGTCTCGGGGATCAATATTGACACATTTTCCATGGTACCAGTCGTCGCAGTCTCCATCGCATCCGACCATCCATGTATGGTTATCAGGTCGTCGGCAAATGCAAAATACTACGTTTTCGTCTTCGAATGAATCATCTTCATCTTCCGGGTTGATAGCGGCCCTGCTAGGCTTCTTTCTCTTCTTCTTCTCTGGTGGTGGTGACCCGGCAACGGATACAGAGCCCTGTTTTCTCCCAGGTGTTTTGCCCGTGCGTGATACAGGTGTATTGGAGCGTCCGTCAACGCTGTCGGCGTCGTCATTCTGCTTGCGTTTCTTTGATGCGGGCTTCTTCGCCGTGCCCTTCTTAGTAGCAGCGGATGCTTTTTTATTTGTCGCAGGCTTCACTGAGTTCGCCGGAGATGATCGGTCAGACGATGATGCGCGTGAGGAAGGGCCATTTTTGAGATTCGCGAGTGTTTTCGAGGTCGGTTGATCATTTCCATCCCACCCGAACGATTTCGTTTCCAGGTCATCGCTGGCAGGGAATGTGTCCAGGGTCGAGCTCATTGGCTCGGATTTCACAGGTGGTAGAGCAGTGTCCAAACTTCTGACCAATGGCGCACTCTTGCTGGAGTCATAAGAAGCTTCGTAGAGATCATTCCATGTCGCACCATTTTCGGCCTTTTGAGAAGGCTCGAGATTCCTCAATGACTGGTGAATTTTTTGGGCGCGCGCTTGTCCGAAATATCCGCTGTGTCGCCATCCCCCGATCCCCACGACCCGGTCGTTCTTCACAATGATATTGGCGAGTACCAAGTCGTTATGTGTAAAGGTCAACTCCTCATCTGCAGCCTTGTCTGCAAACAGTATGCTTCGCTCTTGCTCCGTGCCAGATGGTGGTGTTTGCGAATTGAGCCCGCGACATACGTAGGAAGGTTCGTCGGAGGGACGATCAATCGTTTTGAGCTGCTGGAGGATCTGCCGACATTGATTCTTGAAGACATTGATTTTCTCGGCACTGAGGTATCGCCAAGCAACGTCTAGCGACACACCTGGGATTCGGGATTCAATTGTCACGTTTCTCTCCTCAATTGTCCCACAAAAGTATATCACTGGGACTGCGACGCCGATATCGTTCAGTGTATCTTCAACTTTGCGAGCTGCTGACAGTTCATTCGCGTTCACGCAGGAGTATCGTTCCGCAGCCGCACCGTCGGCGAGTTCGTGGTCAACCCTGATGACCACACTACCTGCGGCAAAAGCCTCTCTTGGCCCGGAGATACAGAGTGAGTGCTCCGGAGTGCAGTATTTCTTCGCGACACCCTGCCAAAAAGCGTTCGCTTTGGGGTCTGACTGATACCAGTGCTTGTAGTGAGGGGTGAAATCGTCGGTGTGCGGGGCGTACCGCCCATACTGCGTACTTTTCGCAAGGAAGGGATCGTCTCGGGGAATATGTTCTGGGTTTATTTCGTAGGGATTGACTGCCGTGGTGCCCTTTGCGATCTCGGCGGACCCGTTCATGTGATTTGTGCTCGTCTCCATCTCTCTCACTGTAGCCCAATCCGCGTGGATGGGCTCAGAAGGTAGCCTATTTGTCGCTCACGTTCAATGTTGTTGCGTAGAGAGCGTGGGGTCAATCCTGAGCGGAGCAAACGGATCACGGTAGCCAAAGGCGCGGACTGAGTTAGATGCACAGAGGTTCCGTTCGATATTTTGGTGACATCATGGAACTTGCATCAGTGTGTCTGTAGGTCCAAGTTCCAGTATATAGCGTCTTCACACCCAGGCGACAGGCTGCACCCGACCAGCAGGAGGATTCGAGCAGATTGTGACGGCGGGCGGATTTCTCACGGAGATTCGCGCTCCCTTTCAACCAGCCACTCTGTGATGTGTCACTTCTCCAATCCGCCTTCGGGGGCGTTGTCACTGATGTAACTTGGCAAATAAAACCTCAAAATGAGACTTGGATCATGCAAAGCAGCCAATACCGGTGTGTTATCACGAGTCCCTTGAATCGCAAATGCAGATCGGAGTCGCGGAGTTTTGGCACAAAGCGAAGGCGGTGAGGAGCTCGGTGGCCCCGGACACGCGACAGTCGCGCTTTGGGTTCGCGACATTGTGGAGTTAACGTAGCCTTCATTCTGGGTTGTGCATTGATACCGACAGTCATTATGCTGTAGAGTCTCTTCAAGCAACTGTTATGTTCGATCGAGCCAATTTTATAGCCTCGACTTTGCCACAAATAATCAGGACGGCAGTCTCATGTTGCATTTACTAAAACCCTGTCTTCGAGACCATCCCTCTTGCTTCTACTGCTAAGGTTGTGGCTTGGAATGGATTCATTAGAGGAAGTATGGCGATGCTACAAGAACGGACTACCATCCCGCTATCAGACGATTTTAGCGGCTTCGGCTTTGGTGGAACTTGCCCTTGGGCGCCTTAAACGGCCCCCTGCACTCAACAATCAGAGTCTACCTCTACGCCCCAAGAGAAAAGTCTGAATGTGCCATGCATTTGGCCCTAATGCAAACTTTCGTCAACCATATACGATATCAGTCTAGATGAGATGAGATGATGTGGATGACGGGTAAGCAATGGTGCATGGTGGTGTCCAGTAATCCCGATAAGCCCAGGCTGGGTATGCGGGCACCATCAAGGCCATCTTTCCCCAACCGAGGATGTGTGGAACATCGCTAAAAGCAACCAAGAACAGTCCACAGGTGGCTGAGACTTGCAGCTTCCGGGAATGATGAAACAGGGCAGCACATGGTTTCTGCATGCCTTGGGGCCAAAATTAGATTCTGCGGGTAAGATCAAACTAGCCGTTGGCGATCATCCAGTACTACTTAGAATCGTCATCGTCGGGGCATGACTATATCCCGACACCTTCGTCTTTAAAGCCACGCTGGTCCACTTTGACGAGAACATGTAAGCGAACTAGTGATCCATCTTTCCATCCTGGATCGCTATGTGGACCGCCAGGTGCAAGAGGCGACTGATCTTAGTGGCACGTGTATTGGAGATGGCTGGATCCAGGTCGTCAGGGGTTGAGTGCAAGTAAGACCGTTGGACACGGTATATCGATTACCGTACAACGATATGTCTCTTTGCGTCATGGAGCTAAAGCTGTACTGTATGCACGATTTTCAAGCTAGGCCTCATCCTTTTCGGGTCCAAGCGTTCTTCATCAAGGATTAGAACTCTGATCTTGATGGATCAGGGACATAGACATTTGACAGTGTCCCCGAAACGATCAGCCAACATTATGCCGGAGATGGTATGTCGCTGATGGTTTGTGGATCCTCCATCGTGTGATTAAGTGGGGATAAGGAGGGGGGTTTCCGTAAAGATTGGAGAGTTTGATCGCGATGTTCCTCGTCCTAGGGCTTCGGAACAGAGTTTAAACCACATCCCTAGCAGACTCCATCGGGGTGCTCGTGAGGTATGATAGATGACACTCTACTGCAGGATCCGCAGGGCCTGGTCAACTATACCCGTCTGCGAAGCTGTATTTTTCGTGACGATGGTGGCCCGCGGGAAGCTTCGTCATTTGAACTCATGAAGGGCCTGTGGCCAAGCATCGAGACGGAAATGGTCCGAGGGGACCGATCCTCAACAACCAGCATCTAGTTTCCAGAAGGCCCTAAACTCCAGGGCCTGGATTCAATGCACCCCAATCGTAATGCCAATCGCAACAAGCAAGTCCAGAAAACAGAGCCTAGTAAACAGACTACGGTCACAACACCGTTCGATCCCATCTCCCAGTGGAGACCAAAGTGCGCTCTAAAATGTGGTCCCGCTGATCTCAAGTCTAACCCAATTCGGGGGATCAAATGCGAGCGACGATACTATTTTTCTTGTGTCTGCCTCTGATAAACCTGCGTATCGTAGCCGTATCGAGCCCCATCTAGAGGCCTATGGGCCGCGACGTGATCGGGCACTGATCCTGGCTGAGTTGGCGTATTTGGCCCCCATTCTCCAGGCCTCTCACACGTGTAGCCAGGATGCTGCAGTGTGGATCCGGCTAGCCTTAGCTCCGCTTACTTTCACTTATCTGCACTCCGTGAATCCTAAGATCCCGCCCCTCCTTTCTGTTTCCACGCTGCATGAACTACTGACCGTTTAGCTCCAGGGGTCCTTTCCTATTTTAATCAATCCTTCCCGCAGCGTTGAGATCCTTGGTCCTTGATCCACTCGTGCACCATCCCGCCTTTTTACCTTCTTCACAGTGAACCTTCACTGACACTTACCCTTTTCTATGCGTGTTCTTTTCCACATGCCACAATGTCAAATCTCGAGGGCGCTTCCAGCAGCACCGAGAATCCCAATACTCGGTGGCAGTTTATCGACTCGTCGAAGAACAGTCGAAGCAACTTGACGCAGGTGAAGCGTCATGTTATGCAAGAGTATATGCGCCAGAAGAAAGGTGGCTCTCGCCAAAGTAGCGAAAGTGAAGAGGAGCCCGCCCGTACATCGAAACGAGGGCGGCCTAGAAAGGCACAAGCAGCCAAGCGCATGTCTGCAAGAAAGGCCGAGAAGAATAGCTCGCTAGATCACTCTGAGCAGCCTACGCTCCCTTCTGAGGGTGCGCAGGCCAACATCCAGGACATCTACTTGCATTGCGAAGCCTCTACGTCCTCAAGTGGTTCGGGAGGCATCCCAACTCTGGATCATACCCCTCTTCCTCATCATACATATCCTCTCCCGCCTCAAGGGTATCAGTTCCCGCCTCAGGAATACCTCGACTTCTCTCCATACAACCAGAACCATACGACAGATTTGAACAGCCTGGAATCATTTTCATCCACTCCTACTACTCCCTTCGAATATAGACGATCTCCGAGGACAATTTTAAGCGCTGCACGGACAGACCCATTCAATAGTCTCCCAATGGAACTGGATCTTGAAGGCCAAAGACTGTTTGACTTTTACGTGAGTGACATGCCGGCATGCTCCTATGGGACACACTTCCGATCGAAAAAAGCACATAATTGGTATACGGCTGTCTTTGTCCCGGAAGGTATGAAAGGTGCCGTTGCTTTTCAAAACACAATTCTCGTCCATGCAGCCAATACCTGGGCCTGGGTTCGCAATGAGACCGAAAGCACCAGTACTCTCAAGCACCGCGACCGTGCTGTGACGATGCTCCGAGAACATCTGGGTAATAACCCTCGAGATAACTCCGACGTCGCAATTATCTCCTGCCTGAGCGCTGCCGCCCTGGAAGACTTTGATCCCAGACCAGGTCACAAGGAAATCAGTTGGGTGCATATGCGTGCAGCTCGGGAGATGATAAGGTCTCGCGGAGGACCCGCCGCCTTTGCAAATACACGGCTCGGGATGCTGATCAATTGGCAAGATTATATTCTGTCTGGTTACGAGACCCATGGGCCAAGTTTTTTTTTTGAGTATGAGCCGCCGACTCCGATCACACAATCCGAGTGTGTTCCATCAAAACCCTCGCAAAGCCTCTACTCCATACCATCCCCACCAAGCTCCACATCATCCATCATCCTAGATATCGCGGCATGCCCAACACCTACTCCAATAGTCCACAAATCATCACCCACCGACGAACTCAAACTTCAATGCGAAGAGTTCCTCGATTTTCTCCGCCGCTGCGAGCAACTATCTCTCTACCAGAGAGACAATCCAAATTCATGTGATCTGGCTCGACATATAGCTGTACAAGATACGGCTCTCCTGTCCCAGATACTAGCCGCACCTTTAGGCGCAAGATTCACCACATCAGGCTACCGAAAACAAATGGTCGCCCGCCTTACAGTAATTATGACGCTGAACGCTGCCCTCTGGGACTACCGCTATGCTCCAATGCACGCGGCTACATTCCTCAACACTCTGGAGCAAGCAATGGTCGACAGCGAAGTCAGCATGAGCGGATCCTTAGAAGCTATTCTCCAGATCTTACTAGCCTGTAACGATGGTTGCACGAATGACTGGACGAACAATGTCGACGGCACCGTTGCACCTCTCGCGGAGAATGCCCCTGATTTCTCGCAGTACTCACCCCTTGCGACATCTCCATCTGCTCGACCTTGGTTCGTAGGGCGCATGTTGAAGATTGCGAAGAGGCTTGGGGCCGACTCGTGGTATCGAATCAATGACTTTCTCTTTGATTGTTTGACGCTTCAGGTCACTGAGCCGAGTACTTATCTATGGGAGTCGGATCTACGGAAGGAGATTCTTGATGCGCCGTTGACGAGCTATGTTATGCCCTCACTAATGAATTAATTATTTTCGGTGGTCATCATCTGTACATAACCTGTATCATCACATTTCAAATATCATATACTTGTGCGTGGGGCGCGGGGGGTGTTCATGCCCTCTGAAGTTGCTCAACGCCATCCAGAAACAAGCGATACGCTGAAGCAGATATCCGTGCTACTGATATTAGTGGAAAGGGAATTGCGAATGGGCATTTCAGTGATACTGTTGATGAAGTGTTGCGTGGAGCTCTTGAGTCGCGAAGCAGTGCCTAAGGGCCAAATACTGCATCTGATCCTTGAGGTCGAGGACAATAGGTTTCCTACGCTGGGGAGCTATCGTCGGGTTATTATCCAGACCTCAAATGAGAAGTTGTTAGGTGGAGGAGGCGGTGCCGAGGCCATTGGGGACCTCATGCGGGATATCATTCAATCAAGTTAAGGGGGTTGAATAAAGAGTACAAGAATCGTAAATCCCTCGTTCATATCATGCCAGCATTGATCTATTTCATACTTCTTCCGCTTTCTTGCTCCATACCTTCGGAGAAGATGCGCTCTTGCTACTCCAACTGCCATTTGTAGCAGTTGGATGCATAGACAGCGGATCTATGCCTTTGTGCTTGACGTGTGATCGAGATGGTGCACGTTCACGGGTGGCCTCGCCAGCTGTGATTTCAGGCTCTTCTTTCGTCTCCTTGAACACTTCTTCCACTTCCTCGAGAGACCGACCAACAGTCTCTGGGAAATAGAAGTAAACCAAGAAGACGGCAGCCCAGTTGAACCCGACAAAACAGTAGAAGTACTTAGATCCGAGCTTCGTGAGCGCAATAGGCGAGCACTGCGCAAAGATCAGGTTCAAAGTCCAGTTCGTTGCAGTAGCCATCGAAGATCCACGGGCTCGGATTGCTGTAGGGAAGATCTCGGACTGGTAGATCCAGGAAATCAGACCGAGGGCAGTGAAGAAAAAAGAGAATACAAAGAACATGGCGATCGCTGCGCGGAGTGCGTCTCGGTTGGCATTGCTGTCGCTAAAATCAATGTGTTTGGCGAGCGTGGCTTCGACGCACATGGCGGCGCCCATGCCCAGCAGTGATGGAATGAGTAGCTTTCGTCGTCCGACTTTGTCGATAAAAAGCATGAAAAGCGTGTTCCAGAGGACTGCCAGAGCTCCCCAGACTCCAATGATCATGAGAGAAGTCGATGTTGATAGTCCCAGAGATTTGTATAACCTAGGACCGTAGTTTTGAATTACGTTTGTGCCAGATGTTTGCGTGAATGCTTGCAGGCCGCAGGCGAGAAGGAGTCGGTAGCGCCATTGTTTGGAAAGAAGGACCTGGCGCCAAGAGCGGACCACTGATCCATTTTCATGAGAAATGCTCGCGTTGATCTGGTTGAGTTCATGTTCAACGAGTTGCCCATTGGTTGCACCGTGGTTCAGATGTAGGCGGGTCAGCACAGAGCGGCCTGCCTGCTCGTTGCCGATTTCGATCAGCCAGCGCGGTGACTCGGGGAGAAACCAGATCCCACAGGTGAGAATCAGCGCGGGTGCTGTTTGCAATGATAGCGGGAATCGCCAGGTGAATTCGCCTGTGCGTAGCGAACAGCCGTATCCGACCCATTGCTAGAGACCTTGTCAGACAGAAATCGGGGAAATTGGGGATCTTAGTTCCCTACGGCAACCATAATTCCCACTCCAATCATCCATTGTTGCATACTTGCTAGCAAGCCGCGAATATGAGGCGGCGCAATCTCACTCTGAAAACAATGTTAGTCATAGATGTACAATGACGTTGATATTCGTACTGGATGGCCAACATACGCAGTAGACGGGAATAGTTGCAGACATCATGCCGATGGCGAGCCCGGCGATGAATCGACCAGCGATTAGCATCGCAATAGTGACCGCCCCTCCCTGAAGCGCAGCCCCTAGAGTGGCAAGAAAACCACCGATGAATATCACCATTCTGCGTCCAAAGGAATCAGAGATATAAGGTGCAAGCAGCGAGCCCACAATGGCCCCTCCTGGAGATGGAATTAGAAATTTTCTGTGGTATCGAAGATCAGGTACCGTACCGGTGTAGGACGAGATGATTCCTCCACTGGCCGCATCAGATAGTTGGGGAGACCCAAATCGGTCTATGAAAGCATCCTGCTCAATACTCGACGAGATGACGCCCGAGTCATACCCGAACAAGAACGAGCCTAAGCCTGCAAAGGCACAGCATAATGTCACTAAGATGAAAGCCATTGTTCACCACAGCGCAGCTGCATTTCCAGAACCAGTAGCTTATAGAAGTGATGAAGAGGCATATAAAGAGACAGTAAGAGGACCGATTCACGCGTCCATTAGAATGTCGATCGACGGGGAAGTGGGACGTGCCGAAGGGGGGCAATCGATTGCGAAACTACGAGAATGCCATGCGAGAAGTGAGGGGATCGGCTAGTAGAAGACTAGTGGGCCAAACGGCGCCCCTTTCTCGTTTTTCTGCTTTCTCATCTTTCCACGGTGATCACATCTTTGGATCATGCAGGGATGGTGAGCTTAATTGTTCCAACCAAGCGTAGTGGGAGTCATAGCTGAGGGGCCACTGCTTGGGGGCCAAATCCATGAACATCGTTTCGTTTCAGCTCGCGGGTGCATTCTTCCAGTCGCGTCACAGGAGGTCATGTTAGCCCTACGTGACTGATCCCTTCATGTCAAATGGGGTGCCTAGCGTAACTGTCATAATTGTCATGCAGATTGAATCCTGATGCTACATGCTCTCCCATGCGTGGAGGCGATTCTCGTCCCTGGCCCCCAACAGGACTGACGTATATCGATCGACAAGCAGGAACAAAGGAATGAGATACGTAAGATGCAGGGGGCTTTGTTGATTTGCATGTCTTTCCATATAAGCTTGGAACCTCCCTCGGATACTGCTTTTTAGGCAAGCGAATATATCGTCAGTAGAACAATGTCATCCCCGAGCGCGGCGTCGGCGACCGAGCCAATTCGCCGACATCTCAACATGCATACGCCAGTATACGAGAACGGTTTATCTCAAAGACACGCGGGCCGTCAGTTTCCCAATCAAACCGGATTCCGCGTGCGCCCCGTCCCAAGAAATAGCCCGGGACTCATACAAAGGTACGGAGTGCCTCTGGTAGCTTCGGAGGTCCGAACCTCAAACCCGTCAGATCGGCTTCAGGCTCAGTGCTCTGGAGGTAGACCTCGGCGTTTTATATGGTCATAGGTCATCGCCGAGTGCCCACACCCCACCTACTCCAACCGAGTCGAGAATCGATGTTAGTGGAGACCGAATCGCGGGAAAATTCTACCATCGGATAAGAAGCCGAGAAGAAAATGCCGCAGTACAGTAGAAGAACCCTGGAAAGCCCGTAGGGCGTCGGACTCGCGCACACTGAAACTCCGACATTTAGTCAACTTTTAACCTTTTGGCACTGGAGAATTACATAGGGTGGCGTTCGAACTTGTCCTTGTATTTTCCCGTAGCGCATCGGACGACCTCCAATCCAAGTTGGAGAAAAGGAGTGATTCTAGCGGACCTCTCCCACCGCTTTCGGATATCATCATTTCATCATCACAAATCGAGAAAAGGTCCGTGAGCTTGGCCCTTTTTACTTTGCCTGTCATTCGTCGCTCCAGAACTTGGACTATCGGTTATCCTTCGCGACTATCTTCCACAGGGCGATCAACGAACCCCCATAGCTGATCGCCCGCCAAGCCTTCTCCTCCTTACATGAACGCCTCCGTTGACCATGGCGACTACGGACCCTCTTCCTGGTGAAAACGAGGATGACTCTGTGGACTACGGCCTCGATGACGACCCCTCGCAATCTGGCCAGGATGGCTCCCCCGCCGACCCCAAGCTCGGCCAGTCCTTGCCTATGCAGAAGCGACGACGAGTTGGTCGAGCCTGCGATGAATGCCGTAGAAAGAAGATCAAATGTGATGGGAAACAGCCCTGCACGCACTGCACGGTGTACAGCTATGGTGCGCCGTACTCCTCTTTGAACCGTTGCGCGTATCTGACTTCTCCCAACAGACTGTACGTACGATCAACCGTCCAACCGCCGTCGCAACCCTGCCCCGCAGTATGTAGAGGCCCTTGAAGCCCGTATGCACAAGGCCGAGGCCATTATCCGAACCCTCCTTCCTGATGTCAACCTCGATGACCCCCAACTGGATGTGCATGCGGTCAAGCAGCGACTCGCAGCCCAGAGAGAGAAGCAGATCCCCCCTCAGACTCCTCTACAGGGGCCTGCAGCGGCACCAAAACCGGCCAGCCTACCAGAAGCAGGCCCAGAGGGCGGGGAAGAAGGCCTGCTAGAGACTATGGTCGATAACTCGGGCTGTTTGGATCGCGATGACCAGGGCCACTGGGACTACCATGGCCACACGTCGGGCATTATTTTTGTTCGCCGCTTGCGCAAACAGCTGGGCGCCGCCGATGTCCCGATCACCAAACCATCGCGCAATATGACTCAAATGCTCGAGAGCCCCATCTCCGCCTCAGGTTCGCCCCAAGATGGATCACTGCCACCCACGCACGACCTGCCCCCACGGGTGGTTGCGCGCCGCTTGTGTCACAATGCGATCGACGATGCGTGCTCTTTGATGCGCTTCGTGCATGAGCCATCGTTCTTCGCTAACCTCGAGCGCATCTACGATACCCCGGCCGATCAGTTTACGAACGAGGAGAACTCATTCTTACCACTTCTGTATATTGTTATGGCGGTCGGTTGTTTGTTCTCCGACGACGGTGTCGGCACTTTGGATTTGGCCGGCTACGAAGGTGCCATTGGCCAAGGGTATGTTGTCGCCAAGATTTGACTAGGTAGAGTATATGCTAACCGTCAACTATATAGATTCCAGTTCTTCAAAGCAGGACGACAGCTGCTTGAAGTCACTGATTGTCGCGATCTGACCTCTTTACAAGCAATCTGCTTTATGGTCCTCTTCCTGCAATCTTCGGCCAAGCTGAGCACCTGCTATTCCTATGTGGGTATTGCGCTCCGCTCGGCCCTTCGATTGGGGCTTCACCGCACGGTCACGGCGGACTTCAATCCGGTCGAGCGAGAGCTGCGGAAGCGCATCTTCTGGGTGATTCGCAAAATGGACGTCTACGTTAGCACGCTCTTGGGTCTTCCTCAGATGCTGAGTGATGATGATATAGATCAGGAGTACCCGATGGAAGTCGATGCAGAGTTTATTACCGCGGAGGGTATCATCCAGATGCCGTCCGACCATACTCCTCTAATGGCAGGATGTAATGCGCATACGCGCCTATGCAACGTCATTCTGAAGGTTGTCAAATACATTTACCCGGTGAAGAACGCCCGGTATCGCTCCAAATTTGACCAGCGATACATGGTCAGTCATTCTAAGATCCGCGAAATTGAGCGTGATCTTCAAACCTGGATGGAAGAGCTACCACCAGCCCTGCGTCCTGGCACGGAAGTCTCGCCACAGCTGGAACGGTGAGCTCTCATCGGAGAACCCTATGAATGGAGCGAAATGAGAACTAACGAAACTATTAGAATTCGTCAGTTGCTGCGTATCAGTTACGCCCATGTCCAGATGGTCATGTACCGGCCTTTCCTGCACTACGTTACTGGCGGGTCTCAGGCACGTGGTGTGGATAAGCGTTCCTACGCCTGCGCTGCAGCTTGCGTGAGCGTGTCTCGGAACATTGTTCATATTACGACTGGGATGCACAAGCGGGGTCTTCTCAATGGATCATTCTGGTTTACGATGTATACGACTTACTTCGCTATATTGTCGTTGATTTTCTTTGTGGTCGAGAACCCCGATTCACCCACCGCGAAGGACGGTGTCCTGAAGGATGCCATGGAGGGCAAAAACACTCTGGCCGGATTGGCTAAGAAGAGTATGGCGGCTGACCGCTGCTCTCAGAGTTTGAACGTGGGTGTCTCACTCCCTGTTGAGGAGAAATCACGCTAATTAAGCTTCACAGTGCTTGTTCAAGACTTTGCCAGAGATGTTGAAGAACCGTCAAAGCTCTAAACCCCAGGTCAATCTTAAGCGACGCGCGCCATCTATCATCCCCGCCGAGGAGCCTACCAGCGCTCCATCGCGACAAAACTTACCCACTCGCTCGAACACCTTCCCGACCGAGATGATGGCTCAGTTGAGCACATCGGACTCGGGTCGCCGACAAAGGAGCTTGGACAAGACCAGGGTCATCAGTGACAACCAGCCCACCGATAATGGCACCCAATCTGCCTGGATGGCTTCGACCCCGGAGCTGCTCACGGAAACCATGCAAACGCCGGAGCCGATGTCTGCGACATCAATGAATCATTCCTTTGCTAACCCAGAGTCATCAAGTCTGGCCTGGGCTCAACAATTCAACAACCCGGACAACCTTCCCGACCTCATGCCTATCATGTTCCCATCCGACGATCCCTTCGCATATCCCACACAGCCCATGTCCACGCTTGAGGATGATCATTTCCGCCGCGATCACACAGGCATGCATTTCTCGTTCGACTCAAAACCGCAGCAGCCACCCGGACTGGGCACAAACACCCCCAGTGATCCGTCGGGAACAAGTGTCTCCACACCGACTTTCGATACTTTTCCCAATCTGTCCAACTTCCCCGTCGGAAACACATCGGGAGTAAAGTCGTCGATTCCAAGCCGACTTCAGGCTAACAATACTCAGTCAATGAGCTCTTCGCGACTCCACTCGCCGATATCTCAGACGAGTGAAACTTTGAGCAGCCCAGATTTGGTCTCAATTCCGAACCAGAACTTCGTGTGGGAAGGATACAACTTCCAACCAACTAATGCCACTACAAACGCCAATATGGGACCCGAGACGACGATACAACAAGATCAGCCGCCCCTCAATGGAATGCAAGATATCAACATGGGGCTTGACGATAACACAATGGCAATGAACATGGACCTCGGCATCTCCTTCGACGACCTTTTCGGAAACGACGCCACCTGTCGACCTGGACCGCGGGCGACCAACGATGAATGGACGCAGTGGATGAATGCCGGCCCTTAAATCTTGGCCCTTGCTCTCTACGACGATATGCACTTATGAAGAAAGCAAAGAAGAAAATCTGTTTATACCTGGCTGGCGCAGTGGGACTGGACATGGTTGTTTTTTTCCCTCCGATTTTGCTTGTGAAGTATATACAGGCGATCTAAATATTGCAGTAAAATTGAATTTAATTCAAATATGACGTAAATGGCATCATGCCTGCCGTAATTGATCGATATCGGCCCACCTGGACAAGCTTTATCACGGCTTGTCATGATCGGTGTAGACCCAAGCCAGACCCACTTAGATTTTCATGTCCGAGTTTCGCCCGAATCTTTCGACACTTCAACGACATGACTCTTATCGCCAGAACGAGCGCTGGGACCTCAATTGATCCAATTTCATGACCTTTGAGCTGTGCTTATCAACTTTGGTCTGAATCGAAACTTCCCACTAAGACTTCCACGGTCACAACTGACGGAGCTTGGCCCTCTGCTTGACTGCACAGTATTTAGTTACTGCTTGCGACATATACACCAGACTTCAGAACGCGTGAAATGGCTTTCCCCCTTTGTCTTAGTGCTTACTCCTTGCCGCTATTTGATCACTGAGTAAAACTGAGCACGCCCCCTGGGTATTGTAAAAGCATGAATTTCGCTTGCACAATAGGGCCAGATTTACTAGCATTACTATTCTGCGGCCATGCCACTATTCACGAGTCGAGTCTCGTGTCCACGATACTGTCTCTACGTATTCCAGGGAATGCCTACCCCTCAGTTTGTGATTCTATATTATGGCAGGATATCCTAAACTGCCTAATTGAACGATATATAAATCTAAATTAGTGTCTCATTCCGATTTTTCGTTTAATATTTTAATGAGATTTCACTCGTTCTTGCGGCTTGGGCTTCGCTGACCTGGCCAGGTGGGAGGATTTGGCCCGTGCTATCTTCCGAGGGGCGGTTTTGGGAATCGTTGATTTGGTTCATGCTGATGCTGTCCTTGGTGGGATACGCATGAAGCTGGGTCCAGTTGTTCCGAGATTGTGGGGTGGCGTTATGATCCGAGCTCTTGCCAGCCGAGCTTCCATAGCTGTCGGCCCCGTGGTCCATGGAGGGAAAGAGCCTCGTAAGTGGCGTCCACATCATTGGCAGGCAAGCACAAGTGATCGCCACGTTTTCTTCGGTTACCGTCCATACTGAGGAAGCAAGGTCGTCTGGAGAGGTATCTCATAAGTGCTTGAGCAAAAGGAAGCAGAGGGGGGGGCCTATGAGGACACTTACAGGTAGTGTCGGGACTGGTGGACGAGAAGTCTAGGGTCTGCATCCGAATAATGCTTGTAACGGCGACACTTGGGCAATTACGGGTCAGTCTTGAATTTGCGCCTTTGGCTGCGGCAACGAGGTATTCAGGACTCACAAGGCGCCGAGGGCAAACACAATCATCAGGGCGATTTTGCGCTTCAACATCATCTTCGTCTTGTAGAGTGGGTACATCGGCAGTGCCAATATGATGATATCGGTAGCGATCGAGAAGCCAGCGTTGGCGTACCAGTTGGTGGTTATGTCAATGCATGATCCTGGAATGGTCTTGTCCCAGGCTCGGGATACTGGTGTGCATTGAAATACGGAGGCGAAGAAGGCGGCCACCATGTAAGAGGTGATAATAAGCAAGAGCACATGGCAGGTGATGCGGAACCAACGCTGGATAAAAATGCGCAGATATAGCATCAAGATGGACATCTTCGTTATGTTCATAGTAAGTTTATAGAAAGCTTGACTAACAAAGAAGAGCTAGCAGGACCAAAGTTAGCAGTCCATACGGACCAAAAAGTCTAACGATCTGTAGCCATAGCACAGAGATGGGGGAATGCAGCGAGGCCAATTCCCAACGTACCTTCAGGGTCATTCGCTTATGCGGTGCTGTGAGATTCGTGATATGTTGGCCAAAGCCATAGGCACAGGACGCAATCATCAGGGCCATGACGATAACGGCAAATACCTGTTGATGGGGGTATTAGGTCTGCATAAGGCAGCTCCATCTCGCGCTTGAAGAGCTCACGGAAGATATCAAAATGCTCCAGTCGTCCCAGCCCAGGCCGGCCTTGGACTTGGCCCGGGACCACAGTCGGATCGCCACAAAGGCCGGCGTGGTGACAAGGAAGACGATACATGGCACTTGGATCTCCAAAGCCCTGCTTGGCCCTGGAGTGTTTCCCGACATAACAAAATGCTAGCGGTCGCCTGGACGTAGGTAGTATGGTCTTGCGAGACCGATTGAGGCGAAAGTCGATACATATGTACTCACCTTAAAGCCTTGTCAGTGGTCATGTAGCCTACATCCTTGCTCTTCTCTATTCCCTGCAAGAGTACATTACCCGCGAAATAGCGTGTTATGCGACATAGTTGCACTGACACCATGACAAGGGTCCTATTGGCGGAAGTTCCCGCCTCAGGACATCGAGTGACATCGGGCGGCCTGATCGGAGCCTTCACCCGTCTCATCCGAGACCCTCATAAGAATTAGAGGGCGAGACAGTTGTTTTCCCTTAATTTATTTTGATAAGCCCGTAAGATGTTTACGTGATTAATGTCACGTTCCATGGCATTCAAGGCGCTAGTGTGGGAATTGTTGGGGGCCAACTTGACCATTGGTTTGGACAATCGTATTCACTCCTTCAATCAGTAGACTGGTACGTAGTCTGCTTGTTGCCAATGCAAGGCTATGTCCACACCGGGCCGCTAAAACAAGCTTGTTCAAATCTTATCACTTGGGAAGGATTTACTTTTGGATTGCTTCCTCAGTCTCTGGCGTGAACTGGCCACTACTCCGCATAGCACCCCCCACCACACGGTCCCTGACTACACCAAGTCCGTGCTAGTGAAATTGCGGTTAATAAAAAAGTGGCGTCGAGAAGCGAAAGGGGAAATGCAGTGGTCGGTTCGTAGGTAACTACATATAGGTAGCAGCGCAGAACCTGTGCCCCCTGACTCTGGTGAATACCCTGGGATCCACTTTGATCTTCCACTACATAATTGCCAAGCTGGTATACCTTCATTTGCACCGGGAGGCGAACGACCAGGTCTAAATTCTTCTTATACGATTGATCGAGAGCTACCTTGCTCTTTAAACGCCAGTCACTAGAGAACTCGGTCCTTTTGCGAGCAACCACACGATGAAGATCTTCTCCGTCTTCAGTGCCTGGTCAGCGATACTGTCGTGTACGACTGTCGTCTCCGCGCAATCGAGCCCCGACCCGGTTGGCACCATTTACGATGGCCATGTGCCAGCCGATCTATACGGATCCAACTACACCTACCCATGGCAGGTAAAGCTGTTCAACTTCTCCAATCAGCGCCAGAATCTTACAATGGCGTTTATGGACATACCGGCGAACCCCCATCACAAGAATAAGAAGACAGCGGTTTTGCTGCACGGAGGGAACTTCTGCGGTGTCACTTGGTTCGACACGGCGCGGCGCATGTCGGCCGCCGGCTACCGAGTGATCTTGCCCGACGACATTGGCTTCTGCAAATCAAGCAAGCCGCAAGGCTATTCTTACAATGTACAACAGCAGGCGTTGAACATCAACAGCCTACTCACTGCGCTAGGCATCGATCAGGTCACCTTGATCGGACATTCGATGGGTGGCATGATCGCCGCCCGCTACGGCCTCATGTACCCGGAAACTATTCATCAGCTTATCCTCGTCGATCCCCTGGGGCTAGAGGACTGGGTGGCCAAAGGCGTACCCTATTTGTCAATTGACGCAACGTACGAGAGCCAGGTTGTGCAAAACTTTACCACTCTCAAAGAATATGAGCAGGCCAGCTACTTTCACAATGCGACCTGGAAGCCTGCGTATGATACCTGGGTCCATATGCTAGCCAACATCTATTCCAGCGACTTTGGTTCCGACTATGCATACGTGATGTCCCTCGTCACCGACGCCTTACTCTCCCAGCCTGTGATCTACCAGCTGCCTCTCCTGCAGACACGTACCTACCTCATGGTAGGAGATGACGACGTTACGGCGCTTGGCAAAGCATGGTCATCCCCCGATGTCGCAGCGAAGCTGGGCCATTACGATGAACTTGGTCCTGCTGCCGCAGCCATGATCCCCAACTGCACGTTCCACATGTTCCCCGGTCTAGGCCATGCGCCCTTCCTTCAGGACCCCGAAGCATTTTACGAGGTGTTATTTTCTTGGCTGGACTAGTGGTACTGGCAACAGGCACATCATAGCATTTTACACTATATCTTTGTGTTGTAGGAGAGTGGGGAGACATTATATCAAACAATGTACATAGTAGCGCTCTACAAGAACACTACCAAAGCTAGTTAACCAGCTTCGTTCGGAGAATAATACATAAATGGAATTATTTTATACTGCTATGGAAGTTCCAAGGTGACAGCATAGTCCCACGGGGAGACGTCAAGGCACTGAAACATTACTAAGCACTCCCTAGCCCTCACTATGGAAGCAATTATCATCTGACTGCTTATTAAGCAGCATGAGTGGTCACTGAGCAATCCCCCTATGAAATACTCAGTGAGCAGCACCTAAGCGCCGTCATAAAGCGGCGGCAACCCAATTGGGCAAGTCGCGGCCGCAGATTAAAATCTGCCGGTACATACAGCGACACATATACGGGACAATGGCCTCTGTGCCAAAGCTCTCCAGCGTCATCACCTGGGTCCTATACTTCATCCCGGTGTACATATTTGTCCTCGAGCCAATCCTCCGCCCCATCCTCTCCGGCCCCTTCAAACCCACAGACGCGACAAACTTGGAATACGAGATTTGGGAAAGCGAGATTCCCTTGGAGGACTGGGAGGAGACAGAACCTCCATTGCACCTTCAGGATGACAGCCGCATCAGTCCGGAGGATGGCGTGCCCACCAACTGCCCCGGCGAAGCACCCGGCTACAAGCTACACCTTTTATCCCGAACGCCACTCGTCATATACATTGAGAACTTCGTAAGCGACGAAGAAGCCGACCACCTAGTCGACATCAGGTAATCCTACTCGACCCTTGGCAGGAAACGGACTAACGGAGAACATAGCCTCAACAAGTACAGTCCCTCAATCGTTTATGATGGCGTCACCGAACGCGTCGACCCAAGCAAACGCCTCTCTGACCGCGCCCTCCTCGACCGCGATGACACCGTCCGCTGCCTAGAAGAGCGTGCGCGCTCATTCCAAGGCTGGCGACCACACCTCTACATCGAACGCATGTGGGCTCAGCGCTACAACACCTCCGGCCACTACACATACCACTACGACTGGGCGGGTTCACTCGCGCGCGGTGGCGACCGAATCAGCACGTTCATGGTATATCTAGGCGCGGACTGCGTGGGCGGAGGCACGAACTTCCCTCGCCTGCGCATGCCGGCTGGAAACCAGTGGTGTGACTTCCTCGAGTGCGAGGAGGAGGGGAAGCCAGTGCAGGAAGGAATCACATTTAAGCCGATTAAAGGAAATGCAATTTTCTGGGAGAACTTGAGACCGGATGGTACAGGGTATCCGGAGACATGGCACGCTGCGTTCCCGGTCACGGAAGGGACGAAGGTTGGATTGAATATTTGGAGTTGGTATCAGCCGCCGCGGAGGAAGAGTCAGAAGAACACATGAAGATGAAGATAAGCAGATTTGGCCGAGCCATGGAGGGAATGCTTGGCCCCGGACGTCGCGGATCTTCTTTGCGTTTTTTTTGGGTTACCCCGGCCAAGCGTTGTGAGGGCGCGGAATGCTTGGAGGCCCCGTTTAGCACGGTGTTAGATTATTAAGAAGGTAGATAGATATCTTTCCATGTATATAGATTGTGGGACAGAGCGTTGTACTATAGTGCGAATGGAACATTGGATGAATCAGACCATCAATCACGATCACGGCCACGGCTTGAGTCTCCTACCGTTACCTAGGGGCCCTCCCCGGTTAGATTGAGTGAATCTAGGTAATTACCAAGTCCAAGGATATCAGGCAGCGAGATTCGGGGAGGGTATGTGCCAAGTCGTGTGATGCCGAGAGATACCAAGACCCCAAGAGCCCAAGACTTGCTCGGAGCGGGAATGAGGGAAACCTTGGCTGCCAAGATTCGCAGCCATGGCGATGCTTCTTGGCAGCGTTTGAGGGGCTCAGCTTGTTGGTGTCGCCACTTTCATTTCCTTAGTTGGGAAGGCCGAGGACTCGGATTGGAGATTCGCCGAAACCTGGTTAGTTGGAGTAAGCCGCTTGCCCACATCGGGGAAGTCCGGCTTCTGTATTGGGGTGACTCGTATACCATGATCCTACACACTACACACAACACACAACACACTACATACTACATACTACACGAGGCAGACTAGGTGTGTAGGATGAATAGATAGCATTCTATAGTGAAATCATACCATCGGAGGGATACAGGATACAAGAATGCCAGAATGTACAGCCTCGAGTGTAGCCAAGACATTCGGGACGCTGGGTCCGCAAACTTCTCTTGGCCCGGTCTTGTCCAAGATCCAGATTCGCCCAGGCTGAGCCAGTCTTGTCCCTTTCTTGCCGCCCCCTCCGCCCCAGGCTTTTTCTAGGCATAGGCTCGGCTTTTTTTGTTTCCCTCTGTGCCTTTCCCCCATGTGGAGTCTCCCCCGTTCTCTTCTTTTTCTAGGCATCTTCCTTCTTTCTCTTTTTACCCCCCCCCCTTGAATACCCTGTCCTGATCTCTTTCTAAGGAACACTGGCTCTGACAATTCTCGGTGTTTCTGATCGTTGTGCTGTTTATTTGGTCGCCTTATCTCTTTATATCACCCTTTAAAAGTCGCGTCTGGGCTTCCGCCAGCACGACAAGACCCGTTTCTTGGCATCATGACGGAGAACAATATTCCCCAAATCTCAACGCCTCAGGCGGCGCCCGCCGCCGTGCCTGTCACTAGCGAGCAGACACATCCTATCTCGCAGGTCCCTGCGACCGCGCCCGCCTCGGTGACCGCGACGGCCGCTGCCGCCACCGCTGCTGTGAGCTCGATGAACGGTGCGGGCGAGCAGCTCCCCTGTCAGTGGGTGGGCTGTACCGAAAAGTCACCTACCGCGGAGGCACTCTACGTAAGCTTGACCATTGCTGCTGTGGTTGGAATCGCCCAGTTCACTAACGAGACCGGGCGATACAGGAACACGTGTGCGAACGCCATGTCGGTCGCAAGAGTACCAACAACTTGAATTTGACGTGCCAGTGGGGAACATGCAACACCACCACTGTCAAGCGCGATCATATCACTTCCCACATTCGAGTGCATGTGCCTCTCAAGCCTCACAAGTGTGATTTCTGTGGCAAGGCCTTCAAGCGCCCTCAGGATTTGAAGAAGCATGTCAAGACCCATGCCGACGACTCGGAAATCCGCTCTCCTGAGCCTGGCCTCAAGCATCACCCAGACATGATGTTCCCTCAGAACCCCAAAGGTCCGTCTCCATATCGTTTTCTGGGGTTTTCATTCTTTTCCTTGTTCTCGTCCCGGTCAATATCTTGCTAGGCTCCCCGGCCTCGGCCTCTGGACTTCTACGATTCATCTGACAGAACCACTGCTAACTCAATGCCAATGGCGATTTAGGCTATGCTGCTGCTGCTCACTACTTTGAAGGTCCGATCAACGGTGTCGGCGGACAGCCATACACACATGGAGCCCCTCAGTACTACCAGACTCATGCGCCTCCTCAGCCCGCCAATCCTCACTCATACGGAAATGTCTACTATGCTCTGAGCCAAGGTCAAGAGAGTCAACAGTCTTATGATCGCAAGCGTGGATACGATGCCTTGAATGAGTTCTTTGGTGATCTCAAACGCCGGCAATTCGACCCTAATTCCTACGCCGCCGTGGGCCAGCGCCTGCTCGGTCTTCAGGCACTTCAGCTTCCCATTCTGAACAACGGACCCGTCCCCGAGTACCAGCCCCAGCCTATGCCGGCTAGTGTTGCTGTTGGTGGTGGCGGCAGTGGTTACAGCCCCAGTGGTGGTCCTGCCCCTGCTTACCATCTCCCGCCGATGTCGAACGTGCGGACCAAGAACGACCTGATCAACATTGACCAGTTCTTGGAGCAGATGCAAAACACTATCTACGAGAGTGACGAGAACGTTGCTGCCGCTGGCGTGGCTCAGCCTGGTGCTCACTACGTCCAGGGTGGCATGAGCTACCGTGCTACCCATTCTCCTCCCTCCCAGCTTCCTCCCAGCCATGTCACTGCTGCCGGCTCTGCCCCTATGATGGCTGCCTCGGCTCACTCTCCCTCGACCGGCACACCCGCTTTGACACCGCCATCCAGCGCGCAGTCCTACACTTCGAACCGTTCTCCAATCTCCATGCATCAGCACCACCGCGTTTCTCCCCCTCATGAGAGCGGCGCGGGAATGTACCCTCGTCTGCCGTCGACCACCATGTCTGACGGCATGGGTGCCGGCTACCCGACTGTATCCAGCGCAGCTCCTCCTTCCACTCTCAGCGGTATCTTTGATCACGATGAGCGTCGCCGCTACACTGGAGGTACTCTGCAACGTGCGCGCCCTGCTGAGCGAGCGCTCGATGACAACAGCATGGACACTACTCACGACGGCAAGGAGGAGAGCGAGCGCACTCCTACCAAGGAGTCCATCGCTGCTAGCCTGATTGACCCTGCTCTGTCCGGCGCTTCACCTGATCCCGATCAGGAGGCTGCCCAGCGCACTGCTCAGGCTGCCACCGAGGTAGCGGAACGCGACGGCAATGCCGCGTGGGTTGAGAAGGTCCGCTTGCTGGAAAACCTCCGCCGCCTGGTTTCCGAGCTTCTGGAGCAGGACAGTTTCGATGGGTCAGGAAGTCACAGTGGAAATGAGTCTCCCGCATCAGAGATGGACGCTATGGAGGGTGTCGAGACCAGCCGGGTCTCTGCCTCTCCCGAGCAAACCAAGGAGGAGCCTGAGGCCGTCCTGTACCCGACACTGCGCGGAGTGGACGAGGACGGAGATGCCAAGATGCCCGGCGACGGGGCATAGGTTTTTGGCCTGGAAATTCTTTAACGCTGTCACGACTATTTGATTTGTGTCTCTACTCTGTTCCCTTGTGTCAGCACTCCAGCTTTCCTGTCCTGGAAGTTTTCTCTTTGTCACTTTATTTGTTTTATATTTACTCTACCTTATTTCCTGTCCGCATGAATCCGGATCACCCAGTTTCCTTCATCCCATGGATCTGTATGACTAGCGGCCTGTTTATTTACGGAGTATGTTTGCGTCCACGGCCTCGACCGAATTCCCGATCGGATCTTGAACTTGTAGCTTAAGTCTACTAAGGTTACATAGGGTTCATGGGACGTGAAACTCCCCAGTCCGGCGGATCGACATGTCAACCCCCGATGAGGTAAGGCAACATTCCAACGGTGCCAAGCTAAACTCCATCCGGGGCCTGTGACGCAAACGATTTGAGGAGGTGAGGCCGAGTGCTGCAAGGACTGGGGAGCTTGTGATCCAGTGTAGTGTTGTAGACTGTGAGAATGTTGATATTCTGGAGTTGTTCTTCTAGTACCATATTTGGTAGTTGCTTAGGCTCGGTATAGAGACACTGCACCGCGGGGTTTAGCGATCAAGGGGCAGAACATCAACGTCAGATCGCATAGTTAGGAAAGTTATCCACACTTCAGATCAACGTGGGATTTGAGCGATCTCAAACCGCACTCGGAAACATCTTCGATCCCACGCTGGGAAAAGCAAGCACCGAGCACGTAATTGGGGCGTATTGGTAATACCGGCCCCTCCCCCCGGGTCCACCGCTAGATCCCGGGCTGTAATGATGTATGGTACACTACCGGAACACGGCTCCACCACTGTTTACGGCCAAACGGGCGCACTCCATATCCAACTTTGCACTTCATTTATTCCTTTCCTTGTGTCTGGATTCTCTGTTCCTCGTTCTCCTTTTCCTTCGCCTTTTTCTTCCTCTCCCCCATCTTTCCAACTCATTGTCTGAATTTAGTGTGTGTTGGTGTTGAAACCCACCTCACACGCTCCCCACGCGACAAGGCGGTGGCCCCAAACAGACGCCATCGCGCGTGTCGATCGTAGGGATTATCGATAATCAAAACCTCCAGCCACACACTTCTCCAAAGACCGTTTTCCCTTGTTTGTTGTTTCTGCTTTTCTTTGGTTCGGCTTTCTGTTTTATTTTTTCCCTCGCCATCTTTTTCCGGTGGCAAATCCGTTCTTTCGGGTGGCTCTGACGACTACCGTTCTTTGGTTCTGCCTCTGAGCGTGCATCCGAGACTGGGGTGTGTAATCCGGATCCAGAGTTGTTGTGTTTTCGCTCTCTGAAAAAGTTGCCTCCGATTTCGCCATTTTTGCCTCTGTATTGTCTGCGGACTGCCTCGGGCTAATCTGCATTTCGCACAATTTTCGCATTCCGTGCTTGCTGCGTCGGTCATATCGGTTGGTTTTTATCTACGACCCTCTCGAGCACACTCCGAAATACTACGAAAAATGCCCTTGTCAAATCGCCGGCGCGCGCGGCGCAAGGAGATTCAGCTGCAGGAAACGTCCGATGCGGAGGCCCCAGATTCGTCGCCCACTCGTCCGTCCGCAAAGAAGCGCAAGGTGAGTTTGGTCTGAGACCAAATGGGCCGCTGCGCAACAAAGACTAACAATCCGACTCGGAATTAATAGGTTGATCGCCGCGCCTCTCCCTCTCGAACCGGCGTTAAGCATGAGTCCGGCGACGAAGCTGAGGACTCGGCGGGGGACCATGATGTCTCTACGCACCAGGATACCGTCGACCTGGTAATCTCATATCTGAATATGCCCCGCGAAGAATTGCGCGTCACCCGCGACCACTCCAATACAAAGACCGAGAATAAGCAGAGTATCCAGGCCTACGCCAAAATTGCTGGCCGCAACTGGACCTACTACGTCAAGACGCTGCATGTCAATATCGGCCGCGAACCGGACCGTGAGCAGAGATCCAATGAACAGTCAAGTCCCGTTACAATTGCTGCTCGTGCGCTCCCGGATGTGCATGTTGATTTAGGCCCGAGCAAATTTGTTTCGCGTCTACATGCCGAGATCTTTTATGACGGAGAACAGGCGCCTGCCTGGCATATCCGGGTAAACGGCCGCAACGGTGTCCGTTTGAACAACGCGATCCTGAAGCGCGGCGCCGACGCCGTTCTCTCTTGCGGTGATATCATCGAGGTGGCCAATTGCCAGATGATGTTTGTGACGCCCGGTGACGACGCCAATATCCACCCGGCCTTTATCGAGCGTGCTCAGCGCATTGCCAGCGGCCAGGAACCCGACCCGGCTACTCAGGCTTGGGACGCTTCGCAACATTCTCATCCCCAGGCGTCGCAGGCAACCGAGCCGGCGAAGCCCTCGTCTTCTGGTGGTCCTTCACTGGCGCCTCCTCCGCCGTTCCTCAGTCGTAACGTCACGCCGCCGCCGCGCTCGCCTGATACTGTTGGCCAGCGCACCGCGAAGCAGTCACCGCTTTACAACCGCGGTATGATGATGGAGAGCACCGAGGAGATTGATTACAGCAAGGATGCGGCCAAGGACTTGAAACCGCCTTACAGTTATGCCACGCTTATTGCGCAGGCAATCTTCTCCAGCGAAGAGGAGAAGCTTACGTTGAATAGCATCTACAATTGGATTATGGAACGATACGCCTTCTACCGACACTCGCAGAGCGGCTGGCAGAACTCTATTCGTCACAACTTGTCTTTGAACAAGGCTTTCCAGAAAGTACCCCGCCGGACAGACGAGCCTGGAAAGGGTATGAAGTGGCAGATTGCAGCGGAACACCGCGAGGAGTATCGCAAGAAGCAGATGCGCAAAGGCACACAATCTTCTGCTCCCTCATCACCTGCGACGAAAGAGCCGCCATCCTCCGCTACACGTGGTCCTCCGGTTCCGTCTTTGGACACTTCTTTCTCAGCCACGGCTAAAAAGTCCCCACCTGTTTCATCTCCTGGATTTAGCTCATTTCCAGTGGCCCCGGTGGAGGCGTATACCCCGGAGCGTGGGTCCCGCGTTGGTCGGGGCGTCGGCTCGGACCACCCGTTGCGACATATGAGCCCCCGGGACTACGAAGAGCCCTCTCCGCTGCCAGCTCGCTCGCATCACAACAATGCCAGCTCCAGTCAAGCACAGCGCAGTACCAATAACCTCAGCCGCGCATACGGGCTCTCGGACAATGTGGCCGGGTCACCACCAGTGCTCTCTTCGTCCTATTATGATGAGGGTCCTTCATCGATGATCACACCCGCACCACAGCGCCAACAACCTCGACTCCCTCCTCCCAGCACCGCTCAGATTCCATCCAAGTTCATGCCAATGAGTTCACCTGCTCAATTCTGGAAGTTCGCTGATATTGGATCCACACCAGCCCGTCATGTCCCGGACATGAGTCCGTTGAAGGGCGAGCCTGACGACCGTATTATCGGAGGTTTCCCTAGCAGCAGTCCGCCGCCGCCCAACCTGGCTAGTCCCAGCAAGCCTGGCACTTCAAACGGTCTTGGGTCCAGCCGGACATTACCGCCGCTGCAATCTGATGGCCCTGATCTGGGGCCAAATGTAGCGCGCAAGGAGGAGCAAAGAATGGAGGAGGATGAAGAGGAGGAAGGAAACGCAGGTTTTGACCTGGCTCGGTATGTATTCTCTATCTGACCCCCCTTCACACCGTGTTCTAATTCATCTTACAGTGGCTTCCAACCCATCGGTTCCTACCATCGACAGTTAAGCAATGCTGCAAGAGCTACAGCCACCTGAGCATTGTATGATGTACAACATGCTTGACACAGATTGTACTTTTGTTTTTGGTTTTTTTTTTTTTTTTTTTCTTAATTTTGATTGATTCACTCCGCATTCTACCGGTGTTGGCAGGTTTGTTTTTGGCTATTACTATGGTTATTGTATTTCTGTTTGCCGGCCATGCAGCGGAGAAAGGAGTTATCGGGGTTTCTTACCTTTGAAAGGCCTGACGTTTGTTTTCGGTTCTGTTTACACTTTCGAGTTCTTTTGTGTATGCCATCCTAGCCTCGATTGGCTTGTACGTACGAAGCTATCAATGTATGATACATCCATACAAATGTGATCTATGTAAAAGTAACATTCTTTCGTATCAAGAGATCGTCCCCAGGGCCCTACACGGGGATTGCCTAATCCATGGCAGGCCAAAACCTCTCCTCCAACCAAACCACCTGCCTCCACCACTCCAAACACCTTCCGCGCATCATCTCCGCCTCCTCCGACCCCTTAGTCTCCCCTGCCATCTCATCCAACACATCCCCAATGCGATCAACAAAGTCCTCAAACTCCACACTCGACCAATTGGGAATAAACTTATCCCTCAACGCCCCACCATCCGCATCGTCCTGACTCTGTCCACCCCTCAACTTCAGAAATGAAGCCGCATACCTCCACGACCTCAAATAACACACCTCTGTCGCCCACAGCACAGCCAATCCCTCCAAAAGAGAGATCCCCGTACTACCCGCCGACATGAACATATCAATGTACGCGTGCGTGATACTCGTCGCCGCGAAATAAATCGGTTCACCTCTCTCCAACGGCGCCGCAGACGCTGGGCGCCCACCAGATGGTAGAGAAGGCTCCCTTTCCACAACATTCGTTCCTCCCTGCGGTTTCCGAGGCGAAGGGGGATAACAAATGTCACTTCCAGCCTGCATCTGGCACTCGCCTTGCGCCCCACAGAGTCTATGTTCCTCAGCCTTAACCCCTTCCATCTCCCCCTCAGCATCAGCAGCAGGAGAATTATTCTGGTTTCCACGAGCCACACCCGTCGAACCGGGACAAGACCCCGACCCCGTCGTCGAAATGCCCGCCGAGGTAGTAATATTTCCGGAGCCGGACTCAGCAAGACTCTCACCACCTTCCTCGGCTGAGATAGCAGTTAAATCCAACCCGTAAGCATTGGCTGTATCCTCGAAGAATTTCAACTCGGTTCGAATGTTAACCAAGGCATCGATCAGGACCTCGACGGCATGTTGTTCCGAAGACGGTTTGAGCGGGGATGCGCTATTTGCTCTCTGGGCCGGTATGCGGATCTTAGCTAGTAGGAGGCCGATAAATCGGATGTATGATTGTGCGTAGAGACGGTCTTGGGCGAGCCATTGGGATAGAGTTGATTTTGGAAGGGTGCCGCGGCCGGCAGAGGCGAGGAAGGGGTGAGCTGTTGCTCGTTTCAGGGCATTGGGGGTTGCGGAGAGGAGCCAGGAGGTTAGGGGGACCTGGCTGGTCATTTTCAGTGTTATGGATTTTGTGTTCCTGGTTGATTGGAGAGGTGGGGAGATTGGGTATTTTTGGAGGGGTAAAGGAATGGGTAGTGGAATCTGGAATTACGGGAGCTGTTGTGGGGCGATGAGCGGGGGCGATGAGCGTGGAAATATGTGATTATGGCGTCAGTGATAACGTATGAAACGATTGATAAGGTTGATAAGTGAGAGAGAGGTAAAAATAGAGTTTAGTAACGTTGCAGCTTATTTGACTTCAATTCTTCACATGTAGATATTTGATGTTGAGATAGTGATTATACGGTGTACGGACGGTATGACGGCCTGAGAGATTAGATGAGATGAGATGAGTTTTGATTCCTAAAGATATGTCATGCAGGTAAGGCTTATGATACGTAGATGACAGACATTAAAGAGTTTTGCATATTTCACGATACTCCAGGAGAGGAAAGATGCACACCGGGGCCTTGCTTTTGATAGCAAAGCTAGAGGGCGTGAAAAATTCCGGCTGTGCATGCCTCGATCGTTCACGGGATGATTTGCTTGGCTGAATGATTTACAGCCGCAGCAACTCCACACTGTCTTCCATGTTTTCAATAGAACCAACGCCGATTGACACAACTTCCCATCCTCCAGCACCGTCCTCCTTCTCCTCCAGAACAGACGCAGGTGGATCAGGCTCATCGTCCGACGAAATCGAATGGGGCCCAGCAAAGACGGGGATGAAAGGAGGAGACGAAATCAGGTCGTACTCAGCAGGCAAAATCAGATCAGGTCTAGAACTAACAGACAGAGTCAGGCCAAGCCCAGCAGATGAAATCAGATTGGTCCCTGTGTAGAGAACAGCGTGGCGACTAGTCGGAGCCAGATGAGGCCCAGGTCTAGAAAAGGGAGTCGACCGAGATGTAAGCTCCGGGGGCTTTGCTTTCTTTGCCCAACCCGTAGGTGAGCTCGCTGCGATGAGCACGATTCGGAGCAGTGCCAGCATGGTGTAGTGGGCGTCATTTCCCCCATTGTGGAAAGGAGCTTGTGAGACTAATCCCACATCGAGATCGACCAAAGTGTCTCTCAGGGATCGTGCATTGGTAGTACGTCGCATGACACGCCACAGCCAATTAGTATCCCATACCTTGGTGATCGCCGGCAAAGGAAGGTCCATGCCGTTGAAGACCTTACTGCCAGTCTTAGCAAGCTGGGTCATGTCGCCCGCCATGCCGTGGCCGACTAGGATCAATGACCGACGGCGAAGCTTGTATTCCGGGATATCGCCAACATGGTGCCCATATGGAGGCGAAAATAGCCGATCAATCCTCGCTCCAAGCTGATTTACAGAGAGATTTTCACTCTGTCCAAATCCGAATTTCTTAGGGCATGAGCTGCCTCGTTTCCAGAGGTCGTGTTTGCAATTCTCTCCGGTACGAAGATGGTGGGATTTGATCATCTTGCTCCAATTGACCCCGTCCTCCCCTGGGGGCAGGTTCACCAGATCGAGGGTATCAAGGAAAGAAATCCCAAGCTCTGTAATGTGATCTTTCCATTCCACATCTACGGAAACGAAGATGTATTCGCCCTCCATATCAAACCGAGGGGCCTCCAGGAGGCTGACTGGAGGCAAATCCATGACGAATGTGGTTGGGTGAAGGCCAAAGATGCATACAACTCTCTCCAAGGCTGTGGAGTATTTGATCTGGTGTGCAATCTGATGATCCATCCGTTGTTTCTGCTTGGGCCCTCTATTGTTTCGTGCGGCCTGCATCCCGGCAAGAAGCTTCTCGAAAAAAGGTCCAGTCACCGACAACGGCTGGTCTTCCATCCAAGCATCCCAAGAACCAAGGGGAAGAGTCACTCCCAGCAATTTCTCCTTGTCCGAACGACTCTTGGTCGTTCCCAGCTCTGTGGGAATAGGCGATCCATCGCTGCCATCAAAATGAAGCAACATGCCTACTTTCCCATCGAGTGTAAGGTCGCAATGTTCCTTCGCATTGGCCTCCTTTAAGAACGCAAGGACATCTTCTGCACGGGCAAGCGTCAGTCGGCCACCTCCGGGATGGGTGAAGGGGATCTTGAGGTAATATCTTTGCAGGCTGCTTAGTGTGTGCACCTTTTGCTCTCAATGGGAAAGCACTCACTGTTTCCAGGGTCGACACCAGAATTTCTCCTCATGGAAGAAGTATGCTAACAGGCGCAGGGTCAATTCCTTGTCCCTACCACCAATGTATGTGTTGGGAAACCTAGCTAATGCCATAATGGGACACCAGTACCCTGCAATATTCTCAGCTGTCAGACCCGGAATGGGCCCAGCCTCAACCAAATCTTGGGAAGACCCAACATCGATCCGCACATGATGAGAATCATGAGTATCGAGCCATTTCCCAATCCCAGCATCATTTTGAAGTCTGACATCTGCATGTCGGGTAGAGTCATCACGGCTAGATTTGGTAGGTTGTCTGGAATGCACGGATGAACTTACATCCTCAAATGCGTATGAAGGCTTAGGATCAGACACGCGCCGAGCACCAATGACCATTGTCTTCTTGGGGCGGGGCTTTTTTCCCTTCTTTGGGTTGCTTCTCTTGCGTCCCATGATGGATCGTGCTCGATGAAGGAGATGTAGAAGATGGCTTTGAAAAGGGATGGGGTGACGGCAATCGTGAAGGAGAGGAGGATGGAGAGGGTGGATGGAATGATGAGATGGGATGGGATGAAAGGGAGGCAAACACTGAAGTGATTTCATTCTTAAACCCATGAAGTGGAATGGTGCCAGGTTCAACATGGACCACGGGACTATTGAGAGGCTTTACTTTCCGATTCATGGGTAGACGCCTATAGAAATACACTGCAAGTTTAGATAAACATACTTCCCTGGAAAGGGAGGTGGTAGTAATAGTAGTTGTATTCTTCATTTGGGTAGGTATACAATCTATTGTCTTCTGGAACAATCTTAAATTGCGATAGTAGATTTGCTTGACTAAGGTATGCCCGTTCACTGAGAAAAACGGACCTAAGCCTCTACCTGTATACATAGGTCATCTACCTACGGATCTGGATCATTTCTAGACCGTTCAAATGCTTAGGTCCAGCTTTCTTTCTCCTCCCTGTCTTTCCCCTAGTCTATTGGTGACGGGGATCTGCTTCAATACTTTTGACATGGATATGATCTGCCCGTGTTGGGATGTGGGTGAGTGCTCCCCGGTATGCGAAGATTAGTTTCGTTGATTGTAGTAAGTATTCCTGGCCAATCCTGACCAAGACACTCTTGCGATGGTTCGACGGCCGAGTCTGGTTTAATTCGATTTCAGGTGGTTATGTATTTGCTAGACCATAATTGTGGTGCTGTCTCGAGCCGCCCCAAGGGTGAGAGGGGAACCTGTTTCCATATAAATAGTACGCTATAAGTGGAGATAGACCCTATTGAGAGCCCCTTCATTCATAATGACAGTTAAGGAAGCGGTTGAATTTGAATTTGCTAAAGGCTCATAACTCCGGTGATGCCCTATTGTAAGTAAACTCCGACTTTAAACGCCATAGCAGACTAGAATCCCCAGCAATTGAAGCAAAATCCCGTGGTATCATACAAACAAATGCTCATCGACGCCCCCCTCGAACAATGCCGTCTGTCCCTTTGTGGTATCTGACGCGGCAGTTGGGACAGTACCATTTAGCCGTGCGTGAAGGAACTTCCGACAGACCAACACAGTCCAGGTGGAACCATTCCCGATCACACTGCGAGTCATTAGCATACTGCATTGTTGACCGGAATAAACGAAGAACTTACATCTGGATTCTCGCAGCAAATCATCGTGCCAAAGCTCACATCCCCACAGACACAATACCGAGGCTCATTCGCATCGATTTCCTCCAGCACACCGTCTTCATCAATTCGAACGTCTTGTGAGTCCCGTATGCTGATTCGTTTCTTGCCAGGCTTGGCTTTGCGCCGACCGTAACTAACAGCAGCACCGCCATCTTGGCCGTTTGAAACAGGTCCTGGAGCAGGTCGCTTGCGCTTTCGACCTGGCGCAGGGAGACTTGGCGCATGTGAGGATTCGCGGATTGGAGTTTTGCGGGCGGGTGTCGCACTTTTGATGCGATAATCTCGCACCACGGTTCCAGTGGTTTGAAGACTACCTAGACTGCCCAGATCAATCGCCGCAGCTGCAGAGCGCCTTGATGACGGTCGTGTAGCAGGTGGTGTGGGTGTTCCGGCTGGCTTGCCAGCCGATCTTGTGGAAGGGCGTGACTCATTAGGTGAGGCCAAAGCAGGTTCTACTTTGGTTTCGACTGGTGATGCTCGTGTTGTGATTGTAGAAACAGGGCCGCTGTTCACTTCTCCTGATACAGTGGCAGCTGGTCCACGACTGGATTTGCGACGTTTATGCGACCTGGGAGCAGGTACCGGCGCAGGCTCAGGTGCAATTACTTCTTCTTCCAACCCATTTTCTTCGGCGGGAATCTCCTCCCGCTTCCTCTTGCGTGACGATCGATTATTTGGGGTCGCTTGAACAGAGCTTGAAGGCTTCACTGGAGTTTCGCCGTTCAATGCCGCCTCGCGTGCCAGCAGTTCACGCTTCAGCTTCTTGGCTTCATTTAACTTCATACCACGATTGCTAATCTTGGTCTCCTCCAGGTCACCTCCCATTTCGCCGCGATGGGTCTTCTCGAGGTTATCACAATCAATAAATTCTGCGCCGGTTTGCTCAGCTAGCGCTTTAGCCTCCTTATAGGCGTCCCAGCCACGGCCGGACAGAGCAAGCTCACGCCAGACCATGACCTCACTGGGCTGCCACACGGCGTTCTTCTTCATCTTCTTCCGAAGCTTGGTCATCTCCCACTCCGTCAACCGGATCCAAGGCATGTGTTCGCTGCCGACCTTGGCATCCGCAGGAGGAGGCTTCAGTAATGCAAGCGCATTGCTAGTAGAGACTGCAACACCTGAGCTTGGGCGGCGTGCCTTGTCCTTCTTCGGGGGCCTGGCAGGTTTGAGGGGAAGAAGATCCAACTCTTCAGCATCTGATTGTTCAGTACTGGCAATGGGAGAGTCAGGGTTGAATCCTGCCAGATGATCCGCCGCAACACCTGACCGGCGCACCTTCTTCTTGTGACTGCGCTTAGGGTTATCCAGGCGGAGAGTGATACGCGTCGTTGACGCGTTGTCCTTCTTAGAGGGGCGCGCACGTTTCGGTGTAGGCTCTGGCGGCGGCGGAGTCGGCTCTGTGGAGGGTGGTCTTGGTAGCGCATCGAGCTTCTGTCTGATACAGCTCAGCCGGTCGAAGTGGCGATCGACAACGTCGTATAGGCGGCAAGCCTCCGCATACGCGGATTCGCGCGCATTGATCGCGCGATCAAGCTGGGTGGATATGTCTCTGCGCAATGTGATTGCACTCGGTTGCTCGTCAGGGGGAAGGTCGGGCAGCTGGCCGTAGGTATTGGTCAGGGAGTGTACTGAATGCGCCGAGTCGAGGTAGCGCTCATCCAGACCGCGGATCAAAGTGAGGGAGCGGATAAGATCGGCAGGAAGGTACTCGGTGTAGTCAATGTAATCGGTCACAGTGGCCTGGGCATCTGGATCGAAAGGGCCGTCCAAAATGACCCCACCACTGTGGTCAGTCTCATCGGTCATGGCCATCTTGCGGGTTGTGATTCGCGTCCTTTGAAAATCCGCGCAGGGTACACCAATAAGCAAAATACAATGGGCTTAATAACAAGACACAACAGTCAGTCACATTCCCAAGGTCACAAATTAAAGCAAAACGACAACGGAGCGACGAGAACCCGACGATGAGGCGTTGCAACTGCAGCTGGGGAACAAACAGCGGGTTATCTTTGTTCCGTTTTCACGTGATGTATCACCCTAATCGGGTAATCTGCTATCATCATGAGCCTCGCACCTGGATTTAAAAAGCTTTCGCTGAGAATGAGTTCATCATACATAAAAGAAGCATAGCCATCTAAGCAATGGGTGGAAATTCTATGTTACTATTCGCATTATGAAGTTCTATTATTGTGTCTTGGTGCCGATGAAGTATATACATGTAAAGAAACATGGGCACCCGCGAGTCACCCCGCGGTGGAGACGTAGAAGGGAAAAATAACAAGCCGTACCGCCGTATAGGGGCACCTGTCCCACTTGGGAAATCTTTACTGCAACCAGGAGTATCGTTTCTGACTTCTCGGCCTTTGACCAATTTGGGTGGCCACTTGCTATGAGCCACTTAAATAGCTTCTCTACTTCCATGTTCGAACTTGGCTTTGGATGAGTCAATTTCCTGTGGATATTCATGATCTGTCTTTACTTTCGTCAAAGTCTTTACTTGAGCTCCCACTTTCCATCATCAGACACGATCTCCACTGGCCTCCGTTCATCCAAAGACTTTCGGCCAGCATCCAAGATAGCTGTGGTGGCGATTGTGTTACGCAGAGTGGGAAGAGGACGAGCATCCAGCTGATCGAGAGTCAAACGGCCTTCATTGACAGCCGTCACGGCGTCGATGAACTTCTCGAAGCTGATGTAGCCGTATCCGGTCTGACCACCGAAGTTGCCTTCTTCGTCAGGGGCATAGCGCATGTAGAAGCTGAAGTCAATGTTAGCTTGTTTTGTCCTTTTATACGAGAAACTGTTTCACTCACGGGTTCACCCAGATCAGTCCCTGCTCATCGGTGGTCACGTCATAGGAGCGCTTGGCCTGGTTGACGCGGATCTCGCCATTGGCAGCCATATCTGTCTCCCATGTTAGTCAAATAGTCAATTTTCCAATTGGATCACAAAACATACAGTGGAAGTACTGGTTTGAGTGCACGCCGGCGTTCTGCGGCGCGGTCCAGCTGGCTGTATAAACACCCGTAGCAATCTTCGCAGGATCATCCTTGCGACGCCACTCCACGAGAAGAGTAATAGTATCCTCCGTCTCAGGAACACAGCCTAGAGCAGCAGCGGTACCCTGAGACGCAGTAGCCGTGACCCGCACGGGCTTATAGTCCGGAACCATACTCTCGCAGACATCAATGTGGTGCGAGTTGAGATAATACGAGATATCTGAGTCGCGGCCTGCCCATGCCTTGAAAGTTTCAAGCTGGCTCTTGGGCTGACTCATATAGCTGTAGAAGTAGTTGAAGTCGCCGAGGGTCTTGGCCTTGGCGCGGGCATCTGAGTATGCCGGATCGAAGCGTTTGTGGTGCTCGATGAAGACGAACACTCCATGTTTGCGCGCAGCGTCGACCAGTGCGAGGTGGTGTTCTAAACGCTGGGTCGCAGGCTTGGTGATCAGCACATGGTGGCCGCGTTCAATGGCGTACAAAGCAATTGGGTAGTGAGTGGAGTCGGGAGTGAAGATGGTGATTGCGGAGCCCTTCGGCAGAGCGTCAATAGCCGCCTTGTAGGCATCCGGGTCGGTCTGGTCATCGGCGGGGAACGAGGTGAATGAAGTGTCGAGGCCGTTGTACACTTGGCAGATGTTGCGGTGCAAGTGATCGCCTGTAATTTTCTGTTAGCGCAATTATTCTCGTGACTCTGTGGATGTGCTCTTACGAATGCCCGGGAACTTCTTGCCCGAAACGCCGACCATACTCAGGTCGCCCACCTTGCCTCGTCGGCGCAGGTCGAACAGAGATAGACCGACCACGCCGACCTTCTTGTCTGAGCCGGAAGCACTTCCACCGACGAAGCCGGTAGTGTACTCGCCAGTGCCAACCTATTTGCGATTAGCATGCGCATGCGACGGGAGCTCGTGAGGCCTACCATCAATACGCTAGGAGGTGCCATGATGATTTCTTGTCAAGGTAGAGGATGACAAGGTAGATTGGAGGGGTGTGAGGAGATTCAAAGAGGAATTGAGGGAAATAATAGGGAAATCTGGGTCTCGTGGTGGACGTAATTCTTCCGGCGTTTGAAAAACGTCAATAGCCGACCTCGTCATATCTTATCGGCGCGGGGTGGCCATGAATGCTACGATGCGGATTTCTGCTCTTTATACTTGAACATATTATATTCCTTGCGCAATTAGACTATAGTATTTGTTCAGAATCCGACTTTCTCTAACGCGCCTACACTTGCTTCTCCGATCATAATAATGCCTGCGCAACAGTATTTACACTGACGAGACCATGTAATGCGCCCCTCCTCCGCGAAATGTCACCCCACACTTGCAATGTATATTCTGATTGGTGGAAGTAGTTTATCCACCATACAGATCGCATCGGGGGATTTGCCGACGTGGGGAGGAGTAAGGAGGGCTGGTTAAATAAAATCGGACCAGCTGTCTCCCTGTTTTCTCTACATCTACATCAGTTTGTGAGTTGAGATCCTACTCATTTGGAGCCCCCAGCTTCCAGCTCCTTAAACTAACAACAACAGCATCATGTCGCCCACTCCACTCCGCCCCGGCGTCTATGCGCCAACCATGACCTTCTTCGATCCCAACACTGAAGACCTCGATGTTGCCTCAATCCGTCGCCATGCGGTGCGCTTGGCCAAGGCGGGTCTGGTTGGTCTTGTCACCATGGGCTCCAACGGCGAGGCCGTGCACTTGACGCGTCAGGAGCGCGCAACCGTTACACGGGAAACCCGCACTGCTCTTGATGAAGCCGGATTCACGAATGTGCCAGTTATCTCTGGTGCCAGCGAGAACAGCATTCGCGGCACCATTGAGCTGTGCCAAGAAGTTGCCGCAGCCGGTGGCGAGTATGCTCTGATCGTGCCGCCCAGCTACTACCGTGGTGCCGTCGGCAATGACGAGACTCTATACGAGTACTTCACTGCTGTGGCTGACGGCTCTCCCATCCCCCTTATCCTCTATAACTACCCCGGCGCCGTCGCTGGAATCGACATGGACTCCGACCTCATCATCCGCATCTCCCAGCACCCCAACATTGTCGGCACTAAGTTCACCTGCGCCAACACCGGCAAGCTGACCCGTGTCGCAAGTGCTCTCGGCGCTATCACTCCTCCCTCCCCTCTGGCCCCCGTGCAGCGTGCTGCTCCCACCGTCTCAAAGCCAGACGCCAAGCACCCCTACGTTGCCTTTGGCGGTATCGCCGACTTCAGCATCCAGACTCTCGTCTCTGGTGGTTCCGCGATCCTGGCCGGTGGTGCCAATGTTGTCCCGCGCCTGTGCGTTCGTATCTTCAACCTTTGGTCCGAGGGCAAGCTCGCCGAGGCCATGCAGGCCCAGCAGCAGCTCAGCGACGCCGACTGGGTCCTCACAAAGGCGGCTATCCCCGGCACCAAGTCCGCAATCCAGTCCTATTACGGCTACGGCGGGTATCCCCGTCGGCCCCTGGCCCGTCTTAGTGAGGCTCAGGCCCAAACGATCGCCGACAAGATCAAGGGCGCATTGAAAGTGGAGCTGTCGCTGCCTGATGTGGCATAATTATGACAATGGAAAGAATGTAAATGCACATAGGATTACTAGGTTGTATATGATCATGCCATGACTTCAAATGCCCCCTCTATTCCCGAGTAATCCACGAAATAAATAGCTTCTAGACGTCAATCATCGTCATGCTAGTATGAGCCCTAAGTCCAAGCCCTACAAACGGGACCATGCATTTCCTTATCGTTTATCGTCGATAAGGAGGCAGTCCGGAATCTATTTTCTCCTGGACATCTCATAGGCGGAAAAATAGGCGATCGGAGTTGATACGAGCCTAGCATCGTTAAACAACACTGCAACAGCAAAAAGTATGCCGGTTGCATGCGCATTTTCAGGTCGATGAGGTCATGTAACCATGCTTCATCTCCAGTATTGTTGGCCAATTCGTTTCTGCTATGCATGATTTCTCGTGCGAGAATCTCGCGCTTTGATTCCCGAGCCTGAACCAATGGTTTGGCAGATGGAGCGGCCCCCCACGGTGACAAGTCCGAGATATGGGGGTCACGGCACCTGGAGGTCAAAGTGTATTTACAATTCGGTACAGTATATGCCGCCCTTGGTGGAGATAGCATTTTGTTAAAGAGGCGTTTTTTATTTTTTTGATATACCCCTCCTTCCCCCCCCACGCAGGAGGGTCTTTCTTGTTTCTTGGTTTGCCTTTTAAACTGTCGCCTCCCCAATCTCGTGGAAAAGAATCTACCTTGCTTTTTATTCAATTCATTATATCTTGGAACAATGCCTTATCCCGAGGAAGCTGAGGGCTTCCAGGTCGATGGACCTAATACTTTCACCCAGTTCCACAAGCGCTTCGTGAGTTGAATGCAGCTGCTTCAGAAGATTGTCTAACTGGTGTTCTTCGGGGCTGTAGTACAAGTTGAAGCCGTTTGGTGACTATGGTAAGTTGAAACCTATCGTGCCACATCTCGATCAGCTCTAATATGTACACAGACGTGGACATCAAGATTGAGGCATGCGGTGTCTGTGGAAGTGACGTGCACACCATCAGCGGTAGGAAGCTCACAAATGAATCAGCACGATCTCAGCTCACAAATATCTTTCAGGTGGATGGGGATCTCAGAAGTTCCCTCTGTGCGTGGGACACGGTAGGCACTCCGATCCTTCAAGACTCAAGATCAATTGCTAACAAAGTTCACAGAAATTATCGGCCGTGCCATTCGCGTCGGTCCCAAGGTCACCCTCATCAAGGAGGGACAGCGCGTCGGCGTCGGCGCTCAGTCATACTCCTGTGGCGAGTGCAAGCAGTGCCTTAACGACAATGAAACCTACTGCCCCGTGCAGATGATGGATACCTACGGATCGGAGTGGCCCGAGACTGGAATCATCAGCCAGGGCGGATACTCATCGCATGTGCGCACACACGAGCACTGGGTGTTCCCCATCCCTGATGCTCTGTCCAGCAACACCGTGGCGCCGATGCTGTGCGCCGGTCTCACTGCGTACTCACCGCTTGTGCGAAATGGTGCCGGGCCTGGCAAGAAGGTTGGTATCGTCGGGCTGGGTGGTATCGGACACTTTGGTATTATGTTTGCCAAGGCTCTTGGGGCTGAGACCTGGGCTATCTCACGGTCTAGGGCTAAGGAGGCCGATGCTCTGAAGTTGGGCGCTGATGGGTACATTGCTACTGCTGAGGAGGGGTGGGAGGAGCCGCACAAGTTCTCGTTTGATTTGATTATCAACTGTGCCAACTCGTCCGAGGGCTTTGATCTTGCGCGTTACCTGTCTATGATGGATGTACATGGTAGATGGGTCAGTGTCGGTCTTCCTGAGGAGGAGGGTCAAATTATCAAGGCTCAGAACTTGATTTCTAATGGTGTGCTTATTGGGGCTAGTCACTTGGGTAGCCGGCGGGAGATGCTGCAGATGTTGCAGTTGGCGGCTGATAAGGGGCTGAGGGGGTGGGTGGAGGAGATTCCGATTGGCGAGGAGGGCCTGAAGGAGGCTATGCTTCGGATGAAGAAGGGTGACGTGCACTATCGCTTCACTCTGACCGGATACGAGAAGGTGTTTGGTTAAACAGCTCCGGTGTGGAATGTTAGGTGTTTCTGAGACAGGGGGTGGTTGGGGAGTTTTGGTGATGTATAACGCGTGTGTGTGGCGAGGCTTTTTATGAGGGTATTTGGTTATTGAGATGCCAGTCTGAAAAATAGACAATGATTATCATGATCTTTACCTACGTCCAGCTTATACTTCTTAAGTGCTATTCTTCTATACCCACTGGGCTATGTTGGGCTGGTCTGAGATCCTCTGTCCCCCTGCCTTTATACCGTAATCTGTTGAAAACCTGACCCCAGGCTGAACTGTAATATTTCTCAATGCTCAAGAACTGCATTCTATTGTCTTGGACCTTAACGTGCAGCATTGTTTAAAGTGGACCGACCCACTTCCCTTGAAGCATGAACCACGAACCGGATCGGCGGCATCTTCAATTTTGGATTTACCGCGTGTTAGATCCGACCTGAAAAGACTTTAGGAACCCTACTTTACCCGATTGTCAGCAGAGTTCCAAGGTTAATTTGAATCCCTGGAACTTGAAAAGGTTGAATCGCCACCCGAGGGTACAAGATCAGATGTACTCGGTACTGGCCCGCCCGGCCCTTAAGCATAGTCAGTGCAGTAGCAGTACTCCGCACGGGCGTAAATCCCCCAGGACTCGCCCCCAGATGCTAAGAAAAACTTGACCCCTACAGGAAGAGTACGGACGTAAGTACAGGTACACCTGAAGGAAGCATTAAGCATATGACATTGCCTGTATCGAGTACTTCAAGGCCAACCCCGGACCTAATCGATTCACCGCCCGACTCTTAGACCCGCCCATTCTTTTGGCTTTTGGGTTCATCTCCCTTTTCTCTCCTTGCGCCTCTTCCTTCTGAATTTTTTGTTGTTTCCTTGCTCATTCTTTCGCTTATATCGTTTTCTCGGTGTTATTTTCGGTCCCTATCTTCGGTTTCATACATCGTTTAGAGTCCCTTCACTGGGACCCCCCGGAAAACTTGCATCTCACGCCATACGTATAGACAGGGGACTGGGAAAAACTCAGTCGTTTCATTCACATAAACAGCCGGTGTCCAGCCGAGCTTCGAGCAACTGACGCATCAAATTCAATCGCTTCGAATTCGTCGATCACTCGCCCTTATTACCCGTACGATTACCACCATTATGTCGCCACGCGAGAACTCTAGCGGCCTCTCTGTGCGGCGCCGCCCCTCGCTCTCCCTGCGCCCTCGTTCCAAGACTGCTGCGCATTCAGCTACACTACCGAAAGACAATGCGCATGGCCAGTGGCAAGATACCTCCCTGGCGGAGGTTTCCGACGAGTATAACGCCTTGACGGTAGATGATACGGAGTTGTTTCCAGAGGCTGTGCCTCGACGTCGTGCAGCTAAGAGCTTCTCGAGTCTACGTCATCCAATGGACGGCCTAGTGGCTCTGGGCCGCCGCCTCTCCGTCTCAGTCCGCAACAAGTCCTCGAAACAGAGCTTGCGGGTTCCAGAACTGGAAGATGATAGTGAGTGCAGTTGCGAGAGTGGCTACTTTCACCATGCTGTGGCCCACGGCTCGAACCACAAGCGCAATGCCGGTCCTGGAAGCTGGGCTCCTAGATCCCGCGCCTGGTCTAATGGTATCAGCATCAACCGTCGTCCCTCGCTCAACAGTGTTTCTGCCCTGCAGAGTTTCTATGCTCCAACTTCTTCAGCCCCGGTGCCCATTCCAGGCCATGGGCTTGCGCCTCCGATCCTCCCGAACGATAAGTTTGCGGGATCGGCTGCGCGAGCCGCTGCCGCCGCGCAGAATGAAGCGGCCAGGCTGGAATCGGCCAAGACGGAGCGGGACCTCCAGAAGTCCGACACCAGAGTGAAGAAGGATTCTGAGAGTGGTATTGGAATTGACTTGCGTGACCACTCCGGTCGGTCCTTTGTGACCTGTGTGACCTGTGTGCGCATTGGTAAAGAACCATGAATTCGGAAAGACTTGATTCAGGCGCTAATATCAATTATAGACCCAGTTTCTTACCTCCCCGCCGAGATCTCGGCTCTCGTTCTTTCATATTTAGACCCTGCGTCTCTCATGGATTCCGAATCCGTGTCCAAGGCCTGGCACCGACAGGCTTCTTCGCCCCATGTTTGGAAGCATGTCTTTCGTGGCGCATATCCTCGGCGCCCGGCCAGCTCCACTGCAACCATGAAGAAGTTGTCTGTTGGACTGGGAAAGTCAATCCCCAACCAGGACTGGAAGAAGATGTTTCTCGTCCGGCGATCTCTTGAGCAACGCTGGAGACAAGGCAAGGCCGCGGCCATCTATCTTCACGGACACACAGACAGCGTTTACTGTGCGCAGTTTGATGAAAACAAAATTATCACTGGCTCTCGTGACCGCACCATTCGTGTGTGGGACGCCCACTACCCGTGGTCCTGTCAAAAGATCATTGGCTCTTCCACGGGCGATGTGACTATCGATGGACCGGTGAATAACCCGGCACAGCAGGCCACGGGCAAATCTCCCTTTGCAACTATTTGCCCACCATCGACTCCCTCCGCAGGGATCGTTGCTCCTATGGAGCACCCGTCATTTTATCACAGTGCTTCAATTCTGTGCTTGAAGTTTGATAAAGAAATCATGGTCACTGGGTCCTCAGACTTTAGCTGCATCGTGTGGGGTATCAAGAACGGCTATCAACCAATCCATCGTCTCATCGGCCACACTGCCGGCGTGCTTGATGTCTGTTTCGATGACCGGTATATCGTATCCTGCTCGAAGGACACTTCCATCTGCGTGTGGGACCGCAAGACCGGCGCCCTTCTTAAGCAACTATCCGGCCACGACGGACCTGTGAATGCTGTGCAACTACGCGGTGACCTCGTGGTGTCAGCAAGTGGCGATGGTGTGGCCAAGCTTTGGAACGTCATTACTGGCCACTGCGTCAAGGAGTTCATCAGTAAGGATCGTGGTCTTGCGTGTGTTGAATTTAGTGATGATGGTCGAACTATTTTGACTGGTGGCAATGATAAGATTATCTATCAGTTCGACGCCAACACTGGCGAGCTGGTCCATGAGATCCGTGCCCATTCGTCCCTGATCCGGTCGCTTCACCTTGACAGTATGAACAAGCGTATTGTCAGCGGTAGTTACGACATGAGTGTCAAGGTGTTCGACGCTGACACGGGTGAATTGTCTATTGATCTGCCTGGTTGGACAACCAGCTGGATGCTGAATGTCCAGTCGGACTATCGGCGGATCTTGGCGACTAGCCAAGACTCACGGGCCGTCATTATGGATTTCGGCTACGGGCTAGATGGGATTGAATTGCTGGAGGAGTGATTTTATTGTATCTGACTTGATAACTTTGTTTCTTGAATTAGCGTTGATTTTGAGTATTCATGCCAGCATGGTCTTTGGGGAGTTGGCAACATATGGGAAATCGAGGTATGGGAAATCGAGGTATGGGGACTGGACAAAAGAACTGATCATAGAGTCTCTGAATTTATTTATTTAAAGCAACACTCGCTATCTACCAGCTTAGGATGAAATCATCGTGAGTAAAAAGACCAAAAAGGACCTGAAAGGATGCCTGAGGTGATATGTTACCTAATCCCTCGTGATTGGCTGTCATGATGTCTAGCGCCGCCAATAATCCGTGGATTTTGGCATCAAAACAAACCATCGTTGTTTTTCATCAACACAGACAGGCAAACCCCAGCGAGGAGGCCCTGATCTTACACGGATTTTTTATCTGTCGATCTCTTGTCGAATTTTGTCTCTCAATCTCCCCCGTCTCTTCCTCAAGCGTTCCGATTGCGACTATCACTACCCCACCATGGGCGAATCCAGGTTGGCTTTCCCCCCTAATCGACGATCGACCTCTGAACAACATAGAATTATCAGCTAACCCTGCCTTGTCTACAGACAAGAGCTGCTGGCATGGTTGAACAACCTGCTGCAGTTGAACATCACTAAGATCGAGCAGTGTGGAACCGGGTATGACGGATCGGCCACCCCTCCCCCTCCACCCCTGGAGGGGGTACACGTCGGATACGCGGAGAAAAACAATGGACTGACATGGCTCTCGGGCGGAATCGAACAGTGCTGCGCTATGCCAGATCTTTGACTCCATTTTCAGTGAGTGCGACCTTTGATCGCCGGCGCTCGGAGAAGCGGTCAAGCCGCCCGAGATTTTGTGAAGGCATATACTGATGCGAATGATCTTTCTTTTTCTAGTGGATGTGCCCATGTCCCGGGTGAAGTTCAACGTCAACAGCGAATATGCTTACCTCCAAAACTTCAAGATCCTCCAGAGTACGTCTCGACAATCACTCACGGTCACCGTCCATGTCACCGTCCCAATCACCCTTCTAACATAACACTCGTTTCAGATATCTTCACCAAGCACACTGTCGAGAAGCCCATCCCCGTTCAATCCCTTAGCAAGTGCCGTATGCAGGACAACCTCGAATTCCTCCAGTGGACCAAGCGATACTGGGACCAGCACTATCCCGGCGGTGAGTATGACGCCGTCGGCCGCCGGAAAGCATCTGGCGCTCCCGCAGGTGCCCCTGCTGCGCGTACTGTCTCAGCCGGTTCGCGACGCGGCGCGACCCCGACTACTGGTGGTGCCGCCCGACCCCGGGTTGCTGCCGCGCCGACCGGTGCCGCCACCGCGGCTCTGCAGCAGGAGATTTCGACACAGAAGGAGGCCATTGCCGGACTCGAGAAGGAGCGGGACTTCTACTTTGCCAAGTTGCGCGACATCGAGTTGCTGCTGCAGAGCGCTATTGAGGCGGACCCCGAGTTGGATAAGGAGGAGGATACTCTTGTCAAGCACATCCAGGGCATTCTGTACTCAACCGAAGTAAGTTTTATCCGACAGAGTATTTCGGGTCAACGACCATGCTAATGGGATATCAGGATGGATTCGAGATCCCCGCGGAGGGTGAGGAGGTCGTGGGTGACGACCTGGAGACGTTCTAAGCGAAGCGGGATCGGGCCCAAAATCGAGAAACGTCTCAATGTTAAATACCCCATGAGATGTGAAAGCGTAGATAGTGGATTACACGCCCATATGGGAACCCATCGGGTGGTGTTATGTTCAGTAAAGTAGCGAAACATACCACAAACCTAAGTGATTATGACTACGACTGTGACTGTGACTGTGACTATAAATCTTACCTAATATCCAAGGCTCGTGTATGTCTAACCATAGTGCCAGACAGGAATAGTGCCGTTCCCTTGCGGGAAGACAATAATTAAACCTGCAGCGCGCTAGTTTTGGCCAGACTCGAGAATGATCCACCTGTCACCGATCCGTGGATTCCATTGGCTGAATACCATGCGTACCTGCATCACCGCTAGTCCCAATATGGAACCGGCGTTGAACGCTGCGAGGAGACGAAGCGTGCGTTTCCTGCCAAAAAATAATAACAAAATGACTATTCAATGGGCGTCTTTGCTCAGGGCGATTCCCCTCAATTCGGATCCATTTCACCCTCTTGACTGGGCAGGCAATCACACCAACCAAGAAGAAAAAAGAAAAAAAAAAACGTTCTCGGCCCCGGCCCCGGGACTAGTTCGTCACCCACGCGGGTCGTCTTGGCTTCGATTAGGGGAGTCTGGGTCCCGTCCCTCCACCGTTTCGCTTTTTCACTTTCCCCAAGAGTCGGCCGGGCTCACCAGGAAGCTTTTCTGTGTCCCTTAGACCCAGACTCAGACCTCGCAGTGTCACCCCTCAACGTACCCGCTGGTACCCCGGGGTCCTGATATCACTCGTCTCGCTCGTTTCGTTTCGTTTCGTTTCGGGGGTTCTAGTCGACACTATGGATTAGGGCGACGACTTGGCTTCTGACTCAACTACCACTCTCTTTACCTTCTCGTTCTCTCCGGTGGGTTACCTGTTCGTTTCATCTGATCGGGAGGCACCAACCTCCGTGCCAGACCGATCAAGTGAAAAACCCATTGCTGACCGGATATATCAATTCACCAGGCCATTCAGTTCTGCGCCGAATGCCATCCATTCATTACTGATTCACTTGTCGGCGACACAGACCGCTGACATCCGCTCCTTACTCTCTCGCCCACAATCCCTCCTTTTCCGGGGACCTCGGCCAGCATTATTCGTTTCTGCGGAATCAACGCACAAGGCCCTGCTTTTCATCGACACGAACGACTTCAAAAACTACTTTTATTCGCCCGTCGTGCAGCTGGTCGATCCAGCTCCGACTCGAGTGAGGATTCACGATCCTCTTCAATTGAACCCAACCTAATCTATTTTTGGCACACACCTGTACGATTTTCACCATGGCGCACCATGGACATAGTCACCTACGCCACAAGCGCATGGGCAAGCTCATTCAAACCAAGCACCACCTGGAGGAACAGGAAGCAGCAGTTGCAGATGGGGAAGTTTCCAACGCCAAGATCCTCGGGGCTGTGGATACCCTTGAACCCCCCAGTCTTTCATCTTCTGATCCGATCTTGAATGATGCCTGCGATCCGTTACAAAACCTCACTTGCCTCGAAGATACCGCTGAGACACAAGACGTATCATTTTCAAAACGACAAGAGGCTGACTCACCCTCCACCACGGTGGTTGAGACCATCTTGCAGGTGGTGGATCAGAACTCCCACACCCTCTGGGTGTCCACGGCGTCTGATTTTCCGATGACCATTTCAGACCCCGCGTTTGGCGCTTTCACCTTCACTGCCAGTGAGTCGACATCAGCAGAGCTGTCCTTGCCGACGGCTCCCACAAACTTACTTACTACCCCGCCGTCAAACTCGACAACTCAGACTACACCGCCGCCTACGGTCAAGCAGACCCAAACAGCGCCAATCTCCTCACCAAAGATTCCTTTAACCGGTAGTTCCATTCTACACACATCGACTCCACTGGTTGAGCCAACGCCGCCTGCGTCTTTAAACTCTACCACCGTTTTACCGACATCAACATCCGCTTATTTTGCGAATGGTGGTCATGGTACTTGGTATTCTAGTTCTAGCTCTTCTGAGGTCCCATATTCCAGCATCACGCCGTCTGCTTCAACGAGTGCCTTCTGGGGTTCCGAGGAGACTAGCGCCAGTCCTAGTACCAGCACCAGTGCCGGCGGTGGAGCGGAGCCGTCTACGGGCAATTCCCAACCTACCTCGTCCTCAGGGTCCGGGTCCGGGTCCGGGTCCGGGTCAGGATCGAACAAGGATGCCAGCACACCTAAAATCGTGGGCGGTGTCGTAGGAAGTGTTGCAGGCCTCGCCGTTATCTTCCTTTTTCTATTCTACCTTTTCCGCCGTCGAAAGTTCTTGCAACAGCAGAGTGCCCAATCTCTTCCGTCTAATGATGCTGGAACACGCGGTATGTCCGAACGAACCTTAAGTAACGACAACAGTCCCTTGTTCTCGGCATCATATTTGGCGCCCGCTTTCATGAAACGTTGGCGTGCTTCGACTATGACCACTGCAACTGAGAGTACCATATCTTCGTCTGGCACGAGCGAGCGAGGATTTCAGAAGCTCTCTGGCCGCAAGATCCCGCCTGTCCTCACTCACGGAGGTGACGGGTTTGGTGGTGGTCTAGATGGCGACTCTCCCACTCTACCTGGGTTCTCCCCCATATCTCCTAGCGGGGGACCGCTGTCCTCTCCTTCGACCTATGGACCCCCTCCGGCATCGCCATTTGGTATGCCGTTAGAAACCAACTTGCGAGAGGCTGATGAGCATATCGCCCCCGTTCGACCATCACCAGTTCATCTTCCTGTCTCCAGCTCCGTCAACTTCGGCTCTCCAACCACCGTGAATCCCTCACATAACTTGGCCCAGCCCCAGACAGTCGTGCCGATCTTACCAACGCGGCCTGATGGGTTGGGGCGCAGTCTTCCAAGCCACGACGGAAGCAGAAGCAGCCGCTTCACGGAGGGCATTGATCTGTGACGTGGAATGTACTTATTGATACGGGATATGTGATATGATAAAGCCGACGTGAAACGGGATTTGGAGACCCAAGTGATAGGCCACGATCGAACCTTCACGCTGATTTGATTGCAGCGATTCATCATTTTTTTGTTCAATGTTCATTTTTCATGGTTCATTTGACCTCTTTCTGTTCGACTATTTTGCGATTCAAGGGTTCTCTAGGAGTCCCTGCCTGTCTTTGACATCTGTTTTTGTCTATTGTTTCTTTTAGATACCCCCTATTCCCTCCCAATTCCTTGATTCCTTGTGAATAAATTCCTCTTTATTTTTTACTCTTGTTACTTTTCTTTTATCTGGTGGACTACTGATTGTTGATGTGGTATGGTTATGAGCCAACATTCCCAGGGGTTCGCCTGGGTATCACTTAATCCAAGATAATGAATAATTGAAGCCTGGAATCTTCCTATTCTGTACATGACTGTAGCCTAATGGGGCAGTGAGGGCACGTGGACTGTGTCTCATAGCTGAATCGTATGCGCCTCCGCAATTCCCAAAGTTAACTTCTGTTTGAAGGAACGCAGATGAGCCCCAAAGCCGCCTACGCCGTCTTAGAAGAGCACCATGTGGATGTCACGTGATGGAGATCTTCAGCACTGCCACATCAGATCACCCGCCACACCCCAGCCACATCAGATGGCATTTGCCATCAAGCCTAAGAAGAAGGGCAGTGGTTATTGTAGATGCTACTGGTTGTTACAGCCGGTATCAGCATCGAACCCCTGCAAACATTGCCACAAGTGGTACTCTGCAGAAAAGGATCGATGCCATGACGCGGATGGGTTTGTTCTTACTGACGAACCGAAACAAACCTCGTACCTGCAACAGCCGGATCTCCAATGAGCCATGCCATGACATGACGTACACGAACGCATTCCCGCCTGCGTACATTTCCGTTTCAAAGGTGATGACACCCTTCAACCTGACACATAGAGTTAAGCGGGGGATGTTGAAGCTGTATGGCGATTGGATGGCTATTGAGGCGCAGTCGGACCCGTATCCTCCACCCGTGGACATGGCGGCAACTAAAACCACCCCATCACATCTAGACTAATGCTGGACCATTGGGATATCCGTCGGGCCCCGGCTCACATGGCCGGGCGCCTCGCCAGTCCCAGATTGTTGCATGAGCTCGTCGGCGCCTAATTCAGAGTGAAATATCGCGTGCTATACTGTCGCCTCTCATCAAGGCTGTGTTTGATCTTGAATATTCTAGCTGGGCATGGACTCTGTGCTCGCCTTTCTATGCCTTGTCGAACGCTATCTTCACCTTGGCGAAATCTACTGATGTCGCCGCCGGGGCTGTGCTCTGTCAACGTAATATCTCATCCGGGTCATCCTGGCTAAGAGCTTCGGCTCTACCTTACCTTCTTATCGAGCCCCTCTTCTGCTCATCTATTGCTTCGTGGGGAAAAATTTGCGCAAGCTTGGCATTCTTTTATCCCTTAGCCTGAATCTAGTACCGAGATTGAATTACTCGGCGGATCCTGGGCATTACACAGCCACGCACGACCTTGAGGGAGGGGTGATATCAAGCGTACACCCCAGCATCCGCAGAATTTTCACAATAGCCCATCTCATTACTTACTTTCCTCTACTTGGACGACATAAAATCGTCCATCTGGTGCAATCTAGCACCATGGCCTCGTCTAATAACCCATCCGGAGGCCAATTTTTAAGCCCTGTCGTCGTGACGAACCCAAACGGAAGAGAGGTAAGTCAAACACCTAATTACCCGCAAGGAAATTGGGCGCCAACACTCATACTAATTTCTCACTAGCGATCTCTATCTGTTTCATCAGCTGCAGCATCATCATCATCATGGTCCGGCCCAACAGATAATGACCACAGTCCAACATCACCCACATCATCTCTATCACCAGACATGGCCTGGAACCAAAATTCAGCTCGCCTAATGGTGCATCACGCCCAGCATCGACCTTCATCGTCGATAGACGGCGACACATTACGTCCGCGCTCAGACTCGTTCGCATCAACTGCGAACCTGACTATTCGCTCGCGGGCGAACTCGGAAGTTGATCCCTCTTTTGCTGCTAAGTACGACGATGTCCCGCTGGCGGAGGCATTGAATCCTGATCCGCGCGATGAGGCGGACTTTCAAGTCAATGACAATCGCTTTGCCTTCTCGCCGGGCCAGTTGAACAAGATGCAGAATCCTAAGTCTTTGGCTGCGTTCCACGCTCTAGGTGGGTTGCAGGGTCTTGAACGCGGCTTAAGAACTGATCTGAATGCTGGCTTGTCTGTTGATGAGGGCCGATTGGAAGGGACCGTTGCTTTTCAGGAAGTGGCGCCACCCGTTTATAATAAGAGACCGTCTATAAGCAAGCCGGCGCTGTATGCCAGTCCTGTGATGGCGTCGGCGACGGGTGGGGATTCTTTTGAGGATCGCATTCGCATCTTCAGTGAGAATAAGCTGCCGGCGAGGAAGTCGACGGGCTTTTTTAAGCTGTTTTGGATTGCTTATAACGACAAGATTATTATACTTTTGACTATTGCGGCTGTTGTTTCTCTGTCGCTTGGTATCTATGAGACGGTGTCGGGAGGTACGGGTGTAGACTGGGTTGAAGGTGTGGCTATTTGCGTGGCAATCTTGATTGTTACCGTCGTTACTGCTGTCAATGATTGGCAGAAGGAAAGACAGTTCGCGAAACTGAATAAGCGGGTAAGCGATCTGAAACAACTGGAGTTAACATAATACTAACATTGTTAGAATGACGACCGAGAGGTAAAAGTCGTCCGCTCTGGCAAGTCAATGATGATATCCGTCTACGATATCCTAGTCGGCGACGTGCTCCACCTGGAGCCGGGTGACTCGGTTCCTGCAGATGGTATCCTGATCTCAGGACATGGTGTCAAATGCGACGAATCATCCGCCACTGGCGAGTCTGATCAAATGAAAAAGACCGCTGGCCAGGAAGTCTGGCTGCAGATTGTGGAGGGCCGGGCAACGAAGAAGCTCGACCCGTTCCTGATTTCCGGTAGCAAGGTTCTAGAAGGTGTAGGAACCTACCTTGTCACTAGTGTCGGGCCTTATTCGTCATATGGTCGGATCATGATATCTTTGCAAACGACTAACGATCCCACGCCGCTTCAGGTGAAACTGGGAAAGTTGGCTGACTGGATTGGATATTTGGGCTCAGCGTAAGTCGAATTATACTACCCTTTGGTTCAGATTATACTAACGATGATGTACAGTGCTGCTATTCTTCTATTCTTTATTCTCTTGTTCCGCTTTATTGCCGATCTTCCGAATCATCCCAATGTCCCCCCTGCGGAGAAGGGTAAGGAATTTGTGGATATTTTGATTGTTGCTGTGACTGTCATCGTTGTCGCCATTCCAGAAGGCCTTCCATTGGCTGTTACCCTTGCCTTGGCCTTTGCTACAACCCGCATGGTCAAGGAAAACAACCTTGTCCGTGTCCTTCGGGCTTGCGAGACAATGGGTAACGCGACTGTTATCTGCTCCGACAAGACAGGAACCCTGACACAAAACAAGATGACAGTGGTTGCGGGTACCTGGGGCTCAGATCAGAGCTTTAGCCAACCATCTGAGAGTGAGATCGGCATCGATGCCGTGAGCACCTCAGAAATCTTCCAGCGATGTTCTGCCCCAGTACGAGACCTTATTTCCAAAAGTGTTGCATTGAACTCTACTGCTTTTGAAGAAGATAAAGATGGCTGCAAGGAATTCGTCGGAAGCAAGACCGAGGTTGCACTTCTCCAGCTGGCTAAGGATTACTTGGGTATGGATCTCGCTTTGGAGCGTGGTTCTGCCGAAATTGTCCAGCTTGTCCCATTCGACTCTGCACGCAAGTGCATGGGTGTTGTTTATCGGCACCCTAGTGTTGGATACCGCCTCCTAGTTAAGGGTGCAGCTGAGATTATGGCCAGCGCCTGTTCTACTCAGATCACCGAGATCGACATGGCGAAGGATACCATCCACACTGAGGGCCTCTCCGATCAGGACAGACAGAAGATTCTGGGAATCATTGATCGATATGCTCAGGGCTCCCTTCGCACTATAGGAATGGTTTATAGTGACTTTGCATCTTGGCCGCCAAAGAATGGGAAGAAGCTGGAGGACGACCAATCTGCTGCCGACTTCGATGATGTCTTCCACGACATGACTTGGCTTGGTGTTGTGGGAATTCAAGATCCCCTTCGCCCCGAGGTTCCGCCTGCCATTCGCAAGTGTCACTCGGCAGGAGTCCAAGTCAAGATGGTGACTGGTGATAATGTTGCCACTGCCACTGCCATCGCGACTTCTTGTGGTATCAAGACTGAAGATGGATTGGTCATGGAAGGTCCCAAGTTCCGACAGCTATCAGATGAGGAAATGGATATAGTCATTCCCCGTCTGCAAGTCTTGGCACGGTCTTCGCCTGAGGACAAGCGTATTCTTGTGGAGCGACTCAAGGCCCTTGGTGAGACTGTTGCTGTCACTGGTGACGGCACCAATGATGGGCCTGCCCTGCGGACGGCCGATGTTGGCTTCTCTATGGGTATTGCTGGCACTGAGGTTGCCAAGGAAGCTAGCTCAATCATCCTTTTGGATGATAACTTCCGCTCTATCGTCACCGCAATTTCCTGGGGCCGTGCGGTCAATGATGCCGTTGCCAAGTTCCTACAGTTCCAGATCACCGTCAATATCACGGCTGTCACTTTGACCTTTGTATCGTCTGTGTACAGCAGCTCGAACAGCAGCGTTCTGAATGCTGTGCAGCTGCTTTGGGTGAACCTGATCATGGACACTTTTGCTGCTCTTGCACTGTAAGTTGCCTCCATTCTGCGCTACTTTCACCAACTGACAAGATAACAGCGCTACCGATGCCCCGACCGAGAAAATCTTAGAAAGAAAGCCCGTGCCAAAGAGTGCCTCACTCTTCACCTTGACCATGTGGAAAATGATTCTTGGACAGGCAGTCTATCAACTGGCTATAACTTTTATGCTCTATTTCGCTGGCGATAAACTCCTCAACGCACACCTCGACTCCAATGACGCAGCACTTCGATCAAAGCAGCTCTCAACCGTCGTCTTCAACACTTTCGTCTGGATGCAGATCTTCAACGAATTCAACAACCGACGCCTAGACAATCACTTCAATATCTTTGAAGGCATGTTCAAAAATTACTGGTTCATGGGCATCAACCTCATCATGATTGGCGGCCAAGTCATGATCGTATACGTCGGCGGCCAGGCCTTTGGCGTGACTCGCATCTCCGGTATCCTATGGGCCGTTTGTTTAATCTGCGCACTAGGCTGTCTACCATGGGCTGTGGTCCTACGTATACTCCCCGACCGCCACTTTGGCATTGTGTTCAATGCGGTCGTCAGCGGGATGAACTTCATTCTGAGACCACTTTCTAAGGGCTTCAAGGCCCTTGTTCGTGGTGCTAAGGCTCTCTTCCGACCTCTATCTCGATTCACTCGCCGTGCCAATTTCCGAAGGAACTCACAGACTACTGATACCCCTCTTGCATCGTCTGAGACCCCCAATTCTCCTGTCATGGATGAGGAAGCTCCCGCTTCCACGAAATTGGCTCGTCTAGAGAGCCATGAGCGTCCTCGGACACCACCCACCATTGTGGTGCCTCCTATTACTGTTACGACTTCTCCTTAAACTTCATGTCTGTGTTATATAGCGATACCATTGGGTGGCTGGCGATCAATTATTTGTACATAGAAATACTCGATGGGCAAAATTAAAAGAATTTCTTCTTCCTATAGCAATTTTTGCTCTCACGAATTATTAATTATTTCAGTAGGGCCAAAATATGACTATTATGACTATAGTTCCTAAACAACTAACCGTCAATTCTGCTGTAGTGCACCGGTGTCCCAATTGGCCCCCACTCATGCGCAGCCCCTGGAATTAGCCTCGTCAAACTTTACATTCAGCTAGTCTCAAGAACTCTGATCAGCGAATCTGACGAGAGCACCTTCAATCCCCCTGAATCTGACACTTGAGACCTACGGTGAGTTTCGTGGTATTTTATCAAGAGGCTATGGACCGATGTACACGGGTGTACTCCAGCAATGTCAACCACACAAGGAAAGTCGGGCCATCGCAACCCGATCCACAATCCGTTCCCCGCTTCTCTGTCTAGTGAGTAAAAAAAGTCTCTCGCAAGATGCATGATACTGACCATCTCCAGGCGAGTGTAAAAAGGCTGGCAAAATCATCTACTCATTCGTCAACTCGACATTGACGAATACTCCCGGCGAGACTGCGATTCCTCGTAAGATCCTCGGAACTGCCAAAGTGGGTCTTCCAGGCCATCAGAACGAATAAGTCAAGCTAATACCATCTCAGGGTCTAGTAATATGCACAGTTTTCAGAGCCGGTTTCCTCGGTTCTATCCGCTTTGGCTCCGGCCTGATGGTAGCCCGCCTTCCCGATGGTAGCTGGTCAGCACCCTCGGCCATAGCGCTGGGCGGTCTAGGCGGAGGAGGCCAGTTCGGTGTGGAACTCACTGACTTTGTATTCGTGTTGAATACCGACGCGGCAGTGCAGACGTTCCTCAGATCTGGAAATATTACTATGAGTGGTAATATCTCCGTGGCGTTCGGTCCAGGACGAAGTGCTGAGACAGGGGCGATTATTGGGACGAGCGGCATGGCTGGAATCTTTGCGTACTCCAAGACTCGTGGGGTATATGGTGGGGCCACACTTGAGGGAAGCGTGATTTTGGAGCGCTCATCTGCGAATAAGAAGATGTATGAGCGGAAACTTAAGGCCATTCAACTGCTTAATGGAGAGATTCCCCCGCCGCCCGAGGCTGAGCCGTTGATGCATATCTTGAACTCTGAGGCTTTTCGTCTACAACCCTCCGTTGGGACGTCGGACGCTGTTGAGCTACCTGCTGATATATTGAGTGAGCCTGTTCAGAGACCGTCGGAACTTGCTTTGGAGTCTCCTCCAGTTCCTGAACTGAGTGGGCAGAGCTCACATCAGGAGATGCCTTCTGGGGATACTCGCGAAGAAGATGGGCCTCAAGAAATTGCCGGGCCTAATCAAACAGCACAGTCTCAGGAAGCAACCGTGCCTCAGGGAGAAGCTGAGTCTCGAGAAGCAACGAGGTCTCCTAGAGCGGTTGTGCCCGAACAAGCAACCGGAGCTTCTGAGGCATCTATGCCCCATATAACGGCTGTCTCCCCGGAAGGAGCCGCGCCCTTGGAAGTAGCCGTGTCTCCTGAGGTGACTGTCCCTCGCAAAGAAGCAACCAATTCGCAGGAAGCAACCAACTTCAAGGAAGCAATGGAGTCCAAGGAAGCAATCGTACCTCATGACGAAGCTGGGCAACCGAAATCTTCACGAACACAGAGTTAATTTCTGCTATATCCCACCTTAACAATCACCACAGATCTCTGGAAGCTTCAGAATACTGCAGTCCGGATGATGAGGTATGAGAGCGAAAAAGACTAGAAGAAATAATATTGAAGAGCATCCCAAGGTCGTCTCCAGAAGGTTGATTTGTTCAAGCCTTCCATCATACATAACATAGTGCCTAGGTTATAAGCACTCCATGTACTTCCATCAAGCAAACTTTCCATGTGCCCGTCCTGAGCCATCTCACTGGCCTGCCACTGTAGCGTCTCATTCTTGAGCCATGCAGGCATGTTCTTTGCCACGACAATCACGAATCTCGTTGAGTTCTAAAGAGCCATTTTCGAGACTAATGGTTTAATAGACTACTAGGCAATAACCTGCTCGGCTAACGGTTATGTCGGAAGTGGTACCTGAGAACGCAGATTGGGGAACGGTTAGAGACACGTCGGTTCAAGGTTTTCATATGGCGTGATGATGATATGGAGTCGTGCGGGGATGTTCAGATAATTGCGACTGATAGAAAATGGCTCATTCTCAAGCCACGTGTATGGACCTGTGATGAAGCATTATGCTCGTAAATTGCTCCATTAGAAGCTTCATGACTTGGAAGAACCTTCTAGCCACATTGGAATCATATTTGGATGCCTTGGTTTATCCTGGGCCATTTCGGATCCACCCTTTCTAGGTAGATCATTGTCAATCAAACAAAGTGACCGGCCTCAATGCTTGTTTGCACATGTGGCAGGGGTGTAAGGCAGCAGATAGCAGGAACTAGGATCAAATCGCGATTCAATTCTGCAAACCCCTGGGTTTCAGGAATGAAGCTCGCGGTAGCCTAGCTGGCACTGATTGGCTTTTTTTTAATTGTCTCTCGGACAAAACTTTGATCTGGATCTTGAAGAATTCGGGGAGTTTCGAGATTGGCTAGGCGCAAAATTAGAGCTAGTGATGCAATCCGCCGCAGATCCTGTTCGTCGGTCGAGAGATCGATTCAGCTCGGTTGCATCATCCCCTTTCGTGGTGGAACCGAGGATCAGCGTGATGGCCAGTGATGGTTCCGTACGGGGCGAGAGGGTCATGGACGAGGCCATCTAATCACCCAAGATTCTGGACCCGGCAAGAGAAGCTGCTTGTCTTCACCAATCCGTGCCCTGTGCCTTGATATAATAATAAAATGTAGCTGCATTGTTTGTTTTTTTTTCTGTGCGGAAAATTCTCAGTGTTCTTTTGCATTCATTCTTTTCACCATGAATTCTTCCCAGCAGACTATGAGTTTGAAATTACCTGCTTCACATGATTCAAGCAATATTCAGTCTGTCCTTGATGCCTATGGTCTTGAGTTTACTTCAGATGGGAAATTGATCCGCTGGTCGGCTTCAAACAAAAAGCATCCCAGGAACTGGTCAACATCCCGGAAGAGTTTTGATAGTAGTGTGATTATCTTCCTCGAACTATTCACGTATGTCTGCCCTTCACCTTCACAAGACAGGAAATCACTCACGCTTATGCGACAGAACTGCAATTAGTACTGCTGGGGTATGGATTTGGACAATTATTGTCTACATAGGTCGACGCTAATTCGCGATCGACAGAGCACCACGGCCGATCATGCTGCAGAAGAATTTGGCATCGGACGAACATTCTCCATCTTTCTCTTCGTCTCGTTGTAAGTACCGCGTTTTTCTAAAGCATAGAATGCCGATGCTTAAATTTCAAATGCAGATATCTTATCGGGCAATGTATTGGTGGTATCATCTTTCCATCCTACTCCGAGGCCTCTGGCCGTAGAAGGCTATACATCATCAGCACTTCGCTGTACAGCGTCTGCTGCGTCATTGCCGGTGTAGTTCCACACATTGCCGGTGTTGCAGTTGGACGTTTCTTTTCGGGCCTGTTGTCCGCAATTCCGACCATTATTGTTGCGGGGAGCATCGAAGACATGTTCAATTCTAAAGACCGTGTTTGGCTGGTCTTCATATGGGCCCTGGCCTCCAACATTGGTCTCACTTTGGGTCCAATTATGAGTACCTATATCACCGTAGAACTGGGCTGGTATGTGGTTACCCTTGCCATGAAGACAAAAGCGCTAATTTGTCCTTGTAGGAAGTGGCTGTTCTACGTTGCTGCAATTGTCACTGCGATGAATGCGCTTGCTTTGGGTTTTGTTCGCGAATCGCGGCCATCATTGCTTCTCGAACGAGAGGTAGCGAAAGTGCGCAAAGACACTGGAATCAGCACGCTCAGAGCGTTGAATCCCGATCACACTCCCGATCTGCGCACATTTGCCCGTCAGGCCTTGTTCCGTCCAGTGCATCTGTTCTTCACCGAACCTATTGTCTGCATGGTGTCGGTAATGAGCGCGGTCGCTTTTGCTATAATCTACTTGTTCACTGAAGCCTTACCTTTGGTTTATGAGGCCATGGGCTTTTCGGAAGAATCCTCGAACCTACCATTCATTGCGATTTCTATCGGTCTTATGCTGGGACTGCTCACCCGCATCAAGGACCACCACACCGTCCTCCAGCATGAAGAGCAAAACATACCACTAGAGCCAGAAGCCAAGCTTGTTGGCTTTTCAATCGGTGCGCCGATGCTTGCGGGTGGTCTATGGTGGTTTGCTTGGACTATTCCTCCTCTCGTTCCCAATGTTGACTGGGTTGTCTCTGCTATTGCCTTGGTTCTCATTGGATACGCTTGCAACGAGTTCGATGCTGTCCTTGCGGGCTATCTCGCAGACAGCTATCTTAGCTATGCTGGAAGTGGATTTGCCACGCTGTGTATGCTCCGCTCCTTGCTGTCGGCTGCATTTCCATTGTTCGCACAGCAAATGTTTAATGGACTGGGTGCGAATGTGGCAGCTTCGACACTGGCGGCAGTAGCAACGGTATTTTGTATTGTTCCCCCAATATTCACGAGATACGGCAAGAGAATCCGTGCAAGGAGTAAGTTTGCACGGTACAGCCTGGCGGTTTATCAAGAGAATGGTGTGGACACAGACGGATATTGACATCGGGACTTTTACATGTTCAATGTTCAACTCGCGAAAGCCCCTGGTGGGATGTGAAGCGATCAAAAGTGATCCAATTATATATATATGGAATGCTCACATCTGCGCAATAAGTACATAGATTCAGAGTCAAAAAGGGAGTGAATGGCTTGGCCAATTCAACAATCAATGATTCTCATCATTCCAACCTTCGAACTCAATACAAACAACTTGATCATCAATCCATGGATCCTTACTCCAGGCAGCGGGGATGGGAGCTTGTGCCTCAGGCACCAAGACGCCGTCACCTCCCCGAGTGCCCAGCTCCGCCTCCATCCCTAATCCCTGTTGCAATCAACTGGTATCGCTTTGCTTGATAGTGACCAGAGTGGTCTAAGCTTCCCCCGTCAATCCGCCTCTTTTGTCTCTCTCGACATCGACCTCGCACCGCCCGCGACCCTCCCCCCGTCCCCGATCTCCCCGCTTCCCTCCACCACACCGATACCCAACACGCCTCCTGGCAAAGAACAAGCTTCGACGACATAGTCATTGCTTCTGAACTTGAATTGAGCTACACTTCAAAGCCAATTCCTTCTTATATTCTTCGGCCCGAACAATACCCCAGACAAAACCGCCACCATGTCGCAAATCAACTACCGCACCATCAATGTCGACCAGCTCGACCCGGAGTCGTCAGTCAACTTCCCTATGGAAACCCTCCTCCCCGCTACGCTGCCCCAACCTGAGACTTCGAGCGATGCCGCCAACATCGCGAACCAGGTGCGCCAGCTGCTGCGCGGCGGTGACGCCGAGGGCGCACTCCGAACCGCTCTCGACACAGCGCCGTTGGGCGGCGACGACCGCGCCAAGGAGGTTCACCTCGCTACTGTGATTGAGGTGCTCCAGGGAATCCGACAGGCCGAAATGGCCCGTGTCCTGGAGGGAGTCTGTGGTGCAGATGGCGGGGCAGAGCGGGCAGACTGTTTGATGAAGTATATGTATGTGTGGCCATTTACAATGCCTTTTTCATGCCCATAAGAGTATGCACTAACTTGAACCAGCTACAAAGGAATGTCGTCCTCTTCCGGCCCTGGTGGTGCCAAGTCCGCTAAGTCGGTCTCCCCGCAGAGCACAGGTGGCTTCTCGCAAATCCAGGGCCGCAACTTGGGCGAGGGCGGTGGTGGCCAGCAGATGAGCGTTTTGCTCAACTGGCACGAGAAGCTGGTGGACTTGACAGGGACTGGATCGATTGTGCGTGTCATGACGGACCGCCGGACGGTTTAAGTGGAGGCAGCAAAACGAGTCTAAATGTTCTCCTTTGCTGTTTCTGGTAGAGGCTTGATTGCATTTCATACATTTCACTTTCGAACCATCTTCCTCGTTTGTTACTGCCAGCGTAGTTTTACAATTGAGATACTATGACATTATGGCGAGCACTTTCTATGGCCCCCTCTTGTTTTGCCGCAACTTCTTATGGCTTCTCGAAGTCTCCACCACCCAAGATATCTTTCAGGTTGACATCGCCACTTCCACGCTGTAACGGCTGCGGTTGGTCCTTGCCTTCCTTCCATCCGATCATATAGATCATCCGGAATGTTGCAGGAATTCCGGGAGCACCTTCCTCCATATGCAAGGACCGGTAGATAGCCTCGTTGGCTAACAATACCTCACGCGACAAGGGACCAGCTTCACGGTGCAAGATTGCATTGCTCTCCCCCATGGCCTGCAGATCCTGCATCAGAGCAAAGGTATCGGGGAATTCCACCACAATATCCTCGACATCGACCGTAAGCATCTTAAACCCGGCACGGTTCAAGAGACTTCCCACGTCTTTTACATCAGCTAACGGTGAGACGTGCGGTGACACACCGCCGCGGCGCTCCATATCAGCTAGCTGCAGCGATCCACGCAGCTCATAGAGGGTATCACCACCGAACATCGCTGCAATGAACGGGCTGTCCGGCTTGAGAATAGTGTTTACTTGGTCGAGCAATGCGGGAAGATCATTGACCCAGTGAATAGAAAGTGAGGAAAGTACAGCATCAAAGCTGTTCGGCTCGTACGGCAGAGACTCCAGATCCGGAATCACGTCGCGCGTAATATCAATTTCCTTATTGAACGGCATTTCCTCATCTCGGTGCAACAATGCGCGCGATGTTTCCACGCATGTCAATTTCGAGATACGCTCTGCCAGCGGCGGTGTTGCCACGCCCTCTGGTGCCGCCATGTCGAGGTTTGGTGTCGTCAGCGCCCGCGCAATGTTGCAGCTGTTCGCGCCCAGGTCGAGCACATTGGGAAATTTGCGTTTGATGTCCTGATCGCAAGCCAAGACCGAGTTAGCGAATGTCTTCTTTATCCGCTTAGAGCCGCGGCCCTTGTTTCGTCGGGTTTCTTACCAGCAAACGCTCACATAACCGCATTGCTACCTCGTCCTTCAAGTAATCGACATTCCGGCTCTCCTCGACATTCTGAGCGGCCCGGTCCTTCTGCATATGCTTTGTCTTGCGGTTGAAAACCTCTAGCATAGGGTTGCCGGACGTCTGGTTGGCGTACGTCCGCATGGAGGTTGCGGCGAAGGACCGCCGGGGAAGGTTGGCGCGAAACGTGTGTAGAGAGAACATGGTAGCTGAGTTAATAGTTTGTTTCTGATTCGGGTATGTGGTTCTGAGCGGCTTAGGCCATGTTGCGTTGGCGGTTTGCGGAGTTGAAGGTGACGCTGAGTCGAGTCCCAAATTTTGTTCTGACGTCGATTGTTGATACGGAACCTCCACAGCTCCCTCTCCGCGATCGCGCACTTTCTTTCGCCGCGCTAAAAATTAGGTATCAACGCGGTTTGTCCGCCTGGGGTGCTCGGAGTGAGTCTCTGTGCGCTTTCCAAATACTCTTCAAATGCGATAGAGCCATTGCCCATAGTGGTATCCTGGTACGTCGCCGTGCAGCAACGGTGGACTCGGTCCCCGCGATAGGCGCTTCGCCAGACACAAAGCTGCAATTCGGCTGTGAATGTGCATACTAATGATCCAAGCAGGTAAAAGCCAGTTGCTTCCTCGTCTTCTGTTACGCGTCGCCGTCAGCGCTTGTCCGCCCCTATCTCTCATCGCTAGACTACCCGCCGACGTGAAGCATGATTTGAAGAAATAAACAAATATTGCAACCAAACGCTAGTTCGATACGGATCTCTCTCCTTAAAAAACAATGTCGCGCCCATTCCCCTACACATATATCTCATGCCCCTGCGCCGACACTCCTGTACCCGATCCGGCCAGGAAGCGGAGGTCGAGGGGGACGCCGCAGAAATCACCGAACCCCGAGCAGCCAAATGTTGACAATGAAGATAAAAAGCCCCAAGAGGAAGAAAATGAAGACGAAGAGGAAGAGGAGCAGACATTTGATCCTCGCTCGCCGCGTTCCAATTTCTCACTATATCCCCCCGAACAGCTCTTGTACTGCGAGGACTGCCACCAGATCAAATGCCCTCGGTGCATAACGGAAGAGATTGTGAGCTGGTACTGTCCAAACTGTCTATTCGAGACCCCAAGCAGTATGGTCCGAAGTGACGGCAACCGGTATGTGCTCGGATTTTCGGTTCTTCTATACAAGACAAGACACGCTAACATGCCTAATATCCAGCTGTGGCCGAAACTGCTTCAATTGTCCAACTTGCACAGCACCCCTAGCTGTGAGCACAATAGAAAATGTTACAGGAAATGGTAGCCAACAAGGGCCTTGGGTGCTCTCCTGCGGTTATTGCATGTGGACAACACTCGATATCGGAATCAAGTTCGACAAGCCGACCAACATTCGTACCCAGCTGCAAAAGATGACCGACGCCACCGCTACGCCTTCATATGACCGATCAAGGCAGGCCTCGCGTACTTTTGGAGATTTGAAGTCTCCTTTGTCAAGCTACGCGTCTATCGACGAGCAATCCGCTTCTCGCGAGGGCAGTGGAGAGCAGTCTGCAACAAATGAAGACACGATACCCACGCCGGACCTCGGTACAGATGCTCGGTTCGCCGCCTTGAAGTCATTCTACCGTACACAGATCTCTGAGACATCAACGTCACCCGGCGATCCCCTCGGCTCGGACCTTGGATTCTCATCGCCCGGGGCCCTGAACCGACTTATGTCTTTGTATGCCTCCTCATCTCGTTTATCAGGACTCTACGGTGGCAACAAGAAACAGAAATCTAAGCCTCCAGTTATGCGCGAAGCTCTTACATCCAGCGAGGGTCTCCGCATTGCTCCAGATAACGGGGACGCCGACGTGATTGAGCGCCTCGGATCCCAAGAATGCGGCTGGGACGGTGTCGCATCAATCGAACAGCGCCAGGACCAATCGCCCGACGTGCGGTTTGCCGATGACCTGATCCCACTGCCATGTCTGCTTCGTACAAAGCGTGCCAAACGTTGCAAGTCTTGCAAGCACATCCTCGTGAAGCCTGAGACCAAGCCACAGTCTACTCGCTTCCGTATTCGTCTCATTGCTCTCAGCTACATTCCTCTCCCAACACTACGTCCTCTTGCGCTTCCTTCATCTTCTTCTATGATGTCTGCTCCGATACCAGACCTCAATTCATTGCCTCCTCTTCGCCCGGTTCATGTCCTGCTCACGTTGAAGAACCACATGTTCGACCCTGTGCGCATTACGCTTGCTACCCCGTCGGTTACTCCCGGTCGTGTGGCCAGCAAGGTTACTGTTCTTTCGCCCCAGTTTGACATTGGTGCCAACAGCGACGTCTGGGATGAAGCATTGCAGAATGCCTCCGCTCCTGTGACTGGAGACCCCAAACTCGCAACTCTCCGCGGAGTGCCAGAGGCCGGCAAGGTCTGGGACAAGGGCCGCAATTGGACGACAGTGGTACTAGAGGTTGTCCCCGGAACACTCCCTGGCTCTGAAGCCGAGGGTGGTAATGAGGTAACAGCCAAGGATGGTACATTGGCTACGCAGCAGGACGAGGATGTTCTAGAAATCCCGGTATTTGTGCATATGGAGTGGGATGCAGAAGCCCAACTCGAGCAACAGAATGTCGGAAAGGCATCTAAGCCAGATGACTTGGTGGCTCGGGAATTAGCCTATTGGATGGTGCTGGGCGTGGGGAGAATACAGGCTTCTTTGTAGATGTGAAGACTTTTTCGTCTTGTTGATAGTTTCTTTTTCATACCCCGGAGGGTAGCTAGTGTTGCACATATATCAATACAGTAAATTGCCCTTCCAACCTGATTCCAAGATTCGGCCACGAGGCAACTTTAAACAATGACCTGGTAGCTATACCATATAGGCACATGATATAGGGTATCTATAAGATCAAGCCGCAACTGTCTACAACTACCTCCAATACTACAGTGGAGCAATTGAAAGTCGGAAATGTTCAATTGGAATATTTATTACATATCCCATCCCATCCTCATTAGAGAAACACGGCCCGGATGGAATTTTAGCTCCGTCACGCCCCGGAAATTGAAAACCGGAGGGCAAACCATGCATAAGTCAATGGAATAAAGGGCCACATAACTCAAAAAGAAACCCGTGAATGCATTTTTTTGGTCTTTCACCTGTCATGCTCCTCGAATCTAGTGAGTTTCAAACCTAGAAACAAGCAACCCATCATACCAAGACATCCTTCCCACCGCAACTAGCAACAACACGAGCACATGCTTAGAGCTCGGCGCCGCTCTGGGGGAACTCGAAAGCGACGTTACGGCCGGTCAAACGACGGTAGACCTCGCCGTAGGCATCGAGGCGGTGGTCAACACCACCCTTCTCCTTCTCGTCAAGGATGACCTTGAGGGTCTTGGAGCCGTCCTCCTTGGTGCGGACGCGCTTGCCAACAATCTCGACGGGGTAGACGAGGTCAGCGAGGATAGCGTCGTGGACAGCAGTCAGAGTGCGGGAACGGGGGCGCTTCTGAGTCTGGGAGGTGCGGGAGTTGACGGAGCGCTTGGGGCGGGGCAGAATGCGGCGCTGAGCAACGAAGAGAACGTGGCGGTCGGAGAACTTCTTCTCGAGCTCGCGGGTCAGACTGTTGGGGAGGGTTCACGTTAGTTCCCACTGTGTCCATCTTCTTCACCATGGAGTACCACTCAGTGGTCGACGTCATGTTTTTTGAGACTTACCGCTGCTGGATCTTGTGGAAGCCCTGGAGGAGGGGAACGGGGACGAAGACAACGATGGCCTTCTTGCCGTGGCCGACCTCAACCTATTGTGCGATGTTAGAACTCCCGTCTCGAAAATATCGTGCGCGAACAAAATGCAAGAAATTCCAAATTCCGGGGGAAAGGAC